GGGGCCAGGCGGACTGCGGCTATCCCACAACCCGGCTGGCTCGGCTGGCCCAAACGGCGAGAGGACGGGGCCCGGGGGAGGACTGCGGCTATCCCACAACCCGGCTGGCTCAAACGGCGAGAGGACGGGGCCCGGGGGACTGCGGCTATCCCACAACCCGGCTGGATTGGCTGGCTCAAACGGCGAGAGGACAGGGGGGCTGGCTGTGGCCATCCCGCCACCCGGCGCCGGCGCAAAACCACTAGAGATCCATCCGGGGCCGCCGCTCGAAACGGGGGCTCCGGCCCCTGCGACAGGAGGAGGCGTCCGCGCATCATTTTGGACCTGCCTCTGGAGTTCCTTGAGCTTGTCGTGGTCTGGGATGCTTTTCTGGACGACAAGGCCGTCAGCTTTTATGTTGTTTGGCCACGGGGCTCCCTTTTGTCCTTCACGGAGAGTGGGCAGCGTCAGCGTATTCCCGCTCTGCAGCTGGTGCTTTTTGATGTACGTGACGTGATCCTCGTGCTGCCCCTGCCCGGAGAAACTGGAGGGCGTAATCGTCACCAGAGACGCGACCGTGAGCGCTGCGGAAAAAGGCCTCCCTTTCCGCGACTCCTGGTAGGGGTTGAGGATGTAGTTTTGGTAAAGTTGCTCTCCGTCAGGCGCAGGCTTCGTCAGCAAATCATAACTTCCTCCTCTTCCAGGACCACCAGGGTAGACCTTTTGCAGGTTCTCCCGAGCAACGTGCCATGGCTCCTCACTCCGCTCGCCGAGAAAGACCTTCTCGTTCCCCCCGTCTTCCACCCCAGGCTCTCCGAAGAGGTCCGCCAGAGTCCGCGCAATGGCGTACAAGTCAAATGCCGGACCGTAGGGCTGATGGAAAGGAGAGCCCCCCAGCGGCTCAACGTTGAAGCACTTATCGTCAACCAAGGGATTGATGTACCCAGCAGTCCCATTATGGGGATGTCAGGATCGAACTCCACAAAGTTGAAAGGATTTTAGCTTGTAATGCCAAACCGACCTCCGCAGCCACTACACAACCTGCGTAACTCTAAGAACTTGCAAATGCATATTAAAACAATATATAAATGCCTGTAATTAGAGGGCACGCAAGTGAGGGCGATAGTAAGCCTGTTTGGGGTCGGAGATAGCGCTGCCAAAGCAGCACGACCGAGGACGCCTTTTTTGTCCAAAAACATAGCACCATGATAAATTGGATTGCGATCGTGGTCAGGAAATTTTTCATGCGGCGCTCAGTAACTGGGGTCTCAACTGGAACTGACTTTATGCACGGCAAGTCATCATCTCAACTTTGTCGACTTCGATCCTGACACTTCCATAACCCAAGACGTTTCCCCCGTACAGCGGATCGCCGTACATTAGCGGATCCACAACAAAAAAATTCTCGTCCGTACAGACAGTTATTTTCTTGCATGGCAATGGGAAAAGTATATTTTCTTCATCTTCTGTCCGTATTATTGTACTCATGCGCCATGATAAGACTTGGTAAATAAACCTAAACGTGTCATGCACGACACAAAATGCAGCATTTTTTGTGTAGTATGATGATGTGTAGTACGGAAAACAACTATTGTCGAACTTTGTGTTGCGTATAGTGTCCAAGTGGTGTACCCCGTGTGGATAGATTCCCCTTCATGATCAACCGGAGTCGTCATCTCATCATGAACGGCCACGAAGGAGGCTATGAAAGTGCACCACTAACCCCCCCTCCGCCTCATGTGTAGTATATTTCTAGCAACAGAAATCCGGATCACCTCAAAAATGCAGCGCTTGCATGACAGATCTTCTAGGTCCGGCCTTTAGTGTCTTTCGGGGCTCCAGAACTTCCCATGCAAACACGATGAAAAGGCTCTGGCAGGCCGAGGATTTGGCATTTTTGCATAACAAATGAAGCGAGAGGGAGTTCTTGTCGACTTCCATAGAGTATCAAATGTAAAAATGTCTGGGTCTGGAAGATTCTGACACTTGTCATGCACGTTTTGCATGAGCCATGATGTCTGTGATGCATACCCTAGCAATACAGATTTTTTGAGGGCTTCTTGATGCGTATTCCTCATGACAAATGCCTTCTCAGCGTAGCAAGAATTGCATTCCCTTTGGTACTCATGCAATACAGATTTTTTTGGAATCCAAATGCAGCATCACAAGTTGCATTCTTCCAGACCCAGACATTTTTACAGTTGATATAGAGGACATCCCGAAGTCAAAAAATACGGGCTGGTCGTATGATATGGGAGTGTCAGGATCGAAATCGACAAAATCGAAAAATTTGCAATGCATAAAATGGATTCCAGATCGAACCTAGTTTCTAAGTGGCGCATGACAAATTCTGGTAGTGCCTAAATCGAGTTTGTAATGCTGTTTAGGCAGAGAAGGCTGATTCTCTCATGCTGCTTTAGCAGCTCGAGCTATAACACCAAACAGGCCTACAACCGGCCTCACTTGCCTGCTCTGCAACACACGTGTTTCGCGTCATGCATTTTATGCATCACAAATTTTTCGATTTTGTCAATTTCGATCCTGACAGTTCCATATATGAGGTTACGCCGGTCGTGTGATCGCTCCGAAATCCCATGTTGTTCGTTTTTATGTCATTGTGCACAAACTATCAAATGTAAAAATGTCTGGGTCTGGAAGAATGCAACCTGTCATGCTAAATCTGAAGCATGCAAAAATCTGTGTTGCGTGATTTTTGCCAAAAGTCGTCCAGTTTTGGCCAAGTCGGGAGGGAGTTTCTCACGCAGGATAGGCATGAGAGAGATCGCACAGAATCTGACATGCTTCTAGGTCCTGCATTTTTCCAGGCTTCATGGGTCATGGAAAAGCTGCATGACAAATCGCGCATTCTTCCAGACCCAGACACTTTTACATTCGATACAAACCTATCCACACCAAATTCCTCCCCATACACGCCGTCAAACTACTGCGCCTCCATGACGAGATAAACAGCAACAATACCAATACTTGCTGTGATTTATCATGCATGACGTCACACCTTTTCGCTCTGTTCTGTCCAGCAGCATTATAAAGTAGAGGGAGATAAAGATGATGACAAGTGGCTTGCGACGTATTGAGGTGAACACAAATTTTCACTGTGTCATGCGTTTCTTTCCTGTAGTATACGTGTTCGGGGGAGGTTGTAAATTTGTATTGCATAAAACCCAAGGTCGCCAAGCTCCAGGATTTTGGCATACATCGACTTTGCCAGGCCGTCGGCGGATCGCAGGGCGCCCGCAATCATGTCGACACTAACATGAACATAAGTAGTAGTTGCACCAGTGACTGGTGTCTCATCGAGCTCCGGAATGGCAACCCTCTCCAGTACAAAGTGGAAAGACGTCTCGCCTTCGTTCACCAGATTCGTCGAGCTTTGCCCTTTCCTGGTCACCTATCAAATGTAAAAATGTCTGGGTCTGGAAGCATGCAACTTGTCATGCTAAATCTGAAGCATGCAAAAATCTGTGTTGCATGATTACCAAAAGTCGCACAGTTTTGACCAAGTCGGGAGGGAGTTTCTCATGCAGGATAGGCATGATAGAACTCTCACGCAATCTGTCATGCTATGTCCTACCTACCAGACCTCATGGGTCATGGAAAACCTGCATGACAAGTCTGGCATTCTTCCAGACCCAGACATTTTTACATTTGATATCACCACAACGCGGTCAAAAGTTACCACGGCGTTTGGGGCTGCCTGGGTCAGCAGGGTGTTCATAATGATTTCCGCGCGCACGAAAACGCCACAGTCGTATCAAATGTAAAAATGTCTGGGTCTGGAAACTTGTGATGCTGGGTGGCGTCTCATGATGAGGCTACAAATGCTGGCTCAGCATGACAAGTTTCTGAGCTCCTCGGTGTTGCCTATTCTGCATGACAAACTGCGCTTCTGCATCACAGAAAAACGGAGCTCTTGGGTAACGTGCATGACAGATTTAAGAGTCATGTCAGACAAGCATGACAAACATGAATTCTTCCAGACCCAGACATTTTTACAGTTGATAATTCGTCACTGTCAGCCACTGAGTCTTCATCTTCCTCGCCATCTTCCTCGCCAACGAGGACCCGAAAATGCTTGCACCGAACTGTTTTCACGACCTTCGTGGCGTCTCCTGACACACTATACACAACGCCATACGTGCCCGAGCCTAGCTGTTCTCCAATATCCAGCGCGCTCTTTTCCCCGGGCTTGGACGGTGTGGGTGTCCACGAAACGCGAGCCAGGTCGCCTCCGTCCGAAACTTCACTCGTGTCATCATCGCCTTCTTCGTTTTGGTTTTGTGTATCCGTATAGTACTCGGCCCCTGCTATGCCCCGCTCAGGTAGTTTTTTTACCATCTAAATTGCGAACAAAAAACTAGTTGTACACAAAAAAGAAATAAGTATAGAAGTCTCGTGTAGTCCACGAGGTGAACCACTTCGTGCGGCATGCATGAACAGCATGAGGACGTTGAACAACTGGAGCAGGCAACTACGCGCGGCGTTCTTTATTTTTTGCGCTGCAGTAGATAAGCATGAACCACAAGAGCCAGGTTCTTCACAGCAACCTGACCTTCATCCGGTTTGCCAGTTGATGAGCCTCGTCCAGAACTTGCCAACAGCACGCCCAATCGTGTACTAAGATGAAGATGAACAAGGGTGCGATATTAATGATCCTGGTGCAGCTTTTGCATTTGCAAATCCTTGTAGTTGAGGGGCCAATCGTAGTTGCAACAACGAAGATGGTAAAAACACCTGAGCAGCCGATACGTCCTTCAACCATCTTCTCATCCAGTACTTTTTCCCACGCAGCAAGCATTTCCTGCTCGTTTCTCAACTTACGATTTTTAAAAGCCTTGTCGGTCAGATGCTTGAAGGTATTCGGTCCCCTCTTTTGCATGTCGCGAAAGCCCTTATGCATTGCAAATATGTCTGGGTCTGGAAAACGGCTGATTGGGACGCCTGCAAGAACCAATGGCCTAGCGGCTAGGCATAAATAGTTTTTTGCTTCTGGAATGCATCTGAAACTGAATTTGATTCGTAAAGCACGCATTATCAATTGCGTTTTTGCAACATCACAGAGGAAGCAGCTGCCCTCTCGCTGCTCATGCAACACAGATTTTCATCTAGGAATGGTGATCGCCATGGCTATGGCGCAAGACACGCATTATATACAACTCCCGCTTTTCGAGACAAAAACACAGTTGCAATGGATAGCCGTCTTTTGTCAGCTTTTTCATCGTGTCGAACTCCTGCTCTGCTTCTGCATTGCAAAAGTATCGCACTCGTAATAATTACAATCATGCCCGGCAGCTTCCTTCTCCTAGGCAAGACATCATAACGAAATTTCATCTAGGGCTAGACAGTTCACGAGAAAATTATACGAGCAAGAATTTGCGAATGCGATCATCATGAAATTACTACGTAGTGCGATATTTTTTACTTTTGCAATTCATACTTTCCTGCCTCCACTTTTATCGAGTAGTTCCTTGTACCATGAATTTTGCACAACTTGTATCGTAAGGAAAAATCCCCCCTCCCCATATCGAAAAGGTATGTTTCCGAAAATTTGTGTTGCTGATTTGAGACCCCAAATCACGTGTGTCTTGCAAGAAGGCAACGCCACAACCTCCGCAGCATTGTGTAGGCGGTTTGTGATGCTGATGGGCCTACAGCGTGGACGTTTCTCATGCTAGACCCCTAGGTCAAAACCTCTCGACTTAGGCTTAGTATGGGCCTGCATTCCTCCCCAGCAAGACAAATCTGATTTGTGTACGCAAATCCTGCATCAGAGACTTCATTTTGATATGGGGAGGGGGGATTTTTCCTGTTGATAACTTGGCCGCTCGTCGCGTCCGAACAGGACATCACAATGAAAAACGTTCCCTCGTTATCCAAGAAAAAAACGTTGTTAGTGTAAATTTGTGATGCGCAACATGCAAAATAATTGCGTCTGTCATGCTTGGCATGCATCGTAGGGTCCATTAAAGGGCGTTTTCGCGTACTATCTGCGCATGACAGGTTTCTGCTGTCATGCCAGACAAATTTGTAATGCTGTTCCTCCAAAAAAGTTACACCTACAATGTTTTTTTCTTGGATACTCGTTTTCCCATATCTGTGATGCAGACTTGTGGCCACGACAACCCACCAGTTTTGTGATGCTAGAAGGCAAATAAAGCTGCTGCGGCCTCACTGTAGAAGTGCTGGCGAGCGTAGGAAAACGACCTTGCATCTCCAACATGACAGGAAGCAACTCGAAGTCGTGGGCAACAGCATGAATAATTACCTGCAAAAATTCAGGCCACAGCTGCGTCTCTTGCCTTCTAGCAAATATACAAATCGATTTGTGTACGCAACTACAGCATCACAAATTTCGTTTCCGATATGGGGAGGGGGCATAATTTTCCCTTGTGATAGGCGCGGAGTCGGACGAAGACGACGTCGATCGAGAACGCCGCCCACGACGGGGGGACCTCCTGGGGGGGGTCCTGTGAGAACGGGCGGAGGCGGCCCGGGACCTCCTCGGAGTATCAAGTGTAAAAGTGTCTGGGTCTGGAAGAATGCAAGATTTGTGATGCAGGTTTTCCATGACCCAGGAGGTCTGGAATGCGAGACCCAGCATGAAAGATTCTTTGAGGTGGTCCCTATCATGCCTTTCCTGCGTGAGAAGCTCCCTCTAAACTTGGTCAAAAGCGCACACCTTTTGGCACTCACGCAACACAGATTTTTGCATCATTCAGATTTTTTAGCATGACAAGTTCTAATCTTCCAGACATCCAGGGACTTTTGCATTTGATACGGAGTCTGATCAGGCGATTTGGAGGTGGACGAAGACGACGTCGATTGAGAACGCCGCCGCCGGCGGATGGGAAGGCGGATCATGGAAGAAGGGGTTCGGCGGGACGCCTTCTTCCGAGGCCGAGCGGACACCGAGCTGGAGGTGGAGGACCCAGTGCCTGTACTTCCTGCTTGTGTCAGAGTTCTTGCCGCTGCTGCTTCTTGTTCCAACAGGAAGCTGGTGGAGGTCGCTGTACTAGCGTCACCTTTACTATCAACTGCAAAAGTGACTGGGTCTGGAAGATTCTGAGACCTGTGATGCACGTCTTGCATGAGCCATGATGTCTGTGATGCACGCCCTAGCACCACAGACTTTTTGAGGGCATCTTGATGCCTATTCCGCATGAGGAATGCCCACCTATCCTTGTAGCAAAAATATATACTCCGTTTGCTACTCATGCAATACAGATTTTTTTGGAATCCAAATGCAGCATCACAAGTTGCATTCTTCCAGAGCCAGACATTTTTGCAGTTCATAACCTCCCTCACCAGTACCGGAAGCTGGAGATGCAGTAAATTCGGATTTTTCCGAATGGACGTCGACGGCCGGTGGTTCTTGCGGGTCTCCGCTTTCGACGCTGGGTGAAGTACTAGACAGTGTAGAAGAAACAATCGTGCCATCAACAAGAACGTCTTGATGTTGAACATCTTCCCGGCCGTCTGTACTTCCTGGTGTTCTTGTTGGCGCAGAAACACCATTCGGATTTTCGCTCTTACCGCTCGAAGTAGGAGTCGCACCCGACGTTGTTCTTTGGAACAAAGAAAATGAAGACATGTTCCAATCGGTGCCTTGTTGCAGCAGCCAGTGACGCTTGGCGCCCGGGCGGGGCGATAAAAACTTCCGCTCATCTGTAGTTTCTCCTTCTTCTACTTGCACCGGGGAAACTGCTGGTGCTGCGGCCATGATAGGCGCGGCCCCGACGACATCCGTTGGAGTCTCCGTATTGGGCGGAGACTTGGCGGCAATCGAGCTTGGCGGGTTTTCGGCTGCATTTTTGTCAAACCCCGAAACCCCGGCGACAGAGAGACCGAGGAGCAAAGCCGCTTTGATATGAACATTATCCTGCGTAAAAAACACGAGCGTAGCCCAACTATGTTTCCTTATTACAACTTCTGAACAACTTTCTTTGCAGCGAAGTTTCAATACATGGTCGTACCAGCATCTTCATCATTGCTCCGCAAAGACATAGCCTGCTAATTATATCGCGCACTAAAAGTCGTAGCTGATCCTCGTAGTATTTTACACAGGATATCTTAATCGCGGAAAGAGAAGCGACACCACCATCTTCCCTGACTGCGGTGGTCTTATTTTCAGGAAACCGGAAGATGCTAGAAGACGGCCGATTTTTACTCCATTCCCGTTGTCGTGGCGACTGCGGCTGTCGCAGCTGTGCCTGTTTTTATGTTCATATAAACTTAAACATCTCAGAGGATGGGCATGAGCAAACATACTCAGAGATGACAGGACATTTGAGTACTTATGTAGCGCAAAAGACGCTGCTGACGTTTGAGAAGCTGGTAGGAGGCACAGTAGAAGAGACATTGGCCACCTGGCGGGCCCTCCGTCTTTATAGACCACTAGTACGAGATCAAATTCGAAACAAGCGCCTCCACCTCCTCAACAACAAATCTACATACAGTACTTTCCGTTTATTTCGCACTATCCGTATCCCATAGGAGATAGTGCTCGATGATAGTAAACAACTCGTCCGGCTTTTTCGATAGTGAGGAAGTTTTTCGTTGCGGTCACTTAGCCCCTTTCCGCTCCGTTTCTGCGAAGAGAAATAACCGAGTTCGTTATGGTTCTCGTTTCATCGTTGTTTTGTCATCGTGGTTGAAGAGAATGATTTTTCAAAGTTATATAATTTGGGTTTCGTCGAATGCTGTAGTGGGTACTGAACGAAAGAAAACTACGGCATTGATTTACTTACTCGGTGCGAAATACAGATCGTCGTTATGATGTTGTCTTCAATTCAATTCAGTGAGGTGAAAAGTAAAAGTTCAAGAAGTACTATAGTATGTGAAGATGTAAAGCAAAATTAAATAGAAGCCGTAACCGTAAGTTTGCAAAGTTGTAAAACAAAATTTTTTCAAAAGTCGGGGTGTTGTTTGATGTGCTTGGTTTTTTTACAAAAAGAAAACAGGCCGAAGTAGTTCGTGACCACCCCGTTCCACCTTGGGGGCAAGGTCCTCTCAAGCCTGCATGCAGACGAAAACGAATGGGAAATCGACATGAAGATAATGCAAATATTACATGGCACACCAGCTTGCCATGGTCACACAACCACACGAATGCGGAAACCAGCCACAAATGCTACACCTAGGCACGACGAGGACGGATAGCACCGATGAAACTGAAATTGAAATAGCCGCTCAGGCAAAGACTAAGTAACCGACGCGTCGTCTGGAAGCTTTACGATTTTATCCGGTCGTGAAAATGAAAAAACAGAAAACCGTTCGTCAGCAACTACCGATGTATGGAAGGAAAAAGCACCAGTTGAAAAGCAGTAGAGCTGGCTCGTCCTACTTAGGTACTGTTACATAGAACGTCAACGTCGACAACATATCATGAGGCGCATAAGTAGAAGTACGGAAGCACCGAACAAGTTTCGTTCTTCACTCAAACCGAGAAAAATTAGCTGACACGAACGACAAGAGCAACACAAAGAAACGACTATTGTAGCGTTTCTCTATGCTGAACGAAACCGACAATACAGCATACTGTATAACCAACTAGGTCTAGGATTCATCAATTTCAACCGACCTTGACTCATTCTTGCTTTTCCACAAAAATCTTCAACCGATGAAACACCAAATTCTGGCACGTCCGCTCTTAGAACGCATATTGAAGACCACCACAAAGGATCGATCATGACTGGAAGTGGAACAAAACAACCGTTTACAGGTGATACAAATTCACGACAAATAAAGGCTCCATGATCCACAATAGCCTCATTGGTTTTTTTTTTCATCATGTAAGCGTCGTGGTTTACCTTGATTTCCTAGACTACAAGATAATCTATGTATAAAAAACATCACAGATTTATTCACTCGTCCTGTCAACATCAATGATCATCGACGTAAAACCTGGCTCCGCAAAAGCGACAGCTCCGCTTCCCGGGTTTGGATCAACTTATCCAAAGAACCCGAGACAGAAGCATGCTCAGTTGTGGTTTTGTTACCTTCGTTCTGAAAACTTCTCACAACCTCGAGGTGCGGCTGAGAAAGCTTCGACCCTTCTTGTTGCTGTTGGCCAGCACAACTCCTAATCTGTCCCAGCTCCCTAACGTCGGTTTTCGCACTCTTCTTTTGCTCGCAGCTGCTATCCCTGCTGTCCTGCTCCATGTAGTGAACGTGAGTCTGCGGCCCGGGAACAGACCGATGACGCACTTCCTCCGGAAGAAGTCCTCTCGACTCGGACTCTAGTTGTACAACAAGCGCTGAAGCTGATCCTGCTGCTGCAACATGGGGCTGAATTTGAGAAGATTTACCTGCAGAACCGGCCTCTCTCGTAGTGTCGTAGCCGCCGCCACACCTTCCTCCGTTTTCCTCAAAATACCCTTCCAGCTCCACGTTTCTGCGGTACATATTTGCGACTAGGGAGTATGCAGGTGGAGAAAAGTATTTTAGTTGAGTCCTCAACCACGATACTGAAAGATGAACACCAGGACATTCACGAGCTTGTGCGTACTGTTTTTGCGCAGAAATTCCGTCTTTATTACGAGGTCTCGAGGATGATGCCTGAACCTGGTCTTCTCGTTCTTTCTCATCATGCAAGCATTGGCACTTCTGGTTGAATCATATCTGTAGTTTGTGATTTGACTCAACAGATGAAGCTGTTGATGTAATTGCTTGTTCTACTGTGATAAAATTTTCATCAAATTGCTGCGCGGCCGCACAGGAGGTCCTGCTGTCGAAAGCATCAAGCGGCTGTTTCTAGATTTGGATTTGGTTGAGGTTGTACTGGTCATCCTCATCTCTTCTCTGCAGCTCGACCCGTAGTTCCTCGTGCTCGTTCCGTGATTCTGGGTCTCTTCTTCTTTTCCGGAAGTAGATGAACAAGATGACAGGCTATTTTTGTAGTACTCGACGAGAAAAGCGTAGAAAAGGTACGGCTTGCTCTATGCAACGCAAAACTCACGCCCGCACACAGAATCTCCTCGTTGTACTACAAGCACTTCTTGAGTAAGACAAAAACACGAGACGCTCTATCGAAAAGAGAGTCAGAGTGTGAAGTTCAATATTAAATCTTGTAAATGACTGTATGCCATTCTTTTTCTTTGCTGTCCAGCATGACAAATTGCAATCGACGCGTTGCTTGCGGTGAAAGTGAGAGAAATGATTTCAAACAGCCATACGTGCCAGTGCGTCACCAAGTGGTCCCACAAGTAGAGCCAGTCGTGCTTATGCGTCAACAAGTTGCTGTATGAGAGTGCACAGCTCCCCCCCCCCCTCATTTGTCATGCAAAATCGCAAATCCAGGCTGTGCCTGTTGGCACTGTTTGCGTGACAGGTTCTGGTAGCCCAAATAGCACTACACTCCAGTGGAAATTTGTCCTGCAGAGCCGGCATTTTTATTGATGCTTGTATTGCCGTTCATGATGCTACACAAATGAGGGGGAGGGGGAGTTGTGCACTGTCATATGCTACCGAGCTGTTGGCAAGACGGCAGGAAGTAATCATCGATCACAACGTTGTAGTTGCAGGACGAGTTCTTCTTGCGCGGTTCTTTGTCATGCCATTTTCGCACGACAGTAGAATCGGAATCGGCGACCTCTGAAGAACAAACTCCACGGGTGGATTCCTGCTCACGCGCTTTTTGCAACATCAACGAGTTGTATAGCTCCGGTTCGCGGTCCCGGAGATAGCCATCGATATCAACTGCAAAAGTGTCTGGGTCTGGAAGAATGCAAGATTTGTCATGCATATTTCTCATGACCCAAGATGCCTGTAATGCTTGACCTAGCATCGCAGACTTTTAGAGGGCTTTCCGATGCACGGTCCGCATGAGAAATGCCCTGTCCGTGTAGCAAAAACTGTACTCCTCTACTTGCTGGTCATCCATGCAATACAAATTTTTTTTACAGTTCAAAAACAGCATGACAAGTTGCAATCTTCCAGACCAAGACACTTTTGCAGTTGATAATCGAGGGTGATGTGCAGAATATCGACCACAGCAGGACGAGGACCAGGACCCCCGGGAGGTCTCCAATTTCCACCTGAGCTGCTTACTGTACTTCGTGTAGTTCCTCCCTCGGTGCCAAACCACTCCAGTATGGGGTTCCCAAACGCTACATTCTCAACTGTTGCATGAGTTTGTCATGCAAAAGCACCATCATCATCCAAGCGATCAAGCTGCTTCGCATGACAAATTTGCCTAGGGCTAAACAGCGCCTAAATGATCAGTGCGGAATTTGTAATTCTACAGGCGCAATCTCCCCCATGTCAGTTTTCCCTTTCTTACATCAAAAATCCATGCAACAGTTAATGTAACAGTTGAGAACGCCATATCCAGCACACCGAACTTCTCACACACCATTTTCGCGACTTCGTAAGCCTATCAAATGCAAAAGTGTCTGGGTCTGGAAAAGTGCGCGATTTGTCATGCAGCTTTTCCATGACCCATGAGGTCTGGAATGCAGGACCTAGCATGACAGATTCTGTGCGGTCTCTCTCATGCCTATCCTGCATCAGAAACTCCCTCCCGACTTGGTCAAAACTGAACGACTTTTGGTAGTCACGCAACACAGATTTTTGCATGCTTCAGATTTAGCATGACAAGTTGCATTCTTCCAGACCCAGACATTTTTACATTTCATACAGCCAAGAAGGAGCTGTCTCCGAAAAGTTTCGCGAACGGGAAGAGGAACCGCGGGAAATTGATATTGTCTACTTCTTCTTCACTACAGCACTTCAACGAACGTGTAGTTACGACACCACCGGAGTGGCTATTGTTCCTGCTGTTGGTGTGTTTTATCCTTTCAGCGTCGCTGGCGGAGGCAAGATGAGCTCGTCCGTTATCAGGAACAGCACGACCGTCGAATCTGTCATGCTGAAAGCAGATTAGAAGCGCGTGCAGCTTCTCATAGGTCGCGGCAGAGTGACCGGGGAACCGGGTCGCAAGCTCCGCGATGGTGGGTGTGGAGGCCGACGTACCATCCTGTTTGTCATTTCTACGGCTGTTGTGGCCGTGGTGGTTGTCTTCGATTTCAGCGACCAGTTCTTCAAACCTCGGGTAGCTCTTATCGAAGTCTAGCTGCAGACAGGCAAGCCAGAACAGAGGGCGCATTTTCTCTGGGTACGACCCGTTTTTCAGCAGCAGCCGCTTGCAGAACAGCGGGATGTTGGTCGTGATAGATGATACATCTTCCACGTGGTCCTGCTCGTTGTCACCAACTATGCCAAGAACCGTTGAAGGCTGCTGCTGTTGTTGTACCGAAGCCGAGAAGTAAAAGTCCTCCAATCTGCTCCCCGCGTCATCCTCGTGACCACCACGAGGAAACACCAAACTCTCCCCGAATTGGAATTCATCATCGTGCATGGCGCCAGTGCTGTTCTTGGACCTTGTACCAGCAGAGGAACAAGTGACTCTTCTCATCCTGTGCGCCAATGGCCTGAGCACTTGTTTGCGAAAGAGCTCGGTGAACTCTTCTTGGGTGGTCAGGTACATATCGAATGTAAAAGTGTCTGGGTCTGGAAGAATGCAACTTGTGATGCTGTATTTAGATTCCAAAAAAATCTGTATTGCATGAGTAGCAAACGGAATGCAATTTTTGCGACGCTGAGAAGATACTTGTCATGCGGAATAGGCATGATCAAGAAGCCCTCAAAAAATCTGTATTGCTAGGGTATGCATCACACACATCATGGCTCACGCACAACGTGCATGACAAGTGTCAGAATCTTCCAGACCCAGACACTTTTACAGTTGATAGTACACCCAGGGCGGCGGCGACGGCGAGGACGCCGACGGCGGGGGTTTATTACGATATTTGGATGAGCCCGAAGATGTCACCGAGTGGTCCGCCCGGCTTCGTGACGCGTCTCCATGAAGAACGCGTTCTGAGTCAACACTTCGCTTTCGTAGTACGCGCTCTTTTCTCGTCCTACCGCCCCCACCTTGCGATGCAGCATAGACGCGCCTTATCGCCAAGTTTCCCTTGCGAACTTCCTCTTCTGCAGCCTGTGCGACCTGTTTTTGCTTAGCCGACATATTAGTATTACGAGCTGATATAATTTCGTCTGCACCCAACGAAGAGAGGTCGCCAGATGCAGCTCCAACGCGACCTGGCGAGGTTTTCCTTGTTCCAAGTGGCGGAACTTGGTAAATCTCGGTCTGCGAATAGGAAAGGGAATCATCATCACCGTCATCATCCGCTGCTTCAGGAGGTTGAGCTTGCAGATCCAGTTTTGCGGGAAATGATCCGTCCTTCTGTACTTCACCCAGGAGGCCACAACTCCCTTCTTGCAACCGCAGCGCTCCGCTCGGACGAGAAGAAGAAGAAGAAGATGAAGCCGGAACCGGAGCCACGCCACGAAGCGGTAGATCGCAACCCAGGGTTTTCGACGCATTCTGCGCAGTACAACTGCGACTGTCAGGCTGACGCACACCAGGCTCAGGCGGCTTTCTCGGGGGAGAGGACCTTCTGTCATGCGCTGTGCTAGGCACTGCGTTGGGCTTGTTTCCTTTCGCGTTCCTACCCGCAGCTGCGGGGATCTGGATCCCGCCCAAGCTTTCACTTAACGACTGGTTTTGCGACTTCTCTAGAAGCAATCCGGATGAGCCGCCGCCTGTTGCACCGGCGTGGTGGAGAATGTGTTTGTCATCTTGATGTTTGAGGAAGCTGCTACTCATAGAAAGCATGCCAGATCCACTTCCAATTTGGTCGCTGGTCAAATCTTTGATCTGTGTGAAGTTGAAAGAGCTCAGCTGCATCTCCGTCAAAAGCCGGGAAGATGATGTCGCGTCTACTGCTGTTTCCTCCTCTTGACCTTCTTGTCCTCTTTCGTGCGCATCGTGTTCGTGGTCACGACCTCCATCGACGAAAAAGCAGTGAGAATTATCCTCCTCGTGATGCAGGACCGTTGCTGGCGACGTAGACTGTGCCGCGCTGTTTTCATGCGAGAACCGTTCCGGCAAGAGTTTTCCATCGTCTGCAGGGGTCGTGTTGGCGTTCTTCACAACTTCGCCTTCGCACATAAGAACGGTGGTTGCGACTGAGGAGGGCGAGTACGAGTAGGACGGGACGACGTGGTGTGGTGGCAGTCCTGAGAACGACCCTTGGTCCTCTACTGGACCGAAGCCAAATGTTCTTGAGCAAGCACTGCTAGTATCCCAGATGTTGATACCAGGAGTCTCAGTCTCCAAACCTCCGCCATGGAGGGAAGTAGACAAGCTGGCACAACTACCCGTATCCTCTTCACACCCGTGGTCATCTTCACCCTCGTTCATGGTTGCTACACTCTGGATGAAATCGTCTTCGCCGAACGCGTATGAATTGCAAAAGTATCGCACTAGTATGAATTGCAATACCAAATATAGCCGCCGGGGCGGGGGTAGTGAGGTCGTGGGCGTTTTTTTGCCGGCCGCCGCCTTGGCCGCGGCTTTGCTTTTTCTGAGCTCGCCACACCGCCGTGAGTAACATTATGCCGCACGGCATGGCGGCCACTTGGGAAACGTCACAAATTTTGGCACATTTCCAAAATTCCTTTCCGAAAGCCAGTCCCGATTTTTCGCGTTTTTATTTTTCAAGCCGGCGCTTTTTGCAAAGCTTCCCAGGCTCTAAAACCGGCGAAAAGGCGGCCGCTTTCGCGGCCGCCCAAAATGCTCCAAAATCGCGGCCGTGCCATGCTGTTTCGCTGTTCTGATTTTGGGCGCGTTTTTTGCGCGCCCCTTTTTGGGCGCCCCAAATCGCCAGAAACTAAGGCGGCGGGCGTCTCAGAAGGGCGCCCCTTTTGCCGGCTCCCCTGCGTCGCTTTATCCAGTGCGAATCGATAGTTTTCGACCGGGCTTGTTTGTTGGCAAAGCCCCGGCCGCTTGATAATTCCAAATTTTTTATGTCCAAAAACGCTTCCGCCCGCTTGAAAACTGCCGGTCGTTTTTCACGGGAGCTGTCAAAAAAACTCCCTGGTTCGAACCGTTCGGTGACCTCACTACATACAAATTGTCTCAGCATTTACCTTAACAACTAGATTTGTAATGCATGACTGCGATTACTACGAGCACGATACTTTTGCACAGTATAACGCGAATGAGCTGTCCTCCTGCACGACTGGCATTGTGTTCTTACTGCTTTTGCACGGCGGTGATGACGATCCTGCGACCGATCCAGGAGTACGATTTTTGCTCCATCCACTTCGAACCGCTGTTCTACTATCGGAGGAAGTCGATGTCGTTGTAGACCTGGACCTGCGCCGTCCTGGGGGGCGGAAATGACTGTAGTCGCCCCCTTGTCGTCCCTGTCGGATCACACGTCGACCTCCACCAGCAACTCCAAGCAACTGCGCCCGCTGCCTCCGTTCCCGCGCTGCTTGTTGGAAGCACTTCGGCAAGTCAAGCAATTCAAAATTCCCGTTGCTTTTCAGAATCGTAATGTAGCGGGAGGGGTATGCCGAAGGAAAGAGCAAAGACGAAAGCGTAGTAGTTTTTTTTTCTCTCGTGTCGTGGTGCTATTGCGCACAGTCCGCGCTGTCCTTGGCGTAGATGTAACGATGCGGAAGGCATTCAAGCGTTGTGCTGTAGTACCTGTGGCACTGCACAACACGGCCTCCTGCACTCTAAAACTCTACTATGTCAGCTGCATTTCTGAGGAATATGAATTACAAAGCTGAGATGGACTCTGTGCTTTTTCCTCCGTCATAACACAGGATCAACGTCGAACCGAACGATGGGGGAGGAGGACGACGAGTGCGCGAGAAGACTCTGCCTGAAAGAGAGAGCAGGTATTGAAGATTCAGCCACTGAATTCTGAGTTTTGTTTCGATGATGGCAAGTTGTGGTGTCATGTCCACGGATAGACTGTATTCGTTTTTTCACAAAAGTGCAAACATGCGTGACATCTCCACAGAATCAGAAGTTACTGAAAAGGCGACGGGGGGGATCTGTCTGCCTCACACTTTTTCAAAACTTCCAAAAAACTTTCCGCGATCTGTTTCCCGCCCTAAAATCATTCGCCCAATTTGGGGCGGGGAAAAGGCCGCAACAATCACACGGGCTGCGTGCTGCCAACACATGGCGCAAGAGCGTAGGAAGGTTGCCACGCTACCCGTCGCGCGCCCTGTGCTATGACATGGCCCGCCTCCCGGGCGGCGCGGCGCAGGGCCCAGCGGCCGCGGGGCCTCTCCTTTCCTCTCGGTCGTGGACCACATGAGAGGGGTCTCTCGGGTAATGCCAATCCTGCATCGCCCAGACAAAACAATCCCGGCCAAGGAACGAACATCCACAACCCGGCGCCGTGATGGCCCCCCCGGGTGCTGCCAAGTGTGCAAAAAAAGAAGCCGCGCAACCTCGCTCGGGCAACCCTCTATGGGGCCTGCGACAGGTGCCAGCCACACCTCGATGAAGGGTGGTAGACCCCGCCAAACCTCACGCGCCCGACGCCATCGTTCCCGAGAGCGCCAACAATTTCCCACAAAAAAAAGCCCCTGAACTTCGTGCACGCGAAGGTATGGCGCATGCACAGAAAAATGGGCACGCTCCAAGTTGGCCTCTCGCAACCTCGTGCACGCGACGGCACGGCCCTCCTGAGTGCCAGAAAAAAGACCCCGCCCAACTTCGTGCACGCGGCGATATGACCCTTCTGGGCGAGGCAGGATTTTGCGAAAAAAATGATTTTTCGAACCGAACGATGGGGGAGGAGGACGACGAGTGCGCAAAAAGACTCCGCCTGAGAAAGAAAATACGCACTGACTCAGCTACTGAATTTTCAGCTTTGTTTCGATGATGGCAAGTTGTGGTGATGTCATGACCCACAAATGAACTGCACTCGTTCCTTCGCAAAAGTATAAACATGCGTGACGTCTCCACAGAATGTAAGATTGTCTTTCTGTGCGTGCAGCCTACAAAACCTATAAAATTCATTTTGTATACCTGCTATCAATGCGGCTGCAAATCTCTTCTTGATCGGCATCTCCATCGGAGGTCGCGTTCGCGCCAGCTGGCTCCTCCATAATTCTCCTTCTACTTCCTTGCTTTTCGGCGATAAACAGTGCATCTTCGACGACGTCTTGGCTTCTACTCTCTTGACCAGAACTACGGCCGCTAGAGCGGATATTTGCCATGTCGCACCAGCTAGAAACCACCATCCCCTCACCGTCCATCACCAGTAGCACTTGCAAATTTTTCAGCCGCACCACATACAGCCGCCCGTCGTCCGCGAGAAGGAAGCAAACGCTGTGCAGTAGAGGATCTACTTCTGGAGGGTGTAGCCGTGGGACTCCCCCTCCATCGTCAGCTGGTGCACCGTGAAGACCTCCATGCTGAGCAGAGCCACTAGGGAGGATAGCGTCTAGTTGTGCATTATTGCTGGTCACTGCCACCTGCCCCAGCTGCACTTGGACGACGGACTTTTGCAGCTTCCTCACTTGCCGGTGTTGATGCAGCTTTATTCCAGCCGTACTCCGCGCTGCCGCTTTGCAGCTGTTTTGCTTGCTGCCGTTGCTCGTAAAAATACCTGTGCCGCCAGACGCAGATGAAGCTGGAGCAGTTCTGGATGATCCCGATGCAGAAGACAGCACGAGCATCCGGTGCGTTGTGACGAGCACGAGATACTTCATGTCTACCGCACAAAACTTCGCCACTTCCTGGTCAAACGGGGCCTCTCCTCGCCCACGACCTGTGAGGCTGTTTGATATGGTTCTCGATCGTGCTCGTGGTGCCTGAGCCTTTCGCCCACCATCTACATCATCTAGTTCAGGATCGCTCATTTCGTACACCGCATCGTCTCCAAAAGAGTCGTCAAACAGCAAGTCCACCCGGCCCTCAGCTTTCAAAATGGCTTTGCTCCTCTTCACCGCTCCGGTTTCACCACTCCTGGCGCAAGGTTTAATATTCAGGCCCAAAGTCGACGTCCGCCGATCGTGGTCCATCCGAAAAAGATTTCCGTCCTTGCACAGGATCCGCGCGCCATGTTGCTGATCGGCAGTCCTCCCTGCGAACATAAATGGTCCACCGCCTAGAGAAAAAAACCCGTCGCAGAATAAATTTCCCCTCATGGGCGTCACGACTTGGAGTTTTTCCCAGCTGCCGACATCCCACAAAACCGCGATGTCGGTCGAGAGGGAGAGTAAATACCCCCCGACGCTGGACACTCGCAGGCCGAAAATCGGCCGCTTGTGCACAGAGGTGCTGGAAGAGGTAGTGGTGGTAAAATTTGCGCAGGACGAGATTTTCGTAGCGTGGTTGACTACTACGCCAGACGCAGAGCTGGGAAAAGCGCGACTCGACGTATTAACCGCTTTCACATTCGTGCCAGTCGTGCGAACATCTACTCCCCCACCTATTCTCGCCGTCTCCTTCCGGCTGTCGACGGAAAAACAGCGTATGACGTTCCGGACCGCAACACAGATTTCCTCCACTTTGCGCCTCGTAAACTCGATGCAGTTGATTGGCAGCGAGTGCGGGTCGGATTTTATTAACGTTTGGTAGCGATTCCCCTTCAGGTAAAACAGCACCACGCCGCCCTTGCGGTCCGACGTCGCGAGCACTATCCACAAAAAAAGGTAACCCATCCCCATCCACTGACTTTGTCATGCAAAACATGCATCTAATCCAGTGTCTGTCATGCAAAAAATGGATGTGGATGGGTGTTTCTTCCAAGATAAGCACAGACCCGTCTCCATTGAATTTCAGATCTGTGAATGGAGCGGTTGTAGAAGAAGATGTCCTTGAAGAAGATGATGTAGATGTTGCGCTGTCGCCGGCGCTCTTGGACACTTTACTTCTGCCTGGTGGCGCACCAGACGAACACGAAGTTATTACGGCGTTCCCAGCTTCCAGAAGGCAGTACGGGCGGCTACGATGCTGGCGACCGTGGTTAGTATTTCTGATGCTGCTTGTACTGGAAAGAGTCGACCACGTGGATGAGCCGGTCGTGGTGGCCTCGGCGGGCGGCAGGCCGTGACTCGTCTGACTCCCTCGTGAAGATCCACCAGCGAAAATACGCCCACCGTATCCATTGTGCACGGACAGAAACTCGGCCACTACCATTTTCGCTTCTCAGCAGAAGGTTAGCCTTAGCTGCAGGAGGAAAAGGTGGAATTCGTTCATGTAGTTCGAGGCGGAGTTGCCAGGAAGAAGAAGAGTAAGGGATGGTTGTATGGTTGTATAAAAATAAAGGGAGGGATCCACGTCTACTGGAACAAACTCACACGACTTCCTCTGGCGTCCAGTACGTCTTGTTGCAGCTACGAAATCATGATCTACCGCGGGCACGACTTGTGCTGCCTTTACGCACATTTTGAGTAGTCGTGAGAAGCGACAGCACATCAAAAGCAAATCAAAATTTGGATCCAGTTTGAGTTTGCTTTTCGTTTTTTAATTTTTTTGTAGCTGCAGCGCAGAAAAAGAAAAACAGACAACTCGGCAAAACTTATTTGCTTGGAATCAGGAAAAAAGAGTAGCCCACGCAAGAAAACCCTTATTTGCAACATTCGCGATTCGCTCTGCTTTTTTGCCAAAGAAATACCGCTGGACTGCGAGCGCTTCAAAATCGGTTTTTCCCCTAGCAATGCATCTTGGTGCAGCTCTAGTTGATGTACTCAGTGGCTTAATACAGGTGCTTGTTCGCTCTGCAGCTTTTTTGCCAAAGAAATACCGCTGGACTGCGAGCACTTCAAAATCTGTTTTTCCCCTGCTAGTTCCTAGCAATGCATTGCATCATCTTGGTGCAGCTCTAGTTGATGATGTACTCAGTGGTTTAATACATAGAAAGTAAAATCCCAAAGGGAAGTTTAGGTAGAGCACTGTAGCAAGGCGAACTGAGAATTGAAGCGTGCACGTCCTGTAGTGTGAGTTGAAATGTTGAAGCGGACATCCTAAATGAAATCTAGCTAGAAATAGGCGCAGGTCTAGCTAGAAAGTGGTTTAATACAGGATCTTGTTGAGGCTTTATGCAGCTTCATATTCCACACAGAGAAATAAGCAAGGACCACCCCGCTCGCGAACAAAAAACTCACGACGAAAACAAAGCGCTGGCGTGCTATCAGGAACCCGGAACATCCGCACAGTGCCCGTGCTGCCCAAGAACAGGGTATTTTAGAAGAAGGAGCTCCTGTTCTTGTCCCCATTCATCATGCGATGCGTTTTCTTGAAGATACTTCTTGTGAAATATATCCACTTCCTCTTGCATTCATGTCGCTGTGTCGTGCTTATGAGAAGTTGCGTTTCATACAATACATTTTTTCATACTCTTCGCCTATTCTTGTCGTCCTTCTTGTAATATCGACGCATCCCGGTCGTCGCGCGTTCGGCTGCGAAGGAAACAAAAGTCGTTGACTATGTATCTTCTATACGTTGTTTCATAGTTGTTGCCTCTCGGGTTCTTGCTACAACAGATCCCTAACTGTCAGGAGCTTCTCTAATGATCTCTGCGCTTGGAGGTATAATCCTAGGTAGTGTTTGTCCTGCTCCTGCCTGGTCCTGCAACAGCACAAATGAAAATCTGTCCTGAGTGCCGTCCAGTTCTAGTCGGTGTAACTCGAATAAATTCGAGGTTGGAAAATTTACAGAGGCTACTATACTTGTTTGTCATCGCAACTACACCGAACTTCCGCTATTAAAGGACGCCGATATAATATTCTGTATCACATTTGTTCACATCAAACTGGTTGCTTTATTCCTATGTCGAGGGTGGTACTTGTGCAGCTGCTGCTGATACCGTCATCTCCAGGGTTGTCTATTGCTATTCGGGGTAAAGAAACAAGATAGATTTTTTTCTGCTAGATTGGTAATGTCGATATGATCCACCACGGCCAACAGCGTCTGATGTTCGATATTCCCCGCAACTACAGGGCGATCAGACAACTGGTAGTCGCAAGATGGTTCTTTTGTCCTCAGAAGAGGACGAATAATCCGACTTCGTTAGGTATGAAGATCATAGCAGCAATTATCTTCAAAGCGAAAAAGGAGCGGGGGGTCGTACCGCATCTTCGCATTCGCTGTTGAAGACAAAAGATGCAATGCTATTGGGAAAAAACTTTGGAATACGTTTTTCAAAGTTTTGGAAAAAATCTGTCCTCTGCTACAACTTTTCCTCCGCTTGACCAAATCTATCAAAAATATTGCTTTTGATTGTGCTTTTGCAATTGTTGGACATCTTGCATATAGAATTTTTGTTTCAGTTTTGGAGATGTAAAAAAGGTTTCATGTAGTGATTTTAGGGTCTGTTCATATTGATATTGATAAACTGATTTCCATTTCCCATTGAGACCGGTACGCGCTGAGGCCCAGATTTTTAAACACGATGGCACGGCGAAGGTTAGATTTTTAGCGTCGAGCATACCCTCGAGGAAAACGGGGGGCCCCCGCCCTCCCGCCTCTCGCCCGTTGGGTATCCCCCCCGCAGGGGGGGGGGCCCCGCCTCCCGGCTCCCGCCCTTCCACCCGCTGGGTACCGCGCCTGCAGGGGGCCCCCGCTTCCCTCTTTCACCGCCCACGCGCAGGGGGCCCCCACCTCGTCCTTGCCCACGACCCCCCCCAAACCCTTTCGCCCGCGGGGCATCGCGTTTGCAGGGGGGGCCCCCCGGCTCCCGCCCGCCCAGCCGCTGGGAACCGTGCCTGCCGGGGGGCCCCTGCCTCCTGTTTTCACTGCCCACGCGCTTGGGGGCCCCCGCCCCCTTGCCCGCACGCAGGGGGCCCCCCGCCTCCCGCGGGCTGGCGGCCGAAAGCTGTCTCCTGCCCTTCCCCGGGGGGCCCCCGCGCCCCTCCATGCCCACAAGGGGGCCCCGCCTCCGTGGCGCCCCCGCTCGAAGGGGGCGCCCGGTCCCGCCCTATCAGGTCCGGAACGGGCCTCCGCCGTCAGCCTGCCTGAAAGGGGAAAGCTTGGGGGGGCCCCGCCGTCCTCTTCTTTTGGATGGTTTCACCTTTGGGGCAAAGAGGCGGCCCGCCCGAGCATTTGGGGCCTAGGGTGGGCCGGCCGGCTGCCTTGCTGGCCTAGCTACTCCGCCCGCGCGCTTTTCGCCGCGGGCACGCAAGGCGCCGCCCACTTGCGGCGCGCCTGGCATCCGGGCCGCCCGCATGGGTGGTTGGGGGGGGGGGGAGTGCTGTGGGTTGCCCGTTGGTCCGCCATCGCGAAGGGCGGATGGGCCTGCAGCTATTGTGCCCGCGGGCCCCAGCACGGACCTAACCATTGCGGGCCTTGTGTGTGTGTTGGGCACAGCTATTGCGCCCGCGGGCCTCACCACGGACCTTAGCACTGTGCCGCCTGCTTCTGTTGGGCGCCTGGCCGGTCCCCTCGTTGGTGACTGTTATGGGAGTGGTCCGCTCGTCCGCCCGGGGGGCCGCAACCGCAGGGCCCGAACCGTAAGGCAGGGCGACGGGTGAAAAGGTCCACCACACTGGGCGGGGCGCCCGCGCGCGGCGCCGACGGGCCTCAAAGCGTCCCCAACAATAGTGCTGTTGCGCGGGCCGAAGGGAAAGAGAGGGGCGCCGGCAGTATTGTACTGCGGAGGCGGGCTGGGTGATTGGTTGTCAATACTCCAGTTGTCAAGTTGGTTTGGTTGTGGTTGGGTTACTTTGGCTGTGGTTGTCAATATGGCGTATTGACAACCACAACCAAACCATGGCGTATTGACAACCACAACCAAACCAACCAACCACAGACCACCAGCGAAGGCGGGAAGGGAAGATACCGCCAAGCACATGACCAGCGTCGGCGCGACAAGGCGCCAACATGCGCCGCCGCGCGCCACAATGGACACCGCCCGCACATGCGCCAACGCGCAGCAGTGTGGGCGCGCCAGAAATACTGCCCACATGCGCCAGCGTGATCCCGCGCGGAAGTTGGCAAACCGGGCACGCCATGGCTCGCACAACAAAATTGCCGAAGTTGCGCGAGTAGCACAAATCGAATCGAAACGCGGCCCCTACCGCCCTGGTTCGGCACAAAGTGTTGGGATAGTTGCACGGCGAGTTGCACCGTGCAACCTGCCGTGCAACTCGGGCCATACCATCGTGATTCGCAAGGCAAAACGTGCAAAAGTTGCACGAGTTGCACAGGTTTCCGGGACATCTCGGAAGGCCCATACCGTCCTGGTTCGGCGCGGAATGTTGTGAAAGTTGCACGGCGAGTTGCACCGTGAAACTCGCCGTGCAACTCGGCCGTACCATCGTGATTCGCAACAAAAACGTGCAAAAGTTGCACGAGTTGCACAAGTTCCCGGGAAATCTCGGACGGCGAAAATTCCGGGATCCTGGAAAAAGGAGAAGAACAACAAAGAGAGAGCAAGAAAACCCGTCTCGCCCAAACTGCGAACCCGCATGGTATGGCGCGCGTATGCCAATGAATTCGCTATGTTTGACCAGCATAAAAAAAGGCGTTTCACGAGGGTACCGCGCCCGGGTATATACGCAAGGTTTGACCCAAATCACGATGCTACTACGAATATTTCTGGGCCTCAGCGCGTACCGTTCTGTTCCCATTTCATACTGAAAAAATGTGTCTGAAGATAATTTCTGCTGGTAACATAAATGCTGACGATAATTTCGTCTCGTAAAGAAACTTCAAGATGTGGTTCTGACCATGTTAATTTGGATATCTTTCTCAATCGTGACCGTGAATCAAGACATACGAGATGCGCTTCATTTTTACCTTGTGGATACAGCCGGCTTCTCGACGTTGCAGCTCCGTATAGTTTCCTCTTTTACCATCAGAACGTGGAAGTTGTACGAGAAACGAATTTTTGCTCTTAGATGTTGTTTACTCTAGGTCGTGTAGTTGTCTACTTTTGTACTGCTGCCGTCCTTCCTGCTTTATTGGTTTTCCTTCTTCATAGAAGTACTAGCAACGAGTCGTGCTAGTGAGAACCAGCGCGCACAGATGGTTACCGCCTGGATGTCTGAGAACCTGAGGAAATGAGGAGGTTCCCCGACAAACAGACACAAAAAATCTTCCACTTTAGACTTCTTCCTTCGCAATCGCAAGTAAACCACGCCTGTTGATAACCCTGATCCTGATGGTAGATGAAAAGACAGCTTTTGCTCGTCAATAGCCGCTGTGTTCTTAGTCGTCGCTATCCGATGACCTGTATCCACTTTTACGTATTTGGTGTTGATTCGTACAATTTTGATTCACTCTCACATTGTTCGGTTGTGGTACATGGTTACATATTATCGGTTCATTCTCATACATTGTCGCTCTCTTCGCTTTCGTGCGAGTTTTTCGGCTCGCCCCCCGTGTTTACAAGTCCAGCAACAGCTTGATACGATCGTACGCGACCAGGACCAAGGCGGAGGAGTATGAAAGTGCGCCACTCGGCGTCCCTATCCTTGTATCTTTTGCATGACAAGTTTCTGATGAAGTTGAAGCACAAGTGGGTACTACACCTCGACAGCCCGGCTAACTACGATATGCAGGGGCGTGATTGGAATATCACGAAGTTACTAAGCAGCTACACATAGGTGGGGCTCTCACGAAGTGGTCGCAGCTTGTATTGTTACTCATGCAGTTGCCCTGCTTGCTGCAAATGAGATGGAGCGGGCACGTGTTGTTCACTTTCATAAACCGGCACCACGCACGACATCCGCGACAATGCCCTTGTAGAGCCCGGTGATACCCTCCGTTTTCACGATGGTGGTGGCGCAGTGCAGCGTGCCCTTGTAAATGCGATCCGCCATTGGTTTCTCGGATTCCATCTGCAGGAGCGTATGGGACGGAAGAATAGCGTGTAGTCTGTCATTCGCAATCTTGCATGACACACGTCACGACCTTTTGATTGTGCAACAAAGCGCATGACAAGCTACACAAAATTCATTGTGATAACGACGGCGGACGGTATCAAACGGATAGTTGAACGGACGGGCGACAACACCGGCGACCTGAATGAAATTTGTCATGCGGCGGGACAGGGTAAAAATAACTAGTACTCGACACACAAGGACAAGATAATTGATTTCGTCATCATCGCAGTGACATTTGTATTGCCAGAAACCACATGCGTGAAGCGTTTTGTCATGCCGAAAAAGCAATTATACCTGTGCAGCGACGAAGCAGGTGACCAACCCGAGAATCCCTCTGTCCTTCTGCCACGGGTTCAGGCCCATGCGGTTATGCATCACAAACTATTTCACGACCTTTGAGCCAAGAGTCATTGAATCGGTTTGTCAAACTTCCCGCGGTTCCCCTGACGCCACAACATTGGTTCTGTCGGTACTAAGGTGCATATTATGCTTAAGCGTCACGTCGTGGACGCATGACAAGCTAGACTATGACTACTCTGCCTACTTCTTGACTCAAAGTAGAAACTGTCGTCATTTCCTGAGATAAATGCTATCCATAAAACCCATCTGCAACCCGTATGGGGTTCTCAAGCGTTACATTGTCAGCCGTTACATGATTTGTCATGCAAATTTGCTATCACCCTCCACCTCCACGCGATCAATTACTACTGCGCATGACAAATTCCCGAAATAATGGGCCGAACAGCATGAGCATCTGCGCGCGAAATTTGTAAAGTAAAAGTAATGCGAGAGGTGCAATCTGAAAAATCTCCCCCCTTGTTTCGCTTTTGCTACTCTTGCATCGCAAATGGATGATGTAACAGTTGAGAATGTAACATTTGAGATTGTCATAACCCGCGGTACACCACGACACCAGCGACGGAGGCGCCAAACCCATTGTAGAGACCCGCGATGCCCTGTTTTGCGTTAATATCCATCTTAAACTTTCCCTTTTACGAATGGAAAAATTTTTCTGGTTCTCTTTCTGTTCTTCTTTATTCAGTCTCTGTCTCATGATCAAGCGGCATATGATTACATGCGTCCTGCGCGAGGAAATCGAATTCCTCTATCAAGATCAACGCATAGTGTCTACCACCTTGTTAATCATTATACCATGCAAGTCCAAGTCCAAGTCGGTCCTCGGGGACCAGAAAAAATAAATACCTGGTTTGCCACTGTCTTTTTGATGCAGTCCCCGATACCGTTGAAGGTTTTCTTCCCGCCACCAACGTCGGATGCGAGACGGGTACCTAAAAGAAATTTGTTACTTGCCATGCCGAATTGCCTATCGTAGACGTAGAATTTTCAGCCGGCAACTACAAGAGCAGCGACGCGTCATGCAGTTTATGCATCACAAGCGCAACTTTCAATCATTTCATGGAACACAAATCCAAAAACTAAAATTCCGTCTTCTACTACTATACGTGCGAAATCCAATGGGTAGCAGATGGACAGGGAGCCAGCAGCGGCCATACCCGCAGACGCAAGCGGTTATCAATCGGAAAACGATAAAAAGAGTCACTGTCATAATTTGTCATGCGAGGGTTGCATAATAATTCATAAAGTTGTAAACACCATACTCAACATAGTACACTGATGCGTGCTTCGCATGACAAATCGTGACTCCTTTACAGCTTCTTCGTTTCCATAAATTCACCGCGAAGAACATGCCGAAGTCGGTTTTTGGGGAGTACCTTTATGAGAAAATAGAACTTTGACTTTGTCATGCTAGACAGCACAGACGAAAAGAACATGTCATGCATGCAACACAATGTAGCAAATAGCATCGAGAGAACAAATCTATACTTCGGGAACAGCTTCTTGATGGTGTCCTTAAAAGACAAGTTAAACGCCTGCTGGGGGATGTATCGCATCACGTTAGCCCCGTTTCCGCGCCAGAAGGACTGATAATTTTTTTTGATTCGATTTGTCATGCTGGGTGGGCATAAGCGAAGATTTTTGTCATGCAAAGACTGCAAGATGATGAGCATCAACATTATTTTTAATTTAACTTAATTCTAGATAAAGGATTCAAATCATACTTACCAGCATTCCCTGCTCGGCGTGCACCCGTGTGAAGCAGTTCATGATCCCGGTATACCGTGGCACCTCCCCCGACCGGATCTTCGGGTTGGCATCCTGTGTCTGAATCAGCAGTTTGACTCGCTCGATCGGTGCGGCGATGGCTTTATGCATTGCAAACGTATAATCGCACTCGTATAAATGCATGACAAATTCCCTCAGCATGAGAAATAAAATTTGTCATGCGGATTTACCTTGAGAAACAAATTTGTAATGCATGATTGCAATTACAACGAGTACGATACTTTTGCAGTTCATAAGTTTTCGAGATACCGCCCGCGGTACCGCCGATCGCGAAATCCTTCAGGAAAGCGACCATCTCGCTGTCCTTTTCCTTCTTCGGGGCAGCCTTTGCGTCAGCCATTTTTGCGGCTTTTGTGGTTGTGACTGTGAGCAGAAAGAATAGGGTTTAACTTCTCTCGTCGTGCAACTAACAACTATGTGAATGTGTATGTTTGTGAATTATAGAGCAATTGTCGTTCTTGTGAGGAAATTGAGGTGGGCGTGGGCTTGATGCTTCCGGGCGGGCAGCAAAGCGCTCGATTATATGGATTGGTCGTGTATCAAGAATGTTTCAGAACGTTCCTGCAGACAAGCACCGGAGGTACTCTTATCAATGGCTTGCGAGCGTGGGTTGTTAGTGAGCTACAGCTACAGGACTGGTCCAAACTGGGAAGATTTATATGCTGATATTGCAGCAAGAGCAACGCTTGCAGTCTTGCAAAAACAAAATGCCGTGATTTTTCGTACAACTACAGTCAGACTATTGCTCAGCTGTCTCGGTGGCGATACGTCGCAAAGAAAACACGTACGTCAATGTCGGTGACTATCCCTAGAACTTGGACGTGCCAAAACTAAAAGGAAGAGCGATAGTTTGTTACTGGAAATTGAAGCACAACTAGTCCTCGTGGGCTTAATGTTGCCTTTTCGTTTTCTACGACGAAGTAAAGTGAAACGGAAAAAAAAATGCCGTAGATGACCATCCGCAGCCGGAGACCACCACAGAAACAAAGTTGGAAGGCGCAGCACATTCATCAGAAAAAACTCTACTTCGCTCAGCACATCCCCACTAGAGACACCACACAGACACGACGACAGGGCGCTTTTACTACTACTTAGTACATCTTCGTACTTTGTTGTGCGAGTAATCCTCACTGGACTTTTCTTTTCCCCTTGGAAACAAACATCACGAATGTTCTCTGGCAAGGCTCATAACAGCAGCTGGCAAAAAAAGAACAGATGTTGTCTTGGAAAAAAACAAGAGCTTCATCATCTCGAGGACTTCTCCGGTAAGCACTCGAGGACACAAAGCTTCTTTATTGCATAGCATACATAGATATTACAACGAAAGCTGCTTAAATTGTGTTCTAATTCTAAAGTTGTAGTGATCGAAATGCCCACCTGCTGTTTGTCTTCTGGGATGAATAAATCTGTACGAAGATTACAACCTGTAGTCCTGTACATACTAACCATTCGCATTCGCTATGCAGCCTATGTCGTTCTCTGTCTCTTCTTGCTGGAAAAAATGTTGAGGCTATTTTTCAAAGTGCAAACACCTCGTTCAAGCTGGCAAAGTATTCACGTGACGATGAACAAGCACGACCATCATGATGAAGTAGATCATGCACACCCCTCTTTCTACTAGAAATAGGATCTACATCTAGATCCACAACGAAAAAGAAACTGAAACAGTGTTGACAATCTGAATTTACAGCGACGTAGAAATTGAGATAAATCAAAAGCCAAATATCCATTCCACCACCACTCTCCTCCTCACGCCGCCGCCCGCAGTCTCGGGTGGACGGAATTTTGGTCGAACCTGGACACGGCCGCGCCGGTGTTTACATACATCGACGCCTGTTGCCCGTGGATGGAAGACAACACATTGTCGCTGGCATCCACCGGCCGATGCTATCCAGTGCAAAAGTATCGTACTCGTAGTAATTGCAATTATGCATGACAATCTGGAGAGGAGGCTTTAGGTACAACTACAGCATTACAAATTCAAGATTAAGATTTCCCTTTGAGAAAACTTGTAATGCAATCTATACTAGCAGTACAATGCTTTTGCAATGCATAGATACCCACTCGGGGCCATGTGGTTGTAGATGGGAACCGAGTTCATTCCGTTTCCGTTATTCATAGTAAACGACCCTGGCATTTGTACCTGCTGCTGCTGCTGCTGTTCCACCACCATGCCGCGGTACAGTTGCGAAGTCGAGGGCGGCGGTTTCGTGGTGTTCACCAGGTTTGCGTTCGGTCCTAAATTGTTCGGGTTCGGCGTCTTTCCGTTCTGCTCGTCGAAGGGAATGCCGAATTCCGACTCGATCAGCGATTTCGGTTTCGGGAGATCGGGGTAGCCGAAAATCGAAGTGGCGACTTTCTTATCCACAGAAAAAAACCCATGATCCCCATCCATTTTTTGCATGGCAAGCACAGGACTTGATACGTGTTTCGCATGACAAATTGGATGTGAGCGGGTGTTTTTTCCTGGATATTTCTTCGACCCGTCGGGAAAAACCATGCGGTAGAGCGGGACGGGAACCTTGAAAGGTTTCGGCGTGTTTTTTCTTAAATTTCTGTTCGAGCATGACAAACTCTAAAGCTTCAGGCTTTATCATCAACAAAGCAGTAGCGGAGTCAGTTACAGCTGCATGATCCTACCTCTTTCCTGACTGGAAATTCGTCGAAAGTGACTTTCTGCACTTCCACGTCGCGCGCTTGCGCCTGCGTTTCCGCTATGAACTGCAAAAGTATCGCTGTTGTCGTACAAATGCATTACAAATTTCCTCAGCATGAGAAATAAAATTTGTAATGCTGATTTACCTTAAGAAAAAGATTTGCAATGCATGACTGCAATACGACTACGATACTTTTGCACAGGATATCCGTGGTGAAAACCGTTTTCGGGGCCGGTCCGTTTTCCTCCCCGGGCAGCTTTCCCGTGGCCGGCACCTCCATCCGCATAGCGATGGGCTTCTCGACGTAGCGCTTGTTGGTGCGGGTTTCATACTTGATGTCTTCCTCGACCTTGTCGACTACGTACTCACGGTATTCCACTTCTTCCGTGTAGATCACGTTCTCCTTGTATTCTACCTTGGGGATCTCAATAATCCGGTCCTCATACACGATCTTTGGAACGTAGGTCAGCTTTTCCTCGTAGATAACCTGGGTGAAGGTTTGCGTTTTCGGTGGTAGTTGTTTCACGATTCAGCTGCACTCTCCTTCGTCATCTCATGGCACCTTTCAATGCATGACAAATGCAAATCCCGTGCGTATCGCGCTATACAACCAGAAAATAAAAGATCTACATCTGTATTTAAGCTGTACCTCCGGCACTTCCACAGTTTTTTCCACCGTTTTCACGATCGGAATCTCTTTTACCACTTCCTCGATCTTGATCTTCGGTTTTTCAACCTATGCATTGCAAAAGCATCGCACTGTTGTACTGTAGTAGTGTCGGAAAGTGCATGAAACATTTTCAAATTCAAAAGGAAACATGAAAATGGACTTTGTCATGCGCATTGAAGTGGGATAGCAAGCAAGTCCTGTCATGTTGGAAGGCTAAGGGCAGGGCGTCCCATTCGTTTATAAACTTAAAACGGTAGCCACCTACGCAGCAAGCAAGTCCTGTCATGCAAAAATTCAGACAAATTATACACAGTACGATACTTCTGCTGCACCAGAGATAGAATCACCCGCTCCACAATTTCCGGCTTCCGCACCACCTTCGTGACCTCCTTTACCACTACTTGCGGAACCTCGACCACTTTCTCGATGATTTTGAAGGTTTTCACCCCCACGACAAATTTCTCCTCCAGCACCCGCTCCGAGACAAATTTACCCTCTTGAATGAAGGAGTCCACGATTCGTTCGCTGTATTGGCTGTTCGGATTTGCATTTGCATTTACACCCGGAGCAGGTCCGACGCCGGCCACATTGACATTGTTGTCATCTCTCCCTGCGTTGTTGCTTCCGAGTGTTTCCACCTGGTTCAGGAGCAGTTCCCCCGCAGACTGGGCGGTGCCGGGCATCACGCCACCAGGTCCTGCTCCGCCCGGTGGTCCACCACCTCCGGCGGCAAATTGAAATTCCTGCTGCTGCAAAGAAAACCGCGCCTGTTGCGGGGGCACGTCGAACAGCCCCCGCTGCTGCGTCGGCGGCTCATCTTCATCCAACGCAAGATTCAGCCCCTGGTACACTTGCGCCGGCGGGGGGTCGGGGCTGTAACCACCGTCCTCATCGTAGTTTAGACGACCGTAAACGTCGACCATGTTTGTGGCTGGTCGTGGGAGAGAATGGTCTCGTGCACGCGATGATTTTCACATTTTGCTGTAAATAGGGACTTCCACGGTCGTCGCCCCCCTGTTCATATATTGAATAATGAAAATTTGCAGCTGCTTGTTGTGGCGGCGCAGCTGCCGCTTCGCCTCAGCTCACACACTCGTCGCGAATCGTCTGCTCCTCATTGCTCCGGCGTACTACACCGACACGGTTGATTTTATCTAGAAGATGAAGCGAGCAGTTCCTGTTACACCTACAGCAGCCGCAGAAGCGAAAACGAAAAGCAACAGCAAGTATAGCTGGCCCTTCTGTGATGTCTCATATCGCGTCTTTTTTAGTTGAAGCCAGAGAGGAGACGCTGGCACCAGCACCTCACTGCCGATGGGAATCAATTTGACATTCGTGTCTTTATCAATCTTTCTTGTTCGCTACCAAGGACCCAAGTTCGTTCTCAAGTGTGAAATCTAAAAATTTTTATCATTTTGCAAGGTGTGACAAGTTGATTGTGAGAATACTACGCTTGTTATTTGAAGTTTAGGTTTTATACAAATTCGAGCGGACAACGACAATGTCAGCACTATCATTTTTGTCTTTGAATAATTTTACATTGACATGGGTTGGGTCATCTAGTTAAGTTTGTACAAGGAGATCAAAGGGCACTTCTTGTTTCTTGAAGAACTCTGGCAATATGACATGGGAAACGCAAACGTCAAAAAGCAAAAATACAAGAACTTCTTCCTGTTGAAACGATAAATATCACTTTTCTTATTTGCATGCTGTGACAACTCGATTAATCGTGCAAGTGCTGCAACTACGTACCATATTCAATCATACGCGCTAAAGCACGCGGCCAAGATGTAACCACAGGCATACTAGGCGCATTCACTTCTCATCGTGCACCTCCAGCACCCGTACTCCTGCCGCCGCCCGAAGTACCAACGTCGAGGCCCGCCAGAGGTCCACCTCCCACGCCTGCCGAAGCCGTTGTCGCCGGTCTGACCGTTAATTCTTGAATATCAAGAAGAAAAGCCCCCCCTCCCCACATCAAAGCGGAAATCTGTGATGCAGATTCGTGGCCACAAATCAGCTTTGTCATGCTAGAAGGGAAAAGATGCGGACTGTAGTGCTGGGAGGGCGTGGGAAGGCCGTGCATCTTCAGCATGACAGGAGGCAGCTGGACTTGAGAAACAGCATGACAAATTGTCTGCAATTCAGGCCACAGCTGCGTCTCTTGGCCTTCTAGCAATACAAGTCGATGAAGTCGATTTGTGTACTCAAATGCTGCATCACAAATGTCCTTTTCGATATGGCGAGGGGGGATTTCTCATTTTGATACTGAATCGTGTTCGTGATATGCTGCGGAACCGCATCCCGCCGGTAGGCGCAGCTGACCGGGCGCTTCCGGGTTTGCTGCTGCAAAGCGGATGCAGCGGGATTTGTCTTCGTCGTGTTAAGATCGTGGTCCCGCAGGACGGCATCCCCGCCGAGGTGGTTGTGGTTGTGGTGGTTTTCTTTTTCCCGCATCTGCCGTTCTTGTTCCGCACGGTGGATCATGAAATCTGCCGCGCGCTTTTTTATGAGCAAATTCCGCCACTCCTTGTCGGAGTTTTTGTCCCCCTGGGGCGAGAGCTCCAGCGTACTGGGAAATCGGAACTCCGTGATGAGATTCTGCTGGACCAGATTTTCATTCGTCCTGCTACCCGCAGGATGAGCACCGCTTCCCCCGCGTGTCGTGGGGGCGTTCAGAGAAGACCCCCGCGGCGTTCGGCTACCGTTGCGTCGCTGAGCGGTAATATTAGAGGAGGCTGCGTGGAGGTTCTTGTCCGCCGGTGGTCTCCTGGGCGCGCCAGCTCCGAACGCCGGCTGAATTTGATTTGCTGGACCTCGTGTAGAAGTTCCACTTTGTGTGGCGGCCGCACCAGTAGAGGCTGCAGCTCCGCCACCTCTCGCCTGCTCCTGTCCCCCGCGACGTTGTACAACAGGCTCTAGTTCCGAGCCCCCTGTTCCTCCCAGCTGCGTCCCTGGCTGTATCTGCACCCCGCCGGCACTGCTCATGTGCATCATGTTAGACGACGAACTCCCTCCTCCAAAATGACCTTGCTGCTGGCTCGTGGACAGCTTCGACGTCGGGGTGGTGGTGTATGCGATCCTCAATTGTTACATTCTCAACTGTTACACGGATTCGTCATGCAAAATTGCCATCGACCTCCACTTGATCAAGGTGCTTAGCATGACAAATTTTCGAAGGGCTAAGCAGCAAGATAATCTGTGGAAAATCTGTAATGCAAAAGCTGCAATCTTGCCACTTTCACTGTTGCTGTCTCTGCATTACAAATCCATGTAACAGTTGAGAATGTCATGTTTCAGAATGCCATATGGTGTGCACGTGGTGCTGCATCCCCGCTCCACCCTGTCGGTTTGTGACGTTGATCCTAGAAACAGTGGGGGCTACGGTGGCTGCGTTCTGGGTGATGAAAAAGTCACCGTTATCGTCCAGGCAGTCGTCATCGTCAATGATGTCAGGGTCTTGGAGGGTGTCGACAATCAAATCGGTTGGTGGAAATCCTGTGTCGTGAGTGATTTTTGTGAAGAGGAGATGCTGATGCAGGAGAACAAGCAGAGGATTTCTGTGTTTAGACCGACATAAGAACACACTGAGATTCATATCTCAAACAAATCAATCAAATACTTCCCATCGACGCCCCATGCGGGTCCAACACCGGCTGGTTTTGCACTTGAAACACAAAGGGATCGCATTCCAGCGGGTTGATCAATTTCATCGCCCCACATTGCTCGAAAAACGCATTTATGCAATACAAATTTCCCGTACATGTACAAGATGCATCACAAATTTCAACACCACTTTGGAGCGTAAAACTTGTCATGCTACACTAGTAGGATAGAAGCCCAGTTTTGTCATGCAGAAACTGCATTTGTACGTGTCTGGGAAATTTACTGTGGATAGCGTTTGCGTCCTCCGCATTCTTCGCCTGCCCTTTCCGCACCCGGTGCTCATACCTCTGTCGCTGCTGGGACACCGCAGTGTTGTGGCTGGTGCCCACAAAGTTCGCGCCGCCCGTGCCGCCGGCTAGGGTACCAGCTCCTTGAACAGTAGCGGTTCCTGGAGCACCACCTCCCGTCGCACTCGCAGCACTGCCAGCTGCTCCACCGACTCGTCTTGTGTTTGCAGAAGCTCCCGCATAATTACCACTAGAAGACGTGGAAGCACCCCCTCCTCCGCCCCCCACCGCTCCGCCGACCACCCCCGCGGCAAACGCGTTCAAGTTTCCGTATTTTTCCTGCTGCGCCCGGATACTCACGTAGGCGGCGAATTTGTGGGGTCTTTGGGGAGCGAACGGAGGGATCACAGACTGGTTGACGTCAAAATTATCTTCAGTGTCATCCGTGTTGTAGCCCGTCGGATCAACCACGGTGTGGTATTGGTGGTCCATAAGAGTTGTAGTTTTATTATTGCTGTGCGATGCTCCTGCTCCAGCTGCACCTAGTCTTCTTGTTCCACCCGCCGTCGAAATATCATCGTGGTACATAACCCCGTTTTCCTGCAACGGCACGAGACTTCGCGAGGAAGAGCTGCTGTTGTTGCGATCGTACGCTTTGTAGTGGTGCTGATCTTGCTGCAGCTTCTCGCGTTCCACTTGCTCCGCGGTGCCGGGGAGGGCCTGATAGATTTTTTTGTGGACAAATTTGTGATGCGAGAAACCGAAATACTTCATGCTCATCAACCAGAACCTGCATGACAAAAAAAAAGAAGTCAATCTTCTGTATAGTACCTCCTGAATCGCCTTTTTCACGTCCGACAACAACTCCTTGCAGAGGGCGTTTATGTAGGAATACAGCCGTCCGCCGAGTCGCCCCGGCGTCCCCGTGTCCCACCGCGTGATAACCACAAGTAAGTTTTCCAGCTGCAGAGAATCGGAAAGTAAACTCAGCAACTTCCCCCCGGCCCCCTGTTCGCCGCCGTCCTCGTAGCCGGTCCTGGTGGTGTTGTAGAAATCTTCGTCCTGCTCCTTCCCCTGGACGCCATTTGTTCTCATCTTCTGCTGCATCATCAATATCTCTTCCTGGTGCGGCAAAACCTCCCTGATCCGATACGCGTAGATCCAGTTCCTCACGTTCCTGAACTTGTTGTCCTGCCGCAAAATCGCCATTACAGGCGCAATTTGCTCTTCGTTGATCACGCAGCAAACGTGGGCTTGTAGGATCGTTTTCTGGAAAACCTTTTTTCGCCCGGAGGTCAGTGTGGAGAAAGGGAGGGAAAGGGAGGAAGTTTGGGGGTGGTTGCTGGGCTGATTTGATGTGGATGAATTACTTGCGTTTGGATTGGTGGAATTATTGGTCACCACCAGCGGTCCGACCATGGCTTCGAACCGCGCTCGTAATTGCTCCTCAGCATCGGTGTGTTGGTACGGGAGGGGCGCAGGGACGATAGCACTGGTAGAACTTATACCGGGGGCTGTGAGAGCTCCAGCTGCCGCTGGTGCTGCTGCACCTGCATGGGAAGCAGCTCCTCCGCTGTTGGATTCGGACGTAGTGGTGGCACCTTGTATTGGGATAGCTGGTGGTGGAAGGGTTTCGGGACCCTTGAATACGCCGTCGATGGGAACGAGGGGCTGCTGTGGCACGGCCGCGGAAGCCGGAGGACCATGATCTTCGACATTCGATGTGGCGGCATGATCCAGCGGACGTCCACTGGGTGACGGGGAGCCGGTAGGAAGTGGCATCATGATGTGTAGGATAGTCCTACCCCTCCGGAAGGGGGTCAAACTCTTGTTCGTTCTATTGCATTTGTCCACCAGTGAGAGGAGAGTAGAAGAGGCACTTGAAGCAATGACTGATTCATGATGTCGAAGATCATACTAGTGCAACTAGCAACATCGATGTTCGCTCGTCTGTTTTTTTAGTTTGTCTTCGGGTTCGGCGGGGGCTCTTGAGGATGGGCAATAAGTGTGCGTGACCAATCGAAGATCATAGGTGACACACAGATCAGCCCATCTGCGAAGAAGGAAAAATATAGCAAGTTGCTGTGGCTCGCGCTCGCTCGGCCTCCGACGCCGACGCGAAATAATACGAACAGAACGTGGTCGCGGACACGCTCACAGCAGCCCCCGTCTACTTTCTTTGGATCGAGTAATCTTCTAGCGACACTGCCAAACAATGAAACGCGGCTGCGCAAGGTCCAAGTCTCACAGACACCGCGCGCCGCGCGCAGGGCTCTTGCGGCACGCGACGTCAATCGGGGCTGCGCGGGCGCTTTCCATCTCAACGGCCGAACGAGCTAAATTAGCCCCGCGGGAACGCAAAATTGAGGGCGCCGGCAAAGCGGGCCCGCCCAGCGGGGTTCGCCAGCTACCTAGCTGCCGCCCGCCGTGGCCGAAACACAAGGGGTCGCCGCGCTTCTGCAGATAAAGACCCCCCCGCCCGGGCCGCGGGGAGGCCCCGGGCGTCCCGGAACCCGCTGGCAGGCCGGCCGCACCCGTGCACGCGGCGCGCCGCCGGGGGCCACGCGGGCGAAGGCCGGCGCCCGCGCGCCCGCCCGGCGGCCGCTGGTTTCCCGGGGCCGGGGCCAAGCTCACAAGGCCGCGCGCTAAGGTGTCGCGAGCGGCTGCCCGAAATAGCGGGGCCGGTGGGGGCGCGCGTCTGGCTTGGGCTATCGCCCGGGACTGATGAAGCCGGATGCGCTGCCGCACACAAGGGCGGCCGCGTCGTCGTAAACCTCACACGGCGGCGTCCCGAGCCCGGAGGCCTTCTCGAGCTCCACGCTCGCCACCGACAAATCATGGACGCGCCCACCCCCGGAAGCCGCAGCCCTGTTTTTTGCCGCCTGCGCGACCAGCGCACGCAGCTCCGTCCCCACCGGCGATGGCGTGGCCCCGTCCCGCAGGGCCGCCCAGATCAGAATCGAGCTCATCAAGATCCTGCGCTGAGGACCGCCCGACACGCGCCGGCGATCAAACTCCGGAGGCTGCAACTCTTCCTGCCGCCGGCGACACGACTTCAGGCGCCGGCCCCTGCTCGTGCGGCACCACGGCCCATTCGCAGGCTGCGCGGTCGGCGGAGTGCCATCCGTCCTGCCGCGCTCTGTCGTGCTCTTCACTATCATGCGTGATGCTCCGCCACCGTGGGGCCATCTTGAAATGATTTCTGTACGGACACACGACCACGTCTGAAGCGAACAACCCAAAATATCACGAAATTAACATACACGATCACGACGAGGACGAAGATTGAGAGTCAAAATATATCTCACTCCTCCTCCTCCTCCTGCGGCAGCATGGGCACAGGGTCAAGACTCAAGCTGGCATAAGATCGGAACATTATCGCTCACTCATCTCTCTCTCTCAACGCCAACACGCATTCTAGCATTAAAATCGCTTCTCCGTCTCCACCGCTCGCTACCTTCGACCTCAAATCCGCTCTTTGGCCATATGTAGGATCACACACAAAGTGATTCTCACCGGGGCAGACTACAACATCGAACTGCATCTACATTCTGTAGGTGAAGTTTCCATCATTGTCTTGGCCGTCGCTTCATCATTCGCACTATTGGCCGTCGCCTTATAATTTGAATCTTCCAAAAAACCCAAAATGGCCGTCGCGATACACGACCAAAATCAATTCTACGATCTGCATGGTTGTCCTTATGTTTTTTGCAATGCCAGCAGCAATTACAAATCATGCCGCCTTTCATGCTCGGAAGCTACGATTTCCAATTACAACTTGTACTCGGATCATCTCTAGATGTACTAGTAGTCCACGATCTACAACTTCTTGTTCAAAACAAGCAAATCCTACTCCCAAAATCTTTGAATGTCCTCCTTTTGAGGACGCGGTCGCTACCATTCCCCGCATCGGCGCCGTAGCTTCCATCTCCACTCCGAAATCACTCGCAAGAAGAATAAAAACTTCTACATGATCAACTGCCGCAGGACGAGGAATTCCCACTCATGCTAGTTTTTCGTCTACCAGTACTAGATGAGCAGCCCCCGGCCGCCTCACAGTAGGCCGCGGTCGACGAGCTTTGGCTTTGCTTGCCCGGAAGATGAGTTCTTGTAGCAAGCTGTTGATAGGGCTGGTGTTGACCAACTGGTTGATGTAGCGTCGACCGACTCGACATCATGCCGTAACTACAGGTAGAAAACGGTCTCGTGCTGATCCGTGTGTCCGTGATCACTTCTACCTTAAGACTAGTATTCGGCTGCTGGAGAACGGAAGTTTCGTACTTTGCGTCGAGTAAATTGAAATCATATGAACTGTAAAAGTATCGTAATCGTACTCGTATAAATGCATGACAATTTCCATCAGCATGAGAAATAAAATTTGCAATGCGGATTTACCTTGAGAAAAAAATTTGTAATGCATGATTGCAATACGATTACGAGTACGATACTTTTGCACAGGATAAATCCGGGTACTTGAAAAGGCGGCGGATCACCTCGACCTGTTTGGTCTTCGGAAGTTGCCCGGTGGAAGCTTGTGATGCTGCTCCTGCTGCTCCACCTCCAGGGTTATTAACATTAATTGCGTCATCCTCTTCATCGTCCACTACCTGGGACAAGCAGCTTTCCAACTTCTCCTTGGAGAAATCTGCAGCGGACTTCGTATCCTGTGCAAAAGTATCGTACTGGTACTCGTATATTAATGCATTACAAATTTCCTCAGCATGAGAAATAGAGTTTCTATATGCGGATTTACCTTAAGAAAAAGATTTGCCATGCAAGACTTGCATTTATACGAGTACGCTACTTTTGCACAGGATACTTCGCGTCCTCAAACGAGCGGAACGTGTCTCCGGGACTGGTCATATAAAAATCGTTGTAATTATTCAATGTCGATGAATCATGATCGCTCTTCGACTTCGCCAAGTTCTTGTCGTTGTCCCCCGACTGCTGCTGTGTGGTTGAAATGAATTGCTCCACCTCCATTTGGTCGATTTCCAATTCGTATCAAACCTAAACTTCTACATGATCAACTGCCGCAGGACGAGGAATTCCCACTCATGCTACAATCCGCAGCTCCTTGTGTCCCCAGCCGTACGCGTGCTTGTGCGTCTCAAAAATGTTTTCAAATTCTTCACATAGTTTCCCGTGGTACAGGTCCACCTGGTCGTTCGTAATTGCGGAAGTTACTCCTGACCCTGAGCCAGAACCCTCCACAAAGCAATCAATCGGTTTTCCGAATACCACCGCAACCGGTTTTCGATACGGCGGCCCATACGGCATTCCGAACCGGCCGAAGAACGGGAGGATGCTGACGTTCAATTTTGTGGAGACCGTCGCCAAAATCCCAAAAGGGTCTTGCAGCACCGAGTATAATTCCGATTGCCCGAACGCGTAAACTGGAATCAATGGCTTCCCCGTTTTCAGCGCGATCTTCACGATCCCCTTCCTATCCGCGATACACGCCGTTTCGCGCTTTTTCGATTGGTATCAAGTGTAAAAGTGTCTGGGTCTGGAAGAATGCAACTTGTGATGCTATTTTTGGAATCGAAAAAAATCTGCATTGCATGAGCAGCAAGAGGCGTCCAGTTTTTGCTCCGCGGAGAGGGGATTTCTCATGCGGTATAGGCATCAGAGAGCCCTCACATAATCTGTGATGCTAGGGCATGCATCACAGACATCAGGACTCATGCAAAATGTGCATGACAAACCTTGCATCCTTCCAGACCCAGACATATTTGCAATGCATAACTGGTAAAACATCCCCTTGATCCCGTCCAACACGATCCCGATGGACTGCTTCAGCTCCAAATATTTCTCAATCTTCTTCCCGTTCGCTATCAAATGCAAAAATGTCTGGGTCTGGAAGAATCCGAACTTGTGATGCTGCATGTGGATTCCAAAAAAATCTGTATTGCATGAGCAGCAAAGGGACTGCAGTTTTGGCTACGCGGAGAGGGCATTTGTCATGCGGAATAGGGATCGCGAAGCCCTCAAAAAATCTGTGATGCTAGGGCATGCATCACAGACATCACGACCCATGCAAAACGTGCATGACAAGTCTCAGAATCTTCCAGACCCAGACATTTTTGCAGTTGATATTCGCCGGAATGTAGCCCAGTGACCGCAGCAGCGCGGAAACGAAGGGGAGCTTGAACAACACCGGCGCACAGGTCCACCGGGTCAAAGCGCAGGGCTTTGTCTCTGCCGTCCCAAAAAGCTTGCTCCACATGCTGTAGCAGGTCTGCGCTAAGGGGGCCGGGCCGTGGGGAATCATGACAAAAATCCCGTTTTCGTACTTGTCCAAGATTTCGTCGACCTCGGTTGGCCAGATAAGTTGCAGAGACAGGTACTTCATGGACAGCCACTCGGAGAAGAGGTACTGATTTTTGAAAAAATTATCGTCCCCCTTCGTCTGGTTGAACATCAAATCGTACGCGTAAATGAGCTTCGGATAGCGTTTATGCATTGCAAAAGTATCGCACTTAGTAGAAATAGCATTTTACAAATTTTATTTTCACCAGGAAAATGTGTAATGCTGGATTACCCACAGAAACCAGGTCTGTCATGCATCACTGCAATTTATACGAGTACGACACTTTTGCAGAGCATAGCGCTTTCTCAACAACGGCTGCAGGATGAAGAACTCGAGAGAGAACAGGAACGCGGGGAAGAGTATTGTGTATGGATTGCAAAAGCATCGTACTAGTATAAATTGCATTACAAATTAGCCCAGCATAATACAAATCAAATTTGTAGTGCTGATTTACCTTGAGAAAGAGATTTGTAATGCATAAATGCAATTACTACGAGTACGATACTTTTGCAGTTCATACTGTCAGTAATATCGCGATGTTCAAATAGTACCCAGCGGATTCGTATCCTGTGCAAAAGTATCGTACTCGTATAGCAATCATGCATTACAAATCTTTATCTTAAGGTAAATCCGCATTACAAATTTCATTTCTCATGCTGGAGAAATTTGTAATGCATTTATACGAGTACGATACTTTTGCAATGCATAACTCGTACACCAAATCAGACAACCCGCAAAACGGGAGCACCAAAAACCTGCTCAGGAGAAAAAGCGGTAGCAACCCGGGCGTCACATTGAGCGACAGGTACAAAGTGATTCCGATAATCCGCTCGGTGTGCATCAGAGGGTCCATCGGCTCAATTTTGTCCAGGTCGGGAACTACCGGGGCCGTCGTCGATTTTTTTTGCATTTGCTCTACATGAAGATCTCCTGCAGCTGCGGTACCGTCCTTGTCTTTCACCTCAATCCTTTCCGCGAGCTGCCTCCATTCCTCCCGAGAAATATCCTTGTTGTGCAGTTCTGTGGGGAACGTGCCGAGCCTCAAGCGGTAGTAGGTCGTCGGTGCCGAGGAGGTGCCGGTGGGTCTGCTTTTCGAGGAGGTGGTGGACAACGACGACCCACTAGTTGAGCTTGTAGTTGTTGTCGCGCTGGTAGAAGCATTTGGTGCGGCACGGTGGCGCAAAGAACTACTCCCCGCTTGTTCTCCAGGTGCCATTGCTCTATGCTGAGATGAAAACCTATGCAATACAAGCAGGACGACACGGCGCGAATTGCAATCGCGTAATTAAACGTGGGTCCTAAAGTATTACACGATGCCGAACGATAATTGCGGTGGAAATGTTGATGTTGTCAATACAGGCACGATTAAAAAACCAAGATTCTACGGCTACATACAATACTTAATCATGATGACAGAGCAGAATCAGAAAATTTTACGTGTCGTGAATCCTCGTCAAACATTGACGCATGGACAAAAAAAAGAATAAGAAAGATGATAAATCGAAATATTATATAGCGAAAGCTGCATATGCCTCTTGTAACTGAGCATCTAACTCTAAGTTGTAGTACTGGCTTCAGAAGCAGACTCAGATTTGCTTCAACGGAACGTTAAAAGCCGAGCTATGCTGTGCTGACTCCGAAAATCCTCCTTGAGGGCGGAAAATACTAGCTGGCGCGGGGAACTACAACCAGCCTGAGCCCTGCCTTTTGATGGAGTGATCAGATCGTGATCTACAACATCTTTGTTTTCATCGCGTTTTTAGGTGATCCTCTTCTGGAAGATGATCTAGCTGCGTGTGCTTGTGATGATCAAAACCGATTCTTTTTCTTGCTGCACTAGAGACAGTGCGTAGTTGCCGTTGCCTTTGGAACACGTATGGATGCCGAGACAGCAAGAACATGGAGTGAGAGCAAATAGGTGCACTACCATCGTGATTTGATTTTTTGTCCTAGATAAGACTGAAAGTAGAAAAACAACCACCAACGACCTAAGGTGGAAAGTTGAAAAACACCACCACCCACCACCACCCACCGCCACCCACCACCACCCACCGCCACCCACCACCACCCACCGCCACCCACCGCCACCCACCGCCACCCACCGCCACCCACCGCCACCCACCGCCACCCACCGCCCCCCGCTTCTGCCCCTAGCTTGCGCGTTGGTGTCTGTAGAGTCGTAAGGCTCGTGGCGCCCTCCCCCGCGCGGCGCGCCCGCGCCTGCTACCAGCGGGGCCCCCGGGCCGCGTTTTCTTTTGGGCCCGAGGCCCGTGCCGCTTGCGAAAGATTCACGACGCCCGGTAGCGCGCGCGCTGTCGTTCCGCGCCTGCCCTGGCACTGCCGTTCCCGCGCTTGTGAGTGTGTTCCGCGCCTGCCCAGATATAATTGCGCCGACGAGCCTCGCGCCCCGCTTTTGTTTGCTGCCCCGAGCGAGGTATGTGCTGCTGCTTGTCATAAGTGATTGCGATTCATCCCGTTGTAGACGCTCGCCGGTCAGTTTCAGAATATGGCAGCTGGCGGGACGGCTTTTGGGTGGAGGTATAAAGTGCAAAAGTGTCCGGGTCTGGAAGGTTCTGAGATTTGTCCCGAAGTTTTTGCATGGGCTGCGATGCCTGTCATGCATGCCCCAGCATGATGGGGCGACTGAGGATTTCGATGCCTATTCCGCATGACAAATGCCCTCTACGCAGCCGCAGCTGTTGCAGTCTTCCAGACCCAGACACTTTCGCACTTGATAGGACGAGACTTCTAACAACATCTTCAGAGCACCGGTTCCGCAGTGGCTCCAGGCGACGGCGCGAGAAAAGGAGCAGAAAAAAGAGGACAAGCACTTCGCGGAGCACGAGAGGTGGTGCATGAAAAACCTCCCGCGGCTGGACTTCCACAACACCAAAAAACACGGGTACACAACGTGGCCGACTAACGCCATCAACGGCCTACCAAATGCAAAAGCGTCGAGGTCTGGAATTTTGCCAGGTTTGTCATGCATGTCGTGCATGACTCGAGTGCTCATGTTGCCAGGTTTGTCCTGCATGTTTTGCATGGCTCAGCTGCGGCCGCGTGGTCGCAGCAAACTTTTTTGCTCACGACCACGAGGAAGATCTTTTCTCCAAGAAGAAGAAGTTCAAAAAAAGGATCGCTTTCTTTTTAGACGAAGGCGATCTTTTTTTTTTTTTTGAAGAAGACGCAGAAGATCTTTCTTTTGAAGAGGAAGAGTCGTCTTCTTCAAAAAAAAGATCTTCCTCAAGAAATGATCTTCTTCAAAAGGATGAAGAAGAAGATCTCCTTCATTCTTCGTGCAGAAGATCTTCCTCTTCTTGAAGAAAAAAAGATTCCTGTCTTCTAAGAAGACGACGATCTTTTTTTTTGCCTTTCCTTTGGAACACGTATGGATGCCGAGACAGCAAGAACATCATTGCTCGCGTCTTTATCCACTGGGCTACCGTGGCAGCTGCACAAACGACGATGCTGCAATTCCGTCGATAGACACACGACGAGATTCCCTACTTGCTGTGCTACCCTGCGTTTCGCAGACATCTTTTCACTTTATTTTGCGCTCGCGGAGGTATTGACAAGCAGCACAGGCGGTGACTTCTTGTACTTTAGACTGATCTACGTTTTCACGACTGCGGTTATTTCCTGAAGTGCATAGGATGTTTCACTTTCAAAAGGCAAGTATAACTTTGACTTTGCAGGTTTCGTCAAATACAAATTCTACATTCACAAGTCCAATGCAGATTTCATCACGCAGAGCAACTTCTACTGCACCGCTAAATCCACTCCGCTTCATACAGTTCCTCCAGATCTTCGTCATTCATCATGCTGTTTTTGCTGCGCAAATGACTCACTGACGGACTGCTGGTTTTACTACTTGTACCACCTTCCATACCGATCCCCCCACCGTCGAATCCCTCGCCGCTTTTCGACTTTGCCAACCTAGACTTCCATGCTAGCAGCCACTTGTTATTCGCGAAGAATCTGTTCCAGGACAGGCAGAAGCACAGCATTATCCCCTGACACGCTTCTTTCAATTCGATCGCCGGAACCAGAAAGAACGCAGAAACGACGGCGATGAGGCTGCAGAACAGGAAAACAAATTCCGTGTCGTGGTACCCCTGCAGTGCTCCGTCCCTCGAAACCGCTGCACCGCTGCCTTCCGACGCAGGGGGATGCTCGCTGTTTTCTTCAGACATGTAGGAGCCGACGATTAGTGGGACAATTACCAACCCGGTGTTCTGCAGTGCGGTCGCTATTCCGTAAGCGATGCCTAAAATTGCTTCGGAGTTCGCCGAGGGAGACGTGGGTGAAGACCCACTTGCTCCCCGCGCTGATGGCGAGGTTGTCAAAATGTGTTGACCGTTACCGACATTTCCGTAGAAACTGCCAAAACTTCCACTGTTTTGCTCCATCACGATGGCGAAACTTGGCCAGAGCACCGCTGCAAAGAGAGTGTAGACGAGGATGAGGAGAATCGCTAACATTGTTTCGACGATGAATGTCGCAGAGAAGATCGCTTTGGGGAAGCAAGAGATCCACTCCGGAAGGAGCGACGGTAGTGCCCAGGGCGTAGTCGCAGTAGAAGATTCGGGATCGTCGATGCTGCTGCCCCATCTCGAGTTGCTGGTGGTGCTGTTGGTCAAGACGTACAGGAACAGGTGCGTTCCGAACAGCAAGCACGCACAGAAAAACAAAATTGTCGTGTGTTGCCCCACGCGGTCCACAAATTGCCCGAATACTGGCGTGAGCAAGCCTGAGATATGCATTGCAAAAGTATCGTACTAGTATAAATTGCATTACAAATGCAGTTAGCATTACAAGTGAAATTTGTAATGCGGATTTGCCTTAATAACGAGATTTGGAATGCATAAACGCAATCAGTACGAGTACGATACTTTTGCAATGCATATGAGATCAGAAACAGTAAGGCCACGTCCCGTCCGGCAGATGTGGCAGCGACGTTTTCGCTCTTCAAAAGAACTTGCTGTGATGGCGCTGCTGCGGCAGCTCTCCCTTCTCCTTCTACACGCGACGATCCAATATCTCCTTTGTCATCCCCACGTACTGTCTCCGTGCCAAACGACGTTCGCCAAGTCGTTGGCGGCGCAATGGCCCCGTGGTCTGCCTCGATGCTTGGCTGAGGCTGCTTTGATACAACCCGTTGCTCTACTTCCGCGAGGGCAGCTTCTGTTGTGCCTCCTCCTGTGGACGGCATGATCCCTGCTCCACCAGACGTTCCAGCTGCCTCCTCCAGAAGGGTCGTGACACGACCAGATTCTGAGTCCTGGTCGTGATTTATTCCATTTGCCTGTCCACCCATATTAGATGAAGCATCGGCTGCAGTGTGTGCACCATCCTGAAGCAGCGATGCAGCGCCTCCGATGAAATTTTTCCCAGGTAGCTTGGAAACGCCAATGACACTCGCTATCACGGCTGCAGGCTCCGCTGACGATGAGTCCCGGTCTCGGTCGGCAGTGAAAGAGCCCGAAGATAGTCGCGCTGCAGCAGCCGTGCCGTCGGAACCTGACATTGTGCTGGCCGGCAAATGATCCATACGCGGTCCTCCGCTGTAGAAGAGCTGTAGAAACAAGCCCGGCACCAGGTTGTTGAAACTGTAGATCGCACACGACATGCTGACGCAGATGCAGCACAGCAGCCAGTATTGTCTAGGGAAAAACCTCGCGACCTTGAGCGGATTTTGGTACGCAATTCCTCCTGAAGATCCCGGTCCTGCCTTGCCCCTCGCGCCGCCCTGTGTCGAAAGAGACTCTCGTGACCGACCAGGTCGGAGGGAATTATCCGTCTCGTCAAAATCATCATGTGGTATTTCATACTGGATCGCGTGTGCCACACTTCCCCTACCTACTCCCCGTCGCGCTGGCGAAGCATTAGGCGACCGCAATGCGAAGATCGACGTCCCTTCCGTTCGGCACAGATCGATGCTCCTGTGGTTGTCACCTGCGTGTCCAGCTATCCTCTTATCCACGTGGCCACCTCCACTGCCATTCGTTCCTTTGTCATGCCACGCTCCAATTATGCCGAGCGAAGAAGCTCCACCTCCCGTCGCAGCCCGTGCAGCCACCGCACCTACACCCGCAAGCACACTCCCACTCGCAAACACCGTTGCCGCATCTGAGTATCCAGCGATCAGCGGTCCGAAGTAGTAGACGCAGGAACTCCCAATCCTCGACACGCACGCCAAACAGGCGAGCGCAAATGCTCCTCCCCGACTGTATTTTGCGAAGGTTTCGACGATAAGGACGTTCCAGGCAACGTAGATGCACTCCCCGGAAATCCCGAATAAAAGCCTTCCGAATAGCATCACCATCCAGGAGCGCACGAAGCAGCCCAAGAAGATGACCACCGACGCCACAGCGCTCCAGGTCGAGAGGTAGCGGAGCGCGGCTTCCACACCGAATCGTTGGAGTAAAACTCCACTGCAAACAGGGAGAACGACGTTCGGAATGCTGTAGAGACTGTAGAGCAGGTTGAAGCAAACATCGAAGCTAGGTTGGTGGAAAAGAGCGTCAATCGCACCCGCCTCAGTTGTCGATCCTGGCGTTGCACTAGCTTGTTCTCCAGTCGCACCATAGGAGCCGCTGTATGAGTCAGTCTGCAAGAAAATGAATGAGCTCGTGGGCAGCTGCGACGGCGATGTCTCTTGCGGCCCTTGCTGCGTCATCATCCATTGTCGCAGCGCGACGTACAACCCGGTGGGACAGTCGTACACGTAGTTCTGGGCGAATAAGTTAAGACACGCTCCTGCCAACACGAACCACCGGTGGTGCTTCGAGGAGGAGGACATGTTGGCGTTGTGCTACGTATCCTCTTGCATTCACATGTGTTCTTTACCGAAATGGGAGGCACAAATACATTTCTCAACCACGGAGCGACGCCTCGTTTTATTTTTAAAAAGGGAGCAACGCCTCGTGTTACTTCTAGGTTTAGAGTCTTGTTCTGCGGCAGAAAATCATGCAGTCGTGGCTCACACGACACACACGATCAATCACAAAGACAAAATCAGAACCAGCACGGAGACCTTCGTACACGATGAACCGCAGCTGAAAATCAAGCACACAAGCTAGTGAAGATCGCACAATAACCTTGAAGATCGTAGAGCAGTTTGGTTCATGGTAGAAGGAAGAGTATCGAAGAAGATCATCTTTAGCTGCCTTTACTGCGAGAGAAGATGAAACCGAAACCGAAAATGTATACACAGTACCAAGGCCTGGAAGTTCTGTCTCAGGTAGGTCAGAAGTGGAACGCACGACACGTACTGAGTTTCGTCACAAAGTGCGCCCTACACAGTCTGGCTCTACTTTATTTTAACTTTTGCTCTACAACTAGACTTCTTTGTCTATGCTGCTTCTTTGAGCAAACAGTTTTTTCGCAACATACCGTCTCTTCTACATAACGTGGGTATCGAAATTCAAATTCTACAAGACCTCCCTCTCAACCACCTTTTCCAGGGGATGTTGAAATCAAGTTAAAGTTGACACAACCTACTTGTTAGATCAGAGCATCAGACAGAAGAGTATAAAACGGCAGACCGAGATTTTGAAGTGATACTATTTTCACGCTATTTCAAATGAGTTTTAATGTTGTCGTTTCAACTTCAAGTTGGTGATCTTTGACACTTACATCGGCTCCATGTCGTACTCACCCTCCTCTTCGTCGAATTCACCCTCCTCCTCGGCGGTGGCGTCCTGGTACTGCTGGTACTCGGACACCAAGTCGTTCATGTTGGACTCAGCCTCGGTAAACTCCATCTCGTCCATACCCTCACCGGTGTACCAGTGCAGGAAGGCCTTGCGGCGGAACATGCCGGTGAAGTACTCGGCGACGCGTTTGAACATCTCCTGGATGGCGGTGGAGTTGCCCAAGAAGCCGACGGCCATCTTCAGACCCTTCGGCGGGATGTCGCACACGGAGGACTTGATGTTGTTCGGGATCCACTCGACGAAGTAGGACGAGTTCTTGTTCTGCACGTTCAACATCTGCTCATCGACCTCCTTGGTGGACATGCGGCCACGGAACAGGGCGCAGGCGGTCAGGTAGCGTCCGTGACGCGGGTCCGCGGCGCACATCATGTTCTTGGCGTCGAACATCTGCTGGGTCAGCTCGGGGACCGTCAGGGCACGGTACTGCTGGGAACCACGGGAGGTCAACGGAGAGAACCCGGTCATGAAGAAGTGCAGACGCGGGAACTGTATTTTCATTGATTTTTGATGATGATTGAAAGGTGAAAGTAGCAGAACGCAAGCTGCGTGCGTTGTCTTGTTAATTCCACGTTGCTAGCAATCTCTCCAATTTTTGAACAAGAAAGCAATCGTGCGTTCTTCACGCTCGCTCCTAGGTCTGATATGGAATCATTATCATTAACTCTAGACTGCGCGGGCTGTAATTCTAATTCAAACCAATTTCAAACGAATTTCAAAATTCCAGCATTTTCATGCTGTGGCAACCCCGCGGGCCTCCGCGGTATGCGATTTTTCATTGCCTACAGACCCACAAACTTGACTACAGCGGGAATGCCAAAAGCCCGCCAAGGAGCTGCCGGGCCTACCGACGGGCTGCCCGCGGCCATGAGTGTCGGGGTCCGCGCATCTGATGTGGCCTTTCCGCACGGGGCCCCACACTCGGAGCGGCGCCGGCCTTTGCAATATGTGCCAGTACTCGATCCGAGCGATTTATACTGGCGGAGCAAACCTCCCGCACGCAGGGGTGGCGCAGTCAAATAATGGGCGCCGGGCGCCTGGCTGCCATCCCGGTTTGGCAACCTCATACAGGCACAGACACTGCGCCATGGGCAACAAGACACGGGGCGCCCACGCCCACCCCAGATCGGCACGGGCGATACGAATCGGGCAGGCGCGGCACCTCTCCCAAGAATACCGGCGCCGGCAGGTAATGCCTGCGCCAAGGGCACCCCGGCGCGGCTCGTTGACAATCAGTGGGCTGCGGGGCTTCGCGGCAATCGGCATCTCCACTGGCGAAGAGCTGCACGCCCCTGCCCGATGAACCGCTTCGCACACCGGTACGCGAGGCCCCATCGAATGGCCGACGGCTGCCCTTCGGAAATTCCGAAGCCCATCAGCGCCCTTCGCTGATTTCAAAACGCCATCGGCCATCTCACACGATTTCAAAATCCCATCAAGCATTTTGGCCAATTTCAAAACGTCATCAAGCATTTTGGCCAATTTCAAAACGTCATCAAGCATTTTGGCCAATTTCAAAACGTCATCAAGCATTTTGGCCAATTTCAAAACGTCATCAAGCATTTTGGCCAATTTCAAAACTCCATCAAGACGATATTCAAAATGCCGTCAGAATTCCGTCAGATTCCGTCAGAATTCCGTCAGAACCAAGATACCCATCGAGGAACGGAATTCTGACAGAATTCTGATGGCGTTTTGAAATGCCTTGGTGATATTTTTGAACTTGGCCAAGCCCTCTTTTTATTTTCTTCTGTCCAGGAGGTTTCACCTCCCGGTGGTGTTTTCTGAACGAGGGAGCCACCCCATCCAGCCTTCCTCCTTCCCTTGTCGGGCGTCGCGAAATTGCTCCGAAGAGCGGCCACGCGCTACAGGATGCGGCATGCTCCAAGCAGCCCTTCGCCTGGACGGCGCGACCCCGACTACGTAGCGCATGGCCGCGAGGCCATCTCCGCCGCGGTCCCATGTGCGTCCTCTGCCCTTCCGTCTCAGGTAGACCGGCAACCTACATGGGCAGGCGCGCGGACCAGTGCAACGCCAAGCAGTGGAATTCTCCCCGGCAAGTCGCCCGCGCGCTGGCTCTTCAGCGTCTACCCCGAAGCCCGCCTGGCCTGTTTCCCTTGACGAGGTTTTCCTCCGGGCGCAGCGTCTACTTTTGACGGTCACAAGGCGCTCCCAAGCTTGCCTTGCGACGAAAAAAGGGGCACGGGAGGAACCACTGCACAATCCTGCGGCGCCCGCAGGCGCCCACCTACCGAAACCGAGAAACCCAGCGCCACATAGAAGCTGCGAGCCTACCCTGCGGCCATTCGGATCGGAGTTACGACCCGCAGACAGTGTGGAGTTGGCCAGCGATTGCAACCTACTGCCGGCCCAGGTATATTGCCACGCATTCCGGCGCGAACCAACGCACACAGTGGCGCGCTAGCTCCTGCGCTGGAGTCAGCCCACAGCGGCCTAGAGTTGGCGAAAAAGAAGCAAATCCTTCGAAACATCAAGACCAAATCGCAGCGCCTGCTAGCACGTAGGCTGCGCCATTGGAGTTTTGATTTTCGAAAATCCCCCCAGTTTGAAAGTAGTTTGAAATTGTTTTGAAATCATTTCTGGGCCGTGCGGTCCAGCGTTAACATTATCATCATCTCTCAGTCTAAATTACACAAAGAAAACCATTATCTATACCGGGATCATGTTGACGGCGACCTTGCGCAAGTCGCAGTTCAGCTGACCCGGGAACCGGATGCAGCAGGTGGTGGCGGACATGGCGGCGGACACCAAGTGGTTCAAGTCACCGTAGGTCGGGGTGGTCAGCTTCAGGGTACGGAAGCAGATGTCGTACAGGGCCTCGTTGTCCATCATCATGACCTGATCTGCGTTCTCGACGAGCTGATGGAAGGACAGCACGGCGTTGTACGGCTCGACGACGGTATCAGACACCTTCGGGGACGGGATCACGGAGTAGGTGGACATGATACGATCCGGGTACTCCTCACGGATCTTGGAGATCAGGAGCGTTCCCATACCGGAACCGGTACCACCACCCAAGGAGTGGACCAGCTGGAAGCCCTGCGGTATGGAAGGAAAAACGCGCTTGTCCGTTGTGATCGATTTGCTTTACTTTTCCATCATGCCGACCGAAAGCAAATTCAAATCGCTCATGCACAACCAACGTTCGTAGCGAAAAGCATCCTATTCCTGGCGACAAAAGCTTCAAATCACAAACACAACCAGTTCGCTCGGATCGAAACTGATCAATTCGACATGCACGTCACCAACTCGAGGAAACTCACCATGACACAACACGCACTTACAAATCTAAACCGACACGCGCTTTCCAACAATTTCATATGGAGGCAGTCGCAGCCCTCAGCCTCCTTCCGGACAACGTCCAACACGGAGTCGATGAGCTCGGCACCCTCGGTGTAGTGACCCTTGGCCCAGTTGTTACCGGCACCGGTCTGACCGAACACGAAGTTGTCCGGGCGGAAGAGCTGACCGAAGGGTCCGGCACGCACGGAGTCCATGGTACCCGGCTCCAAGTCCATCAGGACGGCGCGGGGCACGTAGCGACCACCGGTGGCCTCGTTGAAGTACACGTTGATGCGCTCCAACTGCAAGTCGGAGTCACCATGGTAGGTACCGGTGGGGTCAATACCTGTGTGAAGTGATGATTACCATTCGAAGTTGAAATTTTTAAATTGCACTGTTTCTAGTCGGTGTCCAAAATGCAGCTGCTATTTGATGTGCATGACAACCTCAGCGTAATATGAGGCACACGAAAGCGAACTACCACAAACTCCAACTCATCTATCATGTTCTGCATAGACATTAGAGTTCAACACGTTGATCACAAGCACGAAAAAACAGCTATATACCGTGCTCATCGGCGATGACCTCCCAGAACTTGGCACCGATCTGGTTGCCGCACTGGCCTCCCTGGATGTGGACCAACTCACGCATTTTTGATGATTGTCTTCTCTCACCAAAAAAAAGTTTCCGCTAAGGAAGGTTTTGGGTTGAAGTTGATTTTTTGCCTGACCGTAGTTGAGTAGAGTTTTGTGTACGTCCTCTTGTCTGATTTGCAATGAAATCTAAACGTACCTCAGGTATGTATCCGCACTGCTCAGCAAATCTAAACGTACCTCAGCACCTTCATTTACGCTTTCTCTATGTCTTTGTACGCAACACCAACGCACAGCGGACGACTCGACGGAACGCTCAATTTCTAAAACGCTGGACCGGAAGTTGGTCTCAGTGTCGCGTGCCGTGTATCTTTTTCACGAAGTACTTTCACAGGACGTGATACACCAATTATCTTTATCTGATTTCTTGTGGACGAAAAATGTTCTTTAGTCGTACTACACGAGAAATGTTTTCTGACTCACGTCAACGTTGCCTTTCCAAATCCAATTCGCACGAACTGTTGCTCCTTACGAACGTCACGTAGCTCGGAACACTCTTCTTTAAGTGAAGCTACGCAGTCAATTTCAACGAGAACGACAATGATGCGCAACGCATCAGCCTTTTTTGTTTTTCGCTTTTTATAAATAATTCTGCATATTATATATGGGGTTGTGTTTTGACAGCGTGAGTTCGAGATGTTGCTGCGTGTGGAAGACAACGCAGGCTGTGTTTTTATATTCTTCTCTTTGCATTTTGGCAACCAGCAAATTTTAGTGTAGGTAAAGCAAGAGCAAATAAACCAAGATTCTTTCTAAGTACTTACTTAACACTCGACACATGTCTGTGACTGATCGAAGCTAGTAACTTTACATTTGTTCTTGAGTGACCAATCATTCCAAACATAATCTTCTCATGCTAGTGTGAGGAAACATCTGCTGCAACTACCACCAAAATCATGAAAAGTAATCGCGAAACTTTAAATTTCATTTCCATAGAAGAACATGTGACTAGTAATATACCTTTTTCATACACTTGTTTCTTCGGACGCAGTAATTTAGTTTACGCAGCTTTTTTAAACCCGCACTGGCGCTTACCGTACCACGCCCGGATTCCTCTTTAGTACACACTGTTGAAGATCTACTCGTTTCCCGTACGAAGATATCACCGCTGCAAGAACGCCACTTGTGAAAACGGCGTCCACTCAGCCAATCGCAACTTTGCTTCCGACAAGCCCCTCCGCATCTTCTTTTCACAGCCCCAAATGCAGGTCCTCGTTATACCAGTGCTCTGTTCCACCTGCTTCTTTATGCTTTTCCACCACCAAAACATCCGGCTTGTCGTTCTCGAAAGCGTCGCTGTTCCGATCTAGCAGCGACAGCGCCGGGGGCAGTCGGAAAAACTGATGACAGGTGCTTGAGACCGTGTTTTCCACGTGCAGCGCTCTGATCTGCTCCACATTCCGATGGTACGCCGGGACGAGAGGAAGATTTCTTTGCTCCGACTGTGAGTCCTGCTGGGGTTTACTGTTATTCAAATCGGCGTCGTCGTTCCTTATCGTCTTCCAGCTTCCAAAGTCATCTCTATGCTGGATCAGGATTTCTTGGTCGTTCTCAGCGAATTTTGTGACCGCTTCCCTGCTACTATAGGTGGGATTGCGCGCACTTTGTGAAGAAGTCACACTCGTTCCATTCGTATTCGTACTCCGAAGCAACCCAATTCTTGCACTATCGCCAGCTGCTGACCTACCGCCGGAAGTACTAGGCACAGACTCGATGCGATTCAAGTACTCCGCAAGCCAGGCTTTCTCATCCACCTTTCGGCGCACGGATTCTTCGAACAACTTCACGGGTAGAATTTCATTTAACCTGCCGAACATATGGTCCGCGCCGGTTGCGATGGTAGGCGGCGCTGGAGTTGTTCTCACAGAAGGTTCGTTTTGATGATGCAGCTCACCTGCTGCATCATCTTCATTATGTTGTCGAAACAGCGCAAAGCCCTCGTTGATGAACTCCAATTTGTCAAAGTTTCCATTCCTACCATACTTCGCGACCCACGTTGTCCCACCACCCTCCTTGCTCCGCATCCGCCCTTCTAGCGGCTGATACGGTAGAAACTCCTTCTCCCGCTTCCCCGCAGTCTGCCACCAGCAGTAGCTCAACCGCTTTTCCGCGATGTAGCGCTGTAGATAGAGGAAAAACACGGAATCGGTTTTGTCGGAATAATGCTTCTCCAAATCGAATCCAAATTCACCGATCCACACAGGAACGTTTACATCCTCCCCGGTTAAAAACCCCCACATCTGCTCGCTGTTCTTTTTCCATTCCTGGTACGTGGGAATGTAGTTGAGCAGAGTACTTCCTGCCCCTTGTGGGATGTGGTGGACTTCATCTGTGGTAGCTGTAGCGGCCGCTCCCTCTTCTACAGCAGCAGGTGGGTCATGTGGCGGAAACAGGTCCTCGGCTTGTGGTCCGTCGCCGTCGGGCGAGCTGGCCCCACCCGCAATTGGGTTCCTATCGCTTCTCTCCGACGCAATTCCAACTCGCAGTTGTGATCGCGGCTGTTTATCGTCCAGGAATAAAGCCGATGACGCAGGTATTGTAGCCTGCGGAATGAACATCGCGGTTGGGTCTTGTGAGGTGATTGATGCGCCGTTAATATTTGAATTTGCTGTGCTTTTCATCATCCCACGATCCGATGTCGGCGTCGTCATCGAGACGTTTTCTGCATCCCATGATCCGACGTTATCTGCTCCTCCACCCCGCGTTGCAGCGGGCGTAGAGCGGCTTCTAGTGGAGTCCAGAAACAGCGTTCCTGCATCAACCGACCCAGGACTTGCAGCTGCAACACCAAGAACGCGACCTCCGCGCGGCACTACGTAGTTAGCTGGTATAATCGACGACGAAACCGATCTTGATCTGGTCTCTCTGCCCCGGTTGCTCCGTGCTCGCCCGGAAGAAGAATCGCCAGCGGTCGCGTTTCCGTTTCCACCACTACCCATAATCGCCCCAAACGCAAACAAGCTTTCGAAACACGAGACCGGTAGCTCGTCCCCCTTCCTCGCCATCGCATTCCCCACTCGTCCCGCCCGTTCGATCGCAGAGATCGCCCTTTCTTCCACGTTGTGCAGTCCCTTTTCCACTTCCTCCTTCACGTGCTGGGCCTCCTCCACCAGTAATTCCCGGTCAAACGTGTAGGGGTACCTGACAAAATCGTAATCGTGGACGGAGTAGACGATTTTGCCCGGAAAGCGGCCGTGGAGGTTGTAAAACTGCACAGACTTTTTGGGAAACCGTAGTTGCTGGAAAACGCCGCCGACGATCACCAGCATGTGAGGCGCGATGGTCTGCATCCGGAGGGCAGAGGCCTCCGCGATCGGCGCCCAATCTAAGTCTTTGCTGTTGTAGTGTGGCTCGCTTTATGCACGTGGAAAAGATCATCATCCTGATCCGTGGTTTCCGTACTAAAAGTAGAGCGATTTTTACATTTTTTCAATTGATTTTCTATTCCTCCCACTAGCGAACGTCGCTATCGGAGGTCATACTGAATCTGGCACTTGGGCCGCACAGGGCAGAAGCTTGCCGTGCAAAAATAGCATGATCGCTTGCTCCACACGGTGAACGTTCAAATTCCTTTCCGCGTCATACCTTGAACTGTTTCCTCTTAAACGTTTTCGTCACCACCGGTTCCCCTGTCGTTTCATTGTACTCCAACGCATCGAATCCTGTGCAAAAGTATCGTACTCGTACTAATTGCAAATATGCATGACAAATCTTTCTCCTAAGGTATAACAGCATTACAAATTCCATTTTTCTTCTTGCCAAAATTTGTAATGCAATTTATACTAGTACGTTACTTTTGCAATGCATACATCGGCCACAAACCGCGTCTCCTCGATTTCCTCCACTTGCCTTGGCTTCGAATTCCAAAATGGCGCGATGGCACCGCGCACCGCGGTCTCGAAGAAAGATCTGCCCATGGATTTTCTATGCATTGCAAAAGCATCGTACGTAGTCGTAGTGTGAATTGCATCACAAATTTTCTCAAGAAGAAAACAGAAATTTGTCATGCAGATTCAGGTAAGATAGCTGATTTCTCATGTATACCTGCAATTTGTAAGAGTGCAATGCTTTTGCATATGCATATTTTCCCTCTTCCACCAGTTTCGGCCGCACCTCGTTTCGAAGGTCGATGCCGACAACATACTTGTTGTACCGGTAGCGACTTGCGAGGAAAGAAACGTGATCCAGAAACTTCCCCGTGGGGTACCTGTCCGTAAACCAGTACTCATTGCCATCTATGCAATACAAATTCCCCTACACGACGAACAAAATGCATCACAAATTTCTCTAACTTAGCGCGTAGCGCTTGTCTGTCATGCTAACTAGGATCGAAGGCGAGGTTTGTCATGCAGAAATCGCAAGATCTGTACGTCGTCGTGCACGGGGGATTTACTGTGCATACCATCAGTGTAGCTGCAACACCATCCGGCGTCAGACATGTGGTTGTTTAGGATGACGAAAAGTTTTTTCTCCGTGATTTTTTCCACGACCGCATCTAGCAGGCACAGTGGAAGTTCGCGTTGTTTCTCCGAGTAGAGAGTCGTGAAGCCAATCGTGTTACCGACGTCTTCCTTCGGCGAGAATACAGAAGCAGCTTTTCCGATCGTCGATGAAAATGCGACTGTCCTCGTTCCACTACCACCAGATGCACTCGATGAAAACGGATTACACTTGTCAAACAACTCCGGATTCGCCTTCAGCGCGGTTCGCAACTCCGCTTCACTTTGGCAGATTTTCAGATTTTCGCAGAACCCAAAAATCTGGTCGAGAGAATAGTTTAACCTGATGTGATTCAGGTCCCAGTTGATGAATTGATTCAAAACGTCGTCGATCGCGATGTCGGCGAAAAACGGTTCCGTCCCGAGCTTCCCATGCAGAGCCCAATTCGCACCTCTTAGTAGCACCGGGGTATTTTTCTTATCGTAGATCCACCGGCCTTTCGTGTGGAGTGGCGGGACGTAGTTGTGAGTGGCGGTGAGATGGCGCTGCGGTCGTGCAGGTGGTTGATCACTCCGAGTGCTGGAGGGTTTGTCTGTAGAAGTTTCTGTGCGTAGTTCTTCACTATCAACGAAAACGGTTCTGGGCGGTTGCGTGGTCGGAGCGCCCCCGTGTTTTTTTGCACCAGCAACGGCAGGAGCAGCTCCGACTACGCGGCTGTCGTTGGTACTATCATTTTCGATCACGACGGGTTGGCCTCTGGAAGCAACTTTCGAACTCCACCTGCCCCCCAGCAGAGCTTTTGGTACGACCAAATTTCTCGCCGATCCCGATGCTGGTGGTCTTCTGGTGTAGGTTCTTCTTCTCCAGCGTGGTTTCGCTCGCGATCTTGCACCATCTTCGGCATGAACAAAGTCGAAGAGTTTACTCTGATCAGATGAAAAAGGCGCTGCTAGTAGACCCGAGGATGAAGTGGCCCATCGTCCGCGGAGAAGAAGTAGGTCGCACAGGCAAAGCAGAACAGGAACACCCACCGTTGCTAGAAGCGTCGAGAGCAGGACCAGCCGGGGCCGCCGAAAGGGGCTAGTGCGTTTCGTCCCTTTCGAAACAATAGAAGAACGACAGCGAAGTGAAGACGACGAACAGGACGCACTACTGGTAGGGGTAAGGCACATTCTTGTGTTTCCCATAGCGTGTGGAAGATGTTGTAGTTTTTATAAATATTTTGTTTACACGATGAAATTATGCGCCCAAGCCACGAAGACGGCGAAAGAACTGCTTTTGGAAGTCGTGTAGCGTTGATCTACATGCTTTTCAGTCTTAGACACCAGTAGTACAAACACACGACATTCAGTAGGAAGGTCAACGAAATCCGAAGTTCGTAGTAGAATGTTTTGCAATGCTCTTCTGGCTGGATCTTCAAAAGGGACTCCGACGTCGAGAACCAGTGTTGATCTTGTTTGAGTTTCTGACGTCACAACCAGCTCCACACCGGAAGTAAGTTGATGATCGAGAAAGTTTTCATGAAAAAAAAAAGTGTCGAGCTGTGGGTCTCCTTCTCTCTTCTGCAGCACTGAACAAGATGAAGATTTCTCAATACAATCTAGTACTTATTTGCCTTCGTCTTCATAGTTCATCATCGTTCATGTTTGCGTTTGTGAAATCTCTGGTGCACAACTTCCATCCCATCACGGCTGCGGAGCGTTTTTCTTGAAGCGTTTCGCGTTGTTCTCTACAGCATCAGGAGGCGTTAGAACACGACCTGAACCGAAGTCATTTGGATCATTCGGTCTACTGCCTCCACGCAGCAAATACGTATCCACCCCCGCCTGCACAAACTTCGGTGCGACGAACACCTGCTTGAACTCCGCCTGGCTCGGTGGAGACATTTTCTGAATCCAGCCCTCCTCGGTGATATTGGTAAAGGTAAGGCTCTCTAAGTTCGACTCCTTCACTTTGACTTCATTTTCGGATATGGAAACGTACTCATTGAGCGCACCGCTGCGCAAAGCCGGATTGATCAGGCCCCTGGGACTACCGGCACTACCATCGTCGACTTCGTTGTAGAAGCAATTGCCATCTCCAAAATCATCGGTCCCCGCGGTTGCGGCAGGGGCGGTTGCCGAGGGCGTTGGCGCGAACAACCTGTTACCATGGTCTCCTGTTCGAGGCGTAGGCGTAGTTTTCTTTCCAAGAACGCTGCCGCTGTTCAAACTTCCGACAAAAGTCTTCTCCAGGTCGCAGGCGCGTTTGGTCAGCACGCTTGTCTTGTTTAGACAGGCTGAGTTGATAGTTCCAACACCAACACCTAGTTGTAAAGCCGCCCCACTTCTGAATGATGTGGCGGATGAGGAACTACTACCACCGCTAAAGGTGCCAGATGATGAAACAACTTCGCCCGTTTGTCCTCCGCCAACTCGCGACAGAAGTTGTCCGGTCTCTCGTCGTCCACCGTCGCTGGCTGCGCCGCCCGCAGCCACAACAGCGTGGACCTGAGCCCCCGACTTCGGATTTTGCCAAGGCGCGAAGGTTGCGTCCAGGATCGGCACGCCGGATTGCGTTGTTCGCGGAGGCATGGGCGGGCCAGGATTTTCAGGTGGCGCGGCGTCGATTAGGTTCCTTGCAGAAGAAATGCCGGTGGAAGAACTAGCTCCAGCACTTGCAGCCGCGAGCTGTAGAGGCACCGCTGTACTATTACCTTCCTCGCGAGGTTGATCTAGTACTCGAGCTTGTGCTCCTTGGTGTTCTTGCAAGGGTTCGTCCTGCTCAGGGTTTGTAGGTGGAGGTAAGCTTTGGCCGGGTGGTGGTGGACGAGGTGGTGATACTTGTTTGCGTTCCTCCGGCGCGTATACTTCTTGATTGCCTGATGGTCCTTCGCCTCTGTGCTTCTCACCAAGTGATGACGCAGCCCCACGACGTCCAGTAGCGCTGGGCGGATCTTCTTCCCGATCAAAAAGTCCCTGTTTCGCGCAAAAAGCTTCTTCAACAACTGTAACCATGCCACCGGAAATTTCATTCGGCTTTGCAGCATTTGGTGGTGGCGATGACCGTGAAGCAGCTTTCTCAACCCGTTCCGGAGTTTCTCCATGAGACGCCTTGTTTTCCATTTTCCCTGGAAGGGGATCCAGTTCCGCGGAGTGGCTTCTAGGCTTGATAATTTCACGGTCGTCTTCAGAGTCCGATAAAACAATGATTTCGTCGACGTCGTCGAGATGTGTTTTTGCAGCTTGCGCTTTGGCAGCTCCAGCATGGTCCGAATTGTTCGCAGCAACATCTTGCTTACAACCAGTCGTGATCTTCATGTGTTGCGTACTAGAAACGGCCTGTTTCTGTCTGTAGTTCTTCCATGGAGGTCTCTCGTTCATGCTCTCGGCAACCGGAGGACGAGCGGCGAGGACATCTTTGGTGCCGGTGGCACTGCCCCCACCAGAACTCTCATGCCTGGCCGCTTTGGCTCCCACTTGCAGAGGGAGCTCGTCGGCACTCTGCTCGCCAGCCGAGCGCGACGGTACTCCTAGATCCGCAGCGATACTCTCATCCTCCGGAATAATCGCAGTTTCCTCCACGACGGGGGCTATTGAAACGTGAGACTCAGGCACAGCTGCTGGACGTACTTCCTGATGCGACGCCGAAGAAGATCCTGCAGCCCCCGCCGCCGCCGCCGCTCCGGCGGCAGCCTTTTTCTCCCGGTTTGGTTTCTTCCCACTGCCCGCACCAGACGCTGCAGGAGCCCCACGAGCGCCTGCATTCGAATTCGAATTGTCGTGTGCATTGGAGGAGGGCCGTGGCTGCTGATCATGCAGCGATGCTTGCTCGAGTGAAGACTGGGGGATCAGCAATGTCTCGCCGAGTTCTTCTTTCAACCTCGCTAGCAGCTCGGCTTTTTTCCCGCTCGTCGGAAGCTTGTTCTCGCGACACAGGTCGCGGAGCTGGGCGACGCGGAGCTTGTCCATAGTTGTGTTTGGAGTCTATTTTTTCTAAATCAAGATGATCAATACCAAATACAGAACTTCGGTACGATGAAGAATCGAAATTGATTGACATAATTGACAGATAGTCTGCTCTTGTCCGGCTATGGGAGCGACGTCATCGCCGTACGATCTGTGGGTAGACGTAGAGGTCAACTCCCTTTACTGCAGCTGCAGGCTCAATGTATGCGGTTTCTCAAACAAATACATCAAAGCCAAAAAACGAATTGCGTGTGCGCTTTTTAAGGTGAGCGGGAAGGCAAAAAACGGAAAATCGTCGAGTCGCACAACATCCTGGCCCACGTTAATGGCGCATCAAGAAACAGAAACCACAAGTAGGCATAGTTGTCACAAAATCAATCTCACTTCTGAAGGACCCTCTTGCAACATGCTCCTGAAAGCAGATCAAGATCTTAACACTTTACAACAGAGAAAGGATATTTCTTTAGCATCGTCAGACATCAGCTTGCTTACGGAAACAAATATACTCATATTGCGATCGCTGTAACCGTTGCAGCAGGAGCTGAAATAGAGTATCAATCTCATGTCGAAGATGCGCACGGCGAAAAAGTGAGCCTCGTCTTTGTGGTATTTCGTGGCCTGTGTAGAAGTACTCGCAAAAACATGAACGAGCACGACGGCAAGGCGAGTGCGATCGGCCCTAAACGGCTGCGGGCTGCCATGTGCCTGCTTTCTTTTTGCTATCTCCATCCTACCTCTTCACTATCACTGTTTTTTTTGTTTCTTTCTTTCTTTGTTGGACACGGTCGGCCCTACCCCCGCCCGGCTCCATATGCGGCCGCTCTCGCATCTTTCTCCCCCCCCCCCCCCCGAGAGAATCGAAAGCCTGCCCAATTGCGATCGACACTGCAGCCGGGCTGGCGCCAATGACTAAACGCGGCCTCCCGGCTGCGCATGAAATTCACGGCAGAGCAGCGCCAACACGCCCCAGCCCCTGTGGGCGCGCCGAGCGATTGATACGGGGCGGCGGGCCCGAACAATGCAGGGCGAAGGGCATGCGCGCAAGCCAGCAACCAGGCAACCCGGGAAGCGGCGGCGGGCCGCCCATGAATCAATTGAACCCGTGCGGCCGGCCGGCCCACTAGTTATGCGGCCGCGCGCGCTGCGCGAAACAAGCGGGGGGGCGGGGCGGGGCAAACGCCAGAAGGCTAGCCGGACGCGCCCACGGGCGCCAAAATAACGCAGCCGCGGGCGCGCGGGGGGCCACGAGTGCAACAAGCTTTGGGGGCGGGCGGCGGTCGTATCGAGATACGCCCGCCATGCGGGCGGGCGTGTTCTTGTCTTCGCTTTCACTGCCCGGGTGCATGCGCTCGCGGGGCCCACCCGCCGCGCATGCGGCTCCGACGGGCCAAGCAGAGCAGACCGACGGGCCAAAGAAATGGCAAAACCACCAAAGGCGCGGCGGCGCCGACCAATGAGTCCGCGGCACCTGGTGCGCAACTTCTCTCCGCAGGCGCCGCTCATCGCCCCGAAGCTGGCTGCAAGCGCCGGCCCCCATACACCAGAGCGGGCGCCCTATGTATTACCATCACACACACTCACCCTGCGCGCACACAAACTCACAAAAGCATTAGATTTAGAAGGCAGCTGCTTTCTCAAGCACTCACACACACACACACGCACACATACTCCTTTCGTGCGATGCCCGTCTCGTCGCTGAGCAGAAGTGTCCGTATAAGCCGGGGCAGCATCGAACTGACTGGCGAGGACGCTGCAGCCAAGAGTTGTACAGACTTCATGAGCGGTTTTTCGTTTTTCCTGAGCAAGATCATTGGAAAATAGTTTCAACATAAAGTGCTACGGAACTGCGTCGAAGTGTAGAAGACGCAGCGCCGTTTCTTTTGTCGCGTGATGTGGCCTCTTCTCCTTCATCTCACTCTGCTTTATAATTACAACTACCTTACTGGTAGCACTCGGGAGGGCGAAGCGGAGCTGCTTGGTCGCGGCTGGCGGGCCGCCGCTGGAGCAGCGCGCCCGCGTTTTCGTGTCGGGCAGCGAGTTTGCCGTAGTGGCTATCAACCAGGGCGTGCGACACGGTCAGCACGGCCGGCATTTGATTCTGGATCCACTTCAGCCCTTCCCCCGGGTATGCTTTGTCCGACCCCTGGATCTTCAGGGGGTAGCGGTAAATCATGGCGTAGCGCACCCACACACGCCAGTTGGTGTCCTCGCTCCGTTGAATTTTGAGCGGCCCAACCCAGTGCTCGAAAGGCCCCGGAGGGGCCGGGGACCAGAATCCAAGCTCAGCGCTAGTGGCCACGTCGATCGCGCTTCTTGCCCGGACGTCCCACGGGACCCGAAATCTTGGCGGATCTGCCACGGTCCACCCATCCGTCGTACCGGGGCGCTTGTGAACAAACATGATGAGCAGCCTCCAGCTTAGCCCCTGTTTCAGATCCTGTTCGAACCTCTCTCGGCTTCCACATCCGAAACAAAGTCCGCCGCAGTCCCAGCCCGGCGGCACAGGCTCGCGCTGCGTTTCCGTAGGAGGATTGGGATTTTTGCGTCCCGGTTGTTCCGAAAAATGCCGCGCGGTGGGCGGGCCGAATGTTGCAATTGCGCGCCGAAGGCTGCCGTGCTCTGCTCCGTCGAACTGTAATCCACCCGGGCATATCAAATGCACATATGTGTGGGCCTCGAAACTTGCGATGCAAATCTACGAACTGTGGGCGCGCTGCAATATTATGCAACTCGACATGACAAGTTTTTGCACTGCTGTGCGTTTCGTTTTTCGCATGACGAACAACGTTTTTCTTTTTGCATAAAGACAGGCAAGACGGCCCTTTTGCTGCTCATGCATCACAGATTTAAGAGTCAGTCATGCCAGACAAGCATGACAAACTTGCATTCTTCCAGACCCACACATAATTGCATTTGATTCATTTTGATAGGGCAAAGACAATCTTCGGCCGCGTATCCATTTCCCTGCGGCTCATCAAAAGGGGAAAAAGGGCCTTCCTGTGCGCGCTGAGCCACTAACGCGATCCCACAAACCGACTGCAGAGCAACAAACAGGAATAGAGCGGCTACGACAACCACCATGCTTTGTTCTGCGCCACAACTACACAACTTCACTCTGTTCACCATACTCGCATCGGATGCGTGCAGAAGCTCAAAGTCGACCAAATATAGTTAGTCTGTAGTTCAGAATAGATGACAGAAAGGCAAAGGGAGCCCGCTAGATTTTTATAAATATACCTTACATCGGCAAAAGTCGACAGAACAGCGCAAATGGCCCCAGATCCGTGATCACAAAATGCACAAGGAAGAGAAAGCACGAGAACACAAATAGGAAGCGAAGGAAAACAGGCACAACAAAAAATGCCAAAGGTCTGAAAATTTGAAAGAACCGAAAGAACTAGATCAACAAAGAAAAACTGAAATAAAACATAGCACGAAAACGGAACAAAGGGGACACCGCCTCGAGCTCTTCACTTCGCCACAGGCTTCACATCCGCCGCACATTGATGGGTGGGACCAGTAGAAAAAAGCATTGGGCCTAGGCTAGCGCTCAAGGCGAGAAAGCAAAGAACTTTTCCAAGAAGACCAAAACCACAGCAAGGAAATGCACAATGAACGCAAGCGCAAAGCGCGTTTTTTCGTGCGGGGATGTAGCTGTTCCGAGAGAGTGCAACTTATTACAAGAGGGCGCGCCGACTGCGACTTTGCTATTTTTCTATGGGAAAAACCCGGCGGCACACCGACCCCGTTTCGCTTGTTCGTCCTCGTCGGCGTCGCTCACATCTTCGCCCGCGCGGCACGGGAAGGCGCTCGCCGGCGGCGGGGCCGCGCAGCCCCTCCCAAGGGCCGGCAAGGTGCCCGCCTTTTCCGCCACAGGCCAAACGCCCACCAAAGCCAGCGGCCGCGCACGGGGGGGGCCAGAAAATGGGCACACAAAAGAAACACACCGGCCCGACCCGCCCCGGCCCTGCAGCGAACAACGGACCGGCGGGCCTCGGCCCGACCCGGCGAAAATACGCGGCGCCTTTGGCCGAAACGCGGAAACCAGAAACGCGGCGCGTTTGGCCGGGCGCACCGGGCGGGTGCTCGGCCGGGTGGAGGGGGCGCAGGCTACGCGGACGCAGGCGCGTAATGGATCTGCTGCAACGACCAAAGGCGCGGCGCCGGCCCATAAGCGGCACCGCTGTCCGCCTCTCTGCTGCCGCAAGTCATCACCAAGGAGCAGCCAGCGCCGGCCCCTACGGTAGTCACAGCCGACCGCTAGCACCAACATACGCACGCCCTGCCAGTGGCAGTGCCAACACACAAACAGCGCAAAAACATGCAGAAGGCGGCTTTCTCAAACACTCACGCTGACCGTCTCGCGCCGTCCCATCTTTCCCATCGTTGAACAGGAGTCGGAGTGGACGTGGTATAAGCCGGGCCCGCATGATCGAGCTCACTAATGACACTGCAGCTAAGCTTTGTTCTTGTTTCACTTCGTGTTCGATTTTCGTTCCTTTATGTTTTCTGCACAATAATGCCAGATATAGCCGCCGAGGCGGGGGGAGTGAGGTCACGCGGGGGCTTTTTGACAGACTGGACGACGCCGGGCCTTTTTGCTCTTTTCAGAGGAGAAACACTCTCCCGCACGCTATGGCCCCACAAGGGCCTCCACCAGGGTCGGCCCTGTGGGCCCCCAAAATCGGGCCCGTAGCATGCGGGCTGGCTTGCTGCTTTTGGCGGGGTTTGCGTCCTTTGGTTTTTTTTGCTGAAAAGCCGCGGCCCTGCCGCCTGCTGAATTGAAACGCTTTCTCGCATGCTATAGCCACCCCAGGGCCGCCACCAAGCCCGGCCCCGTGGGCCCCCAAAATCGGGCCTATAGCATGCGGGCTAGCTTTTTGCTTTTGGCGAGCTTTCCGCTTTTTGTTTTTTTTGTTGAAAAGTCGCACTTTTTGGATTGTTCCCCGCATTACAGGCGCCCGACTTTAGTGGCCGTCTTTGCAACCTCCAAAAGTGGCCAAAAATGGTGGCCAAAGCATGCGGATTCGCAGCTTTTGTCGTCTTGGCATTTTTTCGGCGCCCCTTTTTGGGCGCCCCAAATCGGCGGAATTAGGTGCGCTGGGCGCCTCAGAAGGGCGCCCATTTTGCCGGCTCCTCTGCGTCGTTTTTTAGATCGGCGACCGATAGAATCCGCCGGCGATTCGGTGCCGACACAGCCAGAGCCGATTGATAAATGAGAATTTTTTATGTCCAAAAACACTTCCGGCCGATTGCAAAACGCCGGGCGTTTTTCAGGGTAGCTGTCAAAAAAAATCCCTGGTTAGAACCGTTCGGTGACCTCACTACATATTACGAAGTTGTAGTAGTTATACACCATGAAGTGCTACGGAATCCTCTGCACCAAGTCAAACGCTTTTTTCGCTTCTTTCTCATGTAACACGTACGCCCGGTGGTAAATCTCTTCCAAAGACCGGTCCCGGAGACTGACCGGGAACAAATACCACGGAAAATTCTTCAATCTTTCCGCCGTACTCCCCTTCAACGCCCCGATGTCCAAGCCACCGACACTCCCCCGCGTCAGCCACTGCGTCACCGTCTTCCCGACCATGGTGGGTTTCAAAGGGCTGGGCGGTGAGTACGGCTGCGAAACGCCGCCACCGTGGGGGCGTCGCTTCGTCGGTCGCCAGCAACTTGTGTCACCGTAGTGCCCGGACCGGAACGCTTTCTCCTTGTTCCAGGCGAAAAGCGTCTGGTGGGAACGTGAAAAAAGGGTGGGGAGACGGCGCATAGCTGCTGTTGTTCCTCGAGTACTGCGGGTTCAGAACAGCTAGTACTTGTTCGAGATCACCAAGGTCATGTTTCTTCAAACGAAATGGAAAGTGCGTGTAAACAAGATCATGATGATGTTGATTATGAGAAGATGATGATGATCTTCCGAGCTTCTGACTGTTCTGGGAGCAATATGACACCGAGATGGCGCTAAGACCCACGGCAGGCTCATCAAGGTGGCAGCGGCAAGAACAACCGCATCTTCCTTAGTGATGGATCAGAACAGGGACGAAGAAAAACACGACACTCACAGGCTTGTGAAATCGGCGACAAGTGTTTCGTCGCCGCACTGCGGGGGCGAAAAATGGGTTCTTCGTCGTGTATCCCACTGTTGTTACAAACCAGGAGAGTGGCGTGTCGGATTTTTTTATGTCATTTCCAAAACATCAGCACAATTGTTGCATTCCACATAATTAGTTTTCGTACAGAAATGAAAGTCGTATCATACAAGGACCGTTGTAGGTGCAGCACAAACATCATACAAGCGCTGGAAGCGTCGCGTAGTTTAGTACCTTCTATCAAACGTATCGGTGTTGTAATTTGAGTCTTATCTTGTTTAAAATTGTGTCATAGCAATGGATTTGGGCGATTAGTATCAATCAGCTTCACTTTCTTCCTAACATTTCAAGCTACTGCAGCCAGGTTTTTTCCTTTTCCAAAATAGCGGCAACTCGTTCGAATTCCTCCACTTCGTTCTTCAAGTTCCGTTTCAGCCTGTATCTTTCCTCGCCCCGGTGGTAAATTTTTACCTTGGTTCCATACTGCCCCGCCGACCGCTGAATCGGCGGCTGCGACATAGATCGCGCCCCGACGAGAGCTCCGTCCTGAAAGTCGCCAAATTCCTTTTTTAACCTCTGTCTCCTGTGAATCACGGACTTTTTCGCACTAGAGCTCTGCATCGGCGAGGTTGCGTTATTAGATCCAGCATGATTGTTCGCGGTAATCCCGATCGCCTGCAATGGGTGGTTTTGACTGCGGCTGTACTGCTGGCTCTCGCTGCGTATGAAATGCAAAAGCATCGTACTAGTTCTAGTAGTAATCGCATGACAAATTTGCTCAGCATGACAAATGGAATTTCTCATGCTGATTTACTTTGAAAAAGGGATTTGTACTACGAGCACGATACTTTTGCACAGGATACTGCGACTGTTGTCTTGCTGTAGTAGTTCTCTCCCATTGTCAGAGCCGGGGGAGTATGCATTGCAAAAGTATCGTACTCGTATAAATGCATTACAAATTTCCTCTGCATGAGAAACCAAATTTGAAATACGGATTTACGATAAGAAAAAACTTTGTGATGCAGGACTTGCATTTATACGAATACGATACTTTTGCACAGGATAGGGACGAAAGAATTTGACTGCCAGATTGAGAGTGTTGCGGCGACGCTAGATGAGGATCGAAATTACCGCCGGATGAACCGGGCCTCGGGAAAAGGTGATGTTGCCCTCGGTAATCTTCTGGACCTTTCGCGGACAGCCGGGGCCGGAGATATGAAATGCAAAAGCATCGCAGAACTCGTATAAATGCATTACAAATTTCCTCAGCATGAGCCATAGAATTTGTAATGCGGATTGACCTGAAGAAAAGGACTTGTAATGCATGACTGCAATACGAGTACGATACGTTTGCACAGGATAGGACCTCTTTCTTGTCGATTTGCTCCGGGGGAATCAAAGAGGTTGGGTCGATCTGTAAAGTAATAATTATTTTGATCGTTTTTCATCACCAGGTGAGAAGTTTCAGCTAGAAACCGTGTGTGCTTGCGCATGACAAACCTTACGCTGCGTGTATACGAACATGAACATCAACATTTACATTGTGCATCATAAACAGCAAGCCAGTAAAAAACCGTATCAACATACCTTTGACGGCGGTATTATCGGGGGCCTCAGCACCACTCCACCCGGCGACATGGGTCTTTGGTCTCCAAAATACGTTGTCACCATCCACCGATCCCGCTCTTCCACCTGTTTACTCAGACGCGACGAATTTTCTATTCCCTTCTGCAGCCCCTCCGAGATTTCCTCCTGCAGCGGTTTCAACACCCGGGAAACTTTCTCGCCACTTTCCTCCATCACAAACTGCCCCTCGTCTACTTCCTCCACGATTTGCGCCTGCCCCTGCAGGGTCGCCGACAAATTTGGCTGGTGCTGGCTTCGGTTCGCGTTAGTTGTGCTGCTGCTCGCGCGGCTTGAGGAGCTTGACATCGGCCTGGTAACGTTGCCAATCGTCACTGTCGGCGCGTTTTGGAACTGGTGGATTTCGCTACCGCCCAAATTCGCATTCGGATTGACGTACACCGGGTAGGGTCGGGGCTGGTCGCCCGAGGAGTACGGTCTTTGCTGGTGATGTGCAGATCTACTCCGACCATGGATCTGGGAATTCGAGGAGAAGTGACCTCTTGTTGGTGTACTAACGGAAGAATTCACGCCCCCTTGCTGGCCGTAGTTCCCGTACATCTCCAAAACGGCTAAATCTTGGTGGTGCAAGTGTTCTTCCTCCGCTAAGTTTCGTCTCGTTTTCCCGTGCGGGGGGAACAGTTTCGTCACTTCCAAAGCGCCGTCAATGTCTTTCTGCCGGAGGGTGTTGAGGGAAATTTGGTCGTAGAAGTACTCTATCAACTGTAAAAGTGTCTGGGTCTGGAAGAATGCGCGATTTGTCACGCAGCTTTGCCATGACCCATGAGGTCTGGAATGCAGGACCTAGAATGACAGATTTTGCGCGATCTCTCTCATGCCTATCCTGCATGACAAACTCCCTCCCGCCTTGGTCAAAACTGAACGACTTCTGGTAATCATGCAACACAGATTTACGCATGCTTGAGATTTAGCATCACAAGTTGCATTCTTCCAGACCCAGACATTTTTACATTTGATATACTCCGTGGGGGGGCGGAGAACGAAATTGCGGAGATCGTAGCCGTGCGTCTCGTATGCATTGCAAAAGTATGATCGTACTAGTATAAATTGCAATACAAATTTCCTTAGCATGAGAAATGAAGTTTCAATTTCTCATGCAGATTTGCCTTAATAAAAAGATTTGTAACGCAAGACTTGCATTTATACGAGTACGATACTTTTGCAGAGGATATCTCGCTCGTGATCACATCATGCTCCACACCGTTGTCGATGCCTGGTTTTGTTTTTTCGGATGGTCTTCGCGTTAGAAGGCTACAAATCGTCATGCAGAGTCGTGCAGCAAGAACAATGATACGCACACTCTGATGCGTTCTTGCAACAATTTTGACGAGATAGTACTCACAACCACACGACATGTGAAGATGTCGAAAAATCCACCTACCAGCATTCTCCGACACATCCCACAAGATCGCTCGTAACTCCTGGTAGTCGCAATAGCTGTCGCGCATCATGCTCTGGAATTTCGACCAGATGAGTTGATCCACGATGCAGAGCCTCAAATCCAAGTACTCGAGTCGGTGGTCCCCGTGGAAGGGCGCCTGCTCCAGAATTTGAAACAGCTGCGCAATGCACCGCCGGTCTAAAGCGCCGTTACCCCTCATGCAGAGGCGCTGGAGGCTGATGATGATTGTGATTTTCCATAATTCCGATATAATTGTGCAGAAATTGCATCACAAGTTGTTTCATCTTCTTCTATCTGATTAAAGCGATGCAGCAGCTCTTGCACAAGTCCGAGGACATTCCTATATTCTAAAGTAGTACCCTTTCCTCGTCTCTGGTACGAGCATTCCGTCTCGTCTGTTCGCTTTCAAGAATTCCATCTGCCCCAGCACCGCTTCCAACACCCGCCCCACCCCGTTGCCACTTAACCGGTTGAAGCTCGCGCCGAGGAATTTCAACGCGAAATTCTGCTTCAAATAGGTCGCCAGAATCGCGCTCCCCCGCGCGCCCAGTTCGCAGTCGGATAAATCTAAAGCGAGCAGGGACAAGTTGTTCAGGTAAAGGGATTGTGATTGCTGCGGTTGCGGTCCGGAGGGTGCTGTATTGCCGACATTCTGACCCGTGGTTCCTGCAGTACCACCGCCTAGAGAACTCTATCCTGTGCAAAAGTATCGTACTAGTATAAATCGCATAACAAATAAGTAATTTCCTAGGCATGAAAAATGGAACTTCTCATGCGGATTTAGGTTGGGAATTAGATTTGTCATGCATATCTGCGATTAGTACGAGTACGATACTTTTGCACAGGATAAACTCAACCACCCGCCCATCTTGTTGTTGGCGAAGGACACGTATGCATTGCAAAAGTGATCGTTGTTGTACCGAGACAAATTGCAACACAGATTTTTAGAAGAGAAAAGATGTAATTTGTCATGCTGATTTCCCTTAGGCCACGGATCTGTCATGCATGAGTGCGATAAATAATTCGCTTTAGCAATAGTGCGATAGTACGACCTTCTGCAATGCATAACACACAGCGGATGTTATTCAATTTGGACCCGGCGTTGACCTGCATGAAGCGGAAGACGTGCGACGTACTATTCAATGCAAATATGTCTGGGTCTGGAAAGTGTCATGCTATTTTTGCATGGCGCAGAAGATCTGGCAACGAAGCCCTAGCATCACAGGTGGTTTCGTCGAGAAGGTTACGGGGTGCCTAATGCGCATGACAAGTTTCCATTTTTGGTGACAAGAAATGAGCAACTTTTGCGGTCCATGCATGACAGATTTCTTTCTGATCTGAAATGCGGATCAGGAGCTACATGTTAATGTTTCCAGACCCAGACATATTTGCAATGCATACATCCCGATGTTGGACAATCCGCAGCGGTTCAGGTTCAAGACCCGCAGATTTCGGAAGATCGGGCTGGTCCGGGAACTTCTTTTCAGGAGTAACTCATAAACCCCGTGATCCTGCAAACTCGCGTTGCCCCACAAATCCAAATAGAGCACGTACGGGTGGCGCTGGAGCAGCGCGTCGGTGAGTTTTTGGATGGAAAAATAGTCGAAGTCGTTCAGCCCACAATGGATGCTGTAGCAGTTGACGTAAATCAATTGCAGCACGTGTAGCACCTCCTCGAAGCCGAAACCTTCCAAGGCAAGATCCCGGCATTGGTCCTGCTTGGGGAAGCGGCGGGCCGGGATTTTGTACCGGAGGAGGGTGTTGCGGAACGGGTACTTCTGCTCCGCGTGGGGGTTATCGGGCATTTTCTTGTTTGGCGGAGGACGAGGAGAGGAGGAGACGGCACTAGAGGTCCTCGGACTACTTCAAGGAAATAGATGAACTGACGGCCGCGCTCTTGATTGGAGGAGCAGCCAACCAATGCAGTGGTCTCGGCAATGTTGCAGCTGAGATCTTCGTCGTCTGCGAATTATACAGGCTAGCTGCAAGTAGGTGCGATTTCAAAGAAGTCGTCGTTAGCTGGTGGAGCTGGGTAACGCGACCAGCATCATGTCATGTACACTGCGGCTGGCCTGCAACATCCGGTCGATGGAACTGCCCTCGTTCTTTAATTGAAATTCGCAGCGGATGCAACGGGGCGTCAACGCCAGTACAGCACTAGCAGCGGATTATTTCATTTGATTTTCACTCAACATCTGAGCTGCTGTTATGATCTAGCGTGCCGGTGCTCATCTACCACTCATCAACATCTCCACACACGCCGAAATAATGCCGAGGCCGGTGCGGTCCTTGCGTTCCAACACCTGCATCAACAGTGCTGGATTGTTCCATTGATAAGCTGTATTGCATTTGCAATTGCGTGCTGTTCCTACTCGCAAATACAGTCAAAGTCATCAGAGCCCTCCGCTCAGAACAATACAGACTGCGCAGGGCCCTGTGGTGCGAGTGCACCACTTGCAACCGAACACACATACACGCGCGCAGCTTGCTTCACTTTTTTCATTCATCTGCCAGACTAGATCATCGCACACACAGACAATACCCAGAAGAGCCATCAATGCTGGGGCCGGCGCGAGACACTTTTGCCAACCACAAAAATCCAAAATGGGCAGGGCCAACACACTCAACGCGCCACCGAAAGGGCCGCGCGGGCGCGTGGGGCGCAGATAGATTGCGCCCGGCGCATGGAAGCACACGACGGGCGGGTGACAAGAATAGACACAGGCCGCCAACATATGGGCGCGCCCACCAAGAGCTGCCCCAGCCGAGGCAGGCCGGGCGGCCAATGCGGTCGACGCCCCAGCCCCGGGCGGTTGGCCGAGGGGTTTCCACTGGATGGGCGAAAGGGGCGCCAGCCCGGCGCCCACCCGCCCAGGCGCCGGCCGGCCGACGGCAAACAACGCGCCCGCCTAGCGCCCGCGCTTCGGCGGGCCAGCTCTTTTCGCTACGCGCCCCCCCTTGCTGGGGCATCCATGCCGGCCGCTTCAGATATTTTTCGAGGCGCGTAGTCTCTGTGTCGTGGCCATCTGCAACTTCTGCCGGCGCCGTTTTGCGCCCGACCCGCATTCGACCAACGGCCCGGCAATCACTTCGAGGGCTGGCCGACACACCACACCCATCGGCCAAAACACGGCCGCCGGCGCCGCTACCTTTCCCTGGGCGCGGCCGCTGCGCGGCCACGCGGGAGGGAGTCGCCGCCGAAGCAATGGCGGCAGGCCAAACAAAGCGCGGACGACACACAGGGCAACCGGTCGCCTGCTCTAGCTGCTAAATCGTGACCCATCGGCGGGAAGGGCGCTGATCATTTTTTGGTTTTGAAGAAAAAAGCGCGCCTCGCGCCTCTCGCGCTGTGCTCTCAACTTCGGCCGCGCCCCATAACCGTCGAGCGTGTTTTTGGCCAGGGCCGTCGCCATCTCAGTCACTCGCACTCTCATCTCTGCAGGCCACAATGAGAGTTGAGAACACAGAGCGACAAGGAGAACATCGCGTGATCTTTTTTTGCAACACGACACGACGTTGCTCAAGATTGTTGTTCTTCTCAATCAGTCATTCCTTTTGCTCCTCGTAGCTGCATAATTGACCTTTGTACTTCAGAAAACCACATCATTCAGTTCCGGACTCTATTCTCAAAAAATCCGCTTGTTCGTTTCCCTTCACAGCGGGCATCACCAAGAACTTTCCGACTATGCAGCATTGCTATCGCACTTGGAGTTAGTACGAGCAACTCCGCCTTCACCGGAAGTTCTGATTGCAAAGCGAAACAGGAGTGTAATTGAGGAGCGAAAAAGTAAGAGAGATAATCAGAAACCGTGTTTGTGTTGAGTCGCAGGTACGTGTTCGTTTGTTGTGTGATGTAAACAAAAATCCTACAAGTATTGCTTCATCCATTTTCGGTATTTTTCCGTTTTTCTCCGATCCAAAACCTCGGCGGAACTCTCTACCTGCCCGCGTTTTTGGTAGTGCGGATGCAGGTCTTCGTCTGGGATGGGTGGCGGCTGCAGATCTAGTTTGATGTTTCGGTCACTCTGCGAAGCGGTCGGCTTGATGCCCCCGCCAGCATCCCTTGTTTGATGTTGATCCACGTGGGTTGGCAGCGGCAGCAGCTGTCCCTGACTTCCGCCGGGTCCAGAACCGGACTTATTCCGGGTGCGGAGGTAGGCGCCGCGGATTTGCTTGCTGGTTTCCTGGTGCTTGTTGGGGTCTGGGGGGTAGGGATGGTTCGGCGGAACTGCGGCGGCGGCGGGGGATAGTGTAGTTGGGGACCTAGTGTTTGATTGAACTATCGCACTAGATGAGTGTAAGGGCGTGCTGGTTCTGATTCTGTTTCTGTAAAAAAACTTGAACTTCTACCAAAACATCGTGTGCATTACATGCATGTTCACGCTACACACCATTGTGCTGGAACTATATTGCAATAATTCATTGTATACCCTGGCACCACCGCCACTCCTCCGATTTTATTCGCATTCGCATTCCCTCTGTTTCCACCGCTGTGCAGCTTGTTCCCCCCGCCGTCCATGAAGTCCGCTCCTATCCCGGCGGGCCTGGGCCCGCTGTGCGCGGGTTCGATTCCCGTTGGGCTCCTGTGGTGGTACACCGCGTAGCTCTTCTTCCCACTGGAGGCGGAGGAATCCGGCCTGGTGCCCGTTCTTAAACTCGAGGGGGTACGCGGTATGGACTTGGACGATTGCGGTCGGGAAGACTTTTTCTTCTTTCTTCTCGACGGTGGAGAACTACCAACAGCAGCTCCATCTGGCGATTGTTCTTCGGACTCGAAATCGTCCGAGTAGTCGTTTTCCTCCTCCTTGCTGTCAATATGGTACTTCAAGGGGTCCAACCCCTTGTAAATCTCGACGTCCTGCTCCAGTTTTTCTTCGGGCGACAAGGGTTGCATCTTCCGTTTTCGGAAGTCGTGCTTCTGCTTGCCCTCTATCGTCGTGATCTGGGTGTGCTTCGCGTGTTTCAGCAGGTTCTCCAGCGCCTTCTCGCCCTGCTTCACGACGGTCAAAATCGACAGCGCGTCTTTGGGCATCTCGGACTCGTCTTGGTAAGTTTGGAACACGTTTTGCGGCTGTTTCGGCAGGTCTTCACGGATGTGTCTTCTCGCAGCCCCTCGGGAGGGTGAACGCGGAGAGATACTACTTGCGTTGTTCCCGCCCGCCCCAAGTGCTGCGTCGGTCGACAACTGTTGTTGTTCGTGCAGTTGGTTGATCGACAGTTGCAAGGAGTTGTTGTAAGAATTCGCCCCGCCGCCACGACTGGCGTTCTGGTTTCGCAAAGAATTTTGCACGATTATGAACTGCAAAAGTATCGTAGTAGAAGTAGTATAAATTGCATTACAAATTTTCTCAGCATGAGAAATAAAATTTGTAATGCGGAGTTGCCTTTAGAAGAAAATTTCTAATGCATGATTGCAATTACTACGAGCGCGATACTTTTGCACAGGATAGCGATCAACTTCCGCTTATTCGCGATGAAATTCTCCGTCGCCGCCCGTTTTCGGTTCTCCAATTGCTGCAGCCTCGTTTTTATGAATTGCAAATATGTCTGGGTCTGGAGGAGTGCAAGTTTGTCATGCTTGTCTGGCATGACTCGAGAATCTGTGTTGCATAGGCACGAACAGGCCCTCTCGCCTGTCATGCAAAAACGCAGTTTGCCATGCGGAATACGTAACACATGGCCGCCAAATAATTTGTCATGCGTAAAAGTAAATGCGTACTGCAGTGCTTTTATCATTTACTTTTAGCATTACAGGTTTCCAGATCCAGACATATTTGCTGTCCATAGTTTTGTCCGCGGCCGGGGTGGAGGAGGAACTACTACCGCCGATCTGCTCGTTTTTCAGACTCTCCGCCAGGTAGCTGGGGGGAATCGGGGCGGCCTCGATAATCTCGTCGAACCGGGTTTTGATCACCGGTAACCGGAGCGGCTTGTTGTGCTCCACAGCGTCGCGGATGGAGGAGTCTTGGACTTGGTTCGCGGAAGCACTTGTTGCGCCGGGAGGCAGCGTTGTCGTACCAGGAAGAGAGACGGACCTGGTCGTGGTGTTGATAGTTAATACGGGTAGTGAGATAAGAACGTTTAACATTGAACAACAACAAGCACTTGTTTACTTCATCTGCATCTTCTGCAACATCCAGAAACAGGAGTAGAGATTTTGTCATGCGCATCAAAACCCAAAATGCTCGTCAATTACTCAAATACCCTTGGAACCGTTCACCACCTCCTCCTCCCTGCGCGGCGTTCAGCCCGGGCGCAACGGTCGGTGGATTTTTGTTCGTGAAGGATTTTTTCTGTCCTCCGAACGCGCCGATGCCTAGCCCCTCTAGTTCCGCCTTCAAGGCGTTGAGGGTCTTTTTTGACAGTCCCTTCTCGCCCAGTTTTTCCAAGTCGCGGTTTATTCTCGATTTTTTCGAATCCTCGTTGGAGCCGCCCAGGTAACATGCCAGGTGGGAGCGCTCGGTGATACCTGTCGTGTTTGTTCAATTCATTTTCATGATGGCCTAAATAAAAGATTTGATGATCCCTTCGAACATGAAGGTCAAGATGCATGCATCATGAGCATGTGCATGTCGAAAAAATAAGTAAATCAAAATCTCACCTAGCCGGACGAGTTTTCGGCTCGCCTGGAAGATGTTTTTTGCACTCCAATGCGGCGCACATTTTACCAGAAGGTCGCGGAGCTCGCGAGAGATCATTCTTGGAGGTCATAATTAGAAGAGTTGTAACCGGTAATGTTTTTTGGTATGCTGTCTCTCTCGTTTGATCTCAGAGTTTGAGTTACTAGAGCTGCCTCCGGACCAGATCCATTCCAAAACACGGAAACAGGGTCAGAGTCGTTGGTTCATCAAAATTCAAATTTCTTCAGAGACGACAACGACAAGGAAACCAGGACCCAATAGAATTCGTAGAAGAATCTTCGGGTCTTACTCTACTTCATCTTCTTTCACCACTGCATCTGAAAACCAAGAACAAGCCTGCTCTCACGCTCTCGACCACTACATAAAAAAGCTAGAAACAACTGGCACCTCCTCCCGATCGCGTTGTGTCTCCTCGGCTCAATGCTTACGCCCTCTTCTAGAACCCACAACGAGCTGCAGCTGTCGCATTGAGCAAAGAAAAGCGCGGCTTGCGCTTGTTCGAAAAAAAGCGAACCAATCTTGGTCAACAACAAAATTAGTGAATACGATAGGCGCTACGTCGAACGTTGCCAAGGCCCAAGGGGCCGTCCAAGTGCGGCGCATAACAACACAACGGCGGCCCCTGACCGGGCCAAAGAACAACATGCCGCACCAGGCTCGAAAACTACTTGACGCGCGACGCCCTTGCGCCGAGGCCGGCTGGCGACCGACCGGGGGAAGGGAGCACACCTTCGAAGCACCGACAGGGGGTGCTCACACACTGACGCCCCCCACTGCGCCGCCCCTTGTTGGTGCTGCGACGCGAGCCATTTTTCTCGGCCGGGGCTGAGCGGGCGCGAACCTGGCCGGGGGCGAGCGCGCGCGGCGCCATTGGCGGCCCGGTACGCCGGCCGCCGCCGCCCCGGCCAAGGGCTATAACAAGGCAGCGCGGCCGGAGCGTCGGGGCCCACCAGCCAGGCGCGCAGCTTGGGCCCTTGGCTGGCGTGGCAAAATGCACAGGCTGACGTGGGCCGGCGGGCGGCGCGGTCGGCTTGCGCGGGTTCGCGCTCGCAATGACGCCGCTTTTTCCACACTGGGCCCCTCGCCGTCGTCCTCTGCGTCAGCCGGACAAGGCTGCTGGGACGGCCACAGAGCTACCGGCCCGCTTCGCTAGCTTCTTCTAGACGAAGGCGCCGCCGTGCGGGGGCTTCGCTGAAGCATCAAAGCACGGGCGGGCACGCCCCTGGCGCCAATAACACAGGCGCGCAACCACGCGCGTGACACCACAGACGAGCGCCATGATGGCTGCGCAGCTGGGTCTCGCCGCAATCGCCGTCGCGGAGATAGGAGAGGGCTAGCGGTTACAGCAGGACAAGCCTGCTTCTCCAATCGGCGGCGGAGCCATGGCGCCAAGACGCAAGATCTTCAGGCCCACCCACGCCCTCGTGACATAGTAACGAGCCATCTTTGTCTCAATTTCGATCACACGGAAATCCGGAACGGAAACCGGGTGGGAAAGTCAATGATCGTGAGACAAACTCGAAATAGATTACTTTCAAAAAGGAAAAGCCTCTCGCTCAGCCTGTTGTAGAACAGAAGTGCGTACCGGCGTTCGCCACACCCTCGCCATCCAACTACACTCATCTCTCAACAGCAAAAAGTTGCTGGGTCTCGAGAAGCAAGAACTATTTCTATTTCTGCTTGACGACTGCAGCGGGAGCTTTTGCTTTGTCATCTCTCGTTCGGAACAAGAGGATAAGGTCGCGCGGTTGCAAATTGAGACGGACAGATTTGCTGTTGCAATCGGCGCCGGAACAAGAGGCAGGCCACCGGCGGTCCGCTGCGACATCTCACGCAACCCACAGCCGGGGGGGCCGCTCCAGGGAGGCCACACGCGGCGCCGGCGCCACAACGCACGCAACAGGGTGCCGCGGGACGCCGGTGCGCGCGCCGGCAGCGATCCGGGGCGGGCCTCGACCCTTCCGCGGCGCCGCGACGGGGCGGGCGGGGGCGGGGCACAACACACGCCCGCGACAACAACAAGCGCGGCCGCTCGCTGCCGCATTGTTTGGCCCTGGCCCATCGCGGCGGGGGCGGGGCTTGATCGCGGTCGGCCGGACGCGCGGCCACCGGGCGCGGCACCAGGCAAGTCATTGGCGCAGGCGCGAAGCCGGCACAGAAAAACGAAAGGCGACGTGCGCGGCGGCTTGGGCGCAGTGCTGGAGCGCTTGGATTCGCTCTCGGCTTTCTCTGGTGCAGAAGCCGCGGCGGTAAATTTTGGAGCCTGGTTGTTGTAAATCGTCGGTCGGGCCTGTCCATGGCAGTCGTCGCCGCCCGTCGCTCCATGCCATTGGCGGCGCGAATCGTAGGGCGCGCGGCCCTGATCGGGGCGCCCCGCCTGATTCTTCAGCCTCTCACGACAATCAACGCGGACCCTGGAGCCCGCGGCCGCGTTCTGGGAAGTACTGATATGCCAATACGAGGCACACACAGCCATATTCTAGTGCGCTTCGACTCGTGGGGAGAGAAGAGAAGCTCCAGGTGTCCACTCATCACTCGCCATCCATCGTCCTCGATTATCTCAGCAACGAAAAAGGGACACTCGAGCACATCAAACAAGAATACAAAAATCTCTCAACATGCACATAGTTGACAACTTCAAAAGACTCTGTCCAACCGCAACTACCTCGACCCTCGGTGGAATAAAAGGAAGTTTTCGTGACGAGGAGAGGTGAACGCAACGGTACATGGTAGCTGCTAGCAAACGGCTCAGCTACGCTGCACCTCCATAGACAAAAGTCCCAAAGTTCACACATCGAATTTATGCACAAGTCTGTTCAATAGGAACAGGCGGAATCTTACAAGTACAAGTTTTCATCGTCTAGGTACTACTAGGTGATGTTCTTGGGATTGCCGGCATCATTCTGGTTCTCGATGGGAATGATCAACCTCCATGTTTGATGCGCCATGTCGTGCTTGCGTCACCAGCAACGTCAAGTTGCTACTTACAAATGCGGGTCCCACAGGATCGAAACGTAATGTACAGTACATTCTTACAAAAAAAGTTAAGAAACCTAAATTTGGTACATGGTTTTCCCATTTTCCTTTCGCATTAACCACTTTCTGGTTGTTACATAGTGATAGCTTTGCAAAGATGTTTTGATTTACTGCCTTCGCCGCGCCACCCGTGCGCAGCAACTTATTTTGTGTCAAAAAGCTAGTAACACAAAAACAGATGGATAGTGTGTTGATACCTTTTGTTTTCATACGTGTATATTTCTGATTGATTTTGGTTTCAATGAAGATTAATGTCTACGACTGACGAACGCGTCTTAATTCGTGGTCTGAGTCGAAAGAACTGCAGCTTTTTTGTCAAATTCCCCTTATGCGACCTCCTCCGCCACTTCCCTCCGGATTTGGATGTTTTTCTCGTACAAAACATTCTCCAGCGGACCCTTGACCGGTTGTAACTGCCCAGCGACCTTCATGTCATCGGCCCAAGAACCTGTCATGCGAAGTTTGGAATGACGATGAATTGTTTGAAAACGAAACAAATAATGAACAAGCATCAAGGGAACACCGACACGCATGTGACAAGCACAAAATGAAATCGCATTCGAAGTTGTGCATGAGAACAAAAAAAGTACGCCATCTTCCTCTATACCTTTGAAGAACTTGAACGGCTGGCTTTCGACGTACATAATTTCTCCCTGGCCATGTCGCTTCCCATTACAAAAATCGCCTGTGTACGTCCCGACGCTGGCAATTTCCTGCACCCCCTTGCCGTGCTTCAGATCATCTGATAGAGTTTGATTGATGTGTGTTGCGATCCTTGCATGCGAATTCATCTTTGCTTCTGCAATGGCTATGGCATCATCTCAATTGCGCATGACAAGAAAAACAAAAAGATGAAGGCTGTGATAGTACTTATCTTTTTCTATACCTGCCCACTCGCCGGTGTATTTCTCCGAGTGTGGTAGATTTGCCCGGAACATCTTACTCGACAGCTCTCCTTTCCCGTGTCGCTATGCACTGCAAAAGTAGCATCGTACTAGTAGTGTAAATCGATTCATGACAAATTTCCTCAGCGTGGTGAGAAATGAAATCTGTAATGCGGATTTAACTTGAGAAAGAAATCTGTAATGCATGAATGCGATTAGAACGTCGAGTACGATAGTACTTTTGCGATGCATAGTCGCAAGTTTTCTACGAAATCACCGGAGTACGTCACGCCGTCCTTCAGGTAATCAATCGTCCCGACGCCGTGCATATCAAATGTAAAAATGTCTGGGTCTGGAAGAATGCATGTTTGTCATGCTTGTCTGGCATGACTCTTAAATCTGTCATGCGCGTTCGCCACGAGCTCCATTTTTCTGCGATGCAGAAACGCAGTTTGTCATGCAGAATAGGCAACACCTAGAAGCTCAGAAACTTGTGATGCTGAGCCAGCATTTGTGGCCTCATCATGAGACGCCAGCCAGCATCACAGGTTTCCAGACCCAGACATGTTTACATTCGATAGTGCATGTTGTCTCGGTGGAAACCTCCCGTGTACTCGAAATCGAGGGTCTTTAGAGTGCCAGTCCCGTGTCGGAAACCCTCGCGCCAGTCGCCTTCGTACCTGTGAATTCATGATGTTCAACATGTGTATACACGCGTAGCTAGAAGTGGTCGGTTGGTAGTTCACTGCATGATCACAGACACCACGAGTAAAAGGGAGTTGCAAAGTACTAGATGATCAGCATCAAGTTGATAAAGATTTGTGAGCAGACATAAGTTAGTACGTTGTCCTCTTCTCGTTATCCGTGAACTTTCCCTTTCTGTGCTTGTAGCTCGATACCCACTCGCCTTCGTACTTGTTTCTTTCGTAGAAGTAAACGCCGTAGCCATGAAACTCGTCACGAATGAACTGGCCTTCGTATCTTGTGCCCGGAATGCGGGAAAAGTAGTACCTGATAGGAGTTATGCATGGTAATTCATATCAGCATTCGCTTTTCCGCATCACAAAAAATCGCAGTGACAAAAAACATCCTAATCCTTATATCATACGTTCCGTTCCCCTGCCTGAATCCGTCCACAAACTCCCCCTCATACACATCCCCATTTTCGTATTCCACCCTTGAAAACGTGTTTCTCACGACCGTCACCGGGTAGGATTTCTCCAGCGGTGGGTACTCGTGCTTCTTCTCCAGCTCCTCTCGAATCTGCTCCGGCTCCAACTGCATTGGCTTGGTGGAGCTGCTCGACTGTGTGGGCGGCGACATGATTTTCTTTTCAAAAATCCTCCGGTCAATGCTGTTCCAGATCTTGGCCTCAATGGGGAGAAATCTACGCTCTTCATGGGTTAGGGAATTTTGAATAAAGGAAAAAGCCGTTTCCACGGAGTTATTCACGTCGGAGTGGGGCACGACGAGACCGGAGGGCGTGGTCGTGTAGGAAGGGCGGGTTGTGGTGGCGGCTGGTGCGCCGCCTGCAGTTGTTCCGGTTGTGGGGCTGGGGGCACGCAGGGACATTTTGGTGGAGGCTGTGGATGGTCTTCTTCGTGGCCGCCTTGGAGGTTTTTCGTCTGCTCTTTTAGTAAAATAAAATTGAAAAATGATGAAAAAATCGAACAAATATAGAGTCGCGCAAATAGTCGCGAAACTCAAGAGGGGTCGCGGTTGACGTGAATTCGTTCCTGCGATAAACATTTCGTTGTCATTCTTCATTGTAGGCGACGTTGCAAATGCAATTTCTCATTTTGAACGTTTTCGTCTCCGTCATGTACGATTCGTCAACACGAGGTACGTAGTGTCTTCACGTTACCGGCTTTAGATGTACGACGACAAAACGGACGAAGTGTTGTGGGTCTTGTACGAGGACAAAAGCAAGTTAGTACGTTGTTGAGAAGTAGATCACTCTAGTTCTACTCCTGGAACAAGTTGAAGCATTTTGGACTGAAAAGGCAGAGATGTAAAGCAGGCGTAAGTTGAATGCAAAAGGTTGCAAAAACGTTGAGCGCCAGGTTTTCAGGAACAGCACAACATCAGAGCGCGCACGTTCTTCATCTCAACCTTCCTTCCTATCCCACAGCCGCAGCAACCCCTTGTCTTGGCACGACACCATCACAGACAAATTCCAGTCCAACCCGACTGGTGCCTCGACATCGGGAACCTGCGTCACAAGTTTCAGGCCGGAAGATACCTCCATCGTGTACAGAATATTGCCGATGCTTGCCAGTTTAGTACCCGTGGTCTCTTCTGCTTGCGGCTCTCGCTCTCCTACGACTACGCTGCTTGATTCAGACGACGCGAGAAACACCAGAAACTGACCGCAACTTGAGAAGGCCAGCAAGGAAGAGCAGCGCGGAGGTGTCAATGCAGGTCCCCGCAGACGCTGCTGCGAACTCCACTCCCAGAGAACTTGGAAAGCGGCAGTCACCCCGTATGTTGAACCTGATGAACCACTTGTCGCGGCGGGGACAGCGGAAACATGGTGCTGAACTGCAACAGACGCACGAAGCAGCCGTAGCTTCTCTCTCCCGTCGGAGACTGCGATAAACAACGTTTCTTGTAGTCGGCTATTTGTCCGCAGCGCGTTAGCTGGACTCCCACTTCCGCTACTCGACGTGTGCCCCAGGTGCGGACTGCTGTTGTTGAAGAGCCGGATTGCTTCCACACTCGCCTGCTGTACTCCCTCTCCAGCACCAAAGACGCTGCGGTATACCGCAGGGTTTTGCAGAAGAGTCGTTTCCTCAGCGGGTGCTCCACCACGCCGCTCGATATTGCGCTCCGAAGCGAGTAGAAGATCGCCCTTTTTCGTACCCAGGCAGAAGTAGGAAGGAGAGGCTGATGAGGTACTATCAGGAGTCGTGCCTGGAACGAAGTCGTGTGCTGCGTCGCATGCGGTGAAGCCGTACGATTCGTCTTCGTCAGTTTCAATCTGACCTTGGCCAGCTCCTTTCTGCTGGAGTAGAACCTTCATCGCCACTTGCGCAATTATCGGGATCGTTTTACCACCACTGGTTTCCTCTCGGTTGTTGATCTGCAAGAACGTTGTCGTCGACCGTCCGAGCGGTTTATTGCCACCCATCCCGCCGCGCTCCCGCGTCTGCACGGCAAGTAGCAGCCAGGAGGAGCGGCTGGTCCCGTTATGGGCAATACCTATACCAGGTGTAGTGGCTGCATTGGCACTGACATTGTGTTGCTCCGCGAGGAATTTGAGTTCCACGACCTCGTCGTGGCTTGGTTCTGGAGTAAGTTTGTAGCTGCAGAGAAACGGGAACTCGAAGATATTCTCTTCCGGCTCGCGGAACTCGAAAAGCACAACAAGTGCAGCTGTTGGCGCTGATAATTCATTTTCCCCGCTAGTCTCGAGCGCCACGGCTAACAAACTGCGGTCCGGGGAGAAGGTGGCGTACGAAATTTTTGCGGGGCTGTCTACAACTCCAGGATCATCGCTCCTGATTCGCTGTTCTTGTACTACCGCATTCACATCCAGCGTCGCCAGCAGTTTCGCGCTCTCCGCGTCGAGCAGTAAAACATGCCCCGAGTCGGTTCCGATCACGAAAAAAGCGTCCTGTTCCGTCACGGAGCATATGAAGTGCAAAAGTAACGTACTAGTATAAATTGCAATACAAATTGGCTCAGCATTACAAATTGAATTTGCAATGCGGATTTGCCTTAGGAACTAGATTTGTATAATGCATAAATGCAATTAGTACGAGTACGATACTTTTGCACAGGATAGAGCAGGTAAAACACGTCAACTCCTTGTCTGGCGTCACGAGTCTCTTCTGCCGTTTCACCCGCTCTGGGGGAGTGGAGTGGGAGTTGTTGTAAGCTACTGCCATGTAGTCAGTAGCTGTGGTAGCAGGGGGACCTTGCTGCTGCAGGCTCGCTGCTCCCGGGTTATTTGACGGTGGTTGCAGTGGCTCCAGAGGAGACGGCACTACACTAGACGGCAACGAGGAACCGCCGATCGAAGCGGGTTGTTCTACACCCGATTTGCTACTTATACTTCCTCGAGGAGCCGCGGCTTGTCCCTCTGGAGGGCGCTGCACCGATGTAGTGGAAAACTCGCCTTGTTTTGCGGTGGTACTGGTACCTTTGTAGCTCGCCCCGGTCCCGCCTATTGTCGTCTCGAGTGAAGTACTTCCAGTTCCAACATGTAAACCACTCTTACTGGCACCGTTCCCGCCGGGCACCAGCTGCGCGGAAGTTGACAACCCTGGTGCCCCCGAGGTCGTGGTGGACTCCCCACCGGGTGTCTTCGCTTGTTCCGGAAACAATCGCCTGTCGATGTGGTCTAACAGCTGCAGCTCGTGCCTCCGCGCGTCGTGTAGATCTTCCTTCGCCCGGAGATTCGCTCGCAACTGTTCGTTCTCCTTTAGGAGTCGCTCCATCTTGTCTGCGAGTCTCTGCATCTCTTTGCTGGTTGTATTACTGTCGTTTTGTATCTGTTCCACTGGAGACGGCTGTGCACTTGCACTAGTTGACGACGCGGCATAATTATGAAGGGCTGCACTGGACGAGGCCGCTTGATTCCTCGCCACCTGGACCTCTTTCCGCATTCTCTTCGCTTCTTCCTCCGCCCGGTACATGCGGCTCAGGCAATTTTCTAGGTTTTCCTCCAACTCGCGCACCCGGTCTTCGCTTTCAAAATGCATCGCCTGCGCGTGGTGCTTCTCCACCTGCAACGCGTCTAGTTGTTTCAGCAATTGCATCTGTTCGTGGTCGGCCAGCATGTCCGCTACTGGGGACTGCATCTGGTCCCCGTTGGGAGACACCGTCACTGCGGTGTTGGAGAATTGCACTTGATTTACGATTCCTAATTGTGCAGCACCACCGCTGTTTTGCAGCGGACCAACAACTGCACCTGGTTGGTACGGCACGGGTTGGTGGAGATGCGGGGGCACGAGTAAGTTATTCCCACTCCCTCCGCCCCCTTGCGGAAGGGTCGGGGACGGGGAACTCGAGATCGCTGTGTTGGTCGTTTCGCCGGATAAAGTCCGGGCTGCCGAGGCAAGCTGTTGGTGCTGGCTAGAAAAAACCCTCGGATCCGGGGAAAACGGCCGGGAGATCCGGCCGGAATTGGATGTGAGATTTGCGGAGTTGAGGATTGTCGCTTGGTAGTGCTGGATGAGCTCCGAAAATTCTGGTTGCGCGATGAGCTTCATGCTCCGGAATTCCAACTGTCGTTCGATGTGCAGCCGCCAGGGCGGGTACTCGGAGATGGGGAGGGGTGGGGCGGTTTTGTTATGCTGGTTTGATGTAGAGGAGGTACTGGAAGTAGCAACTCCTCCGCCTGAACCTGATGTTGGTTGCGCAGCTGCAGCATTTTGCGCAAGGACACCGCTCCCGCTAGTAGCAACTGTGTTGGGAATATTTCCAGACGCCGAGCCCGATCCGGCGGAACCCGAGCCTTTGAGAGAAGACGGTGGGTTGTTGCTGGGTGTGTTCCCAGTGGAGGACGTCGCGGACGACGCTTGTGATTGGGTCGTGGAACTCATTTTTGTTCTTTTGTACACTGGGGGCTAGCCGTATTATAGGCTAAGTAAGACAACTGAATGTCCTATTCCGCTTAGAGAAAACGATGTACACGGCAAAGACTAGGACACCAGCAGGAGCTGCGCCTACGTAGCGCCATAGTTATGCTTATGTGATGAATCACTCCAAGTTGTACAACTAGATCATCAGCTCCGTGCTTTTCGCTCATTGCACCGCTGCAGAGCAGTTCAAGAAAGAAATGTCTGTCATCAAACTCAAGCTTTGAAATGAAGAAGAGGCTGCCTCGACACCACAGAAACACGGTAAGAGAAGAAGCACCGTGCCGACGAACAAGCACTGGAGAGGAACATCTAGGAGGTGCTGTGCTCCTGCAGACGCTGAGGTCGTGAATCCATGTTAATTTGAAGTTCCAGTTTGTCGCTTTGCATTTTCCATGTTGTAAGTACTCGTTTAAAAACAAAAAGCAAGCACAAGCATGACACCCAAGCTCTTCTTCAGATGTCATCTCCACCTACTACGTCCTCTTAATCTTATGCCGCCAGACACACGCTTCTCCTTCTTGCATTCAGCATATCGGGCAGTGTCTGCCATTCCAGTGTTTCCAAATCCAACCGAAAAACTTTCTGCACCGGCTGGCCTTTGCTGTTACCCCCGCAGACGAAGATGGAATTGGACAGAACTTCTTCCGTGGTCTTGCTGGTAGTTCCAACCTCGTCAATATCCGCTCGTGGTTCAGCGGTCATCTGCATAGCAGGTTCTTGACCAACATGCGACGACAAGTTGTACCCACAGGCGGAAAAGCAGTGATAATCCGGGAGCGGCAGGGTGCAGTCGAGCTATCCAAGAAAAAAACATTGTAGGTGTAACTTTTTTGTAGGAACAGCATTACAAATTTGTCTGGCATGACAGCAGACACCTGTCATGCGCAGATAGTACGCGAAAACGCCCTTTAATGGACCCGACGATGCATGCCAAGCATTACAGACGCAATCACTTCGCATGTTGCGCATCACAAATTTACACTAACAACGTTTTTTTCTTGGATACGAGCTTTTCGTAGGCGAGTGTGATTTGCGGAAGGATCGTTCGCGGTTGCTCCTTATCAAATGTAAAAATGTCTGGGTCTGGAAACTTGTGATGCTGGGTGTCGTCTCATGATGAGGCCACAGATGCTGGCTCGGCATGACAAGTTTCTGAGCTTCTAGGTGTTGCCTATTCTGCATGACAAACTGCGTTTCTGCATCGCAGAAAAATGGAGCTCTTGGGTAACGTGCATGACAGATTTGAGAGCCATGCCAGACAAGCACGACAAACATGCATTCTTCCAGACCCAGACATTTTTACATTTGATACTGCTCGTCCTCGACTCCCACTAAAACCTTGTAAACGGCCTTTCCGTTTCCAAACGGGAGAAGGTAGATCACATTTTTGCCACTTCCTAACGATGAACTCGTGGTCCCTACTGCTTGCACACAACTTTCCCTGATGTCTGCGGGTAGTGGGGAAAGCCTGTCTTCTGCATTTTCCGAATCCGATGGGTGCAGCCAGCACTGGTTTAAGCAGTCGAAGCAGTCCACTTTGTCCGTTTTCTGATTTTCGGAGACAAATCCGCCGAACACGAAGATAAATCTGTCTTTGAAAGCCGTGACGCCGGCTAGTCGGCGGGCCGTGGGGAGGGGTTGGGGAACAAGGGAGCTTTGGGTCGGGTCGACGTTGTCCTCTAAGGTGTCTCCCCTTGTTTGTTGTCGTTTTCCACCTTTCATCTTCGCCGATGTTGAACCTGTGCGAGACGTTTTTCGGTTGTTGGCCGCTGCACCACGTCCCCGTCCAGTAGACTTGCAGGAGTTCTTCGCTCTAGAAGCGGTTAAAGCACCGTCTTTAGTACCACCTTTACCAGATGTCGTCGCAGAAGATGACGACGCACTGGACGATGACGAGGAGGCTGATCTTTTCGTGTTGTTTTTTCCCAGCAGCATCTTCCTTCGTGGCTGGTGATGGAAACACGGCTGCCACGTCCACTTCTGCTTTTCGTCGCTGTATACGAGCTTTTCAATCAACGAGCAGCTCACCGTTCCATATTCCCAGCCGCCAACAGCGTACGCCGTGTTCCGCACGGTCACGAGAGACAAGGCGTGCCTCGCGGTGGCCAACTTCGCTTTTTGGAGGGAGCGGAGAGAGAATCTGTCTGTGTTGTAGTTCTGGAGCTGATTTGGAAGATCGGCTGCCACGGCGCTGTGATCATTTGCTCCGTCGAGTCTTCCGGAGCCGCGAGGGCGAGCTTCGACTTTGTCATGATGATTCTGAAACAGAAACTCCGGCGCGGTAGTGTCCAAGTCGGCTAGGATTTCCGTGGTGGCCAAATTGCCGTCGCAACTCCCACCGCCCGCGACGACGAGGATTTTTTGTTCTCCCAGCTGCATGTGTGCTTCTTTCGCATTCTGCTCTGCTACAGCAGCGCCATTGCTCCTTTCCTGTTCGTTCTTCTGCATGGCAAAGTTAATTGCGCAGCAACCATGCGACCCGCGCGCTTCGTCGAGGATCGGAAGCCGCTCCCACTTTATACCCCCTTCAGGCGAGGAATTTGTCATGCTAGTATCCCCGGAACCAGATAGAACAAGTCGATCCAACCTGAGCCTTTCGCACTGCTGCATCGTGTCTCCGCGGTTCCGGCCGCCAATCACGTAGAGGTAGGGACAACAGGAGCTCGGGTCGTTGTTATCTGTGGAGAGCCGCTCTTTCTTCGCCCGCGCGATTGCTTTCCCTGCTGGTGTGGAACAGGTTGTTGACAACGAGATGTCAAGTTCGGTAGTTGTTGTTTCCGCACACGGTCCAGCAGCAGCAAGTCCCTCCAGAACCACGCCATCTGCTTTCAGCATCAACGGACACTCAACTGCTTTATGTCCCTTTTGCAAGCAGTAATGACAATGACTATGGTCTAAGTCGCACTTCCCAAGTTTCCATCTTTTACACCCGTTCTCTTTGTCGTAGTTGTGAAAGCGGCAAATCTCAATTTCTTGTTTTCCGGTTGCCGTGTCCAGCTGCACAAACCTTACCGGGCGCTTGAGCGGATAGCGGTCTTCGAGATCCTTGCCGTTGCGGCGAAATTTGCTCCGACCCTGGATCTCCTCGCTGTCGGCTTTTTGCTGGAAAAGGGTAAAGAAGTCTGTGCCCGCGGTTTTGAAAAAGACGTCGTCGGACCGTTTTTGTTGTCTCTGACAACTTTCATGAACGACGTTGAGGACATCGTTCTCATGTTTCATCTCCACATCACCCGTCTCTTCGACATGTCCATCCGCAGCAGCTTGAGCTTCCTTGGTACAGCTGCCCAGCTTCTTGTCCTCGACGTGCTTGTTCCCCTCTCTATCCGTCATCCCCGATGTTGAAACATATTCCTTCATCAACGCGTACAATTTTTCGCTTTTCACCACAAACTTCTTCTCGATTCGCCCAAGTCTTGACTGCGCCCCGCACGTCACACCAGATTCCAATAAACTGGAGATCAACTTAAAAACCGCCTTCAATTCCCTCGTGCCGTTGATGTCGATGAAGCAAACTTCCGCTGGTTTCGCCCACGTTTTGATGAAGCTCTGGTCTTCTAAACAGTCCACTCGGTGGTACCGGAGGGAGCAGAGAGTTTTGGATTGCGTGTTGTTATCTGCGTTTTGCCAGTTTTTTGGCCCGTCTTTTTCCAAAACTGGGGTTTCGTAGTGTTTTCTCGCGTGCTCGTACATATCGAAGCAGCTGTCGAACCCGATTATTTGCACCAAGTCTTGCTTCATTTTCTTGAATATCCACTGCAAAAGTATCGTACTCGTATGAATTGCAGGCATGCATGACAAATCTGGTTTCCTACCCAAATCTGCATCACAAATTCCAATTTTCTTCCTGATAAAATTTGTCATGCGATTTATACTAGTACGACACTTCTGCAATGCATATTGAAATTCGGTGTTTCTTTGATCTCCTCCGGGATCTTCGATTTCACGTAGTTGCAGCAACTGTCGTACAGCATCTTTGTCGTTTGCCCGTGCGCGGACCCAATCTCGATGACCCTGGAGGGAACGATGGGCAGTGGGGTGAAGATGCTTTTTTTCGACGATTTTTCGGCTTCGTCGATGGTTTCGTCAAGACCAGCAGCGCCGTTTTTGCCTTCTCCTTCATCATCCACCGCCGTGACCGGCACCGCCCGGAGCCAGTTCTTGACGTGCTTTGCGCATTTCCGGTATTGAGTCGTCGTGTTGCAGACGATGATGTGGGCTTGCTTGTCACTTTCGTCGTGGTTCTCCACATCATTTTTTGGTTCGTCGGACCGGAGAACGCAGCGGTTTCTCTCCCAGTCCGCGTCGAATAGAATGAAACGGACGTTGGGAGGAGATATGCTTTTTGAGTTTTCCACTTCACACGCCGTCCTCGCCTGTGAAGATGGAGATGCAGGGTCTGATGTCCTCTGATGAGTAGAAGGAGCTGCAGTACAATCCACAGCGCGCTGCTCCTCTTTTTGGAACTTATTTTTCCCCACGCCGCCCGAACGAGGAGGTGCAGTAGAGGGCATGACCACTTTGCTCTCAATTTGCGTCGTGTTCGTCTCGGTGGGTGAAGATGAACTGCAGACAACTGCAGACGAGGAATTCGAATTTGCTCCACCAGAGCTCCTGCTTGTCTTTTCAATCATGGGCCGCTTCGGCTCTGGAAGGAGTGTGTACTCCGCCTCTGGGACCACGTGGCCGTCATTCATTTCGTAGTCGTCTCGTCTCGACGGACATGAGTCATTTTCTAGGCTAAAGTTTTGGTTTTCTGAGATGCCGGTGGAGCTGCACGGAGAAGGATCGATAACTTGGTTGTTCATGATGTTGATAGTAATGGCGCCAGGTGGTTCCTGCTGCCATAGACGTAAGTAGAAGTACAACTTGCATTCAAAATCCTCGTGGCTGCGACAGAAGATTCGAAATTTCACTACGGCAACGCGAGAAGATATTAGCCAGCCTAAGGCGTTGCTTTGCCTACCGCTACAGGCCGCGCGCCTATAGTCCTTTTCAGATTACCGGTCATTCACTTGTTCGCCTGTGGTTTTCACAATATTAGGACGAGGCTCCGATTAAGTACAGCAGAGAGGACAAATTTATTTGTGATTTTCTGCTTGAAGTTCATTGATGTCCTAGTATAGATACCAACGACGGCAACTACGGAAAAGGAAAACTAAGAAGAGGATCGCGAATTCTTTTCTTCTGGGATCGACACTGCTCGCTGTAGCATTCCTTCGTGCGGAACTTCCTCGAATTGTTCATGTTCTGTTTCTGATCCTCTTCTTTTTGAAGATATCTTTCCTTCTTTCCATTTGTCAGATCATCTAGTTTCATCAGTCGATCGTCTTCAACATCGTGGTCAATGATTTCCAAGTATTCATTCTCTGATGCTGATCAAAAGTAGTTCTAGTTTACGCATCGATTCGTTGACCGTCTTCGTCTATTTGCTTCGACAGGCACCACCAGCCGCCTGGTCGTAGTTCAAACACAAGCGCAAAGCTTTCATGAGTTCAAATCTAATGCTAGCGTTAAAGTTAATGATGTCAAGGTTTCTTCAAAGTTCTACCGCGTTTTAGTTGTTTTCACACCCAAGAAAAGCAGCTCCACTGTTTTTAATTGGAGGAAGTCCTCTCTTCTACGGCGCAAAAGTAGACTACACCCAACTGCTTTCCAAAACTTGTTTCGGATGATTTTCCAAAACTGCTTTCCAAAACCAAAACTCACTAGTGCTGCAGCTAGCGTTAGTACCATTTTCAAATTATACACGTGGTTGCACTCATGTTGATACAACTTCTCGAATTGATGAAGTATAGAAATAGATGTTGAAGAAGGTCAAAGCGTCGAAATGTCGTTTTTTGTAATGCTACGGCCATCAATTTTTGATTCGTAGTACAAACTCAAACCCAAAATCATGATCATACATGTTGTACATCATTTATTTATCCTTGGGGGGAACGTGCGGAGGGGTCGGGGTTCGAGTTCGTGTAAAGCTTGACTTAGACTTATTTCGAAAGAGTACTTAGGTACACTTCATCAACACAGTAGTTTCACTTTCACTTCATCTCATTCCACAGCATAGACTATGCTGTGGAATCCACACAATTCCGCGGCGTCGCTTTGGTTACTATGTATTGGTAACCAAAGCGACGCCGAGGCCGGAAGTCGAGTGGCGTTCTTGCAGGTGATGTGGTCAAAAATCAATGTGTGTCGACGCTTCCTCATCTACCATCCTGTATGGCTTTCAGGGTGACCGCGATTGCATCGTCGTCGTTCTCGGCGGTGCCGGACCAATGCGTGATGATTTTCCTCCGCGCGATCCGTCCGCTATGGCGTTCTCAAGTGTTACATTCTCAACTGCTACATGAATTTGTGATGCAAAAATGGCAAAAGTGAAAGGAAAGAGAAAGACCTTGTTGCGCGTCTTGCATGACAGATTTGGCACAGATTCTAAGCATGTTTGGCCGTCGGAGAATTTGTCATGCGAAGCAGCTTGATGGCGTCGATAGTCAAGGCAATTTGGCATGACAAATCATGCAACAGCTGAGAATGTAACAGTTGAGAACACCATATCCGCCGGCCTGCAGTTTGGAGATTGTTTCCGGGTTTATTCCTTGCAGAAACTCGATCACGGTCTTCGAGGAATCGTCTGGTGCAAGCACAGAAAAATCATCCCAGGAGCGGTCCTGGTTGTGGTCTTCTCCCTCCAGCAGATGCCACCGCCACAGCTTTTGCTGTTTCGGGGACGAAAGCACCGGAATACATCCCAGCGCCAAGCCGTCCAGCAAACCCTTGCGAGACGGAGTGTCTCCCACCGGCTGCAGGCAAAACGTGGAAGTAATCATAGCTTCGACCAACCCAGGGAGCATGTCCGGTTTTGTAGGGTCGACGTGAACGCATTGGTCGCTGTCCTTGCATATCCTGTGCAAAAGTATCGTAGGCGTACGAATCGCATTCATGCATTACAAATTTTTTTATTAAGGCAAATCTGCATTACAAATTTAATTTGTAATGCTAAGTCAATTTCTCATGCGATTTATACTAGTACGATGCTTTTGCAGTTCATATTGCACTGGTCATTCCAAATGTGCCGGATTTTCGCGGAGGCAGCGCCGGGCGGCCGGGGACCTATCGCGGCCATGACCAGGCGCGGGCGGCCGGCTTGCTGCGTTTCGTCGACGGTGGCAAACAGCTGCTCCAGTTGCGTAGCGGTCAAACCTATCCTGTGCAAAAGCATCGTATTCGTATTGCAATCATGCATTACAAATCTTTGTGTTAAGTCAAATCCGCATTTACAAATTTTACTTCCCATGCTGAGGAAATTTGTAATGCATTTATACGAGTACGATGCTTTTGCACAGGATAAAACCCGCGCCAAGGGTCGGATACGGAATAGCACGCTCCGGCCGATTGCCACCGCAGGAATAGTAGTCTTCGAGGGCGACTTTTCTCATCTTCTGGATCAAAGGCTCCTTGCTGTTCCAAAAACTGCAGACGTCGTCGAAAAGCCCCCCAACCCGCGGGGATAGCAGAATGTGCTTGCTCGCCGTGGCGTCCGTCAAATGGGGGAGAGCAGCCAAAACTTCGTCTATCAAGTACAAAAGTGTCTGGGTCTGGAAGATTCTGAGACTTGTCATGCATGTTTTGCATGACCCAGAATGTCTGTAATGCACGACCTAGCATCACAGATTTTTTGAGGGCTTCCTGCTGCCTACTCCGAATGACAAACGCCCTCCCCGCGTAGCACAAAGTAGACTCCTGTTGCTGGTCATGCAATACACATTTTTTTTAGAGTCCAAAGTTAGCGATCACAAGTTCCAACCTTTCAGACCCAGACATATTTGCAATCCATATCGTCTGCCGTTGGGCACTTGCTCTGGTCCGGCTTGTAGCTTTCACGCCAAATAGGCACGAAAAACACATCGGCGAGGGTCGGATCTTCCACGCGGAAGGCCGTGCGCGTCAGGCGTGACTGCCAGATGCGGCCGTTGCGAAACTGGTCCGTGCTGCGAAGGGTCAGGGTGGTCGCTGGCTGTCCCGGACCCTGCTGGATCTCAACCGAGAACTCCGGCCCAAAAACGCAATCGCGTTCCTCCGCCGAGCCAGACGGAAAGGCTCTCTCGCAGTACGCATCCTCCCGCCAAACGATCTCACGGCCATTTAGCATCTGTTGGTCCGGTATCAAATGTAAAAATGTCTGGGTCTGGAAGACTCATGCTGTTTTTGCATGACACAGAAGGTCTGGCATGGAAGCTCTAGCATCACAGGTTTCGAGAAGCTTCCGCAATGTCGAATCCGCATGACAAGTCCCCCATTTTGGTGACGGAAAGTGGGCAGCTTTTGCTACCTATGCATGAGAGATTTTTCTGTGTTCTGAAATGCGCATCACAAGTTACACTCTTCCAGACCCAGAAATTTTTGCAATCCATATCCGGAAGGTTATAGACATATACTTTTGGAGGAATAGAATTCCCATCGCGCAAGTGGTGCTGGTGCCGCAGCCACAGGGGCAAGCCGATTCCCAAACCCAGGCCAACCAACAGCAGAGACACACCAGCGATGATCGCCACTGTCCAGCACGTCTTTTTAGACTGGGCAGCGTCTTCGTTTCCGGTCAGAAGAGTAGAACTTTCATCATCCACATCGTCTCGGATAACTTCACCGGTGTTGTTTCGTCCGCTGGATGAGACGCGCAGGGAATGCTGTGCCTCATGGCGAAAATCCGTCCCCGCTTCGAGGTCTGCGTGTTCTTGAGCCGCGGCTTCATTGTTCGCAGGATGCTCGGCGCCAGCCGAAGGATAGCTGCGGTGGCGAGCGGCCACCTTGGATTGCTGCGTGAAAAAATTGGAGCTCGTCATTCGCCCAAATTGTTGGAGGACATTTAACTCCTACAGAAGAAAGTTTAAGCAAAAACAAATCATACACTAGACAGAGATGCACTCACAGATGAACCAGCTTGATTTTAATTTTCGTTTCGTCCCAACGCCAGAAATAAAACGAAATAGTGACGTTGCCTGTTAGAAGTAGTGCGGAGAATGATGGTGATCACGATCAACGGACTTTTTTATTTTTTTTGAACAACTACTCAATTTTCAAGGGAAACAAAGGAGAGCTGAACCTCTGATCTTGTTCATTTTTTTTTGTTTTTGAACCTGATGTTGTTTTATTCCCAAATTTCAATGCGATCTCATTTATGCGTCTTTATGCTCTGTTCCGATGTCGATCCACTGTACTATTCCCAGATGTTTTAGTATTCTCGTCTGAATCTGCTCTCGAGTCAAGAACTACTATTCTGTTTTTTTTTCATGTTTGTCTACGAAATTTACTCATTCACGAGGCAAAGATTTGTACATTTATATGGAATTATCAAGAATATTCGGATACAAGGCTGAAAATTAGCTACGTTTGGAAAATAGTGACATCAGAAAAATCTAAATTTTTCGTCTCTATGCCGTGTTGAACAAAGATGAAGAACAAGAACTTGACTACTACAACGATATGCAGAACAATAACAATAACAATTATATCGTACAGGATCTACAGGCATACTCTTCGTTATCTATCCGATAATCTTCCTTTATATGTTTTTCAATTTCATCACAGGGCTGCATTCAATTTATTTTATTCAAACAGTAGCAAAAACTAATGGACACTGTGACAAGAAACTGAAACGAACTTACATCAGAATGAGGATGAAAACTCCTTCAAAAATCACGACATTCTACCCTAGAACCTACAACCCCGGCGCAATAGAAACCCGACTGCTCCGATTCCGCAGCTTTTTTGTCGGAGTTACCACATCGACTTCATCCATAGAAGGAGCAGACACTTGAAACTTCACCGCGTCGACATTTCTGAAGTCATCGACAACAACGACGTTGTCATCCACACTGTAGTTGTCGTCGTTGCAGTGCTGGTGGTCCACCAACATGTTGACCGTTTGTTGATTGTGAGCTGCGGTTCGGGTAGCTGGAGTCGTGTCCTCCGACGTGGTAATGGTCATCTTCGACTCCTCACTGGTGCCATACAACAACCGACGGAAAGCGTTCGCGGCCGCCTCGACCATTGGGGACGTCGTACTAGAGGGAGACACGATGTTAATCTCCCCACCGTCGTCGTGGTTCATCAACTCGTCATCTTTGTCCTCGTCTAGAAGTTCAGCACCGGAGAAGTTCAACATAGGTTCAATCACCACATTTTTGTGCAGTTGTAAGGTGACCTGCTCCTGGTTCAGGCCCTGCGTTGTAGTCGGTCCCGGTACCGGAACAGACAAAGCCCCACTGCCATGCAGCTGCGCAACTTCGTGAAGAGCAGGCTGCTGGTGGTTCTGAGAAGCAGGTTGCATCAAATTATGCAATCCCATCAACGGCGGCAGATGGATCATGGTAGGCGAACTGATTCTCAAGTTCGCGACCCGCAGCTGCGGCTGCTTCGTCGTACTGGCTATCAGGATGTCTTGTTGCTGTTCCACTTGAAGATGACCGTTCTCGTTGCCCCCAGCGGCAGCACAGCTCATCTTTGGACTCGGAATCAATCTCTGCGTCAAACTCTTCCACGTGTCGATCGGTTGCAGTTGTGTACCCCGGGATTCGGTTGTGGGGGATCGTTTATTGGCGACTGCTTGGTCGTCGAAAAAGGCAGTAGAGGTTCCCACATCCGCAACTGGACTGCTCACCTGCGTTCCCGCGTCCTCAGTAGTTGTACTGGCAGGCGGTTTTGCATCATGTTCAACATGTTGGTTCCCGCCGTAACTGCTATGCACGACCTTCTGTTTCGGGTAGGGGGTGCGTTCCGACGTGTCGCAAATGATGGTGTTGGCCTTTGCTTCTTCATACGTCATATTCCGCATATTCGACAGCAACATGGTTCCGGAGTTGTTACTCTTGCGGCTTTCCGTGCTGCTGCGCAGCAGCTCTTGGGTGTGTGGTTCCTGCGGTCCTGCTCCTTTCGTGCAGGTTGGAGAGGCCGTCGGGGTAGTGTAATTATCTTCCTGCTTGTGCAGCAACTCAAAGGTGGACGAGGTCGCGAGGACAACATCGTCCGTGTTCTCCCTGCTAGGAGCTGCAGAAACTGCGACTGGCACTTTGTCCGGGAACGTTTTCTTCACCGGCTTGCCATTCACCACCACGATGACACTGTGTTCGGCAGTTTTGTTTTTACTCACACTGTCCGCGACACCGACAGGAGCAGTTGCGGTCGAGCCTTCGCCCGATTTTGAAGACTTTTCCTGCTTTTTGGTCGGCGTAGTAACTGCTTCATCTACCGAGCTTCCTTCAGAACAAGCACTGCTTTCCTCCACCTCGAAACGGGGCGGAAACGCGTCGAATTCAGACCGGATTTTGTTCTGGATTTCGACCAAAGCAAAGCAGGTTTTCTTTGCGTTTTTCCGCAGTTTTGCGTAGGTCGACCGAAGTTTGCGCAGTTCTGGGTCCGTGACAGTTGGGGAGCGGGGGGTCACGATGTTGTCGATGAATTGAACAGCATTAATATTTTCGTGGTGCCCTCCGGCTCCAGCTCCTGGTGCCGCAACACAACCATCAGCGTCAGCTCCATTTTCCAGAAACAGTCCCGGATTCAGGCAGATTTTCGCAGCTTCGCCCTCGACGAGAAGGAAGAGCTTGTTTTTCTGATTTGCGATAATTTGGTTGTTCTTACTCTTCTCGTTGTCTTCTTTCGCCCTATTAATTTCGCCTGTGACCGCCGCGGTTTGTTCATCGTGGTTTCCGACATCTTCTTTGGCCGTTTCCATCGCAGGAGGTTCCTCCCCATGTAGCAGTTCAACATGATCACTGGCATTCTTCAGCAGTCCCTGATGTTCTTGCGAGTTGCGCAACAACGTCGCAAAACTTTTCGCCAACAATTGCTGTTCCGAGATCAGTTCGACCGCTAGGGCACGACTTTGGTCCTCCACCACACTCGCGACCAAATTACTCGTGCTGTTTTCCAAGAAGTCTTCCATCACAGAGGTTTCTTCGTTTGTCATGCGCGGTTGGACAAGGACATTAACGTCGTGTGTCATGCTGTGATTTTCCTTTTCCATCTTCAAACCGGTCGTGTTGCAGCTCAACGTCAAAGCGTTATCCGGCATCGCCACCAGTCTCGCGGAGTGGTCAATCAACATGGAATTCTCATCGTGTTCCGTGGTGACAGAGTGGTCGTGTAAATCCACGACAAGAACCTCCTCCTGCTTCTCTTTGGTGGCGTCGAGACTCATTTCTTCCTTGTTCTCGCAAGAACAATAACGATAACCCCCGAACAGGTTCCCTCTGCTCTGCTGCACCGCGACTTCGCGATCCTCCTTCATGGATCGGGACAAATTGTCCACCTGCAGTTGCTTCGAAAAAGAAGAAGAGCCTCCATCTGCCTCATCTTTCCGCTCTGCCTCTGTGGCAATCGCAACCGGCGCGGTCAAATACTTATTCGCGGCATTCTGCAGAATCAACCCGTTCTTGTTCTTCAACATCAGCTCCTTTTGCGCTAAGCAATGCTCGTGTCGCTCCTGGGCTAGATCCTGCTCAATCCTCTTTTTGAGAAGAGCTTTCTGCCGCCGGGCAGCTTGGAGCTTCTCCTGAAACAGCTGTTCGTAGGTGGTGTAGGTTGGTTTGCTGGTCGTGGAAGCAGTGAGCTGGTGGTTTGCAGCTTGTTCACCTTGATGGTTGACGTGCTCTCCTGCTGTAGAAGTGACAACCGCAACCGCAGCGGATGGTGTAGCTGCCCCGGTGGTAGCACCACCTGCAGACGACGACCCTGTGTTCGTTTCCTCGTTCAACTGTTGAACGGCGTTGATCAAAACCGAAGTGTGGTCCAGCATTTTGTCCAGATTTTCCGCGACATCGGAATTGGTCTTTGTCGTGCTAGTATCATGCTTGTCCGCATTAGAAAATCCACCTCCGCGGTTTTTCATCATGCCTTCCTGAACATGATCCCCCGGAAGTAGATCTTCTCGCTCTTCCGCGATGGTGACCGGCGCGGGGTAACGCGTCGTGAAGCTGTTTATCCTGTGCAAAAGTAGCACCGCACTCGTAGTAATTGCAGTCGTGCATTACAGATTTTTTTCTTGAGGTAAATCCGCATTCCAAATTTCATTTCTCGTGCTCAGGAAATCGAAAAAATTTGTAATGCATTTATACGAGTGCGATACTTGTTTTGCAATGCATACTATTCGCGTTGTGCTGATTCCTTCCACCGGACCCAGAAAGGTGCAGGTACGTCGTCGGGGTAAGCGATTTGCTTCTGCTGCCCAAGCGGCTCAAGTTGTTTTCATGAAGATGATCTCCAGCTTTATTTGATAGTACGTTGGCGCTGCTCGGTGTTGTTGCGTTCTTCTGCTTCGGAGCGACAACTGTCAGGGAAGACATCGAACTCGAGTGGGTCGGCGTCTTTACGGAAGACTTCGCCGGCAACGACTTCCGCAAAACACCACTTTGAGAAGAAGTATGCTGGTGCTCCACCTTCTGTGAAGAAGATTTTTGCTGGCCAGGGTTTATTTTGCGGTCTACTCCAGCACCACGTTGAAACTGCACGGCGCGGCCGGCGGGTGAAGATTTGTTAGTAGAACCTGGCGCAGCCTTTTTGTTGTAGTTCTTGCCACCAGTAGTGTTCAAGTTCGCGGTAGAATTCGACGGGTTCATCAGAATCCTTTTTCCCCTCGCGATGCTCCTGTTCACCTTATTCACCAGTCCCTCGTGCGGGGACTGGGACCGAAGTTGTTGCTGTTGCTGTTGTTGTTTCGTCTGCTGAACAAGTGTAGTTTGTTCACGAGCCGATACAGACGTTTCCTCCTCCAGCTCAAAAGCTTTGGAATTGTACTCCCGGGTCGCGCTACCGGCTTTGATCTGCGAGTCGATTTTCTGCTGGAGGGTGGCCGAGGGGTGGTACAGCGTGTTCTTTTTCATCAAAGTCGACGTGTTCTTCGCTTTATTCGCTGCACCAGCACCCGTACCGGTACCATGTGCCTGCACGTTCTGCCTCAGCGTGGACAATTCCTTTTTCCCGGAACTCAGAACGTTCGTGCTCTTCAGTATGGCGCTCTCAACTGTTACTACACTCTCAACTGTTACATGGATTTGTGATGCAAGAATGGCAAAAGTCAAACAAAGCAGGGAGGTTGCACCTGTAGCATTACAAATTCCGCACAGATGTAGGTGCTGTTTAGTTTTTCCAAAATTTGTCATGCAGAGTAGCTTTATCTTGTGAATGTTGATGTTTGTTTTGCATTACAAATCATGTAACAGTTGAGAATGTAACAGTTGAGAGCGCCATATTCAGATTCATGGAACTCGGGCTCTGGTCCAAGCGCTGTCGGGCGGCATTTTTAGCAGCTCCTGGCTTGGACAACTTCTTGTTGCCGGCAATTATCTTGTAATGCGTATGAACGCCGTTCGGAGACGAGGATGAAAACATCAATTCCGGGGACGAGCAGTTATTGCTTCCGCCGCGCTTCGGGCACGGGGTCGGGACCGGCGTGCGCGAACGCTGCATTTCCATCACTGTCTCCGGTTCGCGAAGATGAGCAGGAGGACCCTGATGATGCTCCGCGGAGGTCGATGAAAAACCACCCCGGGCTTTCACCGGAGAGGCAGAAGAGGGTCTCGTTGTGGTTGAAGTAGTGCCACTACTGCTGTTCATGATATCTTGCATCGTCGGTCGCGAAAGCCGCTTTGTCATCTCTCCCGACCCACTAGCCTGCAGAGGATCAACAGCACGACTCGCTGCAGCTTCATTCCTCACAGCACTGCGAATGAGGTGGACCTGGTGCAGGTTCGTCGTGCGGGCGCGGGGGGCGAAGAGGGGCTGGGTGTTCGACGCAAGAACCACCCCGGGGGGGGCTCCCTTGCGCAAATTAGCATTGCCGGTGGTAAACGCAAACCGGTTGACGGGGCCTGTGAAACAAGCGGAGATTGGTGCGGGAGTCTTGGTTACGCCGGTCTGAAGCTGCTCGCTTTGCGCCGTCTGCTGCTGGTGCTGCTGCTGTCCGCCAAGTGTCGCATTCACCACCCGTGGTTGCGGTTTTCTGTGCAAGGCCGGGACGGAGAGCGAGGTGCGCAGGGTTAAGAGGTTCAATCGTGGCGCGATTGGCGTCACGGCTGCAGTTGTGGATTGCAGCTCTTGATGAGATGGAAGCTGCTGTGCGTTTTCGGCACTAATAATGCCTTGCGCGGTCGTTGCGGACATTTTGCCTAAGTAAGTTTTTAACTCGATGCTGAAGAAGTTGCACGGGTGGGTTACAAGAAAGTAAACTAACAAACGTTTATACTTTTTGCTTTTGGTTGAAGCGTTGCAAAGAAAATTTGAATTTTGCCGTTGAGATCACTGGCAGTGGGGGCATCACATTGTTGACAGGATGACGATATGAAGGGAAGACGACCTTTCTACTTGCATCAACAACAAAAAAGAAACAATGACGACCACGCCCATGCGAGACGGGAAGAAAAAAAGAACAGAAACAAGAGAAAAAAACTACGTGATCACTTCACCGGTGAATTCGGTATTGTTATGCATCTCTCAGTATTGAGGCTTGTGGTTGCAACGAGGAACCAAAAAAATCCTACAAGCGAAAAAACGGAACGAAAGTCTTCAAAGTTGAAGTTTTCCATCGAAGAAAAAAGCAGAGCAGCCACAGAACGAGCGAGAAGGGTCAACAAGCATCAGTGGTGCAGGCGGAGAACAAAACTGCTGAGCGACTGCTCCAACTCCCCCGGCTATGCAGGTTCTTCAACATTAACATTTTATTTTCATACAGATCGAACTCGTTTCCAAAAAAGTGAAGGGGTAGCAATACCAAGAAATTTGAAAGGTAGTTTTCACGTGTCTTTGGCTTTGCGCGGGTACAAAAATCAATTCGTCGTCAAACTCAACAAAATAAAACAGACCGGCGTACTATCCAGACACGTACTAGAACCGGGCGTCGGTGCTTGTTGTACTAGAAATGGTAGAAGACATACACTTGGAAGATCAGCATGAGAAGTGGTGTAAGACAGGCTACAAGCAAATACTCCACATCGTCAAGCACAGTAATATTCCCTTTCTTTTCGTGCTCGGTTTGAAGGTTGCTTGTTGTACTAGTACTAGCTCGCGTCCACCTCGCACACGCGCCACACCTCCACCCCCCGGCCTCCACCTGTTCCGTGTCTTTAACAACAGCCTCCCATCGGATTCGCCGTTCCGCCGCCTCCCTGGTTCGCGCCTAACTGCACGTTTCTATTCCCGCCCGCACCCCCGGCGCCTCCCCTTTGCCCCAAGGGAATCGTTCCCTCGAGCAAATCCGGGGAGTCTAGTATCTTCAGCACCAGCTCCGTAAACGCTTGCTGGATCCCGATTTTCGTTTTCGCTGACGTCTCGATGTACATCATCGACTGCTCGATCGCGAAATCTTCGCCCTGCTGCGTCGTGATTTTCCGTTCCTGTTTTAAATCCACCTTGTTGCAAACGAGCAGCTTCACGACGTTTTTGTTGTAGGAGTCCGCCTCGTGGATCCACTGCCTCACGTTTTCAAACGTCTCCGGTTCCGTACAGTCGTATCGTGTGCAAAAGCATCGCACTCGTAGTAATTGCAATCATGCATTACAAATCTCCATCCCAAGGCAAAACAGCATGACAAATTCCGTTTGTCACGCTGACCGGATTTGTGATGCGATTTCTACTAGTACGATGCTTTTGCAATGCGTAAGTCGTACACGAACACGATGCCCTGCGCGCCGCGGTAGTAGGACGAGGTCAGCGTTCGGAACCGCTCCTGCCCTGCGGTATCCCAGAGCGCCAGTTTGTATGGATTGCAAAAGCAGCGCACTCGTAGTACTAATTGCAGTCATGCATTACAGATCTCCCTCTTAGGCTAAATCCGCACTACAAATTCCATTTCTCATGCTGAGGCAATTTGCCATGCGAGTGCACTACTGAGTACGATACTTTTGCAGTTCATAGCTTGATCCTTTTGTTGTTCTCCGTAACATACTTCACCTTGAAGTCAACCCCGATTGTCGCCAGTTGCTTCTCATTGAACGTGTCGTCGCAGTATGCAATACAAATTTCCCGTACTACATGTACAAGATGCATCACAAATTTCACCAATTTGGAGCGTAAAACTTGTCATGCTAAATGGGGATCGGAGCAAAGTTTTGTCATGCAGAGACAGCATTTGTACGTGTGCGGGAAATTTACTGTGGATACGCAGAACCGAAGCATCAGACAGGATTTCCCGACACCGGAATCGCCGATAATCAGGAGCTTGAAGAGGTGCTCGTGCGAAGGGTCCATCATGGTTTTTTTTTTGTATCGGGTGCTTTGAATAGGTGGGTTCTTGGTTTCAAGTCAGATTGTTTTACCGTGAACTTCTTCTAAGGTGAACCTCACTACAATAAATTTTGGTGATGTCGCTCGCTCGTTGACTTGCTACAAGGTTGTTGGTGTGAATGCGGATCGCATGTTGTATATCGTGCGGATTCGTCTGACTTTCTGCGTTTATCGAGCGCAGGGTCATCAGCCTTGTCGTATTGAAAACATTGGTCGCACTCTTAATATTTTTCTCTATGGAATGAGAACGTCAACGTTGTTTTTCTATACCTCGTGCGTTTAGTGCCTGAAGGACAAGTAGCAGAGGGGCGAAGGTAAGAAGGACAGGACGGTGCTACTACAGTTGCACATTTGCTGCTAAATTTTGCAATAGCTACGACTAGGCTCGTTGGCGAGAGTTGTTCTTCTTTCGTTTATCTAAAGCCAAATGGATCTTCATCTTCTTCTTTTAGAGATTTCTCCCGAGAATATTTCTATTTTGCTTCTACTTGCGAATGTGAAAAACTGTCCGAGGACAGCGATACCATGAGAATAGATCTTTCTTTGTTCGCTCTATCTCGGTAGGAGCTCACAAGTCAGTAGTAGCCTCATGATCGATACTAGTCACTCGCAGCTCCGAGCGAGGAACAACATCGTCTTTTTTCAGAAGGTGAAGCGCAAGGTTAACGCTGGATACCCTGTGGTATGTCAATCTGGCGAAACAAAAAAAGTTCATGTAGGTTTGGTTTTCACTGCCATCCGGCATGCAAGGGGTTGGGTTATGTATGTGCTATGTAGTTCTTCATGCACATGCTCTTCTACGTCTATGAATTAGATATACTTTAGTTTCAGATGAACTACGCTCAGCGACGTTGACTATCATGTACTAACAAGTGCGCCAGGGAGGTTCTTTATGAATTCGGTATAGCGAACCAAGACTACCAAATAAACCAAAATGAAACTTCTGAAATGAGTGTGGTGGATCAAAGCAAATCAAATACAGTTAGAGCGCAACACAAAGAATAGCGGTAAAGCAGGGACCAAAAAAGTACAAGCCCCCCGATCAATCTTACAGCTGTGCAGCACTTCTTCATCTCGAACTAGCTTTCATCGTACAGAAGTACTAGCATTCTCTACTGCAATTTCCGCCATATTCCCATACCCCAAATCTTGCAACACCCCACAAGGGTCATCTTCCCGCACTTCATCTCTCAGCTGTGGAAACCTTTCGGCGTATTTCACCAATTTCATCTGCCCAGTTCTCCCAAATCGGTCGCTCACCCAGTACCCACCGTATGTTCTTCTCACCTCCTCCGGCAAGCAAGTGTCTTGCTGCAACACGTCAAATTTTTTATCGGCAAGTTTCATCGCCACCCCGCCCGGCTCCGCGACGGAGAGGACTGTTTTTAAGCACTTATACCGGTAATAGAGGATCTTCGCTTGTGTCCCAAACGTCTGTAGACACTCCTTCTCGCTCCAAAACTTCCCGCACTTCGTGTGTTGAAAATACAGCCAGTCGCGCCGGGCATCTCTCGGGATGTCCCCCTCGGTAGAGGTGCAATACCTGGATTGCCGTTTACTGTCGCTCCACCAGTTCCGACATTGGCAGGTGGAGGCGCCGCGGTGGGGTTGATGGAACGTTTTGCCTTGGGTACTAGCACTAGAGCCACGACTGCCAGCCTGCTCAGAAATCGCCTTGAAGATATTAACTTCAAACGGGTCCGTACTCGTGCAATCTTGGTCCCTCTCGCACCCCCTGCCCGCTCTTTTCGACTTCGGCGAAACAGCGCAGACGAAATTCTGGTTCATATACCCACTTTGACACAAATCCTTGTCGCTGCTCGTGTGGCCTAACGGTAAGGAAAACAGCCTTCGGCACTTCCCGATAGACAAGTGCTCTGCCTTGTTGCACAGTGTCAGCTCTTCGCACTCGAAATCAAATTGGCACTTTGAATTCACACTTAATTGCTTCCTGCAATACCGGAGATAAAAGCCATCCAGTCCCGTCATGTCCGGCGGGCAGTAGTAGCCGACGTGTGGGCAGTCCAAGTGGTGTTTGCAGCGGTGTAATTCGTTATACGGTTGCAGGGGAGCACAAACCCCGACCGGGCCTTTTTCTATGGGATAGACGACCGGAAATTTTTTCTGCGATTCGCTGTCGTCCTCAAACAGGAGAGGAAGTTGTCCGCCGGGCTGCGTGAAGGGCGAGATCAGAACGCACCGCCGTAAGCCGTAGAGGCAGTCTTGGTCTTGTAAGCAAGCTTGTCCGGTCTTTCTCCGGTAGCGACAGACGCCCGGAGCGAGAAGTTCTTCGGCGGTCGCTGCCTTGATGTTCGCAGGAGCTGCAGCGCCAGTTGTGCTTGTGACATTCTTGCTGCTCCCACCACTTTTTATCTCTGTCCACCACGGCTCTCTGCACGTGTTCCCCTTGTAATCCGCAATGGGCTCGAGTGGGCAATCTTTCCTGCAGTTAAAAAAACATTTGTTCAAATTCGGGCAAAAATGTCCCTGCCTGGCTTTTTCGCAGTTTTCCGGATTCGCAGGCAGGCACTGCTGCGTGTTCCGGTCATTCACCGCTTTCCAGCCGCAATCCCGGTGGCAGTCGTGGACGCAATTCTGCTTCAGACTGCAGTAAAACGCGTTGGAGACTGCGCAGTCGAAAGGCTGCAGGTCCTGGTGTTGGTACTGCAGACGCTGGAGGAGGCGGTGGTGGTTTATAATTTTGGACTGCGAGGACGTGCTGTCGTCGGACTCGGATGTGGCTGCAGGAGCAGCCGCAGAGGAGTTCATCGTTGCGGCTTTTTTCTTTTGCACGGTGCCGGCAAGAAGCCTTTCCTCCGCAGCCTGCAACACTCGCTCCACCTGTAATTGGCGGGCTTTTCGTCGTCCCTGGCTCTCTGCGTCGGATACTTTGCCACGAGATAAACTAGAAGCCGTGTTTGATGGTGTCAGGATACTAGGAGCCTCGTATGCGTTCACCGTCCTAGTTTCGAAGTCGACTTCCAGCTCGCGCAAGAAAGCCACGCCAGCAGCGTCCACCTCTTCAAATGATCCGTCCTCATTCGAAGCAGCTGCTGCTTGTCCTTGTCCACCAAAAACCCCAATCGACGCATCGTACAAATACTCCAGCCTCGCTCTCTCCGCCGCCAGTCCGATCTCCAACTCCTCAAACGTGAGGACACCATTGTAATTTCGATCTAATTTCAGAAACAACGTCTCCACTGAATCGAAGAACTCGATCATCGGAATACCCCGGATGGAGGTCGAAAAGGCCGACGAAGATCCAGGTGTATTATTCGGTGTCCCAGCAGTAGCTTGTGATGCGGAAGAAGCAGCAGAAACTACACCGGAATTCGGAATCATCGGCTTCGGCATGATAAACTCCTCAAACTCGCGGTAATTCATCTCCAAATCGCGGTCAGAAAATTTGTCATGCTGCGTTCCATGAGAAGCTGAAACTGAAGCCAGCTTGTGCATGTTGTTGTTTTGCGGCGCGATCGGGGCGGTTGGTTCGTTTCCATATGCTGTGCAAAAGTATCGTACTCGTAGTAATCGCACTTATGCATTACAAGTTTTTTTCTTAAGTCAAATCAGGATGACAAGGTCCAGCTTTCATGCTAAGCAAATTTGTAATGCAATTTATACTAGGACGAATCCGATACTTTTGCATTGCATATTCCAAAGTCGAACCCTATCTCCGGGTGCTTTTCCGGATTGTACTTCGGATTCTCCCGACAGGCGTATTTTGGGATAGCACTTCTGGCGGTGCTCGAGGTCGATGCCGCTCCAGCCAGATTCTGTGAGTTGATAGTTCTCGCCGCACTTGCTGGTGCTGCTCCACCTGCACTATCCGTAGTTCCAGCACTGCCACTCGCTCCGACTTGGAACCCGATTTGCGTCCATTCACACCGCGGCAACGGGCATTCCGTCGGGTGCAAGTACGCACTGCAGCTTCTGTAGCACTCCGCGCGGTTTTCGCAGAAATGCAGAGAATCGCACTTTTCCCCATACTTCGCCACCACCACCGGCCACACTTTTTCACAGTAGCACTTTATCAGAGCATTCTCGAATCTTTGCCTCGCTTGGTTCGGGTCAGTGACCCCGCTTGTTTCATAAGTCTCCGTGAAGCTGCAATCCGTGCACTGCTGCTCCGCATTGGTCCCGTCGTTCGCCGGGGGACAGGGCTGCTCTTTCCGGAACAACCCCGGAATGTGCTCGCGGCAGAGAATTTTGTTGTAGCCGTAAGTATTTTCTTCAATGGACGGTTTAAGTTCGTACAAGCACTGCGACCGTTCGCATTGGTTGGGGGAGCGGCGGAGAGAAGCGGTGGTGAAATGGGTGTTTTCGAAAACGGTCGCGGGGTCGTCGTCGGTCGTGGCAAGGGCGGACCACGAGTTTATTTGTCCGTGCTGAAACAAGAAGCAGAGCAAGACCAAGACGACCAAGGAGAAAGAGCGGGCTCTTGTACGAGGAAACACAAACAACATCATCTTGTGTAAAACCTAGGTGATTCAACACCAGCTTCGACTTTGAGGCGGTTGACGTTGACCTCACCAGAAAACCCTGGGTAATTCAAAACAATGTCAATGCCAGGCCGGTGTGTAAGTACTTAAGTAGGTATCGGGCCAATTATTTTTAGTGGCGGGGTTCAAGAAATAGAATTAGAAGCGGTCGTATCTGTGGCCGGCATGAAGATCGATCCTGGAAGCGTCGAGTAAGAAAAAGCTGCTGTGTTATTTGTAATTCGTTTAGCTGCTTTTGATCATTTATTTGGTAACCATAGGGGGAAATAAGATCACTTTGACTGACCTCCATTGGATGACCATGTTAGCTGAAGTTGTGAAACCCCGTAGACTCTATCTCTTTCGCTCTTATGTCTTTCTCTCTGCGTCTCTACTCTGGTCGCTCTCTACTAACTACTGCTCTTTCATGTGTGATACAACTACACCGGCTCTGGCAATCACTTTCGCTCATCAAGGCGCGACCGCGCAGGAACACCACGGTGACCAAAAAAGATAAAGAATGGAATCACATCTGTCTCTGTGGCGTTGATATTATTGAAAAAATAGTTCGAAGGACATTCGTGCACTTTTGCCACACTGAAGACGTCCATTCGCCGCGTGGGCGTCTCATTGCTTCCTCGTCACACGCAGCTATTACATTTCGCTAGCGTCCTCGTCAACTAATTCATCTAACGCTAAAGGTGTAATCGTAATGGTAATCATGGTAGACAACAAACCGTAAATTTAGCCTTAATCAGTCCAACATCTGCATCTTCATCTTGATCCATACATACATTCCAGACCTCTTTTTACTTTGTCTTTTGGGTTACAGTAGTCGCCTCATCATCATTTCTTTTTCTACTAAGATTTGGCTTTTCTTCGTGTGAAACTACTCACAAGAACTTCAACTTCTTCTATCCCATTACACTTACAGTGCAAAAATTCATAAATACGTCACAGACTCCACCCCCTCTCCCTTAGCATCTCCCTGCATTTCTCGTTATTTCTGATCAGCGGCGCCATGGATTGGTATCTATCCTGTGCAAAAGTATCGTACTCGTACTAATCGCAGTCATGCAAGACAGATTTCTTTTATTTTCAAGCTAAATCAGCATGACAAATTCCATTTCTCTTCCTGAGCTAATTTGTATTGCAATCCTACGAGTACGATACTTTTGCAGTTCATAGTATCCCTCGCGTTCCAATTTCAGAATGGAGTACTTCAACAGTTCCCAATCAAACTCTGTGAACAAGTCCCACTTCTCCTTCAACGGTAACCCCAGGCACGTTTTCTCGCTATCGACCCCGTGTAGCAGGGTATGGAGCATGTATTCCGGGTCTTCCGGGCAGTTCGACGTCGTGTGGTGGTACTTGCACTGCTTTGTAGTCGACGTTTTTGTATCTTCCCTATCCGCGCCGCCGCCGGCCATCTTTTTCAGTGGTATTAACCCGTAGCTCGTTCGCAACAAGCGGTTGTGCAACCCGCCGAAATGTTCCTCTTCCATTTCTGGATCCGGTGTAGAGATGAAACAGACACGGTTGGTCCTGTTGATTTTTACCTGCGGGTCTACTTGATGATGCACCGTGGCAGAGGGCGCATGATCCGGATTTCTTGTTTCATAGGTAGAGTTGGAACTTGTATCCAAATCGCTGGACGGATATGTTGATGGAGACGGAGGTCCTGATGTTGAAAACGCTTGTGGGCGGGAGTTCAGCGTGCTGCCTGTTGTTTTGCGCGGCCCGTACCTGTCGAAGATGGTGCTTTTCATGCCCGATGGAGTCAACACGTCGCGAGGACTCCTTTCATCCTTGTTCATGTTCTGCTGTTCCTCTTCGTCTACTTCACCGCCTCCCCGGCGCGCCCCTGTAGTGGTCCTCCACTCCTTCCTCGCATACTCCTCCAGAGTCTCCGCTACGTCTGCGGTCCGCCGAAAATGCTTCGGGTTTTTGAATATCAACGTGTAAAAATGTCTGGGTCTGGAAGATTGCAACTTGTCATGCTAAATCTATAGCATGCAAAAATCTGCGTTGCATGATTGCCAAAAGCCGTCCAGTTTTGGCCAACTCTGGAAGTAGTTTCTCATGCAGGATAAGCATTAGAAAGGTCTCGCAGAATCTGTCATGCTAGGTCCTGCATTCCAGACCTTATGGGTCATGGAAAAGCAGCATGACAAGTCGCGCATTCTTCCAGACCCAGACATTTTTGCAGTTGATATTGAACATTTTGATCAAGTTTTTCGGCCCCGTTTGCAGGTCCTCTTCCTCGAAGCAAACTTGCGTGTTGGGAACGTACGCGTAGTCTTGTAAAAGGTTGTAGTTTGATGTGCTGTTCTTGATAATGGAGGAGGTACTTTCATTTTCATCTTGTGATGCTGATCCTGGATAAGAATTTAATGGCGAGGGCGTGGTGGAGCTCGTGCTGGACGGCGGCGACTGATGATCCTCATCCTTCTTCTTCCCACTGTCCACTTCCGCTTGAAAATCATCCGCACCAGCTGTTTTATCATCACCAGGATTTGTTGCGCCTTTATCTGATGAAGCAGTAGAAGATGCGACGTGTTTGATCAACACATGCACGTGCAAAAAGTAATCCTTGGTCCACAAAAATCCGTAATCCCCCGTCCAGGGATGGGCATGCTGCTCCCAGTAGTGCCGGGGGTCCCAGGGGAAGAGTTCAAAACTCGTGTTGTGTCCCGTGGTGGTGTCGTTCGGGTTCTTCTCCTATCCTGTGCAAAAGTATCGTACTTGTAGTAATCGCAATCATGCATTACAAATCTCTTTCCCAAGGCAAATCGGCATGACAAATTCCATTTGTAATGCTGAGCGAATTTGTATTGCAATTGCTACTAGTACGATACTTTTGCAATTCATATCTCCCACGTTTCCACCACGTGTTTGTGCTGAACCGCATAATTCGAGGGTACCCGCTTACACCCGAAGCTATCGTACCCCGCGACCCCCTCCAAAATGCTGTCCCAGCGACGACCTTCCGGGCGGAAAAACCGCATTTTCAGGTAGTTGTGCTTCTTTTTCTGGGCAGAGGAAGAAGCTGCACCAGACGAACTGGACGACGATGGCATTGCGTCAGCTTCCGCTCCGTAATTGCCGTTACTGGTGCTAGTACTACCCGTGCTAGCCAAAAACTCGCTTTCTGACTGCGGTTCGCTATCGCTGTCACTGTTTAAACCGTAGCCACGTAGTTTGAAGCCTCCTTGTTCCTGCTCGTGGTCGTTTCCATGATATGCCTGTTGTTTCATTGCGGATTCGAACCTGTTGAGTTCTTCATCGTGATCGTCTACGTCTTGTTCTTCCGGAGGCTCCTCGTCCCCAACATCGGCGGCCTGGGCTCGTTCTTTCGGATTCTTAAACCCGTAGCTTTCCAGTACCTCTTCCACCCTTTTCACCGTCACTCCGTCAACATCCAACCCGTTCGCCCCGACGTCTAGCATCCGCCCCACCTGCAACAAAGGCTCGGGCGAATACACCATCAGCGTGAATAAAGACGCGGGTACCGCGCCTTTTTCCGGGTTGCCGACGAGCCAGTGGGAGTTTTTCTTCGTGTAGTACGGGAGGATAATTTCGTCCACAAAAGTGCACGCGAAGCCGTTGGTGAAAAACAACGATTCGAGTTTTTTCAGCTTCTGCAAGTAATCCTTCTCCGAGTCAAACACGACAAACACGTCGACATCTTCCCCCGCCGGCACTTTCTCGTCCTCGCGCTGCTCCGCCTGGCCATCATTGTGGACCCGGAATTTCTGTTGGTAAAAATTCCGGTTCAGCGCTTCGCTTCCGAGAAAGAATCGGAGCAGCCAGTCCTTGTGGTAGTGTTCGTGGTTGCGGATGTTTTTGGCGAAATTGGGGTACAGATTGTTAGTAGGGTTTTCAAGAAAGTCCAGGAAGGTCGTGAACGGCTTAGGTTTGGTGTTCGGAGCGACGTGTGTGCTAGTCTCATCTGTCGCTCTTCCCGCTGTGTTGTTCGCTTGAAGCCTGTTTTGGTTGTCCTTTTCGTTGAAGCTTTCCACTAGAAGGCGGAGGAGGTGGTGGAAGGCTGTGATGTCGGATTCTAGTAGGTTGTCGGCTTCCTGCACTGCAGAACCGGAAGCGCTGCTGTCTAGTATTACTTCATCGAACGCAGGATCGGTTTCGTTACTCCACCAATACCGCCCCAGTGCCCACAGCCGTTCGGAATAACGGAGGGGAGGGGGAGGGGGAGTGGTAGTTTCTGACACTGACACTGTAGAAGCAGTTCCGTGGTCGTGTTTTCTTGTAGTTTCTGTTCCTCTCCCTGTTCCTTCGTTCATCATCTGATTGTCCGCGATAAATGCAGCTTCTTCCTCACTCTGCTGATTATATTGCTCCTCGAGTGAAGATGATGTTGACGCTGGTGCGCTCGTCGTTCGTAGTTTTTGCTGCTCTGCAGTAGGTGGTGCACCTCCAGACGAAGCGATATCATGCTCCTCAGAGGGCGGTACGACCGCTGCCGCTATGCCGTACAAATCCTCCACTGTGTCTGCGGTTTCGCTGGAGGGAAAGAAATATGCATTGCAAAAATTGTATCAAAATCGTACCATATGTAAATCGCATCACAAATTTTCTGGACATGACAAGAAATGGAGTTTGTCATGGTGAATAGAGTAAGAAACCAGATCTGTCATGCAAGACTGGCATTTAGATTTACACGACCACGAGTGCGATACTTTTGCAATGCATAAGAAACTACCCTGCAGCGCACTTGAGAACTTCAAGGGCGCGGATTCCACCTCCAAAGCCTATCCCAGGAAAAAAGTGTTACAGTTACACACTTGTAGTCAATTCAGCAACACAAATTTCTCTGCATGAGTGAGAAAACTTGTAATGCAGGATTCCTACTGGAAAACACCTATGAAACGAGGACTGTATGCGTATCCGGTATGACAGAGCTGGTCTGTCTTGCTTGCCCTGCAACACAATGTGTAACTGTATACACTTTTTTCTTGTGATAAAGCCGGGAGAATTTTCATTGCTTTCTGCTTCGCGGAGGCGAGAATTTCTGATGCGGGTCGTGAAGCTGAAGTACTAGATGTCGTGGGACCACTGAGTAGTAGATCCTCGGCAATGACTCCCCCTTCATTTTTGCTTGTAGTTCCCCAGTTCTCCATCACTTTCTGGAACAACAGCGCCGGGTCACTTTCCTCATCGAGCAACACGTCAAACTTACCGTCGAGCGCCTCTTTCTGCTCCTGTTTCCGCTTCTTCTCCAGCGCTTGTATTCCCTTGTGCAGCAGCTTCCTGACTCTCCGCTCTGCCAGGTACTCCAAAACTTCGTCCTCCAGGAGCTTTCGCAGTCGTTTCTTCTCGGTGAGATCTTCTTGATGTGCGTCCTCAGGAGCTCCTGCAGGAGGTCGTGGTGCAAGGAGTTTAGCGGGATCATCCTCCTGCTGGACGTCAACATCTCCAGTCGTGGCTGCTTGTCCTGACGACGTCCTCGAACCACTGCTATCATCTCCGTCAAAGGCCACCAGATCCTATCCACAGTAAATTTCCTGTACACGTACAAATGCGGTCCCCGCATGACAAAACTTTGCTTCGATCCTAGTTTAGCATGACAAGTTTACGCTCCAAATTGGTGAAATTTGTGATGCATCTTGTACATGTATGGGAAATTTGTATTGCATAGATCCCGGACCAAGTGCATGAAACTCCTGCCCCCGTACCGTAACTTTTGGATCAGCGAACCTATCCACAAAAAAACAACCACCCCCATGATCCATTTTTGCATGAAAAATACTGAATTTCATGCATGTTTCGCATGACAAATTGGATGGGGATGGTTGTTTTTTTGTGGATAAAACCCCCTGCGGAGACCCAAGTGATGTTCAACTGTTCGAAGATTTTCTGGGAGATTTCCGTGCTCTGAATGTGGAAGGCATCGGCGGCGCCGCCACAGAAGTGTCCTGAGTAAAAACGTCACCACCTCCACCGCAGAGTTGTCATGCAGCATCATCAAAACGGCATGCCTACAAATGTTTCTCATGCGCGGCCACAACATGAAAAGCATTATTCTAATGCTATCTGGGAGCTAGTCATGCACATGCTAGAATCAGGATAAGCTTATCGACGGTTTCTCATGTAGTGGCTGCACTAGCTTTAATAAACAGGGCGAAACTACGCACCAACGCTTGTCATGCGCAACAGCCAAAACTTGTGGATTTGTGTTGCAGATTCGCCATCTGGACTATGGGCGGGTGGGGACGTTTTGTTCACCTTCAATAACACATGTCCCCACATCATCGTCGCGGGCGGTGCGATTTTGTTCCGGGCCAGGTCGATGATTCTTGACTTTTCCTCCTCCTTCATAATACTCCCGATCTGGTCGAAATTCTTCCGCACCTCCATCAGCTGCTGCTCGACGCGGTATTTCGTCGTGGTTTCCTCCGCCATCGCGTACCGATGTGCCCCGTATCCACCTGTGCAAAAGCATCGTACCCGTAGTAATTGCAATCATGCATATACAAATCTCCATCCCAAGGGAAAACAGCATGACAAATTCCACTTGTCATGCTGACCGAATTTGTGATGCGATTTCCACTAGTACGATGCTTTTGCAATGCATACCCCGTACTTTGCGTAGATATCTGCGTCGTCCCCGAAGCGGTCGTCCGGGTTGTCGCGGGTCGGGTCATCAAATGCAAAAGCATGATCGCACACGAGTAGAACTCGCATGACAAGTTTGCTCAGCATGATGAGAAACAGAATTTGTAATGCGGGTCCACCTCAAGAAAGAGATTTGCGTTGCACGATTTTCGAGCACGCTACTTTTGCACAGGATACGGGTGAAAGTAAGTGGATTTGCTTGTCATGCGGGTTTCCAGAGACGAGGTTCTTGCGACAGAAGTAGTACTAACAGCTTGAGCTGCTTGCTCCTTCTTCATGTCGCCAACAATTGGCACTTCTGCAGGGCCGTCCGGGTGGCGATTCTTATTGTTCTTTATCAATTTGTCTTGCAAAAACCCCAACTTGCCCATGTCCAAATCCAAACTCGAGTCCCGCATTCGAGGTACCATCGGCACAGTTGAGACGGTCACCTCGCTGGTCTGCTCGTAGTGCAACAAAGCGACGCGTAGCAGCCCCGCTTCCAAAGGGATCTCCCGGTTGATCGCCTCCCAGAACTTCAGCTGTGTCTTAATCGTGGGGGTGGAAGGTTCATGCAATACAAAAGCATGATCGCACTCACTCGTGTGGGTGTGAATTGCATGACAAATTTGTCCTCCAAGCACAAAATGAAATCTTCTGTCACGCTGATTCAGATAAGAGCCTAGAGGACCTGTGTTAATGCAATACTGCGAATTAAAGTACGAGCACGATGCTTTTGCACTCCATAAAGTTGTTTGTACCGCAGCTTTTCCTCCTCCCACTCCCTTTGCAGGTTATACTCCATTGCCATTGGGTGGAGGAGCAGATCCGGCTGACGGACCACTGGCTTGGTATAAAAGTTGTCGCTGCCCATGTTGCCCGTGCCCGCGCCTGCTGGTCCTTCTCTACTCCTCGTCGCAAACGCGATTTTGGAAATTTTCTGCCCTTGGGTGGTGAACCTGAACAGGTGGAGCTTATCCTCGTCTTCGAATTTCGCAAGAAGTTTTTTCCGCAGCAGGTCCTGGGCGGTTATCGAAACAGTGGTGGACGAGGAACTGGAGGTCGTCGTGGTAGCGGGTAGTTCTATTCCCTCGGAGCTCGAGGTAGTTCCGGGCAAATGCTCGGCCTTCAGTGCGGGAATCAGGCCCCATTTTCGTTCCAAATCTGGCGCGCTTGACCCCACCCTATGGCGTTCTCAAACGTTACATTCTCAACTGTTACATGAATTTGTCATGCAAAAGCGCCTGCAGCCGGCAGATGATCGAGCTGCTTCGCATGACAAATGTTCGAAGGGCTCAACAGCAATTAAAGCTGCGCCAAATCTGTAATGCAAAATGCGCAATCTTCCCCCTTTCTTTTCACTTTTGCCGTTCTTGCATTACAAATTTACGTAACAGTTGAGAATGTAACAGTTGAGAGCGCCATACACCCAGCCTTCGGTGTATGGCTCGCCGGTCAGGGTGTTGCTTTCCTCCATGCGGTATCCCGTTCAAATAAAGTATCGCACGTGTACTAATCGCAGGCATGCACGACAGACCTATGGCTTTCAAGGGGATAGCAGCATCACAAATTGCATTTTCCTCTTGGCGCAATTTGTATTGCAATGCATACTATTTGCGACACTTTTGCCATGCATATGCGCCATCGCATCCGCGCGTGCTGGATCCATTCCAGCAAGGTGTCCACATCCGAGCCCTTTCTTACCACGTTTGCCGCGCCAAACGGGCCACCCGATCGGAAGAGCTGCGCGATAGAGACGGCAAAGTGCTGCTCCAGCCACCGCCACGTCGAACCATAGATTTCCGGGCCCACGAAGTGCTTGAAAAGCAGATCGTTGTCGGTGTTTTTCCATTGCAGGAGCTTGTCGTGGCCTAGTTCCGGCGGGATTTTTTCCCGCAGAGCGTCCCCATCCCCCGCGCCAACCGGCTCGTACTGCATCGGGTAGCGGAAGTGTTATCCTGTGCAAAAGTATCGTACTCGTACTAGTTGCAATTTATGCATGACAAATCTTGTTCTTAAGGTAAAACAGCATGACAAGTTCCAGTTTTCATGCTGAGCAACAAATTTGTAACGCCACTTATAGTTATACTAGAACTAGAACTAGTACGATACTTTTGCAATGCATAACTGCAGCTCGTGCGCAACCCGAGAGTCCCACTCTTGAGCGACGGTGAGTCGTGGAGGGTGGACTTCGAGAATTCGTTGCTCTACTTCTAAGGTCGTGCTTGAAACCTCGTCCGAGCGCGCTGCGTGGTCTCCCTCTCCCGCCTCCAAAGGGGGTGCTTGGAGCAGGTGGTCTTCTACTGTGCTTGCAGTTTGATCGTCCAACAGGCTCAAGTCCTGGCTGTTTAATGCGCTCCGGCGTGTCCAGCGGTTTTGCAAGTTAGTGTAGTACTCGTGCGCCGCTTGGATGTGATTCAGCACCCCGCTACCGGCCACGACGCCGTCGACGTTTTTCCTTTGCGGGGGAGGTGAAGGAGCTGTCGCTTCGTTATCTTCGGAAGTAGAGGTTCCCGCGCTTTGTGAGTTTGATGTGTTCTCATGATTCGCAGCAGTGCTAGAACTGCCACCGCTTTTCGTTCGACTCTTTTCCGCAGCTTCTTCGCTTCTCTTGTACAGTTTCTCCAGTCTGGCATTGATGTATGCTGTGGACAACAAAAAGTACTATCGCTATCGTACAACTAATATCCGTGCAAATTGCAAACATGCAAGACAAATAAATCTCTTTCTGGAGGCTGCACATCTGCAACATGTATGAGGCCCCACAGATCATTTGTTCATCCTGAAGAGTCATGTCAAACACAAACATGTGACGCAGCCATTTCCTAGCACGATACGGATACTGTTTGATGAAGATGCAATGCGTATAATCAGCTTCTCTCGCAACTCCGGATTCTCCACTAAGTACCGCTGTCGTTGCATCTTCAGTTTTTTCTTCTGCAGAGAATCCAACTTTCTCGTCCGGTTGTGGATCTCGAGAAGGAGAGAAGGGTCTTCGTAAGGGTTCTTCGGTACGTAGTGGTAGTTGTTCACCCCAGGACCACCAGCAGAGGACAGTGGGGCGGGCGGTATATCGATATTCGCGCTCGTTTCCCTTTCACTTTCATCATACCCCCGCCCTACTACTGCTTCACCCCGACCGTGGCCCTTGGTCATCTCCGCTTGAGTTCCGGCGGACGACGAGGGTGTAGAAGATGAAGCGGAAGCCGCCCCGGTTCTGAGCTGTCGCTGTGCTCCTGTGTTCTCGGAGGCTGTAGAAGTTGGTACCTGCACCAGTCCGTCCTGCAAAAGTTCTTGGGCGATGATGACGTTTTCGACAACGGATACGGCAGTAGTGACGTTCGCGGCCTGACGAGCTCGTCCCAGTTGTCCCTTCGGATCATCGATCTTCGCATCCAAATGTTGCTTTCCGCCACCAAGCGCCAAAATCTGGTGGACGGTTTCTCTTTCGCTGTCTCCTCCTGGCAGCCCGGATTCAGTGTGGTCGACTTGAAGATCATCATCATGAAGAGAGCTGCCTGCCGCTATGCTTATTTCTGTGCCTGTTTTATTGTTCCGCTCGTCCTCAGCTCCACGCCACTGACCTCTATTCATCCTTTTCCTTGTTCCCTTGTGGACCGCTTCGCGACGTGGATCATTGCCCCTTCTCAACTTCAATTCCACCCCTTGCCTGATTCCCGCAAATTTGTCGCCGCTTCCCCGATATGCATTGCAAAAGTATCGTAATTGTATAAATGCATGACAAATTCCCTCAGCATGAGAAAGAAAATTTGTCATGCGGATTTACCTTGGGAAAAAAATTTGTAATGCATGACTGCAACAATTACTACGAGTACGATACTTTTGCACAGGATATCCGAACTTCGTAATTGGGTTCGAATAACGAGTATAAATGGCGGCCCATGCACTGCAAAAGCATCGTAGTCGTACTACTATAAATCGCATGACAAGTTTCCTCTGCGTCATCTTCATCATCATCATCATCATTGAGACGAGCCCCCTGTGGTCGTCCTCACGGTGAAATTTGTAATGCGGATTTAACTTGAGAAAGAAATTTGTAATGCATGAATGCGATTCGTACGAGCACGATACTTTTGCAATGCATACGGCCGGTGTCCATCCAATTTGGGTAATCGTCGTCCAGGCGGCCTAAAGACAGTGCCAAAGCCATCAGATTCAGGTGCATGGGGTAGCAGTGGTGCCGGGTCACGTTCCACCCGCCGCCGTTCAGAAACCAGGCCACTAAGCCGCCCATCCGCCCGCGCAGTTTCAGGATGTCCACGCCGTTCTGCACCACGACAGACTGCTTCTGGTCGTGGAAAAGTTGCTTCAGTTTTTCGTTCAAAACGCGAAAGTAGTGCGCAATCAACAGTTGGTCGACGGCGTGCCTTTCCAGTTTTTGGTTGATCAACTGGCTGATCGCTTCCGGGTGGTGCAGGGATTCGTACAGGGAGGTGGCTTTATGTGAAGATGCAGCATCTCCATCTCCTATTTGGCTAGCTGCACCTGCAGTAGTTGATCCTGGGTCAGCAGCACTGAAGTAAAGATTGTTGTAGAAGTCGCTGTCAGCCAAGAACTCTTCAGCGCCCTCTTGTAACAACCCGCGTTTCCGCGCCGCTTGCACGAAGACTTTGTGGATTTGGTCGTTCAGGGTTTTTACTCTGTCGGAGTGGGTGCTAGAAGTACTTTGCGGCACTAAATTGAAATTGCTTTCGCTGAAAGCCGCTTTATTTGCCTGCTCCTGATCCACGTTCGTGATGACATCAGCGTGGTCGGTTTCTTCTCCTAGCGTGGCGAGCGTCGCGTTTCCGACTTCCTCAAAATGTTGCAAATCCGCAAAGGTGTCCCTCTCTTCCGGCAGGATGTACTCGTGCAGGTTCAAATATGGGATTCTCAAGTGTTACTTTTCCAACGCACTGTCGCATCTCTAGCGTCACACATTCCGCATAGATTTAGCTTCTGTTATTTAGCCCGTTCGCAAATTTGTCACGCGAAGCAGCTTGACCGTTTGGATCTTGATGGCAGGTTTGCATGACAAATTCATGCAACAGTTAAGAATGTAACGCTTGAGAATACCATATCAAGATGTTGCTCAGGAAGTTGAACGACGAGGGTCGATGTTTCTCGACTACAGTTTTCGCTTTCGCCAGCTGGTGGCCTGCACTTCCACTTGCTTGCGGTGGAGCGGAACCAGCAGAACTCGTGCTTCTTGCGTCTTCACCTCCTGTCGCGGCCGAGGATTTGGATTGCGATCCACCAGACAACGCCATAGCGCCCAGAGTTTCCTTTTCTAACTTGACCCAGCCAGAGTTTAATTTTTCGTCTTCATGAAACATCCACTCTTCATGCAGTAAATCCGACGTAAATTGGCTGGGACCGATGTGCGGGTGAATCAGCTTCATCAGCCAACCAAACATGTCCGGGAAAGCGGCGGTTGATTCGGTGGGTGGAGGTGTATCTCTATCTCCTGCATTCTCGTTTATAATTCCACCGCCCGATGGAATTTCTTTTGCATCTCGCACCAATGCGCCATTCATCTTCTCCTTCTGCCGCCTGGTCCTATCCTGCTCCTGCTCCTCGAGATGAAGTTTTTCCTTCCTTTTCGCGGCCGACCCGCCGAAAAAAATCTGCTCCCGTCCGACCACACCATAATCCTGCCAACTTCGGTCTGGCACGAGGTTGTTTTCCGGCAGGAAAATTTCTCCGCCACAGCGAAATTGCTCCCACTCAAAGTTCCAACGGGGAATGGGGCGCAGGGAGTTTTTCTGAAGCAGCTGGATCGTGACCGCCATTCGGGCTGAGAGGTCTTGGCGGGATTTGTTTTGTTTACGTTTCTGTTTGTTAGGCTTTGTGTTGAAGTTGTCAAGATGACCCTCTTTCGTTGTATCGCCATTGAGATTGTCATCCTCATCCACGACCTCACCGCTCGCGGCGCTGCCGCCCCCTGCGCTTCTTGCGGCTGCAGCGAGTACCACGATTCCGCCGCCCGGACCCCCGCGGATGAAGGGGCGAACTGCTGGAGCTCTTGACTCATTTGACGCAAAAACAGCGATCTCTTTATGTTTATACGATGCTCTGCTCCTTCCATTCTCCTGTCCCACCGTCTCCGTCTGATGTGCGCCCTTGCAGCCGATAACATACTCGTGTTGATCGTGTTTGATGGTTTTCGTTCTCTTATCTTCTGCACAATACGTCGTCGGCGGTGGTGGTACTTGCTCTCCCAAGTCAAAAAATGTTGACACATCGAGAAACAGAACGAGTAGTGCTGGCACACAATAGAGAACAAGAAAACAAGTAAAGGGGAACAGTATTGAGGGGCAACACGAGTGCTTGGCCAAACAAGACGAGCCAGATACTAAGCCGGAAGAGCAAGAGGATATAATCCAGGACTCGTAGAGGAGCGATCGCGATGTTCTTCTACTTTTGGTTTTGCTTCCTCCGACGCGGACACGATCCCGCCTCTTGGAGCAGACGAACAAGTAGACATTCTTGCACCTCCGCGATGATGAAGTAGATGAACTACAGGGTACAACACCAAGAGCTACTGTCGTCCTTCGGAAAATCTGAATGATCTTTTGCCACGAACTGGAGATGACCGAGGAGAACGAGCTTGGAGATCTCTTACTGCGCTTTAGTCTTGCATTTGTTCGACGCGTCAGCATTATCTAGTACTAGTAGTGCCTGGCCTGCTACCGTGCCCCTGAGTGGCTTTTTTTTCAGTTTGTGATGATGAGTTTTGTTTCTGAGTGTTCTTCATCTTCACAATACATTTTCAACAGGGAAAAAGGCGAAGCATCCTCCTGGGCGGATGCGAAAAAAATCGTGGACAGCACCAGAATCGACCGACGGAAGACCAGTCGGAAAGTGGAAATCGAACTTGTGGAACAAGCACTTTTATAATTGGCCAAACATCCTCGCGTTTCTGCAGCACGATGCTCCTCTTCTTGCGTGATGGATAAAGTAGCAAGTAATTCTAATTGTTGTCCAGCAGGATATGCATTTTGAATGGGTGTTATTTTTTTTGATAATGAGAATATACGCAGTCTCGAACTGCACGACACAGGATATGTGTCGATATGCTTAATAATAGTATGCATTTGCCGCGCACTAATATTGTATGCTGTAGTTCTGGCGCAGGATATGCAGTCGTGCGGTGCGAGTAAGATAGGACTAGGAGTCAAAAACAATACAGGTGCAAGTGAAAATCTTATTGGAGAAAGTTTAAGTTTTTAGTAACAGAGGAATTCTAGCTTCTAAATTGCACCTAGAAAATCAGGCTGGTCGACGTAAAATGGTAGTTGTGTGCGGCAAAATAAAATACTTAAAAAGCGTGGAAATGGATAAAGCTTTTGAACCGCTACGCGTTTGCACTTTATCTGATTCATATTGATTCTGAATGGGTGCCACTATCTAGTAAACTTCGGATATTCATGGTGGAAAACACGGGGTAACAGGACAGAGTAAACAAACTTGTAGTACGAAAAAAAAATCATATGTGAAACTTGTTCGAAAGGGCGGAACGGAAAGGGAAGCTAGGCCGTGGCGGCGAGGTGGCAGTTTATTAATGAAACAAAAATATCAAAGAAAGGGTAAGGGAGAGCCTGGATAAAAAAAATTAAATTAAGAAAGCCTCGGAGTGAGACAAGAAACACAGTAGCGTCAATTAAAGCATACATCTGTTAGACGTTGCCGTTGCATTCGCCATTTTCCTTTAGTCATTCTCGTTGGACAGAAAACCGACTGTGTGCTTGGATCTTTAGGCGAGTAACTGTTTTGCAGAAAGTGAAAGCCAACGTGCATGTGTGTTCGCTTCGAGATAATTCGCTTTTGGTTCTAGATTTGGCACAAAGCCAAAACCCTGGTTCTTGTAGAACTAGAAGGTACTTGATCTTGAATGAAGCGCACCTTCTCGGCTACACGTACATTTTATTTTGAGATTTTTTATCTGAATCTGAAACAAAAGCGTGTTTGAATTCGCCGGACATTTTAGGATCCTTCTTGTCGCACTCGTCGACAACGGTTTGGCACCAAGCAGGCACGTGTTCTGGCTCGCTGTACTGCCATTCATCAGTTTTCTCAGCATCACATGCCACATCACTGCAGACTTTCGTCATCGTGCCGCTCAGCTGATAGCTACATAGTTTGAAACCACAACCGGGTGAACCAAGAGGAGTAGAGCAGCCGGATTTCTCCAGCTTGTAATTATAGCAGTTCCTGATGAAGGCCCCCGTTGCTTCGTCCGTTACGGGCAGTTGTCCCTCGTGCAGCTGAGAGTTTAGCCTGCTTGTGGTCGCTTTCTGGTGCTCGTGGTCGACCAGCAGCTGCACGAGCGACCCGGACCATTCGTTCCCGGCCCAAATGTGGGTGGTCGGCGGGGGTTCGACCGAGGGCCGACGGCGGTTCGACGGAGGTTGTTCGACGACCGCGGCCATTTTGCTGGCCGCGAGGAGCTTCAGGGCGATGGTGGACGATTTCGGCATGTTTTTTGCGTCCGTTTTTTCTGTAACGTCGTGTAAAATCACAAACACCAAATAACTCAAAAACTGTCTGAGGATGTTGACGATGAGAGAGAGAGAGAGAGTGAAAAAGCAGAAGCAACAGCTGTTAGGCTTGTTGGTGAGTTTGATTGGGGCGTAGTTTTTTCGCAAACACCTGCAAGAAAAAAAGCTTTTCCTGGAATTGTCGGTGGTCTTGCGTGTAAAATTAAACCAAGAACTCACGCGAATAAAATTTAGATTTCACCCGCATCCTCCGCACCCGCAGCATCTTAAAAATAAAAACGAGTTAAAGGAAGCCCCGCCAATAAACAAGTCTTCGACCTAAACGCGTCGAACCACCGCGGCACGTACGAGTGAGGACTTTCTTTGATCATGTAGACAAGGTGCCATTTGGTCGTGTCCTCCAGCGGCAACTTGCTGGGTGGAGAAGATAATCTGAGCGACTTGTGGTTGTTCAAACCAGGAAAGGCATGTTGAACGACCGCGACGAGGACGACGACAATTACCGCTACATAGTTCTACTCTTGGCGGTGCTCCTGAACGAGGGAGGGACCACGAGGACTCTACGGAACGAATTCATCAATTAGCAAAAGCAAACAAGATGAACGACCTATCTATCATGTGACGAGCAGACGAGAGCAGTTTGCGACTGCACGAGCACGACGATCGCACGAATTCAGATTCAAAAGTACGTACTTCCTTGTGTCCTGGAAGACGAAGATCATCGACAACAGATATTTTAATCAATTCCGGCAGAGTTAGACTGGTTCATAAATCTCGTAGTTTGTGACGGTAGACGGATGCCACGAAAAATCAAAAATCCTCCTGGACGATGACGGATGCGGCCGTTAAGCCGTAGTTTATCTTTATGACAGTGGACACATGTTCGTGTTCCTGGACGGATGCGGAAAAAATAAAAAAAACCGTGGACTACAACGGCACCAGAATCGACCGACAGAAGAGCACTTTGCTTATGTTGAAAAATGAAATTTTGATTTAGGAAAACGAAAACCTCAGGTGGAACGAATGCAAAATACGCATGATCGCACTTACTCTTACTGGTATGACTTGCATGACAACTACGTACAATTCCTCGAAGCACAAAAACAAAATTTGTAATGCTGATTCCAGCAAACTACAGCCTAGACCTGTCATGCAGCATTGCGAATTAGTACGAGCACGATGCTTTATTTGCCCTCCATAAAGTTGTTTGTACCGCAGCTTCTCCTCCTCCCACTCCCTTTGCAGGTTATACTCCATTGCCATGGGATGCAGAAGCAGATCCGGCTGGCGGACCACTGGCTTGGTATAGAAGTTGTCGCTGGCAGTGTTGTATGCATTGCAAAAGTATCGCATCAGTATGAATCGCATGACAAATTTCCTCAGCATGAGAAATAAGATTTGTAATGCGGATTTCCCTTGATTACTAGATTTGTATTGCATGTTGACTGCGATTACTATGAGTACGATACTGTTGCAGTGCATATGTTGTCCCCGCCTGCCGGTCCTTCTCTACTCCTCGTTGCAAACGCGATTTTGGAAATTTTCTGTCCCTGGGTGGTGAATCTGAACAGGTGGAGCTTGTCCTCATTTTCGAATTTCGCAAGAAGTTTTTTCCGCAGCAGTTTCTGGGCGGTTATCGAAACAGTGGTGGACGAGGAACTGGAGGTGGTTGTGGTAGACGGTAGCTCATCTTCACTTAGGAAAACGAAAATGAAAACCTCAGGTGGAACAACGAGGTTGCTCCCCGTCGTCCCCTTGGTCGAGCATAATTTGCTCCACCTCCCGGCGTTTTCCGTGCGACTCAACAGCACGAAGTTTGTTTCTCTTGCAGCACGATGGGTATTAAAGTAGTAGTTGTATGTTGGCGTCCAGCACCACTAGCAGGATATGCGTCAATCTTCATACTACTCTTGTTGTCATAATACGCAGCGACACAGGATATGCATCGAGTTCGATATGCTGCAGTTGCGCAGGATATGCCGTTTTGCGGTGGGAGTGTTGTTAAAAGCTACTTTTAGTGTCGAGTGAGGACGTAACAGAGGAGTTCGAGTTTCTAAATTGCAGGCAAGGCGGGGAGTCGTAAAAAATCAGGGTGGTCGTAGTGAAAGAAGTTGTGTGTAGTGCTAGAAGTTGTGTGCGCAAATAAATGAAAATGTGGAGGTCAGGTTCGTGGAGATGAAACTGCTTTACTTGATACTGGTTTAGGTTTACTGTACTTCTGATTCTGAACGAGAACGGGTACTGCTAACTTCGGGTCTTGCTGGTGGAAAATAAGTGATACTGCTACGCTAATGTTGGTTGTAATTGAAATTGCAAAATTTAAGTGGAATTAATACAACAAAGAAAGATGAAGCTGCGCGCTTTACCAAGAAATGTCTAGAGGTGCCCGGGAGAGGACCACCGGCCCGACCTTTCCGTCAGTGGCTGATCATTTAGGAGTTGTGGCTGCTCGCGCGCATACTTACCGTTTCCTGCCAGTTGCATAACTTTTGGTCGTAAAAACTCTACGGCCGATAATTCGATACAAAAGCTTTAGGAGAAAAGTCAACGCGTGACTCAGATTTCGAGAAGCTTTTTGGCGCCATAGCGTGTCCAGGTCCACCTCACGGACGCGACCGAGAGTAGCAGAGGCTTCTTTACGGTAACGGTAAGTGCGTGTTGCTTTTGAAATTTTGTTATAATATAATTCTTATAAAATTGTAAATGATAAATAAAAATAGGTTTAGTGCTTATGTTTTTGTGTTGTTTATTTTCTACTGAACAAGAACGGAAGACGCCCCCTCCTTCTTAGAAGTAATGCCTTGAACAAGAATAGGAACAATACTGCAGGATTTTGTATTTATAGTTTTATGTGGTTTATTGTAGATTTTTTTTGTTTTTTTGTATTTATTCTCCTCTACGCGACGTCTGAGCTGGCTGCGCAGTCGAGTTCTACCCATGTCTAAAACTAGCTGGGCACACAACCAAGACGCGAACGTCTACGGGTCGTGCGCGCCTTCAAGTCCAAACTATGGGCGAACGCGAACTACGTCGTGGAAGTGGACATGAAGCGTTTATTGCGACGTTCTTGATGAAGACTGCTACGGGGACATTCCTCGAATAGGGACAAGATGGTGAACGGCAGAAGGTTGCTTTAACTTAAAATGATTACTGCTGCTGATGGTCGATGTCATAATAAAAATTCCTGTACATGTGCATGGAATTCTACATCAACAAAGATGAAGCTGCGCGCTTTACCAGGAAATGTCTACTTAGTAGTGTGCAGGAAATGACTGGTCAGACCTTTCCGTCAGTGGCTAGAAGTTGTAGTTGGCGCGCATACTTACTCCTGCTTTCTGTCAGTTGCATGTATTTGTATGTTCGTGATTGCAACAGTTCTTAAAAAACAAACTAACACGATGCAAGAGCTGTAGCAGAAGCGCCAGCGTGTGAATCAGATTACGAAAAGCTTTCTGGCGCCACAGCGTGCCCACCTCACACGAACGATAGCAGAAGCTTTGTGTCGGTAAGTGCGTACTGTTGGAGAAGTATTTATTTGTTTATAGATGGTTATTGCTGTATGTTTTTGTCTTGTTGAAGTTGATCTTCTGAACAAGAGTAATTGTTTCTGTTTGTTTGTTGTTAATGGAAGTCGCGCCCTCATTGTGGTCGTCGTGAAGAACAAGAATATTTTTACATTAGAACATAGTACCAGGTAGCTGTACAAGTACGTGAATGATCTGAATCCTAGCAATTGACAAGTTGGTCACTTCTGAACAAGTGCTCCTTCATAAATCACGCTTCGCCTTAATCGCACACTTTACACAAGACGGCGTTTGTAACTGCACCTACATCTTTTGTCTGCATCTGGTTGCAGTCCTCTTTGCCGGAGGATCCCTGCGTCCGGCACAGGGCTTGGAGAGTGTACCAGTCGGTGAATTGAGAACCCTCCGAGAGAAGGTCTCCGCCCTCCCTGAAGAGCTTCCACGTCCCGGTCATTTTCTCGTCAACCTCCTCGTCAGGAGTGTTGCACTTGTGCCCCGCCGGTTGGCACTGTTCCGCGTTCCAGCTCGAGCGACGCGACATCCCATTGGTCTGGTGCGAGATCACTTGCAACGCCGATGCCGGACTCGCCATCTCACTGCCGCTCCACACGTGCGTGGAGCCGCTTTTCTTCTTCGTCGCCGCGGACACCCCTCCCACATACAGGGAGGCAGCAACGCCGGCGACTTTGACGCACTTCTTCTTGAAAGCCATGATTTTGGTTGTCTTCTTGCAGGGATCGAAGCCGCACGAGTACGTAGGTATGTACAACTTCTTTCTAGGTGTTCCTGCTGTTGTGAAACGACTTCTGCGAACAGAACTTCTGTAGGAGGCCTTTCGTCCGGAACCGGAACTAGTTCTAGTTGGTTTTCTTCTTCTATCCACGGAGGATGAAGATCGAAGCTGTTTCGTCTGAACGACAAGGAGAAAAAAAGGGGATCTGTTGATTTTTTGTAGTCAAAGAATTGGAATTCCGCCATATGATACGACAAAGTGGTACTTCTATTTCAACGGAGGCAACGCGTGGTCGTCAACGAGTAGAATACCTACAGTTACACTGGTCGTTCTCCCTTTAAGCATGGTGATGTTGTTGATGACACGATATTATTATAGCGCCACCAACATCCTCACGAGAATATTACGGACCATCGTTGCGTATTTTTCCAGAACGACAGTGCTGTGGAGTACGACGAGGAGGAGGAGGTTGGGGTTTTTCTACGGTTCAACGAAATTCTACCATCGAGTTCATCCCCTTGGACTTTTTCCTTTTATAAAAGAACGACGCACACTGATGCTCTTGAGTACGACTACTAGGTAGGACGATGAAAAGGGGGCGCGCTTTACATTTGTAAGGCCCACCACGAAGGAGTGGACGTTACTCTGAATTTCAATTTTCTTGAAAGAGCATGTTAATGCTCTTCAAAGAGACGCGCAGCTGCAAGAACGAGTTGTACGATAACGAGGAGCATGCGTTTGTTGCGGCATTTTGAGTGTCCACGACGACAAGGACATCACCGACGAGGACACCAACTACAACTCAACGAGGATGAGGAAGGAGGTGTTCTACGGAACGAATAGAAAACGTCGACGACCCATCTACCTTTTGAGACGCCCATGCGACTGCACGAGCACGGAATACGATTCAGATTCACATTCAGATTTAATTCAAGAAGCTCCTCTTCCTTTACGTTTTTAAGAGAAAGATTGATCACCAATAACAGATTCTGCCGGCAAAGGTTTAGACTGGTGATGAGGTCCGGGGTACGTCAGAACACTTTCTCTTTTTCTCGATCGTCGTGAAACCCCATTTTTTTTGTAGCAAAAGATGCTAACTTCTTTCGCTATTTTTCTTCAACAAAAAAGCCTCAAGAAAACTTTTCAAAACCAAAAGCGCAAGACGACCAGATTGTCCTCGTTAGCTTCGTACTTGTTGCAGCACCAACATCATCTTCATCTTTAAAACAGAGCGTTGCGCTAATCGAAGCGGACAAAATTTCAATTGTTTCTTGCGTCAAAAGTAGAATTCAAAATCTTCAATCAAAAATAATCTTGAAGAGTTGAGTGGTGGTGTTCTACTTACGACATCGCCAGCAGCGCATCGGGCGAAATCTCGATTTCCAACTCATCAGCGTTGAAAAACTCTTCCAAATCCAGCTCTTGTTCTAACTCATCCGGGTCGATGAAGACTTCTTCTGCTACTTCCTGATGGTGCACGGCAAAATTTAAATTTTTCCCATACTCGTCCGCGAATAACATCATTTCCTCCTCATGATTTCGTCCATTCTTGCTCAACGCCTCCTGTTCCCGCCTTCGCACTTCCCGCTCCCACTCTTCTCGCTGCTGCGCCACCGCCGCTGGCCGGGAATCGACCAGTAACGCGGAGGAGTTCATGCGGTTGTTCTGCAGTTGGAAATTATTGTTCTGTTGATTCAGTTGATGTTGTGAAGTAGAAGATGTAGATCCCGAGGACCCGCTGCCGCTTCCCATCACCTGTCGTGAAGATGTCAGCGGTTTCTGGCCCTTCACGACCGAAAAGCTGCTCTTTATCATGGACGCATCTTGCAGTACCGACTGCTCTTCCGCAAGCTCCAGTGCAACGATGCTCGGCGTGGTAGAAGTAGAAAACAAATATTCTCTAGAAGAAACCGTGGTCCTGCAACCGTCTGCTCGGGTGGAAGGTGGCACACCGCGGCCAGCAGCATTGTTCACCCCTCCGCCGCTCCCAGTAGTGTACCGGCTCGACCTCGGTCGCTCCGTCTGTGTGGCTCTTGCTGCATTCGGGTACAAGTTCGAACTGCTCCTGCTCCGGTTCGGCGTTTCCGGTCGGGTTTGGAGCTCCTGCTGCATGGTGGAGCCTCTCATGCTTGATTCTGGCCCGGCTCCACTCCCACTTCCTCCACGGGAGCCACGTGGTGTTTTGGACGAGGCAGCAGGAATGGTAGCTCCACTACCTCCCCCAGATGAAGCGGCAAGATTCGTGCCCTTGCCGTTCCCATGACGCGTACTTGAACTTGTGCCAGGTCTACTGCTCCCCGCCGTGGAAGGCCGGCGGCCGGCTGATGAGCTTGAAGCCGATCCAGGTCTTTGTGTTGTACTAGACGTAGAGGAGTGCATTGCAGTACTAGTAGACGACGTTTTATTTGCTTGCCCCCCAGCAGCACGTCGACCGTCGCCCTCAGCCGACCTTCTTCCTGTGGTCCTCGCTGCTCCCGGTGCAGAAGTACTAGTTCCCCCATCGTGGCTCATTTCCACGTCCCCAGTACTCGATGACTCTCCGCAGTTATGCACTGCAAAAGTATCTATCGCACTTTTTCGTAGATTTACATTAGCAATTTTTTTCAGAATTACAATTACCACGAATGCAATTTGTAATGCTGATTTAGCTCAAGGAGGACATTTGTTATGCATGATTCTGAGTGCAATTACTAGGAGCGCGATGTTATTTTTGCAACTCATACCCGTCTTCCACGACGACCAACTGTGACTGAATGTCGAACTTCGAGATCGTAGCCGCATTAGTGCCGTAATTGCTTCCTCCCCGACTTCTAGACGTCGGCGGGCCGGCGGGCGGGCAGATCAAACTGTTGTTCATCATCGACGCGGCGGTACTATTTCCGTTGAAATCGTTCAGTGAACTCCGTTTCTGCAGAAACACGGCGTCGGGTCCGGTGGCTTTGCACCTCTTCACGTGCTTGACATAGGAGTCGTAGTTGAAAGACCTTAAACACCGCGGGCACTGGTTTTGGTTCGTCTTACTCAACCCCTGGGTTTGCTCCACGGATATCAGTCTCTATCCTGTGCAAAAACTACGTCATGGTCAATACATTCCCCAGCACAGAGTCGTAGAGAGGGAAAATGCAAATGTGCAACGCAAATAATGATGCATCTCATGGGGAATGCGCATTACAACGAATTTTCCTGTCGAGGATGCAAATCTGCAAGACAACGTCGTTGGGGTCACTACACCAGAACGTCTTGTTTATTACGCGGGATAGCTTCGGTAGCTTGGTCAACTTCCCTGCCGCTTTGATCTCGCGGATGCGGTTCTCCGCGGGGGTTCCTCGCAAAAAATGCGCGACGTGGTCGAACTTTGTGACTTTGGGCTTCCCCGCCTGGCACCGGGTCTCGTGCTTCGCGATCCGGTCAAAACGGAACTTCCGGGCGCAGAATTTGCACTGCTCCAGGACAAACCCGGGCTCGAGGATGTGCGTCTATCAAATGCAAAAATGTCTGGGTCTGGAAGGATGCAAGGTTTGTCATGCACATTTTGCATGACTCCTGATGTCTGCGATGCATGCCCTAGTATCACAGATCTTGCGAGGGCTTTCTGATGCCTATACCGCATGAGAAATGCCCTCTCGCCATGGCCAAAACCAGACCTCTTTTGCTGTTCATGCACTACACATTTTTGGATAATGCAGACGCAGCATCACAAGTTGCATTCTTCCAGACCCAGACATTTTTACATTTGATAGCGTCACGGTCTCGTCGATTTGCTGGAGGATCTCCGTGCTCTCCTCGACTGTGTAGGCCTGGTGGAGAAGGAGGATTTGCTCCGTGGTGGTCGGCTTGTTGCTCACGAGCTGCTGCTGGAGGGCTGAGTGTATTTTTGTTGCGATTCATGTTGAAGATCAAGATGTATGTAAGCACACTAGGACCAAATCAAGTATGCAAAAGTAAAAGGCGGGTGGAAAAATATTTAGTTATTTTCACAATGATATTACCTTCCTTGCTCCCCACAGCTCCTCCAGCACTGCCCACGACCCCGGCTTCCGTCTGCGTCTCGAAAAAACCTAATCCCTGCTTCATGATTTCAATCGCGTTCTTCCACTTGCCCACGGCCGCATGAAACGCCTCGTTCTTCCGCTTCAGCCGACGGTACTTTTTCTCCTTATGCACTGCAAAATGGTCGCATTCATACAAGTTATCGCATTAATGCATGGCAAAGGCAAATCTCCTTCCCGTTCCCGAGGGAAATTAGCATGACAAACGAAATTTCTCATGCTGAGCTATTTAAATTTGTAATGCAATTTTCACTACAACTACGATACTTTTGCAATTCATACTCCTCCCCCCTTGGCAGTGTGGCGTTCGACACCACGGCTTTCAAACGTTCGACACACAGCGACCACGCCTTCTCGGATTCTGGCGGGGAGAGAGATTTGTTGGTGCAAATCTCGGAACGCAGCTGGTCAAACAGTTTCTGGAACTTCTGACGGCGGCTGAGAGTATTTGTAGTACTGCCTGTACTCGCAGCGTTCCTCGGACCGGAGGATGAGGATGACGAAGAACTACAGGCAGAAGTTCCTGCTACTGTAGCTTCACTGCTGGACGACTCTCCAGCACCGCCCTCCGAAGCCGTTGTACCAGTTATCGAAGATGAGCAAGACGTCGAACTGCCTTCCGCCTGCTGCCTTTCCAACTGCTCCCGGCACGCTTTCGTGTGCGGCAAAATCGACTGCAAGCGAAACTTCTCGCCGCAAACACCGCAGGCAAACCGGCCCTGCTTGTCCGGTAACCCGAGTTCGCCCCGCTCTAACGCTTGTAGCGCGGACCTGAGGTCGTTCATTTGCAACTTAGTTTTCTCCTTCTGCTGCTCCTTTATAATTGCGGCGTGGTCGGCGTGGTCACCTCCTCCACCGTGGTTTACGTTTATTTGCGTAGAAGTTTCCGCCATCGCTTGTTTTGCGGCTTGTATTTTATTTGCGGAAGCCGAAGTACCGCTTGTTCCAGCTAAAGATCCATGGTTATTGGTAGTTGGCATGGTCGCGGAGAGTTTCATTTTTTCCCGCTGCATCTGCTTGACGCAGCGTTTCTGGTGCTCGGGCAAATATCGTAAGGAAAAATCCCCCCTCCCCATATTGAAAAGGTACATTTTTGGAAATTTGTGATGCTGATTTGTGGTCACAGATCGTGTCTGTCTTGCAAGGAGGCAATTCCGCAGGCTCCGCCGCATTGCGCAGGCGGTTTGTCATGCTGTTGGGCCTACAGCGCGGATGTTTTTCATGCTAAGTGCCTAAGCCAAAACCTCGCTACTCACACTTGATATGGGCCTTCAGTGCTCTCCAGCAAGACAGCTCGGATTTGTGTACACAAATCCAGCATCAGAAATTTCGTTTTGATATGGGGAGGGGGGATTTTTCCTTTCGATAGCAAATCCTCCTTCGTTACCGGGCGACCGCAACAGCCGCAGGTCGTCAGTTGCCCGAGGAACTTCCGCGCGCAGTAGCGGAGGTGGTGCTTGATCTGGGCCTGGCCTATGGATTGTAAAAATGTCTGGATCTGGAAGATTGCAACTTGTCATGGTAAATCTGAATCATGCAGAAATCTGTGTTGCATGAGTGCCAAAGGGTGTCCACTCTCGACGAAGTAGTTTGGAGGGAGTTTCTCATGCAGGATAGGCATGGCAGAGACCTCACAGACTCTGTCATGCTAGGTCCCGCATTCCAGACCTCACGAGTCATGGAAAACCCGCATGACAAGTTTACACTCTTCCAGACCCAGACACTTTTGCATTTGATATGGCCGTGCATGGTGCCACAGACCGGGCAACACACCGCGTCCTTGCCGTGCCAACGCATCATCTTGAAAATAATAGTTGGGTCTAGCAAGATCTACCTTACATGTTGTGTGTGTCTAGGAAGTAGCAGTAGCAGTAACTCCTGCGGAGGCCGTGGCTGCTCTAGCAACAGCGCGACCAAGAACAAACAAAGGAAGAAAAAAACTAGAATTGTATCCTTAACGTTAATCAAATAATGTAAATGATAAAATAAAACCCTAAAAGTAAAAAGTACCCCATAAGAAATGGGAAAGCAAAGATGCCGAGGTACAAATTTTAATCCGAGTACATTTTTCATAGGACAATTTTCGGTTTGGTTGTTGCGCGTTTTGTCGACTGGAAGCTCTCTACTGTGCGCTAGAACTGGAGGCGCCTCTCTGCAGTACCTTCACCTTGGTGTTCAACTCGGCGGACAACTACACTCTCACTCGAACTGAGTACGAAGAAATTTTTGCCACTTTGCTGCTCATGTACATACTTATTCACTCGCTCCTCTGTGGTCTAGTAGATTTTCTCAGAAGATACACCCCCTTTTACTCATGCACATGCAGCTACCCATGTAATAATTCATCGTGGGTGCCACTCAGGGGGCTGGTGTTCCTCGTCCACAGGAGGTGGTACTGGTGGGCAGACGAACTAGGAAAAATAATCCTGATGCGCATGCGGCGCCGACCGAACGTGATAAGTAACCCAAGGGCAACAAGTTGTGCTAGTTCAGCTTCACCCGCACCTCCCCGCAGCTGATGTAGTACTACCCTGCTGGGTCCTAGTAGTGCGCGAAAGCAGGCACAGGCGTCGCGCAAGTACTACTTCATCTAGAGGCAGTTGTATATCATCTTCATCAGCAACTTGGTTACGACCACACCTAGTCTTTTACCACCAGTTTCTCGTTCTCAGTTCTCTTCGTCTTCGCCCGAGTTTTTACCGCCTTGTTTTCATCTCCTTTAGCAAGAAGACGAAATGTTTGTACTTCGGACGCGGCACTTATTTTGATGATGGTCTACATTGACCACCTTGTCTTGTTTCATTTTGCACATCATTTGCTGCGTACAAAATAAATTTAGAAATCCTTTACTCAAGCAAGTATTTAAATCTTCGGGCGGTTTGCCTCGTGGCTAGAGCAGAGGTGGTGGTGAGAAGATGTGAAGGAAGTCGAAGTTCTAGTTCGAGGAATAGGAAACAAATTGGAGTTCTCGGCTGTTGTACTAGGATTGCAAGGAGGTAATTTGAAAACATGATTCTCAACATCGAAGAACAAGGGTTTCTTTCCTCGCCACCTCCACCTCACGATCCCCAATCTTCGCCCAGCATGTTGCCCAGTTGCGCGACGAGTTGCGTGTCCATTTCTTTCCTAACCCGCTCCATGGTTCTGTGTCGCTCGTCGAGCCACGTTTGGTACTGCAAACAGGCGACGATGTTACTGGTGATGATTTCGAAATCCTTCAGCGGATATTCCTTTGCATCCGAGACCACTATGTTCTCCATCACACCGAAAAATGCTAGTACTACCAGCAATAGTGCTGTTAGATGTTCTTTGTGTAGTTTGTCATGCGCAACAGACTGGATGAACATCACATGACTTCAACGCCAAGCACGATGGCTCGCACCATGAGAAACTTTTTTTTTGCAGTCACTCGCTCTACTACTTCATCTGCAAGTTTCAACGATGATTTGCTAGTAGTAGTACTAGCACGTTTCTGTGTGATAATCTTGGACGCACTGCCTGACGCCGCCATTTTAGATGCTACCTTCGCCATACCTGAAGTAGTTACGGTAGAAGTAGAAGACGAGAGAAACAATTTTACTTCAGCTGCAGAACGAAGGTTCACTCGATGTTGTGATGCAAATAAGGAATGTCAATGTCTATCAGAGGTGCTGCAAAAACTGCTGCCCATGATAATCACGCACGATAAATTTTGATCTTAATCCTACCAGCTTTCTTCATCAGACTCCCTTGGATATCAAACCAAAAAGTGTTAAAGTTAACGGAAAAATTCCGCATGCAGTCATGCATCAGAAAAGGTGCTGCGCAGAGTTGTATTGCATGGCATGCCTGCCTGCCAGGGAGTAACATTTGTTCTGCATAACTGCGGTTATTTGTGAAAAGTGAAAACCGTTAACATTAACAGCTTTTTGCTTGATAGAGGACATCTTCTTGCATCTTGCGCGAGTCCGACTGTGCGCACCCTACTTTCGGAAACAGCAGCTCCTTCGGCACGATGCCCCGTTTCAGCTGGTCCCGCAACACCTTGACCATGTTATCCACCCGTGCGTTCATCTCCTTTTTCTCGTCTTCCAGCATCATATCCGTAATGGCCGCGCCCTTGTTCACCTTCTGCATGATCTTCTTCTGCTGCCGACTCCGGGAAGTGCGGCGGTCGGAAGGCAGCCTCCTGCCCTTCCGCCGCTTCTCCTCCTCCACGGCTTCCTCGTGCTTATGAATTGCAAAAGTGCAATCGTACTAGTAGGTGTAGGAGTAACCGCAATACAAATTTAAGTAGGTCCATATCATGACACGTGATCAAATTTACCATGCTGATTCAGCTTTCCTCCTTGCGTGGCTGCAATTTTTAAGTAGAAGTACTACGAGCAGTACGATTATACTGTTGCAATCAATGCATAGTGCTCGGACTCTAGCATTTTCGTCAAGCACTTACGCAGCGTCGCTTGCACCAGTTCGCTGTTGCCCTCCTCTTCATCGTCGAGCATCGGGAAGGAGGCGAGGTATCCACGACAAATTTGCCGCACAGAAATTGGAATTCTGTTGCTGCATGACAAAACTTCTTCCCAACCGTCAATAGCATTAGCATGGCAATTCAAATTCTTTTTTATGCTTGATAAATGGTCAGTAGGAGTACGGCAAATTTGTATTGCATACGAGGTCATCGCGGTCGACGGGGCCAATTACTTCCTCGTTTAGTACGTTGTCCCTGAGAATGCAGTATTTTGCTGCAGATTTTTGTTTGCGCCCGCGATGAAATCGCACAAATGATTGGTCAAACGAAAAAAGACCCCCTCTTCGGCTAGGACGGAAAAAACCAAATCCGCGAAATTTCAAAATTTTATTTTTATCCTAAGTAGCCGAAACTCGCACGACCTAGCCTCTGGCACCAATCTGTTTTGCCAGTTGCAAAGATCGAGCCCAAAGCTTTCGATCTGGCAAGACAGAAGGCGTTTTCAGCGAGAAAAGACCCCCTCTTCGGCTAGGATGGAAAAAACCAAATCCGCGAAATTTCAAAAATTTATTTTTATCCTAGCCGAAAGTCGCATCACCTAGCCTCTGGGGCCAATCTGTTTTGCCAGTTGCAAAGATCGGACCCAAAGCTTCCGATCTGGCGAGACAGAAGGCGTTTTCAGCAAGAAAAGACCCCCTCTTCGGCTAGGATGGAAATAATCAAATCCGCGAATAAATTTCAAAATTTTATTTTTATCCTAGCCTAGGCTCGCGATGCCTAGGGTTTGAGAAGATTTCGTCCTGCGAGCTGCCAAAGAAAGGCCCAGCTACGCTTTCGAGTTAGCATAAGAAAAACACCTCGCAGCGCGAAATTACTCCGCGCGACCCTGCTAGAATGTGGATTGTATTTGTACCGATGAATTTTTGTCTTGCATAATAATTTTGAGACTAAGGATGAATAGAGGTACAGCGAAGAGTTTGAGTATGTTTTCTTTACCTGTCTGCCCGTAATTTCCGCAGCAGTGCTGCCCGCTCCATTTTTCTCGCTTGCCACGTGAAAGTTCGGTTGTAGTACTTCAGCATGTATGAATTGCAAAAGTATGATCGTACTAGTTCTAGTAGAAACAAACCGGATCACAAATTTCAATCTGGTCAGCATGAATAAAGGTGGAATTTGTAGTAATTTGTAATGGTGGTAGTTAGCGTAGTATATGATTGCCATGATTAGTACGAGTAAGATACTCATCTTGCACAGGATAGCATGGGCGGTTCGCGATCCAGTTCGTTGTACGCGTCGTGAAATTTGGAGCCGACGATACCCACCGGGAGACTCAAAATCAAGATCCCGCAGATCATCACACCCATCCCGACATATTTCCCGATCTCCGTTTGCGGCACGTAATCCCCGTAACCCACGGTGGACACGGTATCAAATGTAAAAGTGTCTGGGTCTGGAAGGTTGAAACTTGTAATGCTAGCTTTCTATACCTAGAAAATCTGTATTGCATAACCAACAAAAGGCGCAGCCTCTTTTGTCATGCGAAAACGCAGCTTCTCATGCGGATTGCCTATGAGAAAGCGTTTTGGGAAGTTGTCATGGTGGACTGCATTCGGAAGTGTTCTCATCATGCACACTTTAGCATCACAAGTTTCCAGACCCAGACATTCACATTTTGCAATCCATAAACGGTGACCAGCGACCACCAGAGCGAGTGGATGATGGATTCAAAGCCTTTGGCCGCGTATATGGCGTTCTCAAATGTTACATTCTCAACTGTAGTTACATGATTTGTCATGCAAAATTCGAACCAGAATCGACGCGATCAAGCTGCTTCGCATGACAAATTCTCGAAGGGCCAAATAGGCTAAGAATCTGTGCCAAATCTGTGATGCAAAAGGCGCAATCTTTCCCCTTTCAGTTTTGCCGTGCTTGCATCACAAACTCATGTAACAGTTGATAATGTAACAGTTGAGACCTCCATAGCGTACGTTTTCTCGTCGTTTTCGTGCGCGTCCTCGTTGAAGACGTCGCAGCACAGCTCGTCCGCGTTCGTCAGAGAGCCCCGGCTGGTGTATCAAATGCAAAAATGTCTGGGTCTGGAAGATTCTGAAACTTGTCATGCACGTTTTGCATGGGCCACGATGTCTGTGATGATGCCCTAGCATCAAAGACTTTTTAAGGGCCTCGTGATACCTATTCCGCATGACAAATGCCCTCTCCGCATAGCCAAAATTGCATTCCCTTTGCTGGTCATGCAATACAGATTTTTTTAGAATCCAAATGCAGCATCACAAGTTCGGACTCTTCCAGACCCAGACACTTTTACATTTGATATGGTGAACCCCTGCCCGATGGTGCGGCACTCGTTGGCGTAGGAGGAGTACTCGGTATCGTAGTTCTCCACGAGCTTCTGCGGACAGGACCTATCCCTCGAAAAAAGTGTTTCACTGTAAGGATTTTGCAACTTTTGCATCACAAGTTTGTTCCGCATGACAGGGAAAATTTGCCATGCGAGGTTCCTAGGGGAAAACATAGCTAAAAATTCACTGTCTTGCGTGTGTAGTAAGACAAACACTGCGAAGATGCATTTTCTGCATTACAAGTTTACAGTGAAACAGTTTTTTCTTGCGATAGGACCACCGTTCCGTGTAGTAGATCAGGGTGCCGATGTATGAACTGCAAAAGCATCGTACTAGTAGGAATAGCAATACAAATTTCGATTTCCTCAGCATGAAAAATAAAATTTGTATATGCGGATTTACCTTAAGACAAAGATTTCTAATGCATGACTGCAATTACTACGAGTACGATTATACTTTTGCACAGGATACGAAGAAAACCACGACAATCGCCAGGATGAAGAACAAGACGAGCAACGTCCGGACGGCGCGCTTCACGGTTTGGTAGATCAGTAAAACACCGACCTGAAACGGCCCGATGCGCATGATGCGGAACAGACGGATCAGTCGGACGACCCGAAAAACGCGGAGCACACTGACATCGAAGATCGCGGAGAAGATATCCTGTGTAAACAAAACGTCAGCAGCACCACCCCAGCAGACTTGTCATGCGAATTATAGTCCACAACTGCAATAAATTCAAACTTGTCATGCGTGCGTTCCATAAGTTCTTTAGCTTGTTTTGCTAAATGTCCATCTTGTCTACTTCTTCGGGGTGAAGACGTAGTTTTTACTCCTGGGATAGAAGGCCAGCTCCAGATACGCGGGCAGGATGGCGCAGACGTCCATGATCTTCTATCAAATGTAAAAGTGTCCTCGCTCTGGGTCTGGAAGATTCTGAGACTTGTCATGCATGTTTTGCATGGGCCATGATGTCTGTGATGCATGCCCTAGCATCACGGATTTTTTGAGGGTTTCGCGATGCCTATTCCGCATGACAAATGCCCTTTCCGCGTAGCAAAAATTGCGTTCACTTTGCTCCTCATGCAATACAGATTTTTTTGGAATCCAAATTCAGCATCACAAGTTGCATGCTTCCAGACGCAGACCTAGACATTTTTACATTTGATATGTTCAGCGAGTCTTTGAGAAACTCCGAACGTATCCAAGAAAAAAACTGTGTAAGTGCAACTCTGTTTTGCAGACGACGCAAGACACTTACATCTGTCATGCTGGACATGCATCAGAGGCTCTTTTCGTACGTCGTGTCTTCACGTAGGTACTACTAGCAGCTACGCATGACAGGTGTTTCTCTGTCGTGTCATGCATAGCAAACTTGTGATGCTGTTCCTCCAAGAAGATCAAAGCTACACTTACACAGGATTTTTCCTTGCATAGACCTTGTTTGCGTGTTAAACACGTTACAGACCCACAGGCGGAGAACGTACTCGCCGGTGAAAATACCGGTGAAGACCCACTCGAGGATCCCGAAAATCGGATCTTCGGCCTCGGGAAAGGATTCCCAGATGAAGGTCGTCACGGAACAGGCGATACAGGACAAGATGACAATCTGGACAATGCGCGACGGGACACCTGAGGTTTTTTTTACATTTTCACTTCTTGGCCGCGTTTTGCAATTGCAGCATGCGCTAGAATCTATTACTAGAAGAATAGCTGTCGTTGATGAAACACAATCGCTACAGGATGAACTAGTTGCAGTAGTACTATTACCTGCCTCCGGTATCTCGAACAGGATGAAGATGTGCCCCCGCATCTTCTGAATTAACCACGGATAAAAATCCGAGGGCGGAATCGTGTTCGTCGCGGGCTTCTTTTTCGACTGGATTTTTGGCAGGTCCTTCAAGTATCCCGCGTAAAACGTCCCCACATCACTAGAGTCAACAAGATGGGAAATCTGCTACACAAACACAAATACACCAGCTTTGTTTGCTTCGCATGACAAGTTTGCCCTCGTAGTGTAAGCGATCCTGTTTAGCTAGTTCAGAAGCAACATCACAGATCTTGATCTAGTATAATATCATTGTCATTCCTTGTTCTAGCATCACAAATTCCAAAACACGACTAGGAAATGCTTCATCGCATGGGGCCCCGCATGAGAATCTTTTTTGGGATGCAGATACGCATGACAACTCTGGGATGGGGACGGTTTTACTCGGAATATCAGCCGCATCTTCTTCGTGCCGCCCGGCGTCGTGTCCCCGCCATGGGCATGGAGGGGCGAGACGGACGCGGTCGATCGGGGCGGGTCGGGCATGGTTTGTGGTTTCTTTGACGTAGTTCTTCTGGTGCGAATGGCTTTTTATTGATAAGTACCTGCCACAACTGTCGTGTACTCCAAAAACCGAAAGGCTTGAATCGAGCTGAAAGAAGATCGAACTCCAAATTGAACTTGGCCTCCTCCTAGGGTCTTCCTATATCGCAGTTATCAACTTTTCTGCACGAATATCCATATCCTAAGTCTACATCTAGTAGTATGTCACCATGTCTTGTGCACCCGGGAAGAGTTATAGAAGCGAAGAACGACGCCGGACAAGTAAAACTACAACGAGCGGCTTTGAAAAAGATTTCATTCCTTCATCTTCCTCGACGTCGCCCGTCTCTCAATTCTAACGACATCGACAATCGCTTTTTCGTGAAAAAGATAATCAACATCTCTCCTCGAGCAGGAATTGTGTCAATTTTGCGCTCAGAAGACTTCTTGTTAAAGCCAGCTACTTACTCCTTCTCGAGAGCTTTGCTTCCCAGCAACATGAAGGGCTTTAATATGCTCTCGAGCTTCGACGACCACGAAACGACACGACGTCGCTGGCGCTTTCCAACGAGATGAAGGTGTCCCAACATTGGAGGATGAACAGATAGGCAGCAAGGAGAGACTCTACTTGCTGACGAAGTAGCCGAGGGGCCACGGAGTAGAAGCTGCAAACCGCATCAATTTCAATTCATTGAGTCTTCGCTCGTGCGGCTGGTGCAACATTCAACAACGGTCTGCAGGCGCCATCATCATGGCAAATGCACACAGGGACAACAATCCAGGCGGCGCAAACACCTGGAAACACCCTCCACGTTGGTTCTTTTAATTCCGAGCGGCTGCCGGCGGTTCGGTTCGTTCTATTTCACCACCACCAGGCGCCAACACATGCTTCGTCGGATTGATTAGATAGCTCCGGGGGGGGGGCGCGCCGGTCGGCACACGGTTCCCCCCAAGGAAGGCACCCAACGACCCGGGCAAAGGGCAAGAACTATGTCCCCGCCCTCCCGCCAATAAGGGCTTCGCTCTTTGCTTCATCCATGCAAAGGAGATAGCCGGGCGACCGCAATAGCAGGGGCGCCCCCAATCCGGAGCCGCGGGCGCGCGCAGGGCCTGCGACTCCCTTGCGCCAGTTCCATCCCCGGCCTTAGACATCACATGGCGAACGTTCCGGCCGGGCTTCCGTCAATGTGTTCCGTTCGCGTCGACTATGCGTCTCAGGCAGAACGGCTCGGAAATGCCGGGGGGCCTGTGATCCATTCTCGATGTGCGGCCGAGACAAGGGGCGCGGCGCCTTGCTTTCTGCGTTTGGGGCCGGCGGGGGCCCCCGCGGCGGCCCAATAGGGCAGGCGGGAACACACAAAAAAACCGGCGGCGCGCCCCCTTGCAGTCCTGGATTTCTGGGTCGACCGAAAGTAAGGCGCCGGCCGAGAAGTGGCCCGGCCGGACCCGGGGCCGGCCCGTGTCGTAGTTCGCGGCGTTTTTCATGTTGATACGAGAAAACGACTGCAGACGCCGACGAGCTCTCCCTCGCCGTCGTGTATGCCCGCGAGCCCCCGGCGGACACTGCGGCGCCAAGCTAGCACCACGTTGGCCATTGACAAGGCTGACGGACCGCGCGGGGGCCGCGGTGATGCTGACGGAATGTATGAGGACCCGGACACAACTGGCGCGCCGAGGCGTACCAGCATGCAGCCACCGCAAGCCCTCTTCTGTCTGAAGCACAACAAGAGCCGGGTAGGTCGTTCATCGGGCGCACGCTGCAAGTCGCCGAGAGCCTGACGCGGCAACCGCTGCTCGAAGTGGTGAGGTCAAAATTCCTCAAGCGCTTGCGTTATCCTACTCATGTCTGTCGGTAGCAGATGCAAGTACAAGCGTCACTGTCTTCTACTTCACTCGAAGCGACTCTTTTCACTGCTCCTCCTCTGGCCGGACGCCATTTTTGTCCTCCTCACTTTAGTCTTCGGTAGTGCATCAACAGGACAAGGCACTCTGGTACACTTTTATTTCTGGATTTCGATCTTCCTGGTGCTCCTGTTTCTGCGATGACAGAACGAGTCTTGCAAACGCAATGCAAATGCTGGGACGCGAACAACCTTGTCAGCCTCTTCGTTAATATGCCAAGATTATCAGGCGGGAAAAAATCGGCTCCACCATCAGCTAAATGCTGCGGTAGCTTCCAGCTCCGCAAATCAAGCGGTGGCATTGTGATTTTTATTTCCAAAAGAACAAAAGGCTTCTTTGAATGTAAAGAGGAAATGTCGCTCAGTGGATTGCTATCAACTATAATTTTGTTTTGGCTCGCTTGTATCGTTTGTCCGTGGCTTCTCGCTACCGCCAGGGTATCATCAACATAGCGAAGACGCCGGAGGTACTTTTCTACAGCTCGTAGTTACACATGACAGAGCGGGAGCGAAATGTTATTTGTGTGGGGCTGGTACTAAAAGCGGTCGCCTTCTTCGAGTCCTCACGTAAAACGAAGCGGCACCGGCACACCTGAACGACAGAACGTTCTCCCTTTCACGCACCTTCACCTCCCCACCTGCAGGTCGCGTTCTTGTGAATGTGATCTCCTCGTGCTGGATCTCACAATCAATCACCTCAGGGAGCTGAAGCTCTTTTGCTTAGTACCTTCCTGGGCATGCGAGATCGCGACTCCCACACGCAGTTCAATACGTATAATGACGAGGACAAAGCTACGTAAGGTCATGGAAATAACCGGTAGTAAATAGAACTACACTAGGTGAAACATGAATAATAGAGCGGTATTCGATGTAGAAATAACAGTTGTAGTTGTCCTGCAGATTCTTTATTGCCGCAGCTATCTGGTCGTGGTTGCTGTATTCCTAAAAAGTCGCTCTGATTTTTTCGATCGTGAAGGGGTCGCTGCGTCGCCGAAAAAAGGTTGTGTGAAAAATTCCCACAACAATCATCCTCAAAAGGTTCTATTTCTGCTACGTTCCTCCATCTCGCTTGCAATAAGGCTCCGAAAAATCTAAATTTCTATTTCATTTTTTTTTATTTCGCTAGAGCTACAAGTAAGAGAATAGAAATCGCCACAATGCCATCCAAATAGAACATCTTTGCGGATGCTAGTACAACTTCGAGTACACGACCGTCGTGCCGAGACATACGTTAGCTGCAATGAATAGAGTCGAAAAAAAAAGTGCGTGATCGCACCTTCATTGTTGTCGGTGTCGTACAAATTAATACAAAAAGAGCCAAATGAAGCAGCTGTTGAAGATCAAAAAAATTCTTGAAGTCGAAAAGTTTGAAATAGTGCGATTATTGGATTGAGATTTGAGAAGTGCTTGAATCTGTAGAAGTAGATGGATTTGCTGCAGACACATCATTGCGAAGATGATATTCTGCCAGCTTGGTAAAATTTCTCCGTCCATCTTTCTTGGCATCTGCGTGATTTACTTCTTCGTTCTGGACGTTGTAACGAGAAATATTAAACGAAATAAGAATACGCTTCCTTCATCTTCTTGAAAACACACGACATCACGTGGGTCGTGAGAATGTAAAATTTAAACTCTTGCCATTTGGATAAGTTTTGGCCATGGAAATCGATCCCGCACACACGTAACACGATCGCCCCAAATGAAGCCTGTTCCATGATGAAAATGACTGAAGGTTCTGACTCAAATCGACCCCGTAGCATGCTGCTTCGTTCGGATTTTACTTGCGACCGCCGTCCCTGGTAAAACTTTGAGCAAGGACCACGGACCTAAGTAAAATCGTAAGCCAGGCTCTGTAGCTGGTGACATGATCCTCCAGTCAAGTGATCCCAAGTAGCTCTCCAGATTGTCCGTGCTTTGGGCAGGTCTCCCGACCTATACCAAGCCCGGGTCAACACTTTACCTGGGACCTCGTCCCCTGATCAAAACTTTACCAGCGACCCCGTCCGCTGATAAAATCTTTACCAAGACCCGAGATCCTGACACGTGTTGACATCTGGTGAGAATCATGCGAGAATCTTGACGAATGTGATTGAACTGAACCTACAGGATGTAACGCAGCAAGAGACTTGCGTCACTTGCTTGCTTACTTGCAATTGGATTGATTCATCTGCTGCTGATAACGAGCTCATTTGCTCCGTTGAGCCTCAACGGAGCAAACGCGTGCAAATATGTGCGAGTGTTCTCAAGTCCACTAACACTACGCTACGCCTTGAGACTCAAACTGGCTCTTATAGTCAGATAAGTGTTTGAAGATGGGCCAAGAGGCGAAATTGACGGCGAAGCTGTCCAGTGCGCAGGACTGGCGCATCTGGCATCGCGGAGTCACGAACGAGGTCGCTCGTCTCGGACTCCAGGAGTATTGGGATAATCGTCTTGCTGGTAACCCTCCGGGGATTCCGCAGGCGAACAATACTGCCAATAACGCGGGCGATCCGGGAGAAGTGGCGCGACTTGAAGGATGCCATCTACAAGTCGTGCACCGGGTCCGTGGAAACGTGGGCCAACAATCAGCACTACATCAACGATGACGCTGCGCAGTTGTTCATGCGTATTCGTGACGTGGGTCGCTTCAATGTTGCATCCCGCGACCAGCAGCAGATCAAGACCTCCTCAATCGACGCCATGCACTTCGACAACCGCGACGCGCCGAAGGATGCTCCGACGTTCCTGGCCCAGATCCACGACTTGATGGAGATGGCGCCGAGTGTCTACGTTCTTACAAACGGACCGCCTGATAACGCACCTGCGCGGGAATTCTTCCAAAAATCTTCCCAAATCCTTCCAGCACCCCACCAATGCCCGCGCCCTGTCGGCCCTGAGCGCAGCTGATTTGCCTCATAACTTTTCTGCCTTGTTGGGGTAGGCGAGCCACGGCAACGAGGACCAGCCAATGCGCTAATGCGCGGCGCGCGCCCGCGCTGTGAAAGATCTGCGCCCGGTGTTTTCCCGGGCTGCTGCTCTGTTGGCGCCCCGTTATGGGCGCCCAAAATCGGCAGAAACCAAGGAAGGCGGTGGGCGCCTCGAACGGGCGCCCCCTTTGCCAGCCCCCCCGCGTCGTTTTATCAAGCGCCAACCGATAGAACACGAATACCACTGGGGCTGGTTGGTTGCTATCAGCGCCCCGGCTGCTTGATAAGTCAGTGGGCGAATGCTTTTTATGTGACGGAAAAAACACCACCGACCGCTTGAAGCCTGCCGGGCATTTTGCAAAATACATCGCAAAAAAAAGCCCGCCAGGCCGGAACGTCCGTGGGCGCGCTACATACAAAAAACCCGCAAGGGGCTACCGGGCCACCGAAACTGCCCGCCGCGCAAGCGGCCAACGGCCCTACCCTCCCTAGGGAATGCGGTCGGCAGGCGTAGGTAGGCAAGCTGCGTCCAGGGCGGCCCCTGCGGCACCTCACCGGCTGGCTTTCGGGCCCGGGGGAGTGCCACCGAAGGAAGAATCCCGCTGAAAGGCCTTCCCGATGGCCTTCCGGGAAGGCCCCGGAAACCCGTCCGAAACCCTTCCCAAATCCTTCCAGAAGGTCCCGGAAATCCTTCCGAAATCCTTCCCAAATCCTTCCGAAATCCTTCCGCCGGCGCTATGATCGACCGCCCCGAGCAAGTAGCAGACCAAAAAAAAAAATTTTCTTGAAAAGTGAATTTGTAATGCGCCAAATGTTTCCGGAATCCTTCCGAAATCCTTCCCAAATCCTTCCACTAAGCCTGTTTCGGGCTCACCACTTTTTTGCTATTTTTTCATTGAAAAAGGCCGCCACTTTTTTGCAACTCGCTGGAAGGATTTCGGAAGGATTTCGGAAGGATTTCGGGGCCATTCCGAGGCACATCACTCCCGTGCGTTTTTCCTTATTCAAAGGCGCCGCGCCGTTTGTTTCGCCCGGCAGCCGGCACGCAATCTGCCGCGCGCGGCGCCTGGCCGCCGGCGGGCCCACCTGGCCAGGGCCCCAAGGAGGCGGGTTCGCCGCCTCGCTTTCCTCTGGTTGCCCTGATGGCATGGCCAGAAGGGCGCCGCCCCCCTCACCAAGACATGCCGCGCCCAGAAAGGGCGGAAGTAAGGCCGCAGGCGTTTTGCTGGCTTGAAGCCAAAAAGCGACGAAACTTCTATGGCCACCATGCCACCGTGCGTAATGTTATGCACGAGGGCACGGGGGCCGGTGACAATAACGGCCGCGAACAACAGGCCACTTGGGCTCGAAACGGAAGGCCTTCGCCACATGCTATGGCCCGCCTGGGCCTCCACCGGAGCAAGCCATCCATGTGGGTGCCCGGGGTCGGCCCAGTGGCGCGCATAATTACAGCGCCCGGCAATTGCAGGCGCTTTGCGTGGTTCGCCGTGCCATGCGGCTCAAAAATTGAGCCCGGCGGGATGCTGTGCGTCAGATTATTCACCGCCCTAATATAGATGCGGCCCAGGCCACCGCAAGCTCAATGGGGCGCCCTTCAGTTTGCAATCTACTGACGCCCTGAAAAGTTGGGGCGCTGGAAACATTTCGGAAGGTTCTTGGAAGATTTTCCCCCAGCTTGCGTTAACAGAGATGGCCGCTTGTAACGTTCCGGAGCCCGGGCGTCCGGCCGAAGATCGTCACGCGAAGAACATTCTGGACAAGTTGCCCAAGATGTTTGCGTCGGCCTTCCGCCAGACCATCGACCGCTGCGTGGACGAGTCCGATCACATCACCTTGCAGGAGATCGGGAACCGTCTCGAGAAGAAGCTCGCGCAGTTGGTCAAGGAGGGGTCCTACAAGATTGAGAGCCCGTCTTTCGGCAAGGCCTTCCCGGTCATCGAGGAGAAGTCGAAGAAGAACAAGAAGGGAAACAAACGTCAGAAAAATGACGACGATGATGAGGAGCCGGACTCCGCTGATGATGGTCAAAATGCTTCTTCTGGCATGGTGTTCTCGGCGAAAGCCTTGAAGCGCACGAAAGCCAAAGTTCGTAAGCAGACCGAAGCGAGTGTCCTGGCTGCCCATGGCCTGCCCCCGAAGTCTAACGCTAAGGGCGGAGGTGGCCAGAAAGGTGGTGGCAAGACTGGTCGGAACCAGAGCACTCCCTACAACACTGTGACCAAACCCAAATGCTGGATCTGTGGCAAGGAAAACCATAAGGCTGACCGTTGCCGCTGGAATCCTAACAATCAAGGGAAAGGTCAGTGGGGTGGTGCCTGGGGAAACCAGCAGCCGCAGTGGTGTCCGCCGGTGAACCAGAACCAGACGAACACGCAGAATCAAGGGCCGGGAGCCGGTGGAAAGCAGGGTGGTTGGGTCTGGCAAGGTCCAGCCTGACTAAATGAAGGAGATGTTTACATCTCGGAGTATGGTAGCTGTATGCTGAACTTCGAGAATTTAGAAGAATTTGACTCAAATTATTCTAGCTGTTTTATTGCACAGACCAAGGACGAAGTGAGCTTGGTCGATTCATGTGCAAGCAAGTACTTATCTAGACACAAGTCAGATTGTGTTGACATCTCGGGCAACGTCTGTCGCATCAACGGCACGGCCGGGGCTCGTGATGGTTTTGTCGGAAAACTGAAGGAAAACGCTTTAGGTTTACCCTACGGCGTCTACTTTAAGCATCTTCCTAGAGATATTGATCGCGTTCTTCCGTGGCTCGGTGAGGACAATCTCAGTGATCGTGGGTGGGATCTGAACTACAACAGCTCTGGCGGCTCTCTCGTCAACAGGGAATCCGGTCAGATGCTACCAATCAAGAACCACGAGAGGCTGACCCTCCCAGTCCTTGGGTGTGATCTTTTCGTGGTGGGCCTACGGGGTCAGGCGACTAGAGACACCACGGAAGACATTGCATGCATTACAATAGAGGATGGAAAGTATTGCTAGTTGTCATCTTACGCGTCTAGAACAACATAGAAGATTCGGACACTTTCATGTAGATGGTCTTGATGTCCAGTGTCCTGAATGCGACAAAGCGAAAGGCGCAAGAAGCTCTCACGCCAAGGAGCGAGACACTAGTAATTACAAGCCTCAGCCATTGAAACTACTAGCGATGGATTTCGCGGTAGGTATTAAACCGGTATCGATTCGGTCACGCACCTGCGTGCTTGTTGTCATCTGTGATGCCATCAAGAAGCGTTTCTGTGTCCCTCTTAGGCTGAAAAGTGACTGCGTTGAGGTTTTGGAGGAATTGATCAAAGGCATTCGCAAGAACTACGCTTTGACCCTCGAGGACAAGGTGGTATGGTTCGTTCGTCCGTAGGGACAATGAGCCAGCTCTGGGCAGTGACTCCATGACCAAGGTCATGCAATCGCTGCGGGTCGGTGATGCTCCTACGGTTCCCTACAACCCAGAGCAAAACGGAACCTGCGAACGCTTTACGCGGACCATATTCGGCGCTGTGCGTGCGATGTTGGTGAACGTGGGCAAGCGTCTGTGGTGTTACTCGGTCGAGTATGCTGCAGCATGCTGGGACCGCCTTCCGCATAAGTATAGCAAAGTGCCTGAGTACGACGGAAAGACTCCTGCAGAAATTCTGGATGAGAGAACTGGAAGAAATAGCTCGAAAGTTGGCACAAGGATGCTAAGGCGTTTTGGTTGTCTCGTTTATTTTCGTGAACAAGTCAAGAAAGGCGAAGCTCATGAAGCTCCTGAGGGGGGAGTAGAAGTGGTTGCTCCAAAGCTGTCCGCGCCATTTCGTCGTGGTGTATTTCTTGGCCTCTGTCCTAAGTCTTCGGGCTGGCGGGTTGGGACGGACGTATGTCACGGACGGCCGGTCTGCCGCGGCCGGGACATCGTTGGATGGAATACTCTACCATCGACGTCAAGTTCCGTGAGGAGTACCTCTTGAAGAATATTGAAGACCTAGTTCCTAACTCTAAAGGTATCTGTGTCGAGTGTGACGCAATCGAGGCCCTATCTAGTGGAGCGTCGTGCGCGCCATCTCTCCCGTGTGTCGGTCTGATCAAAAGGGCTGAGCACCGGCTGGGGGTGGATGTCTCACTCGGAGCACACTGGCAGGCAGCCCGACGGTCCTGAAGAGACGTTGGTGGTTGAAAGTCTGGATAGGGAAGATGATTCGGGCCAGATACATCCCGGGCCCGAAGGTGTTAAACCTGAGGAGGGGAATCTGGACGATCACCCCACTCACAGCAGCTTATCTAGTCCAAGAATAGAAAGACGAGTCCGTCTCCGGCACGGATTGTGGCTGGCAACCGCAACTCCAAGCCGCGAGGTCGTGGCCGTCCCAAGGGGAGAAAGGACAAGACAAAGCGCGTGAGACGTACCAAGAAAGAGCTCGCAGAATTGAGGAAAGACGCTAGTGCGTTTGCCGCAGCAATAGCAGCACAGGACGACAGAGAGGAAGGTGAGGAATTCCTCGACGTCCAGTGTTACTTGACTACATCGGCCAAGTTGGATCCTGCTCGTTGCAAAGACTCAGTCGAATGGAACGCAGCAACCAACAAGGAAGATTGTAGACTTAAAGCCTATGAAGTGTGGGAGCCAGCTACTGACGAGGAGCTAGCGACCGCAAAGCAGGTTTTGCCTATTGCTATCCTTCTTACCGAGAAGCGTGACGGTACGAAGAAAGCGCGAGCAGTAGCGCTCGGCAATCTAGATCGTTCGGGCGAGCTGGACACTTTCGCTCCTGTTGTGTCCCATGCCGCTAGCAGGTTACTTCTAGCCGCTGCAGCCGCAGATGGTGATGATGTGATCCCGTTCGACCTTGATAGTGCGTTTCTCAATGCCTTACTTGGTCGCGACGTCTTCTGCCGCTTGCCACCCATCTGGGCGAAAACCCACGGCGTGGAGATCGTCAAGCTCAAGAAAGCGCTTTACGGCTTGGAAGACGCTTCCAGGCTCTGGTATAAGAAGTATGAGGAAGTACTGACCAAGCTAGGTTGGGAGCCCTGTCCCTCTGCGCCAGGTCTGTGGAGGAAACCGAGCTTGGAATTCCCTGGGAAGTTTCTGAAGTTGGCAGCGTATGTCGACGATAATCTTATCACAGGTCCTCCGACTGGGTCCGAGTTGGCTGGAGAACTTGCGGAGATCTTGCACCACGTCAAGGGGCGCATGATCGACGTCGAGCTTGTTCCGGAGTTTAACTCTGTGTCCAAGAAGTTCGACTTCCTAGGGTCAGTAGTGTACTACAACTGGAATCTGCGAACCGTTCGGATCGTGATGTCAGAGCACATATCCAAGATTTGTAAGAAATTCCACGTCTCAGAAGCGGGCAAGCCGGTCCACTCGCCAAACTTCGATGAGTCTGAACTCGCTAAAGAAGTTGAAGGAGCCAAAGCTATTGAAGGTTTTCCCCTTCGAGAGGTCGCTGGCTCTCTGCAGTGGGCTGCTACCACTTGCAGGGTAGACATCGTTGTCCCGGTTGCCACTGTCGCCAGATATGTGGGCAAGCCGGCGACTCGGCCTGTCGTAAACGCCTGTAAGAAGATTCTGAAGTATGTATTGACAACGAAGGAGCAGGGTCTGTCGTATAGTCCGGAAATTGAGGAGGAATTCAACAGAATCTACAGCAAGCTACTGCCCGAAGGGAGAGACTTGCCTGATGTGAATCTGTTTTCGGATGCTAGTTTTGCGAATTGTTGCAAGACCATGCGAAGCACTAGCGGTAGCATTATGCACTTCCGTGGCTTCCCGATCTGTTGGCGTAGCAACCGGCAGACCGTGAGGGCGTACTCCACGGCGGAGGCGGAGTATATAGCTGCTTCCGAAACTATTGCGCTGAGCGAGCAGAATGACTTTACGGAGTTCTTCAAACCTCTCCCCGCTGTCATGGTGGAAAAGCAGAATGGCTTATCTCCCTCCCTGGATGATGCCATATTGTGGATCGACAACCAGTCCGCGATAACTACAGCTAAGAGCACAGACAACAAACCGAAATCGAGGCACTACGCACTGCGATATCTCCGCGTGAGAGACGCAGCGAGCCAGATCATGTTCTGCCCGACCTACCTAATGAAGGCAGACGGTCTGACGAAGCTCGAGTGTAGTGCGCCGCAGAGACGTTTACTCTTGCACCATATTGATAACCCCGACCCTAAGTCTTTTATTTGTGACTCCTCTGACGATGAGGGTGATTTAGACACGTTTATTGAGGGGAATCATAAGAAGGGCAAGGCTAAAGCAGGCTATACTTATTCGATTTGTTTTGGTTTCTAGATAGGCACAGCGCTCAGGCGGGGAGTGTAGTAGGATTATTCCTGATTAGCACCACCGCCGCAGTGATTGAGGAGGGGTGTTGGTCATGGAAATCGATCCCGCACACACGTAACATGATCGCCCCAAATGAAGCCTGTTCCATGATGAAAATGACTGAAGGTTCTGACTCAAATCGGCCCCGTAGCATGCTGCTTCGTTCGGATTTTACTTGCGACCGCCGTCCCTGGTAAAACTTTGAGCAAGGACCACGGACCTAAGTAAAATCGTAAGCCAGGCTCTGTAGCTGGTGACATGATCCTCCAGTCAAATGGTCCCAAGTAGCTCTCCAGATTGTCCGTGCTTTGGGCAGGTCTCCCGACCTATACCAAGCCCGGGCCAACACTTTACCTGGGACCTCGTCCCCTGATCAAAACTTTACCAGCGACCCCGTCCGCTGATAAAATCTTTACCAAGACCCGAGATCCTGACATGTGTTGACATCTGGCGAGAATCATGCGAGAATCTTGATGAATGTGATTGAACTGAACCTACAGGATGTAACGCAGCAAGAGACTTGCGTCACTTGCTTGCTTACTTGCAATTGGATTGATTCATCTGCTGTTGATAACGAGCTCAACGGAGCAAACGTGTGCAAGTGTGTGCGAGTGTTCTCAAGTCCACTAACAATAAGTCATAATTTTAGTACCTTAATTTCATCATGCTGATCTTCTTCCCGCAGTTGCTCGACGGATGTAGTTGTCAGTTGTAGTTCCATCACTTCTTGTAATCTTCACAGCGGGCTGGTGTTGATCATGTTCATGTACCCTTTAAACTCGTCTGGTGAGACGAACAGCCGCCAGTTCACCAGGCACAAGAATTGGTACTATGCAATGCAAAAGTATCGCACTCGTAGCAATTATCGCAGCTATGCATTACAGATCTTGAGATCTAGGCGCTAAGGTAGGTACGCATTACAAATTTAGTTTGTCATGCTAAGCCAATTTCAATTATTTGTATTGCAATTCATACAAGTACGATACTTTTGCTGTAATTCATAGGTACTCCATGTTGTCGATTTCTCGGGTTGTCACACCGCCGACCTTCGCGTAGTGCCCGTTCGAGTAGTAAATATCATCCCAGTACTTCGTCGCCACCGTCAACGACGCCAGCTATCCACAGCAAATTTATTCCCGTACACGTACAAATGCAGTCTCTGCATCATCATCATCATGTAGTGGACACCCGCTCCCAGCGCCACAGGTCAAGGATCCCCTCCCCGGGGGGTGGGCGAGGAAGCACTTTCGGCGACCTCATCATACAAAAGCCGAGCGCTACCACGGCAAGTCGCCCCAAGAAAAGTACCAACCAGTCGGGAGCTACCCACCACACCTGATCGGTACAGCCCAGCCAGCAAGCCGAGCGCGACAGCCCAACATACAGAATGATCCAGGACCCGACCCATTTTACGCCCTACGTTTTTGTTCTCACGGAAGAGACGACGTACCCCTTTGGGTGAAGGGGCGAGACTCTCCCCTAAGCCGCAGCCCCGCCCAGACAGGGGAGGCTTGAGTCCTAGTCTAGCATGACAGAACTTGCCTTGAGTCCTAGTCTAGCATGACAAGTTGGACACTTCTGCAAGTTAGCCAAATTTGTCATGCATTTTGTACATGTACGGGAATTTTGTATTGCGTACCAGCAACAAGCGGTGCACGTTCCCGCTTCCCAGCGTGATCACGGATCGGTTTAGGGTGACGACACGGTCGATGTAGATGAAGGCGAGCACGATATCAAGCGAAAAAGCGCATTAGCGTTAGTACTAGCGATTTTCATGCATGGTAGTCCTGCAAGACAGTCAGACACGACAGAGTCAGACCCGAACATGCATGCTACGCACTACAACTTCCAGCAGTCGCACCTACTTTTGAAAAAGTGCCTTCATAAATTCAGGACAACAAGTCAAAGTTCGCTAGTAGTGTTATCGCTTTTTGGTCCTCTGTGATACACGAAGCACTCGAGGGAGCAGTGGAAATATTTCCGGAGCCGGTCGACGTATTGCTCAATCCCGAGGTTTTATGAACTGCAAAAGTATCGCACTAGTAGTGCTTGCAATACAAATTAGCTTAGCATGACAAACGAAATTTTTCATGCTGTTTTACCTTGGGACGGAGATTTGTAATGCATGATTGCGATTACTACGAGTACGATACTTTTGCACCGGATAGGTTTGGACGCCCGGCGATGTAGAAATGGGCAGCCTGGAGGAAGAGTTCGAAGTAAAAGTATGCATTGATTCAATTTCAATTGATGCACGTGGTCATATTAAAGAGTTCTTCTTTATCTTGGCATGGAAACAGTATGTTCATGGCGTCAGCAACTACATGTTGACGCATGACAAACTGCCCCAAGAAAGGGCAAAAACTAGCACGAAATGATATCAAGTACCTGATTCGCGTTGTATCCCGATCCTACTCCCCCACCGGCCGCCAGCCGGTTTCTCGTTGCCATATCGTCCTCCGCCGCGAATTTGGCCATGATCCGGCCCATCTTCACGATCAGCTCGGGCGGGTATGAGGGTGCACAACTCCCACTCCCCTTCAGTTGTATTGCATGAACAGCAATACAAACACCAAGATACGTGGAGCCTGAGCATGACAAGTTCATGCGCCGACTGTGGTACTGTTTGGGCTCCTTCCAGAATTTGTCATGCAAAGGGTGCTACAAGGCAGCAACTGGGTTTGGAGTTTTGCATTTCAAATGAAGGGGAGGGGGAGTTGTGCACTGTCATAGCGGGGTGCGCGGCACCTGCGCCAAAGGGTCTATGTACTCCTGCAAATGCGACGACATTTGGTTTTTGCACTTCTGGTTTTCCTTCTTCAAGTACTGCAATTCCCGGGTCGGACTGCTGGTGGTAAACCGCCGCGCGGTATCAAATGCAAATATGTCTGGAGGGTCTGGAAACTTGTAATGCTGGGCCAAGTATGAGAAATATTTTCGCGGCTTAGTGTTGCGCGTTTCGCATGACAGACTGCGTTTTTGCATGACAGGCGAAAGGGTCTCTTGTTGGACCCGCATCACAAGCTGTGCCTGAAGCTCTTCAGTCATGCCAGACAAGCATGACAAAGCTTGCATACTTCCAGACCAAGAGGACATGTTTGCATTGCATATGCGGAATAGTAAGTCTCCGCCGCCGTGGTCCTCGGGTTGTTTTCTACCTCGGTGAAATAGCTATGCCTTGCAAATAAACTATCGTGGACTAGTATAAATTGCATCACAAATTCTGTCAAGTACAAAAATGCAACTTGTCATGCTACTTCGGGTAGAAATTTGGGTTTGTAATGTGCGATTGCAATTACTACGAGGAGTACGATACTTTTGCAGTGCATAGTAGCTATCTTCCAGCAAAAGCGTGACCTTCTTCGCGTGTTCCAGCTTTTTTTCGTTTTCCCCCCTCTGAATTGTTGCAGGGATGATGGAAAAGAAGGCGGTCTGATGTTCTTCTTGACGATGTTGTTGGCGTGCGGGCTCTACTTGTGGTAGCAATGCGTGAAGTTGGAGCTCCTGGGGACTACAATTAGTAAAATTATCGACACCGGTGCCGGTGCGGGAGGCAATTATATTGCAGCTGGTGTTGTACAACGACCCTCCAAACTGCTGGTCCCCTGTAGTTGTTCTACTCCTGTTTGCAGAAAAATTCGTCCACGAAGGAGCAGTAGCACCAGTTGTTCCGGGAAAAGATGATGCTAACACTGGTGCACGACCACCAGGACCGCCACCACCTCCTTCTTCACTAGCACAGTAGGAAGAAGATGTTGCCGCGGTTATGCCGTGTACTACTATCCCTCTCTTTTCTTCTTCCTCACTACGGAGTTTCTCCCGAATCTCCTTTCCTTTTTTGTAGCTACACAGTCCGGAAATACCGCCGATAATCCCGTCCACCGTCAAGGGTTCGGGCTGGTGCGTTGGTTCGGTCAGCAGATGATTCGGGTGATCACGTGGAAGGACAGGAGATAATGCTGCTGCTGCAGCGGGATCCAAACCTACAGAAGGCAGCTGCTGATCGTGTGCAGCGTCAAACGGTGCTGTCGGTGGTTGCGGCTGAATGATATGGGAAATCTGGATGCCGTTCACGTGCTGCACAAAATGCTGCTGTTGCTGCTCGTCGATAAAGCTGTACGACGAACCTTGATGTTGCACAGGAACAGCTGCGCCAGGGTCTCCTGGAGGAACTACGACTTGCTGCTGCTGCTCTGGTTGATGAGGCTGGAAGTTACTGTACAAGCTGTTGATGTTGTATTGCAGCTGCTGCTGCTGTCCCTGTTGCTCTACTTGCGCGGCTCCCGGCTGTGGTTGGTAAATGCAGAGACCGCTGCTTGCAGGCTGGTCTACTTGTTGGCCGTAGATTTGCGGAGGAGGAGGAGGTTGAAGGCTGTGGTTTACCGAAACTGCAGGTGGACCTCCACCAGGGTTCTGTTGCACAAGTGGATTGTAGGTGTGGTGACTGACGATACTGCACTGGGGCGCCGCAGACACCTGGTGCAATAATACGCCTGACGACTGCTGCGTAGTAGCCCCCGCCGCGGCCACTTGGTTCGCAGTGATGAAATGCTGCTGCTGGTCCCGCTTCTGCTGCACAAGCTGCTCGTCGTGCACGACAAGGTTACTCAAATTGCTGGGCGCGTTTTGTTGAACTCCAAGCGACCCGGCTGGCCCGACTAAAGCAATGCTTGAGATCGATAACGAGGAGCTCGAGGAAAAGCTGCCCGAGGTGATGTTGTCTTTAATATTGTCACTTCGCACGACTACGGGCGGAGGATTGCAGGCCCGCTCCACGATCGCCGGAAAGGACCCTGGTCCAGTCTTGCCAACCCAGGGATTGTAAGAGATTAACCCGGATGATGGAGGCGGTGCTTCAGCAATAATTGCGCTTTGGTGCTGCTGCGTCTGCTGAGCCGCCCCGACAAAAGTTGCTGGGTGGTGGTTCTGAGACTGCAGTTGTCCTTGCTCAGAAGCTTGTTGTAGTTGCTGATCGCGGTAGATCAAGGACTGCAGCGCGTGCGCCTGGTTGTAAGTTAGGCTTTGCTGCTCATGGATATAGTTGCCGCTTGTTCCTGCTGCTGGCTGTGTCGGGTGGCACCGATACGGACCGGGCACAGGCTGAAGATGCGAGGCAGCCCAGTGTGGTTGTGCTTCACTGAGATTTAGTGCTTCAGGAGCACGTCCCAGAGAGGTGTTTGAAAGACCAGGCAGCGATGGGGCCACGTCGAAGTCAGTCGGTCGTCTGAAGAGCTGGCGCGTCTGCTGATAGTGGTGTCCGTTCCCGTTGTGGGAAGAGCTAGAAGCAGATGAGGGCGGCTGATGTGGTGGCTGGCTTGATGGCTGCTCCGCGACAGGGCGGTAGCTATGCTGGTTGTAATTCCCGGCCCCGAGAAGTATCCGTTCGTTGTACGCGGCGCCGGTTGTGCTGCAACGGTTGGTGGTGTCGTTGCTGCAACTCACTGTGGTGTTGATATGTTGCCGGGACGAAGACGAGCGAGCAAGCAGGTGGCCCGCGCTCTGGTCTTGATGGTGCTGCTGCTGTCGCTGCCCTTGTTCCTGTAGTCTCGGAGCTGGTGCAAACTCGAGGCGGTTGAGGTTCTCCGAATGAAGCAGGTTCGCTGCGATGACTTGGTCAACTGCCCGCTGGACGTCCGGGTGGCAAGGCTGTTGCGCAACACAAAAATTACCGGCACTGGAAGAAGAGGCCTGCAACTGGTACAGAGGATTATAGTTAATCCGAGGACCCACCGATGAAGCTGCTTGCAAATTGCAGTGGTGCTGAGCTCCAAAGGCCTCTCCTCCGGCGGAGGCTGGCGGGGCACCAACGGAAGTCGAAAAAGATAGTGACCCGGGGCGGTTAATCTGCTGACTCACAAAGCTGAAATCGGAGCGGTTGGCTACAACTGGTCCACGGAAAAAAGCTGGTGGTGCTGGAGGCTCTCTCCAAACAGCGGCGGCTCCGCCCCCCGGGATGTTTTGCTGTGCTGCCGGCTGCGGAGCAAAGCCAGAAGACTGTGGCGTTATTTGGTTTTGATAAACGTCTGCCGAAAACAAACCCCCAGCGTGCTGCTGTCCTTGATGATGCTGCGCCGGTGGCAGCTGGCTCGTTAATGCGTGAACGCCGCCAGTTCCGTGTCCGTGGACACTCCTGTAGCTGTATTCGCTATTGAAGCTATAGGACTCTGTACGTGGGATCTGCGGGTATGTATTTTGCTGTTCTAGAGCAAGCCTTTGCTGTGCCTCAACTGGGAAAGCGTTTTGCTGTTGTGACGTGACGAGACCCTCACCTCGTTCGTCGTGGGTCTTCAGTTTATCTTCCCTCGCGCCTACTGCTCCTTCACCCGACGAATGGAGAAAGTTCTGGTAGTTTTGCCAAAATCGGTCACCCCGGTGCCCTGTAGATTGAGAATAGTCAGCGCCCCCCTGCGGAGTAAACGCGCCCTCACGCTCGTCTAAGACCAAGCACGGATGATGTTCTTCTGCAGCAGCTACTGGCGTTTTCGTACTTGTTACAGCAGTCTCGTCCTGTTGGCGCTGCTCGTCGTGGCAAGAAGCAGACGCGCCGCTGTTGTATCGGGGGTGAGGCACCCAGTCAAGGACACTCGCAGAAGTAGAATCACAGGAGCTACTGTTATCGCTGTGGTTGCGGGCAGCTTCGGAGCACGAGCTGTGCAACACACGACAAGTATCGCGGCCCTGTGCTGACAATACAACTCGACCGGACGGCCCAGAATTGGCGACAACCCTGTTTGGCTCTAGGTGATCGCTGTTTGGGCGCCGAGATAACGCGCTTCCCACCTCGTCCCGTTGATGTGGTAATCCCACTTCCGTGGAGTTCGACGGCTTTTCGTTCTTTGTTAGATTACTGGAGCTACTGCCTCCACTTCTGCCCGCGGACGTTGGGGTGGTGTGGAAGGAGCTACCGGTCTCTGCACAGCCCGAACTTCCAATCGGCGAGCCCGGCGCAGACCTGTTTTTCTTCGTCGTGTAGTTGTATCCCGCTGTAGTTGCTCCTGCTCGTAGTTCTTGCTGTTGGTAATGCGAGCGCTGCGGGGGAGTGGTAACCAAACTCTGCACACGGCGTAATGCGCCTACTGTCCCTGTATTCTCTTTACAGGACTGTAAGCCTTTTATCGGCCCTACTTCTCTTTCTTGGTGACGAGCTGCTTGAACGTTCTCACAACTCGCTTCTCCTTGCCCAACACAACCTCGGTAGCTCCGGGATCTGAGCGTCTTCACAAGGTCTTGCGTCGAAGTGCGCCGGCGAGTGGTAGTGCTAGCGGTGTTTGCGGTCTGTTGATTTCCCACTTGATGACGCCAATGTGACAAGTCGCGAGGACTTGCAGCAGCGCTTCTTTTCGTCTGATGGTCGGTTGCAACAGAGCAAGACGCTGGTGGAGGTGCTAGCCCTACTTGATTGTAGTTATCTGGGGGGTACGAAAAACCAGCGTCGTCTCTCTCTGTTAAGGGACAACGGTCTGCCCTACCGCGGTCGCTGAGATTCGGAGTTTGCTTCCGGCTTTCCTCCTGCTCGCCCGCCAAACTGGGAGTTGTTTTAGCAGCGAACTTGAAGCTAGTTTTGCGCTCGGGCCGGGTGGTCTCGTCTCCGACGTTCGTTCTCGCCGTGGTACTGCTACTTCCAGCCCGACAAGACCGACCTTCGTCGTCGTCCTCGGGGTCTGAAAAATTGTCGTCGCGGTCGCTACGAACGCCCTGGACACGTCGACAAAAATCCCGCTCTACCTCCGATTCCGCTACTAGGTCTTGCTCCTCCTCCTGGAATATGCAAGGTTGCAAAAGCTAGCATCGCATTGATTCGCACTACATGGCAATTGCATTTCCACGTGGTCGGAGACCAAGGGCAGGCTGTCCCTGGACCTGGTGATGGTGTCCCTGCACTGCATTTACAAATTCTAAAACTCTTGCTACAGAAGTAGAAAAAAAGAAACACAGCCTGTAATTTGTTTCAAACAAGCACAAGTAGGACGAGATAACAATAAGGACGAACACCAGTTCTGTCCACATGCAAGATTGCAATTGGTAGCACAAAAAGCGCGATTATACTTTTTTAGAGGATATGCAACCGCAGCAAGGGATGGGGACTGCAGGCGTGACCGGGACGGCTAATAAGAGACGAGGACGAGGACACCGAATTGACAGGGTACAAAGAAGTTCCGCCGCTGATGTCCTGGTGGTGAATGAACCTGAGCTCTGCTGGCGTTTCGCAAAGCGTAGTGACGGTTTCGTCGTGCCTCGGAGTCTTTGCGGCTTTGTAATTCGAAAAGCTGAATCGGGAAGACCGTCGCGGAGAGGGGGCGTCGTGCTGGTGCGCGCTGTGCAGGAAGTTGAGCTTCAGCCCCGGAGTTTCCTCTTGGATCGATGCCCTTCCCTCTGGCACGGAGATGCTGATAGGTAGTAGTTTTTCTCCTCTGCTGGTGCTGCTTCTGGTGCTGACACGAGGGCCTTCAACCCTTTGCTGGAATCGTAGGTCCACCTGCAACGTCGAAAAGTCCTCTGAAGCGGATGAAGACGCGTGTGTGACGCTCGTTGCGGTGGTGCTTGGGCCGTCGTCCGGAGATGAAAACTGCCCCGGCCTCTTGCTAGAAGTCGCCCTTTTGCAGCTTCTAGTTTGACCACTGCCAAACTGGAACTGGTGGCTGCTGATGTTCGAAAATTCGGCCTTGTTTCGATAAACCGAATTCCCGTCCTCACGCCGGCAATGCTGAGCCTTTGAATGTTGATGCAGTCGATTTGTGATGTATGTTTTCTGGCTGACAAAAAAAAAAATCGGCGAAGGTGTCTTTTTTCTTGATACTGAAAGTTGATATCCGTATCTATTCCCGAACAACAATGTTGATTTTTTCAAAAAAAAAAAAAAACTGCGATGATCCTCAGCAAAAGCTCGAGCTGCTCAACATATAAAGCACTTTTCATTTAATGATGAGGATGAGAATTCTACAAGAACGTTTTCAAGGCTAATTACCGATGAGTAAGCGTAGTTCTGGTCACCGTCACCAGCAGCATCCTTATTTGCTCTACTTCCCACGAACGACGTCGTACTACGACCCACCATGATACTTCTACTGGAGGAATTTTTACTTTTGAGAGATGTTGTTGTATCATGCTCAACGAGGATATTATTGTGGTTTTCTTGTTTTGGAAAATGATACTTTTGGAGTTGATCTGGACCACGATAGCACGACCCACTTAAGTTTTTTTTCACGTCAATATTTCTGCGGGTCGCGTCTGGGTCCACCGCATGATCCTCGGCATGATCATCTCGTCGCACATGATCGTGCTTTCGCGACTGCCGCACGGAAGTTGTAGTGGTGGTCGTGTGGTGGTCTGCTGGTGTTTCATCCGCGGTTTGAACACGCTTATCGGCTTCGGAAAAGTGCAGCTCCTGCGGTCCTGCATTTATTCTCGTCGCGCCGTCGTAGAAGTTCCGCAAGTGGTAGAATGATCCACCCGCTCCGGCTGAAGACATCTTCATCGTGATCGTCGGAGGTGGTCCGGATCTAGTTGTTGAACTGGGCAGCTCGCCGACTCGTACGTAGGGCTTTCCACGAGTCGAGTGGAAGCAAAACCGGAAATAAATCGCCGGTCGAATAAACTGTTGGTACTTTCGATACTGGCCCACGACGAGGAGTCAAATGTATGGTTGACACGATGACCCGAACCGAATGTGATGAGCGACGACCCGAGTACGTAGTCCGTTGTGGCAACACAGCAAAATAAATAAAATCGACGTATAAAGAGATAGTACAAAGAAATACTAAATCGGCACGCGTCGTCGTGTGCACGCGCCGGTTGGTTCCTACTTAGAAGTGGTTTTCTATGCGGTCTTTGCCCGTGACGAGGGGGGCACACATATCAAAATCTTATACGTTTACGTAATAAGTGTTCACAATACTCAATCCGTTTGGATGGTAGTCTTCTACTTTTGTCGTGTCTTCAATAAGGCCAAAACTTCTCAAGAAGGATACCTGTCAGCTTTTTTTCTATACGTTTTGCTTCCTATCTTTGTCCCTTTTCGAGTTCGACGACCCAAGACGATATTTCTATCGTGAGTGGCTACTAACGCAAAAAATTGATAAATGTGAAAAGAAGGCTACATACAACACGTAAAACAGGGGCAAATTCAACAGCAGTTAGTTGCCTACTGTTCGACGGACTATCGCATGTTTTGCTGTGCGAGGATGAGTTGTTTCTTGAGATTCAGTGCCTGTAGTGCTTTATCGACTTTCCTAGTAACCTAGAAGACTTTAATATTGGGCCCAAACTTTTTGGGAAACAGCCTAGGAGTAGTACGTACTATAAGAGAAGTCGTACATCGTACTGGAGCGATACTGCTGGGAGGTTCATATCATAATTGTCCACGTAGTACAGTCCTCTAGGGCGCTGCTCCGGGTCCCATCCGATAATTATGACATGGGGCGGATCCGATCTCTAACACATACACAAGACAATCAAGGGTAGATATTCATAAAGTCAAATGGAAGACACAGAAGAGTTGTCAAAATGGAAATGGTGAAGACCTCCTATGAAAAATTCAGGTGCGTGATCTCCTTCTCCATCAAGAAAAAGATCCATCAATACACGGCAAAATAACGGGCCTATCGTACGGGCGGCCTTTTATATGGTGAAAAGAAGTAGAACGAATCGCCACCGGCCGCTGCTCTTCTTTTCGATTTTGGGCTTGAAAGAAGTCTAAATCTAAAGGAAATTATAGATGATGATGAGCCACAACACCAATATCTACCAAAAACGTGAAGTTCTGCTAAATGACATATACAGAAGTGGTTTTGATAACCATAGATTTTTCGAGAGGAACGCAGACAGAGCGATGGCTCAACCACGATAAAAATGTAATACTTCTAGGAGATGCAAGTCTCCAACTAACACTACTTTCCCCCATCGACCTGTCGCTTCTTTTTGGCGTAAGAAAAAATCTCGATCTCCAGGCAGCTCAACATGGACCTCGTCGAATATATGAAAATCATGAAGTAGAGAGACCACTGCAGGGCCTCTCTTTATTTTCGTGTTGATGCGATACAACCGCTGCCGCTACGAAGGAATATCAACATCTACTCGTACTCCCGAAAAATGAAAGTGCAAATAAAAATGTGGTCCGCTATCTGCATGATGCAGAAGCAAATGGATTCCAATCGAAATACACACACACACATAGTTCTGGCACTTCTACTAACTTACTATGAGATCTTCGGCAGTTCGGGAAATATCAAGAAACTCAAAGCCGTCCTCTTGTGTACTAGCAGAAAAATAAAGCGAGATCTTTTGCTGCTTGCTGCGCTGCTTAATTGACTAAATCATGAGATCCTGCTGCTTACGTCGCAACATATGGTACTTAGCTCTACTTCATTGCTGCACTTCGTCTAAAACCGCAGTGATCTTCGTACCAGCAGAGCGCTTCGTCATTGATCTTCTTCGTAGGATCACAAAGATACACAGCTACAAATGCAGATTGCAATGGATCTGTGCATGATGGGCATAGCAATAACATCACATCGATGGGTATGATCAGCAGGTTGAAGATAGGATACGACATCAGACCACCGTTATCACCGCCACAAAATGTAGTTGAGAACGCGGCTCGGGCTCGCCTTCCAGTTTGAAGGGAGGTGCGGCGAATTATACGCCAGCAGTTGTAAAGTTTTGTATGTTCTTGTTGAACCTACTTCTCGTCGTGTTTCTGTTTCACATTCAGAAGTACTAAAGATTGAATCTTGTTCATATTCTCATGCACGTGGTGCTGTACTGGGCTTTTAGTTTTACTTTCGTCAAAAAGTCAAGATGATGCTAGAAATTATTTCCATCTACCACTACTTCGTAGAAATTATCAGAAGATCTTCATCATGGAATGGGAACCACATGTAAACACTGTAAAAAGTCTTCAATGAAGAGGGCTACGTAGACTAGCAATAGAACCTTCCTGTCCCTGTGGCTGTGCTCGACGTAAAATGAGTGGTATGGTGGATCATGATGATGTTCGTGTTGCTGTTGCAGCATAAGTACTTAAAGACAGAAGATCTTCCCGGTGGTCAGTCCAAGGTTGCACCTAGAAGTTGTCCCAAAATTATCCTACACCGCCAGCACTATCATCATCTGTGACGAAGAGCAGCTACAGGTGTAGTAGCAGCAGTAGAACCACATCCACAGCACAACTCGTCACAACGTGCCCATGAGTAGATCCGCGTCCTCCATGCGGTCATCTCCGATGAAGACCAAATCAGCTTCGCTGTGATGATCTTCGCCCACCTCTTGATCACCGCCGACAGGATCCTCGTCGCCTCTGTTACGAAGAACCACCTGTCCAGCTGGTGCTGCACCAGGTGCAACTGCACTTCCATTTCCTCCTGCCGCCCCTCTACTTTGTAAAAGTCCACCATCATGATCGTCAACCACCGTCTGTGACTCCAGCCTTTCCAGCGCAAAACTTCTGGTCATTTCCGCCTCAATGTGGCTCAATTCGTCGGCCACTGCCAAGGCTTCCGCGGCTAAATTGTCCGCATCTGGATTGTTTAAAATCCTCGCTTCGCTGGACAGCGCCCGCGCCTCCCGCTGCAGCGCCCGGGCTTGCCGGTTTAGATTCGAAATCGTGGAGGGGACGGCGCGGCGAGCAGTACTACTTGTGGACGACCACGTTGAAGATGTTGACTGGCGTAGATCTCGATTTTGATTTTCAACAGAGGACGCAACCATTATTTCCGATGACTGATGAGATTCGCGCAGAAGCTGCAAGTCGTCTTCTTCATCTGCCTCTTGTTCTGGGCGCGTCGTCCTACCTCCATGAGGAACTTCTACCCGACCTGCTGCAACTTCCGTTGGCAACGGCAAGAACAAATCTACTTCACTACTTTCTTCCTCCTGCGGCCCACCGGGAAGTTCGAAGATTTGAAAAGACCTACCGTTCCTGGCGGACGCCGTCGCGTTTCCACTCAGAGGCGTGGCCCCAGCATCGCCCGTGCTGGCAGGAATTGCTGCGGTGCTGTTGCTTCCGCCCGCCAGTAGAGGCGGCGCAGGCGGAGCGGCCGGGTCAAAGAGGGGACCGGTAGGTGGTCTGTTTGTTTCATCTCCTGCTGGTGCACCACTGGTTCCTCTTGCTGCAACATTGCCAGCATCTGCTGTGGCCGTTTCCATTCTGCCGGCACCAGTTCCTTCTGCACCCGCTCCTCCTCCTACCGCTTCTGGTACCGCCGGCGCCGGGGGCAGACTGGCTTGCAACAAAGCCGGGATGTCTTCGTCACGCAGGCCCGCGTGCGCTGCGGCCGCCGCAATCCAGTGCAGGATGTCGGGCGGGAGCTGCTGCTCGGCGGTGGTAGCGCCTTCTTCCTCATCGGGGTCCTCTTCGGGAAACCCCAGTCGGTGGCGGTTGCCAGTCGCCGTGAACCGCTCGAAAAAGAAGGGAGTTGATGTACTAGGGGTGAAGGGGGAACAAGTTGAGGATGTTGAACCAGCCTCAACAGTGGTCGTGTGGAGATGGTGTTCGTCCGACAGCAGGCTCATCAGCGGCCCCACCACGGAACTGGAGCTCACCGGTCGAGCGGGGGGCAGGAGCGGCGTCTGCTCGGTGGAGGGGGAGATGAGAAAGCTGTTTTGGTGCATGATTTGCGATTGCGATTGTGCTTGGTGCTGGGAGGTGGACGCTGGCATGTTTACGGTGGCGGACGGTGTCGATGAATTGTTATTCCCCCCACCACCTCCAGCCGGAGTCACTGGCGCCGAGCCCGGACAGTTCGGGAGTTGCAATCTGGGCACTGTTCTGGAGTTGGTGTTCTCTGGGGCCGGTAGAAAAGAGTGCGTGCCCGGTGCACTACTGGATGATGAACCAGGAGGTCCTGCTGCACCAGACATTGGCGTGGTCGAAGGCGCCGCTGCCAACGACATGCTGTGTGGCGGTGGTCCTCCCGTCGCCACTCCCGGCGTTCTGTTGTGGCTAGGGCTACTACTTGTTCCCAGAAGACCTCCAGCTGTATTGCTGTTCAGCAACGGAAATCCCAAATCTTCCGCCTTCACGTTCAACATCGCCTGCGTGAACACTGAATGGACGTCCTCATGCACGACATTACACTTGTTCTTCTGAAACCAGTACCGGCCGCAGAAGGGTAGAATGTGCCGCCGCCAAATTTCTAACGGTAAAGCGAAGGACCGGACTTCTTTCGTCGATGGATCAGGTGCATTTGATGTTGAATTGCTGGTCATCATGTGCTGGTCGTCGTCCACAAGACCACCGCCCCTACTGGTCGAGGACAAAAAAGCTCCACCTGCAAGAGTCCCGCTCGTTTTGCTTCTCGGTTCGCAGGAGAACACGATCGTTCGGACCGCGTTTTTCGTTTCTATGGGGAACAAGTGGTGCCTCTTTTCAGTCCAAACGAACATGTCCGGGAGGTTGTCGATCCGGGGCCGTTTCTTCGGTTTCAAGTTCGCCAACTGCCGCAGCTGCTGTTGAGAAGAGCTGCTGTTCGTCGCGTTATTGTTGTTTGCACCACTGGAAGAGGAGGTTGAGGAGCCAGCCCCTCCTCCTGTCCGTGATCCTCCTGCTCCCGCCGTTGCTGAATTGTTATTCATCCCCGAAGCAGTAGCGGCTCCTGCGTTGTAATTGTTGTTCATCATGACCCCTCCAGCCGGGGCGTTGTTTATGATCCCCCGATTTGGATTGTGTGGTTGGTTGTTCACTCTATGCCGGCGATAGCGCGCTCTCTGGGCGAGGAATACCCGCTGGTGTTCCGCTTCACTGTCATAATCCTCACCGGGAGGATGGTGTTGCTGTGAAGTAGATGCGGCTCTTGTTTCTCCCGCTCCAGAAAACAAATTGGGATTGGAAAAGTTGTGTTGAAGTTGCTGTCTCTGTCTTGGTCCTCCAGTGAATATTTGATCATCGTCGTCCTCCTCGCCGTTTGTGAAAGTTGCGCTGGGTCTTGTCGTGTTCTCAGCAGCCGAAGATCTGCTTCCACCTGCTGTAGTTCTGCTCGTCGTGTCCAGCGGCCTCCGACCTGCACTAGCACCAGGACTTCTTGTCAGCGCTCCCGCACTTCTAGGACTTCTGTCTTGATTTCTGTTCCGGCTGTTCAAACTCGCCGCCCCGGGTATTCTGGCGTTTAAATCCATTCCCGGGAACATGGTGGAGGACAGAAACGGCATCCTCGATGCTTGAGCAGTTCCTCCATCACTCACACTACTTCCCGTCGCTCCAGTTTGCCTGTTCATATTGATCAGATCTACATCGTCATCCCGGTTCCGCTGCAAAATTTCGCCCATTGTGGTGCTGCTCGACGCGGCGGAGGTTGCGACCGACAACCTGCGCTCGTCGTCCTCGTCGAAGAGCTCGTTGGCGGAGGAGTTATTTTGGCGGTCGTGGACAAGGGTCGTGACAGAGGGAGTGGCTGTATGTTGAGCGTGGTTGTCGGAGGTCGTGGGGACAAGAACATCATTCTCCTGAAGATGTTCCCTTGTTCGGCTTAAGTTTACCTCAACAGCGGCGGTAGTTTGGTGCTGCTCCTGCTGCGGTCGCCCCACCATTCCATCTTGTGTAGCGCCGGACCTGGAACTACTGGAGATGGAGGTCCTTGTGGCGGAACTTCTAGAAGGAGCTTCTGCTTGAGTCTGAGTCATCAAAATCGATTTCCTACTGGGGGAATCCGGGATGGCGATAGACGAGCCAGCAGCCGTTTCAACCGGGATATCCAACATGTCTACGTCAGAGTCCTGCTCTACGAGGTCCTGATTCTCATTTTCGTTCCGTGGCTGCTCACCGTGTGAAGAAAAAGATGGCGCTGATCTACTTCCGGCAGCATTGGAGGGTGGTGCCGAACCAGCTGCAGCCGCAGTTGCCGAAAGCGAGAGCCTTTGAAAAAGCAGCCCCGCGCCAGGCGGGACGGATGCGTTTGTGGTGTTGCGGCTCGACGGCTGACGCAATGTTCTTGAGAGCTGTTGTTGTCGTCCACGCGGATGTTGTTGACCTATCTGCAGGTCCTCCTCCTCCCGTGCTTCTCTATCCGACAAAGACGACTGGTCCTCAACGACCGTCCCCACAGCAGAAGCAAAGACGACCCGGGACGAGGTGCTGACCGAGCCACCAGGAGGGGGTTGTCCTGCTGAGGCCCGGGCACTGGCACCACGTGATGATGTTCTGTACTGCGGTTGCGTGGCCTGGTACAGGTTTGCACCCCCGCCAGCTAGAATGGTACTAGTCGTGCTCGGTTCTTGTTGACAGGCTGCGTTAAGATTCTGTAGAGTTTGTTCTGCTTGCAAGTTGTCCATATCCAAATCCCCCGCCATTCGGTCAGCCTCGACAGCATCCGGGTCGCTTCTCCGCTGCAATGCCATGTCTTCAAAGATGGTTGAGAAGTAGCCGGCGGGCGAGGCAACGGTGATGTTGTGGACAGAAGTGCTGCCGATCATTTGGTGATCCTCCTCTGGGTTCAACCTCCGTCTGGTTGCAGGAGCGTTCGCGTTGCTCACATCAGAAGTGCTGTTGTTTCCCGCCTGGTCTTGTTCCTGCTGTGTCTGTAGTTCCACCTCTTCTCTGGTCCTCCGGCGACCACGGGCTGGTGGATTTGGATTTTGTGTTGCAGCAGCAACAGAATTCGGATTCGAAATCATCAAAGGCGGAATATCCTCAACACTCACCCTTTGTTCAACATCCGCATCCGGCAACATACTCGGCCTTAATCTCGGTGCGGGCGGTGGCGTCCCCGATCGCCGTCGCACGCCAGACACGACAGGCGCTGGGAGCGGAACAACTGGAGGAATATTGACCACGTGGGCGTCTGACGATCTAACTGTAGAAGTTCTTGCCCGAGCTCCTGCTGCACCAGCACCTTCACGACCTTCTGAGGACATGACCGACTTGAGCGAAACGCCGCGGAATTTTGATGTGTTTGGTATCGGGCTGACCCCAAATTCGTCATCGTCTGGAACGGACATGCAGGCGGAGCTACATTCGGAATCGGAATTAGCAGGGTCGTGGTTGTTGCTGTCCACAGCCTTGGATGTTTTTCCCTCCTGCTGCATGACAGCCACCTTTGATGATGTTCCTTTCGATGCGGATTTCTGTGGCGAATTTGAAGAACTCCCAACACCAGCTCCTGCGAGTTCTTTCTTCCTCCGCTGCTCCTCCTCATCCTGATCCTCCTGGTCCATATCGTGGACGTACGAAGAGCCGGAGCTACTACACGAACTCGAACTGTAGACCGAAACCCGGTCCACGTCGCTGTCAACTACATCAAGAGCAGCCGCATGTTGATCATCAGCTGGTCGTTCTTGTGCTCCTGCTGTACCTCCAGATGGAAAACTTCTATCTCGTCCACGCAGCACCAACAGGTCCACCATCTGACTCGGTTCGGCAGTTTCTCGAAGCTGGACCTCCATCGAGGATGACGTTGTAGGCACGGGCACTAACATCGAGGAGGATTGTAGTTCTTCTTGCTGATCATGTACTAAAAATTGCTCGGAATCTGAAACGACCATGTTCTCGTTGCCCGAAGACGCAGCAGCTTCACCGCCGGCTGAGGAATTGGAAGATGAGCTCGAGGAGGACTCGGGCGCAAACACCTGTTCCGTGATCGGCTGGATCGCGATACCCACGTCGGGGTGAGAAGTAGAGAGGAGTAGATTAATATTGCCGTCAGAAGCAGCACCTCCACCTCCATCTGCGCTACTGATTCCGTTGTTCGCTGAGGAACTACTACTACCTCGTCTATCCTCCAGAACTACTTGCAATCCGGTGACGATTTGCCGCCCGCCGGTGGATGAGGTAGGGACGGTGGTGCTTGCCGTGGAGGGGCGGAGAATGTTGGTGTTGGAGGAGGGGTTATTCAAGTTGCCGAAAATAACAGAGGCTGGAGCTCTTTGTTCCACCCTCGACGCTGGATTGTTATTGGTTGCGCTAGACGAAGATGTAGCAGAGGAAGACACGACTGGGGCAGACTCTTGTCCTCCTGCATTACCATTAGCAGATTGTAGTGACTGCTGCTGCTGCAAGTACGAGTGCATGTTGACGACGCCCGGGAACGACAACCCAGAAGAGGTGGCTGCATCTCCAGTTGCGGCTGATGAAAACACTAAGCCTTGCATTTCTGCACGTCTTGTTTCCGTTGAATCGCCAGGATTCAAATTACTATTCAAATGCATCCCATTCCGTGCTTCCGCCGCCGCCGCATTCGGAGTCGAACTCGCCGACGACGACGACGCGGTGGAGGGAATGATCTCCGGCGGTCTACTTGCTGGCCCCGCCCCGACCATCGCGGTGAACCCGGTGCTGCCCGGAGATAACGTACCACTAACGACTCGTTGGTGGTCTTGCAATTGGTCATCTCCTACAGCAGGTTGTGCCGGAGGGTGTTGCGCGATTGCAGGAGTAGAGCCAAGACTTGAAGATGTTCTTCCCCTACTCCGATGTTGCAGCGGACTGCTCGAGTGGGCAGGGGAGGAAACTGAATTTTGCTGACTGGAGTTATTTGTTCCAGTGTAATGCGGTTCCAGCAACGCGGCAAATTGCACCGGCTCGATGTCCTTTGTTTCCCATTCATATTCACTCACCCTCTATGGAATGCAAATATGTCTGGGTCTGGAAGATTCTGAGACTTGTGATGCAGGTTTTGCATGAGTCATGACTTCTGTGATGCGTGCCCTAGCATCACAGATTTTTGGAGGGCGTCTTGATGCCTACTCCGCATGACAAATGGCCTCTCCGCGTAGCAAAAATCACATTTTTCCCTTTGCTGCTCATGCAATACAGATTTTTTTGCAATCCAAATGCAGCATCACAAGTTGCATTCTTCCAGACCCAGACATTTTTGCAAGGCATACCCTTGTCACCCGCCGGAGCATCTGGTGTCCCTTCTTCAGTGCGAAGGGGCCCACGTATGCATTGCAAAAGTATCGTACTCGTATAAATGCATTACAAATTACCTTCGCATGACAAGTGAAATTTGTCATGCTGTTTTGCCTTGGTATGGAGATTTGTAATGCATACTTGCAATTACTACGAGTACGATACTTTTGCACAGGATACCACGAGCACGCCGTTGACTTCCAATAATTCGTAGATCTTCGGCTTCAATTTCGACGGCGCACAGGACCCCAGGTAGATGCGGTCATAGCGGGCGGGTGAATTTTTCGTCTTGAGTTGGAATATGTTCGCCTTGAAAAATTGGATTTTGCTGTTTGTCAACATGCTGGTCGTTGTTGTGCTAGTACTGCTTCTACCGGCATGAAGATCCTCGACGCACGATGAGCCTCCAGCGACTACATTGCAACAACTCGTCGGAAAGATTTTCTGGATTCTTTGCTCCGCGTACTGAATGGTGCTTGACCAGATGTCGATTCCATGGTTCAGACACAGCCTCTCGTCCTCGGGGTCGAGAATGTTGGCCATGATGCAGTTGAAATACCCGGTCCCGGACCCGATGTTCAGGAAATTCATGTTTTTCTTCAGTGTATCAAATGTAAAAGTGTCTTGGTCTGGAAGATTGCCAGGTTTGTCATGCACATTTTGCATGACTCCTGATGTCTGTGATGCATGCCCTAGCATCACAGATTTTGTGAGGGCTTCCTGATGCCTATACCGCATGACAAATGCTCTTTCCGTGTAGCAAAACTTGGACTCTCTTTGCTACTCATGCAATACAGATTTTTTTAGAATCCAAAATCAGCATGACAAGTTGGATTCTTCCAGACCCAGACATTTTTACAGTTGATACAGTGGCAACAGGTTTTCCAGCACCTTCGCGTACATGGGCGGCGCGGAGATGTGGATCAAGCCATCGCGCAACGGGAGAAGCGAGTAGCACTGGTCTTTCTCCGACTCTGGCACGAAGTGGCACCGGTCGACCGACCGAAACGCGGTTTCGATCAATTTGGTCTGAATCGTCTTCTCGGAGACCATCAAGGAGACCATCTCATCATTCGTATGAATTGCAAAAATGTCTGGGTCTGGAAGATTCTGAGAGTTGTCATGCACATTTTACATGGGCCATGATGTCTGTAATGCATGCCGTAGCATCACAGACTTTCCGAGGGCTTCGCGATGCCTATTCCGCATGACAAATGCCCTCTCCGCATAGCCAAAATTGCATTACCTTTGCTGGTCACGCAATACAGATTTTTTTGGAATCCAAATGCAGCATCACAACTTCGGATTCTTCCAGACCCAGACATTTTTGCATTTGATAATTCGTCTTGGCCATTAAAACGCTGTCCTCTTCGGAATTATTGTCGAACATCTGGCCGGGCCGGGTCCGCATGGCCTGCGGGTTTTGGAGAAGATAACGGACGACTGCGTCCATTGTTGGTGTGACAGGTGGAGTGACGGTGCTTGCTATCTGAAGTCAGAACCTATGTGGCCTCCTTCTTCAATAACACAGTACTCTATATGACACAAGTGCAAGAACATGCAGTGCTAGTGGTTGACTTTGTTACATCAACAAAAACTCAAAAGAAAGAAGAAGACCGTAACATCAAGCTGCGCGACGACCACATAGTATGGAAATAAGAAGACACAACTGACAGTGCTGCTAGTACCTTTACTTACGTAAAACTTAAACTATATATTGTCAAAATCCTATACAACATTCATGCGCATGTGGGTAGAGCAAAAAATAGACGAGGGTATGGAGTTCCTGGATGAGAGTAAATAAAAGTTCACGTCGGAGTCTGTTGACGATTTTTTCCTTCAAAATTCTGCACGAAATGTTGCTGCATATGGTTGCACGAAAGAGGCATCTGAAACTTGCCTTGTTGGTTGCACGACATGTTTGCTTCGGCCACACCGACGTGTTTGCGGCGCATGATCAGCTGCACGACTACGATGCTGTTGCTTGCACGACCAGAATTGCTATATATCGCTTTCGTCACCTCGCAAAAAAGTACATACTTAAAAAACCGACTTGTCTTTGAGTTTGATTTCAACAACCTGCTCACTCGCTCAAATCAACAGCAGGAAAACTTCTTTACCGACACAGCTTTCAGTTTTAGTGTTTTGTTTGTCTTTATCAGATGAAATATCAATTGCGCCGCGAGCGTAACGCCAACGTAAAAAGAATCAGGCATCAAAACAAAACAAAGACCGACGAAAAATAAACCCGACTTCTCTTTCTGTATAACGATCATCAACACGATAAGATAGAAGCCCATCCGGTGTGCATCTTCATGATGTCGTCTAGGGCTGCAAACAGAAAGAAGGCATCTCTGTGTCTGTGCGCGAATCGCTTTCATAAATTTTTTTTTTTTTATACTAGAACGACTATAAACCGTAATAAAAGAGTAGTAGATCAGCTCCTGATTATTGGAATTTGAGAAAGTCAAGACGCTGCTCCGCTTCTCCTCCACTGCAGTTTAACGATTCCAACATGCGCTTCCAGACTTGCACCACAGCACCGGGAGCCCTATCCAGTGTAGTTTTAGCAAGCCGAGGCTCCTCTTCCTCGTAGTCCGCTTTCACGTCCTCCTTCCACGCTCGGGACGACATAGCCAGAGTGCCCCCCTTCCTGCTGCGCAAGGAAAGCGAACACTCAAGAGGCGAATGAAGTACCTTGGTGGAATCCCCACTGCCTCTGCATGTCGTTGCGGCTATGCCTCTGTACCTTTTTCTCTCCTGTGCTCTGAGGTCCAAGCTGACTAGCCGAAAAGGGAAAGACAAGGCAGGCATCATCATCAGCGAGGAGCAACAGTAGCTGAAAAACGAAGTGAGAGCTGTCATGACAAGTAAAGAGCACTCGTCGTCGCAGTCTGTCATCTGAAAGCTTTCCATAGATCCAAAATCTTGATAGAGGAGACGGATATTAGACCCAGAAAATGCATGCAAACAGATAAACATATGACAGCTCTCACTTGTTTTTCGTCCGTGTAGCCATTTTTCGTTGGGGAAAAAGATAAATTTTGGCGCTTTACTCTTATATAATTGCGCAATCTAATCTTACCCTTACTTCACTTTACTTTCCTTACTTTTGCATGCAAACTTCTCTTTCTATTTTTTGTTTTTTGGAAAGGATTGAGGTCATCAGGGGCATCCGGGGTGGTGTGTCATCAATGCGCCAAGAAGCAGCAACACCACTTCCCATGAATCGCTTTCATAAATAAACAAGCAAGGATGCTCTCGTCAGCACAAGGGGCTGCGCCGGCACGTGTCACCTTACAAGGTAAAGTACATTGTTCTTCGTAGTCACGATTATACCACAACGGCTGAGGTATCTCGTCATCAACAGCTTTGTACAATGGATGATTGGGAGCTGACTCTCAGAATCTAAATCCATAAAATGCTCTTCATCTTCTCCCGTTCTACTTGCACTGACAGTTCTAAGTAGCTCTAGGCGTCACAGCCCAGCACGGAGTTCATGCTTCTTTTCCACGAGCTTGTCACTCACCCAGTAACACCAACATCATTCAAGCCAAAGTCTTCGTTTTTTTCCGAACCGGGGACTTTCTCCTCCACCCTACCCGTCTTCGGGTCCACCAAAATTTCTATAAGAGAGCACAACTCCCCCTCCCCCTCATTTGTATTGCATAAGCTGCAACACAAGCGTCGTCAAGAATGCAGGTTTTGCATGACAAATTTGGACAGAATCAATTGTAGTGCTATTTGGCCTGCCAGAACTTGCCATGCAAACAGTGCCAAGAAGCAGGGTGTGAATACAGGTATTTTGCGATGACAAATGAGGGGGAGGCGGAGTTGTGCAGTGTGATAATTTCCGGCGACGCGGGAAGAAACACCTTTTCCGGGGATACCTGGTTCGAGTCCAAAAGTCGTTTCGCGTTTTCCACTTGCTCCGCGGTGCGCAGTTGCCCGTGCATCATCTTCTCCAAATTTTGACTGACCATGAACAAGCTAGTCGTCTGTTTCTGCTCCTCGTAGTGAAACACGGACTTCCAGGCCCGCAAGGACTTCGGTAACCGCAACAGCCAACCGGCCTTCCAGACTGTCCCGGGGTTCTATGGGAGTGCACAACCCCCGCCCCTCCCCCTCAGTTGTGTGGCATGAACAGCAACACAAGCGCTGGCATTGGCAAAGATCAGGCAGCTTTTGCATGACAAATTCCCAGAGGATTGTTGTAGTGCTGTTTTGGATTCCGAAATCCGTCATGCAAACAGTGCTAAGAGGCAAAGGGTGGATTAGGAATTTTGCATGACAAATGAGGGGGAGAGGGAGTTGCGCACTCTCATAGGTTCTTCTCCGTCAAGTGTCCGCACTGCGGACAGGGTTTCAGCCGAAAAATTATCCTGTGCAAAAGTATCGTACTCGTAATGCAATCATGCATTACAAGTCTCTTTCTTAAGGTGAATGCGCATTACAAATTTTCTTTCTCATGCTGAGGAAATTTGTAATGCATTCAAATTTATTATACGAGTACGACTACGATACCTTTGCAGTGCATAAAAATCGGCGCATACCCGCAGAAATCGCACTCCTTGCCGAACCAGGCGGATTTTTTCGCTTTTTCCGCCAGGTTCGCGAGCATGGATTTTTTCTTGCCCTTATGGAAGCGTCAGGATTGAAATCAACAAAGTTGAAATAGTTTGCCATGCATAAAATGCAATGCAGAATTTGTCTCTATTGCAGAGGACGCAAGAGAGGCAGACGGGAAGCCTGTTGAGGAATAGAAATAGAGCTGCTCAAGTAGCATGACAAAACGCGTCGTCCTTACCCGAACAGCATGACAAACTGGATCTAGATTCTACCCAAACTTGTCATGCGCCGCTTGGAAACGGGGCTTCGCCTGGCCTCCATTTTGTGCATGGCAAATTATTTCAACTTTGTCGATTTCGATCCTGACAGTTCCATAGCCCTTCAGCAGGTCGTTGTACTTGTTGCGCCAGTACTCCGTGTGCGCATATCGAAGAAAAAAACACTCTTAGTGTAACTTTGTGATGCGCAACATGCAAAGTAAGTGCAGCTGTCATGCTGGGCATGCATTAAGAGGTCCACCGAAGCGCGTTTTCACGTACCATCTGCGCATGACAGGCTTTTGCTCTCATGCCAGACAGATTTGTCATGCTGTTCCTCCACAAAAGTTACACCTACAATCTATTTTTCTTGGATAGCGCGCTCGCGTGCTTTAGCTTTTGCTCCAAAATCTGCACCTGGTTTTCCAATTCGAACACTTTTTCCCGCAATTCCGCGGTCATTTGCTTCTCCGCCTTTAACGCTTTTTCCAGCTTGATGGCCTGCTCCGTCAATTCCCGCATTCTGTTCCGGATGTAAGCGACTTCCTTCTCTAATTCCGCAATTTTCAAATTCGCCAATTCCAATCTTCCTTCCGTCCAAATGAGCTTCTTCTTGAACTCGATCTTCGCCCTATGACAATGCACAACTACCCCTCCCCCTCATTTGTATAGCATGACCGGCAATACAAGCATCCGCAAGGATGTCGGTTTTGCATGACAAATTACCAGCCATGCCCCGGCTGACGCCGGGGCGAGCGGCTGTTGTGGCGGGGCAGGACTATTTGCGGACCGGGCCACAGCGCCATGCCTTTGCGCGCGACGTGATAGGTCGAGGGAAATACTGGCGCGGGTTGCGCCATCTCAGCCCGCTGGGCCTCCTGCGCGCTTCCCGCGCCTTCCGGCGCTATGCGCAGGGAGCAGCTGCAGCGAAGCTTGGGGGCGAAGCGAAACCGCCTCGGCGTAGGTGCCTACCGAAGCAGAACGGGGGCCGCGCTGTTCTTTTTTGATCACGCGCGGGAGGTTGACGCGGGAGGGTGCGCGAGAGGGTGCGCGAGGTGATAGCGCGAGAGGGTGTGGGCCTGCACGATGACAAAGCCCCAGGAAAATCGGCCGCGTGCCGGGCGGATTCGGGTTTTTTGGGCCCTCTCGCGGCCCCTCTTTTTGACCTCTCTCGGAGGTCCCCGCTAATAGTCGGGCTATACTCGCGGGCAGAGGGCTACAGAGGTGGCCGGGAGGTCGCCGAGAGGGTGCGCAAGAGGTCCCGCCTTATTCGCGCAACCTCTCGGCACCTCTGCCCACCTCTCGCTTGCCCTCCTTTCCACCTCTCTGCACCCTCCGAGGCGCTTCAGCGGCGCTAAAGAGTGGACCCTTCGGCGGGCTATACTCGCGCCACCTCTCGGTCTCCCTCTCGAAAGACCCCCCGCGCCACCTCTTCACCTCGGTCGACCTCTTTTTTACCTCTGTCGGCCTCTTTTTGACCTCTCGGCCACCTCTCTTTTATCCTCTGTAGACCTCTACTTTCGCATGAATATAATAGATAGTAATATGCACTGGATTGTAGTGCTCTTGGGGCTTCCAGGATTTGTCAACATGCAAACAGTCCTACAAGGCAGCAGCTGGTGCTGGATTTGGGATTTTGCATTACAAATGGAAATGAGGGAGAGGGGGAGTTGTGCACTTTCATACGCCCGCCTTTGGCACACGGCGTCTTCGGACGCGAACCGGTGGTTTTCTTCCGACCGGCGGAGTTTCATTTTCGTGATTTCTATATGCAATGCAAAAGCATCGCACTCGTAGTAATTGCGTTTATGCATTGCAAATCTTTGTCTTAAGGTAAATCCGCATTACAAATTTAATTTATCATCATGCTGAGGAAATTTGTCATGCGATTTATACTAGTACGATGCTTTTGCATTTCATATTCTAACTCCTTTTTCGTTTTTCCCAGCTCCGCCTTCATTTCCTCCCACTCCTTCTTGAGCTTATCCCGCTCGCGGGTCAAGTTCTCGATCTGCCGCAACAACCCGTTCGCCCCCGCGCCGGACATGTCCTTCCAGGGGAAGAAAAATTTCCGCTTGGTGTTCAGCCTCTCATAAAACGCGCACTTCTCGATAATCAAGTCCAGCTCCGCCATCTGTCTGCGCCGCTCGATGAGCTCGGAAAGCGTATGAAGTGCAAATGTGTCTGGGTCTGGAGGAGTGTAAACTTGTCATGCAGGTTTTCCGTGACGCATGAGGTCCGGAATGCGGGACCTAGCATGACAGACTCTGCGAGGTCTCTGCCATTCCTCTCCTGCATGACAAACTCCCTCCCATCTTGGTCGAAAGTGGACAGCTTTTGGAACTCATGCAACACAGATTTTTACATGATTCGGATTTGGCATGACAAGTTGCAACCTTCCAGACCCAGACATATTTGCATTTCATAAAGCGTCGGGTCTTGCCACGTTTCGATTCCCTCGAAATGCCGTGCGTAATTCGTGGTGCTCGCCTTCACCTCATTCAATTTGCGGTCACACTGTTTTTTCAACTTCAAATATCCGAGAAAAAAACATTGTAGGTGTAACTTTTTTGGAGGAACAGCATTACAAATTTGTCTGGCATGCGCAGGACACCAAAAACCTGTCATGCGCAGATAGTACGTGAAAACGCCCTTTAATGGAGCCTACGACGCATGCCAAGCATGACAGACGCAATCGTCTTGCATGTTGCGCATCACAAATTTGCCCTAACAGCGTTTTTTTCTTGGATATCAAATACTCCTGTCGCCACCAGTTTTCCCGTTGCCGAAACTGCTCCTGCAGTTTGTACAGCTGCAGTTGCGCCTATGGATGTGTCAGAGTTGAAATCGAGGACAAAGTTGAAATTGTTTGTCATGCATAAAATGCAACGCAGAAATTGCCTCTATTGCAGAGGACGCAAGGGAGGCAGATTGTAGTGCTGGTAAGTGTCGAGAACTGGGCTGCTGATTAGCATCACAGAGGGGAGCCCCTTTGCCCTAAACAGCATGACAAATTGGCCTCCAGTACGGACAAAATTTGTCATGCGCCGAGTAAAAACTGTGGGTCCAATTGGTATCGATTTTATGCATTACAAGTTATTTCAACTTTGTCGATTTCAATCCTGACACTCCCATAGCGCCGGACATTTGATCTGCAGTGCGGGACAGTAGAGGCGGTTGGCTTGATTCGCAGTAGCTGTTCTCAAGCCCTGCGACCCGTTGTTGACACCCTGTGCATCATGATGCGCTCCCCGTCCTCGCAGCGGCGGATTCATCGCCGATTCGTCCTCATCTGCCGTCGTTGTGATTTCCTCATCTTCTGTGTCAACAAAAGTTCGGCTTCTCGCTAACAGTGCATCAAACCGCATCTTTTCCAAGTCTTCTTCCGACTGCAGGATCGAATTCGCCGCATGGAGAAACCCGGCGCTCAGTGTATTACAGTGAAAAATGCCCCCACCCCAGAATTTGCAAAAGTTTCTCATGCAAAGTTTCCAAATGAAAGCCGTTTGTCTTGCATAAAAGGACTACGAGCCTTTCTGATGCAGAATCTAGGTGCGCCAGGTGTCTTTTGCATACCAGATCTGCCTGCTGTTGGGCTCCTTTGTAACACAGATTTGAGCTATTCAACCTGGAAAATTTGTGATGCTGATACATGCAAGACGGGGAATGTTTCCATTGGAAAGGTTTGCAATACAAATGCTGCCAAGTTCGGGGGTGGGGGTATTTTTCATTGTAATACGGTGGCGGTTTCGGCGGTTTCTCCTTTTTCGGCCGCGGTTTCTTCGAACTCAAAGGCGGCTGTTCCATGAAAATTAACCATCCCCACCCAATTTGTCAAGCAAAAGCAAAACATGTACTAAAATCTGCGTTTGTCATGCAAAAAGTTGATGGGGATGGTCAATTTCTAGGGAATAGCGGTTGGGGCAGGGGCTTCCCCGAAATAGTCGTGGGGAGGGAGGAAAACATCACGTACACGTTGTTTCTGTTTTATTTGACTGCTCGGGGTCTGTTGACCTGCTCTTCTTGGAGAAGGACGGGAGAATTGGAAGCAACCAGGACCACGCTGCGGTTACTTGCTTAGTTGAAGCCCGTGAAGCTTCCCCCTCGATGAAACTGGTAGTTCTTAGTACCTGTAGTCGAAGTCGTAGCAGTGTTTCCTCGGAAACAAGTTCTACTTCGAACTCCCCCTGTCTGCAGCAACCGTTTATTTTACAGAACAAAGTTTTGCGGTAGGTGTTGCGCAAATGCCTGTTCCACTGCTCCGCCCGGGGGTAAAAACGCCTGCCGTCTTCTTGGCTGCTGCTCCAAAAAATGATGACCTGCTGTGCCTGCGGCGTGCTGGGTGTAAAAATAATGAACCGGATGGTGCAACAAGGTTCTTCGCTCGTACTCCTTCCTATACTGAAAAAACCGGACCATGATCAGCGCAATGATGTACAGGAACGCAACCTGGCAATCGAGAAAATTCATATTCAACGAAAATTACCCATCCCCATCGTCCAATTTGTCATGCAAAACATGTAGGAAATTCTGTGTCTGCCATGCAAAAAGTGGATGGGGATGGTTAATTTTCAGAGAATAGCTCAGACAGAAAAGCGACAGGGCGGAGGCGAAATGGCAGCAACATGCGAGCTTCTTACGGAGGGATGGAGAAAATGAAAAGGACGATGGCCGCATCATCGGTAAGAGAAGTTCTTCAAGAATTTCTCTTTTTCTTTGCCGTGGTCATCGAGATTGCTTCCAAAGATCGTTTTCGTTATTCAAAAAAAAAACCAAACCACTCTACACATGATCTGACTCTGAGAGGAAGTTCCTCTGAGGAACGAAACTAGTAATAAAAATCCAAGCAAATTATAAGCCACTAGAATTACCGCTACCCGTATTAAACCATGACCAGCTAACAAATATATAGAGAAGTAACTCGACGACGTGGTGTATTCTTGCGTAGAAGGGACTGCACGACCCATTCGCATCAGGTCGAGAGACACGGACGAAGATCGCTACTTAGAAGGAAAGAGCCCACATAGACAAACGACAACCCAGCACATGAAAAGACTGCGATATCAAGAAACCCAAAGAAATAGATCTGCCACAATTACGACCGACTGGGGCACTATGAGCAGCATGGCGAATTAATAGTACCGAGACGAGCAGTAGACCTGTTATAGTTATTTACTACGACGGTAGCCGTATCTTCAAAATGTGACTCATACGAAACTCATATCGCGTTCACAACCAGCGCAAGCGCTATCTGAGAGATGATCTTCACACTTCTACTTCACCTGCAGCTTCCCTCTAATATTGTCATGGAGTCGAAGAAAAACAAAAAGTGAGCACGACGAGTGAATAGTACGAGTGAATAGCACGACCGAAGACGTAAGTTTTATTTTCAGCGGTCACAGAAGATTCAGATGCAGATGGCGAGCGAACAGGTGATTATTTACGGCGCGTTCTGGTGCCCGACACGAGATCATGAACGGATGGTGCTCTGGATTGGACATAGATCTCGATTATGTTTGTGCAAAGGCATGAGAAGAATGTTATCAGGGCGCGTCACAAACAGAACTTCTCCTTCTTTATTCCGTAACAGAGTTTCACTGAATCCAAGTTTTCAATAGGAAACTGACCTTCATACGACTCCAAGTCGTCCTTCTTTTTTCCATCTACTTCCGACTCGCATGATCCAGAACATCAACCTCTCGCTCTGTCCTAGTACTTAGGCTTTCCAAAAAATAACTCTTGTTCACCGCCGTTGCCGCTTTCTCCTCTTTCCCGCCGGTCCATTCGATGTGCTAGTAGTATTTTCTGTTTGTTTATTTCCATCCCCAGGAACGCTAGCTGCACCTGCACTACGATCACCTGCTCCACGGGCACCACCCGTAGAAGAAGTAGAAGTACTAGCGCCGCTGCCTTTGTTGCTTTTCGCACTTCCCGTAGATCCCCTCTTTGTCATCACCCTCAAACACTCCTGCTCAAAGTCCTCCAACGCCGTCAAGTTGCTCATCACCAGCATCCGCTGCGACTCCCGGAATTTCTGCGCTAACACCCCAAACTGCTCGTGCGACTCCCAAATTTTGTTCTACCAAACGAAAAAATGGGCCACAGCCAAATTTTCAAATTTTCAAAATTTTTCCCGCCAACCCGTGATCCTCGCCCCGGCCTGGGAAAATACGCACTGGCAGAAGTGCTCCATCTCGAGAACTCACATTGGCCACCTCAATCGGAAAAACAAAATTTTGAAATTTTGGCTGTGGCCCATTTTTCCGTTTGGTATGTTCGTTGGCGTCATCACGGACTCGTGCAACACCGAGTCCGCGGGGGTGAGTAGTTCGTTCAACACGTCCTTCAACGTCTCCACAATTTGCAAGTCTGCCGCGCAACGGGCTTCGTTTTTCTCGAACAGAGAATTCTGCAAGTCCTCACTATCAATGCCGTGGAGAATGCGCAAGCAGATGAGCAGCTTCTTCGAAAGTGGCCAGGGAACAGCCGCTTGTTCTGGACAACTCGTCGAAGAAGAAGTACTAGTAGCGATCAACGCTGTTCCTGTCCTGTTGCTCGTCGTCGGCACAATATGTGACAGCACGTGGCTGGTCGTGACATTGTGCATGTGCAGCAACAGTTGCACTTCGGCATCCTCCGGCTCCCCGAGGTCCAGCTGCAGTGTGTCAGCTGGATTGCGGTCAAAGCAAAAGCCGTAGTACTGCAACAGCTCCCAGTTTTGCAACGGGCCGTAGTTCAGACAAAGCTGCTTTGGTGGAAGGGGGCAGGAAATTGGTGTTTCTGTTTGAAGATTCTTCGTCGTGCTCGTGGGCTCGCTCGTAGTAGTTGCCGGACGAGCAGGGACAACGTTCGCGGCCGTCTGCAGAATGAAGTGACCCAGGGACGGGCTGGTCTTGGTGCTTCTGCATGACAAGTTTCCGTCCTCTTGCTTTCCCGCACGACAAGTTTTGTCTGCCTCGAATCTTGGCACGCAGATCGGCGAAGAGCGGTCGTGGTTTAGGTAGTCGGCGAAGGGGACGAGACAAGTCACTTTCGTATCAAGTGTAAAAGTGTCTGGGTCTGGAAGGTTGGAACTTGTGATGCTAACTATGGACTCTAAAAAAAAATGTATTGCATGAGTACCAAAAGGAATGCAATTTTTGCTACGCGGAGAGGGCATTTGTCATGCGGAATAGGCATGAAGAAGCTCTGAAAAAATATGTGATGCTAGGGCATGCATCACAGACATCAGGGCTCATGCAAAACGTGCATGACAATTGTCAGAATGTTCCTGACCCAGACATTTTTGCAGTTGATACTTCGAGAACGGAAACCACTCGCCGTCAATATACTGCGGTTTAGTGTCTTCAGAAGAGGAGGCTGCTTCTCCTGCCCCACACGTGTTTTGTAGTTCATCGCCCTCTACTTCATCTCCGCTATGATCGGACGAATCCTCGTCCGCGCAGGACGGCGGGTCGTGACGGTTCACGTCCCCTTGGGCAGAACAGGAGCTGCTTGCCGGCTTCGCGAAGGTCATGGTTTCCTTATGAATTGCAAAAGTATCGTACTGGTATAAATGCAATACAAATTTCCGAAGCATGAGAAAGAAAATTTTTTGTAATGCTGATTTACATTAAGAAAAAAATTTGTAATGCATGATTGCAATACGAGTACGATACTTTTGCAATTCATATTTCTCGTCTTTTCGCAACTCTTCCGCGGAGCAGCTAGTTATGCATTGCAAATATGTCTGGGTCTGGAAAGATGCGAACTTGTGATGCGCATTGCACATGACACAAAAATCTGTCATGCAAGGAAGCCAAAAGTTGCACATTTCTGGCCACCGAAAGAAGGGCTTTGTCATGCGGATTACGCATTAAGAGACCTTCTAAAAACCTGTGATGCTGGGGCGTGCATGGTAGCCCTTCTGGGTCATGCCAAAGCTGCACCATAAACCTCTGCAACCTTCCAGCCCCAGACATATTTGCACTTGATACTGGTACTAGAGGAGCAAATTGCCATAGAAGTTGTATCCATAGCTGCTTGTTGCTGCAGAGCAACTTCTTGCTGCGCATACGCTCCTGCTTCACCTTGATGCTCATCGCCCTTTTGGTGCGCCTCGATCTCCATGGCACCGCCGTCGCCGTCGGCAGTAAAAGTAGACTCCGTCGAGCTATTCAGCTGCATTTCGGCATCCTCCTGGTCCTGGTTTTGTTCTCCTTCATGCTCTTGCTCGTCTTCAGCAGAAAAATTTTCATCGGCGCTTTCGCTTTCCTGCCTCGGTCGATGCGTCTTTTGGCAGACTTTGAAATCGATCTGAAAGGCGCGACTGTCGAAGACCACTTTCGCGTACAAAACGTCCTCAAACGTGACTTCCGGAATGCGATCGCATCTTGGAATCTCCTCCTGCACCCACGTCGCAGGTCGTGGTCCTCCTGCTCGGGTACTTGTTGTCCCAATTTCTCCATCTTGCTGTCCAGCAATAAAAATTTCGCTCGCATGGTTCTCGTCATCGTCTCCGTCGACGTTCATTTTGTCGGCCGCGTGGTCCCCTACTTCCTCTCCAAGAATGCAACTGGAAGGAGATGAGCCAACACAATTTTCATTTTGAGCATTCTGCTTGAAGTCCTCGTGAATCTGCTTGTGTTTCTCATAGTTGAACACCACCTGGCTCAGAGACCGGTAGAATTCGTTGACTTCCATGCGCTGCGCCTCCACCTGAAAAATTACCTGCGGGCAGTAGAGATTCTCCAGAGCTTCCTCGGGCCACTGCAAAAGCGTTGGCGGGCAGTTATAACCTGCTCAGCTGTTACAATCTCAAGCGTTACAATAGAATATGCAAATCTGTGATGCAGGAGCGCATGTAATTCTAGCCCACTCTCATAGGATTGCGCATGACAAGTTCCGGAGTCCCAAACCCGATTACAATCTGGCGAAATTTGTATTGCAGAAAGCGGAACCCTCTGCGAGTCTGTCATGCTCATCATGCAGCACAAGTTTCAAATTCTATTGCAACGTTTGAGATTGTAACATCTAACCAAGCCATAGCAGTCGTCCAGCGTTTGCGGTAGGTTGTTGTGGATCAGGTAGTGCAGCGGGTGGGAGGAGCTGTAGGCAGAAGTTCTTGCTCCCCGTCGTCCCGCTGAGTTCGTACTTAGGAGATTCTCTCCACCGGCTTTCTTTACTTCTTCGGATAGTTCTTTATCGGTTCCTTCCACGACCCCCGCGTTTACACCACCACCACCAGCGGCGGCCTCCATGTCAAACCGTTTCCGCAGGTAGATCAGGTAGGCCATGGCGATGTGTTCCTCGTCGCACTGCTCTAACCTTAGTAAGTGGTAGTACTTGCGAAATGCCGCGTCGCGAAACGCCGTGACCGCGTTCAGAATGTGGGTGGCGGAAATTTTCAAAATCGTGTCGTTGCACCGCAGCCCGTCGGTGTTGCCCTTCACGTACAGCCCGTCGCCGGAGACCTTCGAATTGCCCACCTGGAGGTTGGGGTGCAGGAAATTGTTCCCGATCCGGCAGTTCTTGTGGGTTTCATCGATGTCTTGACAACTCGTCGACGTGCTAGGTGTACTAGTCGTGCAAGTCGTGGTGGTCAGACTTTCCACGTCGAACAGCTTCTCCGAAAGGAGCTGAACGCAAGAAGCTACATGGTCTTTTGTATCACCCATGCTCAACATGTTCACGGTACTAGCCGTGGTCGAGGACGGTGTCGCGACGTCGGATTGATGTAAAGAGCCTGGAGCTGCAGCTGCTGCTCCAGATGCGGTAGGTGAATGAAAAGCAGCACCCGACCACGTCGACGATGCATTGGTAAGAACACCGTCGCAGTACTCCTGAATTTTCGCGAGCAGGTCTTTTTTCTCCGGCTCCAGCAATTCCAACGTCCCATCGATGAAACTGAGCTTGTGTAGCAGAAACAAGCCTCTCCGCGGGTCTCTTGTCTCTTCGAAGTACAGGTCGTGGACGTTTTGGGTGAGAATATCGGCGATCCGGAGCAGAAGTTCGAACAGATTGAGGTCCTGTGTTGTCGTCGTGGTTTCTCGGCTTGCAGTTTCCGTGGCTCCACCACCGGTACTAGATTCTGCCTGATCATGCTGTTGGACCTTTTCGTCAACATTGTGGTCACCATGATCATTTTGCGCAGCAAGAACGAGATCACCACGACCGCCGCAACCGCCAGCAAGCGAGATCGTCACGACCACGGTTTCTTTCTTTTCTTCGTACTGGACAAGAATGTTCTTAACGCTGTGACAACTTTGAAGAGGAAAACTCTCATTTTCTTTTTCCTCCTGCTCGATTTTGTTCAACAGTTCCAGCTTCTCCTTCTGCCACGGATCCTGCTTCGACAGCGGAAACCGGAGAACGCGGGAGGTGCATACAGCAGAACGAGAACCATGTTGTTCTCCTGCTTCAACATCTTGCTGGTACGGAAGTCTGCTCGTCTCGTCGTGTGCTGGTGTGGTCTTCTTCAAAATTTTTCCGTCTTGTTCCACCACATTTCCGCGGAGAGCCGCAGACGCGAAGGCGGCAGCGGGCGCCTCCTCCTGTGAAGGAGTAGTACTAGCGGGTCGTAGAAACATGGTAATTTCCTTGTCCACGCTTAGGACGCTGCTGGTGAAGTAGATTTTTGTTTCCTTGTAGTGTACTTAGTAGTGCAAACAAGATCAGGACCGCTGCTCGTCTCACTGTACTATCGTATTTTTATTCGTGCTTGCTTTTCAATAGTTTTAGCTTTTTATGATCTCATCTTGCTGGCGCAGCACTATAGCAGTCTTACTCAACATAGAAGGAGGCAACAGACGCCAGGTGGCAGAAAAAATGTGCTTAGTGTTAAAGAAAAGATCAGTCGATAACGACAGCCTCGTGCATCTTGATTTTCGTTGTCGTTCCTGAAGACCTTCACCTTCCTGGATGAAAAAATAAAAAGCATATCTATGTAATGAACAAATGGGGGTTGGATTCAAAATTTGCAGGTGGATCGGGGTTTCAACAAAATAGTACGACTTACAAAGCAGGATCGGGATTTCAAAATTTTCTTCGCGATTTTCCTGATTCACTAGCCCAGTCAACGGGACTGGTGGACCGTGTATTTCGATTGGGTTCAGATCAAGAAGATGAATGGGAGCAGCTGCATTTTATTCATTTTTCATCATCTGGTGTGTGACGAGATTATTTTCATGATCCGGATCTTCCAGCATGAACTAAAAAGCGGCTCTTTGAATCTTGATCTTCAACTTCTGACCTGTGCTGTCGAAGAGCCGTTGATTTTAATTTCTTTTGATTTGCCTGCCCGGTGCATCAGAACTACAACATGCACTGGATCATCTTCGCCTAGTGTCGTCTCCGGATTCGAAATGGAAACTGGATTGAACATCATCACACATCAACAGGGTTCTTTTCCTGTCGCCAAAAGATGCCTGCAATTATTGCGACCCGGTTCAGTTTCGAGTATAATAGATACGTAAAAATGTTGGTCATGCTTATTTCAGATAGAATTATCGGAGCGCTTTGTCACCTGCTTCTCTGCTGCGCGAGGACGGCGATGTGATCGCGTTTCAATTCGAATGATGATGTGCCAGCACTAGGCTACCTAATGCTAATCAAATGTGTATTCATCTCGTCACCAAACAGAAGCCATTGCGGTCCTCTGGTGCAGACAATGAAGCTAAATTATAGCTCTAACCCGACTTATTTGAGGGTAAAAAGTAGTCTTTGATTAAAATTATCGTTCAAGTCGGGGTCGGTATTAAGTAATAATATTCTCAAGATTCAATAGTACTGGTCGGTGAGTAATTTTTTTTTTTTTTCGAAAAGTCAATGATAAATCCCACGAGTAAGTTTAAGTTGTAGGGAAAACAAGTAAAGTGCGCACATTAGCTGAAAACGATGAACGTGTTGTAAAACTATGACAAGAATGGTAAGAAAAACGCAATTGCAAAATAAATGAATAACAAAACTATACTGTAAAAATTCGCAGACAATGACAACTCGAAAACAAAAATTTGACTGGTAGTTACAACTTCGCTTTGTTCCTGTCCTCGATCTACTTTTATGGTTCTCGTTACGTCGCCCATGACATTCATAAGTAAGTAAGTAGGTCCGTGTCCAGTATCATTTCAACATTCGTACAACTGGAAAAGCCAGATGTCCCAAGATAGCAACAGCACCTTAAGACGCCCATCAAATCCACAAAATCAGAGCAACAACGAGAAGAACGCTGGTGCTTACGTGAAAGTGCCTGGCACTACTACTTAGCACCTTCTTCGCAAGAACCAAGATTCAGCAGCACAACACTGTGTCTGAGCGCTGCTGCTTGTTCGCGGCCGGTGCAGCATTCTGCGCAACGACCAAGTTTGGACCGTAGCCAAGATATGCCCCGCTCAGAAGACTACTAGACCATCTTGGATAAAAAAGCAACAGCTTCGTTCTAAGTAAGTGAGTAATGCAAAGCTCCGGTTCCACGAGCACCTCTTGTGGTTTCTCCACGGCATGAGTCATCTTCACATGCAATAATCCCACCAAGGATCATACGATGTGGATGGGTCATAGATCACTCAGCAGGCGACTTTCGAGTCCGAACGTAGATGTGGAAGCTGCATTCCATTTGATATACGAAGTCTATCTCGAGAAGTTTTTTTTCAACCCAGAATTAGTCTATATGCACACAATCAAGCTGTCGAATAAAAATGCCAAGTAGCTTAGGCGAGGACGTGAGCGGGGCATACAGTGCAGCAGGTTCTCAGCATGTTGTTCATCCCAATGATGGCCTCGGGAGATTCTGCACCACCTGCAGGATTAGGATTTCCCGGAAATTTGGTGGTGGCAGCAGCAGGGTTGTACTTCGCCTTCTTCGTCGTCGCCGCGTCCTTGTACAGCAGGGCGCTCGCGAATTCCTGGCACACTTCATCTTCGGTTGGTACTTCTACTTGGGGGGCCCCCCTGGCTGCAGCGGATGTCCGAACAGTAGCGAACCCCTGCTGGCAGGTCATCTGCGGCCCCCCGCTGATCTGCGTATGAAACAAGTGTGGGCCGTAGTTAGAATATGCCCCGCTCAAAGTAGACGATCTCAACTTACTAGTAGTACGCACAGTTATTTCATTTGCGAATGTGATTGATGCCACGGCTCTTTTCTGCGGCCCCTCTTCCTGTCCGGTTCTTTATAAATGTACAGCTCCAAATCCATCACTATCAACCGCAGCCAGGGATAGATGATCGATGACTCAGCGGACAGCTGATGTCACATCCGAATAGTATGCGAGGCATTTTCGTCCTGGGAAGCCGGGCTAGTGTCGGCGCCCATGTTGACATGGAGCACCACGCCGCCCCTCCGCCTCCTGCCAGAGCCGTCATTTTTTGGTTCATGGGGCTTTGTTTTTATTGAATCACGCAGGTTCAGGCAAATTGAACTTGTAATTTTTTCCCTCCATCTTCTCCATGCGCATTTTTTTTTTCGGACACGCGGTTGCAATTTGCAATGTCGAAACTGGAACTGCGCCAGCAGCTTTACTATAAATTCAATGGCATTTTCATTTTCTCCGCTGTTGGCTGGTACACGTACAGGTACATTCATGCCTGTCCACATTGAAATTTCATTTTCGAGTTCGACCTAGAAAAGATATATGCTCCACACACAAACGGTAGAGTATAACAAGTATTATCGCACAGTCGTGGATTTCATCACATTCTTCGCACTTACGGTGGGGCGGCGATTTTTTGTTCCTAAGCGTAAGCACTAAGCATGTAGATGTACTTAACGCATTCAACATCAACAAACCGCCGAAACACAATGTCAGGAAGGTCGAAGTGAGCGGGCCATACTTCGCAGCAAGTTTTCAGTGCAGTGTTCGTATCAACGACAGCGGTGCTATCCTGAGTAAACAAGTTCCCACCCCAGAGTTGACATGCAGAAGATATGCATCTCCTGCAGATACATTTGCAACGCGCATCTTCCCACGAAGAGAGACATACACTGATCATAAATGGTGTTGTGGAATTCTTTTAATGCAGTATCAAACAGGATAGCGACGAGTGCGAGGTGGCTTTGTGATGGGGCTACCCTTCTTGCTAGCCTGCTTTAATACACCTCTTGTTCAGATAGAAACTTTACTAAACTTTATCCCAAAACTAAACTCCCATCCTGACTCTGGGGTTGGGAGCGTTTTTGCAACACAGGATACCGGTCATGCTCTTGGACGTTTGCTTGCGGATTAAGTTCAGGATCACCGGTAAACGTGTTGCTTTCCGCACCGTTTTTCTTCACCGCCTTCTGATATAAATTGCAAATTATATGTCTACTTGGTCTAGAGGAAAAAGAATTCAAGGACCGCGTGCGCGTCATGCTCGGCCAGCATGACTTCTCTCATATCTGTCATGCACGCTACCCAAGCGCTCCAGTTGTTTCTCATGTACTTTAGATGAAAGGCAGTTCTTTGCCATGCAGAATTGGCAACATCACCTAGCAAGAACTCCGTGGCATGATCATGATTTGGGGATGACGGTCGAACCGGCGTCAAAAGTGTCCAGACCTCCCAGACATATTTGCTGCATTCGATATCTCCCAGTCCTTGTAATGCAATTGCCCCGCGAAGGCCGCGCACGCCAGATTGTCGGTTGGCATTTGTTCCACCCCCTGGGCCATCATTGCGTCTTTGGCCTGTTTGAAAGCCATTTCACAGCTCAGCGTCATCGGCGCCTTGTTGGTTTTCGTAGTGCCCTCGCCGGTACCCGTTCCAAGACCAAGACGGCCCAGAAAGTATCGCAGCGCGCAAGAACTACTTACTTCCCTTCGCCTCGTCCCTCAGGCTCCGCACGGCCTGAGCAGCAACAGAAAACAACACGACAACTAGTACCAGAAACTACTTACAGGAGATCATATGTAGGCTCGGTTCTGCATTTTTCGTTTACATCAAACAAAAGTGACTATAATTTCTATATTATCATGTCAAATTTATCATGTGCTGGATGTACATGTAGTATGCTTATTGCATTTTTTCTGCAAAAACTTGTCAGGGAAGGCAGTGGAAGTGATGCAACTACAAGGCCGTAATTGTACTGAAGAGATGCAGAACAAGTGCAGTAGTTGCGCTTTGGCATGACAAATGAAGATGAGGGATGAAAGTAGCTCTTCCACACTTTCATAGAAACTCCCCGACATCCAGAGCCGCTGTCGGTTCCGGACCTCCGCCGAGAATAAAACCGGCACTCGTCGTCCCAAGAACCACGACCGCCGTTTTGTTGTTCCGGAGGACTTTCATTTTTTTTTTCGCAAGATCAAACTCAAGAACTCTTTGCAAGATCAAATTCGAGAACTGAACGAAAAGAAACTACTGCAAGTTGTGTGGTTGAATCTTCAGACAGCCGAATTTTGGGCAGAACGCTGACGCTCTCGTCGCGGTTAATTTTTTGTAAAATATTTCTTAATGGTGCAACTGGAAAGAACTTCTACTACCGAAAGGTAAACTCCAACACGAGGTGGATAAGGACCTGAGGGGGGGAGAAGGAATTTAAGGAAAGTGACTGACGCAACAAAATCGGAAGAAATTCTACCGAACTATGATTCGTAGCAAAATTTCTACTGCTCCGAAACTTCTAGAGAGATGACGGCGATGAAGCAGCAGCACATCCTCTTCTGCGGACTGCAAATTATGAGGACGAGAACCGACACCAGGGCGGCCGCCGCCGCTGCACTATATCTGTATTAAACGCGCCAACAAAAAGGCCCGCGCCAGGGCTAGAACGGACAACGAGAATCTGCAACAAGGAGGACCGAGACTTGGCGGAGTATAACGAGACCGACAAATCTCTAAAACTTCATCGTAATATGATGCAGGCCACCGCCGGTGCGAGTCTTCTTTTTAGACAAAGCGACTACCGATCAAGAAATATACGCTGAGTATTGAGGCGGGACATCACCGTTGCACGAAAACCAAGGAGGCGCTTACGGGTGGTTTTTTCGACCGAAAGATGGCGCTGGCGTTGCTGACCGAAACACACGACACCACGAGCTCCAAATAAAAAAAGTGGCATATTGTATCATGTTCATATATGTTCTTTATCTTGCTCTTCGGAGCATGAGCTCTACTGCCTCTAACAGGCACCAGAATTTTTTTCCTGCTGCCCAAATGTGATTTCAATGACAATGCCTACTTCACTTCTCTACTGTCCGTTATGAGGGTTTTCAATTTCAAGGATACGTAATGTTGATCTATCATGTTGCCAGAAAGAATAATCAGAGCGCTCTGTCACCTGCTTCCCTGCTGCGCGAGCACGTCGAGGCCGCGTTTGAATTGGAGTGAGTGACGTACCAGCTCCACCAGCGCAAGGCGGTTATATTTGTGTACTCATCTCCACAAAAAGAAGCTAGTAGCCCGGCCCTGATGCAGACGATGAAGCTAATAGCTCTACTCCGATTTATTTGAGGGTAAAAAGTAAAAGTAGTCTTTGATGTTCGTTAAAATAAATATAAGTCGTGGTCGGTACATCATAGTATTCTTAGGATATAATAACATTGCTCGGTGAGTAAATTTTCGAAAAGTCAATTCTGATGAAGATGATAAATAAACGCGAACAGAAATACTGCAGTAAGAAGTTTAACAGTTACAATAACAAGTAGGGAAAAAGTGCGCGCAGTAGTTTAGCAGATAGAAAAGGAAAACGATGAATGTGTTGTAGAAAATAAGCGATGAATTCAAAGAAAGGATGCAATTGCAAAAGTCAATTCAAAACTTCACCTAAAAATTCGCAGGCAACTGGAAAACAAAAATTTGAGTGGTACTTACAGCTTCGCGTTCGTCCACGTGCAGTCCTCGATACAATTTATGGCTTTGGCTACGCCTCCGACATAAGCAAGTAGGTCCGTGCTGTCCATTATCGACATTTCATTCGTACAACTGGAAAAGCGAGACGTCCCAAGAACAGCAACAGGACCTTAAGACGACGAAATCCACAAAATGATCAACGAGAAGAACAACGCTGCTGCTTACGCCAACGCGCCTCCTGGCACCACGAGCCACTTCCTCGTAAGAACCAAGTTTCAGCAGCAACAAACTGGCGTGTCTGGGCGCTGCTGCTTGTTCGCGACCGGTGTGTTCGGGTTCGCGCCCGGTGCGTTCGCGACCCGTGCGCCCGCGGCCGGTGTGTTCGGGTTCGCGCCCGGTGCAGCACTTTGCGCAGCCACGTGTGGACCGTAGCCAAGATATGCCCCGCTCAAAAGACTAGACCAATTCAGCTAAAAAGATGAAGACAACGGCTTCGTTGTTCTTCTACGTAGAAGTTTATTATAAACTTCTATTCTAGAAAGCGAAAGGCCTCAAAACACATCATATTTTCATACAATTTTCTGGGTCGAATTCGAAATGGTCGAAAATGTAACTTTCGACACAGAATATGTGGTCTATAATATGCACATATCACAATCAAGCTGTCGAATAAAAATGCCAAGCATATAATGCCTAGTCGACGTGAGCGGGGCATACAGTGCAGCAAGTTGTCAGCATGTTGTGGTTCCCAGCCGTGACCGTGGCTTTCCATACAGGAGGAGGATTGGGTTTGGGAGCAGTGAAGGTTTTGCTGGCAGCGTCAGAGTTGTACTGCGCCTTGTTGGAACCCTTGTAACCCAGGAAAAACGCGAGCTCTTGGCACACTTCATGTTCGGTCGAAGGCGATTGACCATGTTCCTCCAGGGCTTTTCTGACTTCGTCCTGGCAGGGCACTTGCTGCCCCCCGGTGATCGTGATCTGCGTATGAAGCAAGTGCGGTCCATAGTTAGAATATGCCCCGCTCAGACTAGACGATCTCAACTTCCTAGTGACAACAGTTGCGTTTGTGACTGATGTTGACACAGCTGCTTCGACTTCCTGATGTGCGGTTTTCTTTTATTCAATACAGCTGCTCCGCCAACCACGCAGGCGGATGGCATAAGACCCAGGAGGCGACTTTCGCGTCCGAATATGCGGGGGGCATCTTCGTATGGGAGCTTCACCAGGGCCGAAGTTATTGACTTTAAAAACAAAAAAAAAGGCACCCCTTGACGGAGCCCTTCAAGGACAAGGGGGCAACCCCTCCGGGCCCCCTTTCAACTCTTACGCGCTCAAGTAATATACCGCGGCGGCTAGTTCGAAAGGGGGCGAGTGTGTCAGAGTTGAAACGCAAAATCCCAGCACTTTTCACTTTCTAGGGGACGGGGACCCATGATACTTATTATTATTTTTTCTGGTTTACATAGAGTATAATTTTCGTGCGGTCGATTTCACATTCGGCGCACTTTTATTTTCATTTTTGGGGCTGCGATTTTTCTTTTTTTGTTCCGCACCATGCAACTGATAAAACGCGGCCAACTTCAATTTCAAACCATTGAGAGATAATGTCGGGAAAGTCGAAGTGAGCGGGCCATACTTCGCAGCAAGTTGTCACTGCATCGTTCAGACCAACGAGAACGGTGCTATCCTGAGTAAAAAAGTTCCCACCCCAGAGATGGCATGCAGAAGATATGAGCAATGAAACCCAAAATAGCTCGTAGAACCCTGTCATCTTCCACCAAGGCATGCAGAAGGTATGCATCTCCTGCACATACATTTGCAACGCGCATCTTCCCACGAAGAGATGAGATATTACATTGTTCATAAATGGTGTTATGGAAAAATTCTTTTAATGCAGTATCAAACAGGATACTAGCGACGAGTGCGAGGTGGTTTGTGATCATGCGGCTACCCTTCTTGCTAGCCTGCTTCAATACACGTCTTGTTCAGATAGAAACTTACTAAACTTTATCCCAAAACGAAACTCGCATCCTGACTCTGGGGTTGGAACGTTTTTACAACCCAGGATACGTGTCACGATCCTCCTTGTCCGGTGTATTTTTGAAACGATTTTCAAAAAAATCATCGGGGGCATCCAAATTGTCGTTTTCCGCACCATTTTTGTACACTGCCTTCTGATATGCATTGCAAATTATATGTCCACTTGGTCTGGAAGAATTCAGCGACCTTGAGTCCTCAAGATCAAGTAGAAGGTTTGTCATGCTCGGCCAGCATGAAGGTTCTCAAATCTCCTGTCATGCTACACGTTATGAAGTACTCAAAGAAATGCCCCAGTTTTCTCTAATGTAGAAGTGCTGTTTGCCATGCAGAATGGCAATGCCAATGGGCAACACCTAGCAAGAAGAACTCAATAAATACTATGTCAACATGCTTGTCTGGAGTAGTTGAGGCATCCTCAACATGGGTCGTGTCCACCCAGCGTCACAAGTGTCCAGACCGAGACATCACAATTGTATTCGATATCTCAGGGTCCTTGTAATACAATAGCTCCGCGAAGCGAACGCAAAGCTCAGTTTCGAATTCAGGATGAGGAGGAGGATCCTCCATAATTTCTTTTTGCTTGGCCTTTTCGAAAAACTTTGCACAGGTCAGCTGGTCCGGCGCCTTGTTGGTTTTCGTAGTGCCCTCGCCGGTACCCGTTCCAAGACCGAGGCGGCCCAGAAAGTATCCCAGCGCGCAAGAACTACTTAAGTACTTCCCTTCGCCTCGTGCCTGAGGCTCTGCACGGCGTGAGAAGCAACAGAAAACAACACGCCGACCAGGACCAGAAAGTACTTTCGTTTCTGCATTTTACATCAAACAAAAGTGATTTATTTATTACTATGTCAAATTCATCATGTAGACGTAGGTAGTATGCTATATTGCCCTTCTTCTGCAAGAACGTGTCAGGCGTGGTGCAAAGAAAAAGGCCGTAACAAGCGTGAGAGATGCAGAACAGATGCAGTTGTGGTTTGACATGCCAAATGAAGACGAGGGATGAAAGTAGCTCTTCCACACTTCCATAGAAACTCCCCGACATCGAGAGCCGCTGTCGGTTCCGGCCCTCCGCCGAAAATAAAACCGGCCACACTCCCAGCAAGAACCACGACCACCGTCTTTGTTCGGAAGACTTTCATGTTTCTTTTTTGCAGGATCAAGCTCAACCCCTGCTTGCAAGATCAAATTCAAGAACAGAGGGATAAATACTGCAAATGTGGTTGAATCTTCAGACACTCGCCGGATTTATTTGATCAAAACGCTCTCGCGGTCAGTTTTTATTTTTTCTTTTTCAATCAAACTAGAACTGCTACTAGTGCCGAAAGGTTGTAAACTCCAATACGATGATGAGGACCTGAGGGGGGGGAAGAACGAGAAGGAAAGCGGCGCAACAAAATCGAGACAAATTCTACCAAAATCAGAAAACGAATTTCTGCTCCGAAAGGAGAACAGCGACGGCGAAGGAGCAGAAGATCCTCTTCTCCGGGCTGCAAAAGAGGACAAGGAAAAACACCGAGTCCGAGACCGCTCCTGGCGGCTATCAAATCGAACACATCAGGAAAAGCAGGACCGAGGCTGGGCTAGAACTACGAAGAAGCTACTAGTGTAAAAGACTACCGAGAGTTCTTGGCGCGAAACGAACCCGAAAAAACTAAAACCGAGAAAATCCTTGGTATGATGCAAGCCAGCCGGCGTGGCGAACGAAATACAGCGGAGCTGCCGGATACGTTAAGCACTTGTTTTTAAAGAGCCCCATCGAAGATGTCGATCGTGGGGGACGATACAGCACGAAAATGACCACCGAGGAGGTACTTACAACATTATTGTTCTCTGGACCGAAACAAGACGGCACTGCAGACCGAGGTGTCGCAGCAGGTGGACGAATATAATTACCGAGAACTTTTACTCAGCATCGATGTTGATGCTCGCTCTGTTTTCATCAGAATATTACCGACGTGCACAGGAGAGACGAAGTAGTTAAAGTTATTGGAGACAAGAACGAACTTAAAGTCAAATTTATTATGCAGTGTGCTCCTTGTAAAACAGTGAGGACGACGTAGTTTTAGCTCAATTAACCGAGGAGAGGACATGATGGGAGATGGAACCGCGCGAAGCAGTGCACGCCTTTTATTTCACGCTCGGTCCTGGTAGTAACGTGGCCTCAACACATGGAAAATGTCGGAAGAGCTCCTTCGGCAGCTGGCCCTTTTTTAGCAGATTCAATGTGTCGTCGAGGTAAACCTCATAGTTGTAGGTACTTCTCGAGCGTGGTACATATAGAAACGTGCTGTGTGCGTGTGCGAGAGTGGCTTCGACATCTTCCTCTTTTCCACCACGACCACGACCACCTCTTCTTCACGTTCATTATCTATAGCAGGGGAGGACTAGCACAAGCCCAACCCTTGGCTGAGCTGAAACTTCTAAAAAATGAAGAAACGGGGGGTCGTTTTCTTGATGAGAATGGTCCGCAGTTCGTTCCATCATCATGATCAGGAAAATTGAGTGTAATACAGTTTGCGATATCGTGCATTTCGATTTCATTTGACATTGCGCGTTTGTTTAGCTTGTGTTCTGTGTCTGTCCAAGCGAAATTATCTTCCCTTCTTCTTCCCCTTTTTTTTCGTGGCTGCCTTCTTCGCCGCCTTGCCCTTCTTGGCCAGTAATTTGTTCTTCGCTTTCGGGTATCAAATGTAAAAATGTCTGGGTCTGGAAGAAGCAACTTGTCATGCTAAATCTGCAGCATGCAAAAATCTGTGTTGCATGATTACCAAAAGTGTTTCAGTTTTGACCAAGTCGGGAGGTAGTGTCTCATGCAGGATAGGCATTAGAAAGGTCTCGCAGAATCTGTCATGCTAGGTCCTGCATTCCAGACCTCATGGGTCATGGAAAAGCAGCATGACAAATCGCGCACTCTTCCAGACCCAGACATTTTTACATTTGATATCGGGTATAAACGGGTTGCAAATGTGTAGTCCTAGTTCTACTTTGGAGGGGGCTCCTCGGGGAGAATATTTTTCTTTTCGTGGTACACACGAACCTTGCCCTTGTCGTGCTCCCTAACTCACATGGCTGGAGAGTTTGAGTTTGTGATGCACCACAATCGCTGGCGAGGCAAAGGTGCACCTCCTTCGCATTTGTGTATTTTTCTCAAGAAAGTTCTTGTATCGTACCCAAGAATGAGAGTGACAGAGCCAGCTCGCGTCATGCAACTCGTCATGCTTGTCTGATGCCCATTGCAGTAGTTCTAGTTCTTTTCATAATCGATCTAATCTTATGCTTATCATCCTCCACGAGTAGTTTCTTGCATGACAACTTTCCCGAGGAGGTCGTGGCGCCCCCGACCATGACCTCCACCCAGAACAATTACCCACATTTGCAGTAGATAGCGGACTCGGCTTCTTCACCGAGGAGGATCCGCCACCGGCTGGACCTCTGCTATTTTTCTTCGGCACGGCGGATTTAGATTATGACCGTGCACAACTCCCCCTGCTAGTACCCCTCGTTCATATTGCATGAACAGCAATACCAGCGTCAGAAAGTAGAATGCAGGTTTCGCATGACAAATTTTTTGAACAGGAGTTGTGTAGTTGTGCTATTTGGGCTGCCAGAACTTGTCATGCAAACAGTACAAACAACAGCCAAGGCGTAAATTAGGTCTTTTGCATGACAGATGAGGGGGACGAGGGGGAGTTGTGCACTCTCATATAGACGCCCCGTCGTTGTCGTCGTCATCTTCGGTGCTGGACTGAAAGGACCCCTGGGTCGGGCCGTTTTTGTTTTATGACCTGCTCAAACGGAACAACAATCTCAAACGTTACAATAGAGTCTCCTGGGTTTTGCTTTGTATTCTATTGCATGACCAGCATGACAGACTCGGACAGCATTTTTCCACTTTCTGCAATACAAATTTCGGCAGATTGTATTGCGGATTGGGACCACTCCAGAACTTGTCATGCGCAATGGCAATCCTATGTCAAGTGGCTAGATAATGCACTTCTTGCAAGACAAATTCAAGATTCTATATGTAACGTTTGAGATTGTAAAACCTGAGCAGGTCATATGTTTTCCGGCCGGGTTCTTGTTTTGATCGTGGTGCTCGTCAGCTCCGTGGCGTTTGCAAGGTACTTCTCGTATTTATGCATTGCAAAAGTATCCACCTCGCACCAGTAGAAAAAAGCAAGACAAATTGGCTCGACATTACAACTTGAATCTGTACAATGCGGATTTTTTTTCCTTAACTAGCCTTCTTGTTAAACTTCTCTAAAATGCATAAACTGCAATTTTTACGTACGAATATGATACTTTTGCGATCCATAGTATTGGTCCGGGTCAAACTTCTCTTTGTTCTGCTCCAGATACAGCTTGTAGCTGAAGTGGTATTTTAAATTTGCGCTGCTAGAAGTGCAAGTGTGCATCATGACCAGGAAGATATTCAATCATATATTGAATTTTTTTAGGTCGTGACGACACCACATGACCTGTTAAACTTTCCGTGTAGTTTCTCCCTCGCACAGCAAAAAGAACGTACGAATGGGACGTGTGCTAGAAGATGAATAGCATTCTTGATTTTGCTTCTGTACTTCCGAAAAAAAAAACATTCTTTAAAAAAAAGGTGGTCGTGGTTGCACTGGTTATCTATATCTTCTCTATCGTATCTATAGTACTTGCTTTCCTGCATTGCGAGCATTTTCTGGAGCACCCAATAGTCCCGCCTTGCTTCCCCCTGCTCCAAAGTCGGAGCCCCGAAGTACTTGCGTTCTCCCACGGTAACCATGGACTGCCACACCCGAAAGCCGAGGAGCTGGGCGGCCACGATGGTCTCGGGGTGTTCCTTCCAAGAGTCGTCTGGGGGGATGTCGGTGCCCAACTTGGCATTTTGAACGGCTGCGGTCAAATATTTGTTTTATTTTCATCTCATCAACAGGTGAGTTAGGATTAGGAAGGAGCATGAACATCATGATGGAGAGACGCCAGGGAATGGGAACGAACACGGAGTTAGCAAAATAATCACAACCATAAGCATCGTGGTCGCGGCATAGTTTTAGTTAGACATCAAGACAGTGTATTGCTATAGTTTCATCTCGTTTTACTACCTTCCATATGCAATGCAAAAGTATCGTGCTCGTAGTATTGCAATACAAATTAGCTCAGCATGACAACTGGAATTTCTCATGCTGATTTAGTTTGACAAAGAAATTTGTCTTGCATGACTGCGAGTAGTACGAGTACGATACTTTTGCACAGGATATTCCACCCACATCGCTTCATAGTTCTTCTTCTCCTTTATGCGAGTGCACAACTCCCCCTCCCCCTCATTTGAATGGCATCCGCAGCAACACAAGTCCTGGCACAGATGCAGGAGCTTTCGCATGAAGACAAATTTGCACATGAGTGTAGTGCTATTTGGGCCGCCAGAATTTGTCATGCACACAGTGCCAAGAGGCAAAGCGTGGACTTGGTATCTTCCATGACAAATGAGGGGGAGGGGGGGTTGTGCACTCTCATATCCTTCAGCAGCGAGGCACGAAGACTGTTCAGTTCGTCGCTACTGGCGCACTGGCGACTGAACTTCGCGAGGCGCTCGTTTATCTCATTCAGTTCGGGCTCAATTTCTTCCTCCACGAGCCTGCCAAAACGGTCCCAGATGTCGTACAGCCTGTGCCGCTCGTTCTTGGTCAGAAACTTTGGGGGGTGACCTGGGGGGCAGTGGGGTCGTAAAAAAGAAGTTTCACTTTTTTCACGAAGTACAAGTATGATCAAAAATGGGCTCATGAAACATCATTAAAAATATGCATGCACTTGGATGCAACTGCAAGAGCAAAAGTTCAGATGCTGCGAGCGCAACGCGGCTAACTTGTGAAAGTGTAAATATGTACCCGGTGGCCACTTATCACTGCGAAACATGCATCTGTCCGGCATGGGGTCAATGGGCACGAACGGCGCTGTCAGCACAAGGCCACCCGCCATCTCCTCTGCCTTCGTATGCAGTGCAAAATTCATTTTATCGCAGCTCTATTATTAGTTGTGAGTGGAGCATCAAGTTGCATTAATATAGCATGTCCAAAATTACCCGCCGTAGAGTGAGAAATACTGGTCTTACTAGGTAAAGTCGTATTCGAAATCGAACGAACCGAGTCTGTGATGTTAGAAGCGAGTTTGTCATGCAGATTCAGATGAGAATAAAAAAGCCATCTGTCATACATCAGTAGTGGCAAGAATTTGTTGAGGAAGTAGCACTAGAGTGCGATACTAGTCTGGGACTTTTGCACCCGACATACTTCGCGCTCTGTTGCAGCGTCTCCTGCCATGCCTGCTCCTCCTTCGTCACCCGTTGCTTGCGCTGTTTCGGCTCTCCTGAACCAGCCCGTCGGCCATTCGCGCCGTTATTTCCTCGCCCACCTTGCGTGTTGTTTGCCGACGAGTTGGACCTTTCCGCTTTCTCATATCGGTATGCTGTGCAAAAGTAATATCGCACTCGTAGTAATTCTTGCAGTCATGCATTACAAACCATCTTTTTTAAGGCAGATCTGCAGTACAAATTGTATTTCTCATGCTGAGAAAATTTGTCATACGTTTTATATATACTAGCACGATGCTTTTGCAGTTCATAATTGGTTCATCCACGGAAGCTGATGCGCCTTTTTCGCCGCCTCCTGCAGGACACCTCCGAAGATCGAGTTTTTGGCCAGAAAATTCACCTGCTCCGGTATAACCTGCTCAGGTGTTACAATCTCAAACAAGCGATTATACAATAGAATTATCGAAATCTGTGATGCAAGAGATGCATTTATTTGTGGCCAACTCTCATAGGATTGCGCATGACAAGTTCCGGAGTCCCAAACCGCACCACATTTCGGCGAAATTTGTATTGCAGAAAGTGGAACGGTCTGCGAGTCTGTCATGCTCATCATGCAACGCAAATCCTAGATTCTACGTGTCACGTTTGAGATTGTAACACCTGAGCAGATCATATCCGCGGCCGCCGCTGCGGCCTGCCGGCTCAAAGGCTGCCTTGCTGGTCCTCCTGCGGAAGTAGTGCCACCTGCTGCTGCGCGAAGATTATTTGCCGCGGTGGAGGTGGACGTCGGCCGTCCAGCCATCATCGGCTGATTCATGTGCGAAGTAGACGTGGCTGTTGTTCCTACCCTCTGTAGATTCAGATTGATCGGCGGTCGGGAAGAGGAGGAGGAGGACCCGGTAGTTATTGCACCAGACACCAGAATTTGCTGGCCAACGTGGAGGGGCCCTGGTGCACCACCTCCACGCTGCTGCTGTTGCGCCGCTTGCTTTTCTTGAAGGAGTTGCGCCTTTTGCATTTGAAAGTTGTGCAGTGCGATTTTTTCTGCTTGCTCGACACTGCGGATGCTATGCATTGCAAAAGTATCGCACTCGTACTGATTGCGTTCATGCATTACAAATCTCTCTTTTAAGGCAGATCCGCATTACAAATTTAATTTGTAATGCTAAGTGAATTTGTAATGCAAGTTTTACAACTACTACGATATTTTTGCAATGTATAGACGCTGATTTGGCGCAATGTCGTGCCGGCGTCGAACCCCCCCGCGCTGAAGCACCGGGCCTTCATATCCTGAGTAAAAACGTACCCACAACAGAGTTGTAATGCAGATTTGCAAAGACAGGAAGACTTGTAATGCGCATCCGCATGAGAGGCATTTCCAGTCGTGTTTTGGAATTTGTGATGCTGTGAACAGGATGAGCAGATGAATCTGTGATGCGGCTGCACTTGCTAACCTGCACTACACTGCAGAGCGCAACTTGTCATGCGTGACTCACAAAACTCCTAGGTTTGTGTTGCAAAATCCCCATCCTGACTCTGGTGTGGGTACGTTTTTACTCAGGATACTTCATCTTGGAAACGAGATCTTTCGCTTTCGATTCGTCGAGCCCTTTCGCCATCAATTTTTGCGCGATAAATCTTGCATGTTCGCCGTTCAGCGGCCCGTTCGCTCCGCCCCCATGCACGGCTCTTGGATCGGCCACACCTGCTCCGGGAGGAGGCGCAGAAGGAGCTGCGCCAGGATTCCCTACTGCGCCGCGCTGCTGCTGGTTCTGCTGTGCCGGGGTCATCATCTTCTTATACAATAAAGAGGAGGAGGAGGAGGATCAACAGCAGACCGCAGTAGAAAATGCAATGCAGATAAAACTAAAGGTAAAACAGCGAATCTCAACACTCTCAGTTTGGTGTTTCTTCTACCGTCGCAAGGTACTTCTACATTTGTTTTCGGTGACGTCGGGTACGAATTGGTATTTGGAAAATAGCACAAGATAGAGCATCAGCATAGAGTATTTCGATTACGACGATCTATAAAAATTCGTTGTATTTATTGAAAATGTGTTGAATAAAACGGCATTCATGTAAGTCATCTGCATCTGTGTCGCTTGTGTCGCTGGTGGTCAAGAAAATTCAAATTTCATGTAGAGAGGTGGAGAGTAGCAAAAGTTTGCTTCTAAAATTTTGAATCAGGGCAACATGCTTCTGTTGCTGCCTTGTTTCTTTGTTTATTCCATACAACGTGCTAGTTGTTCATCTTTCCCAAAACAAATTATCTTCGAGCTTGATGAAAATAACACGTGTATTTCTAGACCCTTTCCTCGTTTGTTCAGAACAGACACAGTCTTCTCCTCTTTCACGCAAACTACTTTAGTTGTTTTATACATTTTTCAAGAAGACCAAAACCAGCAACAGTTGCATCTTCAGCACAGGGAGACGACGAGATTCCAAAATCGGACGACGCCGAACGACCTAGGCGTTGAACACCTTTGCTTTTCCAACCATTGGCGAAAAGAAAAACCCCAACACAGGACAGTAAACCACTACTGGGGTCTTTCTAAATCGCTCAACGGGACGATAGCACTATGGGGAGTCGAACTCCTCCCGGAAATACTCTACAACTCATCATCTTCCCGTCCTGGAGCTTCTTGCTTTTTTGATGTCTTGCTTCTTGAAGATGCACCATCTACACTGCGGCAGCTTTGTTCCTTCGTCCACCTTCCACCGAGGGACAGTAAAGCGGCGGGCATCAAAATACTTAGTTAGAGCAACATCAAGCACGTAGATTAGAACCGGGAAGTTGTTGTACTTAGATCCGGAACTGCCCTAGCAGATAGGTGCGCGAAAATAGATGAGCCTAGATTTACCAATGACCAAAAGCAAAAGACTACATCATCACCCACCGCTCGAAATAAATGTGGATCCAGCTACACCTGTCAACGACAAAACCTCCAAACTTGGAGGTCTCGAAAAATGTTGTTCACAGAATGTTCACACCTATCTTCATCGGTCAAGATCTTGTTTTCTTCTTGGTCGTGACTACTCGGCTGAGCTTTTTTCTGAATCGTGTACATCGTACTGATATCGCCGAGTCGCATGAAGAAGTCGTTTTTTTGGGGAATGTTTTTTTACTTTTGCCTTCCTGATTGTTTTGCTCAATCTTGAGCCAACGGCTCACAACAAAATTATACAGGTTGCATCGTGTCTCACATGTTCCAGGGTCTATCTAGATGTGAATCAACGTAATGAAACCTAGTGGCCGATTGGCAAAAAAACGGGTAGGCAAAAGTAAAAAAACATTCCCCAAAAAAACGACTTCTTCATGCGACTCGGCGATATCAATACGATGCACACGATTCAGAAAAAAGCTCAACCGAGTAGTCACGACCAAGAAGAAAACAAGATCTTGACCGATGAAGATAGGTGTGAACATTCTGTGAACAACAAATAGCGCCACGCATAATTCTCTTGCCACGACCGACAGTTTTGGATATCTCCTTTTTTGTTTTGCACGGTAGCTGCAGAGATCACGTCCTCTATAAGAGGAGAGCACTTGTTGCAGATGGACCACATTAAACCGAGTTTTTTTCTCTTTCACTTTCCACCCGAGGAGCATGGAGCAGCTGCACTTGGCGGGTCTACGCCTACAAAAAGTCATACTCTATCTTAGCAGCTGCGATGAAGAACACAAATATAATTTGCTCAGACCGAATGCGAATGACCGACGTCGACCACTGCAGTTTTCTTCATTCGAGCGAGCGGATGTTTTTTATGCCATTGCGTTATAGCTTGCTCAGGGGGCAATATGGTAAGTAATCATGATTTGAACTGCTCTGCTCAAGACATCAATATTAGGGCATGAACAGGACACGGTAAACTATCTACATCTTCGTGTAGGGGTAATTGGTAACCACCTGCAGTCCTTGATGCAACATCTCATGAAAAGTCTTCTATCAGGTCTCGAGTTGTGCATGTCCTGTCGCTGCTTCCGTTGTTCTTCCGCCCAGCATCGTCCCAACGGAGGTAGCTGCAGCCCCCGTCACAGAGGCAAAACTCCAGATTCTCTGGGCCTGTTTTGCGAGCCGCTTCCCGTTGCGGTACTTCCTGTAGGTGTAAATGAGAAACAAGAGGAAAAACGCCAGCAGCATCCGGATCCGCTTCTTGATTTGGGAAAGCAGCAGTTGCCTCTGCTCCAGCGACTCGAAGTGTTTCAGCCTCGATGTGTTCTTGTAGGGAGATGTTGCTGGTGTTCCCTGCCGCCCCCCGCGACCTCCTCCTGCTTCGATGTCAACATCGCCGGCTTGTAGTTCCAAGGCAAGCTGTTTCTCTTTTGCGGTTTGCTCGTAAATGGTGTCCAATTCCTTCTTCAAGGACTCATTTTCATTGGTGTAGTACCCCTTTAGGCCAAATAACCAACTCATCAACTGCGAGATCCGGTAGGAAATCTGGGAGAATTGTTCCTGCATCTAGTTTATCAAGTGGTGCAAATATTATGTCTGGAGATTTGTCATGCAGTTTTTCCAAGCTCGACCCAGTTTGGAATGCAAGCCCTAGAATGATGACAGGCTCTAGTACAGCCTCTCGGTGATCATGATGCATATTCTGCATGAGAAATGTTGCCCCCTCAACATAGCCAGAATTGTGAACCTTTTGCAAGTCATCACGCAAGGCAGATTTTTGTACGATCCACAACATGCATCACAAGTCTGGCATTCTTCCAAACCCAGACATATTTGCATTTGATATGGTCCAGAAACATCGTGTTCAGCTCCATCATCTGCGTCATCTGGAACATTTGGTTCACTATCAAGTGCAAAAATGTCTGGGTCTGGAAACTTGTAATGCTAAAAATGAATACAAGACGCACTGCAATACGCAGCTACGCATGACAAATTTTTTGGCTGCCATGTCTTACGTGATATTCCGCATGGCAAACTGCGTTTCTGCATGACAGGAAAGAGGGCTTTTTCGTGCCTATGCAACACAGATTCCCGAGTCATGCCAGACAAGCATGACAAACTTGCATTCTTCCAGACCCAGACCTTTTACATTTGATATTCACCGAGTTTTGCAGATTGCCGTCCTGCTGGCCTCCCGCCCCGTACATTCCGCCCATGCCGTACATGCCCATGGCGCCGTAGCCTCCCATTCCCATCCCGTATCCGCCTCCATAGCCCCCGTATCCTCCGTAGAGGCTGCGACCATACATGATCTTGATGTTCTTGTGCCGATGGTCGTTGTTTGTGTGGTCTTCGTGTTAGTACAAGAGCCGACGCGTATGTTGTAAAACTTAAAGTGCGTCGTGCGTGCTTCTGGTTCAGGAAACGACTGTATTGAAGTTCTGCAGTTTTCAAAGATCTGTGTTCTTGTGTCCAATTGCTCTTTTTCTTGATCCCGACGTAGGAGATGAAAACAACGCAAGAATTAGAACGCCAACTGGATCTCGATCTTCTACTAAAGCCAGATCGACGCCTGACGCCAAAATCGAGAATACAAGCTCAATGCGCTGCAAGTAGGAAAAAAGCTCCGGCGCGAGAAAAGATACTTAGGAACTGGGACGGCGCAAGAAGACGAACCTTTCGAGAAAACCATCAAGCTTCTACTCGATACACGACTGCCCTTCTGGCTCATCAATATTTTTTTTCGTCTTCTTCCGCAACTGAATTTTTTCGGACTAAGAATCCGCATCCGCACCATAACAATTTCAATTCGTTGATGCACCCGCCGAAAATAAAACCCACAATTTTTTTATATAGATTCCGTTCTTCAAATCAAAGGGTTCAAAGAAACAATCAAAATTGCTTCCTTGTCGTTCTCGTTGCACTAGTTCGTTCTCGAAGTGACAGAAAAGCTCCGAGGAGATCGTTCTTTCAAATGATTGATGCAAAAACAAGCTCTACAATTACTTAAAGTTAAACGGCTAATATAGCTCAAGATTTATTTTACGACTCAGGCTGCTCGCCGTCCCGCGGCTCTAGTTCATTTGCATTGAAAGGGGAAAAGAAAACGAAGGCGCGATAAATACTAAGTTTCCTTTTTGACATTGAAGTTGAAGATGACCACAGCTGCAGGCGTTATACTTCATCTAGCCCTACTGGTTAGCTTTATCAATTAAACACTCTTAGCAGTGGCAGGGTCAGGGTTGGAAAGTCCACAGATCAGGTGTTCTTGACCAGTTCTCTCGATATTAGCTTTAGGGTTTTAGACAGAAGCAAGAAAAAGATTATTGCCCATAAAGAAGTTTAAGTTCTTCTGAAGACGTGTAAATCAAATTTGAATTTGATTTTTTTTGTGCCCGCCCCGCACCTCTCTACGCAACCTCCTCGTACTCCTCCGGGAGCTCATATCCTGTGCAAAAGTATCGCATCGGTAGTTGTAATTGCAATTGCAATTGCAATCGCAATGGCAATGATCTGGTCCTGCATTACAGATCTTCCATCGTCCCTCATAAGGGAAAAAATCACCCTTGGAAAATTTTCTAGTTCGAAAACAAGTTTGCAAATGCAATTTCGACTCGAAATGCGACAATTTTGCAAAAATGCATAGCTCGAAATGCGCATTGATATCCGCCACCGCAATGCCTCCGGACCGCGCCAGGTGACTCCGACACGTGTCGATGTGGTATTATCCCAAGCAAAAACGTTCCCACAGCATAGTCAAGTTGGGAATCTAGCAACACAAATCTCCAAGTTTTGGGAGCTGTGCATGACAAGTTTCCCTCTGCAGTTGTGTAGTGCTGGTTGGCAAGGGAAGCCGCATGAGAAAGCCACTTTCTCATCCTGTTTCCAGCATTACAAATTCCAAATCGCGATTGGTAATGCCTCTACTTATGGAGCTGCGCATTACAAACGTTCCTGTCATTGCACATTTGCATGACGATATTGGGGTGAGGACGTTTTTACACAGGATAGGTATCCCCATTTGTTCACCATTTCTTTCACGGTCGGAATCATGGACCGCTGTTTCATATGCATTGCAAAACTATCGTACGTAGTAGACATTGCATTACAAATTTTATCTAGAAAAAAGCAATTTGTCATGCGTGTTCGAGTAGACAGCTGGATTTGTCATGCATACCCGACTGCGCCACATCGAAAACCTTTGCACCGTCGCCGCAAGCAGCTACGGCCGCAGGAGATTTGTCATGCATGGCTGCAATAATTACTACGAGTACGATACTTTTGCAGAGGATATTTCATCAGCTCCGCGGGGTCCTTCTTCCGCAGCTGGGAGATTTCCAGTATCAAATGCAAAAGTGTCTGGGTCTGGAAGGATGCAAGGTTTGTCATGCACATTTTGCATGATTCCTGACGTCTTTGATGCATGTTGCCCTAGCATCACTGATTTTGCGAGGGCATCCTGATGCCTATACCGCATGAGAGATGTTGCCCTCTTTCCATGGCAAAAACTGGACCTCTTTTGCGGGTCATGCAGTACAGATTTTTGTAGCATGCAAATGCAGCATCACAAGTTACATCCTTCCAGACCCAGGCATATTTGCAATGCATATCCAGTTTCAGCTTGTTATTCGTCTTGGTGATCCTATCCACGTCAGCTTTCTGGGGCAATAAAGCGGTTGTTCCAACCCCCGGCGTGCTGTTGTTCTCTTTTCCCGCGGCACAACTGGAGGTTGTTGTAGCTGTTACGTTGACCGTTTCGAAGTTCGTTTTTAGCTGCTGCAACTGTTGGACCAACTGCTTTTCGATGACCGTCTCCAAGTGCTCCAGCTCGCGCAACTGCTGTTTTTCCGAAGCAACTTTCTTTATGAACTGCAAAAGTATCGTACTAGTAGTAATTGCAATACAAATTAGCTCAACGCGACAAATGGAATTTGTCATGCTGTTTTGCCTTGGTATGGAGATTTGTGATGCAAGACTTGCATTTATACGAGTACGATACTTTTGCACAGGATATTCTTCGGATTCAGCCAAAAAACGGTGCTGGAACCGACCTTGTCTTGCAACACTTCTGCTTCGGAGAGCAGAGCTTCCAAAATCTCCTTCAGGTAGGGCTGCCGGATCCCCTTGGGCTTCAAGCCGTTTTCCAACTCCTTAAGTGTGTAGAAGTTCCCGCCCTCGTTCTCACTTTTCCACCAAGCCAGCATCTCCTGCCGCTTCTCTTCCGGTGACATGCCGTGTTTCGCCTTCTTCGCTATCCTGTGCAAAACAAGCATCGTATTTTTCGTATTGCAGCCATGCATTACAAATCTTTTTGCTTTTCTTAAAGTACCTCCGCACTACAAATCTTATTTCTCACGCTGAGGAAATTTGTGATGCATTTATACGAGTGCGATACTTTTGCAGTTCATATTCGCATTGTTGTGTTTATTTCCCTCCGCGGTTCCCCCGGCCGTGTCTGCGGTCTTCTGGTCGCGTTTGTTGGTATTGGCAGTGTGGATAGTGGTTGCACCTGCAGAGGGAGTAAATGCGGGACCTCCACCAGTCAAGGTCGTGGGTTGTACTAGTTGGGCAACTGCGGCGTTTCCTTGTGGCGCTGCAGATGTAGCACTGGTCGTGGAGGTGGTTTCACCAGCCTGGCCAGGTTGAAGAACTGTAGACGATGAAGCTGCCATGTTGATCGTGACCACAGCAGGAGTGCTTTACCTTCGCTTTGGTCTGCCTACAACTTGTTTTGTGGTCAAGCTACTATAGATTCCTTACCGTGCTTTCTGACTCCTCTAAGTAGTTCCAGGAAAAATTTGGTACATCACCTCGCCAACGTTGCGTTTATTTTGCAGACAACTCCATACTTGTAGTACATCTCACCACACACGAGCACGTGGACGACGTTCTTTTTTGCATCAGTAGCATTCCCCATTTGCAGTTGCACATTTGCTGGCCTCAAAAGTAAAAGGAACCCTCTCGGTGCAACAACCGTCGACCCTCCGGCGAGCAGTTTTGAAGAAGCAACCATTTTTTGCACGAGGAACATGCAACACTCCAAAAACAACGAAGACCAACTGTTTCTCTCCTGTCTCTCAATCAGTCGTCGAGCGAAGCATTAAAATCAGGGTTTCAGCCTTCTTATTTGTCAGTTCTATCTTAGTTGGTTCATCCATTGTATGCTGCGGTGCAAAAGCGACAGCAGTACTTTTCTTTGTCGAACCGAAAGAACAGAGCGCGCAAATCTCTTCATCTACCGAAGCAATATGCTGGAATGAGTCGACGACGAGATCTTATCTGTCGCGAATTGTTCACGTTCATCTTCGATTCATATGTGAAAATCGTCTCCGTAGTGCTACATAATTGGTCATCTCTTGTCGCTTCGCGTATATTTATAGAATGTCGCTGTATGATTTTGACTGTTGCAGCGTCGACCCCCATGAACTCTGAAGAAGTAGAAGCGCGCCGACATCGACATGGGTCGTGGGACTTCTTGCGGTTTCGAAATATTAAACAATATTATAGGACTCGAGTCTCAATCGTCTCACATCGCGGCCTCAATCTGATTGTCTTTCAGTGTAGCTCCTGCCAAGTTCTTGCCAGTAGTACTCGTCCTGACAAACAATAATAGTAAGTTCGGCAACTATTGCACAACTAACACGGCCGGCTAAATAAGCTAACGATCCATCACCAAAACGACCAAAGCGCGCAGGTACTAACACTCACAGACACAGCTTCCAACCTGCTCAATAAAACGCTGCGAAGCCCAACGCCATCGCCATTGTTGTCGTGATGGTACTTAATCGCGGCGATCGGGCTGCTAGACTTGTTTCGGGCAGCGGACTTGTTATGGCGTTCTCAATTGTTACAGTCTCAGCTGTTACATGATTTGTCATGCAAAATCACATCAGAATTAACACGATCAAGCTGCTTCGCATGACAAATTCTCGAAGAGGCAAACAGGCTGAGAATCTGCGCCGAGGAATCTGTCATGCAATACGCGCAAGGTCACGACCCCTTTTAGTTTTGCCGTTCTTGCATCACAAATTCATGCAACAGCTGAGACTCTAACGTTTGAGAACGCCATACTTGTTCGCTCCGTCGTCGGTTTCCATTTTCGCAGCTTCCGTTTTCGCTGTGGATGTGGATGTGGTGGTGGTCGTCAGCCACTGGGCGTTTTCTGCGTCCAGGCTCCATGCTGGCGCGTACAGCAGGGCACCGCAGATGGTAAGCTTGTCTAAGCCAAATTTATATTTATTGCCACTTGGACTAGCTGGTAGTCGGTGAATCGGCGCGAGTACGTACACTCGTTTGACCGGCTGCGTCACCGGGAAGCTGCCTTCCGCGGCGCCGATCTTGCTTTGCGTTCCCTCCTCCTGCCCGGATGCAACTGCGCCGAGCTGGACGTAGTCTTTGCCCGCTTCGAGGTTTCCGGCGTGCAGCTTCGCGTACAGCTCCTTCCCGATTTCAGCCGCCCCCGCCGCGTCGACGGCTTCCTCATCCGCTATGGGATTCTCAAATGTTACATTCTCAACTGTTACATGGATTTGTCATGCAAAACTACCATAAGCCGCCAGATGATCAAGCTACTTCGCATGACAAATCTCCGACTCCGAGGGGACAAACAGCATCTAAATCTGTGCCGAATCTGTGATGCGAAAGCAGCAAGCTTGCCACCTTGACTCTTGCTGTTCTTGCATTACAAATCCATGTAACACTTGAGAATGTAACAGTTGAGAACGCCATATCATCCGCCTGGAGAGTCGGGTCGAACCACACCGTGGCACTGTCCAATCGATCGCGGTAGCCGTTTATCAAAAGTAAAAATGTCTGGGTCTGGAAACTTGTGATGCTGGGTGGCGTCTCATGATGAGGCTACTAATGCTGGCTCAGCATGACAAATTTCTGAGCTCCTAGGTGTTGCCTATTCTGCATGACAAACTGTGCTTCTGCATCACAGAAAAACGGAGAACTTGGGTAACGTGCATGACAGATTTAAGAGTCATGCCAGACAAGCATGACAAACATGAATTCTTCCAGACCCAGACATTTTTACAGTTGATACCGTTGTGCCGGTTGAACAGATCGAGCCGGGTCAGGTGCTGCGGCTTCCCGTCGGCAAACTGCACGCGCCACCAGTTCAATCCATCTTCCGGGTGGACTTCCGTGGCGCTGGTTGGCCCGATCACGTTGCAGGTGCCACCTTCGGACCAAGATGTGCCTTGTCCGCTCTCGTACTTCAACGGCCCCGCTTGGTTTTGGTACTCCAGGGGGGTACTCGCTTCCACCAGCATTTCAGCTGGAATGAGCACCTCGTCCTCTGTCCTCCGCCGACCGGTGTTTTTGCTGCTTTTCTTGTTCTTCTCTTGTCGCAGCATCGACATCAAGTGTCGCCTCGCTGGTTTCACCACGGAAGAGGAGGTGGAAGAAAAAGAAGAAGTGCCTGATCCTGTCGTCGTTCCGTTAACCTAGTTGCTCGTCCTCATTTGTACTACGACCTGTTCGTTTGTTGCTCCGCTTCTTGTCGTGCCCTCCTCGGGTGAGCCGACACTTCTAGTAGTATTTTTATTTGCTGAAGCAGCTTGTATTGCAGCTTGGGCGTTCTTCATAGAAGTAGACCTGCTGGAGCTGGTAGCGACTACTTCTCTCTGCAGCTGATGGGATCTTTTACTTGTTTTAGTCGATGCCATTTGACGAGTTTGATGTTCCTCCTCGCGCTGCAATAACGCGGACGCTGCTTCACCTGTTGGGGTCAGCAGTACTGACGTTTTTGGGGTAGTAGAGTGGTCGACATCGTCGCGCCGTCGACCGTGGAGGTGGGGGTCCAGCGCGGTCGTAATAACGCCAGTCAGCACGCCGGACCAAGCGCAACACCTCCAAAATGGTGTTGCTGGTGACATTTTTTGTTTTAGCGTTTTGCAGCTCTGTGCAATTCACCACGCTTGCGCTTGGTGATAAGCGCTTTTCTGCCGCCGCCACGCAAATGAGTGCACAACTAGAAGATAGAGGCTCTTGTCAATATACAACGCAATAACACTAAACGCAAAACAGTTTCTTCAGCGAGCACGTTTTTTGTTGAGACGCCCCGATGTTGAGTGTTGTTTCTTTTTTATTCGTCCCGCGGCACAATTATCGATCATAATTTTACTGCATCGACTCGACCACTCACTCGACGTCGATAATTCCATCGACATGTCGCTCGTCTGTATCTCTACTCCACCGTGTCCTCAGTAGCATTCCCCATTTGCAGTTCCACATTAATTTGATGACCTCAAAAGTAAAAGGAACCCTCTCGGTGCAACGACCGTCGACCCTCCTCTGACAAGCAGTAGTTTTGAAGCAACCAATAATTTTTGCACGAGGAACAAGCAACACTCGAAAAACAACGAAGACCAACTGTTTCGCTGTCTCTCAAGTAGTCGTCGAGCGAACGAGTAAAATCAGGGTTTTAGATTCTGTTTCTGATTCTGTTTCTGTTACTTCATCCTTCATTTATAGATTACATGTCCCGGTGGAAAAGCCACAAGCACAATAGTGATTTTCTTATAAATATGTCGAGCCGAAAGCAGTGGCAGAAAGCGCGCAAATTTCCTCTACCGAAACAATATGCTGGAATGACAATGAGTCGACGATGAGATCTTATGTATCTGTCGCGGATTGTTCAAGGAGCTCGTCCCTTAATAGTGTGAAAATCGTCTCCGTGGTGCTACATGGGTCATCTCTTGTCGCTTCGCTTATATAGAATGTCGCTGTATGATTTTGACAAATGCAGCGTCGACCCCCCTGAACTCTGAAGAAGCAGAAGCGTGTCGGCGCCGAGGTGGATCGTGTCTGCTGCCGTTTCAACATGTAGGAATCGAATCCCAAACGACCACCGCGGCCTCAATATGATTGTCCCCCAGCGTAGCTGTAGCTGCTGCCATCAAGTAGTTCTCGCCAGTAGTACTCATCCTGGTAAAAGTCTCGATACCTCGTCACCGCTGCGTCGTCTCCGTAGCACATGCGGCACCGGCAGCCGCTGCGGTGCTGCAGATGCTTCGGCAGAAGCCGATCCCGGGCGAGGAGCGGGACGAGGAGAGGCTTTTGACGTGCTTGCGGTGTTACTTCTGATCGCCTTTGTCTACTGGGTCGTGCTTCATCATCATCATCGTCCACTTCATGGGCTGTTGATTCGGGTTCTTGCGCCCAAACTTCTCTTTGAATCTGGTCGGAGCAAGGTTTATAATTTACGGCGTTTTTGATATCCTCAGGACGACCGGGTCCTGATCTACTTCTCGTGAAGTTATCCTGTAGCTCTTGACCCGCTCCGAAAAGCCGACTTCTCTTCTCACGGGAAGACGGCGGCAGGGCAACATCATCAATATGAAATGTAAAAATGTCTGGGTCTGGAAGAGTGTGAACTTGTCATGCAGGTTTTCCCTGACCCTTGAGGTCTGGAATGCGGGGCCTAGCATGGCAGAGTCTGAGAGGTCTCTTTCATGCCTATCCTGCATGAGAAACTCCCTCCGACCTTGGTCGAAAGTGGCCAGCTTTTGGCACTCATGCAACACAGATTTTTGCATGATTCGGATTTAGCATGACAAGTTGCAATCTTCCAGACCCAGACATTTTTGCATTTGATAATCAAATTGAGCGTACGACGGGTCCCGTATGTTCCCCAACTGGTTCCAGACCAAGGCCCGTTAGCATGAGAAGTGGTGAATTTGTAGTGGATTTTGCATGACAAATTGCAGATGAGTCCGCCGGGACATTGTCCCTCTTGCCCTTCTGGGAAGTGGGTTCTGCACACCGCAGAAGTCAAGGCTTATGCGGCGGGCAGCTTCCAGGCCCTGGGTGCCGTTCATCTTTGGCCATGTGTATTCGTCTCCCTGAGCTCGCATAAGATTACTGCAGCAGCCGCGGCAAAGACGCCAAAAAGCAAGCGCTGCGAAGCAAATGCAATTAGGCAAGAAGGCGCTTGTCTTTCCTCCTCGGCCCCACTTCCCAGGGCCTACCTGTGCGCTTTTTTGAGCACTTTTCTGCGCTAAAGTTTGCTTATCACGGTCGAAAAGGGGGGCCCGGTGAATTTTGGGGTGAATTTTGAAAAAACCGTGGGTGAATTTTGGCCCGAGGTGCCTATTCAAAATTCGCTAACGCACGAGAAACTTCGGGTTTTGGGGCTAAATTCACCAAGAGAATTCCTGACCTTGGGGTCACGTCGAAAAGGCCTCGCTCCGGAGGCAAAAACACGCCTGGGGAGTTGGGAGCAGAGCACAGCAGGCGAAGCAAGCTACCGTCCGCGGCCGAATCGTGCCTCCCCTTCCACCTGAGGCTGCTCCCAGATATCCAAGTCCAAGCCGAGCCAACCACAACTCGTGAGGGCATACATGTTGAACTAGTGCCCGTGTGTTCATCAGGCGTCGCCCTCCCTTTCGACAATTCCGGAGAGGAACTTCTCAGGCAGACGCACAGAAGAGTAAGAGCCACCCGATCCACCTTCTTTGGTTACATACGCACTACACAGCCCGGCGAGCGAGCCCCCGCAAGACCACTTCTTTCGGTCCTGCAAGCGCCACCACGCGACGAGCAGCCCTTCACGCTATGCGGGATGCTTGGGCTCGTGTGTCTAATACCTAGCGCGCTTCCCTTTTAAGTACTTAAATCTAAATGCAAGTCATGCAATACAAATTCACTGCAAATTCACCCTTCTGTACGCTAACGACCGTCCAAGGCATAACAAATTGAGCGTAAGACGGGTCCCGTATGTTATCATGATGGAGTTCTCAACTGTTACATTCTCAACTGTTACATGAATTTGCGATGCAAGAACAGCGAAAGTGAAAGGGAGCACCTTGCAGCTCTAGCATCACAAGTTTGGCACAGATTTCCATGCTGTTTAGCCCTTCTGAGATTTGTCATGCGCAGCCGCTTGGTCGTGCGGTTGCTTATGGCAATTTTGCATGACAAATCATGTAACAGTTGAGAATGTAACATTTGAGAACGCCATAATCATCAAATCCGTGGAACCAGCTTGGGAACATACGGGACCCGTCAGCGTAAGACGGGTCCCGTATGTTCCCAAGCTGGTTCCAGACCAAGACCTCGTCTATCCTGTGCAAAAGTATCGTACTCGTACTAATCGCATTCATGCATTACAAATCTTGCTGTTAAGGTAAATCCGCATTGCAAATTTTCTTTCTCATGCTGAGGAAATTTGTCATGCATTTATACGAGTACGATACTTTTGCAATGCATATCGTCGGCGCAGCTGGGGTCGAAAGCACGCTTCCAAGTGCAGCTCTTGCTCGTCCGTAAAACCACCAAATCTCCGCATCCGTTCACCGAAAAACGGAATCCGGGCTTTTTCACGCGGCGCAAGTCGGAAAACTTATTTGTCGCGGCGGCCCGGAAGTCATTTTGACGCCATTCGTCTTCTTGAGAAGACGAACAAGGGCCTGCAAAGCTGCTGGTAGAAGAAGTTTCAGGTTGTCTTGGTTCATCGTCATCTTCCTCGGCTGCATCTACTTCATCGTCTCCCCTGGAGGTGCTCTCATCCGGCCGCTTCGCGGTGTTCAGGAGTCGCATGCCAGTCGCGGACGGGAACTTCTCATGCCACAGCGGATTGTCGTCGAAAATCTCCGTCCAGTCGTTTACACAGGAAGGCTCTTCGTCCTCATCTTCATCTTGATGTTCATCGTGAGGACGACCACCATCTTGTTCGTGAAGATAATTATCACCGTCCTGATTTTTCTTCTGCAGGAGTTGTATTGCCTCGTTCTTCTCGGCAATTGTCCCGTGCGTCAGGTGCTTGGTCAAAAAGTCGCGGAACCATAGCAAGTCTTTGTTGCCGCGGTCTTCTTGTTCGAAAAAAAAATCCTTAATGCGGTGATGCGCCGCTTCGTGGAGGGACAAAGTGTTCTTTTTCCTGGGCTGATATCGTCCTCGTCGTTGATGGTCAGCACCACCAGTCGTGGTTTCATCCTCGTCATCGTCCAAAAGGCAATTGGTCGGCCGGTCCACGAGAATTTGGGGAAAGACCAGATGGTATGAGATTTTGTAAAAGTCGAGTTTTTTCAATTTTTTTTTGTAGGAGTTTTTGTGGAAATCTTGATCTTGATCTTGCTGCGCCGCCGCATGGAAATCGAAATCCTTCTCGCCTTCCTCGAAGCACTTCGTCCGTCCGTGACTCTGGAAGCAGAAGCATTCCACTTCCCAACTGTGGTCATCGACGCGCGAGCCTGGGTATCCTGTGCAAAAGTATCGCACTCGTAGTAATTGCAGCCATGCATAACAGATCTACTTTCTATAGGGAAAACAGCATCACAAGTTGCATTTTTGTTCTTGAGCAAATTTGTCATGCAGTTTATACTAGTACGATACTTTTGCAATGCATACCGGGCAAAGCGTCGCGACCGCTTGAGCCAGCAGGTGGAAAAACTGCTTCTCTTTCTCCTCCGTCCAAAGGGTTGCTTCGTAGACAGAGTTATCAAATGTAAAAATGTCTGGGTCTGGAAACTTGTGATGCTGAGTGGCGTAGCATAAGGAGGCCACAAGTGCTGGCTCAGCATGACAAATTTCTGAGCTTGTAGGTGTTGCCTATTCTGCATGACAAACTGCGTCTCCGCATGACAGAAAAAAACGTTTCTTGGGCAATGTGCATGACAGATTTAAGAGTCATGCCAGACAAGCATGACAAACATGCATTCTTCCAGACCCAGACATTTTTACACTTGATAAGAGTGGGATGTTGGCGGGGGGGTCGTTCTTGAGGAAGGAACAGCAGGAAGGTCTTTCTGGCCAGTTGTACACGCGGGAGGAGCGGATGAATTACTCGGTCGCTCTGTCGCGGTTCTCTCTGTCTCGTCAGCAACCGCGGCTGCCCATATGTCGACATCGAGAAAGAGCGGGTACTTTTCGGGTTGCTTCGCGAGCAACACCATGGGGATATTAATTTTCTCCAGATACGCCAGGTGCCGGTACAGGACTCGTGTGTCACTGTCCTTGTGTTCCGCATGACAAACTGCGGGGGCCGCATAGTCCTCCTCCTCCCCCTCTCGGAGGTGAAACCGCACAAAACCATCCCCCTCGTCCGTCGTGAGCCAGTCGCCTTCCACAGTAAAGTAAAAGTCATCGATGAGGTCTTCAGATGGTGGAGCGGATTGCTCATGATCTAGATCGATTTGTCCTGTAGAAGTTGTTGAGGTAGCAACGACCCTATGACGCTTCAAAAACGACTTCGCTACACGTTGGTCGAAAAACTCCGCGATTTCCCGAAGCTTTCCCTCGTGCTCCTTCTCGTCCAAAAAGATGCCGCGCTTCTCGAGAACGCGCGCGCAGAAGGTGGAGGGATGTGTCTTCGGTGAACGAAGTGGCAGTCGTCCTGAAGCAGGTTGGGTAATATGGGTCGTGTCCCGGGCCTGTCGTGCAAGATCATGAGCATCCTGTTCGGGAAACCAGATCAGACTTTTTTTGCTCTTTTTTCTTGATGTCGTGCCATCCACTTGTAGCTTCGCGGCAGCAGATTTGATGGAAGACATCATGACACCACCAGGATGGACGCCGTCGCTGGCAGCTGAGTCGTGGTCGTGCGATTTTTGCTCATCCCCCGAAGTGGCTTGGTGTCGGGAGGGACTAGATGAAGTACAAGTAGTTGCTTGAGTCGTTGTCAGCAAGAGGGGCGAAACTGTGCCTGGCGTCTTTGGTTCCGCAACACAATTCCAATTGCCGTTCCCAAGTTCTCGTGTCAACGAATGGTCTTCCTGGACGCGATTCTGGGCGGGAAAGGTGCTCGTAAATTCGTCGTCTGAGTCTCTGTAATCTTCTGGTCGAACGGCTTCTTGGTGGTGTACTTCTGTAGAAGTCGTTGCAAGAATTTTTCGCGTCTTCACTACGTGGTCCTTGTGCTCAGCAGCGCGAGCAAGATCGTGGTCCAGCTGCAGTAGTACATTAACACTATCTTCCGGGTGCAGGTTGTAATCTTCACCTCTACATGGACCTCCGACTCCACCAATCTGCTGTTCTTGCCCGCCCATTTTTGTTGACAGTTAGTGCCTATCACAATGAAAAACCGTGAAGAGGAGGGTGAAAATCTAAATAATGATCATGATGTAGTACTGTCTTCTCTCCACTACTCAGAGACAACCGTAAAATTAAGCTGAAGTGCGGGTTAGTGATAGTGTCAGCCTTGGGGGGGGCTACTTACGTGCTGTGGGGTCGCTGAGGGTAAAAACAACTTGAGGAGCTTGTTTCTCCGAAAAAAAAATGTCCACGTTGTTCCGCCAGTCATATCCACACTCTTCCTTTACTAATTCTACGTATGATCAAGATCATGAAAAGACCTTGTAAAAGGCGAACCACCCCCGGTGGGAACAAGAACTTTTTTGATCAAACGACTAGACAAGGCGCATCAGATCATCCTTTCTTTGGTCGAGGAACACGACTACGCTGATACTATCCTCGGAGAACACGAATTCTTGCAACAACAGGGGGTACTTCCTGCAAAGTGGAAGTAAGTGCAAGCCAGCACATGATCTTTCACTGGCTATCATTTTTGTAACAAAATCAAAAACGGTCTCTACTTGATTTGCTCTTCACCCTCATATTCCGCCCACACCAATGTTGAATCAGGCGAGACGTGCCGGATGCGGATTGTTCCTTTCGTATAGTCGTAGCAGCATTACAAGATTGGTGCTCGGAGAGGATTTTGCGAGAGGGAGAGCCGACGAGCAGAAGCACGGTTTCTTATCAAACCAGCTAAAGTGAAGGTCAAAAAAGTCATCAATGAATAGGACATGAGTTGTACATTGTTCCTTGTTCAAAGCAATGCCTACCTGGGACGAACCACAGGTGCATTTTCAAATCGCGCAAAGACAGAAGGTAGACAGGCATTTGGTTAAACATAAACATTTGAAGATCATGGCCATGCCAATGGTGTGTTCTCGTGATAAGCATAAGGATAAGCGTATCAAGCCAAGTAATAGTAAAATAATTGCGTAAAGCACGGAGTTGTAAGTACTTTTACATAACGAACCAGGGAAACAAGTGATAACTGTAATGAGCATCACGCTCGTGAAGAACCTGACGAGAGACGGCGTAGTTCGAGCTTCTCGTGAGTAGTGTCTGAAACTAGAAATGCGTTCTTGAAGACGTTGCAGCGAGTGAGTAGAGCGAGAGTGGCAAGCACGGGTGGGATGTAGTACTACTGACTACTGCTCAATGCTGGAAATCGTTTTCCTACCGAGGCAGGAGATATCTTTCTTGTCCCATCAACTGCTAGACGCAGCCGATTACAACAAGAAAATGGATACATTTCATTTGCCTCCGTAACTGTTAAAGAAAAAAAACACGAGCGCAAGACCACGCTGGTGCTATATTCCGATGATCAAGAATCGTTGAGCGATCTGTAGTTTTTACCGTGCATCAAGAAAGCACTTGGCAAAACTTGTCGCCAGCTACAGCTTGAAGATCATCCTTTCTACCTCTAAATTTATCGAAACCTATCTCTGTACTTAGTTCGACTACAGAATCTAAAACACTGCTGGTTTCCGCTTGATTTTGAAAGAAAGACAAACAAAATATCAAGGGGCGCTACTCTCGAAAGAACTTCACCTTGGATTTCACGCCGACAATGAGATGAAAAGACGACATCTCATGCAAAACAAACAAAAGTGGAAACTAGAACTACTAGTAGTCGTTGTTGTACGCATTTACATTTTTGATTACACGAGCGCAAGAGGACCGCACTGGTGGTTTCAGAACTTATAATTCTAGTATAGCCAACACCACCTGCTCAGTACCAGTAGCCGACTCAGATGAAAACAGAACTTACTATAACTACTCAGCAGGAGCAGAGAGCAAGTGCCGTTTTTTTCGCACTACACTTGACCTAGCAGTAGTACTGGATGTCGAGCAACATACACAGGAAAATAGAAGTAAACGTAGAAAAGTCTAGATTGATTCATTTGTAGTGAGCTACATCAACTCAAATTTTCTGGAAGACCCGGAAAAAAAACTTCATCTTCCAAAACTATCCAAACAAATTCCAAAAAAAATGCTGTACACCTCAAATTTAATCGTCTTCAACGCCTCGCATGCATCTCATACATTACATATTGAAGATAACATCAGAAGCACAACGCCTCTAGTTCCTAACTACTCATGACTCAGCTTTCCCACAAATCTGTTGTAGGTCTCCGAAAGATATCTTTTCGTCGCATTTTTGATATCCGCGATGTTGACTTCGTGATCATTTTTTCCTCTTTCGTCTTGTTTTTCCGAGGTGGTGTCCTCGGTGCGACCACGTTTGTCATTTACATTTTCTACTCCACTTGGTGCCGCAAGTTCTTCACTTGTTCCGCTTACTCCGTTACCAGTACCACCTTCACGACCCTGTTCCACTTCCTCGTCGGCCTGTTGACCGGATGTCCGTGACATCCGCCCTTCCTCTGGCACCGTTTCCAGAGATATCCTAGAGAAATACACTCATCTCGAAGATTCTTCTTACCCTCAATTTGTAATGCGTGGCATGCATCAACAGCTGACGCTGACCCGTATATATTTTGACAGGTGAGGACCAAGACCATCGTCCACCTGTCGCATCACAAATCGAAGGTGAGAGCCTGACTCAGATTCTTGCTTTTCTCTTCGCATAAAAGACGTGCCGGCGCTGCTTGTGGAATCCCGCATCTGCGCCTCGTCGATTCCGTGCTCGTAAACCGTATTCAGGGTCGCTTGGATCCAGGTGTTCCGGGTTCTATCCTGTGCAAAAGTATCGTACTCGTAGTAATCCCAGTTATGCATGACAAATCGCCTTCCTAAGCTAAAACAGCATGACAAATTTTATTTCTCATGCTGGGGAGATTTGTAATGCATTTATACGAGTACGATACTTTTGTAATGCATAGGTCCGGGGGTCCATCAATTCGAACTTCTTTATGACCTGCTCAAACGTGACAATCTCAAACGTTACAATAGAATCTGGAATTTGTGTTGCATGACGCGCATGACAGACTCGCACCGCGTTCCACCTTTTGCAATACAAATTTCGCCAGATTGTAGTGGGGTTTGGGGCGCCGGAACTTGTCATGCGCAATCCTATGAGAGTCGGCCAGGTCATGCACTCTTGCATCACAGATTTCCGTATTCTATTGTAACGTTTGAGATTGTAGCACCTGAGCGGGTTATATTCTTGTAGCGGGGATTCTCGAAAAATGCGACCACGGCGTCTTGTTCGGAGAAATTTTCTTCTTCTTTTTCTTCAAGGATTTGTTCCTCGTCATGTTGTAGTTGTTCCGGCGGCGTGACGTGGTCCGCAGATCCAGAAGATGCATCAACACAACCTGCATTACTACAGTTGTCGTCGGCGTTTTTCATATCACCGGCCTCCCTCACCCCCGCATTCACAAACTGTTTCCGCTCCTCCGGCACGATTGCTGGCGAAGCAGTAACAACATTGTAGTTATCATTGCAACTAGAAGTACTGAAATTCTGCAGACTCATCAGACCAAAATTTTTTGAAGTGTTCGAAAGATTTTTGCTGTTGCAGAGAATAGAAGCGCTCGTACTACTATTCTTCGTCGTTCTCGTCCCAGGCTGCACGATAGAAGCTCTTGTGCTTGTCATGTTGTAGAAGTTCGTCGACGGAAACTGCACCTGAAAACAAGAAACTTGTCCAGCAGGAACAGCGAATCCTGACCCAGCACTAGAATTTGTCATGCTGCCCACACAACTGCCGCGATCCGCTCCTCCTCCGCTAGAATTTGTCATGCTAGTCGGCGTAGGGTACCGTTGGTGATTCACGTGCGGCAAGCTGTAGGTGTAGGTGGAACGACTTGGGATGGTCGGGGTTTTTGCGCAGCCAGAAGTGGTCGCAGTGCCAGTAGTCGAGGTTTTCTTGCCGTAGTTCAGCTTGGTCAACATCTCCTCCGTCGCAAAGTGCCCGTTGTCGCTCGTGCGGGTCAAAGTGGAAGTCTTCATCTGCGGGAGGTTGTGGTACGTCGGCGCAACAGGAGTACTCTTGGCACCTCCAACTACTACTACATCTTGCCCTGTTACAATATCTTGTCCACCGGGACGAACATCAACATGTTGGCTCGTCGTTAACGTTGTGTCGACAGTGCGAGTCAGCAGTGTGCTCGAGGCCGCAGTGGTGGTGGAGGTGCAGGAGCCCGGAACGGCAGTAGAACTGGCTAGTTCGGCGGAAGATCCACTATTTTTACAGTGATCCGCTTTGCTTTGCTTCGCTGCGTCCGCTGCTTCCGGAATAATTTTGTCTTTGTCGCGTGGTGGTGCTCCAGCTCCTGCTCCTGCAGGAGAGATGAACAATGGATCAGTTTTGTCGCCAGGGCCAGGCCGCTCCTGTAGTTCATCGCCCTTTTCTACTCCTTTGTCAGCTGCACAAGCATCCACTACCCGAGGAACAACCATTTGCACCTGTTTCAACGTGGAAAACAGCTCCCCAATTTCCGAAAATTTCTTCCCCGAGTCCTTTGTCAGGCGGATCGGTTTTTTGCTGGCGAGTTGCTCTCTCGCCTTGTTCTTTAGCGACGAAAGTTTCGCATTCTTATTCACGGATGGTGTTCTTGCGCTACTGGTTCCGCTCGTCGGAGATGCGGCACATGATGCGCGGCCTTTGGAGGTGACCGCAGCTGCTGTTGTACTGGTCATCTTCTCACGAGATCCTCCAGCCGCAGATGGAAGTGCACTGGCGCCCGCAAATAAGTTGTAGCCTGAGATTATTTCCTTGTTGCACGGGGGAGGAGGATCAGCAGTTGTACCAGAAAGATGCGGACATTGTTGTTGACCTACCGCTAGCGTGGACGTGGTCGGCGGCCGCACGGTAGACGTAGTGCCATAAGTGGAAACCGGTCTCGTGCTGATCCGCGTGTCTGTGATCACTTCTACCTTCAGACTAGTATTGGGCTGTTGGAGGACGGAAGTTTCGAACTTTGCGTCGAGCTATGCTTTGCAAAACTAGTATCCGTATCGTACTTACTTACTAGTATATATAAATCGCATGACAAATTTTCTCAGCATGAAAAATAAAATTTGTGATGCGCATTCGACTTGAGAAAGAGATTTGTAATGCATGACTACGATTACTACGAGTACGACACTTTTGCACAGGATACGAGTAAATTGAAATCCGGGTACTTGAAGAGGCGGCGGATCACCTCGACCTGATTGGTCTTCGGCTTTATGCTGGTGACGGTCGCTGCAGCGGCAGGAGCGCCAGCGGTGGAACTCGAACTAGTCTTCTCGCCGGGTTGTAGATGAAGCGCCTCGAGTTGTCCCGTCGGCCGGTGAAGGTCCTGCACCTCCTCCACTCGTTTTTCGTCGAGCAAGGTCTTTACAACAACTCCTCCTCCGGTATGTTGACTGGTCGTGCCGGAAGTAGAGACCTCAGCGGCTGACTGCGGCTGTGCAATCGCAATAGAGCCAGCTGTTGCCACAGCCGCTTGGCATAATTCGTTCTCCACTTGCACCACTTCTTTCGCAGCTTTGTCCCCAACCGCTTCTTTGATCTTCTCCAAAACAAGCTTCGGGCCGGTGCTGTGCTTGATTTTTGTTTTTGTAACATCAGCAGCTTCTTCAACCTGTACGCGTACTTCAACTTCTGCTGCTGGATTAAGATTATGTTCACCTGCGGCCGCAAGCAGCGTACCCTTGTCTTCAACTACAGGACCATCGCCACAACTGTTTTCGCCATTTTGTTCGTTACTTTCGTATTTGGGAATAGCAGCTCTCGTGGCGGTGTCGTCCTTCGTTGCAGAAGAACTGTCGCGGACCTCTGCTGCCTCCGGCTTTCCCATTCCAGGAGTCGCCGGCGCGAATGGTGCAGAGGTCTGCGCAACTTCTACATCGGCATGTGCCAGAGAACCTGCTTCAGCCTCAGCTCGTTTTTCGTCTTCCGCTGCAGCTGAACAAGTTTGCTCACCTGACTCGACGTCTCTCTCGTTCACACGACCAGCACCCCCTTCCGGACTGCTCGCCGATTGGACAAACTGCACGGTTTCGCGACCCCGCTTCTCCGTAAACAATGATCCATCGTCATCGTTTTCTTCTTCTTCGCATGCATTGCAAAACTAAACGCACTAGGAAAAAATGCATTACAAATTTTATCAAGAAGAAAAATGCAATTATTTGTCATGCGTGTTCGGGTAGAGACTTGGATTTGTCATGCATGGCTGCATTCACTACGAGCACGATACTTTTGTAGAGGATACTTCCTTTTCCAACCGCGACGAAATGACGACCGGGGGAGTTTTATGAACTGCAAAAGTATCGCACTCGTATAAATGCATTACAAATTTCCTCAGCATGAGAAATAAAATTTGTAATGCAGATTTGACTTGAGCACAAGACTTGTAATGCATGATTGCAATACGAGTACGATACTTTTGCACAGGATAAGTTTGTGTCTGCTGATCCACGACTAAACGTTGGGTCCGGCGCTCCATTTCGGAAAGCAGGTTGTAGGAACCTGCGTCAGGCTGGGCTTCCTCGTGAGGTTGTAGATCGTCAAGAACCGCCACATCGGCCGCGGCGGGGGAATTCATTTTATTCATCTTCCCCTTCTCCGGCGGGATAGGGGTTTTCGGAATGTTGTCACTGGGAAAAAATTTCTTTGCAGTCGTGTTGAACCTCGCAATTTTGTTGTTTCTCGTCAACAGCAGCTGATTAGCATGCGAAGTACAAGAAGCCCCAGCACTCTCGGTTTGGTTCGGATGAACTACCCCCGGTGCATGAGCTCCTGTAGTAGTTCCCAGAGGCTTGACGCAAAGCTTCTTCTTGGTCAAAATCCACGTGTTTTGCTGCAGAAAATTCGGCAGCAGAGGACCACCACATGGGGTTTTAATACTTTCGGAACCAGGGCGGGTTTGAGACTCGTCCTGCGGCTGTGTCTGCGGCCCCTGTAGTACGGTTGCTGCACCCTGCTGACCAATGACCTGCTCCGCACCTCGCGCATCGATTTCGTTACTTGTTGTACTAGCATGACCTCCTCGTGGTCCGCCAAATAAAGCATTTGGAGGTGCAGCTGCCATCAGATTCATCGTACCCACCTGCAAGTTCAAGTTCAGCGGCTGGATTTTGTTCATGTGCAGCGGCTGTGGCTTCTGGCCTTTGGTAATCTTTGTTCCAATTCCAAAAAGCTGCAACTTCGTACTGGTAGTGGCTCCTGTGATGTGGGATAATGTTGAAGCGCCTGCACTTGTAGTACTCATGGTGCCGCTGCCCCCACTGACACCGCCTCTCGAACAAGATGACACCGGTACAGTCTGCGCGCCACTGGAAAGGAGCTTCATCTTCGCACCAGTTCTTGATGATGATGTAGGTGCACCAGCATAAGAAGCAGCTGCAGTACCAGTAGCTCCTCCGGCTCTCTCAAGAGAAGTCCTGTTAATCCTCTGGTGCGCCGACATCCTTGACGCCTTGGAAGAAACACACGGCGGCGACGGCGTTCTTGTGGGCAGCACCGTGGCGTAGCTGGAGAACGCTTGGTCTTCGAGCAACGGCGGGCTTGTACCGCAGGGAAAAAAGCTAGCATATAATGGCGTTGATTTGCATTGCAAAAAGCATAAATGTACTGCGCAAAAAAGGTTCCTTTTGTAGTGCACAAGCATCAAGCAGTGCCGGGGGCACCTCCTTGACCTTGAGTGAGAAGTTCATTGAAATGTCACGATTGATTTTGTGCCATTGCACATTGATGAGAATTGCGACTTTGATATGCTAAACTCTGATCAATCTGATAGCTGGACAGGTGTTTTGTCGGGGACAAGGACTGCGCCACGCACCGGGAGTACTGGCGACGATTGGTGAAATCCCCGACATCCTGTTCCTGGCCTTCCCGCCGGGGCACGCCGGCTGATGTGCAGCTGTCGAAATAAAGAACCGCTGTGTCTCTACTACTACTTTTTCCAGCTGCTGCACCCCCTCGTCCAGCTGCAGTCGTGGATAGTCTGGAATTCGCTGTTACCGCGGTGCTGTACCTCAAGTTTTCCGGATCAATAGTCATTACCGAATCGTGGTTGTGCTGCCTGGTTGTCGGCGCGCAAGTAGGACCGATAGTTGTGCCGGTCGTTGACATCCGCGTTGCTGCATTTTCCGCATCTTCAACTCCGGTTTTTTTACTCGCAGTCGGCGGGGAAGAAGTAGAGGACTGAAGTTTCTTTATTTCGTCAGAATCTTTTTCGAGGACGTCGTCCTGCTGATCCCCTTTCCCGCCAGCTGGTGACGCTGGGCCGCGTAGTAAACCTGGAGAGACAACCCACTGCCTTCCCGTCTTGTTTGCGATGAAATGTTTCTCTTCGGTCATAGGGGCATCATCTTGCTCGTGACTGACCCGCGCTGTAGATCGTTCGTCTTTGTCAGCTGCAGCAGAAATTGTGTTTGTGGCCCCCGCTCGACTATCAGCATGATCCGCCGTGGTCCTTCGCGGGCCCGTGATCCCTTCTGCGAGCACCAGGGAAACCGGGTGCGCGACCCGTCTCGCGCTGTAAGGGGGGAAGTTGCTGCTCGTTCCGTCGTCCGTTTCGTCCTCTTCGGACGCCGAGCCGGAGGAGATGCTATGCGTTGAAAGTATGTGGTCTAGGTCTGGATTTGTCATGCGGGTCTGGAAGGACAGCAAGATCTGTGATGCATAAATGCCATTCTTTGGTAAATTATCTCTCCGCATTAATGTTAATCGGGAAGAACCTGAGGGAAAGAACTTCTCTTGCTATTATGCCATACAAGCGGCCAACCTGCAATGCAGATACCAGCAATACAAATTTCGAACAAACCAAAAGACCACACGTTTGCATTTGTGTTTCATAAATGCCCCCGATGTTCGATTTTTTCTCCAAGTCAACGGAGGAGGAAGTGAAGTTGGCACTTTGCTGGCATGAAACAGCTATCCAGCGAAAAAGCATCGCACACGACTACTGGTGTAAATATCTATCTATATCATCGCAGTCATGCATGACAGATTTATTGGATAACGGAAAACAGAATTACAAATTTCATTTTTACTCATGGCTAAATTTGTATTGCAAGTCTAGAAGTACGTCGATACTTTTGCAATGCATAACGGCCTTCTTCTTTTCGTCCTCGGGTGAACAACGGGCGGCGGACTCGAGCCGGACTGCTTCGGAATCAACATGGTCGGAGGTTACGCCAGAGGGCTCGTCAACAATTACAGCATGATGTTGATCCGTGCAGCTCCTGTGGAAGTCGTCTACCGCAAGTGGTTCGTGGTTCATGCTGGCAGGATGTTCGGTCTGTGCAGTTTTGGCCGACATTCTTTCTGCATCTGCGCTGTAATTTGCATCTGCATGTGAAATTTTGCCTCGCTCAGTTGCACCTTCTGCTTCGCGTGCGTGTTCCTGATCTCCGCCCCCGAGGATTTCCACCTGACCGGTGGAAGCTTGTGATGCTCCCGCTCCTCCCGGGTGGTCAGCATTAGTGTCATTCTCATCTGCCTGGGAAAAGCAGCTTTCCAACTTCTCCTTGGAAAAGTCTGCAACGGACTTCGTATCCTGTGCAAAAGTATCGTACTGGTACTCGTATATTAATCAATGCATTACAAATTTCCTCAGCATGAGAAACAAATAGAATTTGTAATACGGATTTACCTTAAGAAAAAGATTTGCCATGCAAGACTTGCATTTATACGAGTACGATACTTTTGCACAGGATACTTCGCGTCCTCAAACGATCGCCACGTGTCTCCGGGACTGGTCATATAATCGTATGCAAGAAAAAAACTGTGTATAGTGTATATTTGTGTTGCAGAGGATGCAACAGAGTTATACCTGTCATGGCAGACAGCCATGAAGTCCTCTTTTCATGTGTGTTTTCCCTTGCAAACCATGCATGACAGGTTTTCTCTGTCATGTAGAGCAAATTTGTGATGCTGTTCCTCAAACAAAGTTACACTTACACACTTTTTTTCCTGGATAAATCGTTGTAATTATTGTTCAATGAATTATTATCGCTCTTCGACTTCGCCAAGTTCTTGTCGTTGTCCCCCGACTGCTGCTGTGTGGTTGAAATAAATTGCTCCACCTCCATTTGATCGATCTCCAATTCGTTCGAGGTCACAAACGCCGACGTCCGAGCGGTCAAGAAGGGCTCCGTGTAGGAATCGATGTCGTCGTCTACTTCAACAGCTCCTTGCTTCACGACCTTTTGGCTTGTTTGCATTTGCTGGGGGTTACAAGCAGCTGCCCCCCCGGTAACCACGGTGTCATTGTCATTGTCAGTGTCATTGTCAGCATCTCCATCATCTGCTGGCTCCTGTTGATGCTCCTCACGATGTTGAGCATCCTCAGCACTTCCTTGCTGATTCGCATCTTCACACACTTTCGTAACCTGATCCAGAAATTTTTTCATGTTCACCACCTCTTCCTGGACGGATTCCTGCTCCATTGGCTCGTCCAGCGGAGGGCTGTCCAGGATTTCGTCCTCGTTTTGGTCGGTTTTCGTGGTTGTAGAACAAATAGGAACCTTATTGACTTGTGAAGATGCAGAAGCGGCGGGAAGATCTTCTTTAGGCGCTGCTGCAACGCTGTCCGTAGTGCCTTGCCCTTGTCCTTCGCTCGTTGTCGAAGTTTTGATACAGGTGTTATTGAAGGAAACCAGGGTGCTTTCGCCGTCCGGAGATGCCTGCTCTTGACCGCCGAGGTGGCTGCTGGTGATATCATTCGCTTTTGGAGGTTTTGCAGTGGCACAACTGGCAGTGTTATCTACATGTACCTTTTCAGTCTCGAACGCCGCTCCTGCTGCGCCTCCGGCCTTCTGGTTTTTCGGTTTCTTCTCCTCCGTGTTCTTGGACGTGGTTTTCTTTTCCTCGTCGGCATCGGCGTGGTCCGCATGTTGAGATGTACCGGACGACGCGCCGGAGAGATGGAGATTCTCTTGGGCATCATCTTCAACCTCGTCGTCGGGCTCCATTAAGGTGTTGCGCTTCCTGTTGTTCTTAACGCTCCCCGGCGCATCTTCACTAGGACTCGCGCGGCCATCTTGCTTCTTGCAAATATCCTCCACCACCTCGGCAGTCTGGTCCTGCTCCTGCTCTGCGCTAGCAGCAGGACGGGCAGCGGTGCCGTCATGATTCCCGAGACGGTCTGTGGTCTCACCGTCGTGGTCTTTTTTTTCCGCCTCGTCCGTTACGGCGGCACCTTCTTTACCGGCACAACGACTAATCGTGCAGGAGCCAGTACCACCCGGTGTACTAGTTGCCGTCATGTCTTCTACCCCCTTGCAATCCATCGCCGCTGGTACACCTGCACCGCCTCCAAGATTTTTGAGCGCCATAGCGGCCTTGACCAGATTCCGGGCCTTCACCCATTTCGACTTTTTGAACACCGTCTTCCGCAATTTCGCACGACACCGCCGAGCGTTCTGTGTGATCTTCGCCTCAACTTGGCGCCACAGTGCGTGGAGGGCCTATGCAGGGCAAAAACTAGAACATTCGCGGCAACTATAAGCATACACTGCACTGCCGCTGTAAATTTGAATTTCAATTTTGTCAACAAAGAAATACAATGGACAGGTCACCATGCAGACTCAGGCAAGAAAGCAGGTCTGTCATGCAAGACAAAGACTAAGATTGCAAGTTCTTTTGCACAGGATAGAAACTCGCGTTCCGCAAACTGGTTGTCGTGGCCGGACAGGAAACTAGACTATGAACTGCAAAAGTATCGCACTCGTATAAATGCATTACAAATTTCCTCAGCATGAAAAATAAAATTTGTAATGCTGAGTTGCCTTCAGACAAAAATTTGTGATGCAAGGCTTGCATTTATACGAGTACGATACTTTTGCACAGGATATAGACGTCTCGTTGCTGATGTCGACCACGTTCGGACCAAAATTGCCGCTCTTGTCATGAACATGATGCGAGGAATTATCCAACAGCATGCTGCTATTGGACAAAGACGAGGAGAACAGGTTGTTCTTGACAGCGGAGGATAAGCCTGGAGGAGGAGAAGCAGCGGTAGGAGTAGTTCCAGCGCCAGGATAATTGTTCTCCGTCGCGAAAGTCGTCATGATCCCCGAGGAAGCAACAACTATACCGGTAGAAGAAGCTTTGTTCAACTTTTCGCGAAAGAGGGTCGCCGCTATGAAATGCAAAAGCATCGGACTCGTGGAAATGCATGGCAAATTCCCTCAGCATGAGAAATGAAATTTGTAATGCGGATTTACCTTAAGAAAAAAACTTGTAATGCATGATTGCGATTACTACGAGTACGATACTTTTGCACAGGATAGCCGCGGCTTCGCAGCAAATCTTCTCCAACTCCCGCACCCGGGCGGTCCAGGTCAATTCCGAAGTTACTTCGTCTTCCGCCTCGTTTTTCCGTGTCGTGGTTGTACTGGTACCTCCGGAAAACATCTTCTCGCTCTTGTCCGTTTTCGTTTTTGCATCCCGCCCAGGAAGCGGCTTGTTTTCTTTATCTTCTACTTCCGATTGTTCCGCTTCGCCTCCAGCGGTCGCAGGTTTAACAATCCCTGTTTCCCTTTCCGTCCTGTTGCCAGCAGTGAAGCCACGACCACTTTCATCCTCCACTAGAATTTTCTCTACTGCGTTTTCCTTGAGCAAGTCCACCGCCCGCAAGCACACGCTCTCCAGGGTAGCGGATACCACCGCGACCAGAAACACGTGCGAGGACAGGTGCTCTTTTGGGGTGAATTTTTCTGTATCAAATGTAAAAATGGCTGGGTCTGGAAGAATGCAGATTTTTGTCATGCTGTTTTTGCATGACACAAAATGTTTGTCATGGAAGCCCTAGCATCAGAGATTTCGAGAAGCTTCCGCATTGCTTAATCCGCATGACAAATCCCCCACTTTGGTGACAGGAAGTGGGCACCTTTTGCTACCTATGCATGAGAGATTTCTCTGAGTTGTGAAATGCGCATCACAAGTTCGCATCCTTCCAGACCCAGACATTTTTACAATCCATATTCTGTCGCGAGGTGCCAAATGTCGGCCACCAGGTCGGCTACCGCTTGGTCGCGGTGCTCCGAGGAGGCGAGGGATGCGGTAGAGGAGAAATTGAGGACTTTATTCTCATTTCGCCGGTTGTTCTCGGGGGCACAAGAGGCTTCTTGCGTTGCGTATTTGTTTTCGTCGGGCGGTCCGATTGATGGGCCGCGAAAGGAAGCCGTGAGAACAGCTTCGCAGCTGGCGAGACGCTGCGACACGGCTTCCATGACAGTATGTAGATTAAGGTTCTTCTTCTTTACTGAGACTGACTGGTCGTGAGGTTCTTCTTCTTTACACTCGTCGTTTCTTGACCTTGAGCGGCAACGGCAGGACCCTTTTGCAGTTCTTCCTGTTCCACAGCAGATGAACTACTGCTGGCGCTCGCGGCCGCGAACTGCAGTTCTTTGTCGTCCTTTTTCACATACTGATTCAGCATCTGCTTGTATCAAATGTAAAAATGTCTGGGTCTGGAAGAATGCAACTTGCGATGCTGCATTTGGATTCCAAAAAAATCTGTATTGCATGAGTACCGAAGGGAATGCAATTTTTGCTACACTGAGAAGGTATTTGTCATGCGGAATAGGCATCTTCAAGAAGCGCTCACAAAATCTGTACTGCTAGTGTATGCATCACAGACATCATGGCTCATGCAAAACGTGCATGACAAGTGTCAGAACCTTCCAGACCCAGACATTTTTACAGTTGATAGCTTGTTTTGCTGGTTTTTTGGGCACTTGGATATCCTGTGCAAAAGTATCGCACTCGTAGTAATTGCAGTCATGCATTACAAGTTTTTCTTTTAAGGTAAATCCGCATGACAAATTTTATTTCTCATGCTGGGGAAATTTGTAATGCATTTATACGAGTACGATACTTGTGCAATGCATATTGGAACATGAGAACAGCTTCGCAGCTGGCGAGACGCTGCGACACGGCTTCCATGACAGTATGTAGATTAAGGTTTTGATACAGTTGTCGTGCGGTTTTCCAGAACAGATATAGAAGTCATTATTGATTCTCAACAAGTTTTTGGTCTTATCATTTGCTAGTTCTACCTTCTTATACTGAGGCACATCACAACGGGAAAGGGGTGCAAAACTGAAAATGTCCTTCGAACGATTTATGAACAGCATTACTTTACTCGCAGAAAAGAAACTATACTCATACTGAACATATCTTGACACAGGAATGAAGATTCCACTGGTGCACAAGAACCAGAGCGAGGGGAAACAACGCCCCCAGAGAAAGCAATGACGACACGAAATAACACCATCCCACACATCGTCGTCGTCGAACAACTACCTATACTGTTGTTTATTCTTGTTAAGTAAAGCACTCAGATGAGATTGCTCTTTCGCCAGAATCTTGGACTTGGTTTCCGCGTTTCTACAATTATTCAAGCATAAATAGGTCCTTATTCATCGTGATGATTTGAACTTGCGAAGATGAAAGGAGGTGGAGACCGCCTGCGTGCAACAAGGCTAAAACTAAGCAGTTCCTAATCCTGCAGCTGATCGGGAGTGGTCTACTTACTCCTCTTCATCCGCACAGATTTCACTGGCCTCTTCCTCCTCGGACGCTTCATCATTCTCCAAGAAGTCACCATCATCTTCCGAGGATCCATCCTCCCCATCCTCGTCATCGTCATGTCCCTGGAATTCCGAGGCATCAAACTCCATGAAGCGTTCCGCGGCCTCCCCGTTGAAATATCAAATGCAAAAATGTCTGGGTCTAGAAGATTCCGAGATTTCTCATGCAGTTTCTCCAAGCTCCACTAAGTCTGGAATGCAGGACCTAGCATCACCGGATCTGCAGCCCTTCTGTGATGCCTGTTCTGCATGAGAAATGCCCCCTCAGTATGGCCAGAAATGGGCACCTTTTGCAAGTCACGCAACACAGATTTTTGTATGATGCGCAACATGCATAACAAGTCCCAATCCTCCAGACCCAGACATTTTTGCATTTGATATGAAAAAAGGGTCCTCCAACTCCAAAAACGCGTCAAAGCCCGAAGAGTTCCCGTTGCAGTTCTGTTTAATCGTCTCTTCATCCAATTCCAGCAGTTCTTCATTCTCGTTCTCCTCGTCTTGTTCATAAAACCTCTCGACAAACGCGTCAAAAACCGCTTTTTCCTGTGTCGCTTTTGCAAATTCCTCGTCGGAGATGAGGCTGCTGTTCAGCGCCGCCACGATTTTTTCCTCATCCAAGTCGATGCCGATCAAAACCAATTCCGTGCAGGACGTCCGGTCGATCGCCCAAGTTTTTAGCTCTTGCTCCTTGTAAAGCCCTTCGTACTTTTTCAGCTGCTGGAGCTCACTCAACTCCTTCTGTTTCAGCAGCTTTTTCCGCTCCAAGATAAAAGCCACACTGTTCTCCTCGTCTTCTTGAGTTGTTGCATTATCCCCGTCGCGTCCTCCGCCGTGTCCGAACGCGGTTTTTTCCTCTTGCTGCAGAAACAGCTCTTCCGGACTCTCCACGCCCGCCTCCCGCATGGCGGATTCAAACGGCTGCCCGGGGTTCAAAGAGAACTGCCGTCCCACGCTGTGCCAGTCCATCCGGTAGCCGCAGGCGTTCGCGAGCCAAATCTGCCCCTTGGACCGGATTACGCCGTTGAAAATGGCTGACCGGTTGAACTGACTGGTCGTCAGATTCTTCTTGTTGACACTCGTCGTTTCTTGACCTTGAGCGGCAAGAACGGCAGGACCCTTCTGCGGTTCTTCTTGTTCCACACCAGCGCTGTTGGTGCTCACGGCCGCGAACTGCAATTCCTTGTCGTCCTTTTTCACATACTGGTTCAGCATCTGCTTGTTTTGCTGGTTCTTCGGGCACTTGGAACTCCCGCAGCACTTCTTTTTCACGACTACAGGCGGCTCTTCAATATTCTCCTCGGTTGCAGCGGGTTTACACAGTTCCTTGAACTTTGGTGGCTTAAAAGCGTGGTCGGAGATTTTCCCGAAGCCGTTCAGCAGATCAAACAGCTTTTTGGGGTGAAACGGCTTGGACGCGCGAAAAATTACCGAGCTAATCCCATACCGCTCTGCCTGCACCGCCGTCCCCATGCAGGCGTCCGTATTCGCGCCGATCTGCTCCTTGCCGAGCTTCGCCGCTTTCCCCGTCCCGTCGTCCTTCAGCAGTTCGTGCATCCACCCGGCCTGGGTTTCCGCGGTCCGGATATCGAACAGGTTGGTGTTCAAAATTTTCTCGCACGCAACTTTCCCGTGGTCGGTCCAGTAGAGGTTTGCAGCAGGGTTCAATTTGGTAACCAGGTTTTCTATCAACTTTTTCTTGTACTCCAGGCAGGTGCTGTCTTCTATTTCCAGTTCGGATTTCGCTTGGTCGAGCTCGCGCTGCACGCTCTCAACCAGCAGGTCTTCCTTGTTCAAGAGAATGACATTTGCGAATTCGATCTGGGCGATCAGTAAACCGGCAATACCCTGGTTCAAGTCGCTATTGTTTTTTAACTCATGTGGTCGCTGTTCTTCTACTTCACCGCTCTTTCCAGTTGAAGCACCTTCTTTGTCGTCCGATGCAGAGGTGGTCTTCGTCTTCTGCGTCTGCCCTCCGCCACCAGCAAGCATTGCCTCCTCCTCCTGGATGCTCGCTTCCGCCTCCGCTACCGTCCACTTGGAATTCTTAATCGACTCTTTGGACTGTAATACCTCCCAAATGCAGGCGGCGTCGACAACCGTGACCATGGTGTCGAGTCTCGTGCACTTCTGGAGCTGAATGGCCTGGGTGGCGACCAGCTTGCGCTCTTCTTCAGAAAGAACGCGAGCACTGTTGAATTTTGGAGATGATGGAGAATTTGTTTTACGTATTATCATGTCTACTTGTATTTCATGTTGCTTTGTTCAGCATGCACCAGAGAAGGTCTTTTTGTTTTTCAATTTTCAAAAGCTAAAGCGAAGAAAGTTCTACCATCTACTTCGTGGTGGAGGTGGAGGATGACCTTCTACAAATAAAGGGTGCTAGAGCCAGAGGTAGTTCATGGTATAGTAGGTTGTAACAAGTACCCTTTTCCATCCGTCACGACTTGTTCCCCGCCCTTCTTTCCGGCCGCCCGACTTGCGTCGTCAACATCTTTCATGTCAGCAACATCCTTTTCGTCTACAACTTCCTCCTCCTCTTCCTCGACCTCATCCCCCCGAGCAATCTCTTCTAATTCCTTGATCGAGTGACAGAAGGTTTGCGCGATGGGAACGGGCTCCGCGATGCCCGTAGACTCGATGATGAGGTAGTCGTAATTTGCCGTTTTGTCGTTCGCCAGCTCTGCAATCTGCTCCACCAGATCCTCCCGCAGCGTGCAGCATATGGCGTTCTCAAACGTTACATTCTCAACGGTTACATGGTTTGTCATGCGAAATTGCCTTCAGAAGCGCCACCATCAAGCTGCTTCGCATGACAAATTCTCAGAGGGCCAAATTATAGGGTGATAATCGGCGCCAAGTCTGTCATGCCAGACGCGCAAGATCTCCCCTATATACTTTTGCCATTCTTGCATCACAAATTCATGTAACAGCTGAGAATGTAACAGTTGAGAACAACGCCATACAGCACACGCACCCGTTCTGCAGCGAAACCATCTTCGGCTTCACAGTTTGGTGCTTGTTCGGGTTATTTTGCTTGTTATGTTGCAGTATGCATTGCAAAAGTATCGCACTCGTATAAAATGCATTACAAATTTCATCAGCATGAGAAATAAAATTTCTAATGCGGATTTGCCTTGAGAGAAAGATTTGCAATGCAAGACATGCATTTATACGAATACCATACTTTTGCACAGGATATGCAGATGACCCGAACTTGTTGTAGAAGTAGTACTAGAGGATATAACCTTGTCGATCTGCAGGCTGTCCACATTCACACTTGCCATGTCGTTCACAATCATGGCAATCTTCAACCCCTGAGTGTTGTTCAAGATGTGCGTCAACGTGGTCGTTTTTCCGGACCCGAGAAAGCCGGATAGCACCGTGACCGGCAGGCGGCGGTCTGCCCCCTCGTCGGCGAGCTTTTGGGTGGATTTTGTCGCGACGACGAGATCCTCGCCATTGTTCTCTTCAAGGTCCACGACAACATCCTCTGTCGTCTTCTGCCGCTTTGCGGCAGTGGACGAATCCTGGTTCGGGCTCGTGTCGGGAGACATTTTTTTTTGAATAGATGTGAACCGCTATAGTATTCTAAAGCGAACGAAAATAGAAGAGTCCGGTGCAGCAGGTGGAGCTGTATACTTCTCGATCGATGACGTCGTCGCAAAGTTATGGTAGAAATGCAACCTAACACTATCCTATCCAAGAAATCATAATTAATCAATATCAAACTGGTCGGTTCTTTTTTAATATTGCGGTCGATTTCGAGATTTCTATTGTACGATCTTCGGCACTACCAGCGGATGATCGTCTTTATTGCCATGTTATCGTGCGCTGGGGAGCCGGAGTTTCTGGCTGAACAGAACAGAAAAGAACGAAAAATTACAAGGACCACCAGGGGACTTTAGATTATTTTGGATCTCCTGTTGTTGAGCTACATGCTGTGATCTTCATGCTGGTGCTCCTGAAGATCTCATCTAGCTCCACCTGTAGCTCCTTTCGGTGACCACCTGGCACTGCTGGAAGCGATTGCTTTGCAAAAAAAAATCCAAGCTCTTTCATCAATCGATCTGTCGTGACCTCGCTCCAAGCCCGATTTTTTTTTTCAGAAATCTTTTCTAGCGCCCAAAGAGGAAGGGATCTTTTCATCGGTTCCGCCTGCGGACCTTGAACATGAGTGGACCTATTTTCAAATCAACGGAGCGATCTTCACGCTCGCGGTCGTGCTTCTCCTATCAAATAACTTTAGCGGACTTGATGCTAGGCGTCAAGAATGCTCCCCGATCGGAGTGCGAGTGGGCGTCTGTGAGCGCTCCGGCAGTTTCAGTCTCTGTACTTTTGCTCTTGGTGGCAACATCAAATGAAGCGCGGGGCCCGCTACTAGCGCTGAGCCGTTTTATTTTCATTAATATATCGCGACGCCCCGTTAAAATTGGCTGTCAGCTGCAACAGGCCGACGGCGCACGACATCGCGCATGCTGCCCCCTGGCGGATGCTGCTGCCTGGCTCTCAAGGGCATAACGCTAATGAACCACTTAAATATTGCCCGCCCAAAAGCAAAAGTAGGCCACACAATCATAACCAACATCGAGCTGTGCAAAGATTTCCGACCGTGACGAGGGTGAGTGGGTGTCGTTGTAGTCTTGCGTCTTCTTTTCCACATCGTGTGGAGAAGAAAGAAGAACGGGCCGGAGAATCTTCTTCACCTTCAAAGTGCATATTTAAATTTGGTGCACATCAAACAGAGAGCATTTTCAGAATGCTTTACGGCGCTTCGCGGGCGACGAAAGTCGGCGTGGCATCAAAAAGAGCAAACCGGCTACGGTTTGCGGTACAAAAATACATCGCGCCAGCGTGCTGGCGACGTCGGCGGCGCCTTTCTTTTTTTTTTTTGAGATTTACGCGCCGCCGGGGTGTCACGGCCCAGGGGTTACACGCGTCAGGGGGCCGGCCCTGTTTAATACCCGCGCCCCCGGCGTAGCCCGGGCCGAAATAGAGCGGAAATAAGTTTCCTTCGTCAGGTTTCCTTGGTATTCGTATTTCTTTGAAGGTGGCGGCGCCTACATGCCCCGCAGCGCCTGCGCTTGCCAGCCTGCTGGCGACATCGGCGGCGCCTTTCTTTTTTTTTTCTGAGATTTACGCGCCGCCGGGGCGTCACGGCCCAGGGGCTTGCTACACGCGTAAGGGGGCCGCCCCTTTTTAATACCCGCGCCCCCGGCGTAGCCCGAGCCGAAACAGAGCAGAAAATAAGTTTCTTTCGTCAGGTTTCCTTGGTATTCGTATTTCTTGGAAGGCGGCGGCGGCTACATGCCCCGCAGCGCTTGCGCTTGCCAGCCTGCTGGCGACGTCGGCGGCGCCTTTCTTTTTTTTTTTCTGAGATTTACGCGCCGCCGGGGTGTCACGGCCCAGGGGTTACACACATAAGGGGGCCGGCCCTTTTTAATACCCGCGCCCCCGGCGTAGCCCGGGCCGAAATAGTGGAGCAGCAGAAAAGAAGTTTCGGCCGGTTTCCTTGGTATTTCTTGACTTTGAGGGCGGCGGCGCCTACATGCCCCGACTCGCTCGCGCTTGCCAGCCTGCTGGCGACGTCGGCGACGCCTTTCTTTTTTTTTTCTGAGATTTACGCGCCGCCGGGGTGTCACGGCCCAGGGGTTACACGCGTAAGGGGGCCGGCCCTTTCTAATACCCGCGCCCCCGGCGTAGCCCGGGCCGAAATAGTAGAGCAGAAAAGAAGTGTCGTCTGGTTTCCTTGGTGTTTGAGGGCGGCGGCGGCTACATGCCCCCAAATGAGAAAAGCCCATGACTTCATAACTTCTCGCAGTTGATGCAGGCGAAGGAGAGGCCATCATGTGAGGCAGGGGAAATAAAGTACGCAAAGCCGGCCCGCTCTATAGCACCACTGGCTTCCGCAATTTTTAGATAGAAGAAAAGCCACCAAAAAATAAAACAGAAACTCGTCAAACAAAAGTGAGTTAGCGTTGAAGTAGTATTAGTGGTTCCCAGCAAGGGGAGAAAAGAGGGAGAGTAGAAGTAGAGATTTTTAGAATACTAGAGGAAGTCAGAATCAGAATCAGAAAATTTTGGCTTGGCTTGGCTGCGGGGCGGCGTTCCAGAACTTTAAGAGTGCAGCTGGAGCTATTCATGAGCTAAATCTTGACCACGCTTACTAGTTTTAGTAGAGGCGGCTACACAGCTACAGCGCGTGTACACGGTCGAAGCCGACCGACTTTTTTTTTGCGGCCGACGCCAATGCTACACTTCTGATGGTGTACGTGAGGCGTGGTATGACAAAAAAGTCAGCTAATCCGACTTCTCATCGGAATTCGCATATACCCTGCATGGAGAGGTTGCTATCTCCGGGTCCTTCAGCGGTGTAGAGCAGAAAAAAGCACTTTGATCTTCTAGAAAGATAAAAAGAAGGTAAATGTAGTAAAGTTTGGGGATAACAATGCTCCGCTGCAGAATAAAGGACTACAAGGACTAAAAGCACCGCCGAAGGTCTACAAATCAAAAAAAGGCGCTATGCAAGACGTGCAGGTTACCAACAGTGAAAACTCGAAGGTCCCCACGTAATGCGGGTGAGAGGTTGCTGTCTCACAAATACAAATGGAACGAAACAGGCGGGAGACCGAAGGTTGCTGTTCGGTGCAGCCCGCGCGAGATACTAGATAGAGCGCTAGGAAGGGATCCACAGAGGAAACTGCTCTGCGAATTATGATACAAGTGCTGCTGAAGTGAAGCGGAGTATAAAAATTGTTATAGTGGAGTACGGAACGAGTTCTACGCTGAGTGTCAGCGAATCAAGCACACCATCGACATAGCCCCTCATCGAGTTAACCGCGAGATCTGGCAACGTCGACGCACACAGCAGTGACTCTCCATCCACAACGAGCGTCCGGGAACACACTCTTCGAAAGTAGCAATGGCAATGGTGAAAACGCGAAATCAGCAATGGCAATGGTGAAAACCGCAATGGCAATGGGAGAGGAAAAAAAATAGCAGTGACCTACACCTACAAGATAGATAGCAGAGAATATAGCAAGGAAAAAAAAGTAAAACAACAAGCACAAAGACTATCAGAGAAAATAATACTAATCGAGAAAGAGGCGCATTGTGGAAAAAAGAAGTAGAAAAACGCACTATTGTGGACCCTTCTGTTCCTGTCTAGAATGGGCGGGATTCTCCATTTTTCTGGATCTTTACTTAAAGGCAAGGGGGCCATTTTCTAAAAGAAAAACAAGCTTTGTTCGTCTTCAGCTAGGACGAGGACTCTCATTTTTCTGGATCTTTCAAAACACTACCTTAAAGCTTAAGGAGAACTTGGTTAAAGCAAGCTGGATCATACCGTAGTAAGTAACTTGAAACTCAGCTTTAGTTGCGAAAAAAGGAAAAAAGAGAGAGAAAAAAAGGCAAGCACTTTCTGCTTGACTTTTACTAGAGCAAGAGCTACTGCAAACCTTAACTTCGTTTTTCGTAAGCGTTTCCTGTTTTTCAAAAAAATTACAACTTCACTTTAAACCCTGCCCTTAACCTCCTCCGAAGCTCCAGTTAAGACCACCCCCACGCCCGCCGCTCGTCAACAGTCGTATCGCAGGAGACACCGAGAGCACAGTCAGCACACCCGAAGCCCTCCGATCCGTAAGAACAAGACCTGGATAAACACCATAACAGCCCGGAGTCCTTTTTTTTCAGGTTGGTTGATACTCCCACAAAAGACTGTTGACATTTGTTGAATGTTCATGATGATGATTCGTTTCTTCCTGTGTGCAGTTGCACTTAGGACGGTGTGGAGAGATTCCTTCTTGTTCTTCTCATCAAAAAAAGGCTCTCTCGAAAGAAAAAACATCAACAGATTCTTGGTTTTTCAAGTCACACGAGCGTGGCGACACACCCGTATAAAATAAAAAAACCAAGAAAAAAATTGCAGTATACTTACTGAATTTTTTTTGCAGTATACTATCCAGCCTGCATCTTGAGGAGGTGAAGCCTCTATCCTCCAGATAAACAATAGATAAAGAATGATTTCTCCAAATCAAGTCGAACTACTGATGCTTCAGATATTGAGGCGCAACAAGGTGCGGCGTTGTTGATCGTAACACTTCTCGCGAACCTCCTCATACGACCATTCTTCTTTCTCGAGAATTATTTGCGGCCCCGCATGTGCGAGCTCGTAATTTCTGATGACCAACACGGTGCCCGGGGGGCCCGGAACCAGAACCATGCGAGGGTCGCAGGAGGAAGGCGTATTGACTAATTTCTGCTTCACATCCACCGGAAGAACGCCCCCCGCCTCTGGTGGGCGTTGTGCACCCGCAGTGCTACTGTCAGAGAGCGGCTTGTCATCTACTTCGTAAGGGCGTAAAAGCTGGTAGTGAGCTTTTCGATCTAGCTCAGGATCGCCCGCTAACAGAGGCGGGCGAGCCGCGGAGCCAAAGATCTTTTTTTTGTCCTGGCGCTTGTTCATCGACTCCGACGGTGCCACCGCTTCTTGTGCCGCCGCGGCTCCAGTTTGCTCGCCATTTTCCGGAAACGAGATCCAGGGTTCTGAACCGGACAGTAAGTCGTTAGTGCCAATCCATGTGCCGGTTTTTTGCGTGTCCAGACCGGCCGGTGTGTTTACCGTGATAAGAACCAGGTACTTCGAGCCCCCCTGAATACCGTCTTGGTGCCACGCCTGTGGCACATTGAACGAATGACGTATCCTAGACAAATTTTGAGTCTTGTAGCTAATGAGAGATAATTCACTGTAATGCAGCATTTTCACGCGAATGCCCGTACCTGGTGCGGGCAACAAGGGCAATCATGTACTTGTCTGCGGCATTTGACAGCATGATGTGCACTCAGAAAAATCGTCCCTGGGCCTTGTGGACTCCCCCAAGACCCTCATTACTGAATTACAATAAGGGTTGTAATTTATTACTTTTACTACAAGAGCTTCTATTTACTACAAGAACTTTACTTGTAGTTTACGACAAGTGATTCGCAATCTTGTGGCTTGATGACCCAAAATCTGTAAGTTTGGATATTGGCATTCGTTTCGAGATTGACAGCATATTGGAGGCTGGGACCAACCCAATCACCAGTGCCGGGCGTTGAATCTGCGTACTCACGAAACTGGTGTAAAAACCCAGCAACGACTTCACCATCTGTAATGCCTAGCACTTCGTCAAGCTTCCTCGGCGTCCCACGGACTTGCGAGTCCAAAAATTGGGCGCGGAGGAGGTCATCTTTTGAACTCATTCTTTTGTCAACGCGCTCCATTTCCGAAGGTGAACCGCCGCCAATAAGAGAAGACTCCTGTTGCATTTTCGCGAAAAGCCAGGCTTTCACTTCTGCCAAGCGCTCCCAGAACCCCGCTGTGCCCTTCGATATCATCTGCACGTCCCTCATCGGCTTCCCGGGCGTGGTTTTACCTCTCCGTGCGAGCTGCGCGTACTCAGCTTCCACTTCTTGCAGCTGTTTTAGTAGTTCGTGCGGGAGCTGGAAAGCCCCCACTTTGCCCTCTGCCCCCGGATTGCGGCGAATAAACTCTTTTACAGCAGCCTCTGGGGTTTCGAATCCAGTCACACGGGGGCAAAAATCGCCTTTTTCAATCTCCTCCGCCTTCTTTTTCTTCTGGTTTGGTTTTCGCAAAGCAGCCTTCTTCTTTTTCCACCGCCTTCCACGACCACGACCTCCACCGCGCGTGCGGGGGTTAACAAGGAGCGCAAAACCCTCGCCGGCAAGGAGCAACGCGGGAAGGAGTAACATTGTGAGTTTCATTTTCAGTTGCTGCATCATTTTTCAAGTAACTTTTAGTTCGTTGCAGCACCACGTGGAGGTCGGTCTTCAATTCACTGTGTGTTGAGGCACTGGCGTCCGTTAAATTCGGAGCTTAGTTCTGCAAAATAATAAATATCAAAACTCTAGAAACCAAACTCGCTTGACCCCAAAATGGCTACGGAGTCTTAATATTGTGTGTGTTCCAGAAATGTGTGAGCCTTGGGCGGTCGCGGCTCTCACGCTTACTTCGCAAGGGCGTAAAGAAGATGCTAGAGTAAAAAATACTCTAGAATCTTTACGTAAAAAAAAGTAACTAATACAGCCCCAATTTTTTTGTAATGACAGAATTCTTGGCGACGATCTCGAGACTTGCTGACTGGTACGAAGGTACTAGTCAATCACTCAGGGACCTGCGAGGAAGGTGGACTCGGAGTGGGAAATTTGAGTTCGAGTTGTTCTGTAGCCGTAACTGCTTGCGGAGGGAAATTCTCTACAGCTCTATAAAAATTAAGTGCCGTGCCTTCGCGATCTCGTCGCTATCGTCGCCAGTTTCTCTCTATCCTGTGCAAAAGTATCGCACTCGTATTGCAGTCATGCATTACAAATCCTTTTGTTAAGGAAAATCCGCATTACAAATTGTATTTCTCATGCTGAGGAAATTTGTAATGCATTTATACGAGTACGATACTTTTGCAGTTTATAATCTCTCTCTCTTGACCGAGCAGGTGGGCACTTGCTTCTTGACACCGAGGAAACATCCGTTAGCAGACTATCGTAATTTGTCTGCGATTCTTCAGAAAAATGCGTCTTGATCTTGCTATTGGTTATGACAAAGCCCGGCATTTTTATCAACCAACATCAAGATCTCCTGTTGTTTGATCTTCATTCTGGTGCTGAAGATCTCATCTAGCTCCCACTGTAGCTCCTTTCGGTGACCACCTGACACTGCTGGAAGCGATTGCTTCTAGCGCCGCGACAGATGAAAGAGATCTTTTCATCGGTTCCGCCTGTGGACCTTGGAGATGGTCGACCTACTTTGAGATGAAGTAAAAGATCAAGATTGCGCTGGCGGTCGTGCTTCCCCTATCGAATAACCACGACTGTGTGATTTCCAAATGACCGCGTGGATGAACATGAGCATTTGTTTTCCAAATGTCGTATCCACACAAGGACGACGACCAAGGTCTGGCGTTGGTGGAAAGGATTTTTTGGTGCATCGGCTCATGATTCAAGTAGATTGCAGAATCTATCACCATCTTCTGCAGCTCAAAGATTTTTTTACACGACTTTTTGTGATCGAAGCATCGCGATCGTGATCCTCGTCACCAGTACACATTGACGTTTTCGTCACTGTATTGGTCTTCGGACTGCGACGAACCGGGCATTTCATCCTCGGCAAAATTCTTGATCACAAGAAAAAAGCGCTGCAGTGGAGCAGTACACTATTTAGATTCAAATTTTTTTAGACAGCATTAACAGCCCAAATTCGCTCAGCCTGACAATCTGGAATGTTCTTAAGATCGCACCACTAAGAGAACCAAACTACATGCACCATCATTATAGGCAGCTCCGGAGCACCTTCTTGTTTCGCATGGCAGAGGAGGTTCATCGCTGTCTGTTTTGCATTTGCTGCAACACAACCATGCAATACACATAGTACTGCAGCGCTTCTTTCCCTGCATATAATTCTCCCCCAGCTGCATATGGAAGCGTCAGGTTTGAAATCGTCAGAGTTGAAATAGTTACTATTTAAACAGCAGCAAACCAGAGTTTTTGAAGCTTTGGGGTGTGTTCTGGGGTATGTAAGGTGGCCGCGTAGCACCATGATTCGTAATTTGCAGGGTACACCCCGAACACACCCCAGACACACCCCCGACACACCCCCGAAAAACACCCCCGACAGACCCCGGCCGGAACTTTTAAGGCTTTGGGGTGTGTTCTGGGGTATGTAAAGTGGCCGCGTAGCACTGTGATTCGTAATTTGCAGGGCACACCCCGAACACACCCCAGACACACCCCAGACACACCCCCGACACACCCCAGACACACGCCCGACACACGCCCGACACACGCCCAACACTCGCACCCGACAGACCCCGGCCGGAGCTTTTGAGGCTTTGGCTTGCGTTCTGGGGTATGTAAAGTGGCCGCGTAGCATCGTGATTCGCAAGTTACAGAGCACACCCCGAACACACCCCAGACACACCCCCGACAGACACCCCCGGCAGACACCCACGGCAAAAACCCCCGATACACCCCAGGCAACCACACCCAGGGCAGGGGGCAGAACAAATATCCAGAGCGGAGAGCGTTTCCGGATCGATCCGAATCGCGAGAAAGATCCAGAGCGGAAGAAGTATCCAAACCTGACGCAGACAAATAGTCTCGTAACCGGCGTCATTGCATACGCGGCCCGGCGCCAGGTCTCCGGGTCCAGCTGTTGACGCTTTGGACTCGGTCCCCGCGTCATGACCTAGGGGCCAGCTGTTGGCGCTTCCCGGAAACTAACCGCGCGGCCCAGGGGCAATCAAACAAAGGCCCTAGGGCTGGCAGCTAGGGGGCTCGCTCCCCGCGTCATGACCTAGGGGCCCGCTTTGGGCGCTTCCCGGAAACCAACCGCACGGCCCAGGGGCAAAAAACCTAGGTCAGCGCGGGGACTCGGTCCCCGCGTCATGACCTAGGGGCCAGCTTTTGGCGTTTCCCGGAAACTAACCGCACGGCCCAGGGGTAAAAGCCCTAGGTCAGCGCGGGGACTCGGTCCCCGCGCCATGACCTAGGGGCCAGCTCCGGGCGCTTCCCGGAAACTAACCTCACGGCCCAGGGGCAAAGGCCCTAGGTCAGCGCGGGGACTCGGTCCCCGCGCCATGACCTAGGGGCCAGCTACAGACCCGGCGCCGGAGTTATCGGCGCCCCCCCCGGCCCGGCGCCAGCTTCTTCCTTTCTTTTCTCCCTGCCCAGTGCCACCACAACCCCCGAGCCCCCTCGTCCCAGAGAGACAAATGCCGGAAGGTCGCCGCACGGGGACTCTGTCCCCGTGCTCGGACCTGCTTGTTTGTAATGCATAAAATGCATGACCCGAGGCACGTGCGTTGCAGAGCAGGCAAGTGAGGCCGATTGTAAGCCCGTTTGGGTTTACAGCTCGAGCTGCTAAAGTAGCATGAGAAAATCACTCTTCTTTGCCTAAACAGCATGACAAACTGGATTTAGGGACCACCGAAATTTTTCATGCGCCACTTGGAAACTGGGTTCCAAGTGGCATCCATTTTATGCATGACAAACTACTTCAGCTTTGACGATTTCAATCCTGACAGTTCCATACTGCACACTCCTTGCCGCCGCATTCCCGCCCATCGGCATGGTCAATTTGTAGTAGTGTTTACTACTCGCCATAATCTTGTTCGGACGAGTTGATGAAGCAGATGTTGTCGCTGTGCTACTAATTCCGCCCCTCGGCGTGGCTGTTGTCGGTGGCGTGGTAATGTTATCCCCTGAAAATATAGAAACGTCTGGGTCTGGAGAAGCAGAAGTGGGAGAAAATCTGTATTGCTTGGCTGGCACTTCTGAAAAATCTGTAAATGTTGAAGCCACAACAATATTGTCTCAACAAGCTAAAATAGTTTGTCATGCGCGCTACTAGGCACAATCATAGAGCGCCCTAAAAACTTCACATCTATGGCTGCCCTCACAACTTCTATTGCGCCAGTCATTGTCATTCAGATTCACAACTCCACATCACAATTTTGTTCTAGACCCAGACTGTACAACACATTTCTCTGCGTTTGATAAAGACCGGAAATCGTCGTAGCCGAATTTTCCTGGATGACTGGTAGAAGGCCAACTGCTGTAGTTTGGTATGTAGAAGATGTCCTCCCGTGGTTTTCGAGCAAATCCAATTATGGATTGCAAAAATGTCTGGGTCTGGAATGCAAGTTAGAAAATAACAAATGCACTGTAATGTTGCGCCGCCAAGCATGACAAGCTGCTTCGTGTTTCTGTGCTGCGTATTCCGCATAAGAAACTCCGTTTTTGCATGACAGGCGAGAGAGGCTGTTTGTGGCCACGCAATACAGATTTCAGGGCCATGCCAGATCAGCATGACAAATCTCGCAATCTTCCAGACCCAGACATATTTGCATTTGATACCACTTCTGACGCTGCGATGCTGTAGTTTCCGTACCGCGGGGTGTATCACAAGAAAAAGTGTTCTTACCCTTAACGGAGTTTGTAATGCAGTGATGCATCAGAACAAAAGGTGCGCAAATTTGTATTGCATAGCATGCATGAGCATGGAAGACAAAATTTGTAAAGCATGACTGCCATCTTCTGTGAAAACCGTTAAAAACGTTAATACTTTTTCTTGTGATAGGGTGTTGATTTGCTTCAGAAACTCGGCCCGCGGCACCCAGGTTTATCCTGTGCAAAAGTATCGTACTCGTATAAATGCAAGTCTTGCATTACAAATTTTTTTCTTAAGGTAAATCCGCATGACAAATTTCATTTCTCATGCTGAGGAAATCGAAATTTGTAATGCATTTATACGAGCACGATACTTTTGCAGTTCATAAGGTTCCCGTCTCCCGCATGTAAGTTTGGAAAGTTTCCGGCAATGGAATCTGGTTAGTGCTTTTATGGGTGTGTCAGGATCGAAATCGTCAAAGTTGAAATAATTTGTACTGCAGAAAATGCGTGACGCGAGGCGCGTGTGTTGCAGAGCAGGCAAGTGAAGCCGATTGTAAGCCTGCTTCGGGTTAGAGCTCGAGCTGCTAAAGTAGCATGAGAGAATCAGTCGTCTTTTCCCAAACAGCATGACAGACTGTGACTGGTGTTCAGAACCGCCAAAATTTGTCATGCGTCACTTGGAAACTGGGTTCCAACTGGCATCCATTTTATGCATGGCAAATCATTCCAACTGTGTCAATTTCAATCCTGACACATCCATAGCTTTCGGGTAACACGTACTCGATTTCTTGCTCTTGATCGTCGTCGTCTTGTTCCTTTCTGTTGCTGCCACTCATAATTCCGCTCGTGTTTGTTCTGTCGAAAAGACTTCCTCCGGCCTTGAAAAAGGGCGTTCGTTCTCGTCCCGTACTGGACGAGTTGAAGCCGCTCCGATTTCCTTCCGTCGCTGAAAAATTCACCCGAATCTCGTCGTCCGGGCACAAAAACGTGTCAATGTTCGCGGTATGAGATTGCAGAAGAACGTCCCGCTCCCTTTTCAGTTACATGGCATCGTCCATAGCAACTTCTACGCAAGAAAGTGCCACCAAGAATGCTTATGCTGTGGCTTTAGTAGTTGCATGACGGATTGTATTTGTTGTAGTTCAACATCACATGAAATAAGTCTTCTACTGTTGTTCATCTTTTGGCTTCATCCAAAGCCTGTCATTCAAGCCATGCGGCCATTATGGGGCTGTAAAACGTGGACTTCGACTTCGTCTTCTATTGAACGACAAATGCAAGAGAGCACGATGGGGGCGATGATTTGTGCATTCTCATACGGGACAGCCACCCCGATGCAGGAGGTCCGGTCGAAGGCGCTGTTGGAGGTACGCTGTACTCCAGCCAGCACTTCCTGATGATGTCGACCACTGACCGTTTTCTCCTTCGAAGATTTGGCACTACTGTTGCGCAACAATTCCTGGTATGGAATGCAAAACAAGCATCGTACTAGTATAAATCGCATTACAAAGTTCCTTAGCGTGACAAATGGAATTTGTCATGCTCTTTTAGCTCAGGGAGGCGATTTGTCATGCATAATTGCCATTGGCATTGCGATTACTACAAGTACGATACTTTTGCACTGGATATCTGCTTTCTGGGCGAGTGCATCTGGTACACCTGGACGTTCATACATTATCGGGAGAAAAAAGTGCTCTTACTGTGTCGGAGTTTGCTTTTACAAGTTTTGCATCACAAGTTTACAGCGAAGCAGCTTTCTCCTCCGATACAAACTTGTCTGCCTCCCCGGTCAGGTCCGCATGCATGAATCGCTTCTGGTACTGCTCTATGCAGGGCAAATATGTCTGGGTCTGGAAGGTTGCAACTTGTCATGCTGGCTTTTGGTTCCACAATGCATCTGTATTGCATGAACAGCAAAAGAGGTCCAGTTTTTGCCACAGCGAGAGGGAATTTCTCATGCAGTATAGGCCTCAGAAAGCCCTCGCAATAAATTCTGTGACGCTAGAGCATGCATCACAGACATCAGGAGTCATGCAAAATGTGCATGCCAAACCTTGCGCTCTTCCATACCACCCGGACACATTTGCATTTGATATCCTCTAACTGTGTCAACCGTCGATCCTGGTCTGTTCCTGTCGTACTATCCTGTGCAAAAGTATCGCACTCGTAGTAATTGCAATCATGCATTACAAATCTCTCTCTTAAGGCAAATCTGCACTACAAATTTCATTTTTCATGCTGAGGAAATTTGTAATGCATTTATACGAGTACGATACTTTTGCAATTCATACGTACTGCCTGTCGTCGACGACGAGCGAGCAGATGAATTTGTTTTCGTTTCTTGCCGCGGTGTAGTTCTTGTGCTGGCTTTATTTGCACCCGGAGTGTTCGTAGTTGTTGTTCCTCGATTTATTTTCATCCGCCCGAACAGCTCCTGCTCGCTGTGCGGCACGTAACTAGAACTGGAAGTAGATCGAAATGACAAGTGCACTTGCGTCGTGTTCCGCTTGTGATTTTTTTTCGGAGCCGGCACCAAAGTCGTGTTGGGTGAAGAACTCGACGTCGTTGTCGTTGTCCCATGGCCGCCTAGTGCCTGACCTTTTCCTTTGCTCACCTGCTCGTGGTTGCGCTTGCTCTTTATCTCGAACACCGACTTGCGCTTGAAATTCGTCAGCTCGAACGGATTATTTCCATCACTGTTCCCCCCGAGGAAGCAAGGTCCTACACTACTTCTATTTTTTCCACCATAATGCTGATCTTCCCTCGTGCTCGTGCCGCCGCGTCCCAGGCAGGTTGAGAGCTCTAGTTCACCACTGAAAATGTTTGTTGTTTCTGCTGATGTTTCTCCACCGATAGAATCTGCCGCTCCTCCCCTGCTCCGCGCACTGTTTTCCTCCTGTTCCGTCAAGATTTCCGAAAACCTCTTATCGCTGACCAGCATTCGCTTGTTCACTTTGGCTATCAAATGTAAAAATGTCTGGGTCTGGAAGAATGCAACTTGTGATGCTGCGTTAGGATTCCAAAAAAAATCTGTATTGCATGAGTACCAAAGAAAGGGAATGCAATTTTTGCTACGCTGAGAAGGCATCTGTCATGCGGAATAGGCATCAAAAAGAACTCAAAAAATCTGTATTGCCAGGGTATGCATCACAGACATCATGATGGCTCATGCAGAACGTGCATGACAAATCTCGCATTCTTCCAGACCCAGACAAACATTTTTACATTTGATATTGGCCCGTTGCTCTGTCTGCATCCTGGCGCGCACCTCGTCCTTGTTCGCGGAGGGGTGAAATAACCAATTGGACATGTTCTTCCTTCCGCAAAAAGCGCAGGTCGAAGACCCGGGCTCGTTGTTGCCGCCGCAAAGCGAACACTATGCGAGTGCACAACTCCCCCTACTTCCCCTCTTTTGTATGGCATGAACAGCAGCACAAACACCACCACCAGCTAGCACACGTCCACGTGGAGCCTGAGCATGACAAACTTCTTGTGTGCCTAATGTAGTACTGTTTGGGCTTCCGTGTATTCGTGATGCAAACAGTGCCACAAGGTAGCAACTGGATTGATTCGGGTTTTTGCTTCACAAATGAGCATGAGGGGAAGATGGGCCCGTGCACTGTCATAAACACTTCCAGGGACCCTGAAACACACGCTGGCCGATATCCTCGATCTTCGAAGTTTGTTTCTTCTGCTGCTTCTGGTTTTGAGTACTAGGGGTTGCGCCGCGCGTGGAAGTTGTGGCAGATGTTTGCTCGGAAGATGATCCACCAGCAGCAACTTCCGGTTCAGCTGTGGTGTTCTGTTCACTTCCAGGAGTACTACCATTCTTGGACGACGGGCGGTCACCAGAGCAACTTTGACGCAGTTCGGCAACTTGTTCTACCCCATCAGTCAACGAAGAGGACCACCCGCCCCCCGGCACGTCAAGACTCCCGACCGCTATCGGTTCCTCATATGAACTGCAAAAGTATCCTATCGTACTCGTATAAATGCATTACAAATTTCCCCAGCATGAGAAAACAAATTTGCCATGCGGATTAACCTTAAGAAGAAAATTAAAATTTGTAATGCATGAATGCAATTCCAATTACTACGAGTACGATACTTTTGCACAGGATACCTCAATCCTCTCGTTGATTTTCTGCAGCACGTTTGCGACCTGGCCGTCCACAAACTGCGGGCAGTTCAGGCGAACTTCCACGTTCTTGATCCGCAGAATCGAGGAATCTGGGTTGGTGGTTTCGGTCACGGGAAGAAAGGTGAGGATCGGGCGAACTATCCAAGGAAAAAAGTTCGCCACGATCACTCATGCGCATTTTTGCAATCTGTCATGCGTAAGAATACATGAGAGTCAAACTTCATACGAGATTTCCTTTGTGTTTGTGCAATACAAGAAAGCTCTGTGATGTCAGAAAAATTTCTCATGCAAAACCAGCAGACTAGTGACTGTGACGAACTTTTTTCCACCTTCCATACGAACGGAGAGATTGAGATTGTTACTGGTCTGGAAAATGTTGCTCATAGTGTAGAAGTTCTCTTGCGCAGTAGAAGCTGTTCTTGAGGATGATCTGCCATCAGAATCGAAATTCGTCTCACGGCCAGTAGAACAAGCAGTACTATTACCTTGTCCCAGTCCCTCGCTACCGATCCACAATTTGAGGTATAGGTGGTTTCCATATCCTCTGCAAAAGCATCGTACTCGTACTAATCGCATTCATGCATTACAATTTTTTTTGCCTAGTTAAATCCGCATTACAAATTCTATTTCTCATGCTGAGGAAATTTGTCATGCGATTCATACTAGTACGATACTTTTGCAGTTCATATTCCAAACTGCAACGCAAAGTACATGGAGTCTCTGACTCCTCCTATCAAACAAAAAAAGTTCGTCACGATCACTCATGCGCATTTTTGCAATACAAAACTTTCTGTCATGCGTAAAAATGCATCACAGCCGAACTTCATAAGGGATTTCCCTAGTGTTTCTGCAATACAAGAAAAATTTGTGATGCTAAAAAAATTTGTAAGAGTGGGGTAACAAACCTCCCACCAGAAGTTGCAGGCCAACTTCCCATCCACCCGGCCGGGTGGATGGGAAGTTGGCCTGGTTGGCCTGTCCGCGTCGCCCGCCCACCCCCCGCTCGTCCCCGGATCCCGGATCTCCCAGAAACGTAACGCCATCTGGTTGCTTGCGAGTTAAGCCATCGGCTTGGGTGGGTGGTTACGAGTTAATTTCCACCCTCGACGAGACTCGATAAAGCGGCTGATATGGGCGAAGCGCTAGCTACAGCTAGCCGCCCTCTTTATCCGCATTTGCGCTTGGTGTGCGCGACACGTCAAGCGAATATGCACATGGGGACGCGACGGCGCCAGCCGCGAGCCCCCCCGCAGGGCAGATCATGGGCAAGCAGCTGCGGCAGCAGGCTGCATCCCATGCCGTCGATTTCGTGCGAGCCTTTGCACGCACGCTCGTATGCGCGGGGTCCGCGAGTGTGAGGGAGGTGGAGGTCCGCGAGGAGCGAGGGTTGATTTTCCCCGCAGGCGGGGTCACAGCCAACACCACACAAGGGGCTGAGGTGAAACCGACACCAACTGCATTCAGTGCCGCACGAGGGCGCCACAACAAGAATGGCGCGCAACGACGGCGCATGCGTTGGCGAGTTCGAGCAGTTGCGAAACGTCCTATAGTGTCTGGCAGCTAGGATCTGCGCGCCTGTCATACCCAGGCGACCGAGACAAGGGCGGGCGGGTGTGGTCGAGCAAAGCAGCGCACGCTCTTCGAGCGTCAGCCCTTGCTATCTTCTGCATGCTTGCAGATTTCTCGCCCGCCATTCGGCGGGGCGGGCGCGTTTCGTGGCGGCGTTTGCCTTACCACGATCGATCTCGCCGACTAAGAAATTAAACAAAATTTAACGAGTGAGATTGACACTAAACGGATCTCCCAGAAGCGTAACGCCATCTGGTTGCGAGTTAAGCCACCGGCTTGGGTGGGTGGTTGCGAGTTAAACCAGAGAGACTCGCAACTCGGAGGCGGACAAGTCGCAACCTACCGCTGTAGAAGACGCGGCGCCTCTATCTCTGAAGAAGCCGATGGACATCCAACAGGTTTGTTATTGGAGTAGACCACCCGCTTCTGTCTCTGTCCAAATATGGGGCCCCGTAAGGACAAACATGGGCGGACAGGCGGCAACATACTGCTGCTGTCGAGGGTGGTCGAGTCTCAGCTGGTGGTAGCGAAGGGGCGAGCGGGGGGTGGGCGGGCGACGCGGACAGGCCAATCAAGCCAACTTCCCATCCACCCGGCCGGGTGGATGGGAAGTTGGCCTGCAACTTCTGGTGGGAGGTTTGTTACCCCACTCTAATGCAAACCCTGCAAGTCAGTGACTGTGACAAACTTTTTTCTCTCCATACCTTCATTCCCCCTCTCGCTGTGTTGACAGACCGCGGGCAGGTAGCACGTCAAAAACTGATTACTCGTGCACAAAGCCTATCAAATGCAAATATGTCTGGGTCTGAAAGAGTGAGTCTACTGAGTTTGTCATGCTATTAATTCTGATCGATACAAGAATCTGTGTTGCGTGACCTCCAGCAAAAGTCCTCACTTTTGGTTAATAGTAATATTACTAGATGAACGCGGCATGTCTCATCCAGAGTCAGCATTGCGTAGCCTTTTCAACAAAACTTGTGATGCTAGAGCCCACATTCCAGACCTTCTGGGTCATGCAAAATGTGCATGACAAACGAGGCAATCTTCCAGACCTAGGCATACTTACTTGCAGTTCATAAAGCCCAGGGGATGCCGGTGAAGTGGTTCAGCTTCCGGATTCGCATGCCGTCCGACCAAGCATATCAAATGCAAATACGTCTGGGTCTGAAAATTTGTCATGCTAAAATGTGCATGACGAAAACGCTCCCTCATGCAGGAGAGCATGACAAGTTTGCAGAACGCTTCCTCATACGCGCTCCGCATGAGAAACTGCGTTTTCGTATGACAAGGGAGGCTGAGGCTTTTGTGGGTCATGCAATACAGATCCCACAGGAATGTACGACCAGCATTACAAGTTTCAACTTTACAGACCCAGACATATTTGCAGTGCATAAAGAATCTCCGTTGACGATGCCGACAAAGGTCCTTGACACTTATTGTGAGAAAAAATCCCCCCTCCCCATACTAGACCGGGATACTTCTGAAAATTTGCGATGCTGATTTGAGACCACAAATCGTCGCTGTATTGCAAGAAGGCAAATCCAAAAACCTCGGGGCGCCCTGCGCGCAGTTTGTAGTGCTGTATGGCCTACGGAGGACGCGCCTGCCTTGCTAAGCGCCTACACCAAAACGCCCCTACTCCGGCTTGGTATCTGTCTGCAGTCCTCTACTGCAAGACAAAGCCGATTTGTGTACACAAATCCCGCATCACAGATTTCCATTTCGATATGGGGGGGGATTTATTTTCCATTTGATAACACTCCGTGGCTATTTCCTCGGAAGAAGGGGTTCGATTTGTGGCGTTCGTTTTCGATCAAAAAGCCAAACGTCAAGCCCGGGATCGAGTAGGACTCCACCGCTTTTTGCTGCAGTTCTTTGATATTCTTTGCCTTCTGGTTGTTGGGAATGGAGTTGATTTCGCCTCTTTCGTATTTCCGGAACCAGGAGAAATAGTCTTCGCATTGGCTGTTGAAGTAGTTGTAGCGCTGCTGGATTTTCGACTGCTCCTCTTTCGGAATCTCGATGCGAAATTGAAAACAGTGGAAGCCGCCGGAAAACGTGTTGTTCGTGGACCCGATGGGGATCGGTTTCAACCCGGGGAACTTGAAATTTTTCCAGCTGAAGGGTATCAACTGCAAAACTGTTTGGGTCTGGAAGAGTGCCAGCCTTGTCATGCAGGTTTTCCATGACCCATGAGGTCTGGTATGTAGGACATAGCATTACAGACTCTGTGAGAGTTCTATCATGCCTATCCTGCATGAGAAACTGCCTCTCGATTAGGTCAAAAGTGGACAGCTTTTGGTAATCATGCAACACAGATTTTTACATGATTCAGATTTAGCATGACAAGTTGCGTTGTTCCAGACCCAGACATTCTTGCATTTGATAAAGGGCACGGAGGACCCGTTGGCCGGAAGGAACTCCAACGGCCCGTCACCGTGGAGAATTGGGAAACAATCCTCGGCTATGCAATGCAAGTAATACGGACCTAGCAGAAATTGCTATTGCATGACAAGAAACCACTTATCGAGAAGAAAACGCAATTTGATGCCATGCAAATTCAGGTATTCAGAGCGTAGCTCTGGTAGTATGATGCAAAATTGCGACAACTAGTACAACGACACGTAAGTACGATACTTTTGCACAGGTGGATATGGGTTTGATTGTAGTCGTGGAAGAGGACCTTCGTCAAAAATTCCTCGGTATGAACTGCAAAAGTATTGTACTAGTATAAATCGCATGACAAATTTTCTCAGCACGAGAAATAAAATTTGTCATGCTGATTTACCGTACGAAAAATATTTGTGATGCAAGACCTGCATTTATACGAGTACGATACTTTTGCACAGGATACTCGGCTGTCGTCGCTTTCTTCGCGGCTTGCAAAATCTCCGCGAGTTGTTCTTCTTGCGCGGTTCTGCTTTTATTTGCAGACGTAGAGCTGTTCGCTTTCCTCTTTGCGGTAATCGTTTTCACCAGAATCGTATCGAATGCAAATATGTCTGGGTCTGGAAGGTTACAAAATCTGTTAGAAGGTCCGCAATGCGAGCTGTTGCATCACAAGTTTTGAGAAGGCCTTCCAATGCATATTCTGCATGAGAAATGCCATCTTCTGGTGTCCAAAAGTGGACGGCTTCTGCTGCTTGCGCAATACAGATTTTTGTATCGTCCAGACGTAGCATGACAAACTCAGACGCTTCCAGACCCAGACATTTTCGCAATTGATAAATCGCCAAGTTATTCGTTATACCGCCCAGGTGGAACCACCCCGCGTTATTTTCAAAAAAACCGGCACACAGAGGCGCAAGATCTTGTTGCAGTTGTTCATGATCACCAACTGTATTGGATGAAAAGCTGCCAGCAACAGCACCTCCACTGCACCTACTTCTACTTGGGACCAGAAACAGCTGCTTTCGCTTTTTTTTCGGGGGGATTTTGATCGGAATCACCGGGGAGATCCTCGGGGTGCTGCATATCCAGGATGAAAATGAGAGACCCATCCTCATCCAATCTGTCATGCAAAACATGCATCAGAGCGACTGTTTCTTGTCATGCAAAAACTGGATGGGGATGGGACAATAATTTTTTCTGTGGACGATACTGGAGGGTGTTATCACGCTGGACTGCCGTGCCTGGTTCTTGATTTCCAACAGAGAGAGCTGCTTCTCAACCCCTGCTGGGGCCCCCGCCTTCGTAGAAATTTCACTTGGCCTCCTTGGCGTAGCCAAACTGCAACTGCTCCTTTCGTCTCCATATTTTTCGCCCGCGCTTCCACTTACGCGTGAAGACCCGCTGCTGCTCCGGCCGCTTCCCTTCGAGTCGCGCCTGCGATCTTCCTCATTTTCACTTTGGCTTGTCCCGGAACCACTGCCACTGCTGTAATACGAGCTGCTGTACCCCTCGTCTTCGTCCCCTTCCGAGGCCGGCGCGGAAGATGGTGCAACTGAGACCACAGTCCTCTGCAGTTGGTTCGACGCTGCACCAGCTGGTGTTCTTCCACCTGGGCGGCCTTGTTGAAGAAACAGGCTAGTGTCGATGCGGAACCCGATAGCAGAAGTTGTTGTGCTTTTCCCCTTGATGGTGTTCGAAGACGCTCCACCTCCAGGGCTGGTTTCTCCTTCACACAACGACCCGGGAACGAGCTCGCTAGTAACGTCCAACTCGTTATAATTTCCTCCACCGCAGAGACCCCCAATTCCGTCCGTTGCAGGAGCTCTGCCACGACGAGATAAAGTCGCTTCGCCGGAGTCGCGCGAAGCGGAGATTCCCATATTATAGATACTACTAGCGCCTAGGTCTAGGTCTAGCTAGGGCTCCTAGCCTCACAATCGGATAATAAATTGAAACTGATGAAGATCTGATTGAAGATCGAGGATGACATCGTTGGCACGAAATAGAATGGTAAATGAACTTAACCCACATTGTACTTAAGTTTAAATTATTCGCTTTGCGCGGCAATTGAAAAAAAACACGGCAGAGTCCTTGCATAAAAGGCAACATTTTTGTGTCCTCGTGTACATCAAATACCATAAATACAATGAAATTCAAATTTGACTAGGCAGGAGGTACCTCATATAGATCAAACGTTTGTGAGCTTCATATGAAGACTCCTGCCGTATTCGTGCTTCTCACACGACTTGTACTTAACGAAGACACGTAGAAACAACCCCACCACAGTGTTGACTTCGATCTGCGACCCCACCCACCTAGTAGCCCTCGTAGAGCTACACTGTCACTGCAGCATCCGCTTCGCCTTTTTCATTGTACCGCATCACAAACCAGCCGATTCGAGCGCAGAAGTCGTGCGCGCGCACTTCAGATTTGACAGGACCGAACGCAGAAGAAACCACCGATAGCTCAGCAGAGTAGGACAACTAGAACTACAAAAACGACGATTATATGAAGGAATAGAATACTTCTACTTGTTCAAACTGTGACAATGATATGTCGTTCCAGTTCCTATCGTAAAAAAGCCACAGATGTTGCTCAATTTGGTGACGTCGGCTCTCTACTTGAAGAACAAACGTGGTATACGCAGGCCGGCTACTGCGATGAGCATGAAGTTATTCTTGCAATTATCGCTGGGAATCTTCCCTCCATTTCTGCATTGTTATTTGCGCGTCGGTAGAAGATTTTTAAACTGAAGAAATACGTGCAGCTGGTGCCTCTCGAAGGCGAAATTGTAGAAGATCTTGGTTGGTTGCAAGCAGGACGAGAAAGTCCACCTTGAAGTTTATTCGTCGTGCGAACAAATAAAGCTGTAACAGTAGGACCATCGATCAAGAGCAGTCAAGTAGGCCGCGCTAACAGTGATTCTTCGTGTTCTGCAGTTCTACTGATCCACCTTCCGTTTTTTCGTCGAGCAAGAGCCGCTTTTAGTTTCACCCCCGACATCAACATCATCCTCCTCATGTGGTTCCTTTCCCATATCGCCACCCCCAGCCGCGGCCGCCTCAGCAGGACGAGAGTCAACATGCTGGTCCACCGCTTCTTCTACCTCAGGCGAGCCGCCACTCCCTGCGACAGCACTACAGCGGCCTACGCTTTTGTTATCATTGTCCGCGGCGCTCCTGCCTTGATTTTTTACTAGTTCATCTTCTACTGCCGGCACAACGCTCATTTCTTTTTTCAGCAAAACCTCTCCCTCGCACCGACTGCAGTGGCACTCAAAGTGCCAGTGCTTCAGCTTCTTCCGGCGGTCACACACCGTGTACTTCTCACTGTCGTCCGTCATTTCCGGGTATGGATTGCAAAAGTGTCTGGGTCTGAAAGGTTGGAGCTTGTAATGCTAGCTCTCCATACCTAGGAAATCTGTATTGCATGGCCAACAAAAGTCGCAGCCTCTTTCGTACATGCAAAGACGCAGTTTCTCATGCGAATTGCCTATGAGAAAGTGATCTGAAAATTTGTCATGCTGCGTCGCATTCCGAATTGTTTTCATCATCCACGTTTGAGCATCACAAGTTTCCAGACCCAGACATTTTTGCATTTGATACCGGGCAGTAGTTGATGGTGAGCTTCTCGCCCTTCTTCACGACGCGGTTCGTTTTCAGGTTTACCGTCGTCTGCGCGACGTCCTCCTCGTCCAACTCGACTTCAACGTTCGCGTCGCAATCATGATTCAACAGGGAGAGCAACACAAACACCCCCTTGCGATTGGTCTGGCTGTGCGCAGTGGTCGTAAGGGTTGTGGTCGAGGTCGTGCTAGTAATTTTCGACAGCACATCATCGTGTTTTTGTTGTTCAACATCGTTGGTTTCACCCGCCGCGCCGGCCGTGTTTGCAGATGGGGTTGGTGCTGACGTTGCTGCATCACCACCCTTCAGTCCACGTTGCTGTTCTCCTCGCGCCTGCCCCAGCCCAATCCCATTCTGGCTGAGCCGCTCCGCGAGATTTTGCAGCAGATCCGGGCCTTTGATTTTCGAGTCCCAGATCTGAGTCGGGAACTTGTTGAAGGGCGCCATGTGGGACACCTTGGCCAACTCCTCGAAAATTTCCTGACTGCTCGTCTGGTGGAACTGAAAGACGGAGCTTTCCGGGATCGAGCACAGCCGCTCGAACGGGCGCAGAGCGTCGGCTAAATGCTTTTCGGACAGCTGCTGGTGTGTTGATGACTTATTCACACTATGTATTCCAGAGTCGGCATCGTCGTTGGACAACTTGTTCTGAGCACGATCCTGCTCGTCGGGCAACTGTTCCGCGATTTGGCACAAGCAGGAAGCCAGCGCCAGGATTCCAACCTGCGTGTCCGGAGACCGGTCCAGCTGCCACTTTGCCCACGTTATGCATTGCAAAACAAGTATCGCAGTCGCACTAGTAACAAGTACAACTTCATCTCGCATCACCAATTTAGAACCAAGAAGATGAAACAAAAGCGGTGGAGTTTGTCTTTGTCATGCTAAACAAGGTAGGAAAAGCAAAAGAGTTTTGATGTCACGCATGATTCCAAGTAGAAGTACAACGACTCCGATACTTTTGCACAGGACATACAGGTCTTCCACGGCAGGTGATCAAAAATCTGTTCGTAGAACGACAGAATCGCGGGGGTCGTGGTTCCTGTAAAAATATTCATGTTCTGCTGCTGTGATGTCGCAGGACCAGTGGTACAGTTAGTGGTCCACAAGCTTTTCGCATGGGGCCAGCTCACGAGGGCGGACTCCTGCAAAAACCACTCGCCCCGCTCCAAATCCTTGCTCGCCACCAGGAAGCGGCCGGATTTCTCGTCGCACTTGACGTCGATGTAGTCGCTGAGCGTCGGCACGGAGGCGATGATTTGCCGGATCTCTCCGAGCTCGGTGTCATCCTGAATTTCGTGGACCACCTTCATTTTATTCTCCTAGTTGGAACAATTCTTGGTGCAGCTGGACATCGAACCTCCCGTTGCAAGAACCGAAGATCGTGAGGCCACTTTTTGTCTTAGGTTGTCGTCGATAAATGCAACTAAGGGTCGAAGGGTCGTGGTTCACAACGTTGAAAAATACCAAGATGAAGTAAGCAAGAACAGCCTCGAGTTTATTTTACGAGATGATTCGCTTTCTGCTTGATGACTCGGGGAATAGAATTTCTGTACAACCTAGAAGCGAGTTGTAGTATAATATGGCAAGAAACAAGGACCACGGGAAATGTTCTGCCAATTCCCGCTCAAGAAAAACGAATATACGAAAATCTCAATTACCTGCAGCGGTCGCGATAATTTTCAGAAGATGCAGAAGATGGCGATAGAGATAGACGAATTTGCATGATCGTGGCAGAGAGCGACAGATTGATAGAGCTGCAAGGCCTAAGTGCAATTTTTCTTGTATTTACATATCAATTTTAGTTCTTTGGTGGTGTGGAGCACGAGCGCCGTCGATCATTCAAGTTTTGCTTGTCATTGATGTTATGCGTGTGAAGTAGAACCCAATCTTGTAGTAAACATGGATCGCCAGGTGGAAGAACTCTCGGGCTTGGCTTTTCAAGTTTCCACTGACTTTGTGATCAGGAAGATCTTTCTTCATCTTTCATTTCCATTTGTGATCGCCATCATCAAGCCAAGTAGTAGTGTAGTAGTAGCAGGGCGAAATTAAATGCGATTCATTTCAAAGTTAAGTACGTGTTTATTAGAGGGCAGTTTCGCTTCACGCATGACAGATTTGCCGGGTGAAGATAATCTTTCCCAGTTTCGGTTCATGCTAGAAGATCTCGACGTGAACGATTAATATTCCTCCTAAGTAGCAAGGACTCGCTCCTGCATTGCGCTAGTGCTGTGATAGAGACTTAGTGACACTATCGCTTTAGGTGCAACACTATCGCCGTCAAGAACGCCAGTGCGAGATAGCGCAATCAATACTGTGGCGTACAGTTATGCAACTGTCTTTATTTCTGTGCAATGCTACTACTTCAACACCGAGTGTATGAAGATATTGTACAGATGCAAGCTACGGCTCAATTCAATTATAGCTTAGTCATGTTGATGTTTCACTTTCATTTTGTCGGCTCAGTTCGATACTTTATGTTTGGATGTCCTTTCGTCCCCCTCCCCTTCGTAAACGGACCCAGGGTACCCATTTGAATTCGTCGACTCATACACAGATTTCAAATTTCCAATGCCTCCCTTCTGTCCTCGCACATCTGCACCATATGGAAGCGTCAGGTTTGAAATCGTCAAAGTTGAAATAATTTAAATGCATAAAATGCGATACAAGAAAAAGTGACTCTATTGCAGAGGCCCCACGAGAGGCAGATTATAGTGTTGGTAAGGGTCAAGAGTTGGACTGCTGACTAGCATGACAGAAGGCAGCTCTTTTGCCCTAAACCGCATGACAGACTCGCTTCCATGACCGGGAAAATTTGTCATGCACCGACTACAAACTGTAGGTCTAACTGGTATCCGTTTTATGCATGACAAAGTATTTCAACTTTGACGATTTCAAACCTGACACATCCATACACCAATTCGCGAAGATATCGAAGAGGAAGTTGCCACTGCGCCGCCGTGCCCACCCGTGGTGCTTGACAGAATAAAGTACACTTGCTTCACTGACAGGTCGAAGTACAGCGCCAAAATCGTCAAGCCCAGGGTGACTGCGAAGAAGAAGAAGAACAAACTCCGGTTGAGAAACAGGCTGGTAATGGAGAAAAAGACGCCATGAGAGTGTTGGAAGTCACTCACCCGCCGCATCCGTCTCGTATTATGCAATGTAAATTTCCTGTACATGTACAAAATGCATGACAAATTTTGCTAACTTGCAGTGTGCAACTTGTCAGGCTACACTAGGATTGAAGGCAGATTTTGTCATGCAGAGACAGCATTTGTACGTGTACAGGAAATTTACTGCGGATACGTATAGTCCGTGGAGTACAAGATGGAGGCGGACACGCGTGGCAAATTTCCGTTTTCGAATATTCTCTGAAAATCTACCATCCCCTTCCCCATCCATTTTCTGCATGACAAACACCGAATTCGCTACATGTTTTGCATGACAAATTGGATGGGAATGCTTAATTTTCAGGGGATATCGAAGTAGCTGGAAAAAGACGTAGAAGAACCAGTATCGGGATAGATGATTCCTACGTCTCGTTGCTGGTGGTCGTGAAGCGGCCCGGGGGCCGGGGAGGACAACTGAGCAATGATCTTTATTTTCATTTGTCATCATGCGTTTGAATTTGATCAATTGATGATGCGACATTTGGACGACCAAATTGCTGCTTTGGCTGCACCACGCGCACGCTCCTGTCCTTCGTGGATAAGTAAATCATCATCAGAAGTAGCAGCTGTTCTACTGCACGAACTCAATGTCGTGAAGGTGCGAAAAGCTCAACTCGATTTGTCGCGGAACTACTCCTACTCGTCATCGTGAACCAGATGCAAAAACAAATTTAGCCACCTGCATATTCCTGCTGTCAAAGGTAAACAATTTGTGATCGATCGGCAGCCCGCTATCTATGGCGTTCTCAACTGTTACACTCTCAACTGTTACATGGATTTGTCGTGCAAAAACAGCAATAGGGAAAGGGGAAAGCTTGCAAGTCTTGCATCACAAATTTGGCACGGATTTAGATGCTGTTATAGCCATTCGATGATTTGTCATGCGAAGCAGCTTGATTGTCTTGCGGATCGGGATCGTGGTCATTTTGCATGACAAATCATGTAACAGCTGAGAATGTAACATATGAGAACGCCATACTATCTGGATCGATGTTTGACGCCAGCATCTTTTCACTATCAAAGGCAAAAGCAATATCGTGCTACTAGAACAAGTGCTGGCTCTTGTTGTGATCGGACTTACAAACTTCCCCAGCGCGGTAAGTGATGCAGATTTAGATAGAACAAAGAGATTTGGATTTGCACCATGTGCATATCATGTGTGATTATTATGTAGAAAGATGGCGAGCGCGAGGAGTAGTACGATACTTTTGCACATTTGATACTCTTGCACAAACTGCAATCGCGCATCGTCGAAGCTGAGAAATTCCTCTTCTGCGCCGTTTCTCCATTGCAAATATGTAAATCTGGATCGGAATCTGTGTTGCGAAAGCTGAACGACAAGTAGGAAATCCATGATGCATATAGTAGGAGCGACCGCTTTTTCTGCTGTCGTGCAGCGAGAGAGTTTGTCATGCACAATGGAATGCGGTTGCATACGCATTCGCAAGAAGAAGAAGAAGAACAACAAAGCAAAATATAATGCGGCCAAGCCGCTTCAGACGTTTCATTGTCATTTCTGCCATCCCATAGTACAACAGCTCAGTATGACAAATCGCGTGCCTCTATCCAAGCCCAGACATGTTTGCAATTGATACCGTTATTTCCGCTTTTCCGCTGCATCAGATCCTCAATCTCCTTGAGGTGGTCGTAGCCCTATGCATCGCAAAAGTATCGCACTACTTAGTACAAATTGCATGCGTCACAAATTGACTTAATGCGAAAATTCCTTAACAAGTAGCAAAGTTGTAATGCATAAACGCAGTTAGTATGTAGTGAGGTCACCGAACGGTTCTAACCGGGGAGTTTTTTTGCCACCCAGACAGCAAAACGACCGGCAGTTTTCAAGCGGGCGGAAGTGTTTTTTGACAAAAAAGATTTTCAATTATTAAGTGGCTTTGGCTTTGTCGGCACCGAATCGCCAGCGGATTCTATCGCTCGCCGCTGGGTAAAACGACGCAGGGGAGCCAGCGAAAGCGGCGCCCTTCTGAGGGCCCCACCGCCTTGATTTCTGGCGGTTTGGGGCGCCCAAAAAGACACGCGAAAAAAACGCGCCCAGAATCAGAATAGCGAAACAGCATGGCACGGCCGCGATTTCGGAGCATTTTGGGCGACCTCGAAAGCGGCCGCATTTTCGCCGGCTTCAGAGCCTGGGAAGCTTTGCAAAAAGCGCCGGCTAGAAAAATAAAAACGCAAAAAAGCAAAAGCGCGCCAGACGCGCAAAGCCAATCCGCATGCTAGGGGCCCGATTTTTCTTCGCTTTTTGGGGACCCCCCGTGGCACCCGAATCGGCCCCATAGCGTGGGGGCTGGCATTCGGAAAGGAATATCGGGAATTTGCCAAAATTTGCTACGTTTAGCAAGCGGCCGCCATACCGTGCGGCCTAACGTTACTCACGGCGGTATGGCGAGTCCAGAAAAAGCAAAGCCGCGGCCATGGCGGCGGCCGGCGGGCAAGAAAACGCCCACGACCTCACTACCCCCGCCCCGGCGGCTATATTTGGTACTAGTTAAGGATACTTTTGCACAGGATAAGCCACGGCTCTCGGCTATTTCCAGATCGAAGTTCTCGCTGGACCGCCCGAGAATGGTGACTGATGGTGGAGGCACAGCTTCTCCTATAATTCCCGTCGTGCCTTTCTTGTCCGATGTAGTTGGAGACGCAGACGCAGTCGTGAAAAGGCCTGGTTGTACTGCTGGTAATTTGTCATTCGTGTCGTCAGCGAAAGGGTTAATGTGATTGTCAGCAGCACGGTCAGATGAAACAAAAATATCAGGGGGTTCCTTCATCTTGTTGTTTTTTTTACTTGGTTCACTTCTTTTTCGTCGTCACAAACACATCAAGCAGTAAGTTGGAATGCTTTGACTTTTGCTATTGTCCGATATACTTGCTTGGAAATCGGAAACAGAGACTCTAGTACGAAGACGCCCTAGCGGTCACGAACCCATCTGCCACATAACATTCGCTTTATGGTATGAAAAAGCAAGCCAAAGCCGAGACAAACGATAGAGACGAGGATTCGGGAGCGGCCGGCACCCCATTTAGTACGCACGAAAAAGGGAAAGCACTTGTAGCAATGTAGAAAGATGAAAAATGTTGACAGGCAATGATTTATCAAAGACGACGACGAATAGAGGGCGAACAAAGCCTCTACTACTTTCCCAAACCGACCTCTTCGGACGGTCGTAGAAGTGGATGTAGCCTCCAAAATTATACACTTAGCTCAGTTCTGAAATCACAAGTAGTCTGGTTGAATGAGAATCAGAATGCTCAATCAGATGCCTTGTTATGCTAAAAAAACTATACAAGCCGAAGGTCATAACCAACAAGCCGAATAAAGTTATCATGCCAAAAAATGCAAATACAATGAAAAGAGTAGCCAAAACAAATCGTGAGGTTGAAGGTGTTCTTGTTCTATCTTCTGTAATTGCGGCGCTGAGTAGAAAACGAAAAGGAAAACCAAAACGCGATGGAGGTTCTGGTTTCCTCCTTGTCCTTTTGTCGTTGTCTATATTAGTGAAAATCCGAATAAAAACAATGGTGCAAAGTTGTCGATACAAACTATGATATAATGATAATCCGATTCGTTTTCTGATACGATATCTCCTCCGTGTGGTTTTGACCACGAGGTGGTCGTCTTGAAAGACTTCTAGACTGACAGAATTATGGCGCCATGAAACTATATCTGTTTAAGTACTTACTCTTACATTAATGTATGGTTTGCAAGTTACTTAACTCGAGATGAGCAGTGGGAAGAAGCATATGAAATGAAAAATCGCCAATCCAGGCCGAGGCCTGTAGGGTTAATGACATTGTACACCTACACAGAAGCTGCATGCATGTTGAATATAGGAAAAGGAATCCGAATCTCTACGTAAAACTGAAACACTACAAACAATAACAATGATAGTCTGGGATTCCACATATTATAACAACTTACGCAAACACCCGCGGAAATTTTTGTTGAAACAAACTGACCACACCTCCGGTATTTGCGCCGTTCTGCTCCGGCAGCACAAATGCGTTCTGTATAACCCGCTCAGGTGTTACAATCTCAAACGTTAATACAACAGATTCTGGAAATCTGTGATGCAAGAGCTGCATGATCTAGCCTCCTCCCATAGGAAGATTGCGCATGACCAGTTTCGGAGTCCCCAAACACACCTGAAATCCGGCGAAATTTGTATTGCGAAAACCTCAATTCCCTGTACGTTCCTCATGCTCTTTATGCAATACGAAATCCAGACTCTGTTGTAACGTTAGAGAGTCGTGTAATGCTTGAGCGGGTCATATTTTGCTGTGCCATTTTCGTCACCTCCTTGATGGGAATCTTCGGCAAGTCAAACTTCAGCATCCCCTTCAATTGCGACAAATCCCCAGGAGCAGGAGCTCCCGTGGCCGCCCCGTTTTGCTGCAATAGATCACGATGATCCGCCACTGCAGCGCCCGCGGAATGGTCCTCGAGCCCCAAGGCCGCAACGAGATTCGGCACAGCAGCCGCTCCCCCGATCGGCACATCCAATGTTCCCGCGATCTTCTTCAAAAAAGCAATCGACCCGTCGGTGATCAGCCTGCGGATTCTCGCCTTCGATTATTGCGGTGAAAAGTGCCCCCCACCCCTGAAATTGCAAAAATTTGTGGTGCGAAGTTTCCAAATGAAAACTTTTTGTCATGCATGAAAGGAGAATGAATCTTTCTGATGCAGAGTCTACGCGTGTGTCGCATCGCTTGCATGACAAGCGCCGCTCGTGCTAGGGTCTTTTGCAATACAAATCTTTGCTACTCACGATTGGAAACCTGTGATGCTGATAGATGCAAGAGGGCGAATGTTTCACTTGGAAAGGTTTGCAATACAAATGCTCCCAAGTTCGGGGGTGGGGGCATTTTTCATTGTAATATCGACTCGTAAATTTCCGTGGGAATTTTCCCGAAGTCCTGGGGCTCAAAGTCGAAGTCAATTTCGTCCTTCAGGTATACTGGGCAGAAGTATCGTACTCGTAATAATTGCAAATATGCATGACAAAGCTTCCTCCATCAAGGGTAAAACAGCATTACAAGTTGGTTCCACTTTTCTTCTTGCAAAAATTATTTGTAATGCAATTTATACTTAGTACGATGCTTTTGCATTGCATATCACATTATATTTCTGAATGGTGAACGTCGGCTCGCGCTGCGCCGCCGCGCCGGACGTGTTTTGTGCGTTGAACAGGACCGCTTGGCTATCGCATGCAAAAACGTCCCCAACTCCAGATTTGTAACATGCAGATTTGCAGCAAATCTGCATGTTACAAATGTTTCTCATGAGAAGGAGCATTGCGTAGTCGTGTTTTGGAATTACAATTAGTCATGCTCTAATCAGAATGATGGACTAGATCTGTGATGCTGCTTAAGTACCTCGACCAGCACTACACCACGATTCCACAGATTTGTCATGCAAAACAGCCAAAACTTGTGGATTTGTCTAGCCGATTTCCTATCTTGACTATGGGGTGGGAACGTTTTTTCATAGGATATTGGTTTTCGCTTTGGAGCACCGAATCAACGATGTCTGAGTGTTGGATGTTGCCGAACGTGGCTTCCCAGAAATCTTCCGTGGCGTGCACCTGTTCCTCCAGTTTCTTCTCCTGTTCTTTCAGATATGACAGTGCACAACTCCCCCTCGTCCTCATTTCTCATGCAATAAAGTCCACAATTCCAGTTGTTCCCTTGATGTATCACTATTATGCATGACAAATTCCGGAAGCTCTAACAGTACTGCACTAGGTGCACAAATTTGTCATGCGTTGTGGCCTCCACGTGTGCTGGTGTTTGTATTGGTGTTCAACCTATACAAAAGAGGAGGAAGGGGAGTTGCGCACTCTCATATCAGAAACACTGGTGCGTAAAACTGGAGCAACGTTTGGAGCAGGGTTTGCAGCAAAAACCGGTCCGCAGACAGCTGCAGATTCAGGGACAGAGTCGTTCTAGTTGAAGAGGCCGAGGACCCTGTGCCCGACTGGAGGCTTTCCATGGTTTCTTGCTGCGTCCTTTCGACGGTCTTTCGCAATTGTTCCACGAGCAGCTGTCTGGCCTCTCGCGCTTCTTTCACAGCCGATTCTTTATCCACTAAATTGTCTACTTGGTCCGCATGCTCCTGTTCCAGCGCGTCGTCGTTGTCCAGCCCCGCAGCGAAGGCTTCCAGCAAGTCTTCCCTCGGGTTCAGTTTCTTGTCGTAGGAGAAAAGTTATCCTGCGCAAAAATATCGTACTCGTAGTAATTGCAAACATGCATATACAAATCTTGGTCCTATGCTAAATCAGCATTGCAAATTTTATCTCTCATGCTGAGGAAATTTGCAATGCATTTATACGAGTACGATACTTTAACTTTTGCAGCTCATAAAAGTAGACTTGGGTCGAAAAGCGGGTAAGACGTGCTGCCAAAGATCTCGTAGATGGTTGCCAAAGATCTTGTTCTCGTCTTGTGCTGTTTATTCTGGTTCTCCACGTAGTTGACCACCTCTGCAGAAGTAGTCTCAAACTCTCGCTTATGGATTGTAAAAGTGTCTAGGTCTGGAAGGTTGGGACATGTAATGCTAGCTTTCCATACCTAGAAAATCTGTATTGCATAACGAACAAAAGTCGCAGCCTCTTACTTTCTTTGTCATGCAAAAACGCAGTTTCTCATGTGGATTGCCTATGAGAAAGCGTTTTGGGAAGTTGTCATGCCGGACTGCATTCGGAAGTGTTTTCATCATGCACATTTTAGCATCATAAGTTTCCAGACCCAGACATTTTTGCATTTCATATCGCTTGTCCCACAGGAACCCAGACACGGTGTTTTTCATCTCTATGACAGTGCACAACTCCCCCTCCCCCTCATTTGTGATGCAAAATGCCCAACCCAGACAGTCCCTCTTAGCACTGTTTGCATGACAAGTTCTGGCAGCCCAAATAGCACTACAATCCTGTGGCTGTGCAAATTTGGCGTGCAAAACCTGCATTCTCGCTGTCGCTTGTATTGCCGTTCATGCTTTACAAATGAGGGAGAGGGGGAGTTGTGCACTCTCATATTCTCCCCGGAAGTGACACAAACGGCGGACCGTGTCGGTTGCTTGGCTTGAGTTCTGCTGTGCAAAAGTATCGCACTCGTTTCGTATAAATGCTGGTCTTGCATTACAAATCTTTATCTTAAGGGAAATCCGCATTACAAATTTTCTCTCTCATGCTGAGAAAATTTGTAATGCATTTATACGAGTACGATACTTTTGCAGTTCATATGAGTGTGGTCTTGGTGATGCTGTAGGACCGAAGTAGAAACTTCTGTTGCTGTAGCTGCAGCCGTAGAAGTTGCTGTACCAGCAAGAACACCATTAGAAATTACTGTTGAAGCCTTACTCGCCGGCCCGCCTTCTGCCATCGTGCTTGTTGTTGTGAAAAACGGGTCGGCAACGTGCTCAATGCTGCAAACAAAATCGTCGTCAAACGCGGCCAGTAAGGCGGTTATTAAATGCCAAAATGTCTGGGTCTGGAAGAATGCAAGACCTGTCATGCACATTTTGCATGGCCAATGAGGTTTGCAATGCAGAACCTAGCATGACAGATTCTGTGAGGTCTCCATCATGCCTATCCTGCATCAGAAACTGCTTCTCAACTTGGTCGAAAGTCAACAGCTTCTGGACATCATGCAACACAGATTTTTGCATGATTCTGATTTACCATGACAAGTTCCACTTTTCCAGACCCAGACACTTTTGCATTTGATAGCGGTGACAAGCCTGCCGTTGTGGCCGTCGGTGCATCGGGGGGCCAGCGCTATAGCCTGCTCACGTGTTACAATCTCAAACGTTACAATAGACTATGGAGATCTGTGATGCAAGAAGTGCATTACCTAGAAGCCAACTCTCATAGGATTGCGCATGACAAGTAAGTTCCAGCGTCGGAGTCCCAAACCGCACTACAATCTAGCGACATTTGTATTGCAGAAAGTAGAATGCTGTCCGAGTCTGTCATGCTCATCACGCAACGCGACAAAATCCAGATTCTATTGTAACGTTTGAGATTGTACCGTTTCAGCAGGGCGTAAGCGTGAGCAACACTTTTTGGATCACGGGGTCCTCTAGAACGGTGGAAGTTGTTGATACGCTAGTAGTGGCTTTAATATCGTTTGCGCCTGTAGTTCCGCTCATTTGTGCAGGAGCTGCCTTTGGAGCTCCTCCTGCACTAGAAGTACTCGTAGTTCCTGCTGTTTTATTGTTCCCGGCACCCCAGGTGGACCACGTGTTAGTTATTGTGCTCGAGCTGCCCGCCGCCGCTGAGCCCGTGGACGCCTCGTAATCAAAAATCGAATACATTTTCCTCTCCCGAAGGCGCTTTTTTCGAGACGCAGGGGAGTTGTTGTGGTTCCCCTTTATTTTTCCGTTTTCCAACTCCGCCCCTACTTCAAACGAGCTATTTCTTCGCAACAAATTCGTACTACTGCCTGACCGCTTCGACCCCGCCCTGCGCATCTCCCGCATTTCCCGCGCGTGCTCCAAAACGAGCTCCGCATTTCCCTGAATTAGGTCGCGCTTCCCTGCGAAACTCGTGGTGTTTCCCCTTTCCATATGGATTGTAAAAATGTCTGGGTCTGGAAACTTGTGATGTTGGGCGGCGTATCATGAGGAGGCCACAGGTGCTGGCTCAGCATGACAAGTTTCTGAGCTTCAAGGTGTTGCCTATTGTGCATGACAAACTGCGTTTCTGCATGACAGCAAAATGGGTCTCTTGGGTAATGTGCATGACAGATTTAAGAGTCATGTGAAACAAGCATGACAAACTTGCATTCTTCCAGACCCAGACATATTTGCATTTGATATTCCAAGCTGCTGGACCGTCGCGGAGACAGGGAAGGAGAGTCTATCGTAAAGAAAAATCCCCCCTCCCCATATCGAAAAGGCATGCCTCAGAAAATTTGCGATGCTGATTTGTGATCGTGTCTGTCTTGCAAGTAAGCAACGGCATATGCTCCGCCCCATTATGCAGGCGGTTTGTAATGCTGTTGGGCCTACAGCATAGACAGCCCTCATGCTACTTGCCTATGCCAAAACCTCTCTACATTGGCATGATATAGGCCTGCAGTCCTCCACTGCAAGACAGAGCTGATTTGTGTACACAAATCCAGCAACAGAAATTTTCGGCTCGATATGGGGAGGGCGGATTTTTCCTTTTGATAGAGTCCACGCCGGAGCTGTCGCCCGCCCCCGAACTGAACGAGCGACTTCTCCGCATCGCGTTCCCCATGGAGCCGGCCCGGTCCAGCCTTTTCGGCGAGGGAGACGCGGAGGAAAAGCCGGCCCCTCCTGCGGCCGGCGAATTCACGCTGTTCGCGGGGGCGGTCCCGAGGCTGGTCATGCTGCCCTGCTTCTGGATAGTAGTACTAAACGCGTGTGGACCGCTCGGCGACGCCAGGGAAGATGCTCCGAAGTCCATGGTCGAGTGCTTTCCGGGAATCAATTTCTTTCCCACTGCGCTAATCGGGCTCAAAACTTCCTCCATCGTTTTCGATCGGCGCATACTGCGCAACCCCGCATGTGTCGACGTCGGAGCGGCCAGATCATCCTCGTCTTTGTTCGCCACGGCTCCTGCAGCTTTAGTGTCGCCATCTTCCTTATGCATTGCAAAAGCATCGTACTAGTATAGATTGCAATACAAATTTGGAATTTCGTTAGAATTAGAAATGGAATTTGTCATGCGGATTTGCCTTGATAAAAAGATTTGTAATGCAAGCCTTGCATTTATACGAGTACGATACTTTTGCACAGGATATTCCTCGTCGTCGTCTAGAAGAGAAACCTGCTTCCTGGTGTTATCCTGGGTAAAAACGTCCCCACACCAGCAGAGTCAGGATCAGATGGGAAATCTGCAAGACAAATTAGCCTTATTTGGTTGTTTCGCATGACAAATTCTTTGCCCTCGTAGTGTAATCCTGTTTAGGTTAGGTAGTTCCAAAGCATCACAGATCTAGCATATCATGCTGGTTATAGCATCACAAATTCCAAAACACGAAAAATAGGGAATGCTTCATCTCATGGGGCTCCGCATGCGAGACACTTTTGGCATGCAGATTAGCATGACATCTCTGGGGTGGGGACGTTTTTACACAGGATAGGTGTTCGCGCGTTTTATCTTTACCTGTTCGCGAACCTGCTCCAAGTCGTCCACAGCTTGTTTCACCTGGTCCGTGTCGATCAGGTTATTCGCGGTTTTCTGTTATGAGAGTGCACATCTCCCCCTTCCCCTCGTTTGTCATGCAAAGCACCAAACTCAGTGGTCACGCCTGGCCTCAGAGCACTGCTCGCATGACAAGTGAATCTGGAAACCTAAAGTAGCACTGCGCTCCAGTGCAAACTTGTCATGCACAACCGGCATTCTTGCTGATGCTTGTATTGCCGTTCATGCTAGTACACACATGAAGGGGGCGGGGGGAGTTGTGCACAACTGTCATATCTGTCTCTGCACAAACATTTTCTTCTCTTCCAACCGATCCTGTTTCAACCTCTCCTCCATTGCCATCCGCTGGTGCAGATACCGCAGAATCTTGACGATTTCGTTGCAACTCGGGTGCAGGAAGTGCGCAATCGACTGGAGGGCGATGACTAAATCCGAAGTCACGAAGACCTGGTTCCGCTCGTACTGGAAAACTTCCAGGATCTTCTTCGTGACGGACAGCGCGCTCGGTGGAACAGCTGGTTTGTCCACCAATTTGTCCCAATTCAGCCCTACGTAGTCGAACAAATACCAACTAGGCTGCGAAACCGACACTGAGCTAAAGTGCCAAACGGATTGCGACGCAATGCGAATGTCGAAAACCTTGGTGGTTGCTATCACCAGAAAAAAGTGTTACAGTTACACATTTGTTGGAGTTTCTGCATCACAAATTTTCTCTGTGCGGCACAGAAAACTTGTAATGCGAACATCATAAGGGAAAACATGAAGGAAACGAGGATCCCAAGCATTTCCTGCATGAGAAAGGTTGTCTGTGTTGCCGGTCTTGCAACACAATGTGTAACTGTAACACTTTTTTCTTGCGATAGTTGCCGACGAGGAATTATTCCCGGCGGAGTAGGAAGTGGGAATGTTATGGGAGTGCCAGAATCGAAATTGACATCAAAGTTGAAACGATTTGTCATGCATAAAATGCATGACCCGAGGCACGTGTGTTGCAGAGCAGGCAAGTGAGGCCGATTGTAAGGCTGTTTGGGGTTACAGCTCGAGCTGCTAAAGTAGCATGAGGAAATCGCCCTCCTTTGCCTAAACAGCATGACAAACTGGATTTAGAGACCGCCGAAATTTGTCATGCGCCACTTAGAAACTGGTTTCCAACTGGCATCCATTTTATGCATGACAAATCATGTCAACTTTGTCAATTTCGATTCTGACACTTCCATAAATGTTCTGCAGTCCGTATTCCACCGGTTGGATAGCACTGAGCACCTTATTTGTACTCCCATTTCTGGTGTTCGTCTTCACAACCCCCGTTTGGATTTTCCGCACCGAATTCCGCACCGCTGCCCACTCGAGCAGGAGGTCATGATGCGATTTCTTCTTTAACCCGCCGTCCGCTCCCGCCGCGCCATTACCCGCAGCTCCTGATGCGGCTGCTCCTTTAGCATCCTTCTTTTTGTTCTTCGCAGTGGTGGAATCAGCGCTGGCAGTACTCGACGAATTTTTGCTCCCGGTACTATTCGTCAAGAACGCCTGCTCCAGGCACGTTTTGTCGAACAGATTCAACTTCTGAATCGCGTCGACAAGGCATTTGTCTCCGTCGTTTAACAGGTCAAAGTATGCATTGCAAAAGCATCGTACTAGTATAGATTGCATCACAAATTTTGGCAAGAAGAAAAGTGGAATTTGTAATGCTGTTTTACCTTAGGAAGGAGATTTGTCACGCATATTTGCAATTAGTACGAGTACGATACTTTTGCACAGGATACAAACACGTACCGCCCGGACGGGTTCCGCGGGTTGAACCCAATTACGCTCGACACCGAGTGCATCAGCATTCGCTCCGGCTTCCGCAGCGCGCCGATCATCTGCGCGCAGAAGTCCCCGTTGTTTTGGTTTCCGGGCGTGATCGGCAAGACCGTGCCGGCCAACGGCCACAGCGCTTTCCGCATCCTGGTCGCTTCCAGGAACCGACCCAGCATGCGGAACTGGGTCGGCTTCAGGGAGAGCATGCGCGCGAGGAGCGGGAGGAGCGGGGTGTCGAACACCAGCCCCTCGTCTGCGTTGTGGAAAAATTGAAGAATACCGACGAGACCAGTAAGCGACACGTCGTACCGATGGGCGTTCGACAAGTGGTTCAAGAAATCGTGCGGCAGAAGCGGCTGCTTGTTCGTAGAAGCGGCTTGTTGTAGTTGCAGAAGCTGCTGTTGCTGTCCCAGCTGCCCATGTTCTTTCGGCTGCTCTGACACCAGACGCAGCTCAAACTCGATGACTATGGAAGTTGTACTAGCGCTAGAATTTGTCATGCTGTTTTGCACGAGTGGCGAACTGAAGAAATCCCCAGTCACTTCCTTGCCGTTGACAAATCCGCTCTCGATTGCATAGCAGTATCGAAATGAAAAATCCCCCCTCCCCATATCAAAGCGGACATCTGTGATGCAGATTTGTGGTCGCAAATCAGCTTTGTCATGCTAGAAGGCAAAAGATGCGGACTGTTGACACGGAAACACCTCGACAGTGAACTCCCGACGAATTTTGCAAAACCCCTAGTCGATTCTTTGTCGATTCCTTATCCAAAACGAAAATCGCACGCACGTGCTCCAATGTCTACGCTCACGACTGTTGTCGTGCGCCACACGGCCAGAGAGAAGGCCGGCGACTTGAAACCACACAAAGCCAGCGCTTTGCTCCAAGTCGCTGGCAGTTTTTGGCGTCCCCTTTCGGTGTCGAACAATTGCACGCCGCGCTGCGGTTCTACTGTATCGAACCGGCTGCGCGGCTTTTGCACTGTGCGTCATCTTCCGGCTCGAGCCTTGCTTTGTTACACTTGTACGAAATGGAGGCCCCGCTCACCCTGCGGCGTGGCGATCTTGTACAATTGTACGAAAAGCGGCGTGGCACTTGGCGTCACATCGCCACCCTGCGGCGTAGCGATTTCGTACATTACCATCGGGGGGATGGCGGCGCCAGCAGGCGACGACCTAAAGGAGCAAGCCGCTTTTCGTACAATTGTACGAAACAGGGGACAACACTGTCCGCCACTTTCGCAGGCGTGCTTGCATTCTGCGGGCCGCGGCAGCGCTGCCCGCGCGCCCAGTGTCCGCGCGCGCCCAAGTGCATCCACAGCAGCGGCGCGGAGCCTCTGTCGATTCCTTGTCGATTCCTTGTCGATTCCTTGTCGATTCTTTGTCGATTCCTTGTCGATTCCTTGTCGATTCCTTGTCGATTCTTTGTCGATTCCTTGTCGATTCCTTGTCGATTTTTTCTCATTTCGTACAATTGTACGAAATCAGCAGCTCTGAAAGAAAATGTCACTTTCCTAATTTCGTACAATTGTACGAAATCAATATTTCTAAAAGAAACAGCGAATTTCGTACAATTGTACGAAATTGTACGAAATCGACAAAGAATCGACAAAGAATCGACAAGGAATCGACAAGGAATCGACAAAGAATCGACACGGACTCGACAGAGGTCACCCCGAAACATGGGCGCAACGAGTGGAATCGACAAGGAATCGACAACGACCACCGAGAAGCAAGGCAGCAGAGCCGTCGTATTTGGCACAAACACTTGCGCGCCCTTTTGTACAAAACAAGCGGCTGCGCGACCTCCTATTTTCGTACAATTGTACAAAAAGCGATTGGGGGACCTGCCCCGCACCTTCCGGCTGGGGTACGTCCAGCCCTGCCAGTGTCGTCGATTGTGCGAGCCAGCGCATTTTCGTACGATTGTACGAAATGTTATCTGGAGACCAAGCACCCGCTTTTCGTACGGTTGTACGAAGTCAGCAATTTTTCTGACAGAAAATGTCAGTTTCCTAATTTCGTACAATTGTGCGAAATTGTCGCTGTGCTCCCCGCTTTTGCTGTTGTCTGCGTGTTTTCGTCATGCTCCCCGCTTTTGCTCTATATTCATGACAACGGTCATACTTCTCGAACTGTTCATTGTATGCGCTACTTGGGTTGTACACGGCAGTGGACCAAGCACGCAGGCAGAAAACAAGAAAGATATCGGCCAAAATCGACAAGGAATCGACAGAAAATCGACAGAGAATCGACAGAAAATCGACAGCAATTCGACGACTTCAGCTTGTCGAGGTGTTCCGGTGCCAAGGACTGTAGTGCTGGCTGGCGTGGGAAAGCCAAATCTTCAGCATGACAGGAGGCAGCTGGAATGGGGAAACAGCATGGCAAATTGCCTGCAACAAGTCAGGCCACAACTGCGTCTTTTGGCCTTCTAGCAATACAAGTCGACTTGTGTACTCAAATGCAGCACCACAAGTTTCGTTTTCGATATGGGGAGGGGGCATTTTTCCTTTTGATAAGTAGAGCACGTTCTTCGCCGTCAGCTCCTGAAAATGCTTCCGCACCAAATCCAACACGGTGCGGTGCACCGGGTTCCCGAGCCAAAGTTTGTACTTGCCGAGTTTGGGATTCGTGAAGTCCCACAGATTATCAAATGTAAAAGTGTCTGGGTCTGGAAGAATGCAAGATTTGTCATGCATATTTCTCATGGCCCATGATGCCTGTAATGCAGGACCAGCATCGCAGACTTTTAGAGGGCTTCCTGATGCACCTTCCGCATGAGAAATGCCCTGTCCGTGTAGCACAAACTGTGCCCCTCGTGCTGGTGGTCATGCAATGCAATTTTTTTTAGAGTCCAAAAACAGCATGACAAGTTGCAATCTTCCAGACCCAGACACTTTTGCAGTTGATACAGATTATCGTTCACCGCCCTCGTTTGCTGGTTATCCAGTTGGATCCTCGTGTCGGAGAAATCTATCGCGATAATCCTGTTGTGCGTTTCCTTCAGCATTTGGTTCACGTTGGACTCTTTCGCCATGTCCCCAGCAGCACCCCCACCTGTAGTTGTACTAGCACTTGTAGCTACTGTTCCACCGCTGATGTTCTTATTCGCAGACGTAGCTCCTGCTCCTTGTTTCTTGCTCGCAGCTCCCTTAGAAGAAGTTGTCAACGTGCCTCCTGTCGACGTGTTGCTGTTGGCCAAAATGTTTTTGCACTGCACCAGAACCGCTCGCAGCAGGTACTGCATTCCGAGATACCCGTGCGGGTTGCCGCGCAATTCCAGAGATTTCAGGCCGGAAATCCCGGTCGAACCAGACCCAATCACCGCTTCGGAGAGCAGCAAATCCATGCTGGCATCGAGGCCGCAATTGTTCAAACAGAGGGACTTCAATGAGGATACCTGCGCGCCCGTGGAAACACCCGATGCCGGTTTCAAACTGGTCAAGAAAAAGGTAATTGGGGGCATGGACTTCAGCTCGAGATGTTGCTGCAACAGATCCACCGGCAGATTTTCCTCTCCCATCGTCACCGAGTGCAGCGCGTGCGGCTCCAGCACCGAACTGTTTTGTAGGTAGTGTCGTGTGACTTTGTCCGCCGCCGTAGCAGATAGATCCGCGTGTTTTCGGATTCCACAGTTGTGGTTGAAGCTCAGGTCCAAAAACTGCAGCTTCAGCGACTCGGAACTTGCGACGCCGAGCTTGCGGAAGAACTCCGGCGCTTGCAGATCGTTTTTCGACAAGTCCAACGCCTTCAACCGGCCAGATATCAGTTCGAAGAAGTTCTCGTCCAGGATTTCCCTCGGATTCACCGAAGCCAGCCGGCAGTCGGACAAGGCGAGAATGGAAAGAAAGGAGCAATTGTTGGCGAGCTGCTCACAAAGTTTGGAGAACAGCGAACCCGAATTCCCGATCGCCTGGATTCCATTCAAATTCAACCGGTTCAGGTTTCGGATCTTCTTCGCGTTGGTGAGGAGGCAGTTCAGTCCCAACTGCGAAACCTTGTAATTCCAGGCCAGGTCCAAATCCTTCAACTGATCCCCGAAAGGTCGAATCAGCCGGTCGAAGAGCGGGATCAGGGAAATGTCGGAAAAATCGTTGTTTTCCAACTGAACCGACACAATCTTGTTGTTTTTCGTCTTCTGGGTCGACTGCAGCGCCGTTTCGTAGAAATCCAGCAACCGCAGCAGTTTTTCGTCCGTCAAATTCAGATTCGCCAAGTCCAGCAGTCTCTTATTCGGTTCCCAGTTTCGCTGCTGCTCCACTTTCGCCTGCTCCCGCGCTAACCCCGTTTTATCCTCTGCAAAAATATCAACATAGTCGTAGTAATTGCAGCTTTGCATGACAAGTCCAATTTTCTACCCAAACACGCATGACAAATTCAATTGAATTTTATTTCTTCATCTTGAGAAAATTTGTAATGCAATTTCTACGTAGTGCGGTAGTTTTGCAATGCATACGTTTGCACCAACAGCGACTGGCTCCTCGGATCGCTTTTGTTCACCTCGGTGAACTATCAAGTGCAAAAATGTCTGGCGGGTCTGGAAGAATGCATGTTTGTCATGATTGTCTGGCATATACTCTTGAATCTGTCATGCATGTTACCCAAGAACTCCATTTTCCTCTCATGCAGCTGAAACTCAGTTGGTCATGCAGAATAGGCAACGCCTAGAAGGAGCTCAGAAACTTGTCATGTTGAGCAAGCTCTTGTGGCCTCATCATGATACGCCACTCACCATCACAAGTTTCCAGACCCAGACACTTTTGCATTTGATATGAACTCCAGGCCGAAGTGGGTGGAGTTGGTCTGGTCCGGGGGTGGGAGAGTTTTGGGTAGACTTTGTTCCCCATCAGCTCGCACACCACCTGCAACCTCACCCGGACCACTCTTCGCATCGGTCAAGGTCAGCGCGGAGAGCGACCCAAAAATGCCGGCGGTCTTTGTTGTTGTTGATGGCCCCGCCCCGGCTGGTGCTGTTGTAGCAGCACCAGCTCCGTCATCTCCCTCCTGCACCGCCCACAGCTCTGCTGCCGCGGCTGCCGCCGCCTCGCGTTTCGACTTGACTGCCAGGTGGCTCGCGATTTGGTTCAAACAGATGTACTCCTCGGCGGAACGGTGCTGCAGGAAGAAAAAGTTTTTCTGCAGGATGTTCAAGGTTATCTAGTGCAAATATGTCTCGGTCTGGAATATTGCAACGTTTGCCATGCATATTTCGCATGAGCTATGATGCCTGTAATGCATGATCTAGCATGCCAGATTTTTAGAGCGTTTCCTGTTCTTGCCTATTCCGCATGCGATGTGCCCTCTGCGCGTAGCACAAACCGCGCTCTTCTTGCTGGTCATGCAATACAGATTTCTCTGGAATCCGGAGACAGCATTACAAGTTGCAACCTTCCAGACCCAGACATTATATTTGCATTTCATAAAAGTGTCAAAGACCGCCCGCTTCTCCTGAAACCGGTGCTCCTGCTCCAAAAACAGTATCCCGAGTAGAAACATCCCCACGACCCCACAGGGACAGGTGTTTGTAATGCAAATCTGCACGCTGAAAATGTTTCTCATGCGGTGTCCCATGAAACGCATTTTCTAATAGAAGCGTTTCGGAATTTGTCATGCCCCAACAAGCATGAGAGGCTACCTCTGTGATGCTGCTCAACTAGCTAAACAGGAAGATTACTTTAGGGGGCCAAGCTACTTGTCATGCGCAATAGCCAAAGCTTGTTGATTTGTCTAGCAGAGTTCCCATCTTGACCACTATGGTATGGGGTGGTGACGTTTTTACACAGGATAAACAGCAGGGACTTCGCGGGCACCGGGACGTCATTGTCCTTTTCGCACCTCTATGAACTGCAAAAGTATCGTACTCGTATAAATGCATCACAAATTTCCTCAGCATGAGAAATTAAATTTGTAATGGGGATTTGCCTCAAGAAAAAGATTTGTAATGCATGATTGCAATACGAGTACGATACTTTTGCACAGGATAACCTCGCGAAGTAGTTGATGTGCGCCTTCTGGTAGGTACGAACTGCAAAAGTATCGTACTAGTAGGAATTGCAATACAAATTAGCTTAGCATGACAAATGGAACTTGTCATGCTGTTTTGCCTTGGGATGGAGATTTGTAATGCATGACTGCGATTACTACGAGTACGATACTTTTGCACTTGATAGTAGGCGGAATGCGACAAAAGCTTGTTCGCGAAAATCGACAACGCCGGAAAGGCCCGGGGGTTGTTGTACAATTGCTCTCGTAGCTCGAGTTTGGGCACCAAGGGCGCGTTGTCCGGAATGAGGTCGTTCTTTCCGTCGTCTTCGAAGATCTCGCCCAGTCTTTCCATGGACTTTCGCCGTCGCACGTCCCCGTTCGGAATCGGAAACATCTTCAGCTGATCCTGCAATTTCTCTACGGTGTGCACGGGCTTGTGCATCTTGCCGACGCGGAAATCATATGCATTGCAAAAGTATCGCACTCCTTCTCCTATAAATGCATTACAAATACAAATTTCCACCTCAGCATGAGAAATAAAATTTGTACTGCGGATTTACCTTAAGAAAAAGATTTGTAATGCATAACTCCAATACGAGTACGATACTTTTGCACAGGATAAATCAAAAAACTTTGCCACGGTCGACTCCGCCGTGTTCATGCGCCCCGCCATGGTATGGAGTTCTCTAATCAGTTACATTCTCAACTGCTCTTCCATGAATTTGTAAATGCAAAAGTGGCAAAAGCCAAAGGGCGGAGGGTGCACCTGTAGCATTACAAATGCCGCCCAGATGTAAGTGCTGTTTAGCCCTTCGCAGATTTGTCATGCGAAGCAGCTTGGTCGTGTGGATGATGAAGATGATGATAGTTCTGCATGACAAATTCATGTAACAGTTGAGAGTGTAACGTTAGAGAACGCCGTACATGGTTCGCGGGATCTCAGACACCTGCATCTGGATTTTCGTTTCGGTTTCGAGATTTTGGACTTTGGTGCTAATCCCATCGTCGTCGTCGTCATGGTCGACTCTAGATCCAGAAGCAGGTGCTTTTGGTGACTTCTTTGTTGTAGCCGTTGCTGACTTTGGCGTCTGTTCTACTGCTCCGCGCTGCACTTCTACTTGGGAAGCTGTAGACGCTGCACCTGCGCCAGCAGTAGAAGTCGTGCCTGCTGGTGCTGCTCCACCGGCTACTGGGCTAGTACCTGGTGCAGTGGTCGCACCAGCTCCACCAGAAGTACCGGCAGGCGTCACACCAGGAGAAGTCGTCGTGTTTTTCTTGAGCAGACTACCCATCAGATTCCCGATCATCCCGCTTGGAGATGATGTAGTACCCAGAGGAGCAGTCCCTGTGGTCTATTGCACGGAAAAATCCCCCCTCCCCATATTGAAAGCATGTCCCTCCGAAAATTTGTGATGCAGATTTGTGGCCACAAATCCTGTCTGTCTTGCCAGAAGGCAAATCCAGAGACTCCGCCACGATATGCAGGCGGTTTGTAATGCTGCAAGGCCTACAGGGCAGATGTCTGCCATGCTAGGCCCCTACACCAAAAGGCCCCTGCTTGGGCTTGCGATCTGCGCGCAGTGCTTTCCTGCAAGACAAATGTGATTTGTGTACGCAAATCCCGCATCACAGATTTCCGTTTTGATATGCGGAGGGGGGATTTTTCATTTTGATATGGTCCCACTCAGGCTCAACGCGTTCGTCGGGCTCGACATCGGCGACATCACGATAGATACCGATTTCATATTCGGCGGGGTCGTACTGTGTTGAGCAGGATCGAGGCCCACCGCCGCTGCGGCGGAAAGGGGCGATGTGGGTGCGGAACTATCTGCTCCGTCTTGATGGCCCCTGCTCTCAGTTTTCCATTTCAGCAAGGTGCTGGGTCGTTCGGAAAAAAAGGACAGGTCTTGTTTTTTCTTCTTCACCGGGGAGTTGGCGTTGGCCTTCGCCAACCTCTGACTTTCCAATTTTTTCTTCAGCGCGTAGTTCTTCATTCGGGGGGACACCGACATGGTTTGCGACAAATCCAAGGTTTTGGAAGAGGAGAGGCTCATGCTCGACGTCGACTTCCGAAAACTGTTCAAGGACATCAGTTTCTGCGGACTGGACGAGTTCGCAAGTTTTCTGTTCCGCATCCTGGTGGACTATCAACAGGAAAAATCCCCCCTCCCTATACTGAAAAGGTGCATTTCTGGAAATTTGTGATGCTGATTTGTGGTCACAAATCGCGTCTGTCTTGCAAGAAGGCAATTCCGCAGACAACCGCCGCACTGCGCAGGCCGTTTCTCATGCTGTTGGGCCTACAGCGCGGAAGTTTTTCATGCTAAGTGCCTAAGCCGAAACCTCGGTACTCACACTTGATATGGGCCTTCAGTGCTCTCCAGCAAGACAGCTCGGATTTGTGTACACAAATCCAGCATCAGAAATTTCGGTCTGATATGGGGAGGGGGGATTTTATCTTTCGATATGGACAGCTGTTGCTTCGCGAGAAGTTCCTTCTCCAGCTCCTTCACGTCGAACACTCTTTCCACCCGGTCGACCTCTTTCTGCAGGGAGTCGTAGTACTTTTCGCGTTTTTGGGTCTCGATCAGTTTCTCCTTCTCCATCTGTTCCTGGAGAAACAGCTCCCCGCGGCGTCGTTTCTTCTCCAATTTTAGGTCCTCCATGGTCTGCTTCGCGAGCGGGGAAATGTCGCCCTTGTTGGAAATGTCGAAAATCTCCGCCTCCGATTCAATCGGGCGGAATTCCTCCCAGCCGACCTTGCGGTCGAACTCTTCTTCGTACTCTTCTTGCTCTCGCTTCCGCGCGTTGGCCATGGCGCTGGTGAGGAAAGACAAGTCCCGGTCCGGCCCCCAGGTTTTCATCGTGTACCTTCTAACCGTCGCATTGTGGTCATGTTTCGGCCCGGAGGACCCCGCAAAAATGCGCTCGTAGTCTTGGAGTGCTCTTTTCTTCTGCCTCTCAAACTCCGATAGTTCTTGTATGGGCTGATGTAGTTCCTCCCTCGGGTGGAAAAAGTTCGAGGTTTTGGTCGTGCGATTGGAATGGTTGTTGATAGTACTACCCTGGTGCATCCACATGAAATTGCTGTTTCCGTCCTCATTCATCAAAACAGACGAGTCTTGGAAAATCGGGTTGAAAGATGTTCCACCATCTTCTGTCGCCCCGTCCGCGTCTCCGTGCTCTCCGCCAGTGTAGATTTTCAGATTCTGACTGTTGGTCCGAAACCCACCCCCTCGGGTTGTCGTCGATGTCGCCATGCTATCAAGTGTAAAAGTGTCTGGGTCTGGAAGAGTGCGCGACTTGTCATGCAGCTTTTCCATGGCCCACGAGGTCTGGAATGCAGGACCTAGCATGACAGATTCTGTTCGATCTCTCTCATGCCTATCCTGCATGAGAAACTCCCTCCCGACTTGGTCAAAGCTGGGCGACTTTTGGTAATCATGCAACACAGATTTTTGCATGTTTCAGATTTAGCATGACAAGTTGCATTCTTCCAGACCCAGACATTTTTACATTTGATACATGCTGCTTCGCGGGCTGTTTCCACTGTTGATGGACGCAGCGGACGCAGTCAAGTTCGGGTTATGAGAGTGCACAACTCCCCTCCCCCTCATTTGTATAGCATGCACGGCAATCATCATCATCATCATCATGTAGTGGACACCCGTACCCAGCGCCACAGGTCAAGCATCCCCTCCCCGGGGGGTGGGCGAGGAAGCACTTTCGGCGACCTCAACATACAAAAGCCGAGCGCTACCACGGCAAGTCGCCCCAATAAAAGTACCAACCAAGCATCAGCAATACAAGCATCAGCAGTACGGCAATACAAGCATCAGCAAGAATGCCGGTTTTGCATGACAAATTTGCACTCCTGGAGTGTAGTGCTATTTGGGCTACCCGAACTTGTCATGCAAACAGTGCCAAAGACCAAGGCGTGAACTAGGCATTTTGCATGACAAATGAGGGGGAGGGGGAGTTGTGCACTGTCATACGGGTTACTGGCGTTGCTGAAGGCGGAGGTCGTGGTGCCAAATAACGGAGCTCCTTGTTGTGCACCGCCGTGTTTCGGCGAAGAGGCTGCAGTAGCTCCGCTGACAAATTCCACGACGGGTTTCTTAATATGCGTCATCATCCCGCTAGTACCTGGTCCTCCTCTCGTCCGCCACTTCGGGTACTCCATCACCAATGGCAATTGTTTCTCCTGCTTCGAAAAGCAATCCTTGTACAGGTCACTGGGAAGCTTCACCGGGGGTAGCTTCACCGTGATTTTGTCTTCTAAAACCGAGGATCTGAAGATCAAATTATCCACGGCGTACTCGTAATACAACGGCCGGACTTGTTCCACCCCATGATTTTGAAGCGCCTGTTGTTTATTCCGCGCGGTCACCGCATTTATTTTCGGTGACGTGCCACCATGATTCGTGAGATCGATACGGAGGTGCGGTTCCTGGAGGATGTTGAGAGTGGTTTCTTGTTGGTCAGCAGATGAGCCTTGAAGGAGATGTTGGTTTTGACTTTGTCTACTAGTATTTTCTCCAATGTTATTCCACTCCACCGAGCTGGTGACGGACCCAAACCCGACCTTTGAGCTGCTTCGCGAGTTCTCTGCGGTTGTCGACTGGTTTTTCTGCGAATCAAAGTCGTGTGGGTCAAAGTCCCGAACGAGCGGCGCGAGCGTTTCTCGGACCTGCAAATTCTGGCACTTCTCGAAATTGAGACGAACGGGGGAGTTGGAGACCAGTAAGTCGTCCATTCGAGAGTTGTTCGGCGAGATTACGCCACCAGCGCTTTTCGGTGACGATTCTGGAGATGAATTTCTCTCCTTCATTTCCCGTTCCCACGCGAGTTTTTTCCGGTCTTCTAACAGCTTCAACTTTTCCTTCTCTACCGCTTGTACCCTTTCATCCGCAAATTCTTTTTTCAGCCGCGAAATGTCGCGCAGTTCCCATTTCCAGAGACTGGACATGAGGGAATTTCGCCGGCGCTCCTTCTCTTTCTTCTCCCGTTCGGACATGCCTTTCGCAGTGGTTTTCCGACGACTGAGGGATTTCGAGGGTGGTGAGTGAGAAGCGGAGACCACAGCAGGACCTGCATTAGCAGCGGCCGCCGCCGCCGCGCCAGCCCCAGCAGTAGCAGAAGTATCCGTTGTTGTGGAGGCTTGTGCACCAGCTGCGCCCTCTGCAGCTCCTGCTCCGGGCCCGGAAGTAGATGAGCCAGTCGCAGAACTCGAGGAGAATCCGCTCGCTGCAGTGATGTTGTTGGTCTGGGATGATGAAACGCCTGTAGCTTCTTTTCCTCCTGTCGCGATCTTCACCTGAGAGGCACTCTTCGGTGACAAGGCTGATGAACCAGCGCCGCCTGCTGGAGCAGTGGGGGAAGAAGTTGTACCTGCACCGGCACCCGCAGCTCCACCAACATCCAGGCTCGATTTCGACGACGCCATGAGACTCCCCGTGCTCGCCCTTCGTTTATTCCCGGCTGCCATCGCTTTCGGGGTCGGATTCTTATGCTCTTCTAACGCGAGCATGGCGGCGTCCGCGAGCGAATCCACTTCCAAAATGCGGCTGGACCGTATGACAGTGCACAACTACCGTACCTCTCCCCCTCATTTGTAATTGTATATTAGCATGAACAGCAATACAAACGCCGGCACCTATGGAGCCTGTGCATGACAAGTTCATCATGCGCGTAAGGTAAGTAGTCCTGCTTGGGCTACTACTTTCGGAATCTGTCATGCAAACATCACCACAGTGCAGCGCTTAGATTTGGTATTTTGCATGACAAATGAGGGGGAGGGGGAGATGTGCACTTCTCTCGTAGATCGGTCAAATTTCCTCAATTTCCTTGCGGCTTTCTGTTTCTTCACCACTTCAGCTGCGTGCTTCTCAGCGGCGGTTACGTGCTCGTTGAAATACTGTTTGGACAAAACCCCGCTCTCCAATTGCTGCTCCAAAATCGACAACGACAGCGGTCTCTGCACGGCGGCGGAGCCGAACCCGATCACCTTCTTCCTCTTCTCTTTCAGGATCCTCGCCCGCGCCGGGTCCAAATACCCATGCTTGTTTTTCGACACAGATTTTTCCTTCTGGATACTAGTACTGTGCTGCTGATGAGGATCGACATCTTCAGGTAGGTCGTCAATAAGAAATTGCTCTACCGTTTCTTGGTGAATCACGAGTCGCTTATGCTGGCTCTCGTGGTTTTCGTTTTCCTCCTCGCCGTCGCCGTTGTTCCCTTTATTGTTCCCGTTGCCTCCTCCGCCCCGCCCGTTGGGGATCTCTTTCCTGTCTGGCGTTTCTTGCTCTCCTGCGTTATTTGATGTTCCCAACAGTCCTAGACTCACGTTGTTGAACTTGTTGCAGATGTCGACCTCGTGCTCAATTTGGTTCAATTTGATTTTCTCTGCCAGCTGCTCCTCGGATTCTACAAAAGGGTACTGGACCAACCGCGGGCCGCCGGCGAACATCAAATTCAGTTATGGATTGCAAATATGTCTGGGTCTGGAAACTTGTAATGCTAAAAGTGAATGTTAGACGCACTACAATACGCAGCTATGCATGACAATTTTTTTCGCTGACATGTGTTACGTATTCCGCATGGCAAACTGCGTTTTCGCATGACAGGCAAGAGGGCCTTTTCGTGCCCATGCAACACAGATTCTCGAGTCATGCCAGACAAGCATGACAAACTTGCATTCTTCCAGACCCAGACTACATTCATATTTGCAGTGCGTATCAGTTTCGCGGAATACACCTCCATGCCGAGCTGTTTCAGCGAATCCCGTTCCGGCTGCCCAAACGCCTCCGGATACGCGTGCTGCAGGTAGACGTCCCAAAAGAGCGACGGCTTCGTCTTCTGCTGCTGGATCAGGTGGTGATTTATCGGTGTCTTATTACTGCTGTGAAGGCCGCCTCCTGCGGAACCCGTTTTATTGGTCAAATCCGCACCTCCTGCGGTACCAGCGCCTGCTCCCTTAGCCATACTCGAGGCGGAGGTCACCTGCATATTTTGCTGGTTGCTCGCAGTAGTTCCGAACTCTTCGCCGCTGGAGCTGGTGATGTGGTGCAGTTGGTCCTTTGGATCGAGGGTCGCAGCGGTTGCTTGGAGGGAGGAAAACATGGGCATCGTCCCGTAATATGCATTGCAAATGTGTCTGGGCGGTCTGGAACAATGCAATTCGTCACGCTGAGTCGGGATCGTGCAAAGATTTGTGTTGCATGGTTACCAGAAGTTGTCTACAACTTCTGAACAAGTTTGGAGGCAGTTTCTCATGCAGGAAACGCATGATAGAGATCTCACAGATTCTGTCATGCTAGATGCTGCATGCCAGACCTCATGGGTCATGGAAAACCTGCATGACAAGTGCAAGTCTCGCAAAAATCCTCCAGACCCAGCATTATTTGCAGTTGATACGTAACGAAATTCGTCCATTTCGTTTTCCGTTCTCTTCTATCCTGTGCAAAAGCATGGTATTCGTATTGCAATCATGCATTACAAATCTTTGTGTTAAGTCAAATCCGCATTACAAATTTTACTTCCCATGCTGAGGAAATTTGTAATGCATTTATACGAGTACGATGCTTTTGCAATGCATATCTTCCGCCCGACTTGCAGCTCGCCGTCCGGTCCCAACAGCTGTTCCTCCTCCTCGTCGCTGTCATCTTCCCCTTGCACGCCCGTCTCGTCAATCTGCACCCCCCACGTTTCAAAAGCCCGCTTCAAACAGTCCGCCGCTTCTTCCAGCGTACAGAGGAATCCCTTGGGCACCTGGTCCGGCGGCCCGAAGATAATCTTCTGCCGCTTCTCCTGGGAATAGTTGAGATACGGTGGATATCAAATGCAAAAGTGTCTGGGTCTGGGAGAATGCAACTTGTAATGCGTATTTCAGAACACAGAAAAGTCTCTCATGCATACGTAGCAAAAGCTGCCCACTTTCTGTCAGCAAAATAGGGGACTTGTCATGCGGATTCGGCATTGCGGAAGCTTCTCGAAACCTGTGATGCTAGAGCTTCCATGCCAGACCTTCTGTGTCATGCAAAAACAGCATGACTCTTCCAGACCCAAACATTTTTATATTTCATAGTGGAATCGGCTGCCCGGCCAAAGTCGTCGGCCCGCCCTGGTACAGTTCGCCGAACTTGGCGAGGGTTGTCGGGTATGGCATTCTCAACTGTTACACTCTCAACTGTTACATGAATTTGTAATGCAAGACTGCCAAACGTGAAAGCAGGAAGATTGCGCCTTTTGCATTACAAGTTTGGCGCCGATTTAGATGCTGTTTAGCCCTTCCGAAATTTGTCATGCGAAGCAGCTCGATCACCTGCCGGCTTAAGGTACTTTTGCATGACAAATTCATGTAACAGTTGAGCATGTAACGTTTGAGAACGCCATATCGTGCGGCGACCTGCTCCCGACGTGGAAGATGAAGTGCTAGTAGCAAAACCTGCTGAGGGAACAAGATTTTGATCAGTAGAAGAGCCTCCTCCTGGTGCACCATTGTTTTTCATCTGTTGCAACATACTCACTGCGTGCTTATGCGGGGACAAAAAATCCGGCAATCCCTGGGACGTGACAGTCGGGTCCGCGCTGTAGTTTTTCCCGAACGCGTGCGTAGAATCGTCCAAAACATCCTTAAACGAGGCTTTCTCCAGATCCAGCTTATCTTTTTTACTCCTTTTCTGACCGCCAGCTCCTTTAGTCGTCGCGCCGTCAGTTTTGCCATTCCCCGTGTAACCGCTGTTCCAAGTTTTCTGCCACTCCGCCATGGGCACTTTTCCCGGATTTACCGCACCCTGCGCGGCGGTCAGAGCCTGCTGCTGGTGTGGTCCTGATAAAGTTGTGCCTTGTTTAGTATTTTTCCCCTGCTTCACAGCTCCGTCCACAATGTATTTGTTGTTGTTCGCACAATACTGCTGCCAGAACCGCCACTTCCGCTCCCACTCGTCCAGCAATACCGGCGTCCCTGGCTTCAGCATCTCGTTCTTCTTGTTTTCGAAACGGTCGCGCTTCAGCTTCTCGTTCGCGATTTCAGTAAAGGACTTGTGTCCGGTATGGATTGTAAAAATGTCTGGGTCTTGAAGATTAGCACTTGTAATGCTTGCTTTCCATACCTAGAAAATCTGTATTGCATAACCAACAAAAGTCGCAGCCTCTTTTGTCATGCAAAAACGCAGTTTCTCATTCGGATTGCCTATGAGAAAGCGCGTTGGGAAGTTGTCATGCCGGACTGCATTCGGAAGTGTTTTCCTCATGCCCATTTTAGCATCACAAGTTTCCAGACCCAGACATTTTTGCATTTGATATCCGGTGAGAACCGACAAAACGAAGCACTGCGCCTTGTAGGAAATCAGTTCTCGTTTGTTCAGCGAGTGTTTCCGCAGAATGATCCGCAGCACACGGAAAAGATTCTTCTCGACTCTGGTTTGCGGGTTAAACTGCTCGTACAGGTTCTTCAAAGGCTGGTCGCACTGTGGGAAAAGCAATCGCGGGACGATTCCAGACTGCTGTAGTGCCGCTTTATTGTCCGCGATGGCGGCTTGTGGGGCCTGTTTCGGTGCGTTGCGACCACCTGCTCCCGGGGCGGGCTTGTTGGGACCTGATGAAATTATATACATCTTGACGGAGAGCTTCATCACATTCACAGCTTTATGATCATCATTTGCAGTAGTACAAAAGCATCACGTACTGCAATGATCAACCTATGATTATACCAGGCACAGCCGCTCCCAAACTGCCGCACGGTAGGTCTTCATCCTTTGGGCCGGACGAAAGCCACCAGAGATCTAACAGCAAATCTCGGTACCGCCGGATTAGACCCTTATACGGGTAACCGCTGCCTGTACTCATTGTGTTGATGTATAGCGACTGACTAATTTACCTTTCGTATCGTTTTTTAAACTCCTTCCAGGAGTTCACCAAAAAAATCTCCACCTCCATCGGGCAGAGTTTTTGACGCATGGCCCGGGCACGTCTTGTAGTTCTCTGTAGGTTTTTTTGATTTCGAAGATGCAGCATTCATTTACTTCAGTGGATCAGCGACAATAAAACGAAGCAGGAGGCAATGCGAGTGCCAATGCCAAAAGAAAGAAAAAGAACCCAGTTGTGTCCTTGCCGAAATAAAAAGTAAAACTACCCCGACGAAAAGATTGACTAAGGCAAACCCGGACAGACACCAGCGATCAAGATCGTGAGTGGTCGACCAGGTACAACAATCTTTGACCGAACGCGACTTCTTGTCATCTTCACTAGCACAGGAGCTAGTACTAGCCAAAAATTAAAATGCGAAAGTGATGCCAATGCCACGAAGTGAACCTTTAGTTTTTTCATGCATGAGGATCTTCACGATGCCCAGACGACGCAATGATCCACAACGAACTACATGATCCATGATTCCGGGAAATAAAATCATCTAGCCGTAGTTGCGTACTTGTTGAACGAAGTAGAAATTCCCCACGACATCATGCGTAGAAATACTCATCAGCAAGAAACCAAGAAAGAGAAGAACTACGGGGCAACAACTCGGGGAGGGCAGAAGTTCTTTGCGCGTTTGGGTCAAGTAGCACCTTCTGCGCGACGTTCATCTTATTTCTTGATTAACCGGACTACTTGTTACTTCGCACACCAGCTGCATTTGAGTTATTGTATCTTTTCCGAGTCGTGTAGATTCAGTCCTACTCCTAGTCGTTCTCTTTATTGTCCTCACGTACTTGCACGCATATTAAGATGAGGGAACTACTATGTATTGACATCATGATTTAAAGATTATGCCGATAGTAGCTAAATTCCCTTCTCGCAGTGCTGGGACTTCGGTAGAAGGTCTCCGCCTCCCTTTCTGTGCCCTCTAACAGTTTCTCCGCTAGGAAAAGCTTCTCTTCTTTTTCAAAAAAGTCCTCGTTAGTCGCCCCTGGAACCAAGAAACCTTCTCTGTGTTGTTGAGCGACTGGATCTATTATTCCCCCAGCAGTATCATCAAAACTACTAGTTGCACTTTTAAACCTCACCTGCGGCGGCAAAATTTCGTCGTTCAGAACCCTCTGTGCCTCCTCCCACAGTTTCGCGAATTTGCGCATGTCCAGGAAAATGTTCTGGGAGTGCCAGAAGCCGCCGCCATACTCCGCAATGTACTGCTTAATCATGTACCACCGCGATTCCCCGTTGTTAGACTTGTGCACCTCGCAATTGTGGTGTACTTTCCCGTTCAACCTGGTCAGCCCGCCAAAATGCGTCACGGGGTTCATGTATCAAATGCAAATATGTCTGTAATTATGCAGGGTCTAGTATCTTCAGAGGTTCTTCGGCAGGGTAGATGTGGTCTATGCGATGCCTATCTCGTCGCATGAGGAATGTTGCCGTCTCAAGATCCTGGCTAAAAATGGACACCATCTTTTCCGAGTTTTGTACGACGGACTTTTGCGTGACGGTCACAAAGCATCACAAGTCTCCTCCTGCACTGTTCTACTTCTTCCAGAAGATCTAGATCCAGACATATTTGCACTGCATATCATGTTCCACCCGCGATCGCAGAAGCCGTTTAGCGGGGGAAAGGTGTCCAACAGGATCGACCCCGGCTTCATAAACACCGCCCAGGCGTTAGCTGCGCCGGTCGCCCCCATCCAGATGTCCGCTTGTCTGGCGAGAAAGTACTGCGTGGTTGGCGTGATTTGCTCCAGATACACGACTATGCATTGCAAAAGGAGCATCGCACTCGTGCTAATCGCATTCATGCATTACAAATTTCTTTCTTTAGTCAAATCCGCATTACAAATTTCATTTCTCAAGCGGAGGAAATTTGTCATGCGATTTATTTTTATACTAAGTTAGTACGATGCTTGTTTTGCAGTGCATAACGACCAGCACCGCGACTTTGCCAACCGAGGAGAGAAATGCGAGTAGCTCGCTCAAGTTTTCAAAGGTCCTTATGGCGTTCTCAACTGTCACATTCTCAACTGTTACATGAATTTGTCATGCAAAAACAGCAATAGGGAAAAGGTAAAGCTTGCAAGTCTTGCATCACAAGTTTCGCACGGATTTGGATGCTGTTTGGCACTTCGATAATTTGTCATGCGAAGCAGCTTAATCGTCTTGCGGCTCATGCTCATTTTACATGACAAATCACGTAACAGTTGAGAATGTATCGTTTGAGAGCGCCATAGTCCTCTTCGCTTTTTTCTGGCGCTATGAACTGCAAAAGTATCGTACTAGTATAAATTGCATGACAACTTGGCCCAGCATTAAGAATTAAATTTGTGATGCTGATTTACCTTGAGAACGAGATTTGTAATGCATAAATGCAATTAGTACTACGAGTACGATACTATTGCATTGCATAGGCGCTGCACAATCACCAAATTCGTCTCCACCGGTATCCAGGACCAAAACTGCGTAAGTGTAACTTTGTAGAAAGAAGAAGAGCAGCATCACAAATTCGCTTTGCATTTTTACAGGAAGAAGAACCTGTCATGCAAAGGCAATATCTGAAAACACGTAGGAAAGTAGCCTATGACGCAGACCCAGCATGACAAATGTATACAGTTTTGCATTTTCTGCATGACAGATTTACACTCACACAGATTTTTTCTTGCATAACCGGGTGTGTGCTGTTTTCAAAGCGGTACAGCGTAGACACTTCTTCTACTTCTTCCTGCTGGTGTCCTTCGTCGTCATTCGCTTTTGTTCTTGGCGCACCAGCGCCGGGAATGTCCTTCAATGGTAGCGAGGTGCGCGGGAATTCGTGCAGGCAGGTGTGGTCGCGGAAAAAATCGCAGTCGTGGGGATTTTTGCTGTTTGCACGAATGTTGGATGATGATGAAGCAACAGCCCCTGCGGTTTTAGTACTTATGCTGCCGTATCTATGTTGGTATGCGAGGATCGCGTGTTGCATGTCGTTAGTTACTTCTGCGCCGGTGCTAGTAACTTCAATATGATGATCTCCCGGAAGCTCCGCGGTTGTGGAACCTCCCACGATTATATCCTCGTCTACCTTGCTCCAAAGCATGCGCCGGTAATAGTCCCACTCGACGGAGCAACAGCGGACTAACGAGTTGGACATCGTCTTCAACTTCGAGGCACTGGTGAATCGATTCTTACCGGGATTGGAATTCATGAACAGGTTTCGGTGCACATTCTCGTAGCAGTAGGCTTTGACTTCTTCTTCCGTGTCCAAGTTCCGCAGAGTTGCAGGGCAGTCCGGGTTCTTGTGCGGGAGGTGAGGGATGGGGCCTACTTCTGCGGAAGTAGATTTTTGGTGCTCCTGTAGTTGTCCTACATTTGATGTTCCCGTCGAGGACGAAAATTCCTCATGTACTCGGGTTAACATGAAGTTGAAGATCCTACTCGTAACGAAGCCGCCGATACCGGTGCGGAGCGGCTCGCGGCCAAAGACGATACCTTGGAGGTTTTTGGAAGTAGTAGAGGATTTGATCTCAACTCGAATGACCGTTCTTCGTCGAAGTGTATGAAAGGATCAATAGCGCTTCCGCTTTCTTCTGTAGCCGACTGCTTTGCTTGGTACGACTACTTAGCACAAGAACGTCTTCAAATGCCGCTGCAGCGAGCTTTATTCGTCTACAGATCTAGATCACTGAAAATGAGAATGAAACCACAGCACAACTCTGTAGCAGTACGCTCGTAGCATCTTGGCTTTAAGTCCTGCCCGAGCGGTATGGGCGGGTTGTAGCTCAGCAGGCTCCACCAAAATTTCACGATGCCCCCTTGGTCGAACGCTTGCGAGTTTCCCTGGATGATCTATCCTGTGCAAAAGCATCGTCTGCTAGTAGAAGTCATTGCAAAATTGCCATCGATATCTTCAGTGTGAGTCATGCTGAATTTTACCTGGGAAACCAGATTTGTCAACGTCATGCAACAAAATTGCAATTACTAAGACCACCTCGATAACAAGTACTCTGGAAAAATTGCCCAGGATATCATTTCTAGAATATCGACCTGTGTCTGATCCGGCAGGCGCATGTAGGGGAGGTTGTTGTGCTTTTCACTTTTCTTGTATTGCCCGGTCAAAACCCGCCAGAAATGGTTCATCTTTTCCTCCTGCTTCTGGTTGGGGAACTCGAACCGGATGTCGACTTTAAAGGGGTCTGCACAGATCCCGTACTCCTCAGCCTGCAACTGGTAAAACGCCGGGGCAGTCAAGTGGAGCAGGTGGTAGGGATTTCCCTCGGAGACGCCCGCCATCATCGCGGTCACAACGTAGAGTGTGTCCGTGTAGTGACTCGTCGCGTTGTTGCACATCGCGCTTTGGAAGGCTTGCTTCTTCTGCGTCGACAGCCTCCTCGTCCCTGGGTCGATATCGCCGTCGAAAACTAGGTTCGTGAACCAATAGTTACCAAACTCCCCACAGGTCCGCAAGGCCGTGAAATCTCGCTTTTCCTCCCCGGTCAGCCCGAAGAGGTGCAGCTGATTGCCGTGGATGCAGGCGTTTTCCATATGACAGTGCACAACTCGTCCCGGTCCCCCTCATTTCTATTTTTGCATGAACACCCGCACCTGTGGAGCCTGTGCATGACAAGTTCATGCGCGTAATGCAGTACGTACTGGGGAGCTCCTAGAGCTTCCGGAATCTGTCATGCAAACGGTACCTCCACAGAGCACCGCGGCTTCCTTGGATTTGGTATTTTGCATCACAAATGAGAGCGCGGAGGGGGAGCTGTGCACTCACATATTCCACCAGCGTGGCGCACTTCGTGGAGGAGAGGAAAGATAGCTTCGACTTCTTGAGTCGTTGTGTTTTTTCGTCACGGTCTGCTGTACTTCCAGGTGAAGGAGAATGCTCCTGTCCGCAGTGCCGCGATTTCTTCATCGCTTTATTGCGCGGCGCTGCTGTGTCGGACTCGGAGGAAATCAGTGCGCTTGTTGAAGTTGTAGACAGGGAACTGCAAGTTTTCACGGGCGATGGTGTTAAAAAAGGCTCATCTTGATCTTGATCGTCGGAGGACGTCAGTGCATCAACTTCTTGTTGTAGTGGTGGCGTTGCTCCTCTTTTGTAGCTGTTCTTCTGCGCTGCGCCTCTAGTTCTACTTGCCGAAGTTCTTCTTGCAGTTACCGACAATTTTTGGTTGAAAAACCGGGCTTCTGACTGTCTATTCTCCCGGCTGCGCCAAATGATCTGCTGCAGCAGTTTCGGGCTCGCGTCCATGAATATGAACTGCAAAAGTATCGCACTCTTATATATAAAAAAATGCATCACAAATTTCCTCAGCATGAAAAAACGAATTTGTCATGCTAAATTACCTAAGAACCCAGATTTGTCATGCTAGTCTGGCATTTATACGAGTACGATACTTTTGCACAGGATAATGAAATTCAAGGATTTTTTCGTCCCGGTGCGCCGCTCCAGTTCCCCCGACAAGTCCGTGAGCGTCAGGACAAGGTTGCGGTAATTGTCGTAAAATTCTTCGACATCGTATCCCCAGACCGACCGGTCCAGACACGACGTCACCAGGGGGATTTGGTAGCTATGAATTGCAAAAGTATCGTACTCCTACTCGTATAAATGCATTAGAAATTCAAACTTCCTCAGCATGAGAAATAAAATTTGCCATGCGGATTTGCGTCAAGAAAAAGATTTGTAATGCATGGCTGCAACTACTACAAGTACAAATACAATACTATTGCAGTTCATAGTAGTTCGCGAGCTGCATATACCGGTAGTAGTGCCGGAGGTTCCGCTGGAGACCGAATTTCCCGGGCTCCCGACTGTCCTCGTCCTTTAGGAGAAAAGGTATGCACTGCAAGAGTTTCGACATTTTGGTTTTCGTACTACCTACTGCACTCGCACATAAAACATTTTTCTTCGAATTTTCTCATGCTGATTCAAGTTTATTAAGAGCGGGGTAACAAATTCTGGCGAGTTGTGGCCGTCCCACTTCTCACCCGCCCGGCCGGGTGGGTGACTAGTGGGACGGAACCAGGATCCTGACCACGAGAACGGCGGCAATTCTACCACCTCCTGCAAGACCTGCGGGTGTGCCTGGTAGAAAGCAGAATCAGGTGTGGAAACCAAAAAATGCTGCTTTTGAGGCTTTCAGTAAGCCAAAGCAACGGCTTTTTTGCCACGAGCCGAATCTTCTTTCTAACACCTCCTGCAAGACCTGCGGGCGTGGCCGGAAGAATCAGGTGCGGCAAACAAAAAACGCTGCTTCTGAGGCTTTCAATAAGCCACAGTAACACTTTTTTTACTACGAGCTGAATCTTCTTTCTACCACCTCCTGCAAGACCTGCGGGCGTGGCTGGTAGAAAGAAGAATCAGGCGCGGAAAACAAAAAGCGTTGCTTTTGAGGCTTTCAGTAAGCCAAAGCAGCGATTTTTTTGCCACGAGCTGAATCTTCTTTCTACCACCTCCTGCAAGACCTGCGGGTGTGGCTGGTAGAAAGAAGAAACAGGCGCGGAAAACAAAAAACGCTGCTTCAAAGACTTTCAGTAAGCCAAAGCAACATTTTTTTTGCCACGAGCTGAATCTTCTTTCTACCACCTCCTGCAAGACCTGCGGGTGTGGCTGGTAGAAAGAAGAATCAGGCGCGGAAAACAAAAAACGCTGTTTCTGAGGCTTTCAGTAAGCCAAAGCAAAACTTTTTTTACCACGAGCTGAGTCTTCTTTCTACCACCTCCTGCAAGACCTGCGGGCGTGGCTGGTAGAAAGAAGAATCAGGAGCGGAAAACAAAAAACGCTATTTCTGAGGCCCAAAGCAACGCTTTTTTTGCCACGAGCTGAATCGTCTTTCTGCCACCTCCTGCAAGACCTGCGGGCGTGGCTGGTAGAAAGAAGAATCTGGCGCGGAAAACAAAAAACGCTGTTTCTGAGGCTTTCAATAAGCCAAAGCAACATTTTTTTTACCACGAGCTGAGTCTTCTTTCTGGCACCTCCTGCAAGACCTGCGGTCGTGGCTGGTAGAAAGAAGAATCAGGGGCGGAAAACAAAAAACGCTATTTCTGAGGCTTTCAATAAGCCAATGCCAAAGCAACGCTTTTTTTGTCACGAGCTGAGTCTTCTTTCTCCCACCTCCTGCAAGACCTGTGGGCGTGGCTGGTAGAATGAAGAATCAGGTTTGGAAAACAAAAAACGCTGCTTCTGAGGCTTTCCGACATTTTTTTTGCCACGAGCTGAATCTTCTTTCTACTACCTCCTGCAAGACCTGCGGGTGTGGCTGGTAGAAAGAAGAATCAGGCGCGGAAAACAAAAAACGCTGTTTCTGAGGCTTTCAATAAGCCCAAGCAACATTTTTCTTACCACAAGCTGAATCTTCTTTCTACCACCTCCTGCAAGACCTGCGGGCGTGGCTGGTAGAAAGAAGAATCAGGCGCGGAAAACAAAAAACGCTGTTTCTAAGACTTTCAGTAAGCCAAATCAACGCTTTTTTCACCACGGGCTGACTCTTCTTTCTACCACCTCCTGCAAGACCTGCAGACGTGGCTGGTAGAAAGAAGAGTCAGGTGCTGAAAACAAACAACGGCGTTTCTGAGGCTTTCGGCAAGCCAAAGCAACGCTTTTTTTACCAGGAGCTGAATCTTCTTTCTACCACCTCCTGCAAGACCTGCAGACGTGGCTGGTAGAAAGAAGAATCAGGTGCGGAAAACAAAAAACTGCGCTGTCTGAGGCTTTCAGTAAGCCAGAGCAGCATTTTCTTGTCCACGAGCTGAATCTTCTTTCTACCACCTCCTGCAAGACCTGCGGGTGTGGCTGGTAGAAAGAAGAATCAGGTGCGGAAAACAAAAAGCGTTGTTTTTGAGGCTTTCAGATCCGGCCAGCTGGTCAGGATCCTGGTTCCGTCCCACTAGTCACCCACCCGGCCGGGCGGGTGAGAAGTGGGACGGCCACAACTCGTCAGAATTTGTTACCCCGCTCTAAGATGAAGGAGCTGTACTGTATTCTTGCTATGCGTAGTATCCGCGGAAGTAGGAGCACCTGCATTAGTACGAGGACTATGAAACTTCTCTTGCACAATAGCATAACAGCTTGTAGCGCGCAATTCATCAAAACCGCGATGTGACCGGGGACGCAATCGCTCACGTAGCCCGGATCGGTCCACTTCGCTTTTTCTTTTTGGTTGAACATCACTTGGAAACTGTTTTCTGCAATGGTGATCCCCGTGGAGTTATGCAGTGCAAAAATAAAGACATGACCTCCTAGCTCTAGCACCAGCACTCGCATGACAATTTTCTTTCTTCGGACGAAGCGCCGAACTTTACAATGGATGCTGAGTCATCGAAGCAGAAAAAGGCAAGAATGCTGTATCATATTTTCATGCACCATCACAATCAGTTCTTGTAACAAGTACTACATTAAGCACAATCAGCACTTTAATTTTTGCAGAGGATAGGCGTCGATCTCGTTCGCAATCCGTTTTTTCGTGGCGTCACTCATCTTCTGCTGCTTTTCCTTTTCCTGGGACGAAGAGGATCCAGCTGAGGATGGAGGAGGAGCAGCAGCAGTTCCCATCTGCTCCTCTAAAAACTCGGATTCCAGCGAAGTAATCATGTCATCTGCATCGCCAACCTGTTTCTCCTCATCGTGAAGAAGATCTTCCTCTGTGTACTCCCTATCGCCCTTGGGGCAGTCGTTGGAGTTTTTCAAGATCAAATCCCGTATCGTTAGGAACCTTGGGTCCGAGAGATCCTGCTTCGCCATCAGCTCTGGCAGATCAGGAACGAGAATTTGATGCATGTCGAACGAGGTGCGGACCCAGAGTTCGTAGTGGATGTGGCAGCCGCAGGACTGGAGGTACGGATCGTGGACGCTGTTCAGCCTGGCGGGCCTGAGATCTTCAAGAACAGGCGAAGTAAAGGCGGTCGTGGTCGCGGGGACGTAGCTTGAACTTGATGCTGCAGCTTGGTGCACGATGTTAAATTGCGAACAATCCGTTAGCATAGTAGCTGCGACCAAGGCACATGCCGCTCTTGAGATTCCTTCTCGCCACCAGGGGCCGCGACGACATCTTCGTGACGGCACCGTATCCGTACATAATGTTTTGTCCGGTATAGTTCCATGGATGTAGGGGAACGTCCCGTGTCGCGCGATGACCGCCGCCCTGTCTTCATTCGACATCTTCTTCACAGATGTCCTTCTGCACGCACTCATTTTCGTGAGTTTCTTTCCCACGACCGCTGGGTCTCCCCCGTTCGTGCGGCCCTCTCCTGCTCGGAGATTTTATTCCATTCCGGTGTAGGTAGTGTTTTACTTAGGCGGTCCGGCAAGCAACGACCCGCATCATCCTCGGGCTTGTGGTTTCCCACAAAATCTGTATCAAATCATTTGATTTTTACAAGAGTCTGATCTACTCTCGACGCAGCCTTCATGCAACAGAGCGATTTTCTCATGAAATGGAAGGCGCGATCAAGATGAACGGAAATAAAAGCAGTGTCGAAAAATAAAAGGGAAAGGCTCAGACACACAAAAAATGAAAAACTCGTACAACTTCTTCGAGATGCAACCCAAAACAGAATCTGCAAAAATCTGGCCTAAAACAAAACGAAAAAACGAGAAACAGCCCCACTTCCAAAACCAAAAGAAAATTGATGAGAGAACGAATGCAAGAGCCGCACAATAAACTTTTCTGGTCACTCTGAATTGTGCTCTGCTGGGGTAGTAGTCAGGATCATGAAAATTCAAATTTTTCTGTCGTGCTTCTTTCTGATCTCCCTCAAAAAGCAAAGATCACAAAAGATGGAATGAGCACCTCTTCTTGCTGGAGAGGTGTTGATCAATGCGAAGAACGAGTGCTTGCGCTTGTCGTGGGCCCTCGTCCCCTCCATGGACGTGCTCACGAACAGAAGAATCTCCCCCCGTTTCTTACTAGGAGGTGACCCTCACAATGAGTCCTAGCTTCTCTACTTGCCTCTATCGATTTTTTGATTTCTTTGTCAAAAACTCCAAGCAAATTTTTGTACAAGTGGTTTTCAGTGCAGAGAGTCAAGTCCATCACCATCTCCATCTTCAAACTCATTTCTAGCAGAAAGCACAATGAAAATTTACAGGGTCGATGTGTAGGTAAATGACTTTTACCATGTAGAAGGAACATTGCCAAGAAACGTGAATATCGTCAAAAAAAAAGTGTAACCGTATATGTCAGATTTTTCCGTGTCAAAAAGTAAAAGGTTCAGACTCGGCAGAGTAGATAGAATCTGCCGTGCTGTAGTGTGTAGTCTTAGCGATGAAACTAACTTGATGAACAAACTGGTACTAGATGAAGTGGATTTTAACAAAAGTATTGTACATTTGGATTTGAATTTAACACTAACTCTGAGAAGCAAAAATTGCAATACAACGACCTTCTCCGCCCGGCTTAATGATCCCGCTCTTCCACGTAGAGACTTTCGAAAGGGTAGAGCTCCGTCTTGTGTCCGTACTTCGTGCTGAAGCTCTTCCCCGTGACCTGTGGTCTTGTTTATTTCTGATGCTAGATCTGATGCAACACGGGAACAATTTCGTTTAGTTGATGTTCCTCGGGATGCATAGCGTAGAAGTACATGTATTCCTTACTGGACTCAAGAGCCGGCGCTTTAGTCCCCTCAGCATGCTATGCACCAAAACCTACGTAGTACTTCAGGAAAACAAATTATGAAGCGAAGCGAATTTCTCTATATACCGAGATTCTGCTGTCGTTTCTGTACCCCTGGTGGCAGTAGGGCCGGCGCAGAAAGTTGGGATTTTTCCACAAATCATCTCCCATCCGCTCATCCGCTGTCCGTTGGTAGTACTCCGCCATCTCCTTGTACAGGCTCGGCTTCGCCTTCTCCGGTTGGTTTATCGTATTTAAAAACGTTCCCACCCCAGAGTTGTAATGCAAATCTGCATGCTGAAAATGTTTCTCATGCGGAGCCCCATGAGAAGCATTTTCGAGTTGTGTTTTGGAATTTGCCATGCTCCAAGTCCAATCAGCAAGATATACTAGATCTGTGATGCTGCTGATGAAGTACCTCAAACAGCACTACACTACGAGTCCAAATTTGTCATGCGAAACAGCCAAAACTTGCGGATTTGTCTAGCCGATTCCGCATCTTGACTATGGGGTGGGGACGTTTTGACATAGGATATGGTTCCGCACGTTCTCTTCTCGCGTGGAGAAGATCTTGCTGCACTCCTTGCCGAGGTGCGTGATGCCGCCCCCAATGATGTTCTCCGCCTTTTTCCCGGGGAAGTAACCCATGTAGCCGGGCACGCAGGACACCGAGTAATTGGACATCACTTTCTTCATGGCGGGTTTTTCTTCGGTGGAAAACACTATGGCGTTCTTAAGTGTTACACTCTCAACTGTTACATGGATTTGTAATGCAAGAATAACAAAAGTGCAAGGGGAAGATTTCGCTTTTTGCATTACAGGTTTGGCACAGATTTAGATGCTGTTTAGCCTTTCGGAAATTTGTCATGCGAAGCAGCTTGATGATGTAGATACTGATGAGAGTTTTGCATGACAAATCATGTAACAGTTGAGAATGTAACATTTGAGAACTCCATAAACACGTCCTTTGGGGTGTAGGTTTTTGTCCACTCGGCTGGCACGTTGAAGTAGTCCGCTGGCTTCGATTTCTGGGCTACTGGCTTGTGGTATGGAGAGAAAAAAGTCCGTCACAGTCACTAACACAACACTAACCTGCAGGCTTTGCATTACAAATTTTCTCAGCGTCACAAACTTTCCTTGTATTGCAGAAACACTAGGGAAATCCCTAATGAAGTTTGGCTGTGATGCATTTTTACGCATGACAAACAATTTTGTATTGCAAGAATGCGTATGAGTGATCGTGACGAACTTTTTTTCTTCGATATGTGGTGCTCGCTTTCTATTCGGGAGGGCTTGCTCTGCACCAACTTGCCGGACCTTGCGTGCACGTCTGCCGCGGGCTGTCCATACCTAAGGGATTTTTGCTTGTATCAATGCACTTTTGCATTTGTTCCATTTGCAGATGCATCCTCATCCTCTATCAGTGAAGAAAGTTTTACTGGGAGCAGTAACAGTAAGAAAATTTTACTGGCTCTGCGGGTATTTTGTTGGCATGTAGCCCGTGTAGCCGGGGATCGACCCGTTGTGACAGCACTGCAAGTACTCGTAATCAACTTTTCCCTTGTGCATTGGCGCACCATGTTCCATCGGGAGGGGCATTGCGCCGCGGCCCCATTTTTGACTCTGGATGACGGCTTGCTCCACCCGGTGCAGCGCCAGCTTCTCCTGCTCGGACTTTTGCTGCAAGGCGTACGGCATGTTTGTACGACAAGATAAAATGCGCTACAAAACAAAAAACAAAGAAAGAAAGCAACCTGCGTGGAGGTCAGTTCACGAATAGATACCCCTCCCAAGTACTTCTACCCTGCTTACTTTAGTCCTCGGCGCAAAAAAACGGCCTGCGTCTTGAAATCTTCAAGAGTTCATTGATGAAAAATAAATGCGATACAGAACCAGAATAATCGTGCTCACATCTGCATTTTTGCGTGGTTCGGTAGACGTAAGAGCAAGAAATTATTAACTTGTCCCAACGTTAGGATTGTATCAAGGGAATGTTGAAAAGACAAACCGACATAAATCAGAAATGGTTCTGTGGTCGCGTAGAAGTAGAACCAGTATCGACCTTGGGCTTGCCTTGCCACGCTTATACATACGGATATTTTTGCCCTCCTGGTGGATCATGTGATAACTACGTCTAACATGTTATGATGTACTACACTACATGTCATGTAGGACTAGCAGTGTCATCTAGTGCTAGTGATCGTTCGAAAAAAACGTACCTCTAGCTGTACTTCTTATTGCACGAGACTCCCTGAATATTTCTTGAAAGAAGAAGAACGACGAAGAAGAACCGCGAAGAGTTTTTGTAAACAAAGCGAGACAACGATAACGATTGTTCTTCCCAGAGGACCCCATAATTTCACGTTCGTTGTCGGGCGGTGATGAAGAGGTCAGTGCTGTGCGCTTTCATCTGATTCAAATTTTTTCCGGTACTGATACACGTTTCGTATGTGAATACAAGTACACCAGGACCAGCCGCGTTTTGATGGTTTATTTCAGGATAATTATTTAGTGCTTTATTTTTCAAACTGTGGTCACAGAGACTTGGTACGAGACAGATTCTGATCAACATACTGATCGATATTTTCTCGGGTCAGCATTTAATCATTTATAGTACTGGTCCCATACTTCACCCGACCAATAGGTATCGTTGAAGGCTTTCTCGTACGGCAATTCCCACCACATCAGGTCTCGTCCAGAACCTCCGCTATCGTAAGAAACAAGTGTCTCAGTCTCAAACCTTTATTGCAGACTCAGCAATACAAATTTGCGAAGCAAGAAACAAAAAATCTCTGATGCGTTCAACTTCAAACAGCAACAAGGAAAATAAAAACCATATGACAGACGCGTTTCTGGCATGTCGCGCATGACAAAAAACTGTTTCAAGGTCAAGGAAGTTCCGCATTACAAGTTGAGAAGGAGACGCCAGTTTTTTCTTGCGATATCCGCTACCGCACGACGCCTGAGCCGTGCTGTTGTAGAAGGGCATCAAGTAGTCCGCGTAGGTGCCGCAACTCGGCGTCCACCACCAGGCAATGTCCATCAGGCTCCCAACCCCGTCTGCAATGGGTGTAAAGGGGTCCTTTCCGGTGGTGGTAAACTGGGTGCCCGGGGTGCCCACCGCATGGTTTCTTTTATCGAAAAAGCCGTGCCAGTTTTGGAGCATGGGCCAGACCGGCAAGCCAAACACGAACAGCATCGCCAGCACCTCCGACACAAACACCGCCCGCGGCAGCCGAAGACTGGCGGCCTGTGGAATGAGGCGGCCGCCAGCCGCCTCGCCCGTGTACTGTTCATCTGAGTCCGACTGCTGCAGAACGTGACACAGAACGGCAAACACAGCACAGAAAAACCACCCGAGAACGAGACACAGCGCTCGCGGGAAATACTATGAGAGTGCACAACTCCCCCTCCCCCTCATTAGTCATGCAAAAGCCAAAATCCAAGTGCTTCATCCCCGCTGGCACTGTATGCATGAGAGATGATCCCAGAACAAGCCCAAACAGTACTACACTAGGCGCATAAATTTGCCATGCACAGGCTCCACGTGATGTGCTTGTGCTGGCGTTTGTATAATTCCAGCTTTTCATGCAATACAAATGAGTGGGAGGGTGGGGGGGGTTCAGGTTCTTGTGCACTCTCATAAATACAGCCACGGGTAGCGAAGCACCGCTGCCACCTATCCTGTGTAAAAATGTCCCCACCCCATAGTTAAGTTGGGATCTCTGCAACACAGATCCAGGAGTTTTGGACGCCACGCATGACAAGTTGCAGCCCGTAGTGTAGTGCAGGTTAGCAAGGACAGCCGCATTACAAATCGAGATGCGTATCCTGTTTACAGCATTACAAATTCCAGAACACGACTGGAAATGCCCATCATCGGGATGCGCATCACAAATGTTCTTGTCATTGCAAATCTGCATGACAACTCTGGGGTGGGGATATTTTTACATAGGATACCACCTGCATGTCGTGGTTCCCGCAGAAACCGCTTTGCGCCTGCTATTGAAAGGAAAAACTCCCCCTCCGAAAATTTCCGAAAATTTGCGTTGCTGATTCGCTGCCACAAATCCCGTTTGTCTTGCAAGAAGACAAGGGTAGAAGCTTCCGCCCCATTATGGAAGCGATTTGGCATGCTGTTGGGCCTAGAGGGCAGCCGTTTGCAATGCTGAACGACTAGACCCAAACGCCCCCACCTAGGCCGGGGATCTGGCCGCATCAGTGCCTTCCTGCAATACGTACCTTTATTGTGTACACAAATCCAGCATCAGAAATTCCGTTTTGATATGGGGAGGGGGGGTAAATTCTTTTCGATACTTGCGCGAGCGACCAGAGCGCTTCCTGCAGGTTTTTCCCCTGTAGCTCCCGTCGCTCCTGGGCATTCGGGCCGAAGAGGGCCAGTCGTAGGTTGACATTTTCGCTCCAGAGCAACTGCCTCGTTTCGAAAATCAGGAGCAGACCCATCGCGAAAAGCACTACCCGATGTAGCTGTATCATGTACTTTATGCATTGCAAAAGTATAATCGTGCTAGTATAAATTGCATCCCAAATTTGTGCAAGAAGGAAAGCGGAACTTGTAATGCTGTTTTGCCTTTCAGAAAAACATTTGTCATGCATTATATTCGCAATTAGTACGAGTATGATGCTTTTGCACAGGATATACTTGCGAGTCCGCTGGTCGTGCATGGCGGACACCCGATCACCGGACGACTTGGTGCGCCGCGAGTTTTTGCTCATCTTGCTGCCACGAGGACCACTACTTGTGGAACTACCCACTACGCCGACGTCCTGTGCTGGTCCCGCCAAGCGCGGCTGCTCAGGAGACAGAGGAGTAGAATTATTGTTCTTGGCTTCATCGTGGTTCGCGGGGTCGTGGTGCCGTTTGTCGAGGTCCACCTTGTTAATATCGTCGCCCCCATCGTCCACCTGCTCCTCTTCCTCGTCGTCATAGGTTGCGCTTGGATATGGAAGCGTCAGGATTCAAATTGTCAAAGTTGAAATAGTTTGTGATGCATAAAATGCAACCCACAGAGTGCCTGTCTTGCAGAGTACGCAAGGGAGGCAGATTGTAAGCCTGTTGAGAGGTAAAAATAGAGCTGCTACAGTAGCATGACAAAAGGCGTCTTCCTTATCCAAACAGCATTACAAACTGGATTTAGGCACCACCAAGATTTGTCATGCGCCACTTGAAAGCTAGGCGCCTACTGGTATCCGTTTTATGCATCACAAATTATTTCAACTCTGACGATTTCGATCCTGACACTCCCATATTGGAACCGCCGCAGTGATCAACATCAAGACGGGCGTATGCATTGCAAAAGTAATATCGTACTCGTACTAATTGGAGTTATGCATTACAAATTTTTTCTTGAAGTAGATCCGCATTACAAATTGAATTTGTAATGCTGAGCCCATTTGTATTGCAATTTTATGCTAGTACGATGATTTTGCATTGCATAGGGCGGAAAGATCAGCCACGCGACCCGCAGTGCAATGCTCCAGAAACGCTCCGTCTGGAGTGCTGCCAGATACAAGATGTCCTTCCCTCCAGGCGTGTGGTACATGTTCGCTTCGTCGTGGTGATCAAGCCATCCTCCTCGGTGGTCATTGTGGAGGTCGTTTGCTCCGAAATGCCGGTCTTGGTGCTCCTCGTTTCCCTTGCTTTCGGCCACGCATTCCCGGTCGTAGAGCACGAGCGTGTAACGCGAAAGAAGAACACAGACCTCGTTGATGATCAGGCAGGTCGTGAAGATGAGGCCCTCCGCGCTGTCCGCGCGCTGCGTGACGGACGATAGCGTTATGGAAGCGTGAGGATTGAAATCCTCAAAGTTGAAATAATTTCTCATGCCGAAATTGCAAGGCATGAAGTGCCTCTCTTGCAGGGATTGCAAATGGGGCCGCTTGTGAGCCTGTTGCGGGTTTGGAATAGATATAGAGCTGCCAAAGTAGCATGACAAAAGGCGCCTTCTGTCCCTAAACAGCATGACAAACTGGCTTTAGGCGGTTCCGAAATTTGTCATGCGCCGCTGGGAAATTGGGCTTCCAGCTGGTACCTATCCTCGATTTTATGCATAATCTACAAATAATTTCAACTTTGACGATTTCAATCCTGACGCATCCATAAGCGTTCCCATTCTGGTAAAATTCCACGGCATCACGTAGTACAGCCGAGCACGCGCCCGCCGCACGCCGGCGGCAAGCCCGCTTTCGGTTCTGGCTGCGCCGTGGCCGCGGCCGTGGCCACGCGCCGGCACCGGGTCCCGCTCGACGTCGGAGTGGTCTCCCGGCACCTCCACGCCGTTATCCTGAGTAAAAACGTCCCCACACCATGGGCAAGATGGGAAATTTTTTTTCCAAGATAGGCAATCGGCAACACAAATCTCCAAGTCTTGGGAGTTCTGCATGACAACTTTCCATCTGCAGTGTGCTGCTGGTTAGCAAGGAAAGCCGCATGAGAAAGCCATTTAGTCATGCCGTTTACAGCATTACAAATTGCAAAACACGAATGCCTCTCAAGGAGATGCGCATTACAAATGTTCCTGTCATTGTGCATTTGCATGACAACTCTACTGGGGTGGGGACGTTTTTACACCAGATAGCCGTCCGGAGGGAGGTACTCGAGTGGAAGGAACACCAGGCGGGAGGTATCCTGAGTAAAAACGTACCCACACCAGAGTCAAGATGGGGAATCGGCTAGACAAATCCACAAGTTTTGGCTGTTTTGCATGACAAATTTGGATTCGTAGTGTAGTGCTGTTTGAGCTAGCTCAGCAGCATCACAGATCTAGCATACCATGCTGATTGGAGCATGACAAATTGCCAAACACCACTAGAAAATGCTTCTCATGGAGCTCCGCATGAGAAACATTTTCAGCATGCAGATTTGCATTACAACTCTGGCGTGGGTACGTTTTTGCTCAGGATAGGAGGGGAGCACAATCCCGATCACCACCGCTATGTAGCCGCAGGCGAGTAAAACGATCGTAAAGGTATACTCCAGCTTGGACAGGGCCAGCAAATACGTCAACGTCCACTCCGCCACGGTTTCGAGCAGCGCCAGGAGGTCGCGGACGACCCGAAAACCCAGCTTGCTGTTCTCGCGCACGTATGCATTGCAAAAGCAAAAGTATCGCACTCGTATAAATGCATTACAAATTTCCGCAGCATGAGAAATCAAATTTGTAATGCGGAATGAGAATCTGTAATGCGGAATTACCTTAAGAAGAAGAACAGGATTTGTAATGCATGACTGCAATACAAGCACGATACTTTTGCACAGGATAGCACGTCCGCCACGTCGCGGGCGCAGGTCTTGGCGCTCGTGCGGAGCTCTCGGTTCGCCCGCTGCAGGTTCGCTTTTGTCGCGTTCAGCTGGATCACCATGGATGTCAACGAGGTCTCTGACGCCTGCAGCGCGGCCACGGACGCTTCCCACTGCGCAAGCTGCTGCGCAGGAGCCAAAAGGCCTTGCTGTCTTGTTTGCGCAGGAGCCGTTTGTAGTTCCTCTTGCAGTTCGTGTTCGTGGTCCCCATGAAGATCATCTTCACGCAATAAAACCGGCCGCTGCTGCTCGCCAGGTTGTAGTATCTGCAACGCCGAGCCGACTTTTTGATGTCGTGGTTCTACTGCTGGATCATTCTCTTTGTTGTTGTGCTCCCCGTGCTTTTGAGGAGGTGAAAATCTCGTGGCTAACAAGAGTTCTCCGGAAGACGAAGTAAATTGGCGCTCGAAAATTTTGTTTCCCTCCACCGCGGCCCAGCAACCGGGGAGTAGAAATAAGCCACGACCAGGAGATGATGAACTTAAATTATCCAGCAATCCACATCCAGCGCAGTAGAGTACAACCAGGACGAACAAAACTACATGCTGAACCACGGAACTAGAAGCCCTGCTACGTCCTTCTCCCTGGCGGGAAGACACCAGGAGGAGCTTCAACATGTTCTTGGAAGTTGTTGTCATACTAGTTCAGGAGCAGGTAGGACGAAGGTCGCCAGAAGTAGAGTTCTTCCAGTAGCTGAGGCCGATGCTCCTGCTGTCTACGTATCAGAATCAATCTTCCCGTATGAACTTCGTGCGTGGTCCTGGTTCTCTCCCCGTCCTGCAAGTCCTGCAGCTGCGACGACACTGGATGATGTGGTCGATGGCTTCACGTTTGGAAAATCTTCTTGCTGTCAGAATTTTCTATATTTTCCGTAGTCGCGCAACTTCTTCTGTTACTTCCTGTTTCGTGAAACGAGATTGTTAACCGTGATCATCGATCTTCTTGCGTGTTGAATACTTAGGGACAGGCGTACTTAGTTGTATTCAATTCCGAGATCGGGTTCAACATATTCATAATTAATGCGCGTCTGAATTTAGTGGTACGTATCTACCGGTGATACTGATATCTTCTATATCTTCTGGTAAGAAAAAAAACGCCCTTCTTCTACTTGCAGTTGAAAAGAAAAAGCGTGCAACAGGAATACAAGAGTGCTCTAATAGTCGTTCATCACCACGACGAGGCATAAATTCATTTTGACGAAAAACAAAAACTACCGATTTTTTCATTTATATCTCCCCGTGAAATGCTTTCGATTTGTTCCAGTTCCTTAAATAGCCTTTACTAAAGCGAATCACGATGGAGTCAGGACCCATATTATTCGCACGACGACGACCCACACGACTACTTCGCATCTATACTTACGACTACGGCTAGACAGAGGGCGAAGAAAGCAGTTTTGCATCTTATGCATCAATCTAAAGCTGACATGACAATTTCCCCGATGATCACAAACGAGAACCACCATTCTTGGTGTGAAAAAGCTGCCACTGCGAAGATGCACGACGCCCATCAGGTAGAAGTTACGCGATGAGACAAAAAGGATACAAAATCAGAAATCAAAGCTTCGTCTACTCGTCTAGGTCTAGCACCTGAAGATTATCATACATAAACAAACTTCAGGCTCCGCTCTACTGCCCCATGGTGTTATTGAATCGGTTGAATTCCATCTTTCATGTGTTGTAATCACGCAGGAGCCACAGGCTATGTGAAATACGCGACCCTAGAAATCGTGCTGGGCTATCGTGTATCAAATGCAAAAGTGTCTGCGTCTGGAAGAATGCGCGATTTGTCATGCTGCTTTTCCATGACCCATGAGGTCTGGAATGCAGGACCTAGCAAGACAGACTCTGTGCGATCTCTCTCATGCCTATCCTGCATGAGAAACTCCCTCCCGACTTGGTGAAAACTGGACGACTTTTGGTAATCATGCAACACAGATTTTTGCGTGCTTCAGATTTAGCATGACAAGTTGCAATCTTCCAGACCCAGACATTTTTTCATTTGATATCGTGGTCATCATCCATCAAAACTAAACCTCTACTTAATTGCTATTACCCTGAAGTAACTCGAAAAAATGTTGAAAAAGGTGATTAATGATAGGTCGTTCTACTTATCATCTGTGCACCTTTGCATTACGCTCGGCAGGAGGGCTGCAGCTGCCGCGTCGTGCCACTAACTCTATCTTGGAACAACGACGACCACAAGCGAATGCAGAAAGTGCATCTAAGACAAAAAGAACATGAAGTGAAAAAAAGAATAAAACTGAAAATTCTACATGATAAAAGAACAGTATAGTCCAAAGAGCGGGCAAGCGTGTCTGATGCTGCTCTCTGTTCTTGTTCTTTGTCTTTCTCTTTCCCGCCTCTTGGGTTAGAAAATAAAGGAATGAGCAGGACGAGGTGACACTTTCCTTGAGGGAAACAGAGAAAGAAAAAATTTCAAGTAATAGTGAACCTAAACGCGCATGTGCATGAAAAAACGGTAACAAAAACTTGCTCGAGCCCTTCCGCTCGGCAAAAAAAATCATCAAAAATTCGTAAAGTTCGGCTTCGGTGTGGCCTCCATTACAACGTGGAGTCGCCACAACAAACCCCCGCTTTAATACACAACTTCTCAGTAAGCTACAGGTAGTTGCCTCGAACTTGAGGGAGAGCAGGGAGACGCAAACAACCATCTCGGGCAGCTAGTGCTTGATTTACTGTAGTCACATCTTCGAAGAAATTTTTTTCACGATCATGGAATTATCGCTTGCTATCTATCCACTGCAAAAGCATCGTACTAGTAGGAGCCACTCTGAGTCTGATCGCATGACAACGAATTTTTTACTCAGCATGTAAACAAAAATGATATGAGGCAGGAACCCAGGTCTATAATCTTCTTCACCCAGGCATGACATTAATTGCACTTTTTCAATTTCATAATTATACTTTTAGTTCCTGACGAGTACGATTCTTTCGCAATGCATAGCCCAACGACCTCCACGACTGCAATTTCCGCGATTGGCATCGGAATGGCGCAAAAGGAGATGTCTTTGGTGTTTTTCACTTCCATCTCGATCAGGAATTGTTTCTTGCTACCGAAGTCTATCCTGTGCAAAAGTATCGTATTGCAATCATGCATATACAAATCTTTCTTTTAGGGTAAACCCGCACTACAAATTTGATTTCTCATGCTGAGGGAATTTGTAATGCATTCATGCGAGTACGATACTCTTGCAGTTCGTAATGTCGTCGCTTTGGTTTATTTCATCCTCGAAAATGCTGTCCGGCAATTTGCACGTAATCGTTGTCGTTGTTTCCAGCTCGAGAAAGTCGTGCAAGATTGAAACGACCTCGAGTTGTTCCTATGCAAGAAAAAAACTGTGTAAGCGTAACTTTCTTGGAGGAACAGCATCACAAGGTTGCTCTGCATGACGGAGAAAACCTGTCATGCGTAGCTAGTACGTGAAAACACGTACGAAAAGAGCCTCTGATGCATGTCCAGCATGACAGTTGTACGTGTCTTGCATCGTCTGCAGCACAAAGAAAGTTACACTTACACAGTTTTTTTCTTGGATAGTTCCTCATGGTCCTCTAGTACTTGTTGCCCGGAGTTGTCCGCCGAAGATCCAGTGGTTTTTTGGTCGTTTTTCCTTCCAGCAGCTCCTACTCTCTTCAGCACGCATCTGGTTGGCAGTGTGTCGCGTCCGAGCTCTTCCCAATCGCCACCCAGCGTAATTGCATCCTTCCCGATGTAGGTAATCGCGAGAGACAGCGAAGTTTTTGGCATAATTCCCTTCTTGTTGCTCACCTCTTCGCCGGGGGCCCTGTTGTCAACGCTTGTTGTTGCGGCAGTTGGTCCATCCCTCGAAGCTGCTGCTCGTCCTGCCGCGAAAGTGATCTGCTCCAGGTCCAGGCAGAACAGCGCCCGGGCCGTCGGCCACACGATGGAGCCCCACCGGAGGCAGCTGTGCCGCAGTCTCGGGAGGAGCTGTGCGGCAATTTTGTCGTGGTCGCTGGCAATGGTCTCATAGGTCATCGAATAGTACATCTGGTCCACAATCGCGTTGCGAACAGAGTCGTGGGTCGTTGATAATGTAGTTGATGGTGCTGCCGCACTTGAATTTTTACTATTACCTCCACTACAGTTCGTGCTTGTCCGGGGCGGTACGACGAAAACTGGCGTGAGGCCTTCCCTGTTATCAAATGTAAAAGTGTCTGGGTCTGGAAACTTGTGATGCTGTGTGGCGTATCATGAGGAGGCCACAGTTGCTGGCTCAGCATGACAAGTTTCTGAGCTTCTAGGTGTTGCGGTTGCCTATTCTGCATGACAAACTACGTTTCTGCATGATAGAAAAGTGGGGCTCTTTGGTAATGTGCATGACAGATTTGAGAGTCATGCCAGACAAGCATGACAAACTTGCATTCTTCCAGACCCAGACATTTTTACATTTGATACCTGTTCTTCGATGATGAATTTGAATTACCGGCGCCGGCGAACTGAATCATACTGGCAGTTGTACTACCTCCGTTTGTTCTACTGTTGGACGTCGAGGAGATGATCCTAGTCGAGGAACGCCCAGCAGTAGTTTTACTCAGGTCAAAAAGCGCGAAGTTTTCCCAGTTTTCCCCCACGGAGAGGTACGCGTGGCACGTGCAGTCCGGGTGGGTGGCCAGAATCAGCGAGGGGTTCTTATCCGCATTGTAAAAAACGCCGCCGGTCCAGAACAAATCGGCAAACGCGCCCCGTTGGCGGTGCTGCCCGCCCAACACGACGGAGGTCTGGTACCCGATTTGCGCGTAGAGCAGGTACGAAAGAGCCAGCACCTCGGCGTACAGTGCGTTGGCGGAGTGAAGGCGGTCTTCCGCGGTGGGAATTATGGTACCGGTGTAAAGAGAATTGGAAAACTTTCTGTGGTCTTCTTCTTCTTCTACTACAACTTCTCCGGTGAGAACCACGTCTTCAGCTGTTCTCGACTTGTTTGTCCGAACAACTTCTCCCCCGACGAGGTCCTCACCCGCCAGTGCCGTCGCTTGCTTTCGCCACGACTTTCCGGTCAGCTCCGTGCGGGAAACGGGCAGGGGTTTCTCGGTGAACGTGCAGGAGCTCGAAGTGGTCCTACTTGTTTCAGAACCATACGAAGTTGTAGACGACACGCCGCTGGCCGTAGTGGACGACGCTTCTGAAGCTACTGAGAGCAATCTGTCGTGCTGCTTGATGTTGATGTGGTGATCCTGTTTATAGTTCAACATGGCTGCCGCTCGCCGGCACACCAGCTCGTCGTAGTAAACCCGCAACTTCAACATGCTCATGCGCCAGTTGAGCACCAACGTCGTCCGGGGCGCTTTATCCAAAAATGGCCGGACCACGTCCTCGAAGTCGCGAAACGTAGTGGAAGTTCTTGTTCTACTGGAAGATGATGTTCCGGTCGTCGACGTCCCCGCAGATGTTGAAGCAGTAGGTGCTGGTGCAAAAATCCCATCAGTCTTCTTCGACTCCAGCCAGTCTTTCCGTTCCAAGTCGAACAGCAGGGTGCACATTTTCTCCGCCACTTCCGCGTCCCAGAGGAAGCAGAGAAACCGGCAGTACTCCAGCAGCCCCTCGAACAGGGCCGGCTTCGTTTTTCGCAACTCCGTCGCGTCGCCCCCAAGGTCAAACAGGCCACTTTCCTCGAGGAAACAAGACGAAGCTGCAGCTGCCTCTGCTCCTCGTCCACCACCTTCTCCACCACCACACCCCTCCCACGCTGCGATCAGGGCGACAAATTTATTCACATCGTCCGAAACACCCTCACTGTAGCAGCCCAGTACGTCCGTACACTGCTCCCCCTGGTCGAGCATGGCCCAGAACATCTGGGGCCGGATATCAAAAGGAAAAATCCCCCCTCCCCATATTGAAAAGCTATGTTTCCGAAAATTTGCGTTGCTGATTTGAGGTCACAAATCGTGTCTGTCTTGCAAGACAGCAATGGCATCCGCTCCGCCCCACTATGCTGGCGGTTTGTAATGCTGTTGGTCCTACAGCATAGGCGTTCCCCATGCTAAGCGCCTAGGCCAAAACCTCTGCGCACTGGCATGATATCGGCCTGCAGTCCCCTACTGCAAGACAAATCTGATTTGTGTACGCAGATCCAGCATCAGAAGTTTCGTTTTGATATGGGGTGAGGGCTTTTTTCACTTTGATACCGGACGGAAATAGGTTCCCGGCCGTGGGTCAGCGCCAAGGCGACGGGCCACCCCTGCTGCGGGAACTCGCAGCCCACGCAGTGGCAGAGGTCCGGGTAGTTGCGCAACTTGAATTCCGGTGGCACCTTGTCGCGAAACTCCGTGTAGGTGTACGAAGACCACGGCCCGTAGACGATCCCGGTGAGGCCGCTATCCTGTGCAAAAGTATCGTACTCGTATTGCAATCATGCACTACACATCTTTTCCCTAAGGTAAATCAGCACGAAAAATTTTCTTCCTCATCCTGAGAAAATTTGTAATGCATTCATACGAGTACGATACTTTTGCACTGCATAGCCGATATCCTGCACCAGCTCCCGTCTCGTCTCTTCCCTCGCGAGAATCCGGAAAAAATCGTCCTCACGTTTATGGCTTGCTCAAACGTTACATCAATCCCAAACGTTACAATAGAGTTGTCTGCGTTCTTTTGTATTGCAACATATTAAAAATGAGCATGACAGACTCGAAGAGCGTTCCACTTTGTGCAATACAAACCCTGCCCAATTGTAGTGCGGCATGGGACTCTGGAACTTGTCATGCGCAATCCTATCTTCAGAGCTGGCTAGATAATGCACTTCTTCCATCACAGATTTCCATATTCTATGGTCACCGATTTGAGATTGTAACGTTTGAGCAGGTCATAACGTTCCCGCGGCTGCCACCCCGCTTCCATATTCAAGTCCACGGATTTCGAAAGGCCGTATGAACTGCAAAAAAATCGTACTCAAATAAATGCATTACAAATTTCCTCAGCATGAGAAATGAAATTTGTAATGCGGATTTACGTCCAGAAAAAAATTTGTAATGCATGATTGCAATACGAGTACGATACTTTTGCACTGGATAGGCCAAACTGTGTGCTGATCCAAAGCTCCAGCTTCACCGGTTCTTGCCGCGGGCGAGCAGAGTCGAGCCTGTAGTCCAACGTGTCGTAGTACTTTTCCCGATAGTACTTTATTTGTTCCTTTGCGATGTGCCGAAGTAGGGTATCTGGCTCGTGGCCGCCGGGATCGCCGCCGGGAATGAACAGAAAGTCCAACCTTGGCAGCGCTTCCTGCACGAGTTTCCAGTGCGTATGGGAGTGTCAGGATCGAAATCGACAAACTCGAAAAATTTGTATTGCATAAAATGTAGAACACGTAAGGCCTGTGCTGGGGAGCAGGCAAATGAGACCGACAGCAAGCCTGTTTAGGGGAGGACGATGTGCTGCCGGATTAGCAGGAGAGGAGCAGTCATCTTTGCCCGAACAGCATGACAGATTGGATTTTGGTCGTGCTCCCGAAATTTGTCATGCGCCACTTGGAAAGTGAGGCTGCAACTGGTATCGACTTTATGCATCACAAATTCTTTCGATTTTGTTGATTTCGATCCTGGCAGTTCCATAGTGCGCTCTCGCCCTGTCGAGCGCCCCGTCCTCCAGCGCGTAGCTGGGAAAAAAGGCGGGGAACCAAATGCTCACGTGCAGGTCCAGCAAGTCGCAGTATCCTGTGCAAAAGTATCGCACTCGTACTAACTGCATTTATGCATTACAAATCTTTTTCTTGAGCTAAATCAGCATTACAAATTTTATGTGTCATGCTGAGGAAATTTGTGATGCATTCATAGTCATACGAGTACGATACTTTTGCAAAGCATACGCAGTACTCGCTGACGATGCGCAGCATCTCGAGCCAGGAGGTGGTGAAGTGCGGCGAATACGCGGCGTCGTCCAGCCTATCAAGTGTAAAAATGTCTGGGTCTGGAAGACTGCGCGATTTGTCATGCAGCTTTTCCATGACCCATGAGGCCTGGAATGCAGGGCCTAGCATGACATTGGTGGTCTACGGGCAGGACGTCCCGGTGGCACGACGGCCGATAAGCTTACAAATATCATGTTGTCGCACTTAAAAATACTTAAAAGATGAAGAGCATCTTACCGATCAGACATGAGATTGAAATCTTATTGCCTTGCTAGCGCCAAAGAAAAGGAGCACAGCATAAGGCAGCAAACGTATCATCATGTATCAGCTGCATACGAAGTTTTATTTTACGAAATTCGACGAGTAAAAATACTAAAAAAATGTTGCAAGTCAGACGTGAGGGCGAGTTCTTACATCTTGCTAGCGTCAACGAAAAAAGAGTACAGCCGACGACCAACAAAAAACGCGTCATCATGTGACCACTTGCATACGAAGTTCCGCGTACGAAGTGCGACGACATAATATGCAGGGCCTAGCATGACAGATTCTGCGCGATCTCTCTCATGCCTATTCTGCATGAGAAACTCCCTCGCGACTTGGGCAAAACTGGACGACCTTTGGTAATCATGCAACACAGATTTTTGCATGCTGCAGATTTAGCATGACAAGTTACATCCTTCCAGACCCAGACATTTTTACATTTGATCCAGCCCCGGGGGAATCACCTCGATGCTGTTGCAGCCAAAGAGCGCCACGTCGAGAATCTGCTGCCGCATCTGCTCTATGCACTGCAACAGTATCGTAGTCGTACTAGTTCTAGAAGTAAGAATTGCATTACAAATTTTCCCAAGAACAAAAAAGCAGTTTGTCATGCTATTTCAGATAGAAAGTTGGATTTGTCATGCATATCTGCAATTAGTACGAGTGCGATACTTTTGCAGTTCATATGCTCCGGCGAAAACGCGTCGTACGCGTTCGTCTTCGGGCGGTAGGCATATGAAGTTGCTAAACGTTGACGCTCTTACATGGATTTGTAATGCAAAAGTGGCAAAAGTAAACGGGAAGAGATGGCGCCTTTCGCATTACAGGTTTGGCGCTGATTCTAATGCTATCTAGGGCGTCGGGAACTTGTCATGCGCAGCAGCTTGATCATGTAGATACTGATGGCAATTTTGCATGACAAATTGCTCATGTAACAGTTGAGAGTGTAACGTTTGAGAATCCCATAAGGCGATCTGGTGCTGTCGGACTTTCAACTTTGGGGGCGCGAGGAAAAGGGTAGAGGAAGTAGATGTAGTAGAAGACTGCTGCTCCGTCTTTTGTCTATCGTCGTTTTGAAGTTGAAGTTTATTCGGAACAACTTGGAAATACGCGAAGACCGTCTTTCCCTGGTAGGTCTGCTCGTAGCCCATTACGCACGCCCGGAGAAATTTTCCGACGCCAAAAAGCACACCGCGGCAAGACCGGGCCGAGATCCGGAGCTCCGCCCCGTTTTGCGAAATGGTAATCTCCGCGCTTTCGTCGAGGAGGTCGTACGTGGAGGCCTCTTATGCATTGCAAAAGTGTCTGGGTCTGGAAGATTGCCAGGTTCGTCATGCATATTTTGCATGGCCCATGATGCCTGTAGTGCATGACTTAGCATCACAGATTTTTGGAAGGCTGCCTGATGCCTATTCCGCATGAAAAATACCATCTCCGCGTAGCACAATCCGGGCTCCTCTTGCTGGTCAGGCAATGCAAATTTTTTTAGAATCCAAAAACAGCATGACAAGTTTGGATCTTTCCAGACATCCAGGGATATTTGCAATTCATACCTCTGGGTTACACGCGTAGGCCGCTGCGGTGGTTGTTGGTCGCGGCGGGGAAAGTTTTTCAGAAGTAGTTGACAGATGTTGTAGTTCCAGGACGATTTTGACACTATTCGGTTGCAGCTGAGCGTCGTCTGGCCCCGCTCCACCTGGAACTACGTTGTTTTTCGTGTGGTGATCAATCTCGATCTCCTGTTCCGAACAAATCCGTTTCTGGATCTCAGCCCGCAGTAGGCGCGCGTAGCAGTCCAGCCGCCTGTTTTCATCCTCGATGCGATGGCGATTGTCTTTGTCATCTTGCCCGCCCGGGGTCACCTGCTGCTTCGCAATGTAGTTGTTGTTTTCGACCTGGATCACGACGGGCTGCTGCTTTACCAGCTTTCCCGCAAAGTGGAAAGTCGCATGATCCCTCGGCAACTTCTCCGCCAACGCGATCGCCCGCTCGCCGTACGTTGCGGCCGCCGACGTGGTCGTCCCTTCGCCACCCTGCCAATTGTCAAGCCAACCCATGGTTTGAGTTTGTTCTTTTTTGCCTCTAGTGCCCAAGCTTGTTGATTGTGGGGAAAAAAAAAGCTGGAAAGAAAGCTCAGCTACCGGGGTATCACTGGTGAACAGGATTTTTACGAAATAAAACAAGCGACGACGACTAGCCTTTACAAGGTATAGCTTCCCAATTGTACTACTTATCTATTTTTCATTGGTATTGCCCACTGCGCAGCGGTCGCGATTCTTGCCCACTGAACTCAATCTAGATAATGATAGGTATCACTTTCATCGTCTGCAGAACCGAAAAAAGGGCGTGCCATCAACGTCGAAAATAAACCACGAACAAGAAGAACCCATACGACCGCCTACGTACCCCATGTTTGGTCCTAGTACTGCACAGCTAATATACACAACACCTTACAACGCGTTTGCGTATCTTTTGCGAGTGAGTTTATTTTGACTTCCCACGATGACGGACGGGCAAGAGGACCCCAGGATCCTTACTAATGCAGGCGAGACATCAAAGAAAGATGAAAGCAAGTCGCGCAAGAGAGTAACGACGAAAACCGAAAGAAGCTTGCTCTATAGCTTGTACTTGTTCGACGTGTACAACTTTTAATTTTATATGTTCGCTTTATGCTTTTAATTGTTGATGTTCAATGAAATACGAATACAAAACCGCTCACGCCTGATGTTCTTGCAAAACCCGTAGATAAAAAAGGCACAGAACATGACGAAGAGCTCTACGACAGAAGAATTCCCCGCCGATTCGACTTTGGAGCAGGTCTCCTTGATACTAGTAGCGTTGGCACAATATCAGCAGAGAACTAGTACGAAGATGTGTATTTATTTCACACAACGGCCTCCGCGATAGCGTAGGGTTTGCGCAAGAAGCAGTTCTTTTCCCTGATTAAACCTTCACACACAAAACGCAAGCAGTCCCAGGCCTTCGCCTCAACCTCGGGCGTCTGTGCCTGTAGCAGCGCGGAAATGTCTCCGAACGTCCGCTCGGTTTGCAAAATGCCCTGCAGGTGTTCAGGCGTGGTTACCTCGTGTCGGACTTCCAACGGTTGCTGATTTTCTAATGTCCACGTTTTATCGTACCAAACAAGGCTTGCGTACCCCAACTTTTTGAGCAACAGGTCCTCAAGCACCTCCCTCTGCGCCCCCGCCTCCGTATTTTTTCGATGGTGGGGAAAGTAGTTTCGGGAAAAGGGCTTGTGGTGGCGCACGTTCAGGTCCAGCAGCGGACTGACTTCCGTCAGGAAATGTGACAACACGCAGTTTTTAGAGACATCCGGGCTCCAAAGGGCCAGGATTAACGACGAGGATGGTGTAGTAGTAGTAGTACCATCTTGATCTTCTGCTGTAGATGAAGCTCCACTTATTTGCGACCCGGTCGTCGTCGCGGTTTCCTGTATGGCGTTCTCAAATGTTACATTCTCAACTGTTACATGATTTGTCATGCAAAGCTACAATCAGAACCGACATGGCCAAGCTGCTGCGCATGACAAATTATTATTGTTATCACTAGGAGATGGAAGTTCAATATTTTCTTCGCCGACACCTTGCCCGCCCTTGCTTTGACTAGAAACTCCTTGACCGTCTGCCAGTAATCCAGTCTCCTATCCGGGTCGAGCTCGATGCAGTAATTTGTGGGGTCGGTGTCAAAGTGAAAGCCCAACCAGATGTTTGTTGTGCTCGGCCGCTGCAGCTTGCCCGGTTTGTGATGCAACTTCACCCCGAGCAACGTGAGGATGTAGATGGTCCAGTCGAGTGCATCGTTTGCTTCTTTTTCGACATCTGGTCCATCATCATGGACAAACCGAATATCATCCACGTAATCGAGCATCCCTGCCGCTTTTACCCCGTTTTTCTTGCACACGTTGAGGCATTCCTTGATGAAAGCATCATTTTGCTTATGCGGGGTAAAATGTCAGCGAGAATGTGAGACTTGACTCTGCTTTGCATCAAATCGTACCCATTTGCTCAGGCATAGATGAAAACGAAACAGCACTGACTTCTCTGCTGACATTTCACAAGATAATCACCAGGAGCACAACCTATGCCAAACGGCAAGAAAAGATGACTTGCAAGATTTCCCTTGTAAGTCTCCGTCCATTCCAGCTTCACGCCCAGATATCGTCTGAACGATGGATGCACGAGCCAATGGGAAAAGCTATCCTTTGCGTCTAAACCGCTGATCCTCGACCACGGTTTCAACACGGCGAACAGCTTCCAGAAGTCGGCGTAGTCGACCTCGGTGGAAAAAATCGCCTTGTTGAGATTCGCCTGCTTATCGGAGAAGTTGGAAATTACTCTGATCTTGTCGTTGCGCTGGAACAATACTGTTCCTGGCACTTGGAGCAGGCCCGGCGGTTCTTCGCCTTCCGGGTAGACTATTATTTTGCCACCGTCTTCGAAGCGTTTGAACTCGGCGTTGAACGTCTGCGCGTTTTCTCTCGCTGCGGTTTGATTCCCGCAGATGCGTGGCTCGGGCAAGTCGCCAATCACTTGAAACTTGACTCCCGTCATCGCTTTCAAGAGGACATCGGGTTTCATCCCCCACCGGATGCACTGCTCCGGTGATATCGTCAGTCCCCGGACTGCTTGCATGTCCTCGAGCTCGCGGTAGACGTCTTGCGGCCCTGGCTCCGCTGCTAGTGATGCCAACAACTCGTCGCACGTGACTGGGCAGCCTATCGCCTTGTAGTCGTCCACCGTGTAATCCGAGACCGGTTTGTACCAGCCATACGGATTCAGGCTCTGTAAGCTCCAATACAGGTCTAAGTCTGCAAGGTCGTCGCCATCCGGTAAATCGTCCACAGCGGGCATACCGTTGCTTCGCGCGTCGAAAGGTTCCTCATCGTCTGAACTCGGCGGTGGGCTATTCGTGTTCGCTCTCTTCCACGAGCCTTTGCGGCTGGAATCCGGAACCTGCTGTACTGAAGCCGGCGTGGTGAAGCTTACCTGCTTCTTTGTCGAGATTTTCGCACACGGGGTGCTGCCTGGTGCCGCCCTTGCGTCGTCGGCCAAGGACAGCAAATCCACTGACGCATTTATCGCATCCCAGTTTGGCTCGTCGTCGTTGCCTGCCATCTCGGCGGCCGCAGCGGGCCTTTTCAACGACGGCTTCAGCTGTGTGAATGTGTCAGCTTTGTCCTGCTGTGACCTTTCTACCACCTCGCCGCTTTGGCTGTCCTCGTACTCCTGATGAGTGGTCTCGCGGTCGTCGATCCACTGCTCGTCGTCGATCCACCACTGCTCTTGCTCCCAATCATCCTGCTGGTCATCATCGTACCAGTGCTGGTCGTATCCCACATCCGGCACAGCTTCGTGATTGTCGTCGGCCAGGTGCTTATTCTGCTTCTCGTACCAGGTGCTCGCACATGACGAAGACGAGGCGGACGCGCTTGCCGCTGCTTCGTCCGCAGCTTGAGGCGGGTGCCAATCTCCATCTTCTTCGTTGAACCACCAATCCTCGTAGTTGTAGTCTCCGCTGGTGTCATCAACCCAGACTTCTTCTGCCCCCGCGTGCTGGTTTTGGGCGTTGTCCTGCCACGTGCCTGGCTGCGGGAGTGCGCCAGGCTGCCAGTCAGGCTTTTTCTTGCCTCGCCGACCTCTTTTCCCCATCTTGATGAACGGTGGGACAATCACGCTACAACTTACTCTACTGAGGGCAGTGTCACGCTAATCCTGCCTCAGACTACGCTTCTCGCGCTCTCTCTTGGTGAAGAGGTCGCTCACTCTATGGGAAAGCTACTCTCCACTCATGTGCGCAAGCAGAATCAAGGTTCACCCTCACTGATGCCGGGCGACTAAACTACCTGCGCCTGCTCGCGCCACGAAAAGCTCGTGCTAGCCGACGGAACAACTTGCTGTCACATGAGTGCAAAGAGTGCTCGGGCTTCTCTGTCGACACTGACTTGATAAATCTTCCAGAGTTCTACAGCTGTATCACCACAAGGTTTCAAGTGCAAAGACAGTCTTGAGCAGATCTACGCAAGCGTTAGAGGTAACATCAATGCTGCCTTTCCTCGGTGCGACGAAGCTGACGGCTATCGTACCTGTGGAAAAATACGATGGGAATAGTGTGCTTGTGACCGCCATGAATCCATACTCGTGCTGTGATCGATGCAAATTTACCTGAATCTATGACTCTCATCCTGCGTGCAAAAGACGCCACCATGTAGTACCTCGCGTCCAGCATCCGAGCGACGGATAATCTCGTTTGCGACAATCGCCACTCACCTGAAAGTGTGGAGAAAACGATGAAGACATGCAAGCGTCTCGTGGAGGAGACGATGAAGACATGCGAGCATCTCAAGGTACAAACTACATTCGCATGCATCCCACAACCGTCTACCTTACGGGAGCCCGTCGTGGATGTTCCTGCGCTTGTACTCGTGATCTGCTGGGTCCGTGTAGTCATCACCTCTCTTGCGGCGCTCCAGACTCTCACGGCGATTCTTCGCCAACATGGCATCGATGAAGAAATTCTTCAATTCTTTCGTCTGGTCCGGCTCGCCCTCGTCGGCCGCTAACTCCTGCTTGGTACTCAAGAAATCCATGAGCCCCAGCAAGGAGACCCACTTCTTTCCGAGCGCCGTCTCGTCCGCCGAAGGAAATTCATAAATCTCACCCAGAGCTTTCCGCGTGTTGTGCACCGCACCGTGCATGATTTCCAACGCTCGGGTCTTCGACTCCATGGTTTCCGCGAGGAGTTCAAGACATTCAAACAACAAGTCAAATAATAAAGGTTTCTGCACGTTCTTGTGCTTGAAGAGGTGCAGGAAAAGAGCCTTAAAAGTTTTGATGACTTCCGCGAAGGGCGGATTCACATCATCCTTGATTTTCACAATCACCATTTTGAAATGCGACATCAGACTCGTGAGATTCACACGTTTGAAGTGTTCTAAATCAACAAGGTGGGCCAGCTTGGCCGGCACCGGTGGAATCGACGTCGACATGATGACAGCAGAAGGAAGTGGTGAATGCAGTTAGTGTAAAATCTAAAGATTTGTCCCTGTGGTGCGATAAGCAGATGGTAAATGCTTGAAGTATGTCCATCTTTAAAAGATAATACACTTAGACGAAGAAGTGCTATCTAGAATCCAAACAAGTATACTTGACATCAGCTTAGTATAACTTATTCTTCTTCTTCCGTTAACATTTCATCATCGCTCGTGTGATCATCGTGATCGTCGTTCAAAACTCCGTTCTGGTCGACTAGGATTTGTAACAGCTGCGGCAGGGTCGTACCGATTTGTTGTCCCAAGCGGACAATGACGTTGCGCATAGCGAGCACGCCGCCCATCTGCCGTCTGCCGGCGCTGTAGTTTATCGCACATTACGAATAGATAAGGCTCATTTGATCTTCGTGCGTGACATGCCGTCTGCGCATTATTAAAAACTTAAATTTCGATCGCCATGAATATACCGACACATTTCTGCGGCTTGAAACACAAAATAAATTTGTGCAGCTGCCGTGGCCGTTTCCGCGTGAATATGCCCTTCGCGCAGGAGGAAGTACAAGAGCGCCACGCGCAGGCCCGTCGTGGTGTAAAATTTAGCTGTGAGTCGTTTTTGTATACACCAGGTGATTTCATGAGTCATTCGAGCAAATGTGCATTACCCCAACTATTATTTATACTGATGTAGACCCAGTGCGCCACCGCGCGGTCCGTGGACATCCAGGTGCTCGGCCAGTAAGTGTTGTCGCCCCACAGTGTCGTGACGACTCTGCGCGGCAACTCCGTAACCACCGCCACCGTATGGCGTAGGATCGCGTACCCGATGGCGACTCCCTTGGAGATGAAGCTCCAACTGCCCTGGAGCGCCAGGCCCAGCGCCGACAACGAGAGAATCGCGAGATCACGCATCATTTTCAGATCTTCTTCTTTTTCGTCGGTGGTTCGTAATCCGAGCAATCAGTGGACTTGGAACCCGGGGCGTTGATAAAATCTTCGTCCTGAAAAATCAGATAGCCCTCAGCAGTCTCTCTCACTTTCATGCCGAGGACCGTCTTGTCCTCCGTGGCTGTCCCAAAGATCAATGGGTAGGGAGACACATACGACGTCGTCGTTCCATCTTTGCGAAGCAGCTGAAAGACGGTTTGCCCATGACCGAACTGATAATAGACTGCCTTCGTATCGACTGGCATGCCGAAAGAGAACTGGAACAAATTCTGCTTTAACTGTAGCTCTTTGTCCACCGGCATCCTAAACATTGATTTCGAATAAGTTCATGTGCGGTTTTTACAGCAACGACGTGTCGTTCAATTTGTGTACAATGTCAAGGAACGGACCAAAAACCGCCCTGTCGAGCTTGTTGTTCAGCGCCTGCTCATACAGACGTGGTACTTTTTCAGACAAGGATTCTGCGCTCACCATCGTCCATCTGATCTCGTTCACAATTGCAGCTAACTGTAACGACTTACCCGACCTCGTTGCCTTTTCGACTGCAACATCAAGTCTTTCTAGTTTCTCATCGTTCCTCTTGATTGTTATGTTTTTCGAAAAGTGATTGTCAACCATGATTCGCTGATGAACTGGATCTATAGGACTGTAATGGAAATCCAAACTGTAACTATTTCGCCAGCCACCCTGCCACATTGCTAATCTCCTCGTTGGATCAGACGTGGTAAAGTAAATAGCACCCGCCTTGCGCAGACTGATTGGTCTATCTACCGCTACATGGGGTGTTTCTACTGTAAAGAACGCTTTTATATCTTTCCTCACAGCGTCTTTCGAAGACTTTTTCGCGGCTCTCGTGCTGCAATTGTTCGCGCCGATCACGGGGAAAAACGGGGCGGAATCTTTCCAGTCTTTGCTGGTGTGGTGCAGGTAGAAAGCGGACATGTACTTGGAGTACTCATGCGTTAGATAGGCCGGCGTGCCCGACGGTAGGAAGGCTTCGTGACCGAGTCCTAGCTGATCAATCTTTGATCTTTTCACCTCTACACTGAATTGCATGCTGCCGTCTTTTGCTCTTATCGGCTTGATGTCGCTTGCTGTCAGGCTCCACAGCTCCGCATTCCGCCGCACTGCGAAGAAGGCGATCAAGACCTGAATGAGCGAGATAAAAATATCCAAGAAGGGATAGGAGTTTTTGATGCGACATTACTGTGGCCTAAAATGCAATCCACGAAACTATACCATGACTGCTTTCTGCAAACGCAGGAGATGCTCCAAGCCGTTCTTGTATTCCTGCAGGGCTGTCTCTGAATAGTCGCCCGTTCTAGACCGTAGATGGCCGGTGTGCAAGGTCCAGAAGGCCTCGATCCGCTCGAGGCCAAGCATTACTTGGCTGAAAGTCGGCGCGAACTTGTGATGGCCGGGGGACGTATGATACGCTTCCTTTTTTAAGGCTTTCCAGATCCGTTGCAGGTACGGGGATCTCCCATCATGCAATCTAAACGCGGCTAGATGGAGCCTGGAGCTGTTGTATGCTCCTATTGCGGCTGACAGCGTTAAAAAGGCGCTCCACTTTATCCGCTGTGACTCTTCATGCAGATACGACCTGTGGACTGCTCTGGATGTCTGGAAACACACAAGGAAGAGCAACACCTCAGCCTCCGTTTGGAGCGGCCAGAGGCAAAAACCTAATTCGGCGCATACTCGTGGCACGACCGACCTGAGCATCGAGGCGTATGTACCGTGCGTGCCCGATTTTATCGACTTCCCTTGCAGATCTGCTGCCGCCTTGACCAACACGTCCGACAATTGCTCGGACACTGGAAAGCCCGCGAAGATCTCTTCGTCGGAGAAGCGAATTTCGAAGTTGTCTGCGAAGACTGTGTCCTTGCGGTACGGTTCGTACCTCTTCGATGCCGCTACCGTTGTCGCCGCTGAGCTGTAGAAGGCTTTTATCGCTTGCGTCGACGGAAGCTTTATGGCGATTGCGCTTCTCCCTGCTACTATCTTTTCCGACTTCAGCGGGCAGAGCGAATCGGACGTGCCACTAGAAGACGACGCCGAAGAACTACTGGACGATGAGGACGTGGCTGACGAACTGCTGGCTGCCGCTGGCTGTGCAGCCACGACCTTCTCCTCCACACTGCTCTGCAGAATGATTTTGGACCAGTCTTCCTCATCCGCGGTGTGGAAATCGTAGCTGTCGACTAGCTCCAACTCGTCCTCACTGTCGACCAGATCGTGTACTTCGCAAAGCGCATTTAAGGAGCTGCTCGCCACCGCCTTTCTTCTTTCCAAATCTTCGTGGGTGCCCGTCACCTTAAACAAAGTTGTCGAGAAATTATGCGCATCAGCTGGTTCTTCGAGGTCTTTGTGGTCCTTGCCCAGCTCCTCCAACGCTTGCTTCTTCCAATTTAAATCGAAATCCGCCGTCTCGATCGCATCTTGCAAGGAGGACTCGATCCCCGTCGGGTAGTATGGAGGCGGTAGCTGGGCTACGGGCCTTTTGCGGCTTTGTTGCTGCTGCTTCTGGGTTTCCGTGGCGGCTTTTAGGTCCGCGGAAACAACTTGTAACCGCTTAATCTTGTCGAGCTTCTCGGCTTCCGCTTTGGCGCCGAGAGCATCTTTTATCGCTTCATTTGCAATAAATTTATTCATCCTCGAATCTAACGCAGTACAGATGCATGGGTCGCGAACATCAGAGTGCAGCTTGCATAATAGTGTCCCCACGGTCTAGAACAGCTTTCGCTCGAACTGGCGTTTACTGCCTTGCATCTCTGTGTCAATAAACTTCTGTGTCACAATCGCACTGTTTTCAAAAAACCTGGCTTGTTACAAAAAAGACTCGCGACTGCCTCTTTCAACAAAACACTCGAAACTGTTGTTTACTTGGTGCCTGCCGCCGGCAGTGCACCATTCTTTCCACCCTTGCCAGCACCTTTCTTCCCGCCCTTCGGATTCTGCCCCTTGCCGCCCGCCTTCGGTGTGGCTTGGCCCTTGGCGTTGGACTTTATGTGCTTCAAAGCTGGTGTCACCTCCGCGCAGACGACATCGGCGTCGCAGTCCTGAGGGGATGATGAGGAGCGGGATAAGAGAGAGCCCAAAATGCCTAATATCATCGGATACATGACAAACAACAAATAGTACCTCTCTCCAATGCGCTTTCCCACTGCACGCGGGGTTTAAGCATGCGAGCGCACAGGGATTTTTGGATGCTTTACACGAAATCAAGCCCGGCTTGCCGTCGAGGTGGTTGTTACCAACTCCTTTTCCCAATAGAAAACAATTGATGCAAGTTTGGGACCACTTGATGTAGCTTTTCGTCAATTCTTCGTTCTGCGAGCGGGCTCTCTCGTACGCTCCGCGCGCTCCCGACGTCGTCAGCGGGGCTTCTTCGAAGATTTGCTTTATCTTATTCCAGGCTTCTGTCTCGGCTTTTGTTTGCTTTCTGCTCTGCGTTGCCGTGCTGGAGCCTGCTGCTGGTGCTCCCGGTCCTCTGAACCCGACTTCCTTCAGGGAGGTGCCCGCGGTGTGTAACAGCTTTTCTAAACACTGTGGGCGGCACAGGTTGTCCGTACAAGCGCTTGTGAAGGAATTCTGTTATGCGGATTTTGGAATTTGATACGAATGTCCCATGTGTGTTTGTCATGCGTGGCACGATGCAACAACCCTCAAACCCATACCTGAAATTCCATCACAAAGAAGGCCTCGTCCAACGGATCCGCCGTAAAGCGGTTTTTCAGCTTCGACGAGAAGTCTTTAAAATAATAGTAAATTCCAAAATTTTGATTCGGTGGTAACTCGTTGTCTTGCACGTCGCCACCTTTTTTGAGCCTTGCGGTCTGCTTCTTTTTGAGATGCTTGATCAAGAAGAGCAAGTAGTTGGCCACTACGGACATGTTGTCGTGGGGGAATAAAGCGATGACATTCGTCAAGTACGACTCGCACTTCTCCGCGGAACCGCTTGGCGGTAACAACAACTTCGCCCAGGACACCTTCTGCTGCTCGGATAAATTCTTTAGGTCGATGTACTCTTGTGCGGCTACTGAATTTTGGGCTTGCGCCGTCGCCATGATCATCATGAGTTGATTTTGAGAATTTTTCTCTAATTTACGCTGTTTCTGGAGTGGTGGTTGTTTGAGTTTCTGATAACTCGACAACTTTTCTTCATCGTCCATACTACAGAACTTACTGCACCAGCTGTACCGGGCGCAGATTCTCGTGGTCAGCTGCGTCGCGCCAGTGCGCTCCTCGACGCGCTTCTCTACCACCTTTAAATCTTTCCTTGATTCTTCTCTGGTACAGCGGTTGCACTTGCATGTCGATCCCAGCAAGTCGATGGTGCCGAACTCCTTCTCTAGCAGGGGACCTCCATCGTTGGTGAAACATGTCTTGCAAATCGACCTTTTGCACTGGTCTCCTGCCGCATTCACCAATGCGCTGCATCGGTACTTCGCGTCGGCTTCCGGGACAGTGTCGCTGTCGCAGATGACGCAAAAGAGAAGCACAGCCATTCTACCGCATGTTTTTGTAATAGGACTTACACCACCTAGAAGCAACAGACGATTCAGACGCGGACGCATACTAGCAGGGGATCTTCTGCATGCTCACACTCTGAAGTCTCTCTACACTCTGACTCTCTGGAAGCTCTCAGGAGAGGTGATGTAGCCAGTACCCAAAACTCGCGCTAGAACAACTTTGTCGAGTTGCGGCAAACGTTCCTTCGAGGAAACAGACAAGGTTTTTGGTCCTTGTCCTGCTGTGACCTGCGGGATGCTGATGTTGTAGAAGCTGATCGATTCTTTCGCGGAAAAAACAGGTCACATGTGACTTCAGGTCAGAATAAGTTCGATGCACCTTGTGCTAATGACTGGTTGTTCAACGAATGCGAAGTCTACATGACCGGAGCGCATATAACTTATGGCTCGCTTCTCTGCCCCGGCGACGGCGGGGTGTCGCGGGGAATCATAATATCCGCATAACCGGAAATCAACCCTTGATCACTCGCTAGCTCCTTCGTGGCGCCACGGCAGGGAGCTCCGTCCCGGCACCACTCCACGAAGATCGGGTTCCAGGTTTTGGCGTTGCCGAACGGAGGCATCGTGATTACCGGCATCTGGAATAAAAGCTCGCGCATCCGCTCGTGGGCCGGGGCATCCGGGTTCAGAGCGCGCACCGTGTCCTGTGATCAGAATATTATGGTGAATTCGCATTCAAACCACCCATGCGGGTTGACCAATCAAACAGAAACACAAGCATTGTACCAGCAGCGCGTTCTTAGTCGATCTTGAAGATTCCTTGACCAGGTTCCAAGCTCTGTCCGCTTCGGCGGCACGCTGGCTTTCGGCCGTGTGCATCGCGGTGGCTGCGACGTTGAAGTTCATCGAAGCGCAGCGGACCGTGTTGCTGTGCACGAGCGCAGCATGCTGTTCCAGGATGTCGGCGACGCCCGCCAGCGACATCCCTCCGAAGACCAGCGCTGCGAAGGCCGGGGCGTGCAGAGCGGTTTCTTCGCCTGCTGCGGATTTGATCCGCTGAGCGTGAGCTAGCTCACGAGCCGACAGCTGAACCATCTTGTGGAAACTACTGCTGCGTACTGCTAACGCGGGATCTAGGAACAAAGATCGACCACTGCAGGCTGCACAGCGCTGCAAGCAAACAAAAGAGGGTTCCACTCCGTGAGCGAACACTGTACTCCATCGAAGTGACGCGCTGCCACATCCTCAGCAACTGTTGCTGGCCTCACCAGTGGGAGGACTTGAAACGCTGCCACCGTGTGACACAAGCTCGACTGCGGGTGCAGGAGCTAAGTAACATCTCGACCGCAGTGCGGGAGCTGAAACTAGACTGATTCTCGACCGCGTGCGCGGGAGCGATCAGAGGCGCTTGCATGGTGCAAGGCGCCGGAAAACTGTTCGAAAACAGTGAAATGATCATGGTCAAGTGTGATAACGGGATGCTTGACCCCCGCTCATGGAACTTCCGAACACAAACGATCTCACAATTCAGACTTTACGAACTCCTATCGAACTCCTCCAATCTCATAAAAGGGCCAAACAGGCTGAGAATCTGTTCCACATCCGTCATGCAAGGCACGCAAGGTCACCCCGTCCACTTTTTCCATTCTTGCATCACCAAGTCATGTAACAGTTGAGAACGCGACAGTTGAGAACACCATATCCTGCCCGGCCTTCTGTTGTAGTTCCTGCAACACGTCGCGACTGTGGAGCGCAAACTTCTTCAACGCGTATTCTTCTAGGTAGTGCGCACCGAAAAGGGAAACCACCGACGCGGCACGCTTTAGAACCTCTGTCGACCCGTGTCTAGTTGGGCTATGGCTGTCGTCGGACACCCCGCGGCCACATGATCTTGGTTGTATTTCTAGCTGCCCCTGCTCGTCCGGTCTGCTGGTGCAGAGGAACGGCAGACACCGACTGTGGCTCACGTCACCCTGGTGGAATTGACACGGAAAGTTTTGGAACGGTGACGTTGACCTTGTTTGCTCCTGTTTTGATGCTCTTTCTTGCTCCGTATGCTGTGCAAAAGTATCGCACTCGCATAAATGCAACTCTTGCTCTTGCATATGCATTACAAATCTTGTTATTGAGGCAAATCCGCATGACAAATTCCATTTCTCATGCTAAGGAAATTTGTATTGCAATTCATACTAGTACGATACTTTTGCAATGCATACTCCGCCTCCTGTGCGGCAGCGACCGCATCCGGGTCAAAATCTATCCCGGTGTAGCTATCTACGTTCATCGAATGAACAAGTTGTAGGTGTTCTTTATTATCTGCGTAGTTCTCCGCTCGCGCCGCCAGCTCGTGCGCCAGATCTCCATGGCCGCACGCAGCGTCAATGACCGTCAGACGACACGGACCGTGGCTCTTGCTTTTGTCGTGAGCAGAAACAACAGGCTTGGATGCAGTTGAAGAGGTGCTTGTCTTGTCAGCTGGCGTTCGCTCCTTGTTCTTTGCCAACAATAGATCCACGACTGGCGGCATGGCTGCTTTGACCAGACTCCGGTACAGCTGCGAGTGCGTCGGGTAAATGCGCTGTTGGCAGGCCTGCAGCAGGTTGCTGTTTACAAAGGCCTGCATCTTCTTGATGCTCGTCAGGCTATTGTATCAGCCGCGTTCAATATGATCATGTAACTTTGTCTAAGTACCTTCGTTGCTTCTCGTATAAGTTTACGTTGGTTGTATTTATTTGGCTTGCTCGGAAAATTTTAGTGGACAAAAACATGGGAAAAAAAAAAGGTCTTCATGGAAAATATCGCAACCGGGTGAAGATCTTCGATATTGTCGACTCTCTGTCACTGCGCCAGGAGAGGGAGGGCGCGGAAGCTATGACTAGGTAATTCGTGCCGTTAGGATAAAAACCGGCGGTAGACGAAAAATCAGAAAACAACTAGTACAGAGACCCATGCACAAAGCACTACCGAGGAATGATCATTCAACCATCCTTTCAGATCACCATCGAATCAATTGAAGTCTCTTGTTGTTCGGGTTCGGCATCTTCGGATGAAGAAAAAATAGGTCAGGGATTCTCTGCTATTGCTGTGCCAGTACCACTCGGCACAAAATAAACCGGAAATAGAAGAACCTGTTCCTCACTTGTGCAGCTGATCCTCTTGAAGATGTGAGAGGTACAACTACTAACGCCTTCGGCGGACCACGACCTATCCAGGCGGTCCTTGTTCCTTGCGCGAGGGACCGACGACAACGCTCGCGACGTTGCGGTCGCGACATAATTCAAAGTTTCTGTCTAACGTTTGAAGAGAATCACTCTAGGAGTTCTTGTTCTACGTTTTGCTTGCATATAAGCAGCACCACGCCAGGATGATGATGCTCTTCAATAGTTGTCGACAGTATCACGACCACATCAGGCTCCATTGTACACGGTCGTGTGCCCGAATCAACAAAAAACAGCTATGCGTTGGTGTAATAACTCTATCGAGCGAATCACATGACAAATTTCTTGTTCGTGGTTCCCGCCCAGTAGCATCGGCCAGCAAGAGTACTTGCTGGACGTGAAGAAACAACTCACGACAGGTATAGCCTGCAATGCCGCACATCTCGCATCATGACAGCTCGCTGCATGTTTTTTTCCTCTGCATGATAATGAAAGAATGTCAATGTATTTCACAACGTAAAATCTAGTTCTGTTTTACACCAAACCCCGTTTATCTTTATTTTCTCTTGCATACCCTCGTCGAGATGAATTCGTTCACGTGCGCCAGGTTTGAGTACATGCTTTCGAGCTGTTGGATCATGTCCTGTTTCTTCTTCGCGCTGTCCTCGTGGCGAAAAGACGTGTCCCTATGCAGTGCAAAAGCATCGTACTTCTAGTTGCGTTTATGCATTACAAATCTTTTTGTTATGGCAAATCCGCATTACAAATTCAATTTGTAATGCCAAGTCCATTTGTAATGCAATTTCTACTAGTACAATACTTTTGCAGTTCATAGTCCCGCCGCAAGCGTGAGAAGTTCTTTTCGGCCCGTGCGAGCGAGTCCTCCAGCAGTATCCTGAGTAAAAACGTCCCCAACCCATAGTCCTCAAGATGGGAGATCTGCTAGACAAATCTACACGCTTAGGGGTGTTTCGCATGACAAGTTCGGCCTCGTAGCGTAATCCTGTTTACCTCGTTCAGAAGCATCACAAATATAGCCTACTATGGTGATTCGAGCATTACAAATTCCAAAACACGACTAGAAAAGATCTGTCATGGGGCTCCGCATGCGAAACATTTTGAGCTTGAGCATGCGTTTTTGCATTACAACTCTGGGGAGGTGGGGACGTTTTTAAACAGGATAAGCAGCGCCCGCTCCTCATCCTGCTGCCGGCAGAGCTCCTGCACAACTTTCGTGGTACGCTCGATCTCGTCTCTGGTGTCGTGCTGTCGCAGGGCTGCTGCGGGGGCCGCACTGTCTGCAGTTCTTGTACTATGTGCACTTGCAGCACCACTTTCTTGGCCCGACGTGGACTGCCAGGTGTAGAGGTCGCACAAGATCGGGCACCCGCCGTCTTGGTCTTGCACATGCAGCCTCGCCTGCGCAAACTCGAGGCACATCTGCAAGAAGCCGGTCTTTCGATTTACCCGCCCAAGGATATCCCCCTCGTCCAGGGAGTGAAGTGGCTCGGCGGCATATCAAAAGAAAAAAAATCGTCACGATCACTCACGGGAATTTTTGCAATACAAAGATGCCTGTCATGCGTAAAAAAGCATCACAGCCAAACTTCATATTACGGGATTCCTGCCTAGTGTAGTTGTTTCTGCAATTATACAAGCAAAAGTTGTGATGCTAATGCAACTTAGTGAGAGTGACCGTGACAAACTTTTTATTTTCTCTCCATACGGCAACCAGCCTTCCATCCTGGTCAAAGGCGATCGGCACGACCGGACTGCAGCTGATCGTCCCCACGCACGGGCTATGCATTGCAAAAATGTCTGGCTCTGGAAAAATTGCAAGGTTTGTAATGCATAGTTCGCATGAGCTATAGTGCCTGTAATGCATGACCTAGCATGACAGATTTTTAGAGCGTTTCCTGTTGCCTATTCCGCATGAGAAATGCCCTCTGCGCGTAGCACAGACTGCGCTCCTCTTGCTGGTCATGCAATACAGATTTTTATTTTTTTGGAATCCAGACGAGACAGCATTACAAGTTCCATCCTTCCAGACCCAGACATATTTGCAATGCATACGGGTCTTGTCCCTTTGCGGTCTCCGTAATCGGATTCGCACCTAATTCACAAATTTTTGATTTCGATTTCGTGCACCAAAAGAATTTGCATTTGGGGATGCGAAACATTAAATTGTCATCAGCACAACGACAACGCAAGCAGCTCCTGTCGTGCACGAATTTGACCTTAGTGAAATTGCTTTTTGTAGTTTATTTCCTGCACAACTACCCGTTGCTTGCTCTGAATCGACTACGACGTGCTGCAACATGTTAGTAGTAGATATTATATGCGTAGTAGATTGATAGTACTGCAGTCTAAATAGTACTCGTGATTCTGCGAAAATGGACGGTGATGCCCTGCAGGGACCCGATCCTCTGCACCACCAGGCTCAGTTTTTCGACGACGGTGGCCGACGCAAGACGGTCCAGGGCGGGGTGCCCGTATGAATTGCAAAAGCATCGTACTAGTAGTAATTGCATTACAAATTACCTCAGCATGACAAATGGAACTTGTCATGCTGTTTGACCTTCAGGACAAGATTTGTCATGCATAATTGCGATTAGTACGAGTACGATACTTTTGCACAGGATAGCCCGGTCAAGTCGTCCATATAGTCGCCGTCGCAGGCCTATCAAATGCAAAAATGTCTGGGTCTGAAAGAATGCAGACTTGTCATGCATATTTTGTATGATGATTGATGCCTCTAATGCATGATCTAGCAACACAGATTTTTAGAGGGCTTCCTAATGCCTATTCCGCATGAGAAATGTATGCCCTCTCCACGTAACACAAACTGGAGTCCTGTTGCTGGTCATGCAATACAGATTTTTTTGGAATCTAAAGACAGCATTACAAGTTGCAACCTTCCAGACCCAGACATTTTTGGAATCCATAAGGCCCCGTGCGACCGAAGAACAGAATTCTCGTCGAGCTTGGACAAGTACAGGCTGGACTTGCGGATATGAACGTGCACCACTCCCCCTCCCCCTCATTTGTGTTGCATGAGCAGCAATACAAACACCAGCACTCACACACGGAGCCTGTGCATCACAAATCCATGCAGTTCTAGTGTAGTACTGTTTGGGCTTCCGGTTCCGGAATCTGTCATACATAATAGTGACACAAGGAAGCTGCACTTGGAGTTGAGCTTTTGCATGAGAAATAATGAGAACGAGGGGGAGTTCTCGTGCACTGTCATAGCGGACGTTTTCGCTGCAGATGCAGTTCTGGGCCATCTCGATGCCGAGCCGCCCTCCCGTGAGTGTGGCGGACCACTTCTTCTCTATCGCAAGAAAAAAAGTGCTACACTTCCACATTGTGTTGCAGGCCAGGCAAGACAGACAAGCTCTGTCATGCCGGATATGCATGATAGGAGCCTCGTTTCATAAGTAGGTGTTTTCCCGTACTAGGATTTCTACATTACAAGTTTTCTCTCTCATGCTGAGAAATTTGTGTTACTGAATTGACTACAAATCAATGTGTAACTGTAACAGTTTTTTCGTGGGATATTCTCGACCCCCTCCGGAATCCGCGAAACCAGCTGGGCTTGCGGAAAGCGCCGACGCAGGTCAGCAGCCTTGTGAGTGTGGGAGTGGGAGGGTGCAGGTACTTTGTTAATAACTTCTTTGGATCAACATCAAAACGTCGCTCACAACGGAACAACATCCAAGCAAGTAGATCGAGGAGAAAAACAAATTGTGGTGGTATAAATATGCATGTAAAAAAAATCCCATCACTCAAACAATAATTATGCCCGATGGAGTCCATAGTGAATGTGAAAGAACAAGAAGGGATCCTGAAAGGCAATATATGATAAACTTCTAGCAAGTAGAATTCTACCTTCCGCTCGTCGTATTCCGTGCGCACAACATCCAATCAAAAACACCCATCCCCATCCACTTTGTCATGCAAAACATGCGTGATTTGCTGCGTTTGTCATGCAAAAAATGGATGGAGATGGGTGTTTTCTCCTGGATACACAATGGACAGCTTCAATTTTGCAGCACCCTTGGCCTTGTGCATGGCCTGCCCCAGCATCGCTGTTTGGCAGTTGATCGCGAAAATCAAATCCCCCGGCGCTAGTTTTAGAGGTGCCCCGTCTTTGTGCCCGGCGGCAGCGGTGGATCCGATCCGTGCGGGCGATTCTGCGCGGCCCGCAGGAGAGTCGGGGTCCACAGCGAGAATGATCCAGTCGCGTTTGTCGCCTGTGTCCACCCGAAATCCCCAGGACTGTTGCCCGGACGGGGATGTAGATGAAGATGATCCGCTTCTCTGCAATTCCAGCTCGAAAAAAATCGTCCGTTTCGCGGCACTATGAACTGCAAAAGCATCCTGCTAGTATAAATTGCATTGCAAATTTCCTCAGCATTAGAAATGGAATTTGTAATGCGGATCTGCCTCAAGAAAAAGATTTGTGATGCATGACTCCGATTAGTAAGAGTACGATACTTCTGCAGAGGATAGGCACCTCTCACCGCGTCGCTTAGGGTTTGCGCGTCTATTACCTGCACGTGCTGCTCCTGTCCAGAACTGCCCTTGTTCTTCGAGTTGTCTACTGCGCCCCCGGGCAGCCGCATCTTGCTTGTAGTGGAGATCATCTTCACTCCCCCAGGCCCTAGCTCGATCACATTGTTGGCGTTGCTGACGGCACCAGCTTCTAAGGGTATGCAAGAAAAAAACTGTGCACAGTGTAACTCTGTAATGCAGAACATGCAACAGAGTTACGCCTGTCATGCCAGACAGCCACGAACTCCTCTTTTCATGCATGTTTTCCCTTACAAGCCACGCGTGACAGATTTTCTCTGTCATGTAGAGCAAATTTGTGATGCTGCCAGCCAAGGATAGCTACACTAACACAGTTTTTTCGTTGGATAGAGGGTGGCTCGGCACTACCACTAGTACGACCATCGTCGGGACCACTCCTGCGGTTATAATTTCCAACCACGCTGGCACCTGTACTACCATCACTTGCCCCGCCTCCTGCTGGGGTCGGAGAGCTCGACAACATGCGGCCCCAGGCGGAAAACATATCAAACGCAAACATGTCTGGGTCTGGAAGATTCATTATAGGGGGAGTTTGTCATGCAAATTGTACATGGCCCGCGATGCCTGTGATGCATGGTCTAGCATCACAGCTTTTGCGGAGGCTTGCCGTTGCCCATGCCTATCCTGCATGAGAAATGCCCTCGTCTCCGGGTGAAGGCAATTTGAGTGCCTGCTTATTTTGCTGGTCATGCAATACAGGTTTTTGTGTGATCGGAAGTTAGCAACACAAATCCCATTCTTTCCAGAACGAGACATATTATTAACTTGCAATGCATAAAGCAGGACAGAGAATAGCACGACGGTCATGGCTATGAACTGCAAAAGTGTCTGGGTCTGGAAGAGTGCCAGACTTGTCATGCAGGTTTTCCATGACCCATGAGGTCTGGTATGTGGGACATAGCATGACAGATTCTGTGAGAGATCTATCATGCCTATCCTGCATGAGAAACAGCCTCTCGATTAGGTGGAAAGTGGACAGCTTTTGGTAATCACTTCACGGCGCAACGCAGATTTTATACATGATTCAGATTTAGCATGACAAGTTGCCTTGTTCCAGACCCAGACACTTTTGCATTTGATAATCGCCGCCTGCGTCAAGTCTGTGTCTGTTCGCTGCGCGACAAAATCACACGCAGGCCGCGCCAGCTGCAACAACTTGTAAGCAGCCGACCACTTGGAGAACGATGAAGTAGTAGAAGCTGCCAGCTCTTGTTCTACTACACCCGCATCTTCAGATGTTGTTGATGTTGCAACGCATTGCGCCAGCAGTTTGCGGTGCCCTTGAAAACGAAAAAACCGAATGGCCAGGGTGAAAACGACGCACCCAAGGGACGCATTCGCCTGGAGCCGGAGAAAGAGGTTCATGTTGACAATGATGTGCTTTAGCTTTTATTGTTAGCGAAGAAAATGAAAATCATTAATATACTCACTCCGCCAGCGAACTTGAGCTACGCGAGGGAGAGATTCAAAGACCTTCTGGGTCGAGAAAATCAAACTACAAATGCATCCGTAGTACTTGTCGTCCAGGACTATTAAAGGTAACTATGTATATGCATGGCTGTTCTCTCTCCATCCTATGGCAATGGTCATGTTGTCAAGTACAACCCTGTAAGGCAATGGCCTTGTTGTCAAGTTGTTGGAAACTGTACAGGCAGTGAAGTTGTGTCACAAGATGAACCCAGCAACTGCTACAACAAGTGAAGCTCACCCGGGCCGGGGTCGCGAGGTCTTAGAGAATAAAGTGCACTCACTAGTGCTGAACTACTGCGAAGTTCTACCACAACTATCAATTTTCGCGTCTGCTACCCGGGGTCGTGGAGCGACTTAAAGTAGAGGAACAAAAAACCAGCACCAGAGGACTTTTACTTCCTTAAGGCGAAGAAGTCCTCTTACACGCATATGTCCATGAGGCTTTTTTTCTTATGCCGCAGTCGTATCTCGATCACTTTTCTGCAAGTTTTACGTTTATGAATGTTAATATACGTACAACTACAAACTCTTGATGTTCTTGTTCAAGTTCTTCAATATACATCAATCAGGGGGATATCTAAGGGAAAAATCGGAATACTTTTATTTGCCATGTTCAAATAGATACTATCACGTAGAAGGTGCTTGTTCCAGCAGACGAGAACTATTTGCTTGGCTAAAACTGAGGGGATAGAGTGGTAGAGGTTTTACGGTGATCGTGAGACTGAGAGTGATATATCTGTATGTAAATGAAGAACTGTGCTGAGTGGTTCTGAAAAACTGCGCGAAGGGTGTCTTGCAGAAGCAGGAGAACTACGACTACAGACATTGCTTCTTATAATTCTTGCATGAGCGAACAGAAAATCCGGTGCGTAAAACGATGGTTACTGGTGCAACGATTTGGGTTTATTACATTTATGCATGGAAAAATGGCAAGAGTTTGCTGCATTGGGCCTTAAAATAAGAAACATCATGGGAGGTTAGTGGTGAACTGAAACTGATGAAATTCGAAACTGATGAAACCCTAAATCTTCTTTTCGAAAAATTTCATCGAGACTATCTTACTTCGAGCCCCCCTTTTTTTCCTTGTTTTTTGCAGCTGATGTGATATAATCGTCATCTCGGGCTACTTTCATACGACCTTAGGGTGCGCCCTGTGCAGCAGAGGTTTGGTGTTTATCGACGGCGGCGCCTGGTCTTCGGGTTCGCCCAACGTGCCCGTTGAATTGGTTTCGTCTTGCACTGCAAGAAAGGAGCCCGAGGCGGGTTTGCGGTGGTGTCGACTGGGGGGAGGATCCAGGTTGTAGTCGAAACATTCGTCCAGGTGCCTGCGCAGTAGGCCAGGTTCATACACTCGCACCGGAAAACCAGCAAAAGTGGTCACTTCCGTTTTCGGAAAGTCTTGGTCCGCGACCACTCGTGTGTCCGCACCAATCCAGTGGTAGCAGAGGTCTGTGTCCACGTTATCCGGTGCAAAAGTATCGCACTCGTAGAAATTGCATTTATAAATCTCTTTTTCAAGGTAAATCAGCATTACAAATTTAATTTGTAATGCTGGGCGAATTTGTAATGCAATTCATACTAGTACGATGCTGTTGCACTGCATACACGTCCATGTAGGCCAAAACGTCTAGCTGGGTGTAATACGGGCCCCCCCGGAGGATATGGAAGTGTCAGGATCCACCAAATCGACAGAGTTGAAATAATTTGTGATGCATAAACTCGATGCCACTTAGCCCTACAGTTTGTAGTCGGCGCATGACAAATTTTCCCCGTCCTGGAAGCGATTCTGTCATGCGGTTTAGGGCAAAAGAGCTGCCTTCTGTCGTGCTAGTCAGCATTCCAACTTTTGACCACGACCCTTACCAGGACTGTGATCTGCCTCCCGTGCGTCCTCTGCAATAGAGTCACTTCTTGCGTCGCATTTTATGCATGGCAAATCATTGCAACTTTGTCGATTTCGATCCTGACGCTTCCATAGAGGAGGCTCCGAGAGTACTCGGAACAGCAACCCGCCTCCTCGGCTTCCGTGGTATGCATTGCAAAAGTATCGCACTTACTAGTATACTATAAATCGCATGACAAATTTTATCTGGAAGAAAATTGGAACTTGTAATGCAGATTTGGGTAGGAAACTAGATTTGTCATGCATGCCTGCAATTCATACGAGTACGATACTTTTGCACAGGATACGTGGCCGCGAGAGTGGATTTTTCATTTTCTCCCGTGGTCTTGTGTCGCATGAAAAAGCGGGCGCCGTGCCACGGGTAGGCGATCTGAGTACCGTATTTGCCATCCCCCTCCCACCACTTTCGCCGATCTTCATGAGATGCGCTGACGTCGAAAGGGCTGCTGCTGGGGCTGGTTAATGTAGTTCCTGCAGCGGCGTCACGGCCCGGCTGCTCGACACCAGCGGAGCGGCCGTGGTCCAGGTCGGAGGTTTCATCTTGTTCGCCAGAAGTGCTAGTACTTGCAGCAGGACGAGCTGAAACAGCATGAAGTTATGCACTGCAAAAGTATCGCACTCGTACTATACTTCTAATCGCATTCATGCATTACAAATCTCGATCTCAAGGCAAATCCGCATTACAACAAAGTTCATTTCTCATGCTGAAGAAATTTGTGATGCAAAAATTCATACCTCCAGGACAAGACTTTTGCAATGCATAGAAGTAGCCGATCCTCGGTTTGTTCATTTTCGCTTGTAGAAGTAGTTGCAGTTGTAGCTCCCCGAAGTAGTAGATCGACACGTTCCTCTCCACCCTGGTGTGCCGCGGCATTGTCATTGTCCCCGCACGACAGCGCTTCCTGCTCGCCTCCGTTCTTTGTGGAGGTTGAACTTGGTGTGAACTTTTGCCACAATTCGTTGCCGATGACGAGAATGTAGGTCGCCCCCGTCTCCTCGAAAACCTGTTCCATGCTCTCGATCAAGTGTGTCTGATACACGATGGCGACCGTTTTCTCCTCACCCGGCGAGGACACTGCTGGTTCCGCGACTCCTACCCTGGTCGCATGATGAGGAGCATGTTCTTTATCCAGTTCTTCAGGCAGACGGGGGGACACAAGCGGAACGACCACCCACAAGCGGGTCGAGTTTTGCGGTTGCGCCACCGTGCCTGCAGTAGTGCCGAAAGGTTGCGCGATCCCGTGCTGCCAGGCGTAGTGGATGACGTTGCGCCAAAAGGAGTATCAAATGTAAAAATGTCTGGGTCTGGAAGCTTGCCAGAATTGTCAGGCACATTTTGCATGACTCCTGATGTCTGTGATGCATGCCCTAGCATCACAGATTTTGTGAGGGCTTCCTGATGCCTATACCGCACAACAAATGCTCTTTCCGTGTAGCAAAATTTGGACTCTCTTTGCTGCTCATGCAATACAGATTTTTTTAGAATCCAAAATCTGCATGACAAGTTGGATTCTTCCAGACCCAGACATTTTTACAGTTGATAAGGAGGCTGGCGCGACCACGTCCACATCGTCGTCCCACGGGATGATCGACTGATGCCGCCAGTATCCCAACGCCGTTCCCGCGACGATGGAATAGGGCTGCGCCCCCGAGTCGTGATCCATGCCTTCAGCAGACGCGGAAGCGATTTTTCCGTCGTGCTGGTGGTCCTTGTGAGCAGGAGCATCAGGACGACGATCATCAGCGTTCTCCGATTGTAGTTCTTCCTGTTGCTTCAGATTCTGATTTTTTCCCGAAGGTAGAACCTCTGTTGGGCCGCGAAAGATGTCCCGGTTCTCCGATACAAAGCGGTGAAAGTCCCGCAAAAGCTGCGTCAATTCCTCGTATTTGGACGCCACTTTATTGAGAGGAAAAATCCCCCCTCCCCATATCAAAGCGGAAATCTGTGATGCAGATTTGTTGTCACAAATCAGCTTTGTAACGCTACACGGGAAAAGATGCGGACTGTAGTGCTGGGTGGCGTGGGGGAGCCTTGCATCTTCAGCATGATAGGAGGCAGCTGAGAGTGGGAAACAGCATGACAATTTGCCTGCAAACGAGACCACGACTGCGGCTCTTGGCCTTCTAGCATGACAACTCGATTTGGTGCCTCAAATCCTGCATCACAGATTTCCATTTCGATATGGGGAGGGGGGATTTTTCCGTTTGATACACTTCGTAGTTGCCTTCCCCGTAGAAAGCATCCAACTTTGGCTTCTCTGCGCGGAAGAAACTTGATGGCTCAGTTGTACTTGATGTGGGGCTTTTGAGGTTGGTGTCGGTGCTCTTCGGCGTAGTTGTAATTTTCCTCGTAGCTGCTGCTGCCAACATCTTCTGCCCCCGCCCTATCGGGGACCCCGAAACAGCTGCATCTTCTTGCTGACGTCTTCGGAAATCTCCGGAGAGCCTCCAAAGAAAAGCGAGCCCTCCTGCGGAAATCAACGTAGACAGCAACAGCCCGCGCCAGCCAAAGGCAGTTGTAGATGATGTTCTTGCCGTTTGTTGTTCATGTGGGCCCCTCGCAGAATGGGAATTATCATTCCCCTGAGCTGCATTTCCATTTAATACAACTTCAATATCCTCTGCGTTCAGAACGGAGTTCTGCTCTTCTGTCGGGTGGCTGTCAACATCAAGCTTCGGGGCCGGCATTTTTTTGCTCGTGGTCCCGTCGGCGGCGGGCTTCGACACTGTACTAATATCGGGCGTTGTAGTCATGTTTTCACCTCCCGTCGTGTCGGGGGTCCCGCCGCCTTCTTTTTCAGGATCATCATCTGCGTTACCCGACGATAAATTGAAGTCCATTGCGAACCAGGCGATGCCGCAAATCATAATTCCCGACAGCAAGATTTGCACCGTGGTCAGCGTTTGGCGGAAGACCAGGAAAGCAAAGGTTGCCAAGAACAGAAAGTTTACGTACCTATAGCACGCCTGGGCCACCACATTAGTTAGCTTCGAGAGTTCGGCCGTCGCCGATGTCACGGCAAATCCCAGCAGGCAGCAGAGCAAAATCAATTTCGGAAGCAGTCCTGCAATGTACTGTGAGGAAAGTGGACGACGAAAACTCAGGTCGTGGTCTTCTCCACCAAGTACATCACCAGCAGCAGCGGCAGCCTCGACATCGTCGTTGGCGATAAATTCATCATCACCATCATGATGAAACAGCCCGTAGATCACCGGAGACACTTCGGTCTGCACGAGGACATTACACCGACTCCCAAAAAGCGCGAAGGGCTTAATCCCCTCCAGCACCAGGGTGGCCAGAAATAAGCACGCAAATTGCACACTACACGTATGGAACTGCCAGGATCGAAATCGGCAAAATCGAAAGATTTGTGATGCATAAAATGTAGGGGACTGAAGGCCTGTATGGGGAAGCAGGCATATGAGACTGATTGCAAGCCTGTTTGGGGGTATGCAATGTGCTGCGAGAGTAGCATGACAGGGGCAGTCTTCTTTGCCCAAACAGCATGACAGACTGGATTTGGGTGCTCCCGAAATTTGTCATGCGCCACTTCGAAACTGAGGCTCCAACTGACATCGATTTTGTGCATCACAAATTTTTCGATTTTGTCAATTGCGATTCTGACACTTCCATAACACGCAGCTGCCGAGTACTCCACGACGGCAATGGTGGTTTTTTTCTTGAAAAATATTTTCCGCGTGCTCTGTTCTTCCTGAAGATGGTCTACTTCGTTGGCATGTCGTTCGTTGCGTGGAAGTAGGCCGTCTTCATCGTAGTGGTCCTGGAGAATGTGCTGGTCTTCTTGCCGTAAAGTAGCCAGTTCTGGATCTGCTGGTGCGATTTGAGAAGTGCCGTCAGTCGAAGATGCCCCTGCAGTCAATATTTGCGGCCTTTGCGATTGCGGCTTCTTTTTTTTAGCAAGGGTAACTACAAGGGATTCCAGTGAGGCTGGCAAAAACTTTTCCTCGTGGAGACAGTACTGCCGGGCGGCATCTTTCAGGCTCGAGAAGAGTAACGCGATATCAAATGCAAAAATGTCTGGGTCTGGAAACTTGTGATGCTGGGTGGCGTATCGTGAGGAGGCCACATGTGCTGGCTCAGCATGACAAGTTTCTGAGCTTCTATGTGTTGCCGATTCGGCATGACAAACTGCGTTTCTGCATGATAGAAAAAATGGAGCTCTTGGGTAACGTGCATGACAGATTTAAGAGTCATGCCAGACAAGCATGACAAACATGCATTCTTCCAGACCCAGACATATTTGCAATCCATACGCGAGGCCGCAGCACAAAATTCCGAGAAGCACGTCTTCCCGATGCGTCCTAGTTGAAGTTGATGCTCCTCCATCTACCCCAGAATCTTCATCTTGCGCCGACGAGTCGTTGTGGGACGCGAGGAAACAGGCCGAGCCGACCGCGCCGAACAAGACAAGCCCCAACTGCATGCACACCCGTGCGGGACTCCTCATGGCGTGCCAAGGAAAAAGGTACGCCCCGCTGTTGCTGTTCGCGTTATTTTTTGTACCGCCATTTCTTTGTTCTGCAGCATTTTGATTTTCGTCGTCGTGCTTTGCCGACTTCTTATTTCCGTAGTTCAGCGAGTCCAACAGAAAGAAAACAATCACATCGGAGAGGAGCAAGTTTTTCATGAGAACGCCGTAACTCGTCGGCGGTAGCAAATTCAAGGCCATGTTCGACAGGGCAATATTGGTCGCGCCAAACACGCCCGCGACGTAAATCAGGGCACGGTAATTCAGATGAACGACAACCACGTCGTCTCTGTCCAGCACTTGTGCTCCCTGGTCAACATTTGTTCCGCTGCAGCGAACAGCATCCTCGCCTCCTGCCCCTGCTGCGAGGAGTAAATGCTCACTCTTCGTAATCTGGTTGCCCGTTCTTCCGTCGGTCTTTTCATCTTGGCAAGAAGTAGTACCTCCAGAAGCGCCGTCCCGCGTTTGTGCTGAAGGACACTCCTGGGGGAAATAAAACGGTAGGGTCTTCGGACCACCGCTCGATTGTTTCATCAGTTGCGCGCACTTTTTGTTGTTTTCACTGCGCGATGAAAGCAAAGACTGGCGCGGCTCAGGTGGAGCTGCATTGACGGCGCCACGACTGCTGGATTGGGCTTGTTTCGCGTAGCCGCCACTCTGCCCACCGCCCCGAGCAGTAGTTGAGTCGTTTTTAGAAGTACTGTTAAACCCCTCGTCGTCATCGGCGGCACTACTTGTTCCGCTTCCCGCAGTAGTAGAGGAATAGTTGGCGCGGTGGTCCACATAATTGTCAACATCTCGTGGTCGCCCCTGTTCATCTTGTTGTTGCCTGCTCCAAGAGAACAATAAATCGGTGTCGCTTCTCGGCTCGTCTTCTTGCTGTGCTTCTTCTGTTTCTCCGATATGATCTTCGAGTAAATGCTGGCTGTCGACGGCGGTCCTCAAAAGCTGAATTCTATTTTTTCCCCGATGCGACGTCGTCTCGGACGCTGGTCGTGAAGACGCAAGTTTAGAATTCCCATCTGTCCCCGGAACAAAAATCACCTGGTCCGATACGACCGATTTTTCCCCGTCGGCTCTGCTTAATACCTTGCCCGGCGAGTTCTTAGTCTTCGACGACTGCTGTCCCTCTTCAACATCCTTATGTGTTTCATCCTGGTGCCCTTTATTGACATCACCAGCAGCAGAACAGAAAAACGTTGTGCAGCATAGCACCACGACGCCCAGGAAACTATTACATGCCGAGACAAAGAGCGGGTAAGGGAAGTGGAGATGAACGAAAATGAACTTCATCGAAAGCAGCAGCGCGGCGTACGCTATGCCTTGCGCTATTACCGCAAAAAGGATCTTCGCGGCCTCCGACCTCATTTTTTTTTTGCCTCCTGCTGTATACAGTTATTAATGGTGCCGTCAAGCTCTACCTTCTTTAGAAATGAAAATGACAGAAAGAGTTTTTTACACTTACATGATAGAGAAGAAATAGAACCGCGAATCCAATCGAATTTGGGACGAGATCACTTACCAGCAGCAGGGAACGACCCACTCCACCACCACCAGGCCAACAGGCAAGACCCCCCAGAACCCCACCGCAGGTGGTTGAATGGGGGGAGAGGAGCGCCAGCCCAGCCCCACTTGCCCCAGAGCCACCACTCCGGAGCAATCCATCGCCCGCACGGAAGGCGAGCTCCATGAAACCGCGGAAAAGATCATGACATCCGGAACCGGCAATGTAGCGATGACACCAATTCCGCCATAGTAAACACAGCAACGCCTCAAAGCCCGCAAATCTCGAAACGTAGCTGCCCTGGGCACAAACCGCCCCGGCGCCTGCAGAGGTCATCGTGACACAAGTCCAAAAGCGTCCGAGCGCCAGCCAGCAAACGCGAGAAACATCTTCGAGAACGTCCCTGCCCGCGGGGTGGGACTGCCCCGTGTAACGGACAAAAGGTAGAAGCTGTTGCAACTGGACGCAGAGGCGCAAAAACTGAAAGAACAGTGGGCCATCCCCGGTAGTGCGTCCCCAGCGAGTCAAGCCAACCAGTAACCCAAAGGAGCCCTCAACAAGGGCGCTACTTACTCCCCGATACTGACAAACAACAGGAGACCGAGCAAGAACAGCCGCCCCTTCGCGGCCCCTTTCCGCCTCCACGGGCACCTAAGTCTCACTAGAGGCACTAGACCTAACAATGCCTGCCGTGTCTAGCGGCAAGCAAAGCCACCCCCAAGGAGCGCGTGGCGAACGATAGCGCTATCGTAGCCCCCAGGGCATACTACCGGCTAGCGCGCGAGCCCCTTACCGCCGGTAAGGATCCGTGCGCCTACGATTGTATCGACGCGACAACGAGAGCACCCCGTGTCCATAGAGACTCCCTGTCATAGACGAATCCAATCGAATTTGGGAGATCACTTAAGTGCAAATAGCATTTTTTTTGTCAGCTCACACTTTGGGGGGGTATTTCTTTTTCTTTTGTCCGGGAGTCAACTACCCGGAAATCAACAGAAGTAAAGCGTCACTTCATCTTTTCCACGGGAAACATGATAGCTCGGCTCTCAAAAGGCCTTCATAGCAAGACACGAAACAGGCGGCAGCGCCTTCGTGCTGTGCGTTGTCGCTCAGATGGCCCGGCAATGTTGAATAGGCCCGCGCTTCGAGAAGTGGCTGGGCCACCTCCGGGACCGGGGCTCCTTTCGGTAGCCTATGCCGACCCCCTAATCCGCATTGGAAACTTCGGGTACCCTTTCGGTAGCCTATGCCGTGCCCCAAAATGGTAGCCCAGAGGCAGCCCAAGCGGACCCCCTTACCCCCCCCCTTCGGCACCCCCCCGGAAGCACTTGACTGCTGGCGCGTCCGCATTCTCAATATCTGGCCGTAGAGGGAAGATGCGAAGATGTCTGGGCGCGTACGGAATTGGATGCCGGAGAGGGGGCGCGGCTTCCCGCGCCGGGGGGCCGCAGGCCTATGCAACTTCAGCAAAATGCTGCGGCTCTATTGGAAAAAGGGGAAGGCCGGATGGCGGACCGTGACAACGAAGAGCGGCGCCAGCATCTAAATGGCCAACAGGAAAAAAAGCAGTAGCGACGCCCCCAATAGCCATGATTTTTTTGCCCCGCCAAAAAGTGCGCTTGCAAAAATGATGCTATTTGCCGATTTTTCCGCCCTAAGCGAATCCAATCGAATTTGGGAGATCACTTAAGTGCAATGCCTTAATATTGGGACTAAGTCGCAGATTTCGTGGCAGTCATACGAAATTCAACTTGATGTACTGAAGATGATACTTCTAAGTGAAATAAGCAGGAGCCTCGTTGTCGTTCTTCTCGCGCATCAATGAGAAAAGACGGACACGTCGCACTGCAACGTTTAATATATGCGGAAAACAAGTAGCGTTATCAATGCCGGGGTGTGGCGTTGGGTCCTTTCTGTTTTTATGAAAGATGCGCATGTAGTTCATCCTGCGACAAGTAACGTCAAGCTGTCACACAGTTGTACAACCCTTGATGCTGTTGTTCCTGAGTAGAGAAACGACGACGACCAGCAAAGCTGCACGATTTCTTGACCAGGAACGGAACCAAGCAACCTAGAACGATACCGACAGCTTCAGCTGCGTCTTCAACCGACAGATTCAACGAGGTACAACGGACTTGTACGAGCGAAACCAAAAAGTAAAATAGGACGAGAACGAGGACTACGAGGACTACTCCATCACCATCTTCTGTGCTCCAGCAAGCACACCGACAGATTTGCATTTGGAATTTTTCCACGACCGTGTCATATCTGCATTTCCTGTTTATTTCTGTAAAGTACAAAGGAGCACGTGGAATCACCATCACGTCCACCAATTCTCTAAAGAATTGTACGAGGAGACATTTCTTTTCCCTAGACCTAGTTCACCTGCACGAATCACGTCACGAAGGAAGTCGAATCTTCCTGTTCTTCACGGGACGATGAGGCGTCAACAAATGGTCTTCTTGAATAATATTCTATAGTAGTTTTATTACGTAGAACTACAGAGCCACCGTGCTGCCGGGGCTTGATGCGACGTCCAAAAAAACAACGAATGTTGCTGTTACTGCAGCACTTCGACCCCCGCCAGCTTGGCCATCGGGTCTCGCTTTGTCGATGACTCAAGAAGAAAAAACGACCTTCACGAAAATGCTTGGGTTCTTCGTCCACGAGCGTTAGTTTTTGTTTTTTTGGGGTAAAACACAAATGGAAATGACCGATACGATAAACAGCCACTTATTCTAGCGTGGAGCTGGAATGGAGAATGAAGCAATCTTGTAGTTTTGGGGTGGAGATGAAGCATCTTGTTTTGTGCTACTGCGTATATATTGAAATTGATGATAGATGATGTTAGAAAAAAAGAAAAAACAAAGACCCAACAACACAGACGATGGGGTTAGTTTGTCGAAGTAGATCGCTGCGTAAAGCAGGTAAATAAAAAAATAAAAGAGTAGCACTACTATAAATAATACACGTAAATGAATAAAGATGCTTCGGAAGAGGGGGGGGGGGAAGCATAGATGAAGGGCGCAACGATTCTCCTTAGCAACACCCGGGTCTTGCGTCGTCCTCAGCGCACGCTCGGATCTGCTCAGTCGTCTATCCTACGGGAAAGTAGTACACGCATTGCCCCATACTGAACCTGAATCCTTCGGTATATAGATATACAAAAAAAGTAGGGGTCGGCTGTTCATCAGCATGAGAAATTCAATGACGTCTTTGTCATGGCCGTATCAAGCATAGGCAGCAGCGCATTACCAGTTGTTGCATTTTGTTTTTGCATGACAAAAAAGGTGCCCCTGCGCTATCAAGTTATGATTTTTCTGCTCGTTGTATACCATAAAATCAAAATGTGTGTAAGTGTACTCATCAGTAGGATATCGTCAGCTGGCCACTGATCACTACTTCCGGATCGTCCCCATTACCGTGGTATGGAATGCAAACGTGCCCAGGTCGCTAGAAGTGGTGCGCACTCTTGATGCGTCGTGTGAATCACGCATAGTACCATCTGTCTTGCATGACAACCACAGAGACAGAGAGCATGCTGATAAAGCTGCATGACAAATATCAGCCCTTATCCCGACTCAGTCAGATTTGCCTTCGATACGTGGCCGAATCTCGATCTCCTGCCGCCTGGAAAATGAAAAATGAATTCATATGTTTGTAATTCTCTATCGGAACCAATTGAATAAGCGTTTTCTTTGCTTATTTGCCAAAAGGTTTTCGAAGCCGCTCTTGTTCCCTGTAAATGTAGATGTACCGGGAAGAAAGGCTTGGCTTCATCTAAAGCGCCGCATCTATTAAGATAACGAGAAGGACTAATGAGTACCTCCCACACTTTCCCCGGCTCAGATCCGTGTTCCTCCGGCCCACCCGCGGCGGATCCCAGCCCTTCCGCGGCTTCTTGGAGGTACATCTCGAATATCAAATGCAAAAGTGTCTGGGTCTGGAAACTTGTGATGCTGAAATGTGCATGATTGAAATCCTTCCAAGTGCACCAGCCAAGCATGACAAGTTTACCGAAGACTTTCTCAAGCGCAGTCCGTATGAGAAACTGCGCTTTTGTATGACAAAAGGAGGCGCAGTTTTGTTAGTCATGCAATACAGATTTTAATTTTACATGAATGTCGGACTTGCATTACAAGTTCAATGTTGACCCAGACATATTTGCATTTCATATCGAAAACTTGGCTGTCGGGGGCTGTCCAGGACAGGAAGGGCCGGTACTGCTTCAGCGCGGTCTGGTAGTCGGCAAGCCGCTGCCCGCTGACCTCTTCGGCCACACGCAGCAGTAGGTTGGCGAGGTGGTCCCGGTCGCAAGAGTCTGGGTCCTTAATATGGCGTTCTCAAATGTTACATCCTCAACTACTGTTGCATAGGTTTGTAATGCAAGAATGGCAAAAGTGCAAGGGGGAAGATTTCGCCTTTTGCAATACAGGTTTGGCACAGATTTAAATGCTGTTCAGCCCTTCGGAAATTTGTCATGCGAGGCAGCTTGATGATGTAAATTACTGATGAGAGTTTTGCATGACAAATCCGTGCAACAGTTGAGAATGTAACGCTTGAGAACGCCATACTTGATGCCTCGTCGTTCGGTCGCTGGAAACAGCACTGCCAGGTTATTACAATGAAAAATACCCCCACCCCAAAACTTGGCGGTGTTTGTATTGCAAGCATTTCCAATAGAAACATTCCCCGTCTTGCATATATCAGCATTACAAATTTTCCATGCTGAATTATAGCTCAAATTTGTATTGCAAAGAGCCCAGCACCAGCCGGGTCTGTTATGCAAAAGATATCTCGCGCGCCTAGATTCTGCATCAGAAAGATTCATAGTCCTTTCATGCAACAAGACAGAAAAGTTTTCATTTGGAAACCTCGCAACACAAATCATTGCAACTTTCGGAGTGGGGGCATTTTTCACTGTAATACAGGTCCGCCCACGGCACCCGTGCCCGAAATGGCAAAGATGTAATCTGGTTCTCGTCCAGGAAGACAGGCACCGTCCCGTGTTCCAGCGCGTCGCTCAGTCGGGAGCTGCCTGCTACGTCCCCGTGTGCGTACAGGGTAAAACGTGTCTTGTGGAGTGCGTCGCAGTATTTGCTGGTCGAGGCGTGGCGCATGAGGCATCCAATTTCTGCCTTGTCTTCACTTGTGCCTGGCGACCATGCATCGGGGTCGCCGGGGCACTCCTTTGTATACACCGGTGTCTGAAGTCCGTGGTGCTGCACACCCTTGGGCGAACTGCTACTGGCGCAGATGGACCCCGCGCGTACGCTCGTCCTCGGCACCACCTTGAGTGCTTCGCATAGGCACTTGCGAAATTGGTACTCGTATCAAATGTAAAAATGTCTGGGTCTGGAAGAGTGCGCGATTTGTCATGCAGCTTTTCAATGACCCATGAGGTCTGGAATGCAGGACCTAGCATGACAGATTCTGTGCGATCTTTCTCATGCCTATCCTGCATGAGAAACTGCCTCCCGACTTTGTCAAAACTGGACGACTTTTGCTTTTGGTAAATCATGCAACACAGATTTTTGCATACTTCAGATTTAGCATGACAAGTTGCATTCTTCCAGATCCAGACCCAGACATTTTTACATTTGATAACTCGGGGCGTGTGTCAATCTGCCCGATCATCGAAAAATACCCCTCCGTATCAAATGTAAAAATGTCTGGGTCTGGAAGAATGCCAGACTTGTCATGCAGATTTTCCATGACCCATGAGGTCTGTTATGTATGACATAGCATGACAGATTCTGTCAGAGTTCTATCACTATCATGCCTATCCTGCATGAGAAACTGCATCTCGGTTAGGTCAAAAGCGGACAGCTTTTGGCACTCATGCAACACAGATTTTTGCATGATCCAGAATTAGCATGACAAGTTGCGACCTTCCAGACCCAGACATATTTGCAATCCATACTCCGGCATGCTCGGCAACATGCCGCCCACAACACCTCCCTCTACAACCGCCCCAGCCGCAAGGACTTCTTCAGTGTGGGCGGGGCAAGTTACAGGAACCAGTAAATTTGGGAGCCGCTTTGCCGTATGCCTTACAAAAAATACTGGTATCTCGCCTGGGTCATCTGGAGGTGTGCAAACTTGTGCATTGCTTCTGATACATAAATCCAAGATCGCACCAAAATCCTTGGTTTTTGGGGCCTCGACCTTCTTCAAAACTGTCAAGTTGATGCTAGAAGGGCTCCTTGCGAAGCAGACCTTCACCTTCTCCTGCCGCTCGCTGCCCTCACGCGTAATACAAAGACAAAAACAATGTGACAAAGATCTACACTCTTCCCGACCCAGCAGACATATGATTTTCACTGGATACGGCGACGCCGCCCCGTCGGTGAACGGCCCAGGGGATTTCCACTCGAACCAAGGGAATGATATGACGTTCAACCGATTGACGTTGGTGTGCTGCGTATCGCGAGAAAAAACTGTTTCCCTGTCCTAGAAGATGACTCGTCACGGCGCACAGGACGTAATCGACAAAATTGCTTGTCTTTTCACAGACATCTTCAAGAAGACAGTGGATTTTTACCTAGTATTTTAAGGTGTAATGTGTTCGCAACCTCACCTAGATGGCAAGTACACGCATGGCAAATCTATACAAATCTTCTTTTATGTCACACAGGACGTACTTCTGATCAACTACGCCTTGCAGGCTTATCGTTGCAGCGAAACATCACTTTTTCCGTGCGATACTGCACGAGCTGCTGCGAATCGTAGTGGGACGCTACAATCAAGTGATCCGCCCCGTGATTACGCTGGAAAAACGGACTCCGCCCCAACGCGTAGTCCAAGAGCTTGACCAGATCCAAGTCACAGACCATTCCTCCGCTGCAATCTGCATCACACCCCTCCATTTTCTCTGCCTGCGCCATATGCATCGCAAACATCATGTCTGGGTCTGGGAAACGGAGCACAACTTGTCTTGCTGAGTCTGGATCGTGTGAAAATCTTCTGTGTTCGATGGTTACCACAAGTTTCTTCACCAAATGGACAGGCACATCATGCGGAAATAAAGGCATTAGTAGAGATAAAAATATCACAGAACAATCTGTGATGCCACGGCATGGTGCATCACAGACCTGATGGAATAAATGGAAATGGATGCGTCATGCAAAATGTGCATGACAAACGGTGCACTTCTCCAGAGAACAACTACCCAGACTACATATTTGCACTGCATACGCCACTGCTTCTGCCGATGCCGGGCAACAAATCGGACTCAACTCGGCATAGCCTAGTTGCGCGTCTGAAAGAAGGTTCAACAGCGTCGGAACCACGAACAGTGTTGCGTTTTCAGGGTCACGCGTACGCTATGGGGTTCTCAGACACTCTACACGCTTGAGTGGTACATGAATGATCTGTCGCGCAAAAAAAATTTATTAGCATCAAACAACAGCCACACCATGAGGCTGCTTCGCATGACAAATTGTTTTTGTTGCTGAAGTGCTACTTCAACAGCATGGACGAAATCTGTGCCGAATTTGTGCTGCGAGAGGTGTAAGCAATCTCCCTCCTGTCACAGTCACTTTTGCTATTCTGCCACCGAAAATTCATGTAACAGCTGAAAGCGTAACGTTTGAGAGTTCCATATACGCCACGGGTGTAGTTCTGGGTCCAGGGCCCGCTCGGCGAACAGAACGTCAGATGAGTGCTTTAGAAGCATATTGGCATCGGCAAGCGCTTCGTTCAAAGTAGAACTGGGGCCACCAGTCGCATTCACAGCAAGGGAGCGCTGGTCCGGGCCCCACACGCATCCAGGATGCCGCCAATTGAACTCCACCTCTTCGTACACATAAAACGGCACAGGCGGCAAGCGGGCGACGGGGTTCTTCACTGCGTCAATTGTTGAAGAAAGATGAACAGGAAGACTTTTACTAGTACCTGCTCCAGATGTTGAAGTCGAATCATGGTCCACGCGCTGGCTTCGTTCTTCGGAGGTCCTCTCCTGTGGTGTGGTCTTGACACTTGTTTTGCTTGTTTCTTGGCCGCGGCTGCGGGGCTGGAGATGAGATATCTTCTTCTTATGCTGGCGGTGGCCGGCGCTCCTTCTCGACGATGAACCTTGCTCCGCCCTATCAAATGCAAATGTGTCTGGGTCTGGAAGGTTGCAAGTTTGTCATGCTTGTCTCGCATGACCCTCAAATCTGTCATGCACATTACCCACGAGCCCTATTTTTCTGTCATGCAGAAACGCAGTCTGTCATGCAGAACGGGCAACATCTAGAAGCTCAGAAACTTGTCATGCTGAGCCAGCACTTGTGGCCTCCTCATGATACGCCACCCAGCATCACAAGTTTCCAGACCCAGACATTTTTGCAGTTGATACGCCCTGGCTTGATGTTGTATCCTCCGCCCCGTCGACGTCGTCCTCGATGTTGCTACTTCATGGGACGAATATGGCGCTCTCAAACGTTACATTCTCAACTGTTACACGAATTCGTGATGCAAAAACAGCAATAGGGAAAGGGGCAGGGTTGCAAGTCTTGCATTACAAATTTGGCACAGATTTAGATGCTGTTTAGCCCTTCGATAATTTGTCATGCGAAGCAGCTTGATTGTCTGGCGGCTCATGTATTTTTTGCATGACAAATCATGTAACAGTTGAGAATGTAACGTTTGAGAATGCCATAACGAATGCTCTACAACTTGAAGCCTGTGTGCGTGCGCAGGGACGATATGTTCGTCGAGGCAGGCTAGTTCTATTATCCCAAGGAGCAGAGGGGTCGCTGCCTTTGATGCCTTCCGGCGGGAGAAGTAGCCGGGTTTGGACATACTTCGTGTCGTTCCGAGCTGGGGGTGTTGAAGATCCAGATCTACTTTTCCGCGGGGCGATGTTGAATAAAAATAAATATTACAGTAAAAAGACGAGAAAAACCTACAGCCTGCTCCGCCCAAATTTTGGGAAACAAACACAGAAAGCAGGCGCGACACGAACGAGGCAACGAGAGCAGCCGGGGCGGGGGCTAGTACGGAAAGTTGTGACTTTCTAACTATATTTAAAAACTACGTGAGGCACGACAGGTCGAGTTGGTCTTCGTTCATCGGGGTAAAAACTGGAACTTTAGATGTAGGTGGTACGTAAACGTATCACGACGAAATACAATAAAGATACGAAGAAAAACATGACGAATGTTGTATACCACAGCGAGCTAAAGCTTTTTGCTGGTCATGTAGTAAGTAGATTAATAAACGGGCATTTGATCTTTTTCGGATACGAAGTACCGAGAAGTGAGGACGACAGGTTGCAACACGATATCTGCGAGAGAGGACAGAGACCTACGGGAACGTAGCCGGACGAAACCGAAAGTCAAACAAAATCCCTGTCTGCAAGATGGGAGTGGCGCACAAGAACGATAGTCTCGCACACTGCATCTACACATCCAGTTTTTTTCTTGCCATTTCCTGAGTACGCCGAGTCATGCTTCGCAAATAAAAACTGTTTTCTTGGCCGCGGGGAGACATCACCACACTCCCATCTCATTTCACCCTGGCGCATGCGTGTTCGGTGGATGTGTTGATCAAGTGTAGGAAACACTTGTGACGAGATTCGTCGGCCGCTCGATATGTAAATCATAAACGAAAACTTAACTCATATACGAAGTCGACAGAATCTAGAATAGTTGCACGAGTTCTTGTGGAACGATTAGGTTTTGTTGGACGAAGGAACGATAAGACGTAGAATATTTGAACAAAGCGGAAACGGAGTTGTCGATGCAAATATTTATATATATGATAAACTATAGTGCTAATTACGCAGGAACTGATTGATGTAATCCATCAAGACCGAATGATGTTCGAAAGTGGCTTCTTGGACGAGAGCACAAGAGACTAGCCACAGGACTGGTCCTCTACGGTAACAGAACAACAAATCACCAGCACCTCCCTCGTGGTCATCCGTTCAGAAATTAAAACAGGGAACCCGCTGCTGGCGCACGAAGAAAAAAACAACAGCACGCAGCTCCCGTACATGCTGTACTTCTGCTAGCGTTTATTTTTTTCGTAAAGTAGTTGTTTTTCATCGGGGGTGGAGCTTGCAATTGCATATGTTTATTTCATCTGAAGAGAAGTAGCTTGCTGCAACAGAAAATTACGGGGTCCGCAAATTTCGACCGGCCGCTAGAATTGTAGCTTATGACATCGGGCTCTTGCGCCTCGCCCAGCGTGGGTGAAATTATTATGAAGCCAGTGCCTGGTTAGGCACGGCATAGGTTCGTTATTTGCTTTCATACCCCGCTACATGAAGTGGACCTAACGTACGGACAAGCCTGTGACTGATTTGTAGAGTTCTCTACTACCTCCTCCAGCCGTGTTCTCTCGAGCTTGTTTTATGTTGCAACAGCCACCTGCGTTCTTGGCAAGGAGTTACAGATACAGTAGTGAAACAGGGATAACGATAAAGCCAAATGAGTGGGGCTGATAGTAAAAACTGGGGTACAGCTGTACAACGATTAATTTCTTCTTGTAATATCCGATATCACATTCTGTAAGTAAATTTTTTCTTTGGCTTGGCATTGGGATCTGGTCATCGCTTCGAAAAAGTTTGAATTTTTGTCCGAAAGAACATACGAAAAGTTTGGGTGTTGTCTCTTGCACCCTTTGCATTTGAGGCCTTCTCGCCTGCCTGCTTGCAGCCCGGGGTAGTAGAAGTAGACAACACCAAACTGATGCTGTGCTCCTAACTGCTCCGAAGCTGAAAGGGCCACGAGGACACGAGGACGGACCGAGGCAAGAGAGAGAGAAAAAAAAAAACGTGGAACGTTCATTAACGGAGCGAAATTATGCAACAGCTGTAAGTAGTTGTTCTTGGTCCAGATCATTGCGCAATTCTCATCGGGGCTACATGAATCTTACTATCTCGTCTGGGGAATCGGAATGTAGAAATCAAAAGGTCGCGCGTTGGTATTCATCTGTTTCTGTTCTGGCTGCAAAAAGAAAAACTAGAATGCCGAAATGAAAAATGATAAAAAAGGGCGGCCAGCGTTTTCAGCGATCAGCCTCCTGCAGTTGGACTGAAGCCGGAACGTCAGCCTTCGCTGGTTCGGAGGTGCGCTGGTAGTCGTCGTCGTGCTAGCACCAGACACGACTTTCGCCGTGTGGCGTGCCTATTCGTCATAGTTGGGTCTTTGCCTTTCTTTCTATCGGAGTGGGAATTCAAAAAAAAAAAAATTCAAATTTGTAGTTGACCACTACGACCTCAACAAGGCCTTTTACAAGGTTTTCGACCGTTGGGGGGCCGCGCCAGAGGTATGCCACGCTTCGGCATTCGTGTCGGTGTCGCTGCTGAGTGCATGAGCCAGAAACTCGTCCATCGCCGCTTTAGCCTGGTGCCAGGCCCCGGCATCCGTTGCCCCCCCCCCGGATTCGTCGTCGGGTGGAGCAGGTTTGTCCCACGGCTTGTCTGCTCCAATAAAATGCTGCACGCTTGCGCTCGCGCAGTTTCTAGAAGTCTCACTCGTCCAGCGGCAACCAAACTGCTTCGGCTCGAAACATGCTACCCGGCCCTCGGTGCCCGGAAACGTAGTCCACCCGTTTCTTGTGGTCAGCGCGTCAGTGCCTTCTTGGTGCACCGGAACCGTCGCGCTCCCTCCTCCACGATGGGCGTCGCTCCTGCTTGTGTTGAAATACATGTCGTCATTGTTGAAATACATGTCGTACACCAGACGATTGAAAAGGCCCTGCTCAGCCTTCCAGCACCACTGGTCGCCAATAGTTTTGTTGCTCGACTTTAAGATGGCGTCATAGCGCTGCAACAGCTCTGAATTGCCCGGGCGAATCATCATCACGCCGACGTTGAACGGGTAGCCAGTTTTGCCTGAGGCGGCCTTGGAAATGGCGGCGCAGGACTCTGATTCCGCCCTTTGCTCGTCGCCGGTTACTGCCACATCCGGCACTCTCCCCGCGATTTCAAGATCTTGCTGCAGGGCCGTGTCGCTCCTGCCCCCCGGAGAGCTCCCACCTGTGAATTGCGCGAACAGCCGCACTATGCATTGTAAATATGTCATCTGGGTCTGGAACAATGCAAGCTTTTGGTTGGTTGTCATACTAAATCTGGACTCTGGCGACCTTGATCGACCTGAGACCCATCCCCCCCGTTGGATGTGCGACACGCCGCTGGCGCTGCACGTTTGTCGTCGAGCCGACCAAAATCCAATTATGTGTGTTGCAGGATTACCAAACGCCGCCCACTTCTGCCTGACCTGAGAGGCAATCTCTCATGCAGGCGAGCCACGATCTGCATATCTATGAAGACCTCACAGAACAATCTCTTATGCTCATGGGTCGGGGACGGGGTCATGGTCGTAAGCCTGCGTGAAAACTCTTGCATTGTTTTCCGCAAGACCCAGCCACATTTCCATTTGATACAGCCCAAATCTCGCTGCACCAGGATGTCAGTGTCCAAAAGGAGAACGGCCCGATACTCCAACAACCGAAAGCCGTTTGCCTTGTGTATGGCGCTTCGTGCTATTTCTTTGCCCTTCAGCATGAACTTCTCGCTCCCCTGGAACCACTCGCAGGCCGCAATTGCCATGCGACAGGCCTCTCCCAATCGAAACGCGGGCATGTCGCGCGCCTCGATGCCGAGCGCAGCCATTTTCCGAGCAATCGAGGCTTTTGGCCACGTCGTATTTGTCTGCTGCCCCGAAGTGTCCGTGCCCATGTCCATGTCCAACTGCGGACGCATTAGGATTATGTCGCGGTGGCAGAGTTCTGTTGCCCGGATGGAATACGCCGCGGTCCAGAGGGGAATGTAGTCGGCATCGGTCGCGTTTCCATAGCCCGCAGGAGGCCAAAAGAAAAACGCGTACGCCTCGTCAGTGCGGCATCTTCGCGCTGTACGAGTGGGAGCCGGCCCATAGCCTCCTGCAAAAGTGCCGGCTTGCCCCGTGCTATTCTGTTGCGGTGGCGCTGGTGAGCCCTCTAGCACAGCAACAGGCACGGGACCTTTTCTTGCGTTGCTTCGGCGGTCCAAAATGCGCTGCTGCCGATGCAATGTGTCCGGACCCGCCTGGCAGAGTAATTGGTTAGTTCGAAGAATATTTCGGAAAGAACCGCGCTAATAAAGATTTTTACATATACAAGAAGACGGGTCGCCCGGTTGGGCGACCCTTTCTTGGGCTTGATTCTTTTGTATGCTGATAGCGACTACGCAGCAAAAAAATGCTCATTAGGATTGCTGGGCCGGGCTCCATGCGAAGGGAAGAGGGCGGGGGAGAGATAGTGTGAGAAGCCTTGAGCGTCTCGGTGCTGGTTCGTTCTCTTTATGCCGCGGCGAGGCAGGGTCTCTCGCTGGACAGCGCGGCCTCTCCTGGCCCTTCGTTCCGGGGGAGCAAACATCTGCGACACCAGCTCCGGAAAGCCTGGGCGCGCACGATAACCCTGGCCGCGGCCTTCTGGGGGGCATGCCGCTTTTTGCTTCCGTGCCGTGCGTTGAGTGCCTCCCAAGGAGCCTCCCGGCGGGCCATCGGGGGGCCTTAGAGGCAAACCAATGGGGGGCCGGGGGAACGGGAGGGGTCTCCCTTCGGGGGGGCTCTCGGGGGTGCCTTTTTGCTTCCAAGCCCAGCCGGCTGGCAACGCGTGATCCAGGCTGGCAGGGGGGGCCCAGGCCTTGGGGGGCCCAAGCAGGGCGGGGGGCCGCAGGCCCGAAGCGGTGCCGCGGGCCCTCTCGGGGTTGGGATCATCTGCGAGACGGACGGGCCAATCCCGCGCGCCAGGGCAGCGCGCGCGCTGATTTGTCTGTGTGGAGGCCTTCTGCAGGGCCGGGCCAACCTTCCCTTGCTCTTTTGTGCGGCGAATGTGGCTCCGCCTCCGTCCTTGCTGGCTCCGCCGGTGCGCGGCAACACAAAAGCAAGGGGTCGGGGGCAGGCCAAGAAGGGCCTCGGAGGGAGGCTTCAGGGGCGGCTGGCTTTGCGGGGCCCAACGGGAGGCCTTCAGGGGGGTCGAAGGGGGGCCTTTTTGCTTCTCGCCCTGCCAACCCGCTTTCTGCTGTGCCTACGGCCGGAAGCAAGGGGGGCGCTTATCTGCCGCGCGCCCGCCGGGGCTTTTTTTGTGGGCAGACCAACCCCGCACGGGCGGCGCACCCGCGAGTTCGTGGGCCGGCGCCGCGGCCCCCTGCCGGCCCCCCTTCTGCAGGCCCGGGCCTTCCCTTGCTCGTGTCTGACTCACTGTGCGCGGCAGCGCGGCTGCCTGCGCTCGCTAACTCCGCCGCTTTGCGGCAATACAAAAAGGGTCGGGGCTTGGCCAAGAGTGAGAGAGGGGCCTCGGCGGGAGGCCTCACTAAGGGGGGGGGCCTTCGGGGGGCCTTGTTGTCTCTCGCCCAAGCCTTTTTCTGCTGTGCTTGCGGCCGGAAGCAAGGGGCAGGGAGGCTCACTATTATCTGGGCGGCGCGCGCCCGCGGAGGCCTCTTCTTTCTGCCCTTATTGCGCAGCGGCAGTGGGCCAGCGAGCGGACCTACCCTCCCGCGGCTCTGCCGGTGGCCCCCCCGGGGGTGGGGGCATCTGCGAGACGGGCGGGCGGAGGGAAGGAACAACCCTGCAAAGGCTGCGCGCGAATAGTTTAATTATCTGCGCCCGCCGCGGCCTTCAGCAGGCCCGGGCCCCCCCTTGCTTGCTCGTATGGGAGGGCGCACGGCATGGCGGCTCCGCTTTTTTTGCCTCGGGGGGGGCTTTTTTTGCCTCAGTGGGTGCGAACGCGAAAAAAAAGGGGGGGGCTAAGAGGGCGGCCTAAACCTCTCCTTCGGGCAAAAGGGGGGGCCTCAGGGGGGGCTTTTTTGGCCTCAGGGGGGGCCTAAGGGGGGGCCTTAGGGGTCGAGGGGGGGCCTGAGGGGAGGCCTGAGGCCCAGAAAAGCCCTAATAATCATATATTCGTCTTCGTAATTAATTAAGGATAACTCGGAGAAAAGCCGCCTGGGTACTAAGTACACCAAAAAGAACAGCGCTAAACTCTAGCGGTTCCGCGACAAGCAACAACGCAGCTGTCACTTTTTGATGTTAGGTCTGAGTCTAATCCGTAAATCTAAATTGAAAGAACAGCTCTCCACACTTCTATAGATAAAGAAGTACCTCCCTTGTTCGGCCGTCGTCGGAGGTTCCTAGCCCTGGCTGGTAAAACCTTTTGGATCGACGGCGCTGCTTTTTTCCAGCTTCTAGTCCCACTGCTGACCGCTTGTGTTCGTAGCCTGTAAGTGTAACGAGCAAACATGACCGGGTCTGAAAGAGTGCAGACTAAGTTGCGAAACAGCTTCGTGTTGTTCGCGCCACGGTTCATCACAAAAAATAAATCAAATCTGTCTTGCATGGGCTGCAGAATACATATCTCTTGGCCATATTGAGGATTGAGGATTTCTCATGCAGAGTCCATACATAAAGTAGACCTTAAAAGGCCATCGCAGAATCTGATGTGCAAGACCCTTCATTCTCGGCGACGTGAGATGGCAAACAAGTAGGGGACGGCATAGCAAAGTAGCGGCTCAAACCCAGACATATTTGCAACGGATAGCGACACCCACACCAGAGTAGCTTGAAGCGCCAAGGATGATTGCTGCTGCAGCCCCAGCCCGCTTGGTGGTAACGCTGAAGGACAAACGAAGATGTTGTTGTGGACCTCCTGATGTTGAGCTGCTTCGTCCCCGGGGTCGGCCCTTTCGTTCACACCGTCGGCCAGCCGGATCGGGAGCACATTGTGCACTCCGCACCGCCACATCGGCTTGTCGGCTACGCCCGATCATGATCTTCGCCAGCGTTCTTATCGAAAAGAAGGACGAGGACGACGTAAAAGTAAAACTAAACCCAATTGCGAAAATGAAGATTGTAACAATACATATAGATGATTCTCTGTAAACCAAAACGGGCAAAACGAAATTCGTGCGAGTGAATCAGAAAAACGAGGGCTGCAGCTCTTTGCTACGATCTAGCTAACAACGGCGAATAAACAAAGGGCGGGGGTCTTCACTTAGCTATTGTCGACTCTGAGTCGTCTTGGGCATTTATTTTGAGCGACATTATAGGGCTTCGTCCTCGTTTCCTGTTTGCATCGTTGGAGACTTGTATTTCCCGCAAGTAATCAATGCGATGAATACAAACTGCAGACTCGCTCTCCTCTATCACATTCTCCAGAAGAGCAAAGACACGAAACGAAGAAAAACAGGGCGATTTTTCGTTTTCTGTATAGCACAGTGCGACTTTTTACTGGTGCAGATTAACATTAAGAGAGGGAAAGGTATAATTTCTTTTTCGGATAGTATCGGCCGGCAGGGGACAGAGGCCTCGCTGCCGAACCTACGAAGACCCCGTCGGACCACGAGACCGAAATTCAAAACAATCCCGGCTTGCAGGACGACGATGGAAGTGACGAACGAAACCGATTTCCGCATACGCATCCAGTTTTTTTCCTACCATGGTAAGCACGGCAACGACCGTTTGATGTTTCGTTCGACAACTTTCTGCTCCACTGCTGTTGCCGTGTGCAACTACTCGGCACTTATTTATTGCGTAAGCGAATCACGACGAGTTTTGTATACCGTAGCGTGCTACTTTTTACTGGTGTAAAAGATTAATATTAAGGGGCATTTTTCCTTTTTCATCGGATAAGAAAGACTGAGACATGCTGAGGACGACAGGTTGCAGGACGACAGGTTGCAGGACGACAGGTTTCCGAAGTACCGAGAAGTGAGGATGACAGGCTACAACACGACATCTGCGAGAGAGGACAGAGACCTCGCTGTTGAACCTAGGGGCACGTAGCTGGACGAAACCGAAACAAGTCAAACAAAATCACTGTCTGCAAAATGGGAGTGGCACACAAAAGCGATAGGCTCGCGCACTGCATATACACATCCAGTTTTTTTCTTGCAATTTCCTTAGTACGCCGAGTCATGTTTCGCAAATGAAAACTGTTTTCTTCGCCGCGGACGCACCCGTCTCATTTCACACCTTGCGTTCTTCATCACTGCACCCCCATCTCATTTCTTTTCCCTGGCGCATGCGTCGTGTTCGGTGGATATGTTGATCAAGTGTAGGAAACACTTTTGACGAGATTCGTCAGCCGGTCGATATGTAAATCATGAACGAAAACTTAACTCATAACGAAGTCGACAGAATCCAGAGTAGTTGCACGAGTTCTTGCGGAACGATTAGGTTTTGTTGGACGAAGGAACGACAAGAAATAGGATATTTGAACGAAGCAGAAACGGAATCGATATGAATTAAATTCATATGATAAAAAATAGTGCTAATTAATTGCGCAGGAACTGATTGATGTAATCCATCAAGACCGAATGATGTTCGAAAGTGACTTCTTGGACAAGAGCACAAGAGACTAACATATAGGACTGGTCCTCTACGGTAACAGAACAACAAATCACCAGCACCTCCCTCGTGGTCATCCGTTCAGAAATTAAAACAGAGAACCCGCTGCTGGCGCACGAAGAAAAAAGCAACAGCATGCAGCTCCCGTACATGCTGTACTTCTGCTAGCGTTTATTTTTTTCGTAAAGTAGTTGTTTTTCATCGGGGGTGGAGCTTGCAATTGCATATGTTTATTTCATCTGAAGAGAAGTAGCTTGCTGCAACAGAAAACTACGGGGTCCGCAAATTTCGAACGGCCGCTAGAGTTCCAGCTCATGACTTCGGGCTCTTGTGCCTCGCCCGGCGTGGCGGAAATTATTATCAAGCCCATGCCTGGTTAGGCACGGCATAGCTTCGCTCTTTGCTTTCATACCCCGCTACATGAAGTGGACCTAACGTACGCACAAGCCTGTGGCTGATTTGTAGAGTTCTCTACTACCTCCTCCAGCCGTGTTCGCTCGAGCTTGTTTTATGTTGCAACAGCCACCTGCGTTCTTGGCAAGGAGTTACAGATACAGTAGTGAAACAGGGATAACGATAAAGCCAAATGAGTGGGGCTGATAGTAAAAACTGGGGCACAGCTGTACAACTATTAAAATAAATTTCTTCTTGTGATATCCGATATAACATTTTCTAAGTAAATTTTTCTTTGGTTTGGTATTAGAATCTGGCCATCGCTTCGAAAAAGTTTAAATTTTTGTCTGAAAGAACATACGAAAAGTTTGCGTGTTGTCTCTTGCACCCTTTGCACTTGAGGCCTTCCCGTCTGCCTGCTTGCAGCCTGCGGGAGTAGCAGAAGTAGCCAACACCAAACTGATGCTGTACCCCTAACTGCTCCGAAAGGAGCCACAGGCAGAGCGAAAGGGGCACGAGGACGGACCGAGGCAAATACTTCAAGGAAAAATAGAGAAATGCCTGACAGGCTGAGATCCCTTCTTCAAGGAAAAATAGGGACATGCTGAGTTCTCTGTGATTAAACACCAGAAGAGGGCGACGTCACCGAGAGAGAGAGAGAGAGAGAGAGAGAGAGAGAGAGAGAGAGAGAGAGAGAGAGAGAGAGGGAGAGAGAGAGAGAGAGAGAGAGCAAGGGCTGTGGGAATGCTGCTACAGGAAAAAAGCATCTACGCTCCATGAATATAGTGACGATGCGAAGGGAGCAACTGCAGTGCGTAAGAGTGTTGATAAAGAAATAGGGTCAGGAGAGTGAAGCTGATTGGAAAAAACTGACGCACAAATATACGCATTTTTTTTTTTTCATTTGGGCACTTCGTTTTTTTTTTGTTATTTGCTTTTTTTGTAGTTTGTTATTGCTACTGGGACCCATTATTTGCGTCGAACTAGTGTGAGAGTTTGGATTTGCTTTCAGAAAAATGCGAAAAGTTTGAGCGTTCCCTCCTCTTGCAACATCCTTTGAGGGCTTCTTGTCTAACTACGATTTTAGGGCGGGCGAGAGCATTAAATTGGTGCTTTACTAGTAACCGCTCCCCGGTGCCTGCTTGCGTTTTATATTTTTTCCTGAAAGAAGTAGTAAGTGGTTTTTCGGAGGTAACAAGGCACTGAACTGTTCATTTCGCGGAAAGTAGCTTGCGCCAACAGCAGGTTGCGGGGTCTGCACATCTCCACCCGCTAGGGCTGCAGGCCATCGCCCCGAGCCCTTCTGCTTTGCCTTAAGTGGATGAAAAGCAAATGGCACGAGCTACTTTCTACGAATGCAGCCATGGCACCTGTAGTGGCCGCACCCAACAAAAGAAATTGAATGTACATCGTAGCTAACCTGGCCGTGTACTACTGGCACGCAGCCCAACCGCTATCGCGGCGAAAGAAATGCCTCTCCCCCGTTTGCCGTTCCTGAGCCGCCCGGCGCTGTTTCAGTGCAGTCACTCCTTGCATCGGTCGCCGGGCTGCATTGGCTGCACATGCCTTGGCAGTGGCGGTTGCAAACTTCGCAGGACATGGCGAGAGAAAAATCTTGGCAATTTTTCTTCATGTCCCTGGCGTAACTTCTCCCGCGCACGCCGCCCGCCGGGTCGAGCGAGCCGCCAATATCGAGCGCGACGTCTTTCCTCTGTAAGCACGCCGGGCTTTCCGCAAACGCTTCGGCCGCAATGATTTTCATGAAAGATCCGCCGGCAAACAGGAAAATAACGGTTTCACTCGGAAACCGCTCACACTGCTCCGCCATGGCTTTCTTCAGGCGCTTCTTCGTGGGGCCATCGCAGGCGCCGCTCTCTTCGGGGCGTGGTGCCTCGAGAAACGCCACCCGTGTTGGGAAGAATCGGCAGGACACGGCACTCAAATGCGGCGGCCCAATGAGGACAAGGGGGCGCCGCGCCTGCTCCACCATTTTCCGCACGACTTCGTAGCCAGGGAAGCCTCTCTATCCTACACAAAAATTGCTGCACACCCATACCAGCAAAAGCAGCAATTAATTATGCTTTGCGGATTTTATTTTTCCTGCCTGCCACACGATCTCAGCGGCCGGCCACAGACCGTTCGCGCTACCGCAGTAGCTTCTAGACCACGTCGCCACACTCTGCACGAAAGAAAGCGGCCATGCTTGTAGCCCCCACCCCAAATTCATTCCATTTCTGTGCCGCCAATTTAAGTAGCCACGCGCGCCTGGGTCTTTGGGTCTACAAACCACACAGGCAAGATAGGTCGGCGCCCCCCCCAAAGTGCCTGACGGCCCGGCCCTGTAGATAGTCATCGAAAGGCACGACCCCGGGTTTTTGCACTTCGGAACACCGTGAAAGGCGGGCGGCCCCTTTTTGCTTTGCAGGCCGCAGAACTGAATCGCGCGAGCTTGCTTCTGCCACATTTTTTTGCCATCGGCCTCCGAGGTGTTCGGGGGTTCTGCTGGTTTTTCTTTTTTTTCAGGTTCTGAAAGGTTTTTCGCCTTTTCGATAAAAAGCCTGCAGGGGGTCCAAACTCAAAAGCTAGCTGCTCTGGGCCTTCACAGGGTCCCCAAAGGCCTCTGCAGGAAGCGCGCTATTTTTGACGACAGCCCGAACCTTCGAAAGGGTGGCAAAAATGGAAACTGCAGCTGAGGAAGACCCTCAGAAGGCTCGGAAATCATCCAAATGCTTCTTTTCTAGAAACGGGCGGCGTTTGCATGCGAAACATAAAAAAACAAAGGCTCCCACCCTCAGAAGGCCCTCGCCCTGCTTCCTTTGCTTGCGTCCTTCTAAAGGTGGGCCTTTCGAAAAGCCTCTGGGGGCCGGACCATTCTTGCTGTTTTACTTCCCGGGCGAGTGTTCCCTCGTCGGCGCGCTTCAAAAAGTCGCGCGGTTTGAAAATTCGCAGAGCAGTGTCTGCCATGCCTTGTCCGCCCTGTAACTGTATGGTCCCCGGCTATGAAGATAAAGCATTCGAAAGCCATTCGGCCTCGCCCTTTTTCCGTTTAACACAACTTGCGAGGGCCCGCTGGGTCGGTGGCCAGCAAGGATCACGGCCCGCCTCTGAAGCAGGCGGTGGGGGGGGTGCTGCGGCAGCAAGATAGACAGAAGCGCCCCGCGCCCGGCATGCCCACGCCTGGCCGAGTCTGCCAGCCGGGGCGAAACCGCGGCCCGCGCGCGCGCGCCCTGGGGGGCAGTCCGCTGCGCGAGCCCCAACTTCGCTGCAGCAAGGAAGGGGCGCTGCCACGCGGCGCTAGCCCCTTTGCCGCGTGTGCCCCCCTCTCCGAAGAGGCGCAGCCGGCGGAGCAGATGGCCTGCGCCAGCCTGGTTGGCTTCGGGCGCAATGCTGGGCCGCAACGCCGCGCAAGAAGGCGGCCAGAGTTCATGCCACAGTCTATCCGCGCCGGCGATTTTGGAGCTGGGGGCCCCTACGCTGGCAGCCGCCACCCTCCTCGCGCTCGCACTTGCCCTTGCGCGGGCACTTTCTTGCACGCCACTTCGCAGGGGAAACACCCACCGCGCTTGCTCCGTGCCGCAATCGCGCGGGGCTATAAATAATGGCTGCAGGTTCCCGGAGCGGGTGTGCGTTTTTGTGTGATACTTCCTCGTCTGCGGGGAGGTGCTGGTCTTCACCTCCTGGGGGCACCATGTAGAAACCCCAGGGGGACCAATGGCCGCTGGCGCGTGCACCTTCTGCTGTGTGGCGCCATGCGGGGTCTGCCAACATTTCCGAGGCAAAAGCTTCCATACGATCGTGCAGCCCTTGGTGATCCGGAAAAGCCGGGTCGTTATCCAGCCAATGGGGCCCCACGGTTCGGAGCAGGAAGGGCCACGAACTGCGAAGAACGCGAGACACCTGCTCCGCCAGGCACAGATTCATTCCCATCCCGTCCATCGTTGTGTTCGAGTCCTTGCGCACACGAGTCCAATTGGGTAAATGGTTTGGCCATAGGAGTTCGATGTCAATGTCGCCGAGCCGGAAATTCACAAACCCATTCGGGACCACCCGCACACCCGGGTCCATGAAGTTGTCCCAATACTTTTCCAAAGTGCGAAAAAACTCAGGTTTCGGCGTAGCGAGCTTTAGAAACGACGGGGGAAGCTCGGGGAACATGCTCCCCGTCCAAACCGACAACGCGTGACAGACATGGGAAACACACAGAAACGACGTGGAGTTGGTCGCGACACCGGCTTGCCGACCATCCTGTCTCTGCTCCTCTGCCTCGGCCTCTTCCCGTTTTTTCTTAAACCCGTTCGTAATCTGCGGTTCCTTCGAGCCAGTGACGGCTGAAAGTTTCTGAAAAAAAGCGGATCCACCAGGTGGGCCAGAGTTGAGCTGCGCATCGCCAGCAGCGCATGCCCTGATTTGATCGGGCGTGAAAGAACTGACACTTAGCACTTTTATGCTATGCAAACATCCCTGGGTCTGGGCAGTTGTATGTATTGCTAGCCTGCGAAATAAGCGCACTGCAATGTAGACCCCAGTACGACAGGTTGTCGCGCTGCGATGTGCTGCCTATTTCGCACGCCGAGCTGCGTTTTCGTTTTTGCATGACCAGGTCGAGGCGTTCTTCGCGAACATGAGTACGCAGTACAGAGCCAAAGGCAGCATCTCATGGCATTCAGGCATAGCGAGCCTATCAATCTTCCAGACTAAGAACCGTTCGCATTGCATACCGTCGGGACTGGTGCAATTTCCATCTTTGCGAAACCGCTCCCCTCCGTCATTCCCATTGATAAAGCGGACGCCTGGAATCTTCCCTTCTGCCGCATAGATGCCCCAACGATAGTCTCCCGCCGAATAAGGGAACAGTTCGGCGCCGTGGTCCGCAACGTATTTTACAAAATTCCAAGAAAAAGCCACTCCTTGTGCACCGCCGGCAAAAGTTGGGTAAGTGTCGTGAGGGTAATTTAGCTCGGGATGTTTGTCTTCCTGCGGGTTCTTTTGCGCTTTCGCTCCTTCGGCAAGACTTCCAATGATTAGCTTGTCTTGCCGAGGATCCAAGCCGACCGTAGGTACTTGCTCACTTGGGCTCGGAAAGAGAAATCGATGCAACATGGAAGGCCTCGCGTAAGAATCGTCACCGATCCCCATAAGCCACTTCAGACCGGACGAAAACTCCTGCGACGCTACCCACTGGAAAGCCGCTTTCCATTTCTCCGTCGCGTTGAAATACACATCCACGACCGGCAACAGCACCACGTCGCCGAAGGTCCTTGCTTCTTCTTGGAGTGCTTCCGTCAGTTGCCGCTCTTTCTTCTTTTGCTCCGCAAAGGCCGCCCCTCCAATGTTGCTGGCACGATCGTCGTCCAGCGTGCAGTTCGCGCCAGGAGCCTTGACGCCCTGCACCACTCGGGCGGCAACAGGAATTTCACAGCCCTGTTCGCCCACCGTGAAATAGGATGCCCAAGGACTAGCACTTGTGACGGCAAGTTTTTTGCCTGTCATCGGGCGTGTTGGCTTCAACCACGTCTCGCGAATCGCTTGTCTTGCAGCTGCATGTTCTCGCGCAGAGTGAACGAGAACGAGCATTTCCGCCGATCCGTCCACGGTCGGGGCGGCAAGAGAAGACTCTGCTTCGTGTCCCCGCTTTGGTGGTGTTCCATTTCCTGTGCAAAAACGTGCCCACCCTATGCGACTCCCGCTAGACAATCACATGCTTATCCTTATTCTGAAATCCAAACTGCTCGAATTCCGCATGAAAAGTTCGGACACAAGGGCGCGGCTCTGCTTTGCTATCAAAGCCGCAGCACGAATCCATCATCTGGCCCCGATTACGCTATATCACAACATAACAACTTTCTTCCGAATACAACAAGAGCGTGCCTCTTGCCCTGAGGCGCTTGCAGGTACCCCTGGATTTGCTGCACGTGCAATTATATCCGCGCGAGTAGCCCGGGGTTGGTACGTCTATGAACAGGATACTCCACGACCACTGCCAATGCTCGCCAGCTGTAGGGTTTTGCTGCGTGTGCGTCCGGTGACCTGCATAAACGAGAGTTGCGTATTCAAAGTAGCCCTTGCATTCAGTACACTAGATGAAAAAAACAGCTGATGTACATGTTGCGAAAAAAAACCCTTCAGGCAGGCTTCTCTTCTTCATCGAAAAGCGAAAACACATACGGACTCTGCACTTACGTTTTTTTTGTCGCCGTTGTAGGATGCTTTCGGACGGTCAAATTTTCTCGATTGGCGGCCCGCATGTGTTTTTGCTTTAACTTGTTCGGGCCGACTTTTTCGCAACCCCGCCACACCCACAAAGAAAGAGGTCTCGACCCCAAGTAGAAGGACGGCTGCTGCGGACCGCGTGGTCGAAGAAGAATTCTTGCCACGAAAGCTGCTAGCACAAGCGGATCCGGCGCTGCTCTGCCCCTGACAATACTCTCGCTCGAGATTTCGACTCAGGGCCCCGCAGGATGCTATCCCCCCGAACTTGACACCGCAGACTCCGACTCGTCGGCTAGAACCGATCATGTTGACTAGGTAGTGGCCCTATCGCAAAGAGAAATCAGAAATGACGGGTGACGAGATGAAATGTTCTGACTTCGAAATGGTCAGGCAATTTATTAGCAGTAGAACTTAGTAGTAGCAGTATTTTCTTGCTTGTGAGTTGTACTATAGAGGAAAGTCGGGACTGTCACTGTTCTTTGCTCTGCTTTGTTGAGCTAGCGACGTCTGGTTACGTGAAAGACACAAAAAAGATGTTGGGCGGGGCGCAGAGGTCCTTGCCTAACAATGATAATTGATGACTCTGAGTTCGAAAGGGGGATCCAAACTCGTTTCCTGTGCTCAGTCAAAAAGTTACTACGTTATTGTGGGGGCTTCGAAAAACTAGCTGGGAGTGGCCGGATCTCTGCAGCTTCTAGTTCTGCATCGCAAAATAATCGGCGAGACAAAAGACGCGGCCAAAGACAAACGGAACGAACGAAATTGAAAACAGCACGAATGTTGTACAGAAGGAAGACCTGAGAAGCCACCGAATGCTCTTTCTTTACGAAGTTTGCGCATGGTACATAAGCGGACGAGTAAGTACCGACAAGCACGATAGAGAAAATGGCATTGAAATTGACATGGACATCGCCTTGAATGCATCAAGATCCAAGATGCTGGCTTCGAAATGTTTGTGCTGCGGGCCACAGCTGTAGTTCACATGGCGCCGCGGCATTTCTCATTCGCAAAACGTCGACGAAAACCAGAACAACTGCACGAGTTCTTGTGGAATAAAGATCAGGTTTTATTGGACGAACGACACGACAAAGGCGTCTATCTGAACGAATCGGAAACGGAAACTTCGATGCATGAAGGTATTAGGGCGGAAAAATCGGCAAATATCATCATTTTTGCAAGCGCACTTGTTTGGGGGGTAAAAATAGGTTTTTTGTTGGGGGCGCAACATCTTGGAAGCCGACACGCCTCGCGTGTCCCTTCATCTTTTCCACAGGAAACATGATAGCTGAGCTTTGGAGATGCCGCAACACAAAGACCAGAAGCACGCCACAGTGCCTTCGTTCTGTGCGTTGTCGCCCAAATGGCCGGACGCTGTGTCGTGGACCCGCTCTTCGAACAGTGGCCGGGCCGCCTCCCTGACCGGGGCTCGACGAGGCCCTTCGCCCGGAGAAGGAGGCCCGGCCAGGGGGGGTGGTCAGGGGGGTGCATTTTTGCCCCTCCCGGACACCCCTTCCGGGCACCCCCTTCAGGCAGCTTTGGGGTAGCCTATGCCGACCCCCTAATCCCCATTGGAAACTGCCGATTTTGCGTGCCCAAAAAAGGTAGCCCAGAGGCAGCCCAAGCCGACCCCCTTACCCCCCCCCTTCGGCGCCCCCCCGGAAGCACTCGACTGCCGGCGCGTCCGCCTTCTCCATATCCGGTCGGAGGGGGGGGATGAGAAGATATGTGAGCGCGTCCGGAATTGAATGCGGGACATGGGGCGCGGCATCCCGCGCCAGAGGGCCGCAGGCGGGTGGAGCTTCAAGAAAGTGCGGCGGTTTTATTGGAAAAAGGGGAGGGCCGGATGGCGGACCGTAACACCGAAGTGCGGCGCCAACATCTAAATGGCCAACAGGAAAAAAAGCAGTAGCTACACCCCCAACAGCCAGAATTTTTTTACCCCCCCAAAAAGCGCGCTTGCAAAAATGATGATATTTGCCGATTTTTCCGCCCTAAAGGTAATATAGATATCTTTATTCATAAAAGAAATAGTAGGTCAGTAGTCATTTACGCAGGAGCCCCTTGTAGTCCATCAAGACCGAATGATATTAGGTGGACGAAAGTGACTTCTTGGACAAGAGCACAAGAGACTATCTACAGGACCAATCCTTAAGGGAAAAAGAACATCAACACCTAGCAGCAGCTCCCCCGTCTCCGATTCACGAATATCAAACAGGGAGGAACATGTCGCTGCCTGCACAACAAGAAGAAAACCAAAAGCCAGCTCTCGTGCCTGTCGTGCTTCTGCTTGCGCTTGCCGTGAAGTTTACTTTTTTCTACTTAAGCAAAGAAGTAGTCTTTGGGAGGAAAAGCACTGGATTGTTTGTTTCGTGTTCAGTAGCGTGTTCCAACAGAAAACTACGGTGGGATCCGCAAATATCTACCGGCCGCTTCTAGGGTTGTAGCTTATGAGTTTGGAATCTTACTTGTTGTAACTCGCCCGGCTTCTCATCCTGTTGATGCCTGGTTGGGCACGGCGTTGTATGTTCATCCTTTACAGTCTCCGCTAGTGCATGAACTTGTAGATTTAAGCCACTTAGAAGCCTGCGGTTGATTTGTAAATAAGTCATTTTCTACTACCACCTCCTCTAGTCGTCATGCTGTTGTTCGATCGAGCTTGTTTCATGTTGCAACAACCACCTCCGTTCTTCGGAAACTAGTAGTAAAACAGGGATAAAATTGAAGCAGTGCTCAAACAGATGAAACCGATAATAAAAACTGGGGTACAGCTATACTATTTGCATTTTACTTGAGCTTTTTTCTATTTTTTTTTTCCAGTTGCGTATTTAATGGGATCCAATAAAAACCGCAGTGGAACCATTATTAAAAGCAAGTACGAGATGAAGTTTGAGTGTTGCCTCTATCTTGCACCCTTCCAGCCCTTTTTGTAGTACTGTACCTGCAATATTAGTGCGCAGCAGGAGTCGCGGAGGTAGAGAACATCAAATTGATGCTCTAGTACTAACTACTCCGAAGCTGGTCCAGCGGGAGCCATAGGCGGAGCGGAAGGGCCACGAGGACGGACGGGGGGGAAAAAATATTTCATGTACCATAGGGGAAATACTAATTCTACTTGAATATGACATGCTAAAAATGGATCTGAAATGATGGAAACAAAAAACTTTCGTCCGATGTGCTGGACCATGTTGAGTATGTTGAAAAAATTCTAAAGGCTGAGTTGTGAATCACATTAAAAAATAACGCTAAACCAGTTGACTTCGTCGACGAGACTGATGTTCATGTTGTGATAATGCTTCTGAAATCATGTGAGGTGATGACGCCCGCTTTAGTAATATAGGGCAGCTCAGGAATTGGAATGCACTGCGCGCTACCGCCCTCACGCGCAATGTTCAGGAGATCCTACTTGAAAGACCGATGGTCGGGCCGCTCTGCCGCTGCGCTTCGCCCTGCGGGCACTGCGTGCGCGCTTTCGGGATGCGCCGTGCGCCCCTTCATGACGGCCCCGCCGCTAGCTTTCTCAGCAGCGGCGAAAACCGGCGCGCCCGTGTCTCCGCGGCGACCCCGGCTCCCTGCTGGGGGCTCTGGCTCAGCTTCCAATTCCAGAAACGCGGAGCGGCGCAGCTGCTGCGGCGGCTGTGTGTGTGTCCGCTGCCCGTCCAGGGGAACCCGCACGACCTGGGTCGGCTTAGTAGACCCTGGCGCCGCACCTTCAGCCGTGATCAACTTCGCCCCACACTGCTTGCCATCAATCCCGTCGCGCGTTTTATTCCAGGTGACAGACCAGCCAGCAGAATGGCCGACCAAGCGCGGCGCGCATGGAATGCAAATACGTCATAAGCCTGCACACAGGCGGGCCACGCCCACAACCTTTTACCAGCTTGCGGCGGTGTGTTTTGGGGCGTTCTTTCTCTTTGCCTTTTCATTAATGCTACTGCCCCGCGTCCTATTTTTCCAACACGAAACACACGCACAAACGGGAATAACAATACGCGCCGCGCTTGCCAACGCACGTATAGAATATGATAAAAGCATAGGCACCGGCCAAAACATTGCCAACCATGCCAAGCCCCCTGATATGCCCTCTATGACGTATTCGCAGGCGATCTGGATAAACAAACGACGCGCACCACTTGGCCCCTGCCAAGCGCCCAGTGATACCAATCCACGTCGACATTTAACGGCTCGTGTGTTTCGCTCGCACACTATCCTGGCGAAAACCATCCAAAACCGCCGCCTGCCGAGGAGCGAGCGCACAACGCCGCGGCAACATGCATGGGGCTGCGCGCCGGCCTGGCTGTCTGAAACACCCGCACGGCGCGCCAGGAAAATACAGAGCCAAGCAAACTATTTGCGGGCGCGCGGGCCGCGAGGGGCGAGCGCTGGAGGTGCAGGCGGGCCCGCAAACGTACGACACCACCCACGGAGGCTATTGCCCTGCTGAATTTCCAGGCCACCTACTCGGGCCGCTACTTATCGCACCACGCAGGTGCCGCGCCCTCCGGAAACGCTTTTCGTGTGCCATTGCGCGCGCGCGGGCGCATCGCTAATGGGGTCCAAAATAGATCGTGGCCCCGGTTTGGCTTTCTCAGGACAGCAGATAATGCGCGCGGCCCCCTCGTGCGCGGGCGCCGCAAGAGGGTGCCACACCACTGCAAACCTGCGGCGCACAGAATGGAGCACAGCGCCGCCTGTCTTACTTGCTACACACCCAAGGCACCCAGACAACGGATTTTGGGGCGCATTGCCCTCTAGGGGCGTCGCGTAGCGAGTTTTGCTTGTCTCGTAAATGTGACAAGGAAGCCCGCGGCGCCAAGCCTGCGGGGCTTCAAAATGGAATGCGCGGGACACCCCCTCTGTGCGGTTTGGGAGTTTTGTTTTCTGTTTGGGTGGCTGAAATGTGTGCCCCGCCCCCGTGGGCCATTGCGAAGGAATAACGAAGCGGAGGGCCTACGCCTGCGACGAAAGCAGCCGACTACAGGTAAAGCGACCCGCGGGCCACCCAGACCCTTCAAAGGCTCGGCAGCTATCACCCCGCCGGGCCCTGGCTGCCTAAGTACCATAGGCGCTGCGGCGTGGCTGCTTTCGCATTTTTGTAGGGGCCATAGCCATACCTACCTACCTAGGGGTCCCCGAATGGTATTCCCCACGGGGGCTGCTAGCTAGGGAACGCGTGGCGCCAACGTGCTCCGGGCTGCGTGCTACTTAGATGCTCTCTCTTTGGCGGGCTCTTAGCCAACCGCGGGAGTGAGAAGCTAGCGCCGCATGCGACTGGCCCTCCACAGGACAAGCGCTCCCGTAAGTTCGGCGGCCGCCCCTCAGACGTGGCCGCACTCCTAGCACTGCACGCCCAGATTAAGCGGCCGCCCCATATAGAGTTTCTGTGCAAATGATTCGCCTGGACGAGTTGCCCGGGGGGCGCCCATTACGTCATGGCGCATTGCGGCGCAATGCTTTTCAGAGAAATGCCCAAGAGTGAGGCAGCGCCGCGGCCTTTGGCCGCTGCCATTCTAATATATTATTGCATAAGCCAGGCTTTTTTTATAAAGGCGGGCTTTTCCACAGCGCGGGGGCCTGCGGGGGTCGGTTTTTTTCTCCGTTCTGCATTCAAGGGCTTTTTGCTAGAACTTGCAGCCAACCACGGCGGCGCTGCTGATTCGCCGTCTTTCTGATTCCGAGAGCAACGCGGGTGGCATTGAATAAACGCAGGGCGCACGGCAAAAAAATTTCGGGGCACGCGCGCGCGCTAAAATGTCTCTACGCGAATGCACTTCTGTCGGGACGCGCGTAGGCTTTGGATTTCGAGCGCAGCGGGGGGGGGCGTGTAGCTTCTGAGCGCGTCGCGAGTCCCACACCTATTCTCGCTAACCTATCGTCTGCGCGCACCTAGTAACACGCGCGACACCTGGGCGCCGCCCATATTATCAGCCATGTCGGCCGCCGCCCTTTTTCTAGCCGCCGAGACAGAGCCCCGGCGGACGGGCTTGCCTGTGTCCAATGTGGGAAGCAGACACCCTCACCATGGGAAGTGTGACAAGCTACCCCTACCGGCCGTTTGCATTTGCTCCCGACCTAATTCGCTTAGCTTCACCAAGGCGGGCCGCACGCAAGGGCGTCGCTTTGGAAGCGGGGCGAATGGCTTCAATCACCAGGATAGCCGCCTCAACGACTTCTCCAGTAGGGTTTCTCGGAAGGCGCCAGAATCCTTGACGCGGATTGCCCAACCATAGGACCCCGCTGAGGTTTTCGCGTGCGCCAGGGAGATTACGTGTTCGACAGGGCCTCCCTTCTGACCATCATGTTTCCCAGCCTCCGTTGCGGTGCCGGGCCTCTGTTCAAATACCAGGCGCACAACTGGTTCAGGGTCAGGGGCTTCTGCTGCATAATCATGCGCGCCAAGTAATACAATGGCGGTCTCGCTGGGCCATGCTTTCTGCAACCCCGTGGCCACGCTCTTGAGGCTCAAGTCTTCCGAAAGCCATCGCGCGTCGTCCTCGAAGACGACTACCAACTGGTCATCGGCAAGAGCTCCTTGCCGGTGTAGCTGCGCGATCGCACCGAAACACTTGCTGAGGGCTTTCTCCAGTCCAACGCCGCGCAGCTCGTCAAACTCTGCCGGGCAATGATGGAACTCATACCCTTCAGCAGGTGCTGCGCCGGCGCCCGGTATCGCCGAGGAATGGCCATCCCCCGTAAGGTTCTGGCGCTTCGGTGGTGCAGGCCCGAACGTGTCTTCCGTCAGAAACTGAGAAAGCTTGCTCCCAACGTGTGCGGCCACGACCGCCGGCGCGTCTGCGCCGAATCCCACCACCATGAGAAACGGCCCCCGCAATTCCTGCCCACCCTCGGTAATCTGCGTGCCTAGGTCTGCTGCCTCACCTAGCCCTGGCGCCCAGGCTTCGAAGGGGATCAGATTGTTGCCTGTGAGGGTGGCAAGAATTGGCTCTGCTTGTTCCCGGTCTGGCGATGTTCCATTTCCCGTGCAAAAACATGCCCACCTCAATATGCTAGGACTTCCGCTAAGCAACCACGTCCTGCTTTTTATTTTGAAACCCAAATTTCTCGAACTCCACATGACAAGTCCAGACGACACGACTGAAGTTGTACTTTTTTCAGAATAGAACAATAACATCATAAGGATCACTCAAGCTCAGTGTCAAGAGAGTTACTCGGTCGTATCAAAAATCTCAATTTCTAGTATGACCTCACTGCATACAATGCGAGCGTGCCTCTGGGCGTGGGGCACTTGCACTTATCACTAGATCTGGCCGTGCATCATGTGCACGAGGTTCGCCGCGAGGACTAGTCGAGGGTGGGCACGTCTTTGAGCAGGATACTCCTCGACCACTGCCCATGCTCGTCAACTGTAGTTTGCTGAGACTGGTGACCTGTATCAAGGAACGGGATGAAAAGGGTTGGGCTTAAGTAGTAATCGGTGGAGCATGCTGAATTCGAATTCGTAATAAGTAAATATAGATCAAAAAAGCGGCTCATATGCGTGTTGCGAAAACGGCTTGAGGCGGATTTGTTCTCTACTTCTTCTAAAAAGGAAGACTAAACTCATAGGCTGAAGCAGATACGGACTCAGCACTTACCCTTTTTTTTTTGCCGGTGTGAGGCGAGGCTTTCAGCTGGTGGAAGGTTTTCGACTGACGGCCTGGATTTGCTTTTGCTTCAAGTTGTCCTGGCCAACTTTTTTGATAGTGCCCCACCGCACCCAGAACGGACCAGGTCTCGACTCCACCAAGTAGGAGAACGGCTGCTGCGGCCCGCGTCGAAGGAAAATTGACAAAAAAACTACTAGTACGGCGCGGCCCGAAGCTGCTCTGCCCCTGACAATATTCTCGCTCGAACCTCCGACTCAGGACCCCGCAAAATGCCATCCCCCCGTACTTCACATCAGAGACTCGTCGGCTAGACCCGATCATGTTGGCTAGCGCCTCTTCTTCTTCTTCTATCGCACAGAGAAGTCAGAAATGCCGAGTGACTAGATGTATGAAATGTTCTGAGTGAGAATTATTGGTCGGCAGGCAACATAGAAGTAGCAGAACTTAGACTTACAACTTGTTCGTAAATGAAAATGTATTTATAAAGGAAAAGTTGACGAGGGCTTCTGTTCTTTGCTCTGCTTTAGCTAGCGATGTCTGCTTCGCTGCGTGAAAGACGCAAAAAAGATCTTGGGCTTTGCTCAATGATTATTGACGACTCTGAGTTCGAAAGGGGGCTCCGTCCTCGTTTCCTGTTCTCAATCAAAATTACTACGTTATTCTGGAGGCTTCGAAAAACTAGTTGCGAGTGGCCAAATCTCTGCAGCATCTAGTTCTGCTTCGCATTATAATCAACGAGATCAAAGACGCGGCCAAAGGCAAACGGAGCGAACGAAATTGAAAACAGCACGAGTAAGTACAGAAGGAAGACCTGAGAAGCCACCGAACGCTCTTACGAAGTTTGTGCACGATACCGGCAGAAGGCGACACCGGGATAAGTCAGCACCGAACGCTCTTTCTTACGAAATTTGTGCACGGTACATAAGCGGACGAGTAAGTACCGACAAACACGATAGAGAAAATGGCATTGTTGAAATTGACAGCGACATCGCCTTCTATGCATGAAGGTGCGAGATACTGATGCTGAGTTCAAATGCATGTGCTGCGGCCCACAGCTGTCGTTCACATGGCGCCGCGGCATTTCTCGCTCGCTAAACGTCGAACAAATACTGCTACCACCAGTTTACATCGTAGGATCATCCTTATCGTGCGTAAAAGCTTCCCCACCTCCCCGGACTTGTAGTGCTAAGAAAAGTGCATGGTCTTTTAGTTTTCCTCTAACTTGTAATGCCATACTCACGATATTGCTATCGATTTGAGATGCGATTTCTTTAGCCACACACGATTTTTACCCTAACAAGCGTCCAGGTCCAGGTTTTTTCTCATGGAGATTTCGCAAAGCTTCGCGATTTTTCTAGAAAAATCCCGATCTTGACTCTGGAGCGGGGACTTTGTTGCACGGGATAATCGTCATGATCTAGTACGGCCCAAAAGCACGGACGTTACTTTGTAACGAGCTGGCTATGAACGTTCGTTGGTGTGATCGTGATCGTGATGCTGAGCCGCTGCGTAAATTACAATTAGAATCGACCAGGGGAACGGCCAGAAGAAGAACTGCTACGAAGAAACTTTAACTTTAGGTCGTATCTGCGTCAGGGATGCTGAAATCCTATTGCTTTTGGGGATGGACAACTTACGATGCTGGTCGTGAAAGGGTGAAAGTGAAACGAAAACGATGGAAACTGAAGAATAACATTAACACTCAAACTTTCTTGCTTGTTTGTTGAGGGTGGTCACATGGAACCGCTTGGTGTTCTTTCAGTTTCGTCTCATGTGTCTAGCGCTACTTCAACATTGAAAAGGCACGATTTGGCGGAGCTTCTTTGGCTCCCACCTGAGAAAAAGGAACTACTTCTGAGAACGATAATAGAGCCTGCTAATGAATAAAATCAAAAAGGTTGCTGTTCTTGAAAAGTTAAAAGTTAAAAGGAAGGCTCGCAATAAAAAGACTGTTCGAAAGAAGAGAAAATTAAACTCTTGTTGCAAAAAGCTGTTTTTGTGAGGAGAAAGCTTCAAGCTGTGCTGTAGTCGAAAAAAGAAGGCTTTGTTTTTATTTTGTTTTAATTGTTACGGAAATGCAAGTACTTTCTTATTGTTAAACTTTGACTTTCTGATTGTTACGTAAATACAAATACTTCATCATAAACCTAAAAGTTGTTTAGTAGTACGTACTTGGCATCGGCCATCCACTGCTACCCCCTTTCATGGAGTTCGATTTGAAATGGCCCCCTCACCCCGGCCTTTGGTACGGGAGAAAACACCACCATCCGCTCGTTCCAGAAACGAAGCGGGCGAAGAGCCGGGGGAACCTGCAAGAGGTCCATCGAAGTGCGGCCGCTGTTCGCTACACGCCAATTTGCAATCTGCGTTTGCCAGCCGGTTACAATAAAAGTTCCCTCTGCTGTACAGGTCACCGTAGCTACCGCTGCCACAGCTGGCCGGGTTCCAATTCATGCTATCATCGCAGAAAACTGTGTCATCACCTGGCAAAGCTTGACCTTCATAATCCTTCCGAATGCTGGCCACGGAGGAAGGCCGCCATATTGGCAGCCCCTTCGCGGCCACCGAAATGTCGGGCCCGCGCAATGAATAGCTAAGGTAGGGGCAGCCAGTGGAATGGCTGCCGAACTTCCTCACACTGCTGTATCGAGGCGCCCAACACCATGACAAGTGGCGCCGCGCCCACGCTATACAAAAAAGCGCGCGCGCGTTGAGTTAGAAAGCTGCCGCCCACAATCCTCGCCGGGCAGGCATGGGCATGCGTCAGTGCGTCCCGAAGAACGCCACACACAGGAGCCGCCGGCCGCGGCAAGGCGGGGCGGCAATGGGGGCGGCGGCGCTCTTTTGCCTTGGGGGGGCGACGGGGAAAAAGGGCCCCCCTCCCTCCGCAACCTTCTTTCGGCTCCGGGGAAGGCACCAAAAACATGCTCCAGGGCAAAGTGGAAACAGGCGCGCCGGCCATGCCAAAGCACGGGATAAATGGCGCAACAGCGCCCGCCAAATGCTTCAGGCTGTGCCCGCCTATGCAGTCAGCACATGCGCGGCAAGGCGAGCGACCCGGGCCCCTTAGCCACCCGTCCCAGCTTTTGATGGTTTCACACAAACTGCGAGGCCAGAGTCGAAGCTAACAAGGCTACCTCGGCCGGCATACGCCCAATTTCTTTGCCGGGCGTCTCAGGGGGAACACAAAAGACGACAGGCAGCAAGCCCGGAAGCCTGTGGCACACAGAGCTGCACATGCATGGCGCGCATTGTGTTTCTGGTTCTTCGTTTCTATTTCTCGTATGGGCAGATCAAACATCGCAAAACCGCCTCAGCCTAGAAGCAAAGCGGGCAAAGGGGCGGCGGCTGCCGAGACCACCCAAAATGGCCCCGGGTTAGGCAAATCGATACCGCGCGGCCCCCCTGTTTTTCTTTCCCGCGTGGGCTTCTTCTGCCCCTGCGCCTGCACTTGGCTGGCCCACTGCCCCCAATCAACGCATGGAGCGCACGCTAGAACCTAAGGCGACAAGGGCCGCGAGAGGAAGCTCCTGAGCTTGTCGGCGCGCCTGCGTCGTTTCTTCCAAGCGGCCGCGGCACTTCCCCGCTGGGTCTGTTTGGTCATGGCAAACAAACAGGCCCACCACCTTGCGGCGCTTCCATATCAAAAAACCGTTCCAAACCGCCCGACCTCTCCCGGTCAGGTCCAGAACCAGATGTGCGGACGATCATAACAAGAGAGCTCCTGCCAGAACTCAATACACACAAGCTTTGTCCCGACACGACATTTATTTTCTGCAATACGCCTCTCCTCCCCGGAGGTGGTGGGCGGCGTACAACTTGTCTGCAGGTATAGCACCCTCAGCTTTGGCAATACTCGAGCGTGAAACTTTCGTCACGCCACACACCCCCGCTGTCGGGAGCGCATGGACAAAAACATGATCTCGGAGAGCTTGGCGCGCGAATCGGTGCAGTCCTGCGCCAGTCCCGGCGTATCTCTTCTGGCTGTAGCTTTACACTACAGTAAGAAGGGCCAAGTGCCGCGCTTGCCCCGCAGCGCTTGCCGCGGAAAGTGGTTCTCACATACAAGGCAAGCGGACGCCCAAGTGGGCGACTTAAAGATTCCTTGCTACGCCGCCCCGAGCCAGCACGTTGTCCATATTTACTAATCATGAAGAGTCTTTTTTCTGACGCAAAGCAACGTTTCATAACTGAAGTTGCCAAAGCTGAAGAGGCCATATCACCATGCGCTTCCTGATCCCATCCAAGCAGCACACCCTGTGGAGAAAGGTCCAAATACTGTGTGCTCCGCGTGGTGTCTGGCCAGTGCTGTTCAATCAAGAGGTCCGTAAGCTTCGCCACTGCACTTTCACTGTACCGATGGCCATAATCGCTCCAATCACCGAAGTTCACCGTTTGCAAATCGGCCTCGAGCGCCGTGCGGTCGCAGCCGGAGCCGGACGACTCGCTTCCGCGGGCAGCCAGCACGTCACCGAAATGCTCGCTCGCCCAGGGTTCATGTAGCATAACGAAAAATCGCTCGGAGCCCCCAGCTCGGTCAGCCGATTTCAGTGGCATTGGGAACGAGCCGCTGGCGTCGTGCACACAGCGCGGGAGGAATCTCTTTCTGAAGCACTCATGCCGAAGCAGTCCATCGAGGAAAGCCCCCGGCCCAGTTGTGTCTAGATCCGCGTGGCCCGCGCAGTCGTCCGTGTGCCCTCTGAACCCAGTCATCACATTCTGAATTTCCTGCTGCATCACATAAAGAAGTGCGGGGTTGCGAGGGTAAGTCGCGAAGAAGGCGCCCTGCACCTTTCCTCTTCGTGGTCTCTGGCCACATCCGTGCCCGTACGGTGCAATTGCGCCAGCATCCAAGCACATTCCGATGTCCCCTTCTTGCAAAAGAACATCTGCTTTTGGTGCGCGTGATGTTGTGCTCAGTGCCGCACTGCCATCAAGTGAGTTCCCCTCCGTCGTATATGTGTCTGTCGCCCCTGATGCCCCGAAAAGAGCATCTAAAACAGGGAATAATAGAGGGCGGGGTCGGTCCACTGCAACAGAAGCTTTCGTCGAAGAATTTCGGGTTTGTATTTCTTGTTCGCGTGGGCGCACCATGCTCGGGGCCTCAGTCTTGGCGTCAAAATACGTTCCGCCGCAGAAATACACTATCGCCATCCGAAACAAGTCCGCACGCGATGTCCAGGAGTTCAAGTTCTCAAACGCCGACAGAAGAGTCTGGTTGGCATTCCGCAGTTGCAGGAGCCCCTCTTCATGCAAAAAATCCGACAGCAGCTCCACTGCGCGCCATGCTGCTTCGTGGTCAAAATGCCGCACGCCGAAAGGCAGGCCGTCGCCTGCAGCTTGGGCGGTTTGGTTGTTCCATTCGCCAAACAAACCAGGAAACATTGCTTCCGCGTCTTCCCGGGAAAGGGAATCTGGGGCGTCATTGGGGGCCATCGTGAAAACATTTGTACGAGGCAGAACACGTCCGGCTTGTTGTTTCTCCAGATTTGCACCTGAATTCGGGCACATGGCCTCTAGAGTCAGGGCGCCAGCGCTCACTGAAACGTAGGGAGACACAGGCTCCCAGACCTCCAACGTAGAAACAAGAATTGGGGCGGTAGCGTTCACGGAAACGTGCCGAAGTTGTACGGGCCCCCGATGCTCCGATACAGGACCGGGTGGTGTGATATCGGGACCGCGGTGCAACCTTCGCCTGGTTTGAATCGCGATGCCGTGCTGCTTCCGTGCATCTGTCAAATTTGCGATTCCGAAGAGTAAAGCTGGTTTGACGAAGACCTTTCGTATCGGAAGACGCTCTTGTCGTCGCTCAGACTCCCGGGAGCGCCGATCCGCAGAAACTGTAACACTCGACTGCGCCATGCTGTTCATCAAACCTTCTTCGAGCAAGTCGCGTACTATACACCGGCTCCGCAAAGGGGATTCAAACAGAACCGAGCGCACGGCTGTAATTGACTCCACCTCTGTCCTCCTTAGCTGCAGTAAGATGATGCTGATGATTGAGAGTGACTAGACAATACGAATACTAATTAAACGCTGCAAAGCTACAGGAGTAGTTAGATTCAATCATTGGAGAGTTCGCGTCTAAAAGGGATACTCACACGAAATTCTGAGTGCGAAGGGGTGCTTCGTCACTTCATTTGTTGTGGTTCGTGTTCCTGTGAAAATTTGCGATGTCATACTCAAGTGGTTCGTCATCTTCTCAAGATTGAGGTCATATGTCGTAATATTCAGACAAGCACGCAATGGCGATTTGAAAAAAAATTCACGCCTTCCACGCGGTTGTGTTATTTCGAACGAAAGAAGAGAGCACGAAACCACGAAGGGACGCATAACGAGAGAAATTCAAGATACGATTTCCAGAGCCTCCCGAGAATAAGCCCATATCCCGAGTATGACATATTCCTTTCTAGACGAAATGTCGCTGGTTCAAATACCGATTGCACTGCGGAGGAAGTGACCGAATACATAAACCTTTCACAATGTCTTTTGGACGAGTACAGCAAGAGCAACGACTACCGACAGAGAAAACCGGGACAGCATGTGACAGCAAGTTTTTTCTCATCCATACTGCAAACAAAATCACAAGGGCATTCCGCCATTATTCATCAGAAAGATTTCTTGTTGGAAGCCGATGCCGCAGCTCGAACAAGTTCGCTTATGTTTCCGGTGTACCTCGTCTCTTTTGTAAACTGGGGGGTGCTAATGCTAGCTGCTATCGTGTCATAATTGTCAGAATTACCGTGGTGCCGAGAACTGGCTGCTCGCCTTTATTTTCTTCATGGCGACAGGAGTAAAAGTTGAAAGAAAATACGCGGGGTCCACGCATGTTCGTTTCAATTTCTAGAAGGCGCAGCTCAGGTTTCGAAACGCAAAACTTCGAATGCAGGCCCGACGATGTCTCTAGCATGAATTCTTGGAGAGGTTTGTTCGGGTTGAAAGGATGTGTTTGCATAGCACAGTCAGATGAAAACAGAAACGCAAGTTATGACACGATATTTAAAACTGCGTCCTGGCGTGACGCTTTTCGTGCCGAACTTATTTTGTGCACGTTGCGTATATTATAGGAACCTTGACCTTAGGCAAAGAATAAAAGATAAAGAAAGTGAAACTGGTGGAGCTCAAATAAGTTTTGTTTTGGTGGACGTGGAACAAGATCAAACTGGATAGTATAGCAGCCCTGCTTGATGAAGATGCTGTATGGTTGGAATATCAAGTGAAGGTACCTCAAGACTCCTCCTTGTTTTCACCTCGAAAAAAGCTAGAAGCTAGCCACGTTTTTCATATGTTGACAAATTTCAATTTGCCAAAATCAAATAGAAGGCTCGTTGCGCAAAAGAACATTAAAATCGAATCCCTGGGCGACAGAGAAAACATAAAAGCGCTAATCCGAAAAAAAAATTAATTGTAAGATGAAAACGACAAATAAAATCCTGAAACCCAAATAAACCCTTGAAGCGCGATAAGGTCGTAGCCATGCATCTCACCCACTTCACGAATTCACCCGGCGGCGCAACACGGTGTTAATATCAAATTTCTGGCCGGCGTCTTCTTCATTGCACCTCGTCGAGATTTACCTAGTTGTGGTTACTTTTTATTGGTAAGAATTGAGCTCATAAAATATGGCTGTTTTACTTTTTGCTTGATCTGTCTGAGGCGTTTCTAGTCTTTACTGAAAGTGGAGCTCTCTTTCTCAACGCGACTTCACCACCTCAACATCAAGAACATGTTGGAGGTGCGCCTACTACTAATTGGAAGGACGCGACTTCATCATCTCAGCGTCAGCATCAACATAAAGAAGCAAAATATAAAAACACTTAAATTGAAAGACAGGCTGGCTTTTGAAATAAGTACTTGGCTTCGGCCATCCACTGCTAGCCCCTTTCATGGATTTCGATTTGAAGTGGCCTCCTCACCCCAGCCTTTGGCACGGGAGAAAACACCACCATCCGCTCGTTCCAGAAATGATGCGGGCGAGGAGCCGGGGGTGTCTGCAGGAGGTCCATCGAAGTGCGGCCGTTGTTCGCGACAGGCCAGCTTGCAATCTGCGTTTGCCAGCCGGTTACAATAAAAATTTCCACTGCTGTACAGCTCATTGTAGCTACCGCTGCCACAGCTGGCCGGGTTCCAATTCAAACTATCATTGCAGAAAACTGTGTCATCATCTGGCAAAGCTTGACCTTCATACATAATCCTTCCAAATGCTGGCCACGAAGGCCGCCATATTGGCAGCCCCTTCGCGGCCACCGAAATGTCGGGCCCACGCAGTGAATAGCTAAGGCAGGGGCAGCCAGTGGAATGGCCGCCGAACTTCCTCACACTGCTGTATCGAGGCGCCCAGCTACCTAACATCATGACGAGTGGCGCCACGCCCACGCCATCCAAAAAAGCGCGCGCGCATGAAGTTAGAAAGCTGCCACCCACAATCCTCGCCGGGCAGGCATGGGCAGGGGCAGGGGCCAGTGCGTCCCGAAGAACGCCACACACAGCCGCCAACCGCGCGCGGCCGGCAATGGGGGCGGCGGCGCTCTCCTGCCTTGGGGGGGCGACGGGAAAAAAGGGCCCCCCTCCCTCCGCAACCTTCTTTCGGCTCCGGCAAAGGCACCAGAAACACGCTCCAGCAAGGGCATAGTGGAAACAGGCGCGCCGGCCATGCCACAGCACGGGAATGGTCGCCCCATCCGGGGTTCGCCGGCGCCATCTGCATGTCTCACAGCTTCTGCGGGCACAACGCCAGTCAAGCGCCTCAGGCTGCGCCCACCTGCCACGCGGCGGTCGGACGCACATGCGCGGCATGGCGACCCGGGCCCCTTAACCACCCGCCCCGGCTTTTGATAGTTTGACACAAGCTGCGCGGCCACGCACAGTCGAAACGAGCAACCAAGAATGCCTCGGGCGACATACGCCCACTTTGCCGGGCGAGTCAAGGTCTGGCCCGGTGCCCACAATCAACGCATGGCGCACCCGCTGGAACCTAAAACGACAAGGAAGGGCCGCGAAAGGGCGCTCCTGAGCTTGTCGGCGCGCCTGCGTCGTTTTTTCCGAGCGGCCGCGGCACTTCCCGCTGGATTTGTTTGATCATGGCAAGAAAACAGGCCCGCCACTTTGCGGCGCTTCCATATGAAAAAACCGCTCCACGCCGCCAGACTTCTCCCGGGCAGATGCAGATACGCAGGCGATTTATAAAAAGAATTGCGTGTGCGCTTCTTAAGGTGAGCGGGAAAAGCCCTCCCGGATACTGCCAAGTAGTCCAAGAAGGTAAGAATATCTGCAGAGGTGTGGAACACTTCTGCGCAAAAGATGACGCTTCGCCGCCCGTTTTAGCAGTGACCGGCCACCCGGTGGGAGTTTGCCTTTGGCGCCTCCTCTTGCCGCAAGCATTCAAGGGCAAATGCCATTTTTACCACCTAGTCCATGGCTCTCGCCCTAACCCCCGACCAACCACCTGGCAACCCCTTCTCCTCCGGTGGTCGCCAGGCGTCGTACTGGATTACAGAGCAACCGGCCAAGAAGGCCAGACCGCAGAACCCGAGGGCCCCGCAGGTATACGAGATCCTCCGAGCGCCATGCCCAACCGGAGTTTTACCGCACCTTGCTTGATCAACATCAGCCTGCGCCGGTGTGGGGTGCGATAATAAAAAGAAAGCTGCCAGAACTCAAGACACACAAGCTTTCTTTGTCCCGACACGACATTTATTTTCTGCAATACGCCTCTCCTCCCCGGAAGTGGTGGACGGCGTAGAACTTGTCTGCAGGTATGGCGCCCTCAGATTTGGCAATACTCGAGCGTGAAACTTTCGTCATGCCACACACCCCCGCTGTCGGGAGCGCATGGACAAAAACATGATCTCAGAGAGCTTGGCGCGCGAATCGGTGCAGTCCTGCGCCAGTCCCGGCGTATCTCTTCTGGCTGTAGCTTTACACTACAGTAAGAAGGGCCAAGTGCCGCGCTTGCCCCGCAGCGCTTGCCGCGGAAAGTGGTTCTCACATACAAGGCAAGCGGACGCCCAAGTGGGCGACTTAAAGATTCCTTGCTACGCCGCCCCGAGCCAGCACGTTGTCCATATTTACTAATCATGAAGAGTCTTTTTTCTGACGCAAAGCAACGTTTCATAACTGAAGTTGCCAAAGCTGAAGAGGCCATATCACCATGCGCTTCCTGATCCCATCCAAGCAGCACACCCTGTGGAGAAAGGTCCAAATACTGTGTGCTCCGCGTGGTGTCTGGCCAGTGCTGTTCAATCAAGAGGTCCGTAAGCTTCGCCACTGCACTTTCACTGTACCGATGGCCATAATCGCTCCAATCACCGAAGTTCACCGTTTGCAAATCGGCCTCGAGCGCCGTGCGGTCGCAGCCGGAGCCGGACGACTCGCTTCCGCGGGCAGCCAGCACGTCACCGAAATGCTCGCTCGCCCAGGGTTCATGTAGCATAACGAAAAATCGCTCGGAGCCCCCAGCTCGGTCAGCCGATTTCAGTGGCATTGGGAACGAGCCGCTGGCGTCGTGCACACAGCGCGGGAGGAATCTCTTTCTGAAGCACTCATGCCGAAGCAGTCCATCGAGGAAAGCCCCCGGCCCAGTTGTGTCTAGATCCGCGTGGCCCGCGCAGTCGTCCGTGTGCCCTCTGAACCCAGTCATCACATTCTGAATTTCCTGCTGCATCACATAAAGAAGTGCGGGGTTGCGAGGGTAAGTCGCGAAGAAGGCGCCCTGCACCTTTCCTCTTCGTGGTCTCTGGCCACATCCGTGCCCGTACGGTGCAATTGCGCCAGCATCCAAGCACATTCCGATGTCCCCTTCTTGCAAAAGAACATCTGCTTTTGGTGCGCGTGATGTTGTGCTCAGTGCCGCACTGCCATCAAGTGAGTTCCCCTCCGTCGTATATGTGTCTGTCGCCCCTGATGCCCCGAAAAGAGCATCTAAAACAGGGAATAATAGAGGGCGGGGTCGGTCCACTGCAACAGAAGCTTTCGTCGAAGAATTTCGGGTTTGTATTTCTTGTTCGCGTGGGCGCACCATGCTCGGGGCCTCAGTCTTGGCGTCAAAATACGTTCCGCCGCAGAAATACACTATCGCCATCCGAAACAAGTCCGCACGCGATGTCCAGGAGTTCAAGTTCTCAAACGCCGACAGAAGAGTCTGGTTGGCATTCCGCAGTTGCAGGAGCCCCTCTTCATGCAAAAAATCCGACAGCAGCTCCACTGCGCGCCATGCTGCTTCGTGGTCAAAATGCCGCACGCCGAAAGGCAGGCCGTCGCCTGCAGCTTGGGCGGTTTGGTTGTTCCATTCGCCAAACAAACCAGGAAACATTGCTTCCGCGTCTTCCCGGGAAAGGGAATCTGGGGCGTCATTGGGGGCCATCGTGAAAACATTTGTACGAGGCAGAACACGTCCGGCTTGTTGTTTCTCCAGATTTGCACCTGAATTCGGGCACATGGCCTCTAGAGTCAGGGCGCCAGCGCTCACTGAAACGTAGGGAGACACAGGCTCCCAGACCTCCAACGTAGAAACAAGAATTGGGGCGGTAGCGTTCACGGAAACGTGCCGAAGTTGTACGGGCCCCCGATGCTCCGATACAGGACCGGGTGGTGTGATATCGGGACCGCGGTGCAACCTTCGCCTGGTTTGAATCGCGATGCCGTGCTGCTTCCGTGCATCTGTCAAATTTGCGATTCCGAAGAGTAAAGCTGGTTTGACGAAGACCTTTCGTATCGGAAGACGCTCTTGTCGTCGCTCAGACTCCCGGGAGCGCCGATCCGCAGAAACTGTAACACTCGACTGCGCCATGCTGTTCATCAAACCTTCTTCGAGCAAGTCGCGTACTATACACCGGCTCCGCAAAGGGGATTCAAACAGAACCGAGCGCACGGCTGTAATTGACTCCACCTCTGTCCTCCTTAGCTGCAGTAAGATGATGCTGATGATTGAGAGTGACTAGACAATACGAATACTAATTAAACGCTGCAAAGCTACAGGAGTAGTTAGATTCAATCATTGGAGAGTTCGCGTCTAAAAGGGATACTCACACGAAATTCTGAGTGCGAAGGGGTGCTTCGTCACTTCATTTGTTGTGGTTCGTGTTCCTGTGAAAATTTGCGATGTCATACTCAAGTGGTTCGTCATCTTCTCAAGATTGAGGTCATATGTCGTAATATTCAGACAAGCACGCAATGGCGATTTGAAAAAAAATTCACGCCTTCCACGCGGTTGTGTTATTTCGAACGAAAGAAGAGAGCACGAAACCACGAAGGGACGCATAACGAGAGAAATTCAAGATACGATTTCCAGAGCCTCCCGAGAATAAGCCCATATCCCGAGTATGACATATTCCTTTCTAGACGAAATGTCGCTGGTTCAAATACCGATTGCACTGCGGAGGAAGTGACCGAATACATAAACCTTTCACAATGTCTTTTGGACGAGTACAGCAAGAGCAACGACTACCGACAGAGAAAACCGGGACAGCATGTGACAGCAAGTTTTTTCTCATCCATACTGCAAACAAAATCACAAGGGCATTCCGCCATTATTCATCAGAAAGATTTCTTGTTGGAAGCCGATGCCGCAGTTCGAAGTTCGGTTATGTTTCCTGTGTGCCTCGTCTCTTTTGTAAACTGGGGGGGGTGAAAATGCTAGCTGCTATCGTGTCATAATTTTCAGAATTACCGTGGTGCCGAGATCTGGCTGCACGCCTTTTCTTCATGGCGACAGGAGTAAAAGTTAAAAGAAAATGCGCGGGGTCTACGCATGTTCGTTTCAATTTCTAGAAGGCGCAGCTCAGGTGCATTCGAAACGCAAAACTCCGAATGCAGGCCCGACGACGTCTCTGGCTGTATGTCTCCTTGGATTCTTGGAGAGGTTTGTTCGGGAAAGAATGTGTTTGCATACCACAGTCAGATGAAAACAGAAACGCAACTTATTATAATGCCATATTCAAAACTGCGTCCTGGCTTCTCGACGCTTTGTTTCGTGCGGAAGTTATTTTGTGCAAGTCCAAGTTCCTCTCAGGAACCTTGACCTTAGTTAGGCAAAGAATAAAAGAAACAGAAAGTGAAACGGGTTGAGCTCAAATAACTTTTGTTCTGGTCGACGTGGAGCTCTAATGGATACAAGATTAAACTGGATAGTTTAGCAGCCCTGCTTGATGAAGATGCCGTATAAAACGTACTATTATGTCAGTGCCGAGGAAGAGGCCGAAATCGGAAAACTCTGTTGCTCTTTATTTGCTGGTGTTCGGAGACGTTCGTGGCAGGGGTAGCTGCTGGTTGTGCAGCGGCTGCTGGTTGCTCTTGTGCTGCAGCTGCTGGTTGTGCACCGGAAGCTCTTGATAATGATCCACTTCTGCGCCCGCTCTCCCTCAACCCCGCCGCACTGGGTTTTATGAAAAGCAATATTGTCCCCGCCATTAAATTTTTCCTTGTTTTTGTATTTCATGATGAGTCGTAGGCGAAGTGAGTGGACGTGGTTCTCGTCGTCGTCCCGATGCACTTCGTATACATAAATAAGGATAATTGGCTGCTCAACAAATCGCAGTGTTTTCTCACCACCGGATCTTCAGATATCCGAGCAATAAAAGCGCCGACCAGCACCACGACACCAAGCTACCACATATTCGCACTCGCAGGTATTGCTTTATTCAAATTGATTGATGCGTGGTCTATCTGAAGTGGAGTGACGGTGACCATATCTTCATGGTTGAGATTGGGGGATTATTTTGGGTGGGCAAAGCAAATTTAATTGGCGGAGCCGCATAACAGAGTTTGCATTCCGTAGGTGTGCTTCGGTATTAAGAACAAATTTTCCCAAGTCAATCATTCCCAGGCCGCCGGCTCCAGACGACGCGTTTACCTTTTCGTTTTCCGTGATATCGCCTGTCATAAAGATCGGCGGTTGGAATATCAAGTAAAGGTACTTTAAGGTTTCCGCCAGCCAAAAAGACTCCTCCTTGTCATCCTTCGTGTATGGCGCTTCGACTTTTGAGCTCGCGTAGCCGTGCTCCGCCTTGGCAAACTGCTTGAACGCCGAAAAAATTTTCCAAGCATAGTTTTGGTAGTAGGTTCGGGACCGAGAGAGGTTTGTTGGAGCAGGGGGTGAAGACGCTCTTGCACCTGAAGCCGCCTGCGAAAGGTCTTCCCAATGAGGAAATGAAATCATAGGCTCGTCCGTCGTGACGGAATCCAAGAAAAAAACCGGGTCTTCGATGAATGAATTTCCACTCTTGCACGCCAAGCTCTAGAAAATGGACATACTGGTACACAGAAGATGTTCATGTGTCTCTGTCTGTTTATCGAAAATGGAATGAATAACATGCTCAGATCAAATCTGGGATGTGGGAAACAAAATTACCGTGCTTCGATCAGCGCGATCGCCTGTCATATTACGTACTAGCTCTGTAAATGTTTGGCTAAGCGCGGCGTAAACAAGTTTTCCTCTACGGTTTTTTTATTCCTGGTTCCAAGCAATATGAATATGATCGGTATTGATGCATAGATGAGTACATATCATTGCATCATTTTTATTTTTGGTTTTCCGCGGCTTCGCACCACTACAATGTCGAAAACCACAAATCGTCAACCGCGAGTTTTTTGTTTTCGTTCGATAGATGTCCACGTCGAAGTAGTAAAAGTAAAATAGGCTTTCCAGAATTTCCGGTCGCAACTGGTTTTTCCCGTCCACAATCTGCATGCCATTACCACCAGCGCCAGTTGCTTTCTGGCCACCCTGGACGAAGCGCACCACCTCCGGCGCCAGGAATCGCTGGTCTGCGTCGTGGAAGGCCAGGCAGGTACGCATCAGGTGCTTCGCAGTATGCAGAAAGTGATTGAACTCTTCGAGGTCGGCCAAAAAGCCGGCTCGCACAAGAAACGGAACTCTCCTAGCTCCTTCCCACGGTTCGGTGATATTTCCGTCCATTGGCCTTGGTGCTGCAATTTGCGATGGATGTCTTTGTACTTGCGGCTCAGTGCCGTACAGTCCCAAAACCATCATTCCGGGAACATAGCAGCCCAAGTGCTGCATAGTGCTAGCGCCCGGCGTGTCGGCGAGGTAGTAAAAGGTTTGCTTCTGCGTACCGCTGGTTGCAGTTTCGGAAAGCAAGTCTGGGATTGGCCTCAACAACTGGCTTCGCATCGCCCGCATGGAATCCACCCATTTTATTCTGACGCAAAACGTCCCCCCCCCCCGCCTAGTCGAAAATTGAAAACAGAAGCACCGACGGCAGCAGCACGCGGCTTGAAGGTACTGCTTGCAATTTGCGTGTGCCTAGGTAGCTGGTGCTTCTCATCATACATGTGACCCTGTGCTGCTATCACGAGGCTCCTCGATGGAACTCTCGAACCATATCTATCTCGGGTCGCAACTTAAACTTGTCATAGTACCGAGGGAGCCGGAATAAAGCTTTGAACGATGTCTACTCACTACTTGCACCCTTCTCTGATTGATGTAAGAACTCATTCTGAATTGTAGTGGGCGTGGGGCAACGTTTTCAAACAGGATACAGATATGCAGGTAGTCATTTTTGCGCGCCGAGGACGAGAATGTGGTCTCCTCGCCTTCACCACCCACATCTGTATGGCGTTCTCAACTGGAACTGTTACACCCTCAACTGCTGCATGAATTTGTGACGCAAGAATGGCAAAAGTGAAAGGGAGGGGCTTGCGCGTGCTGCATGACAGATTTGGTACAGATTTAGACGCTGCTTAGCCCATCGAGAGTTTGTCAGGCGAAGCAGCTTGGTCGTCGGGTGCGGTGGCTCATGGTTGTTTTGCATGGCAAATCATGTGGCAATTGAGAATGGAACGTTTGAGAACGCCATAATTTGCGCCGCCACCGTCTGGGTTTGCTACCAGCCACGCTTTCAGCAGGTACTCGTAGTAACTGTCCGTGCCCGCAGATATGGTCGGCTCCCCGTTGAAGCGAAAGAGCGTCGTGTGAATGGACGACGCATTTCGTGCGGTGGGCTGAAAACCCCCGATGGTCGAAGAAAACGGGCCGGGCCGAATCTCGCTTGTAGGGTGCAGCATCCTTCCGGGAAGCTCGTTCCGGCGGCCGGATCGATGCACAAATTGCTGAACTTCCGCACTTATCAGCAGCAAATGCGCCAGCGTCCGGAAAACTGAATGCGCGATGTATATAGATCTGCTTTGCATAGCATGACCAAAAGTTTATTTCTTCCAAAAAATAAAAAAAAATGTAAGTACAACAATGAGCACCATGCGCTCTACGCATGAGAAACGGGCTGAAAAATGTGTCGTGCTTCGATGCGCTTGGAGGTGTGTTGCGAAATGCCCTCCACCACTACAGGTTTCCGAACCGCCCCGGGGTCATTTGCATTGCATATCGCTGATATCCTGCATCAAGCGCTCGGCTTTGGCCGCAAGCTCCCAGGATTGCAGCACAGCCGCTGCGTCCTGAAACTCGAGAATATTCGACCCCGCCTCCGCCAGGCCGAGGTTGGTCCGCCCTCCGGAGCTTTGCTGCGTGCCGTTGTTTGGAATCCCCAGACTGACTTCACCGCGCACGAAATACGATACGGCTCCAAATGTGCCGCCATTATGTTGACGCTCGCCACCGCCTGGCGGTGCAAATTGGACAAAAGCGGGTTGCAACTTCACTGTGGTGTCCCGGATCAGATCCTCAAAGCAGGCGCTATAGTCTCGCTGACGGTATATTCCTCGATTCGCATTCACACTAGTCGTGGGCACATCAAAAAGTTCATCATTTTGTTCTCTTTCTTGTTTCTCGACAACAGCAAAACTGCTTTTGGATTTGGAACTCGAAGTTATGCTGCCATAGAAACTGTTGCTCCCAGTGTTTGCCGCCCTGCCGTACCACTGCCCCAGTTGCTGTTCTCGCTGCAGCTGCCAAATGTAGTTATCCACAGCAAACATCGATCTGGGTCTGGAGTTGACGTCAGATACAGGCGTCGTATAACACACGATGTATGCAGCAGTGCGTGGCACAGAAGCACAGGTTCTTCTGCAGCTGCGCTTTCAGAAAGCTGCAAAAGCAAATGCAACAATTCCTCCGTACTATACAAACTTATTTTTCATGTCCGCGACAACAACTAGCCACGTTTTGCTACTTACTCACGCAAGACAAATATTTGCACAGGCGGCGCCGTGGCCGAAAACAACAACATTGCATTTCTCCACACCCGGACATCATATTTGGTGCAATGCGTAGTGGTAGGCGCCGAGCAACCCGCCCAGTCTGCGAATCGTGGTTTCAAAGAAAGACACTGCAACGTCGGTGTTTGAGTAGTGGAGCAGCAAAACCCTTCCGTCACCGTTGCACAAGTATTCCAGGGCTGCGTCGACGTGCTTCGCAAGCTGAACTTCTTTCATTTCGACCTTGGTCGTGGCATTATGAAGCCCAGCAGCTGCTTGATCGGGCGGCTGGTGGTCTATTTCCTGGCGAGAAGAAGACGTCAACAGTATTCCGACAAAAAATTTCCAATCCCGTTTTAGAGATGATGTGACTTGTCCTGCGCACAGATTTTCGAAAACTTCACCGCCTCTGCATGACAAGTGCTTGCTTTTACATCGACTGTAATCACGCTAGAAATAGCACGACCGACTAATGATCAACTTCGACATGATGATTAAAGCATTACAAAATCTCAAACTTCTACCACTACCTGCTTTCTAACATCGTCTTTTAAAAATTGCCTTCGCATGATGTTCACATTGGCGATCCGCATCATGAGACACTTCCTGCAGGTACAGATAAAGCAGACGCGAGTCACCAAGGGTAGGGATTGAGATGTATTCAAAGAAGATAGGCAGCAACGTGTCGAGACCATCGACAAGAAATGCCAAAGAAAAGTCCCAGTCTTTTGGTGACCCCGAGACCGGTCCGGCTTATCCCAATGAAAGAAACCGATCATCCCCCGCCCGAAATATGAAAGCAGGTTTGTTGACCTGCACCACATAATCAACCGTGGCCATCAGCTGCAAACGCCGAGAGCCCAAATCCAAAACAACCAACAGCGAAGCTGCAGACTAAGATTTTATCTGAGAAAAACGGGGACGCGGAGCGTCTTGCCGGGCAGACATATTAAAATCATAAGTTCACCATACTCAGTGACGGACATACACGTCGTGCAAGTGCAGGTGGGGTGCATCTGCATCGAACAACTACTACTTAAACTTTCACTTTTCGTCTGCGTCTGCCTCAGTGTCAATTATTATTTTAGTACTACTGGCGCAACATTACACATTCATCAGTAACTACAACACATACCAACATTCCTATTGGCTGGGGCTGGCTCCGTGAGAAAATAAAGGCACTTTCTGTCCTGGCGGGCGGCGCGGGCGAGGCACAACGATCGGTGTAGTAGTATTCATTTCCCTTTGATACGACCTCGTCGCGATTCAGAGTGAATGAATGAATGATTTACCCAACTGACGGGGTTAGTGGAGAACTAGTAGTACTACTGCTCGACGTCACTAGTTTCTCCAAGGGGAAAGGCGAACTTCTTGCCTTTGCACCACTTCTCGCGCTTCTTCATCTTTTCCACTTTCTTTTCCACCGCCTTGCAATAGTGCAACTGATCCTCATCATCTCCTTGCAGCTGTATCCGAAAAGCCGTGCACTTTCTGCACTTAATCCCCATCTTATTATGTCGCGTCCGGTATTCTGCTGCGCGGGGGATGATAATGGCACAGCTGTGCGCGTCGCTGCCTGCAGTAAATTTGCCCCGCCCCTCATCCCATATGTGCTGCTGCGGCCTGAATTCCGACGTTGCAAAGCGTTCCCCTGTTGTCGCGTCCGTTCGGTAAATTTGCCCCAAGGTTTGATACTCTTCATTCTCGTGGGCCTGCGCGTGTAGTGCCATGGCGCCTGCTGATGACGTAAAGTCTCGACTGCAGATCGTGCAAGTAATTTGCGGCACCCTTTTTGTCCTCCCTCTCGGTAGCCGGCCCTTTGCTGGCTTCTCGCGAAGGCACTCATGCTGCTGTATGATTTCCCTGCGGATCTGTGCCGATTTTTCCCCATCAATGTCTTCATTGTACTCCCGGGCTTCATCTAGACGATCAGTTTTGGGCTCCACTGCAGCATGTTCGCGCGAAACATGGTCAAGAAACTCCGGCGGCAGTCCAACTACCGAATCTAACGCCCTCCACTCATCGTCGCTCCGAGCACCAAACTCTGAAGCATCCGGAGAACACCAAGGGCATTTTTTGGCTCGATACAAGTACTGCGGCGCGCCTGTCGGTCGGTCATACCCTGCAAGCATCGCAGCCGGATCGTAACCCCCGGCCACTGCGTCTTTTCTGATTTGCGCCCTCGTCGTCTTCGGTCCATTCTCAGTCCCAAAATATTTTATAGCAAGATAATCTAGATGCTCCTCGTCCAAGAGTGTTTTTTCAGCCGGCCGCTTTTCTGATTTCGACCAATCCGCGACGCACTCTCGAATGTGCTGCCATCTCGTTACCACATAAAAAAGTCGCTTGTTCTTGTTGTGCAAACTGTCCGGCCCTTTCAAATCCGGCCGAGCTTGGGCGCATTCCTCTGGTGACATGAAAATCTGTTCCATAACGTGTGAGCTGAGACCACACTTGTCTTGCATGTAGCCAACGCAATCCTCTAGCAACGACGTCGCGCATCGCGATTTCGGGCCCAATTCTTTTAAGTTTTTCACTGAGCGAATGAAGTCCGTGGGCTTCGTCATCATCGCCGGAACAAAGTATCCCAAAAGCGCCTTCCTGGTGAAGTCTTCCTTCGGTTTTCGTAAAATGTGCCCGATGTGTCGCAGCTGTAAAAACCGGAGATGCGCCCCCAGCGGTGGCAGCTTCAGGCGCCTACGAATTTCTGCGTCACTAATACGCTCCGACTTCTTTACCCAGAGCGGCATCTGCAAGAGCCGCATGGCAAACTTTATCTCTTCACCTTCCAACTTTTTGACTTCTTCCGGCCGCACATATCGCGAGGTGAGGCCATAGGTCAAAATCGTCCGCAACATGATAGGAATGAGCTCGCCTCGCCGTTTGTTTGTGAGTCCCTGAATTCCTGCCATGTGAGCGGCTAAAGTGTGATACGCTTTCCACGCCTTCTTGATTTTGTACTCAATGTCCTTGGTTTCGTCTGACATAACTCCGAGGTTTTTCGCAACCAGCCGCACGATGTTGCCCTGAATCCGCTTGCTCTTGTTTTCCCGCATGCCTGATTCTGCTAGTGCCTGCGACAGCGAGCGCACGACTTCGGTTTCAAACAATCGGCGGGACCGGTGGTTTCTTTTCGCCATTTTCCTTGTCCGTTTTTTCAATTTCCCCGATTGCTTTCGTGGCCATCTGGGTGAGTAGCGTCGTGTCGTCCGCAAAGAGCAAACTCCTCAGAGATGTGAAGGCCGTAAAATTTCCGGGCTGGTTTTGGTTTAGCAACAGGTCCCAGATTCTCTCTTCTCGCTTCCACGCTATCCCCCTCGGCTTCGTGACTAAATTGACCCCGAGCCGCTGCGCCACTGGCCTTCTGTTCACCATTGCCGCCGCCGTCTTTGCTTCGTGAATTTCAAGGAAGCGCCGCATTACAACCGTATACGCTAGTAAAAACAATAGCGGCGACGTCACGCATCCTTCTTTACAGCCGTGCTCCAGCGTAAAGTCGTCCCCTCCGAGATTGTAGGTCGCATTCCTGTGGCTCGAGTCCATTACTTTCCAGAGTGCGGATTCTTCTAGCCCTAGCTGCTTCATCGTTGCCGATACACAGCGCCAGTCGATCGATGGAAAAGCTTTCCTGAGATCGATTAGTATCGGCATAAGATGCCCAGTTGACTTTTCTCCATCACCGTGCTGGTAGTGGACAAAGTCGCTCTTGAGTTTGTGGAAGACGGTAAGCGATTCGTGGCAGCCCATCCCGCGTCGAAATCCATACTGCGACTCAGGGAAAAAATTCTGCTTCTCCAACTCCTCATACAACCGCGTGACAAACACTTTGCAAACCAGCTTATGAATGAGCGGGGATACAATTATGAACCGATAATTGTCGACATCCTCTGGACTTCCTCTGCCCTTGAACAATGGCGACGACCTGCATAAGTGCACTGCTCTCCCCAGCTCTTTCAGGTTCTTGCCCCTGATCTCGTTGTTGATGCAGTCTGTCAACAAGGCCAGCGATTTCTCGTCGACATATCGCAAAACGCCTGCTGTTAGTCCGCTTGCATCTTTCGCCCGGCCTCCTTTTCTTAGTTGCTTCGCCGCGGTGGCCAACTCGTCCGGCTCGATTGGCGCATCTAATTTCTCCAGTGTTTCGGCTGACAAGCGATCTACCAATCTGGGGATATGCTGCTCGATGTCCAGCGCCTGGCCGTTCGGTACTGTTGGCGACGATCCCACTGACTTCATCTGGATCTCGACTTGCTTCGGTGTGATTGCGCACGTTTTGTCCGCCTTGGACGCCTTTTGTTCTCGGCAATGCTCCCAAAATTCCGCCCGGGTCTTCGCATTTTCCACTAAAGAGTCTGGATCTGCTGCAGCTGGGCCTTTTTTCTGTTTCTTGACCAGAAACCAGGGCGCGCGCTTCACGAGGAAACTCTGAAACTTCTCCATTCCAAACTCCGCTGGATTCTGCTCAATTTCTGCCTGCAGCTCGAGATTGAACTTTGCTACGGTCTTCGGATCGGGTTCCAACGTAAACTCCTTGGAATTTGCCTGCCGCTGAAGTCCTTCCCGCCGCATCTGTGCATGCCCCTTCACATCTACCTGCACCTCCAGCGCCTTATGGTCCAGACGCTTTGGCGCTGCTGGCTCTCCGGTCTGCGCCAATCCATTCGGATCGAATCTGCGGTAGCTTCTGAATTTTGATAAGAAGCGGCCATTAGTTAGAAAATGATCCAGCTCGTTGCCCTCTCTTGTGGCGGACGACTCTCCGGGGTCTGCGTCAAAATGCGTACCGACGAGCACGGTGTTGAGTGCTAGCAACGCCAGTATTCCGTCCAGTATTACGCCAGTATTGCGTCCACGAAAACTCGATCTCACTTTGGATGGCGCGCATCCGCGCGAGTCTCGTCTCCTCACTAAGGCTGAAGATCCTTGCTGTAGCATCCTGGGCACACCCGCTGCCACACGCAGTGTCGTTTGGCCGCGGCATGACTGCTGCTCGTGTCCCTTCCAAGCTCCGCGGACGCAAATCATCCCGCATCTGAGCGACATGCGCGGGACGCCGACGGCCCGTGGTCGCATCATCCAGCAGAGCATCATCTGCAGAAGAGGACGGTACAAATTCTGCCTGCGGACGCCGCCGCTTTCGAAACGAGTCGGAAGTACGTAGCGGCAGATAATATCCTCCTGCCTCCGTGACTGGTGGTTCTTGGACTTGTAGGTCCTTTGTAGTCGCACCTTCCTTGCTGTCATCAACCAGAAAACCCAAGTTCCGGAAAATTTGTTCCGGCGCAACGAACAAGTTGCCCCAGCTTCCGAAGGCTGCGGAGGAGAGGAGGATCAACACGACTAGCACGACAAAACAACTGAACAATACCGCGGTCCGGGCGATGGTGCTTCTTTTACTACAGGAGACTATAGTCGAGATCGAGTCGATAGTTGTTGAATGAGCTTCCTCAGCGTCAGCACCAGGTCTCGAGTACAAGGAAATAAATCCGTGTAGAGTCGATCGTCCCATCCCGGAACGAGGCTTCATCTCGGCTCTGGTGGCAGCTCCCGGTGGTCCCTGGCCGTTCTGAAAACATGGGGTGCTCGTGGTCGTGATTACTGTATCATCTGCGACACGAAAAAATATTTCTGCATCTTCTTCCCCCGCTTCGTCCACAAACGTCCGCAACGGATCACCCTTATCAAATGTAAAAGTGTCTGGGTCTGGAAGAATGCATGTTTGTCATGCTTGTCTGGCATGACTCTTAAAATCTGTCATGCACGTTACCCAAGAGCTCCGTCTTTCTGTGATGCAGAAGCGCAGTTTGTCATGCAGAATAGGCAACACCTAGAAGCTCAGAAACTTGTGATGCTGAGCCATCATGTCTGGCCTCATCATGAGACGCCACCCAGCATCACAAGTTTCCAGACAACTCAGACACTTTTACATTTGATAATCCTCATTGGAAAACAATGGATTTTCCGCGCAGCCTGACCCTGGTTTGAATGACGAGCTGCCTATCCTGAGTAAAACCGTACCCACACCAGAGTTGTAATGCAGATTTGCAAAGACAGGAAGACTTGTAATGCGCATCCCCATGAGGCCATTTCCAACCGTGTTTTGGAATTTGTGATGCTGTGCTCAGGATGAGCAGATGAATCTGTGACGCGGCTGCACTTGCTAACCTGCATTACACTGCAGAGTGCAACTTGTCATGCGTGACTCACAAAACTCCTCGGTTTGTGTTGCAAAATCCCCATCCTGACTCTGGTCGTGTGGGTACGTTTTTACTCAGGATACTGCCCGGCCGAGAATCTTGCTGGCGCTGCTTCAGCTTGTTCAGCGGGGCCGTGAGCAGAGAAGCAAAGTAGTTGCTAGAGGTAGTTCCCCCCATGATGGTTTCCAGAAAAAATGCTACTACTCTGCTCCGACTTCTACGGGAACTATTCGCTAGCCCCTCGCGTCCCAAAAGTATTGAAATGTAAAATCCCAGCGGGATGTTTGAATTTTAGCACTGTAACGATGCGAACTAAGATTTTTTTATGTAAATTCTACCTGACCTGCTTTGGGCCTGTTCAAGGACTACTGGGGGATTAGGAGGGGTGTGTACTGCCTTGCCTTCTGTTCACTTTTCTTCATGAATCCGTTACTAATACGATTCAGAATCGTATTAGTAACGGAAGTCGAAGTATAAGTATATAAAAAACTAGCATACATGAGGAAGGACGAAGAAGAAAAGAAGGGAAACTACGACTGACCACGAGGGTGCACGAAAACGACGCCAGACCGAGACCCTGATCTAGATGGAGTCAGTGTCAATGAATAAGCTCAGTTGCGCACCATACTCTTTTCTGTCGCAAGCAGCTGTCTGGCAGCTCGACGAGTACCGAAGTAATACCAAGAAATCGCGGTCAACATCGCAACGCATTCAGACAAACTTTGTTGTTGCCCGAGCAACACCGCGGCCGGATGACTATTGTGTTTTGCACGACACGAAGGAATGCGGCCCAGCTTATATATAATGGTTGGGATGATGAACGACACTGGAAGAAATCAGCGGACGCTTTCGGTACGAAATTTGTGCACGCACCGTTCACAAGCTGGCGACTGCCAGTACGTACCGACATGCACAACTGTCACGATGGCATCACCTCGCACGCAGGATGTGAGACGCTGGCTTCGAAAGGCTTGTGCTGCGACCGACAGCTGCGACACAACAGTGTATATTCCAAATTCGAATGCTTCCATTCCGAGACGTATTTGCCGAGGCCTAGAAGTTTACAAGTTTGCGGGCAATTTTTCATACTGATCTTGGGAATGCAACCGGTCCCTGTCGTACTGGAGACCCGAGGCTTGCCTGTGCCAGGCAGCACTGTGCAGTACTTCGCCTTCCCTTCGTCCAGCATGACGACTTGATTTGGATACGCATCTTCTGCACTACAAGTCTCGGCTTGACGAGTATAGGCAGGCGAGATTTTTCATTGTGATCGATAAAGCAGCTCTGTTGTGGACCGACGATGCGGTTACATACGAGATGTTGAAAAGTAGCCGCCCTTGCAGCGCAAACACGATCTTCGCGAGGAACAAGAAGTCGCAACAATTTTGCGCCCATCACCTCCATTGGCCTCCACTCTCGAGTAAAACGAAGCTACAACATGAAAACCCCGGGGGATATCATGATCTGAACGAGACGTAGAAAAGGTGCGGTCTACCTTTCGAGAGAGAACTATCGCCGCCCTACTTGTTTTCGTTTCCTAGGTGTGATTTGAGTAGGGGGTACCTATGTCTACATGAAATCTTCAAGTGGAGGTTGGGATTTTTGTTTTTCGGGGAAAAATGCGTTTGCGAATCGGGAGAGATAGCACAGATAGAAACTCAACTGATGGCGCCATATTAAATACTCAATGTAGAGCTGCGCCTTCTCTTGGCGCTTTGAACTTATTTTGTGCACGTGTGGGCCTACAAAGTGAAAATTGTGGAGCTCAAATGAATACAAAAGGAAACTTAAACTTTGTGGAATAGCAGCCCTGCTTCACGGTGGATAAGCTACGCACTACTGTGCAGTGGCGGGCGAAGAGATCCAAAAGTTCTGTTATCGTCCTTTTGCTTTTCCGAGATATTCCGAAGGGGCTTACTCCTGATAGAATGGTGGTGCTGAGTGTGTAGACCAATAATTCGAAAGTAAGTAGCCCCTCCACGTTACAACCTTCGGATTTTATCCCGCAATGGCCACACAAATCAGGCATGGGAAGCCCTGAGATATCTCTACCGGCACTGGCACATTAGTAATTCATGTGGTTATGGTTTAAGCAAAATAAGAATAACAGAGGACAGGGCTGCTTGTTAGAAAAAAATTGAGGCTGTTTGTGTGTTTGTATCGTTGGATTCGTGGCATCCGGTTGAAGGTTTTGCCCTCTTCTCACGATTCTAGAGCTATTTCAAGGAAAAAGCATCTTGTTGCCAAAGAGCCTTTGGCTTAGACCTGAAAAAAAGAAAGCTAGAGACAGCAGAAGTCCTGCTATAAAACTACTTATAAATTAAGGTTGAAAAGTCAAAAAGTTGAAGTCGAAAGTTTTTAGAGTTTAAAGTTTACTTGAAGCGATTCTGTTTTAAAAGCAGAACTTGTTTTTGAGAAATCTTGTTCCGTTGCGAAAAACGAGTAAAAGACTCTAAAAGCCTGGTGCAAAAAATGAAAGCGCTGCTGAAAGTCTAAAAGTGAGAAACCTAAAAGTTGTGTTGCGACGGGGAGAAACCGTTTTTTTGTTCAAGTGAAATTGACTTTTTTTCTACTTTATTTTACGTTTTGCTACTACTCCCTTTGCTGTGGATGTTCTACATCGAAATCTACTCTAAAAAGGTCTTCGTCGATCGTTCTTGAAGGCCGGCATGAGGAAAGATAAACGCTCCACACCTCGTGATCATGTGGTCGCGCCTTTTCGCGCATTGCTCGCCTTTTTTATGCACTGCAAATATGTCTGGGTCTGGCTCTGGAAGATTGCCAGGTTTGTCATGCATAGTTCGCGTTGCCCATGATACCTGTAGTGCATGACACAGATTTTTAGAGGGCGTCCTGATGCCTATTCCGCATGAGGAATCCCCCCCAGCGTAGCACAAACTGGAGTCCTCTTGCTGGTCATGCAATACAGATTTTTTGTTTTCAGAATCCAAAGATAGCATCACAGGTTGCAATCTTTATCTTCCAGACCCAGACATATTTGCATTCGATAATAATGAATTTGTTCTTCTTATATAAAACTTTGGAGGCTGGAAACGTCGGCAAGGTGGCCCGCGTAGAGTTGAAAACCCGAAGCGCCGCCAACAGCGTCGCGCACGTTTCAGCACTCATCGTGCGCTGCTTCCCCGAACATCAAGTCCGGAACAACAGGACACAGCTTGGCACGCATTTCTGCCCGCGCCGCTTCGCAAGATTTGTCCTCGCAAGTGTCTCTCGACGCCTCCGACTCAATCTTGTGGCCCCATTTTTCCCAGCGCAAGGGCGTGAAATAAGACACGCCATAGTGCTCCTGCAAGTCTTCGCGCGCAGACGCGGCCGCCTTGACAATTCGGCCACCGAAAAACACGGGGCGAAGGGCCGGCGGATGTTCATCGACAACGCCGATATCAACATGCACCGATCCATTTTGGACGGCGCCCGGCTGTTTGTTTTCAAATGTTCCAGTTATTTCGAAATTCCTCGGCCCGGGGCGCGGCTGAAAATTCATCGGGCCCAACCGCTGAAGAACAAGAAACTCCGAAGCCGCGCGCCGAAATTTCGCAGCATCGCTCCGCAGAAAGCTTGCGCCATCAGCTCCCCGTCCGCCATCTTCAACGCGCCGCTACAACTAGGAAAACCGCCCGCCACAAAGAACGTGGCCAAGCGCGGGCAGGAGACAACCAGTGGATGTCGTAGTGGGCAGCCAAGCGCGCGGCAAGAAGACTTGGGGCGGGCGGGCGGCCCGGGAGAAAAGGTTTCTCTTTTCCCGGATCGGGCGCAGGGCGCGCGCCCTACCTTCCCCGCAAAATTGGCGCGGCCGGGCCAATTGTAGGGCGCACCGGGGCGGCTGCGTGCGGTGCCAGAACTGCGGGGGGGCGGCAAATTACCGCCCGGTCCACCGCCCTTGGCCAGTTCTGCGGAGGCCGCCGCAACCTGACCGGGCCGCCCCCCCCCCGCCGCCCCGCTTGCGTGCAATTGCCGGGCGGATTCTGTCAAGGGGCTTCTGACCCGCACATCGCGCACCGGAAGAGGCGCACCATGCTCGGGATTTTCTGTGCGGCAACAACGAGGGCAGGGCGCCCCGCAACAAAGCAAGGGCCGCAGGCGTGTCGAATAAAGCAAGGCAAAAAAAAAGGCGGCCGGCGCGCCCTAGCGACATACACTGGCTGCTGCCCGCCCTGCCCAGGCAAGATCGAGGCGGGCGGGCCGCCGCCGCGTGGGGCAGGGGCGTGTTTTTTTCTGAAAGCCGGCCGCTGGGCACTGATTTTTGCAGCGTGCGGGCGGCCCCGGCGGCGGCCGCCGCGCTTGCGAGAAACGGCTGGCGCCGGGCGTCGGGCGCGCGACCATTCGGTGGGGCGTGCGAACCTGTATGCCACAATCAAGGCCACGCCCCTGTGGATGCCCGCGCCGGGAACGCGGGGTCACCTTGATCACCCGGGCCGGCCTGTTAAAAAAAAAGCGCGGGAGCCGCTATTCCAAGGGCTCGGACCAAATTGGCGCACGCCACTCCAGGCAGAGCATGCGACCAGCTGTGCCGGCCCTGGCCAGGCTGCGCGAAAACAGAAGCGTAACACTGCGTGCCATTGCAGGTTTTTTGCATGCAGTTTTTCTTTGTGCAGCGCGCTAGCTAGCGGGATTGCCACTCGGCACAAACTTCACCCGCGTCGCACTCCGCGCCAAAAGAATTTCCCGCCCCCCGGCCCCGGGAAACTAGTCGATCCCCCTGCCGCGCGGCCCCCCGGAACCAACCTCCAAAAGCCGCCGGCGGGGTGGCGCCTTCAAAGCAAAGGCACTACAGGCCGGGCGGCGGGGGCGCAGGCTGGCGGCCATCCAGACGCGCCGGCCCTGGCCCGGCGGGGCGAAATAAGAAAAGAAACAAAGAAAGGCGCGGCCGCGCCGCCGGGGGCGTCATGCGGGGGGGGGGGCGGGCGGGGGCGTGGCCGTCCGAGGGCGGGGGGGCCCATCGCGCCGCCAGGCGCTTGAAATTTTACTTCGATGGGCGGGGCGGCGGGCCGCGGGACGGCTTTGGCCAGGGCGCGCGCCTAACAATCTTAGGCGCCCGGCAAGCGTGGTCTCGGGGCTTCCTTGGCGAACGGGCCGTCGGGCGGACGGAGCGCCTGTCTGAAAACGGCGGGCCGGCGCACGAAAGGGCCGGCGGGCGCCATAATCCTGCGCCCCGTCCAACCGCTGCCCCAAAATCTACGCCAGCCGCGAAACAACTGCGGGCCCAACCAATCCCGCGCCCGCGCCGGGGAGGTAGGAAGGGGCGGGGGGCGCCACACACACGACCGCAAACAAAGCAATTGGCGGCCGGCAGGCGTGTTAGCTGGGTGCGGCGCAATCGCTTGCTCAACTTCCCCGGCGGCCGCCTGCTCCCGCGGTGCTACCACCCAGCGAACCTACCGCGAGGGGCCGGGCGGCGGTGCACAGACAGTCTGAGCCCGCTCGGCAGTTGCCAAACGCCTGCATGCGATGTGCGCGCGGCCCGGCTTTAGGGCGGCGGCTTTCCTGGCGTAGCTCCTGCACTTCTGAAAAGCTGTCCGCCTTCTGCAGCAGAGCCTGCGGACCCACGGCGCCGCGAGTGGCTGCGCCATTTCCGCCGGCAAGCTGCGGGCCGGGTTCTTTCGGACCAGGCGAGGCGAGAGCGCCAAGGGCTTCGGCAATCAGAGGTGGGCAAACTCCGCGCGCGCGTAGGTGCGCTTCAACCGCCCGCGCCGCCGCGTCTTCCACAGGTGCACCGTCAGTCGCGGCGCGTGCTTCTAAAAATGCACCGGGGCCGCCATGCGCCGTGTTCGTTCCATTGCTGCTGCGAAAGCCCTGCGCCCACGCCCGCAGCTGGTCTCTCGCGACCTCCACAGACCCCGGCGCATACACGACCAGATCGAGGTCATAGTCGTAGCTCGTCATGCTCCCGCAGCGAATCGCGGCAAGAGCAGTGCCGCCGCTCAACTTGTATTCCAGACCGTACTTGTCGAACACATTGTCGGCGAGATCCCACAGGACCTGCGTTGTCTGCCTCATGCAACAGGTTGGTGTATAGCCGCGGGCAGTTTCCAACCTGCGCTCGATTTGCAGTCGCCCAGCTGCAGTTTTTTCGTCGATGCTGCCACAGAACCCAAGCTCGCCACGCCCCTGCATTTTGGTAAACTCACCCCAGCGCCCGCAGGTGCAGGCCTCGCCCCTGGCAACATCCTCTGCGGGGCCGCGGGCCTGGAAGTCCGCGCGCTCCCCGCCGATCGCTGCCGCCGACCCACTGCGCACGACTCTCTCCGGATTAAGAAAAATGCTGAGCCGCTTCAAGTCGGTGCCATGCGCCGCCAATGGGTACTTGTCGTTCGCAGCAACCGCGGCAGCACTCTCTGTTCCGCTACCTTCCACCACGTCTGCAGGAGCAGCGCTCTTGCTGGCGGCCTGCTCTGTCAGCAGGGGGCCGCTTTGGAAAAATGTCTCAGCGCCGGCCGCTGTCGCGTTATCACCAGCTCAGGTGCTACAACGTTCTCAACCGTTACAACTAGTCCTAGTGATGCTGGTCCCACTGTTAAATAACGAAGCGGCGTGGCCTCTATCTTGCGCCATGCCATATATTGCAATGCAAAGTCAAGAAGTATGAGAGACCACTGTAGCGGGCAAAAATGCAAACTAGCTTTGAGAGATCACTGTAGCGGGGGCGAGCTGCTACGAGTGAGGTCTGCGGCGCCTATCGTCTATGCTATATACAGGCTTACGCCCTGAGGCCCAATGGATGCTGCCATAAGGGGCTAAAGCTTGCCCTTGTCTTGCGCGCTGTCAATGGCATGAGGAGATAGGCACAAGCAACATACATTGTATGTTATAAGCACCAGAGGCCCCGCCGCACACACGCGCACAACATACAACCAATAATACTAGGAAACACATCACACAAGAAAAATGTGAGTACATAGCTGAGCCTGTAACACCAGGGCGGGCAATATGCGTCACTGGCGAATTCTTCAGCGGCACGCCCACCACCTTTTTCGCCCGAATTCTCCTGTCCGAAATGGGCGGCGGCCGGAGCCATTCGCCCGGGCGGGGCTTCCATACCGGGGACGGCCGCGAGCGGAACTGGCGCGCGGGGGCCCGGCGGCGGTTCGGCATTGGGCCCACTGCTTTTGCCCGGGGCCCTTGGCGGGCGTGGCGGGGGCGGGGCTTTTACAAATTTCGCCGGGCGGGCTTTGGTCCTTTTCTTCTGCCCGGGCAAAAATTGCACGACGCGAGCAGGGGCTCGCGGCGCTGCCTGGGCTGTGCGCGTGGTCCGCTTCAGCGACAGGCCTGGCAGAACAGCCGCAACACCCCGCGCAGCAGCTCCGGTGCGCAAGCGCGCGCCACTTGCATTGTGCGAAAGGAAAGCAATTGCCACAACAGACACGAAGGCAGTTAAAGCAACGCGGCATTGTGCCGGCCATGTGCTTCCGCTTGTGTCGGTGCCCCCGCTGGGCCCGGAGGAAATTGGCGGACGGTTCTTCGCAATGGCCCCACTGCCAGCCGCAGTAATCATTGCAGCGCGAGGAGGGAGGTCGGGCGCACCTGTCAGCGCATCACGGACAGCACCGGCTCCCGGCGTTTGCGATACCGCGGGTAATGTACTTTTTTGGGCGCCGTCGCGTTTCCCACAAAAATGGAAGTCCACCGCAAACCAAATTATTCCGAAGAACATCAGCCCGCACAGTGCCATCTGTGGCGCGGTCAGAACCTGGCCAAAAACAACAAAGGAAAGAACCGTGAGAAGCAGGAAGCTCGCGTACCGGTAGCAAGATTGGGAAACCACATCTGTCAGCTTCGACAGCTCAGCCGTTGCCGTTGTCACCGCGAATCCGAGAAGACAACAAAGCACAATACACCCGACAAGAAGAAAGCTTCTGGACCTGTGCTGCAGCCCCTCTTGCGAAGATGAAGTCACAACGACGCCACAAGCCTCCATCAGTTCGGCTTCGAAGATTCGGAATGGCGCTCGGCCCTCGATGCCCAAAGCACCTACGAGCAGGCACAAAAACTGCACGGCGCAAGCCCTGGCCGAGTACTGGACGACACAAATGGCGACTTTGCCTTTGGCAACTTCTTTGTCACCCATTCTGAGGTGGTCAGGATTTCCATGGCGCGCAACCCTCCCCACCACCGGCGGGCCATCGGTGTCGACAAACCTGCCCGAAGACGAAGCTGCTGCAGTTCCCAGGCCGAGAAGCTGCTCCAGCAACATGGGCAATCGCTTTTCCTCGTGCAAGCAGTACTGCCTAACCGCATCCTTCAGGCTGGAAAACAGAAGGGCGAGGAAGCAGAAGGCGGTGCCGAGCAGGGGACCCCACTGGCCCTGCTCGGTCTGGTCCAGTTCTTGTCCGCCCGCAGCTTCAGAGGGCTCGCCAGCTTTGTTCGCGTCCGATGGCGAGGCCACCAGCCACGCAGAGCCGACCGCACCACACAAGACCAGGCCCAGCTGCAAACAAACACGGAAGGGGCTCGGCAACGCGTGCCACGGAAAAAGGTACCTTCGGGCCAACCATCGCGTGTCTTCATTTTCTCCTGATGGCGGCTGCCCGGTTGAAGATGCGAGTGTTGTGCGGCCATTCTGGGCCGCTTCCGCCCCCAAGGACGCATTCTCGGCCTTCCCCGCCTTAATGGCGGCCGCACTGGATGTCGCTTGGTGCTCATTCGCGTCACCTCTCCGATTTAGCGAATCCAGCAGAAAGAACACAACTACATCCGACAGCAGCAGGTTTTTCATCAATACTCCGTAACTCGGCGGATCCAGGAGACTGAGCGCCAGATTGCAGTATGAAAGCAAATTCTTGCGCCAGGTGGTCGAGAGATCTGTGCGATGTGTACTGCAGTAGCAGCTTCGGTTTGTGCATAGAAAGAACCTTTGTAGTTTGTCATGAGCACCCAGCCAGGGCCGGACTTCGACATGGCCACTGGCACTTCATCGCCTTCGCTCGGTTGTATGGCGCAGGCGCAGGCCCGCCCAGACCCAAATACTCCCGAAGTAATTCCATATTAATTTCACTCTCCTGATTCTGACCTAGCGCAAGACTTCTATTGCAATAAAGAAAAGCCGATATTTACTGCACCAAAGAAACCGCCGAAATAAATCAGCGCACCGTAGTCAAGAGCGGGCGCCAATTGTGGTGCGCTTCGACCGATAGCAGAAGCTTTTTGGGCGCCTTCACCTTCAAGTGCGTGGCATTTTGTGCCCCAACAGATTTGGGCGTCTTCATGATTGGCCCTGCCGGGGACAATTTCACCGTGCTCAGGCATCCTGCGCCCCGTGTTCATGAACGTCTGAGCCCCATGGCAACCGCCCTGCCTCTGCCTTTGCGGTTCTGCTGCATCGTAATCATGGTCTTCTTCACTAGAGGCCGTGGTGCTGGAACATGAAGAGGCCAGACGCAGTACGGTTGCGCCCACTATGGTATTGCCAAGTTGGAGTTTGGTCTTACATGGAAGAAATCCTGTGTATTTTTTTTTTGTAGGCGAAAACCTTGTGTAGAGGTGGCTCTGCTTCTTCTGTGTTCGACAGAAGCTGAGCTAGTACAGAGAGATCCCACGACCCGCGCCTTCTAAGTAGCATCGAGAGTAGGCAAAGCCGCCGGCGCTGCCTCAAAAATCTCTACGCGGATAATAAAAAAGCGGCGCTGGGCGCGACCACAAAATATGCAAAGTGGATGTAGGCAAACTCGTGAGCAGGCGGTGAAGGGGGCCGCTTGCCTCTTATCATGTCTTTGCGCTCGAAGAATCTCTTCCATTTTCAGACCTTTCTCCACCCCAAGCTGCTCATAGCTCCATCGTCACATTGCTGCGCGGTGCCCGGAAAAGGAATTGCAGTCGGCGCTTGTGCGATTCGTCGGGACTCAGTGGCGTTCTTCGTGCTCCCGCTCAAAAGTAGCTCTTCCCCCTCGACAACCGCGGATGTATTTGAAGCGGCGCGAATGTTTCGACTACTTTTCGTCGTGCAAATAGGTGCTACAGCGGAAGAAAAAAGCAAGATAAGAACTCCGCAAAAGCTGTTGCAAGCCGAGATGAACAGCGGGTAGGGAAAATCCAGATGGACAAAGATAAACTTCATCGATAGCAAAAGTGCAGCGTACGCGAGACCTTGCGCTACAACAACAGCGCCCGTGGCCAAAAGCCCGCGCATCATTTTCAAGGTCAAATGTGTGTTGAAATATTTTCTCGACGCGACAAACTACATTCGTCTTGGGTCCTGCCCTTGTGAATTCGTGACCCTCGTAAAGAGGCAGAGAAGCTGATAGCAGGGACCTTCAGCTGTGAGCCGGGGCCGTGCTTCTAATTGCGAGGATATCTTGGTGGCGTTACAAAACAATCTCTAGGGGGGACATCTAACACTAAGCTTTTTCGACTCCGATTACGAAGGGGTGCTCCTTGGTCGTCGTCTCGTTTCCTGTGGGAGTAATTCACCTTTTGAAATAATATATGCTTCAGTGTGGCGTGTTGCGAATTCTTCACTAACGGAAGTAGCTAATGAAGTAAAACAGTAGAAAAACGTATACTGGTGGTAATTACGTCAGTTTTTCATCATTACCAAGAACGAGGGCAGAGGGGAAACAAAATCGGGTGCACGAGGTCTCAGCACGACGTTCATCTACGAGAGCACGATAAAAGATTGACTCGATGACGACGGCTCACCGATGGTATCATGAACGACGCAGCAAAGGATCCACTAGAAGCATTTCACAAAAAGTTGTGCACGAATGGCGCAAGACCAACAACTTTTACCGACGTATCTACACCTGAGTAAAAACGCGACCGAAGCAGAGGCTGCTGCACGTCTGCATCACATACAGAAGCGCATGCCCATCTGCACCACATACATTTGCACGTCTACCACTCCCAAGCTGTCCTGAGGACATCATAGTAAAGTCATCCAATTCCGAACGCAACGATTGATTTCCAGTACCACATAGCAGTCCTACAACTAGTACATATGAAATACTTACGAAGGAAGTGCGCGAGCAGCGAATTTTGGCACCTGGTGACTTGGCGCTAGTGGCTTCGCGCCTCGTGACTTGGATTCCCAGTCCTAGAGCTCCTCCCAGATGCCGAATCCCCGAAGACATCAGGAGGTGGCGTCCTCTAGTAAAGTACATCTCGGACTCGGAGTCGCCTCTCTCCAGCACTTCAAGTCTATCTATCTATCGTCCGAATCTAGGGCGCGACGCGAGCAGGTTCTGCGCCTTTGTCCACAGTGTCTTCCTGTCAAGTCCTTCAGAAGTGGGTACTCCAAACTTTAAAAGGAACTGCGAAACAAAGTAAAAGGGGACGAATACTGTAAATACTGAAGATCTGAAACTGAAACTGATGTGACCACATCTAAAACTATTTGCTTATCTACGAACGTTTTTGAGTATCTTGGTAATGCTGCATTTGAAAGCACTAGAGGTAAGATCGTAACATTGACTGACTGGCATTTGCGATTATTATTTGACGAATTTGTCACAATCCAATTTTACGATGGTCTAGAACTACTCCTACAACTGTGCTCTATCTTTAAAAAAAAGTGAAATTAACGAAGTGAAGCGAAGTGAAGTTGAAAAGATCTCCCTTGCGAAGCTGGAGCCCTCATAGATACACAGAGATCCCGGCACCGTTACGCCGTCAGAAGATGAAATTGTGAGCATTGGTTTTGGTACTGCATCAGAAATAAAAGTGCGTAAAAAAAAATGAAAACCTTATATGAAGAAGTTGTAGATAATATTCATAACTGACCGGTAACAGACGAACATGCGAGGAAGAGGAACAGGAATGAACAGTAAGTATAAAATAAAAGAAACATACAGCAAGGATTCGCCATGCGTTCAAGCAAGGGAGGTTGCGCGGAAAATAAAACGAATAAGCGCGGCGCAATCCTAGAAATAGAACTTGGAAGACATTTGGCGAAAAGCTTGCCGGCCAAAACCACACCCAAAGCAAATCTACTTTGGAGTGGTTCCCACCTCGAGATTCTGGCAGCTGCGCACCATTCCGCGCCACTTTTTGTACTCGCTTCGCAGTTCCGGTACATTGTACTCGAATTCCCAGTCCGTATATGCCGGGGCCCAGCTCGGAACGTAGGTAATGTGCGTGACGTTCCGAAGGAGCGCAATGTTGTGGGAGCCCTTGAATTCCTCGTTGGAAATCTCGACCGCTGTAGTGATTCCCAGTAAGGGGAGAGAAGGGGGGAACCAACTTTCACCTCACTAACTTTTCACCACTTTCTTCATCGCGCGCTTGGGTTTGGGGTGATGATTCACTTTCTTCTCCTTCGGCCTGCACGCACTCTCGTGCGCAACCATCTTGCTAAAAAAGCAGGGACTAGTTGCAGCTATTGCTGGTGCTGCTCATGGCCCTTTTATAAAATTCCTACACAATGCGCGCGATGTGTCGTGGGGGCTATAAAAATACGGGGGAAAAGCACAACTAGCTTCCAATCGCAGAAAGCGCGAGCCACTCGTCCTTGGTCAGAGGCGTCACTTTGCAAACGAGATGGCCCAAGTCGAGACTGGAAGTCCTCGCTCACACACAAGGAAACGAGCGGCGCCCGGCACATGATGCCTAGAAGCAGATGAAAATTTGGTTCTTATTGGCCCAGGGTGGACACAGAAAAACAATGCGAGCACAAGCTTCTTCGAGAGCTTTAGAACTATCAGGCGAGCCAGGAACTGTTTATGTGTGTGTGTGACACAAAAACAAGAAGCTAGAGGAAGGGTTCGTTGAATTTTGCGGAAAGATAAGGGAAAAATCAAGTGAACTATAGGGGCGAGGCAGTGCTGCAAGACGAATTGGAATTCTTCTGGGTTTCTAATTGATTAATTTTCTGCGAGGCCCTCACTAGAACGACAAATACCGCAAATCTGGCTGCTTCTGAACAAATGTATTCAAAGTGCATGGGGACGCGCGGGCTTCGCGTGCTATTTTCGTTTAGCAAACAGTAAAAGTAAAAAGTGAGCTAAAATATAAATAGTAAAAGTAGAAAATGCCCTTAAGTAATTGTAAAAATGCAATGAGCTAAAGTAATTAATATTATGCTCATCTAAAATGTGAAAAACGGAACAAGGTTAGAAGCAAAAATTATACATGCATTCGAGACTGTGCGGAAAAAAAGAACGAACACGCTCTCTGGAGCAAGGGCTTGAACTTCGACAAAATGCCGCGAAAAAAAATGCCGGTCAGCATCACAGACAAAGCGAATCTACTTCGACGGAGTGGCCCCCGCCTCAAGACTCTAGCAGCTGCGCACCATTCCGCGCCACTTTTTGTATTCGTTTTGCAGTTCCGGTACATTATACACGAATTCTGAGTCCCCCCATGCAGGGCCCCAGCTCGGAACGTAGTTGATGTGCGTGACGTTCCGAAGGAGCGCAATGTTGTGGGCGCCCTTGAATTCCTCCTCGAAAATCTCGACCGCAACTGAGCAGCTGTCGGGCTTCATGAGCAGGGCGCCCAAAGCGAATGTAGCTCCGTGCGGGCCAATCATGAGGCGAGCGTCCGCGAGTGCTTCCACCTGCTCCTCCACGGAGAGCACATCGGGATCGAAGTCTTCCACCATGCACGCGTCGAGCCCGCGGGGGCTTGCGCGCTGTCCGTCATCCAACGCCAAGGCGTTTTCCTCGGCTTGCAGGGCCTGTCGCGCCTCCTCGTGATTCGTAGCCCTGCGCCGATGGTCGTGGCGATTGTAAAACAAGACGTTGCATTTTCCGCCTCGAGTAGTCTGGGAACCCGCCGTGCCCACGCCGCCGTTCGCAGTTGTGGAAGTCGCAGTCGTTCCCTCTGCTTCGTGCCCGCGTTTGTGCAACACCTGCAAAATACGGCGGCTTGCGGATTCGATCAGGGGTGCCCTTCCACGACAACTGCTAAAACGCCGAAACTCCCCGGTCTTGTTCTGTGTTACGGCATCTAAAGTAGAACTCCCGCTCTGGCACTCGGGTAGGCCCGGATATTTTTCCTTCAGGAATCTGCAATCTAGGCCAAAGGCTTCTTCGCCCTCTGAGCCGACAACAAAAAACACATTTTTCCCCGTGAATCGTGCTTGCTGTTGGCGATGCTCCTCCACCTCCCGATGATCTGCGGCCCGCCCCGTCTGATACTCCGGGGGTGTATCAGCTCGGATGTAGTTGTTGCCGCCGAGCATTTGCCGGTAAAGATAGGGCAGCTTCGAGACACCTTCCGAACGGCTTCCAAATTTTTTCTGCAGGACGAGAATACTGCCCTCATGGTCATGGCGTTCTCAACACTGGACCAACCTCAACTGGAACAGCATCTTGCACTCCGTTGCTTAAACTAAAACTGAAGATGCCAATGCCTGTAAGCATGATCATAGGCAGATTTAGAACAAAAATAAGGCGAAAAACAAGCAATAGTCTTTTCTACGTACGCCGTGCTGCAGGTTAGCATGACGCAAAGAATGGCACATAAAGATATCGGCTCCTACTCTGTGTAACTTTTTGACCAAAATGGGATTGCCACGCAGCGGCGGTTCGGAGTCGTGCGGTAGCACGAACATGTTTAACCAGGTCGAATCTTGCATCGCAAACAGTTGCAGTTGAGATTGTTCCAGCTGGGCAACATGCCATACGGGAGTGGCTCATCCTCGTGGTTCGACTGCGTCTGTGTGTACAAGTTAGTGCTTTCATGACCATGTCCATGATGCTATCCAAAAGAAAAGAACAGCTCGCGCACCAGGACTATTCCGTGACTTACATGTAGAATCAATCAAATATTTTCTCTTTTTGGAGCCCGTGACCTACAGGAAAATCTAAATTCGGGCTCTGGCGGGAAAACATAAAACAATATCCAGTCGTAGGATCATCGATCTCCTGTGTTGCGTGACAACTGCCTTTGCTACGGTTATTTACCCTTACGGACTCGCCAATCATGACAAATATTGGCTCCATGTACATCTTTTACCTACATTTTTGAAGCAACATATGCAACAACTCAAATATGACCATGTGCGCAGCTGTGTTCTGTGTGATAGCTGCTGCTGCGCATCCGCTCCGAGAGGTTGCAGCTGCTCACGCGCCAACAGCTGCGTGATATGAACCGCGAGGGCTTGCGGCATTCCCTCGTAAGGGTTCCAGATATCGTCAAAATAGTTCAACACGAACAAATTTTCCTGGACCGGCGCACCGCTCGCATTTACATTTTCCTGGACCGGCGCACCGCTCAAATTTTCCTGGACCGGCGCATTTTCTGCTGCGTAGTGCGGTGGCGAAACTTCTCCGATGATTTTCTTGGGAATGCGTACGGCAGTTTCTTTTGCCGCGAAACGGTTCAGCAACACCAAGTCAGAAGCCTCATCCACCTGCCACTCGCAATCCGCCTCCAGGGCCCAGCTCCAATCTTCATCCGTCGGTTGCCCGTCGCCGTCGCCAGGCTGACTCCGTGCTGCCGGCACTTTGACAAAAGTCAAGTTTCTTCCCCAACAATACGCACCCATTCCCAGCTTCTCAATCTTGTTGCCGGTGACATTCAGGTGTGGCCCACTGCACTGCAACCATGCGGTGGCGTTCCGTCCCGAGGAAAAGTGCCCACAAAGCACGACCGAATTGTGTTTGTACCGTTCCAGGAAGCCGGACCCGAAGTGCGCGTCGCAAAGATCGGCAACATGCGACTCATGATCCGCTCCCGCATGCAGGCCCCGACGCCCAATTCCAGTTGCAACGGCAGTCGTGTCTCTGGTCTTGCTCACCTCACCCAAGAACGCTGACTTGCCCGGCTGCTCGTGCCGCAGTGCTCCGCGACCGCCGGCGAAATTCCGACGCCTCACTTCGCGCTGAGAGTGGCTGACAAGGGCCCCCGGTGCACCTTTCTTCATGCCGTCAGGCCACACATAGCCAGACACGCCAAGAATGGTGGAGCCGAGAGCAGCTTCATCTTGCTCCCCAGATGAGAGAAGGACACGAGGCAGGGCACTCCACTCCGTCACGAGGGCCAACAAGGCGGGCCCAACACTACTTCTTGTTCTGCCTTGTTTCGACGTCATGATAACTTTGTCACACCTCTCTTCGGTGCAACAGGACTGATGAAAAATGCAGGATTAGAAATTGTCGCACAATCGACTAATCGCTATGACAGTGTCGCCAGCTTTGTGTCGCTTTGCTTCTTACGTGCGAAACTCGAGTAAAAAGCAGGGTGAAAAAAGGCCGTGGATGACGAAAACTAGCTTGCTATAATGGTGCCGTCTAAAGATGAGTGAAGAAAAACAAATGACTTAGTTGGGTCCCTTAACGATGATGGGGTCAACAAAGACAAACAAATTACGAATGCGAACGCGTGGGTCGTACCCGATGTCGGTAAGGGTAATGCTGCTGCTGGTAGGAAAACTCGAACGGAAAGTCGGTACCGCACAACTGTTTTATGAAAAACACAAAAGGGGGCGAACGGCATGAAAGCAAGACGATGGCGCTAACGAGGTACGTATTATTTCTATACGAAATGTTGAAAATAGTTCTATTCATATTCTACTTTGCTGCACGAAGTCCTTATATTCGAACGATCCGCAAACTCACACCGAAGATGGTGCTAGGAATGAAGCCGCAAACATCAAGTTCAAAGCACCGAAAAATGTCACAAATGCGCGAGCAGCAGTACAACTGGGACTGACACAACGAAAAAAAGTTAGTTAGTACGTTATTTTTGTGCGCGAACGAGGAGTGCACTGTTAGAAAGGACGAACGGACGGCAGACCGAAAACGAAACGAAACAAGAATCAAACCAAGCAGAAAAGTGCTGTCTGTTGACTAATCAAACATACTTATCTTTTTTGAGTGCGACTGCGATCTATTTCAAAGAGACGAAAAACATTGGAAGGCACTTGCTTTAACGTCACAAGGAGGAACTTTTCCTCCCTAATTCCAGTCTGACTGTCTTGCTCTAAACAGGTTTTGTATGGGCAGCACGTCAGGACGACGAGGGAAAACACCACGACCGAGTACTATAGAGATAAAAACTAGGGTTTATGGTTTAGCCACATGCATTGCGCGATCCTGAGGTTTCTTGAAGCGCACGATTTCCCGGCCACGTGGACGAAAGTCTCATACTGTTGATGCCTGGTTGGGCACCGCGTTGTAATTGTAATTGTATGTTCATCCTTTACAACTTCCGCTAGTGCATGAAGCTGTAGATTTAGCGCACGCACAAGCCTGTGGTTGATTTGATGTAAAGAAGTCGTTTTCTACTACCTCTTCTAGTCGAGATGTTGTTGTTCCATCGAGCTTGTCTTATGTTGCAACAACCACCTCCGTTCTTCGGAAACTAGTAGTGGAGCAGGGATATAAAATTGAAGCAGTGCTGAAACAGATGAAACCGATTGTAAAAACTGGGGTACAGCTATATTATTTTTTACTTGCGCTTTTTCTATTTTCATTTCAGTTGCGTATTTCTTGGGATCCAATAAATGCCGCGGTGAAAGCATTGAAGAATTGTTAAAAGCAAGTACGAGATGAAGTTTGAGTGTTGTCTCTTGCACCCTTCCAGACCTTTTTGTAATCTACCTGCAATGTTAGTGGGTGCGCAGCAGGAGTAGCGAAGGTAGAGAGCATCAAATTGATGCTCTAGTCCAACCACTCCGAAGCTGCTCCAGAGGGAGCCACAGGCAGAGCGGAAGGGCCACGAGGACGGACGGGGGGAGAAATCCGTAATGTGATAGGGGAATGCCAAATTAGTAAGTAAATGCGAGGTTCAGAAAAAAAAAATGTTGGAATAGAAATCATGCACCCTGCGCAAATTTTCCTAATCGTGATGGTCTCGCAGTTATCGAAATAGGTATGGCTAAGGCTAGGATAAAACGGCTAATGTTAAAAATAGAAAAAACAATAACAATTAGCTTTGCGCTGTTAGTTATGCATACCCCTACGTAGCAGCTGCGCCAGTGCCGATTACGTATTGAAACTATAAAAAACGCTGCGCACTGCTATGATGGGGTCGCCCTTGCTAGAGAAGAAAACAAACTTGCTACATGAAGTGCAGTTTTCGTGTCCTTAATCGTTTTGGCTGTTTCGACACCTCGCGAACCAGTTTCACGACGCTGTCGGCAACTCTCCCTCTGCAAACTCAATCGCCGAACCCAAAAAAGGTATCAGCCTGTGCATGCAAGTCTTCCACTTCCCGTTTCCGAGGAAGCCAGTGCTGTTCCACCAAGGCTGCGACAAGGTGCGCCCGCAGTTGAAATGCGCTAGACGAAGCACTTTCCCAATCCCTTCTGTCTCGCACATGCCGGAAAATCCCCCGCACATCTCGTTGTTCCAACTGACGTCGAGCACTTGCAGGCCCTTCGGAAAAATTTCAGTAGGCTTCTCAGCCTCGTAGCCTTCGCCGGAGTAGACCAGCAGCACCAGGTGGAGCACGAACTGATCCGGAAAAGGTGGCTCCAGGAGGCCAGTTTGTTTGTGGTGGTCCGGCAGTGAGAGCTTTTTCGCAAGCTGAGCTGCCCCCATCATTGATTCCAACCAAGTCTTCCCCGCCGGCCCCTTCTGCCGCATTTGTCTGAAGTTTTGAACCATCACCCCGGTATTAATCTTGTCGCCGAGTTGATGGGTGGGACGCCACGTGCCAAGGACCAGCGACTCATTGTCCCAGGCGCTCAGCAACTCCACGAGGGGCGCACTTACCACGACATCGGTGTCAAGGACGACGCAACGCGCGACACTCGGAAAAAGTTCGAACAAGAACAATTTTGTGAAGCCACCAATTCCAGTCTCGTGCTCGGGGTTTACATGCATGCTTTTGATGTGGTTTTCGATTCCTTCCAGAACTTTGCCTTCGACGAGTACGGTCTCCACTTGCAGACCGTGCAGCGCAGCGGACTGACGTACGATCGCATCGAGGTTCTTGTCCGTCACGTATCGAGTGCAAATATCATGTCTGGGTCGGGAAAGAATGCAAGCTTTGTAAAAGTAATGCTAAACCACCTCCAATTAATGCGTACTGTTGCGGAATTACGTCCTGTTCCGGAATTAACACAGTTTCTCGTTCGTGTTACGCACCACACGACTGTTAAAAAATCTGTCATGCTTGCCAGGCTGCGTACTTTAGGCGTGATTTTATCAGTCGTGCATCGGCTTGATAACCTTGCAGACCCAGGCACATTTGCGATTAGTATCGCGACATGCAACGCAATCGGGGCACTCTGATTTCGCTGCTGTACGCCAAGTGAATAGAGCAGGGCCTGCACCTCCCGCCTTGTTGCTGAGGACTCTTCGCCCATCGCAACAATGCACACGTCGGAGGCTGATTCGGGCACGGGCTGGGCGAACGTCGTTTCGGTAGCGTTCCATCTGCCATGCAACGATCCGACGCTACGCCGCACCTTGCTGATCCGACCGCGACTCGGCAAGCCGAATATGCATTGCCCAAGAGGGGGGTGTTGATGAAAATGCGCGTGCGCGTCAGTGTGTTCGTTGCTTTCATGGTTTGCGCCATCACATGTTAACATAGCGGAACTTATGTGTCTGTCTACATGTGGCCGCAATCATAGGCCACAAGCCTATCAAATTCAAAAGCAGAGCCGCGATGGCCTTGGAAAATACTTACATTTCTTCCATTTTGAGCACCCCCCCCTCGGCGACGACATACCAACGCCCTTCGCTCGGTCGGGTTTGTCAGTCGGCCAGACGTAGCCGTACACATGAAGGTGGGAGGGGGTAGCTCCCCCGCACTGCTTAGAAAATAGAAGCGTAGGCCAGAATGCGTCCCATTGAGTCGCAACCATGAGCACCCACGGGAACGGCCGCGGCGCCAAGCTGCCTTTCGCCTTCGTCATTTGTGATGGCTTTCGCGAGAAGCCGGGTTTGGACATTTTCTGTTGTTCCGGTTGAAGGTGTTGAAGATCTACTTTTTCCCGGGACGATCTTGAACAGGTACAGTAAGAAGACAAACTGAAGCCTGCTCCACCCAAATTTTGGAAAACAAACACAGCAAGCAGGCACGACACGGGCAAGGCAAACTAAAAGAGCCGGGGCGGGGGCTACGGAAAGTGACTTGCTAACTTATAAATAGTACGCGAGGCCCGACAGGTCGAGTTGGTCTTTGTTCATCGGGGGGGAGGTAGCACAGTAGTAAAAACTGGAGCTGTAGTTGTAGTTGGTACGTAAGCGCATCACGACGAATGTTGTATATCGCAGCGTGCTAAAACTTTTTGCTGTTCGTATAGTAGATTAAGTAATAACGGGCATTTGATCTTTTTCGGATACGAAGTACCGAGAAGTGAGGACGACAGGTTGCAGGACGACATCTGCGAGAAAGGACAGAGACTTCGCTGTTGAACCTAAAGGAACGTAGCTGGACAAAACCGAAAGTCAAACAAAATCACTGTCTGCAAGATGGGAGTGGCGCACAAGAACGATAGGTTCGCACACTGCATCTCAACATCCAGCTTCTTGTTTTTTCTTTCCTTTGTATAGAAAACTGTGTTGAACGAGCACGAGGAATGCACCTTTAGAAACAACGAACGGACGGAAGACCGAAAACGAAAAGAAACAGGACGAGGGAAAACACCACGACCGAGAACTTCTATAGAGATGTTGAAAGCTACCAGAATGCATTGCGAAAAGATCCTGAGGCTTTACTAAGCGCATGATCTCCATCAATACGATGACCAGATTTGGCGACGAGACTCGAAACACGATTCTGAATTGCATTTGCAACGAGAAAACAAGCACTTACATACTACCTTTGGCGCTGAGTTGTAGGTTGGCACATATGAATGGTCAAAAGAGCTTCATAACGAGAATCAGCGAATGTTCCACTGAGTGAAAAAACCGAACAGCTTTCACAAAAAATATTTTTGCTCTTGAGTACCCGCGGAGAATCCTCAACAGCACGAGCATCAGCGAGATGACAAAGATCTATAAATTTTGGAGAAAAAGGTCAAACACGCATGTGAAACAGGCTAACGTTTAGACCGGACATATTTGTAATAGCATCGAGATTCAGTACTTTTCCTTTTCAACAAAAAGATGATTTTTCTTCCAACAGCGATTTGTTCGAGGGTATTTTATGTCGTTGACTCACTCACCACCGAAGTGGGTGCCTTCGCCTGAGCCGGTGAACAAGAGTGCATTGAAGTCCCAACTTTCTCTTCTTTCAAAGTTGCATTCTTTCTTTCATCATTCTTTTTTATTTTTCATTTTCTGTTTTTTGTTCTTTCTAAAAGTTCACACTTGTCTTGCGGTTTCTCTTGCTTCCTTCGAATTTGTAATGCGTATTTTGTAGCTTGACTTTCGAGAGCTGTTAACTGACGGGTCGAAAAATATATAGTAATATTCTTGCCTACCGTGATATCTTTAAGCGCAAGGTCTACTACAAAATGGGTCCTGTTTGCATTACAAATTTCAAAGTCATCCAATCTGTCATGCTGGATACAAGGATGGCAAATCTGGGGCATTCGTGTTCTGTTCGCGAAACAGGATAAGTCGGGCATATTCGTCCAGGAGAGCATTACAAATTTTAAGGATGTAAAATCTGTCATGCTTGTGGCCGTTCTGCTCGCTTTTGCCAAGGTATCCTTTCCCATGCAGTTTTCAAACGTTTAGGGCTTTTTGTACACGAACGATTAAGAAAACAAGAGAAGAAAAACATCAACATCGCACACCGTCCTAAGTGCAACAGCACACAGGAAGGCAATACGAACAATTTGTATTGTTCCTGTTCGCCCCTCTTTGCATGAACTTGTTCTGATTCTTGAAGCCTACGTTTTTCGACGTTTATAACTGGGGGCTTTACAACTTCAAGATCAGACCTTGTTTTGCATTTTACAAAAAAACAAAAACAAAATCATGCGCGCCCGGCACCATGGCGAAGAGGTGCAGAGATAAGGTGTCCCGCGAGTGGCGAAAACAGAACATCCACGAACCACGGGAGCGACTTGAAGCGCAACAGGAAAAGGCGGAACGCGAACACAAGCAGCACCTGTTGAGCACGAGTTGTAGGTTGGCACAACAAGCACAACGACGGGGAAAGTTATTTTCCCACGTGCGGTAATAATCATCTTCATCATATCTGCAAGAATACAACACTTGCGTTTCCAAGAACGACGTCCTCGTGTTTACGCACCACGGCCTTCAAAAAAAAAGCGAAATCCAAATCATACATTATCTATTAAGTTTTATCTAATTCCTAACAGAAGTACTTGACCAACTAACATGGTACGCAGTAAAAAAGGCACGCTTCTTTATTCCACCCCTCGCACTAAAAGAAGGAGCGTCGACATCTTCACTAGAGCTAATGCTGACTCCAGCCGCGCGGGAAAAACTTGTCCCCGCAGGCTGTTGCAACGACCATAAGAAGAATAAACTGCAATTCGATTCTAGATGAAGACCTCCAAGTTGTTGTACCTCTCTATTTCTTCATTTCTCCTCCGCGGGCTAGTAAATGATGTGCGTGGGCGTGGCACTGTCCTATAGTGGTCAATCTCAATAATTATTAACACGCTTTCTCATCCTTCAGCTGTGTACATCGGCCATGCAGAAATTGGAATGCCGCTCTTCGTTTTTTGGCGGCCCTTAGTATAGTAGTCGAACCTCCAAACGTCAGATGTACAACGCTAGACTATTTTTTCGAAAATTCTTATAATACTATAGGCCTAGTAGTAGAGGATTGTACAGGGAATTGTAGGCTACAAATTTGTTTGTGAATTGTCCAGCTCAAGATTTCGTTTTGAAAAACGCGCCATCATTCTTAAATTATTATCCATGTCACAATCGAAAGCATCTCCTAGTGATACTTACAAAGCTCCTGCCATTTGTCTTCTATCTTGACCTGTGCCGGAAATAAGAGAAATAGGAACCGGGCTAGGTTTCGCTTCCAACCCTTAATACGTACATTGGACTACTACAGGCGAAGTGCTTTATCTATTTTTCATCTACGTTGTTCAAGCAAGAACGGTACCGCTTTTATTTTTGTTTTTCCCCACTTCACGACGTAAAAATATTCACATCGAGAAATTTTTGTTCGAAATCGAAAATATGTATATGTTGTAAAGTGAAATCATACATAAGTTTGCACCCGAAAGCGAAGGAGCAAGAAAAATCATTATACAGTTTGATACACGACCCAAAAGCGAAGGTGCGCGAGAGGGCTGTGTTTCATGTGCGACAATTGTACAGTATGTAGGGCATATTATTTGTTCCAAAAAAATCTCCAAGCAGGATTACATTTACAATTGCTTTCGCTATTAAAATTCCTGTTTTATCTGCTTCCCATAATTCTTGCGACAAATATTCATCTGGATAGGTCTGGTGTCCCGTCATGCTTCCTAAGTGTAGCTTCGCCTACTTCTCAGATGCGTCATCTTCCGTTCGTATATGATTTATTAATGCCCGCACGAAGTGTTATTTGGTCTTCTTATGCCCACGACCGGCTTTCTGTACATATTCGCAAGTTGTATTTGTATCAACATAGATACGGATATAATCACTATTTTCATTTGTAGGTGAAAGTCCACCCGTTTCTGTCATGTTCCACTTCCACCCTCTTCAGCATGATCATTCAGCGCATGTTGTTTCCATAGGTAAGGTAGAGAGCACCCCCGCCTGCAATCAGCGCTGCACCTTTACCGAGGCGTTTCAAGGAGAAAAAACGTAACACCTACATCTTCGAGTTTCTGCCTCTGGTGTAAATAACACGAAAAGTACTTACTATGTTCAACATCTACTACTTCCACCTTACCAGCTAGAAGTAATAGAGACGACCAAGTTGTAGAAGCCGCAAAGGCCTTCTTCAAAGAAACTACATGAAATGCATCAAGCTGCAGAAAAATATAAAAATCATCTTGTGAAATCTGTATTGCGAAAACTACATCAGCGAAGGTTCTTCGCTTGCATCCTGAATGACAAGACACCATGCTGCGTTTTTTCATCCTTTGATAGTACTCTGGCTGCGCCTGTCATCAAGTCCGGGGACAGCGGGAGCTGGCGCCCGCCCTCCGTCCTCCGTTTCGTGCCCAATTGTATCTATCCTGTGTAAGTAAAAACGTCCCCACTTGTCATGCAAATCTGCAGGGGGCCTAAAATGCTTCTCACCGTGTGAAGCTACGTGCCATGAGAGCTATTTTCTGAATGCAATGGAATTGGAACTTGTCATGCTCTATCTGAAAATAAGGCTCGATAGCGTATGCTATCAATCGATTTGCGATTTGGCTGCACTAGTCAAATGAAACGGCTGTACTGCGGATAGCCCAAATTTGTCGCGGGCAGCGGCAGCAGCCAAAAGTTTATTGCGATGGCGCAGATTTTTTCTCATCTACTTGACTATGGGCGGGAGGAGGTGGGGATGTTTTATTTACACCGGATATCAATATCATCGTCAAGCGCCTGATTATGCGAGCCCTCGGTCTTATCCGCGACCTGCAAGTGGCCCCTGAGGTTGCCGCAAGTTTTTGGCGGGCCCATTTTTGTAACCACGACCTTGCAGGAGCTGGTGCCCGAACTCTCGTCTCCTGCGCAGGAGGAGGCTATCCAAGAAAAAAAGATTCTAGGTGTATACTTTCTTGGAGGATCAGCATTGCAAATATCTCTGGCATGACATCATGCGCAGATAGTACCAGAAAACGCCCTTGAATGGACCCTACAATGCATCCCTAGCATGAAAGACGCAGTCATCTTATAAATATGTTGCGCATCACAAATTTACACTAAACACGTTTTTTTCTTGGATAGAGGTGTCAACAACTCCACTAGTGCTCGTCTCCGCAGCAAAGCACATCACTTCTTCACTGCCTTGCGGAACGTCAATCACGTCGAAGATCGAAGGCAAGCATTGGTCATTATGATCCTGTTTTTCGTCTTCACTCTCGGGTTGCTGCTCCTGCGCCACGGTCTTCTCCTGCGCCGCTGGGGCAGTATTGGAAGTACTAAACCAGGAGGACAGGAGAGACGCTGCATTTGCTTCCGCCAAAGGATCCGCTGAGTGGCGACCGGCGAGCAGAGAGCGCGGTGCTTGCCCGGCCGAACAGGTGGGTCGGCCAGGTCGCGAACAGTGAGTACCGTTGGAGACCGAGATGAGGTCCTCGCTTAGCGGCGATGCGCAGACGCTGGCCGGATCGCGCCGGCCAGACTCCCAAGCGAAAATCAAGACGAAGGACACGAAAAGCAGCTTTTCCACCTTGCGCCGCAACACCGTGCAGGCCGCGCCGTACCGATGCTCGTCGCGGGTCGTGGTGACGATGTGTGTCGTGGTTGCCGTGGGGTGCAGCTCCTGGTCAAGGACCGCGTCCGTTCCTGAAGATACGAGTTCAGCATCAACATCATCCGGGACCGGGAGGTGGACGGTTTCGTCTTCTCCCTCTTCGTCTTCTTCCTCATCCGGCAAAACTACAGCGTCTCCGTTTTCATCCTGATGCAATTCGTCCTGCGTGGATGAAGTAGACGGTCTCGCACCTGCCGTCTCCGAAGACGAGTCCCCAGGGGGGAGCAGGCCGTCATTACCGGACGAGGTCTCCTGATGCTGATCTTCCTTAGCCACGACCTGCGTTGAGGACGTACTGGCAGTATTGTCTTCGTTTCCGATGTGTAGCTGCTGCTGCTCAACAGCCGCTCCTCCTTCATCCTCCACCACGAGCTCGTCGCCGGTTTGGGTTTTTCCAGCAGGTTTATCGTGAAGAAATTTGATGTTCACGGGTTGGTTTTGTTCAATGTCTTTCAGAATTTGCAAATTGAAACTCGACTTGTGCCCCTTACTATTCTTGGCCGCCAGTTCCAACGCCGCGGCCGCACGGTGCAGGAGGGCATTTCTCATCTCGGGGCTCTTAACTTTCCGGCACAGATCCCGCGTGATTTCCGCAAAGGCAAGCAGTAACTCCTCTCCGAACTCCGGTTGCAGCGTTGCGCCCAGGTGCAACCCCACACTGACCATCGCCTCCGCCGACATTGTGTGCAAAAAGTTGAGAACCGGGTGAAGGGCATGACGGTATTTTACTAGTTGTTCCTGTTTCTCATCATGTTGACTTCGGGTCACGTCGCCGTCGTCTTCGCTATGCTGCTGCTGGTCGTGGCCCTGGCCCTGGTCCTGACCTGCAAATTTTTGCCCCCGCACTACTTGGACATAGTTGATCAAAAGCTGCTGCAACGAGGCCGCAGCGCCGGCGATCCTTTCTGCGACCCGGGTGAATTTGCTTTTCCTGGCACAAGAAATGGGAGCGCCAGCGCCAGCAGCTGCTCTTGTAGTACTATTTCCATCTTGCTGCAACCGTTCCTGCCCTGCAGAGGAAGCTTCTTCCGCAGCTCCACCTCCCGCAGCTGCATCTCCCGCAGTTGCATCTCCCACAGCTGCATCTCCCGCAGCTGCATCTCCCGCAGCTGCATCTCCCGCAGCTGCATCTCCCGCAGTTGCATCTCCCGCCGCAACACGAAGTTCCTCGGGTCGAACTTCCACTTCCGCTTCCATTCCAGGAAGCAAGGGCCACGATTTGGTGCGGCTCAAGGAAGCGTTGCCAGTGGTGAGTGGAGTCGTCTCCTGGCGCTGCAAGTCCTGGAACGATTGCGAGCGGCTGAGCGGAGAATTCGTGCTGGGAATAAATGCCTCTTCAACATGCGAGTCAATTTGAGTCTCTCGTCCCTGCACCACGTCGTCCGCTGTCACAACGGCGCCAAGCGGTTGTGTGGTTGGAGTTTGCCCTGTAGTCGCTGCAGTCCCCGTTCCTGTCGGAAGATGAACCGCTGTAAAGCGAGAGGCAGCGCTGGGGCTGGCAGCCCTGCTCGGTGGTGGAGTGTTTTCGACGCCCGACGAGAACGAGGACCCACTCGCTCCACCGGGGAACAAAGACGGCTGCTCCGGGGCGGAGGGCTCCGAGGCAGCAGCTGTGAAGGTGGTACGAGGGCTAGCTGAGCCGCTTGCAATCGCATCGCGGTCGCTAGACGTTGAGGTAGCAGCAGCAGCAGCAGCAGTAGCAGGATCAGCATTTCCCTCCAAGTGGCCGGCTGGAGATCTTTGCGTGCTTCCCGATGCAGGAGCCGTAGGTCCGCTTGGGTCCAACTCTTCAGAGGTGCTTATTGTACCGTCATTCCCGGTGGTTGTTCCCGGCGCGGCCAGAGTTGATGTTGTGCCACTGGTCCCAGCAGCATTTGCCGGATCCGCTCCATTCGGGGGAAGTGACGTGGCAGTGCTACCCGGAGCGGCAGTGCTGCCGGGTGTGGCAGTGCTGCCCGGTGCGGCAGTGCTGCCGGGTGTGGCAGTGCTGCCCGGTGCGGCAGTGCTGCCCGGAGCGGCAGTGCTGCCCGGAGCGGCAGTGCTGCCCGCTGCGGCAGTGCTGCCCGGTGCGGCAGTGCCTGGTGCGGCAGTGCTGCTCGACGCGGCAGTGCCTGGCGTTGCAGTGCCCGGTGCGGCAGTGCTGCCCGGTGCGGCAGTACCAACCGGCGTCGCAGTGCTCGGAGCGGCACCCCCACGTCCAAGTGCAGGCGGCGCTGCAGAAGAAGATGAAGCCGAGGGCAAAACAGTAGCAGAAGGCACCCCTGGAGTAGTCACCGTAACTGGATTAACAGTTGCCGCGTTACCCTGGTTGGTATTCCCGGTGCTATTGGTCCGAAGTAGAACCGGCGGGGCAGTTGTTCCGGTACTGGTCCCCACGACCGCGGGGGGCGGACGGGTGCCCGGCGCGCCAGCATTGTTGTTTCCACCTTGAAGAACCGCGACCGCTGGCACCTCCGGCTGGTTTATCACATGTAAAAATGTCTGGGTCTGGAAACTTGTGATGCTGGGTGGCGTCTCATGATGAGGCTACAGATGCTGGCTCAGCATGACAAGTTTCTGAGCTCCTAGGTGTTGCCTATTCTGCATGACAAGCTGCGCTTCTGCATCACAGAAAAACGGAGCTCTTGGGTAACATGCATGACAGATTTAAGAGTCATGCCAGACAAGCATGACAAACATGAATTCTTCCAGACCCAGACATTTTTACATTTGATATGGTTGTGCAGTGCCCGAAAGGCGTTCACGAGCTGCTGCAACTGCGTGTTCCGAAAGGCTTTTTTTCCGTCCGGCAGGAGGAAAAAACGCCCCGCCGTCTCGTCCGCATAGTACGCCGGCTCGAAGTTGTAGGAGACAGAGGTGTATGCATTGCAAATATGTCTGGATCTGGAAGAGCGCAAGGTTTGTCATGCTCGACCAGCATGCCTCTCAAATCTGTGATGCATGTTACCTAAACGCCCCATTTTTATGTAATGCAGAAACGCAGTTTGGCATGCAGAATGGGCAACACCTAGCAAGTAAAAAATCTGTTATGCGCGGTCGTCAATCGAAGTGTCCGCATGATCGTTCAACCAGCATCACAAGTTTCCCGACCCAGACAGATTTGCAATGCATAAAGTGTTTTCGCCCGTGTGTGCGTCTTTCACCACTGCGAGCACCGGGTACTCGCAGAGAACGTCGACTTCAACACGTGCCGTGCCAGAAGTTTTGGTACTAGACGTGGAAATATTTCTCGCGTCCTTGCACATAAAAGCGGCCGGGAATCCTGGTTTTCCTTGCAGTCCTCCTACTTGTTGATCATTCCCGCCCGGGTTCATTTGGGAGAAAACGGAAGATCCACCGTTCTGGTCGTTCCAAAGCTCCGAAAACTGCTTCAGTGCCGTGTTGGAAAGCATAACGGGCATCACATGGATCTCGTCGTTTGGAGCTGCATCCCCTTCGTCGTCACCGTTGCTGGCAGCGGCCTGCTGCTCCTGGGCAGCTACTTCATCTTGCGTCGACCACGTCGAGAGGAACTTTTTTTGCACTAGTTGATGATCCTGCTTCATCTTGTTCTGCAGAAGCAGTTGTTGACGTTGTTGCCGAGGAGCTCCTGCAGTTCCACCCGGCTTCTGCACCTCTTCCACTTCCAGCTGCGCACCGCTCACGGGACAGAAACATTTTCCGTCGACGGGCACGTTTGCGCAGGCTTTTTCCGCGACCGGGCGGGCCAGGGTCAAACCAGAGCTCACAACCACCGGGTCGGAGCCGATTGCAGCCATATTTTGCTGCACGAAGTCGTTGAGCTGCTTCAGCTCCGGGCGAGAGACCAGAAGCTGGTTCTGGTTGTTACCTCCCGGAGTAGAAACATTAGTGCCATTGCCGTTGCCGTTGCCCCCAGGATGGCTCCCGCCCACCGGGTGCTGTTGCTCTGCTTCCGCCTGTTCACGTAGGTGGTGCTGGTACCGCAACCCCAGGGGCACGCCGATGCCCAAACCCAAGCCGATTACCAAGAGAGACACGCCAGCAATGATAGCAATGGTCCAGAACCTTTTCGAGGAAGTTTGCGGAGTGCTGCTGGTGCAGCTTTCGCGTCCCGTATCCAAAGGAAAAATCCCCCCCCCCCATATCAAAAGGAAGTTTCTGATGCTGGATTTGCGTACAAAAATCAGCTTTGTATTGTAGAGAAGCATTGCGGGCAGATCTCCAGGCTGGATAGGGGCGTATGTGTCTAGTTCCTCAGCATGGCAAACGGCTCCCATGACAAATCGCCTCCATAATGGGGCGAAAGCTCCTGCCCTCGTCTTCTTGCAAGACGGATGTGATTTGTGACCTCAAATCAGCAATACAAATTTTCGAAGTCATACCTTTTCGATATGGGGAGGGGGGATTTTTCCTTTCAATATCCCGCCGCGGCGGGGTACGTCTTCGTCTTCTTCTTTCCACCAATGGTCTTCGTATGCTCCTCGTCGGTCGTCTCATCTGCGTCCCCGCGGCCCTCGCCGGTCAGCAGGGAGGAATTTTCATCCACCTCATAATGGATTTCATCGTGGCGAAAAGAATCCGCCGTCCCCGCCTCGAGGTCACCATGATGTTGGGTGGCCATATTGCTCGCAGGATCCTCGTATCAAATGTAAAAATGTCTGGGTCTGGAAGATTGCAACTTGTGATGCTGCATTTGGATGTGTAAAAAATTTGTGTAGCATGCCCATGCGCAGCGAACGGATTCTAATCTTTGCTACGCGGGGAGGGCATCTGTCATGCGGAATAGGCATCAAGAATCCCTCAAAAAACCTGTGATGCTAGGGCATGCATCACAGACATCTCGGCTCATGCAAACCGTGCATGACAAGTCCCAGCATCTTCCAGACCCAGACATTTTTACGATCCATACCTCGGCACCAGCCGCCGGATAGCTGCGGTGGGCCGGCGCAGCGACCTTGGATTGGTAAGTGAATGAAAGATTGGTATCCATTTTCCAAAACAGGAGGGTATTATACCTTTATTCCTGGTAAATTGTTATTTGATGTGTACTAGTTCTTCAGAAGTTAGTTGTTGGCTTGAGTAATTCTTTGGGATCTCAGCAAAAGTAGATTATACAAAGTAAAGTTAGTGACCACAAAAGTTGTTATCAAATTTTTTATTTTACAGTAGGAGTATCAAGAAATTGGTTAGGTATAATTTTACAAAGTTGCGAATACGTCGATGTATTCTGTTCCTTCAAAGAGACGATGCTGTTCCCTGTTAGAAGTAGAGTAGTACGGAGATTTCGTTGCAGCTTCGAAAAAAGATTTGGAACTGGTGCTGGTAGCTGCACTGTGCGATAATTCTATATTTGCAGCAGCTGTATCATTCGGTCAAGATGGATTCGGAAATAGAGAACCAGTGGCGTAAGACTATGAACTACTAGCTACGCAATACTATTTTCACGAGTTCCCTCCGTGTTCGTCTCCGACATTTCATATTTATGTTTTTTGTGTTCACTAACAGTTCCAGTGAGTTGTGAGTCAGACGAAACATTGTACTGACTCAACGACCCCTTAAAGCTGGCAAGTAGCAGAATTCCTAGATCTAGCTATGATGTACAACGAGCCGGTCATTTTATTTTTACGCATGTTCATTTATTTCTACGTTGAGAAGGAAAGTGTTTAGATTTATAGATACTACTTCTTCTGGTGATTTCTGCCTGCTGATCGCCCCGCAAACATTCAAGATCAAGATCTACTTCTAGCGGACAATTAGGGAAAAGCAAATGACTTAATACTAGAAAAACGCAAGGGTCAAGGTGCGTAAAGTCTTGTCGGAAAAATTTCAGTTCGATTTGGGCGCCTCGAAGATGATTTGCCCTCAGGACGCAATTCCTCAAAGTCAAACTTTTTGTTTTTTGGCAAAGAATAACTGATCATCGTCATGATCCCTACAACAAAGTAGACAATTCGAAAAATAAACAGGGGATCATTACACAAGAAATGGAAGCGCAGACCGTGCGTGTCGACAGGACGGAACAGTGTTGAGCAATTTCATTTTTAGATCAAAATGTTCTTCATAACTTCCGCGTCACTGGAACACCACTCCATTTGCGCGTCGCTGACATCTATTCAATGCAAATACGTCTGGGTCTGCAAACTTGTAATGCAAATACGTAATTACAAGGGGTCTGCAAACTTGTAATGCTGAGTTGTGAATCCTCCCTCCGTCAAGAGCAAGACTTAGAAATATTTGCGCGTTTTCGTGTTGCTTTTTCCGCATGACAAACACAAACTGCGTTTTTGCATGACAAACAAAAGGGTCTCTTTTACGACACGCATGACAAGCTCTTCCGTCGTGCCAGACCAGCATGACAAACTTTGCAAGCTGTTCAAGAGGACCCAGACATATTTGCAATGCATAGCATCCGTGAACCTACAACCTTCGATGTGTTCTCCCGGGCGTGTCGTGTTGTATCAAACGTCTTCGTGACTGCGGCTGCGTAGTTGAGTAGAAACTGAAACACTCATATTACCGCGCAATCTGATGACGCGAGAAACTGAAAGATTGAAAGCCGAAACTCACATGTAAAATCGAATTTTGTAAAAATCTGTACGAAACATTCATACACACGGACACGGTCATTTTTTCAACTAAAAACAGCTGTGTAGTTGCCGATCTATAATTCACATCGACGGAAAGAAGCGAGATAATTGAATCATACAGTAGACATGAACCTCCTGGTCGTACGTTTTATCTGTCTTTTGAAAAATTTCCTTCTCCGCTCGGGCAGCACTGACCGGTGACGCGAAAAACCACTGTCGCGTCGTCTTCTCGGATCTACTGCCCGTTATTGTTTTTCATCTGCACTTGCGTGCAAAAGGTACACGTCGACTTTTCATTGCATGCTAGCGCAAATTAGCTCATGAAGACCTTCTGCGGAAAAACAGTCTTTCGAGTCCACCCGCAAGTCGCGCACGCAGCCCTCCGCTGGTTTGCGAGCTGTCGCTACGGGCGTCTTCATCGGCAGAGTCGTTTAGGTTTTGTCGACCAGTATCACTTGCAATGGTACTAAAACCGGCATTTTTGTCAACGCCACCACCTGGAGTAGAAGTTGTAGCCACGGAGTCGTCGATGAAGGTGGTCTTATTTATCTCGCCACGACTTTCCTCGACGTTACCTTCTTCTAGCGGACGAACTGAGGCACTGGAAGTAGAGACATCATGCCCAACACCACTCTGGGTTTGAACTGCATCTTCAGCACTCGCGGTTTGTAGCGTGGAGTCCGGGCCACCGTCCTCTGGCTCCTGGACCGCCGCGCGTTCCTCCGTTGCAACTTCTCCCGTGAGGGAATCAGCAGTATAATTTCCGGCCACGACAGGAGGCTCTGCTTCGACATTTTGTTCCAGGGAAGAAGTAGTGGCTTCCGCATCAACCCCTGCGGTCGTATCATCTCTCGCACCAGCGGCCGTCACAGCAGCCGCGGTCGAGAATCCTCGGTCCGCGCCGATATAATTAGCCTCCTCGGGCGGTGACGTCGGAAGGGGAGGAGGAGGGGGTGCAGATGACACCGTATCGACGACGTCCGTGGTACCAAGAACCCGACGACCCGCATCCTTGATGCTTTCTTCATCTTCGAAAGCTGCAGGAACTGACGGATCTGTAGTTACGTCACCTCCTTGCAGCAGCTCCACATGCGCCCGCTCATGATCCTCGGCGGTAGCAAGAACACCGTCGGCAGTTCTTTCCATAGTACCTTGATGTCCCTGTGCCTGTCCCAGATCGGTGTCGACATTATCACCTTCATTGTCAACACCCGCTTTTTGACTAGACGAGCCTGTCTCTAGTGCTGCCTCCGCGCCTCGCTCCGACACATGATGATGAGCCTCGGAAGTATCATCGATTCCACCATCCTTTCCAGGACCTTCTACTCGCTGAGCCACTCCACCCCCGTGCTCTACTACTTCAGTGGAGTCATCCCCTGCTACAGCCACGGCTGCGGAAAATTCGGCTGTGCCTTGATCTAGAAGCATCGGGTCGTGGTCGTCGTGTCCCGTACTCGATCTGGGGAACCGTTCATCTCGCGGTTCCTCCTGCGGCTCAACACCTTGCCCCTGGTGCGCGTCGTGCAGCGGAGAACTACTTGCACCATTCACCACCACATCACCGTCAGTCGCGTAATTCGCACCAGATTCAACGCCGGCGCTCTCCTGAGGCGGATCATGCGAAGCGGCAGTAGCAGCTCCCTCTACAGAGGTCCTGGCACTAGCGGTTTCAGCATTCGGGAAGATATCAGCTTCGACGCCCTGCTGTTCCACTTGCCCATGAGTTTCGCGCTGGAGGTCGAGTTCTCCTTTTTCTATTTCCGTTTCCGCAGAATTAGATTCGTGCTCCACCGCCTGTTCCTGTGTTGGGAGATGTTGACCACTAGGACTAGCAGCGACCTCCTCGGGCTGCACATCAACTCGGAGTTCCTGGACCTGTTCCGCAGCGCTCATCATGTTCTGTTCGGTAGTTCCGATGTTATTTCCACCTAAAACGACCGCGTGCTCTTCACCCAAAGCTGTGGCTCCCGTCGTGCCTGCTGCACGGGGACCCGGTGCTATGATCTTCGTGGAACTTGATACTCCTCGTGTAGTACCCGCTTCCTGAAGTAGGTCCTCCGGCGAAGACGAGTCGTCATCTGGTGCAGGCGAGGCCTGACGCGGGCGGCGAACAACAACAGGGCTTCGCCGGCCACGTTGTGGCATCGGGCTTCTCTTGCTCCGGACCTTCGGGTGCGGCACGCCTTTCGGCGACGGTGCAGCAGGTATGCCTTGCAAATATGTCTGGATCTGGAAGGTTTCAACTTGTGATGCTGGATTTCGATTCTACAACAAATCTGTATTGCGTGAACAGCAAAAGAGGTCCAGTTTTTACCATGGCGAGAGGGCATTTCTGATGAGGTATGGGCATCAGGAAGCCGTCGTAAAATCTGTGATGCTAGGGCATGCATCACAGACATCAGGAGTCATGCAAAATGCGCATGACAAACCTTGCATCCTCCCAGACCCAGACATTTTTGCACTTGATAGCACGCTTCGCAGCAGCGGGTTTTGGCGCAGCAGGCTCAGGATCTGTATCGCTATCGTCCGAATCTGATGTTGAAGTACCTCTTGCTCTTGCCGAGGACGAGTTTTTGTTGTCATTCATGTTAGAAGTGGTGGTCGACGTCCCACGAAGTAGATTTTGTTGTTCCGGCGATGAACTCCGTCCGCCGAGCACAGGAATCAGATTATCTTCGACCATATCAGAGGACACTGTAGCCGCTCTCGTCGGCGCAGCTTCCGGTACCTCGATGGACACGCGATCGTGCTGTGGTATAGCCGACTCGCCGGCGGGGTTGTCTAGTACCTCCCGAGTGGCAGGCTCGATGTTGTTTGCCATAGGATCATAGTGCTCTTGCGTCCTTTGCCCCCTAGTCTCATCTGAGTCATTGTCTAGTGCCGGGATTACAACCATAGGCGGCTCAGCACTTCTTTCCATATCATAGTAAGGGCCAGTGCCAATTTGAGGCGCGCCTTGTTCCGAGGGATATAAATTGCCGCTTTCCGATCTTCGCGGGGAGAGTGGCTCCGGTTCCGTCTGAACTACACGAGTAGCTGCAGCATCGTGGTTTAGTTCTTCATCATCAGTTCTTGTGGACCCAGGTCTATATACGCTTTCGCTTATTTCCGGTCGTGGCGATAGTGTCTCCACTCTATGAGGGCTCAGATAGGGCACAGCCGGTGGAGGTGGCATGTTGTTGGGATGCGCTGTGGTGGCTTCCTGATGTTCTTCGTCCGACGAGGAAGTAACTACTTCTGTGGTCGTGACACTCTCGGCAGATCTTTGTCTCATCAACGGTCCAACCTCTGAGGACGGCGGTTCGGCTGCTTGCGTGGTCCTCTCAGACGCGGCGGCAGTGGTGCTCTCGTGTGCGCCTGGTGAACCTGGAAGTGTTGTAGCATCTCCAAAAACTGGATCTACATCTACTGCCTCATATGCCGCTGCATCAGTTGTGTCATCTTGTACAGCAGCTACTTCCATCACCGCCACACCCGCGGACTCATCTTTCGCAGATAGGATAGCCGAGGTTCGGATTGGCGCCGACGACGCGGCAAGAAAGCCGACATCTCCATCCAGATGCCGCTGCTCGTCATGATGTGGTCCACCACCCACCGCAGGAGACGAGAGGGTCGCGTGGACAGCACCATGCTCTTCGGAACGAGGAGCACTTATTTCTTCTTGCGTGTCGTGCTCCCGATGGTCGGTTTCCGACACCTGTTGCTCCGGTTGTCGTGCAGGAAGCACAGAGATCATACCCAGACTGCCTTCATCTCCCGCTGCACCTGCGCTTCCATCAGATAGTGTGCCTCCATGCTCAGCCGCTTGGTGTTCGAGTGCGATAGGCGGCAAATAGCCACGTTCATCCGCCGAGAAGATGTTTCCACTCTCCTGTTCCGATACAGCGGACACATCTTTTCGCTCCAGTTCCTGCTCGAAGTTGCTGTGCCCGTGGAGTAGACCTCCACGTGAGCTGCGGCCCTGTGGTCTTCTGCTCGCGGGGGACGCCGAGCGCGGCGAACCAGCGTCGTCCGAATCCGATGTAGTATCTGAAGAAGATGATGTTGATCGTCCCACATCGAAGATAGTTACGCTAGAGGGATGACCAGCTACTCCAGTCTCCGCTTCTTCCTCCCCGGCAGCGGTGGCGCGACCCGCTTCGTTGTGCGAAGGAACATGTCCTTGCAACAAGGCTCTACTTGCACTACCGTCGTCGTTCACGGTGACGACCTGCGAGGAGGGGGTAACTACATCGAACTCCAAAGAACCCACGTTTCTCGCAGCATCCGAAGCTCCTGCAACACGTGCCAAATCCGAATCCGCGTCCATGTTCGCAGCAGCATCTTCACGCTCCTGCACCGGGGGTACGACGAATACATTTTCTGTCGCTGACTCCGCACCATGATGCTGTGCGGCTGCACCGAGGGCGACGTGTGAGGAATCCGCGATCGAGGTGGCCGCATCAGGGGAGCTCGCTTCCAGATGGTCCACCTGCTGCGCGTGTTCCAAAGCTGCAGGTTCGGTGGGTCTGTCGTCGTCATCCGCAACATTCGCATGTGACTCATACATAGCCATATGAGGTACCATAGAAGCACGACTTGCTTCGGATAATTGGGCACTAGCACCTGTGTCGAGGGAGGTTGCTAACATAGTAGGTGTATGATATTCCTCCCGTTCTTGCGCACCATCTTCCTCCATTTGCGTTGGTAAAACACCTGTCAGATGCAGGAGATTCTCCGAAGGTCCCGGAAGGTTGCCGCTTGCCGTGTAGGTGTCCTGCTGGTCGGCAACAGTATTGACCTCGTCTGTTTGTCCTCGCGAGATTGCAGCGGCAGTAGCAGGATCTTCACCTGCGTTCATCGTTCCTCCGGGCTGCGATAAAGCCGCAAGCGAATTTGCGACATGAGCTCGTCCTGCAGAAGACCCGACCGCTGCGCGCACCTCGGGTAGTCCTCGTGCTTGCGAGGCTGCGTCCAGATTGCAGCCCCCTTGTTCTTCCGGGTGGACTCCACTTGTTATCGTGTTCGTGTCGGCTTGCCGCGAGGAATCCATGTGGAACTCCTCCTCCACGATCACGTCATCCAGGTTCGCTATATCACAGTCCGGAGCTAGCGCTTGCTCCCGTAGTACGACCCGCGCGGCGACGTGTGATGTCTCTCCCGCCGCAGCAACACCTGTCCTGATGTGCGCGCTGCTCGCGTTTGAGATCGTGATTTCGGAAGATACGTCAGACGGCGCTCGTGGTACCGCGGCGTGCGCGCCGAACACATCTCGCTCTTCCTCGTCGTGTAGTTCCGGCGCTGCGGAGGTTATTACTGGGTCGTCCTGATGCTGCTGAGGCAGCAACCCTGCGTGCGGGTGCGCGGTTTCCCGTGTGCTATCTGGATTTTCTTGCGCTGGACCACCCCCAAGGCTTGGGGGCGAAGGTAAAGGCTCATCGGAAGTTTGTGCTGGACCACCCCCATGACTTGGGGGCGGATGTGAGGGCTCATTCGGATGGGAGTTCCCGCTCTGATGATTCCCGTGTTGTGATGGTCCCAGCGCCCTCGGCGATCCTTGGGGCCGCGGCAGCAGGAGACTTGGCTGCCTCATTGCAGGAGCAGCTTCCGTGACCACTTGTGCGGTTGTCGTGGTCTGTGCAGTTGTTATTCCAGTGCTGGCACCGAGCGGCGAGAGCTGCCCTGTGGCAGGCCGAGGCGCAGCTGTGCGACTTCCATTTGTGCTGAGCGGCGAGAGCTGCCCTGTGGCAGGCAGAGTCGCAGTGCCACTTCCATCTGCGCTGAGCGGCGTCGCGGACCCCGTGTTAGTACCAGCAGCCGGCGAGATTGTTACGGCAGCTCCACTTGCGCTGCGCGGCGATCCTGAGGCAGCCGTGTGTGGTGCCTGTGGTCCACTTCCACCACTGTACGTCGGCGTTGATGATCCACCTGTGTTGAGACCGGTCGATGCTCCTGTAGTCGGCCGAGGAGGACGACTGCTTGCGTCAGTCGACTGAGCAGGTGGAAGTTCCTGTCGCGTTCCACCCATCCTTGATACTGGAGCCGATTCTGCGGCCCCTGTCGAGGCGGTATTCGGCTGATGCGCGGCTGTGCGAAGATCACCTGTGAGCACCGATGACGTCGTTTGTGCCGCGACCACTGGCGTCGGCTGTCCGATCGGCGGTACCGCTGGTGCAGTAGTGGGCTGTGTGAAAATCATCTGTGATAGCCCATTCGGCAGCGCGGAAGCCCCCCCCGAAGTAGAGCCCGTGGGCGGCGCGCCGGCCGGTATACCTTCCGCTCCAATTGTCGGCTCCTGTGCGACAACGTGCGGTCCCCGTCCCATCGCACTCGGTCCGGCCGAAAATGAAGCCGTCTGCAGCGTAGGATTAGCCCCGTCGCCTCCCACGAGGTGTCGCCGTCCCTGTGGTCCGCCCTGCGCAGCGTTGTACGCCTGAGCCGCCGCGGGAAACGCGGCCGGGCCACTTTGTCCTCTCGGTGGCGTTAGGACATAGTTTGTGTGAAGTAAACCTTGCTGTTGCGAAGACGGAGTAGCAGGCGTTTGGGCTCCACCGTTCGCCAAAGTTGTTCCCGCAGCTCCATTGACGCGTGGCCTTCTAGTACCCCCGGCGCCGGTCTGCGGGACTTGCTGACTGGGATTAGAATTATGAGTGTTTAATACCTGGTTAATCGCATTTTGAGGAATCCCGCCCGCCGCAGAATGTGGGCCCTGAATCGCCGCAGCAGGGGGTTGCTGCACCTGTGTTGGAGATGGAGTGGCAATCAGCTCCGGCACTTCGTCCTGTTTGTGGAACACCCGAAACGCGTTCACCAGTTTCTGCAGCTCCCGATTGCGAAAGGCCTTCACGCCATTCGGCAGCGTGATAGAGGCAGCGTTCCACATTTGGCTCGGCGACTGTGTCGCGGCGGCATAGTATGCGGGTTTGTAGTTATAGGAGAGAATTGTAGAAGCGTTGTCATCCGCATTTTGAACAACCGCTAGCACCGGGTACTCACACAGAGTTTTTTCATCGTCGCCAGCTCCTCCTGCGCCAGAACTTGTTCTCTGGCCATTTCCGTTGTCACCCTCCACATGAGATGAAAACTCGTTGCTGCATAGAAACGCGGCCGGCGGATTTCCGTAGTCTTCGGCTATCATCGGGCTCGTCGCGTTACGACCCGTAGAAGTACTAGCTGCCGGCTTTGAATCAGCGGCGTTCCAGAGCTTTTTGAATTCGATCAAAGCCCTGTTTGACATCATAATTGGCTCATGTTTTTTACTCATAGTCTTAACTGCTAACATTCTACCGGCATAATTTTCTCCAACTCCGCCATGCGGCCCTTGTGTCGTGGTGGTGGAAAAAATAGCTTTGTTTTGTTGTCCGAGGAAATTGTAACGGTTCCTTGCCGGAAAAACCGTTGTAGATGGTGGCCTGCCGGGCTGTCCGCGCGCAGACCCGGGCGCTGTCCCGACATTATCGTTGTCCGGCACCTCTTCCGTCTCGAGTACCAGCCCCGTGTGAGGGTCGATACAATCTTGTCCTCCTGCCCCATGGCCGCACAGTTGCTTCGCTTCTGCGCGGGAAAACGTCGACCCCGAGCTGACAACGACCGGGTCGTTGTGGAATCTCTGCATGTTGGCGACCACGTAGTCGTTCAAACTCCCGAGTTCCGGACGGGCCCTGAATTCCCGCAAAGCCGGATCTGCATTTGGTTCCCCGCCCAGCGCACTGCCGCCAGGTGGATTGTTGTTCTGCCCGTTGTTTGTGCCACCAGAAGAAGTACTATTGCCTTGTCTCTGCCGTGCCGCGTGTTGCAGGGCAAGCGGAATACCGACACCGAGTCCGATGGCGATGAGGATGACAGTGGAAGTGATGATGGCCACCATCCAGAAGGTCTTTGCGGAAAGGCCGAGGATGAAGGTTGGAGGGGTTGAAGCTTTTTTAGATGATGGCTCACCAACACCTGTGTCTGCTCCACCCTCACCTTCACTGAAAATGTCCGCGTCACAATTGTTCTCAACAATATCGCCGTAGTCACCAGTGCTCGTAATCAGGAATTGCTCCTCCGCTTCCGATGCACAGGAGCTTTGCTGGTAGTTATGATTTTCATCATCTTCATCTGCTTCCGGATTGTACAAAGACTCGCGTTCTTTTTGTTTTTCCATCGCGAGGGGTCCGAGTTCAGAAAAATCTTCATCTTCCGCTACGTTGTTAGTAGACACGTCATCTGCAAAATGACCCTTGTCCTCCTCCTGCCACTCGACGTCTTTTACGTCGGGCTCCATCTCCCCTGCTCGCCCCCCGGGCAGGCTCATCTTGTTTCTGCTGCTGGTGCTGGTTTCTAGAAGGAACAACTCAGATAGGTGGCACGCTTTATCGTACAATTTCTATTCCTAAGGAACAAATCGAAAATCTGTATTGGCTATCTATTTGTTGTTGTTGCGAGAAGAAATTTATTTTGTTGCTACTTTACTCGAAGATGGCTAGATTTTCAACAAGATATTTTCATGAAAGTAAAATTTGGTCTTGCTGAAAAAGGCCAACAACGGTCAATTTCAGCAGCAAAAAGTGAAAAAAATGGCTGAGGCTGGAAAAAAGTTTAGTCTGCGTTAGGAATGAATATTGTACGGTCTGAAACTACCTAAATCCTAAATGCCAAACCTGCGGCAAAGGATATTTTCAACAGAAAACTTGTGTGCTGATGTTGAACGGCTGTACTGTGAAGTTTAAGTTTTTCCCTTGCTCATCCAAAAACATCGCCTTTGCTTTTGCATTCTATTTCACGGGCGGTAGGGGTACTTAGGTGAGGCACACGGTAGTACAAGACAGGAACAAAACGCGATGTTGTAAAAGAACCAGAAACAGCAAGAGAAATGTTTAGTCATCTCTTTAGCATTTTATGCACGCAAGATGAAGGAACAATTTCTGCGGTCGACGTCGACACTGCAGGGCTTCGTAAATATGAATATCCAGGATCTATACAGAACGGGTCTTTCAGATTTTTGTCAAACTTTCTCACAGCCTTATTTGGATGCAGGTCTCGTGGTTGAAAATGAAATTGAGCTTGGATATGAATTCGTTTTCGTGTGATTAACTAATGCTGTCCAGCGTCTGAAAAAATTAAAATGTTGCATCTTCTGAGATGAACCAGAAATTCGCACAATGAACATCGAAAACTTCGGGAACTTCACTGGACTTAGAGGACACGTGGAGAATGGGAACACTGTATTTGCAATTCATTCTGTTGCAGGAGTTCTTGCAGCGTCGTTCGCATATGGCTTCATCTTACACAAGTATACGTTTTTTGCACAGTTTTTCATTTTCTTTCGCGATTATTTGTTCCAGAAGACACACGACTTCATTCCTCTTCACGCCACTTCGTCCAAAGCCCGTCGCAGGTTGCTCGAGACATTTCGATTAGCGAAGTACCAGGTCGGGTGATCCGACTTCAGGAGAAATACGATGTTCGCGAACATCCGTCGCTGGTCGTCGTTCAGAAATTGCCTCGCGAGCACGATTTTCTCCAAGCTTTTGGCCAGATCGAAGATGTTGGTGCAACTAGTTGGCCCCGCTTTCAGAAAGATTTCCGTGCTGACGCAGAAGAGACAGAACTTCAGCGTGTCATCCATGGACAAGTTTTGTGCAAAAGCGGAGGAAGTTCGACTTGATGTACCAGTAGAAAAAACCGAACTAGTTGTACCCCTATGATCTCTGCCCCACCGCTCCATCACCTTCAGTACCCAGTGCTTGACCGCTTGCAGCTCCACAGAATTCGGCTCGAGCTTTTCCGCAAAAAGCAGCAGCAAAGAAAAAAGCGGAGTTGTTTTCGTGTGCTGCAGTTCTCGCGATGCCAGCGGCCCCGCCGAGGCTGATGTAGAACTACTTCTTGCGCCAAATAAACCGAAAATATTCATCGCACTCGAAAATTCATCTTCTCCGAGCGGAAACCAGTCGAGAAACAGGTTCGCGAGTTTCTTTTGCAGAAGCGGAGTTTGCTTGGAGATGAACCGCTGTACTTCTGCCGACGTCGTGCTGGCAGTTGTACTAGTAGAGGCCCCGGCTTGGTATTCGTGAAGATGTAGCTCTTCTTGTCGCCGGAAGGCTGTATGCAAGAGTTCTAGCAACTCCAAAGGAGCAGCTGGTATAGGTCGACGAGCAGACAGCCCCGGTCGGGTAGGAGCTGCAGCATGGGAAATTCCAGCTGTGCTGGACGTTTTGTTGAGAAGCCGGTCCACGACTTCGTTCCTCAAGGTGGACAAGGAAGAGGAGGGAACAACATCACAAGCGACACTCGTGGCCGCCACTGGTCCTGCTACACTATCTAGCTCCGCAAGAACTGCCAACAGAACGGCGTCGGATGCTGGACTAGAACTACTTGCTGCGCGTGAGAAATTTCCTGCAGCAGAGTCGTTGTCATCGTCCGCGTTCTTTTTATGGAGAGCAGGATCTCGCGGACGAGGATGCTCTTGTTCTTCGTCATTTTTACCCAGCTCCCCCAGTACCACCTTCCGCACGAAGAGCTCCGTCGTTGTGAAATCGGTTTTGATCCACCTCAGCAAAATTCGCACGTGCGAAAAGTCCGTCGATAGAGATTTAGTTCCTCTTCCAACAACATCTACTTCCGGCCAGGATGCAACATTATTTGTTGAACAAGATGGTGCTAGATCTGGTGCTGTGGTTGCACCACATGTCACTACTTCCCTAACGGCGGTGCAGAGATTTTCGCGGAATTGGGAAAAATCGAAGGAGCCTGTTGATTTGGTGTCGAGATGAGAGAACGCCGGGCTATTCGTCATTTTCCCGCCGAAAGAGGACGACGCACGGTGGTTATACTGTGGGCCGCCCTGTGCGCTGGAGCTGCAACTTCGAAGTTCGTATTGCGTATGCAGGCCTTTGAGGAAAGACAAGAACATGTCGCGCACAGCACCAGCAGGAGGTTTGTTCGAAACGTCCCGTGCTGGAAGCCCTTGCTCGCCACAACCCGGCGCGGGCACCCACGCTGCGAGCAGCTCCCCCTTCAACGCTTCGACAGACGACAGCTCCGCTTGAATTTTGCCAAACACCTGGGAAAGGAGGCTCTTTGAGAGAAAAGTAGCTCCTGAAGAACCTCCACGCTGGCGCATCAACATAGCTGTCGGTCTGGTCGCGGCTGCCGTGCCGGCGCGGTGCCCATTGTAGTTTTGAGTTCCTGTAGAAGCTCCTTCACTGATCAATCCAACCGCCTGCTGCAGCGTCTTCACTCGAACATTAGTCGCCAGCTGCGCCTGCAGCAAGTCCAGGAACGATCGTGGAATTATTACTGTATTAGCGGTTATTAGTGATTGGGTCGTTGTACTACGCGAGCCTGGCAGCGGAGGATCCACCATCTGATGACCGCGATAATTATGACAATTGTTGTTTGCCATGTCCCAGCACTTCTGCAGCAGCTCCACATTCGTATTCCTCGAGCAAAGTCGCAGAATCAAGTCGGCGGCGGAACGGGTGTCGCTCTTCGCAAGCGGGGAAGTGCTGCCATTCTTCGTGCGCAATGCTTTCTCCTCTTCCATACCAGACAACTGAAGATGCTGCGGGAAGGTTTGCAGCAGGGTGTTGACTAATGGCACACCCTTGTGGAAGGTCGTGTTAATCCCCAACCCTTCACCAGGAATGCGAAGCAGGTCAGCGAGGAAGGGGCTAGGGCTCGAAAATTCTGCCGTTTTTCCTGTCTCGGGCGCATCATCTACTCCATTCTGGTCGCCAGAAGCGTCGTCGCTGTCGTCGGATAACTCAGATATGACATCGGACGGTCTTGAAATATTAAGGTTGTTGCAAACATTCGCGAAGCGTTTCAGGTCTTCCACGGTCACTGCTCTTTCCACTAGTGGTCGCTGACTGGTGGTGGTGCTGTTCCAAGAAGAAGAATCCCCCCTCTCCAGCTCTTCGTGTTCCTCCGCTATCGCCTGTAGGATCAAAGCTTCCACCGAACTCACACTAGCTTCGATTTCACTCCGGATTGATGTTATGGGAGGGAAAGATGCATCAACTGAGGTTCCCGGTGTGGTAGCACCGCGCTGTCCGCCGGAGTTCATCTCCGTCGACGTGTCAGAACCACCTTTATTCGGGGACAATGACGAAGCATAATTCGCCCGTCCTGGATAGTCACTTTTCCCCGCGCAGCAAATAGCCGAATACGCCTCTAGCATGCCGAGCTGTTCGGCGATCTGCTGCCTTGTAGCGGCGGCACGACTGGTCGTGCCATTTTTGATGTTGTAAGGAAAAGAAGCTTGAAGCCCCTTGTGCTGCGCCGCAAATAATCCTGTGCCGCCAGAGGTAGACGTCGTAGTCTTCATGAGCGCGTACGCGAAAAGATCCCGGTCGAAAATCCCCAAGTTTGCCATGGCAACCGTCAGCGCCAAGCCATTCACATGCTGATCGCCCTCCGCTGCGAGGCGGATGTGCTTCGAAATCCGGGCCACAAAATCCGGATCTTGGTACGGCTTCGATGTTGCTTGTTCTCGAGGGCCCGTACGAGATGCAGATGACCACGCGGAAATACTACCATGATTCTCCCCTTCGAACAAGACTCCCAAACTCTCCAGCAAGGATGTTGCCATGTGTGCGGAAAACGCAGGTAATTTCCCCACTGGCTTCACCTCCGTCTCGAAGATTGAAAGCGCCGTGGCTTGCAGTTTGCGGACGAAGGGACTGCAGCTCGAAGTAGATGCGGTGCAGCTTGCAACGACGTCCCTGTGCCTGTGTCCTGGTGTACTAGATCGCGGCATCGCAAGTTCACCAGTGTTCGAACCTGCTCGGTCTTCCTCTATCCAGTTCCTCCTCCTCGTGCCTCCAGAGGAGATATTCGTTACAACTCCAAGCTTCAAACACGCAAGAGCGTGCAGCACGTTTCCGACCTGCTGCGAGAGGAGGAAGTGTTTTTGGCTTTCCAATCTACTGCAAAGGGCGAACAAGGGAAAAAATTGGCTCTTTTTGTCATGCAACTCCGCTACGTCGTATCTGTAAAGTAGCCGCCCCAAAGCGTACGCCGTGTTGACCTCGTGCTGGATCGTCATGCCCCGCTGAATCCGCGCTGGCAGTTCCTGCTCTGTGATGCGACGGAACAGCGGAACGGCAAAATCAGGCACCAGAATCGACGTGCAGCTTGCATTTTTCTCATTTGAGATGAGTTGTTTTTGGTGTTCTGTCAATGCCACGACAGGTCCACCTTTATTTGCGCTAGGATTGAATATGCTGTGATCGTCCTGCTGATAGAAGTACTTGCCACTCAACCGCGCGATCGCGTACAGAATGTTGACCAGACTCTGGTCGGACATCTCTGGTCGAACGTAGTGCTCCAAAAGCGCCGATAAGGTGTACAGCAGCTGAAGTTCAGGGTCATTTCGGTGGTTCTCTTCCGACACTGCACGTTGACCAAAATTATCTTCTCCTTCTACTTCTGCGCCCACGACCAAAACCTCTTGTTTCTGCTCCCGCTCGAAATGGCTCTGCCGTGCGAAAGCCGCAAAAAGCAACCCTAAACCAACCTCGGTTCCCGGGTTTGCAAACAAATTAGCCTGGAGATGGAGCTTTCGATATCCCACAGAAAAAGACAGGCAGGTCAGATTTGTAATGCAAAAATAAATACACAAAAAAAAATCTGTCATCGGCGAGCCCATAGCATGCTGTTTAGGACACGCAATACAGATTTTTTTGTCTATTTATTTTTGCATTACAAAGGTGACCTGCCTGCATTTTTCTGTGGGATATTCGAAAGTACGTGTTCAGATGCAAAGCACTCTTCGCGAAAATCCGCCTCCGTGTGAGGACTGCTGCACCACCGCTGTCGTCGCTCATCTTTGCAGGAGAAAGGCCCTTTTCGAGCCGGGCTGCATTGGTCTCAATTGTCGTGGTTCCACTTCCACCTAGCAGGATTTGTCCATTTGCATTCATCGCGCCGCCAGCGGCACTCCCAGCAGAAGAAGACACCAGGCTGAGCGCATTCAAGACCGTGGTCAGTTCCTGCCACTGAAATTTCTCGATCTTTTCGTCCACGGCGGTCGCGAGAACGTCCAGCGCTTCGGCGGTGGTGTTGGAGGCACGTGTAATTCCGCTTGTCGAAGCTAAAGCTCCTGCACTAGTTGACTCAGAGGTGGAGCTGGGAGTGGAGGTGGACGCAGCTGTCCCATAAAAATCGCAGCCAAGAACAGCTCCACCAGGACTACAAAAACTTCTCAGACGCACCAACGCGCTTATGCTGCTTGCGAGTTCCGGCGGGGAAAAGTCCAAACCGCGCGTGAGCACGCAACTGCGTAGGTGACTCAAGATCGTTCCTCTCCACTCGGCCGCGGCTGCGATAGAAGCTTGCCTTTTTAACATAGTTGAACTTTCCTGACCTTGAGGAGGACGAGAACCGGGTCGGGAGGTAGAAGGAAAAGGAGAGCAACTGCTGCTCCCCTCGCCATCCGGGCTCGACGCAGACGTATTCTCTCGTGAAAATGAAGATGACCACCCACCGACTACCCCGACCTTCGCGGCCGCATCGAGCAGGTTCGCGGCGTGTTGGTTCGTCATCGAGTCCGCTGGAAAGGACAAAACGCGCGTCCAAAGCGCGTGGCAAAGCGTTTCTAGCTCCTGTTTGAAAATAGCATTTCGATGTTGAAGCAGCGGCGGGGGTCCTCCGCCCCGCGCACCACAACCTCCTTGGGGCTCCTTCTGCTTTCGTGGTCCCTCCTCCCCTTCTGCCACAGTGGTTGTCAAATCATCAAAGTCACTCACCTGGACGTCTAGTTTCGCAAACCCGTGCAACACATTCGCGACTCCCTGGGGCGTAAAGGAGTTGATTTTCCGCCGGATTTCCGTGGAAATTTTCCCCAGCAGCACTCTATGCAATGCAAAAGCATCGTAGTCGTCCTAGTATAAATTACATTACAAATTCCCCCGGCATTAAGTACAAATTGAATTTGTAATGCTGATTTACCTTGAGTAATGCGTAAATGCAATTACTACGAGTACGATACTTTTGCACAGGATACAGCCTGTCGTCGCGGATCCCTAATTTCGCGAACGCGTGCACCGTGAGCGCCAGATGCTGCTCCGTGGCTTGTTTCAAAAAGTAGTCCTTCTGCAGGACGTGTTTGGTGAGACCTCGGATTAGGTCCTGGGCGATGGGGTCGGCGGTTGGAGAAGTTTTGCGTGTGGCAATCCCTCGTCTCTCACCTTCGTGCTCGCCGGAAACTCCTGGTTCTACTTCGTCTCGATTTATTTCATCCCTAGCAGACCTTACTGGAGGCATATCGAAAGCCGGAGCCGCTGCAGCTACGCGTGTGGTCCCGCAAGAAACGCTCATCTTCGTCAGGGAATTCAGCAGCAGCGCTGCGTCCTGACTGTCGAAGAGGTTCGCACGAGAGAAATGCGTCTGAGGTGACGCAGAACCCATTCCAGCTCCAGTCGTGGAGACGGTCATAGAACATTTACCTGCATAATCTAAAATCTCCAGCAATCTAATACAGCATTTGCGATAAAACTCCTTCTCGTCCTCGCACCCCGCTTTCACATATGCATTGCAAAAGTATCGCACTCCCACTCGTATAAATGCATTACAAATTTCCTCAGTATGAGAAATCCAAATCAAATTTGTCATGCGGATTTACCTTATGGGAAAAATTTGTAATGCATGACTGCAATTACTACGAGTACGATACTTTTGCACAGGATATCACAAACCCAGACACAATGAACACGATCGTTTTCGGGGTGTTTATCGACTCCAGCAGGTAGATTGTCCGCTTTTTGAAGTCCTGCCAGATGCGGGAGGACGGGTTCTCCCGTCGGTTCGCGGCGGCGCGCACCGCGTGCGATAGCTCGTTGGGGTTCAGATGAGAAATATCGATCACATTTGGGTTGGTGGCTTTCTTGTAGTGGAAAGAGGTGTAGTTGTTTGAGGCTCTATTGCAGCTGTTGCCACTTCGTGAGGATGACGAGGAAGATGCCGAGGCCGCGTGGATTGCTGGGCTACCGTTCGCAGGTGCGAACGACCGCGGGCGCAGGAAGGTACCAGACGTAGAAGCGGCCGCGGCGGCACCCGTAGAAGTCGTGGCGGCTCCTGCGCGAGGACCTGTTAACCTTGGTGCAGGTGCCGTTTTCTGCTCCACCAGACGGGCTCTCGCAGCTCCATCGATTCCAGTCTCCGCAGCACCCACGCGCCCAGCGGACGCGAAAGGCCGTGGCCCTTGAAGACGAGAACCCTGTCCGCCGCTGTTGATAAGAAGCTCTTGCGGATGTATTGAAGATGATCTACTAGCTTCCGCAGCAGTAGAGAAAACTCCGCTAGATTCATCCGCTTGGGGGTTTTCCGCCACGGCAAAGGAAGTAGATGAACTCTTCGCACTGCTGCAACTGTAGAACGACCTCCGGTGGCTCTTCCGGCAAAACAATCGCTGGACCGGTGTTTTGGTCGTCCTTGTGCGGAAAGCGACCGCCAGCCGAGCGGGTTCCATGTGGTCGACTGAGATCATAGGCCACTGCATCTTTGAATTTACTTTTACCCCGAACTTCTACCGGGCACAACTGAGGATGTATCAATTTTCATCGACTTTGCAGCCACGTCTGGGTCATGATCTAGTGCACCACGATCGACATCAGCTTGTACAACTGATTCGGGTGGCGCTACTGGGCCTTCCAGTGATCCAAAAAAGAAAAAAACAGCAATCAAGAGGCAAAAAAGGATACAGGATCTTTATTGCTGAAACGGAAATCTTTCCGTTTGCACATGGATGTTATCAAGGAACGATTGTCAGCGGAGAACACCACCGTGACTTAGCCGCACGCGAGCAAGTACACCTTGCGAGCAAAATACTTTACCAGGTCAGCAACACGCAATAAACAAAAATCCGGGTCCTTGAGCCACGAAGGCAGGTTTAGTTAAGTCCATTGAATATTCATGTAGTTTCTAGTTAGGTTAGTAAACGTTGTACGAAGACGAGTAGACGTGCACGTATACGAGTTTTCAGTACGAACGATAAACATAACGCACGAACCGACTCCCTTGACAACACCCATTCTGCAGACAGAAATTCTAGTTTACAACTTCGCAATTCCCCGGTGTTCGAGTGTCAAGGAAATCAGGTTCTTCAATCTACTTTTAGAGGCTATCTAGGAGTGTAGATTATTTTTAGACTCTCTTTCACCTTTTTATTCTAAGTCAAAACGCATGCATGTTTTTGTGCATTTCTCTTATGCGTTCTCGTCCTCGCACCGGATCCATTTCCGTAGTCGCTCCCATGATCCCGGCTCCACCTCGTCCATTTTCTTGCGGAACTCCCGGCACTCCTTCAGGTGATCGTAGTGCACCCACTTCTTCACTGCTTCCTCCACGTCCTGGTCCATAAACGTCTCCACCTGGCATTTCCAATGATCGGTGTGGATACCCTGATCGAGCGTCATCGTCTTCGTGTGACCAAAGAAGATAAAGAATCTTTTCAACTCGGTCATGGAGTGTTGTTCCGGGTTCGGATCGGGATGCGGCTTCCAGTTGCCGTTGCGGGTCAAACAAAACATCAAGAAGTCAATCTTGGCCGCAATTTTCGCAATTCCCGTCATGTCGAAGTCGATGTTTTTCGCCCCTATCCGGATCACGGCTACCAACTCGTGACGGTCCCGCTTGAGAATCCCGTAGGGACCGTTCAACAGGGCATCCATGTCCTGCAACAAGCGGAGCGGTTGACGTCCTTGAACAGGATACTCGATCGGCATCATCACGCACAACTGGTGATCATACTCCTGCCGGAATTCCAAGTTGTCACGCAAGTCGTACTTCTTTAACCCATGCCAAACCTGGAACCACTTATTTGGGATCCATCAGTAAGGGCGACGGTCCACTCCCCTTCTTCGGTGATTGCGGATGACGCTGCGTGATCGCTTGCATCCGACTTTCGGTCAACAACTCGTCAACGGGATCGGGCCCCAGTGGGCTCGGAAATAAAAAAATCGCGAATCCCAACAGAAAACCCAAAAAAAAATTTATTTCGCTGCCGCCCTATTGTGCCAAACCACTCCACCGGGGCTCGCTTGATGGGAAATCCGTGGCCCCTACAGTAGCGCCGGGGCTTTGTCAACAGGCTGCGGGCCTGTGGGCTCCGGGGTTTCCCAACAGCTTCGGCGTATGAAATCGGGCACGCACTTGGTGGTCGGACACACACACTTTCCCCGAAAAAACAGAAAAGCAGCGAATTAATTTGCGCCAAAAAGTTATTTTTTTTGCGCCCCGAGTGCGACAGCAGTGCGACAGCAATGCGACACGGGTGCGACATTTTTCGGCTTCTTACTGAAATCCCTAAGAAAAATCACAACACCGCCGAAAGTCGATTTTTTTTAATTATTTCAGATTTTTTGTCGCACCAGAGTCGATTTTTTGTCGCAAAATTAATTGGCCACTCACCCACCCAAAACTGGCCCACCCAGAACCCCTCTCCCATTCCGAAACACACACCGGCAACATGGGCCCCCTCTGCCGGCCCCACTGCAATCCCTTGCGCCCACGCCTGCTTTTCCCGCCAAAGCCACAAACCCAAAGCACACAAGCAGAAAAAGAGAACACACCGCCGAGCGTCCGCAAGAACTACAAAAACCATGAGAAAACTTGAAAGCGCGAAAATTTTCCGGCTTTTGTGATTTTTTTGCTTTTCTGACTACTGGGGGCCGATCCCGTTGAAACTCGCTCTCGCTCCGCGGAGTGGCACGCATGAGAAAATGATTTTGCGTGTTGCGTTTTTCAAAAGGATTGTAAGCAGTCATCTTTCTAGTTTACTCTGACTTTCTGAACTTAAAAGGAGCGGGCGAGATTCTTTTATATTTACATTTTGAAATTCAAAACTCAAACGGAAATCTGAACTTTTTACGCGGCTGGCTAGGTTTCTCTAAGTTTCCCTGTAGTTTTTATTTTTGGTAGTGCATACTACTTTTTTGAGGTTTGGGTAGCTTTCTATTCAAAAATAACCATCAAAGTGAAACAACAAAGAGAGTTCGTTCTTACGTTTTGTGAAGCCCGAGCTTTCTAAACTTTATCATACAGAACTATTTTAAAATCATACATCACAACCTTCATGTTAACTGTTAAAATTTTTAAACAAAAGAAAACAACAAGAGTTTTTAGATCTTTAGAAAATGACTATTGATTAGATCTGCAACAGATTCACGCAACTCTTCCTCCACCTTTGCACCTTTTCTGGTTAGTTTTAGATCTTTTTCACCAGCATCGAGTCCTCCTTTTTTGATTTGATCTGCAAGCACTGTTCCCCTTTCCGTAATCGCCTTCTCCTTCTCCTCTGGCTTCTCCCAATTCTTGTCGTATTTCTCCAACTTCCTCAACACCCCCACGGCATCTCCTCTTCCGTCGCCGGCACCAAGTCGATTCCAATTCCATCGTCCATGTTGGATTTGTCTGAAGAGTCGTCTCTTTTCGTTCGTGATAGGGAAGTGCTTGGTCAACAAGTCGGCGAAGTTACTTTTATCACTCAAATGAATGATAGGATGTTGACGACGACGCTGAACAGATTTTGCTCTTTGTATTGCGCGGAATACGTGCGAGTCGCCCTCGAAGGATGCACTTCTGTTTAACGCGCGACTCACAACTGATGAAGAGTCAATGAAATCAAATTGACTAAAATCTTCACCGCGTTGTATCATTGCCGGCGTGATTGCTCCGCCGAATGAAATCTCAGTTAATTCTGAGAATCTCAATTTTGTCATCTCCGTCAACTGTTTTCCAACGTCAAACGCTACGGCTTCGGAGCCGTAGCTTCCACTTATTGGAAAATCGTGCGTCTGCGCCGACCAGTGGAGCCAGCTAACGCGAAGTTGTTCTTGGCTCTGAGTCGCGCGCTGCAAGTTCGACATGCTGCAGACCAAAAGTGCGTAGCCCGTCATTGGTCTTAGTTGATCGACTCGGGCGTCCAGCAACCGAGGATCATCCGGGAGAAGTAGCTCTGCAATCCCTTTGTTTACTTTCTTTTCCTTCTGTACTTTTACAGGCCGGGATTGGAAGGATCCATCCGTTATTTGTAAAAATGCCGGACTATTACAATCCAGCCACTGGCGCACAAAAACTCCTCCCTCCTTCTCCACCTCCTTCATTGCTTTTACTAATTCGTTTACTCTTTCCGCGTTTTCGGCTGTTCTTTCTGAGTCGTTTCCCGCACTGAAAGTCCTCTGCATGTATTGTATAAGAACTCTGGGATCCATTCACTGATGTAGGATGTAGATCCTCTCACTCCGCGTAAACGGGTTATTTCCAGCTCGGAGAGAAGTGCGTTTGGTTCTGGTTTGGCGCCGCGTCGCGTGTTATCGGACTCCCAGAATCCTAATTCCCGCACCTTCTCGTGAAGTGAGACGTCCAAACATGATTTTCCGTTGACGAAGAGCGTCCTGATTTGTTTGCCTGTAAATGTATCCCATTCGGAACCGAGAGTGCGAAAGCAATCATCGGCGAGGCTAACAAATGCTCTCTTCATCAGGTTCTTCACATTTCCCACCAAGTTTCGGAATTTCAAGTTAATGAACATGATGAAGTCGTCCACGTGTGACGCCAGAATTGCTCCTATTTGTCCTTCAACATTTAGTCTGTAACAGGTCGTTGATAAAGCAGAAGGAACGCAATCGGCTGCTACCATTTCACTTCTACTCTTCCTGTAGAAAAGAAAGGCAGCATCGAGCAAGCCGTATTGTGGTATCCGTACCCGCAATCGACTATCGGGACGGAACTTGGTGTTGTAGATTTGATTCATTTTCTCCAATGCTGCTCGCAGTGCTTCACCCAGTCGGCCGGAGTCGCGTGGAAAACGCATTTCTGGTCTCTTGGAGGGTTCGCATTCCTCCGTCAGGTTAAAAGCACGTGGCACATCAAAAAGGACAACTTCTAGTCCTTCGAAGGTACCCACTGCGAGACAGATGAGCCTAAGTTCGAGTGAAGAGAGCGTGGGAGAAGAATGCTCACCTTCTTCGAACGGTCTCTGTTGTTTGTGGCCGCCAGGTGCCCACCTGACTTTAAAAGTCAGGTAGACATCCGATAACCATTTGGCGTCCAGTATGAGTCTACTCGTTAACACCGTTTTTACGTTGTCGTCTTCTGCTTCTTCTTCGCGGTTCTCGTCCTTCTTACTCGGGAGGTGAAGATGGTAGCTCTCGTCCTGTAGTAAAACACTTGCTTGCTTTTCGCCCTCGCGTGGGATGAGGTTGCCAACCAATTCTTTCAACAGGGCCTGCGCGACAATGTCGAACATGCCGACTTCTTCAAGAACAGCAGAAGGATGCCAGTCTGCCAGTTTTCTTGCAGCTCGCAAACGTTTTCTTGCCGCGGCTGTTACGCCTGGTCGGTGTATGGCTACTGCTCTTTCATCGGTGTTTTCAATGGCAGCTGCAAATTCGGAGGCAAATTCAAATCGAATTGCACATACGGTTCCTTCATCACTTTCCCGACCAAAACACAACCGCTCCTTGTCGTTCAACACTTTGTTGACGTAAAATTTGCAGCATGTCCTGTTCTTGTGCTGGCTTCCCTTGCCGTTCAACATTTTTGCGCGACCGGTTTCCCACGTGATCGAGATGTCGTCTAGAAGCCACCGTGGAGCCGCCCACCCTTCTTTCACGGATTCTGTCGAGAGAAAGTTTGCTAGTGTGGCGAAGGCTGCGCTTTCGACGTTGACCTGCCGAACATTTGTTTCCTTCAGTTCGTCCAGCACGGTTTTTAGACCTCTTGATCCTAGATCAAGCGGAATCCCGAGAGCTGCTTCTGTTGCCTCCCAGCTGATCTTTTTCTCGGGATCGAGTTTTCCTTTCTTCTGCGGCATGGACGGGTCTGCTTCTTGTAGTACGGTGCTCATGATCGCGATGTGGCTGTGCGTGTTAATCACATCCATCATACCCTCGAGGTCCTCGGTGCTAATGTCGATGAAGTTGACCCTCCCGTCGTTGGCCAGATCGTCGAAGTCGCTTGTCCCTCCTAGTGCTGCACTTGGTGAAGTATTTTCGGCTTTAATATCCACGCGCTCGAGCGGTTCTGAGGGATCGAGTTCTCTTGTCTCATTCTTTGTTTCGTCGATCATCACACCGGGCTTGGACTTGTCCTGGTCGTCGTGGTTTTTCCAGTTTGACGAGGAAGAAGAAGATGATTGTGATTTTGCCTTCTGATCGTTATCGCCCTCACCTCCTCCTTCTTCATCCCACTTTTTTAATCTGAGTTCGCGTTTAAGATCCTTTTCGCAAACCCAGCTCCCCATGGAAGCGAGTTGATCATCTGAAAGATCACCGCAAAAGGTCTTCGGAAACAACATGCAGCAGCGTGTCACGTTGTCCTTAAACGAAGGCACAACATACCGCCACTCGTGGCAGTCGGAGCACACTACCAATTTGCTTTCTCCGACAACTCCTTCACGGAGACCGAGTTGCTTCCTAATTCTGCGAAAATAACCTTTGTCTTTCACCTGTTCGCAGATGCTGGCGATGTGCGGAATGTCAGCTGATCTTATTTCCACGCCGTCGGGCATGCCGGCTAGCAGCTCCGAGTCAACTACTCTCCTAATATGCGTCTTCGGAATTTTTGATACTGCTGCTGTTGATGAAAGTGGACGAATTCCCCAGACTTTTCCGGAGCAATCCTCCACGTAACCCGGTACCCAGCGTCCGGCTTTGTTCTTCCACTCAATCAAGTCCCCTTTTTTAATACCTCGCGGCCCTCGATTTAAATCGGTTAACTTCTCCCAGAGGTGTTGAAGACCAGCATGAAACTCCTTGTCCAAATGAGCTTCTGCTACGCAGGAACGGGCAGCTTCGCGATGTTCGGCTCGGACAGTGGAGGAATTTGCGGCGGCATCAACGTCAAAATACCGCATCGCGTTCAGGTCTGGCGCTTCACCGTTGTGTCGGATCCTCCATTCCTCGTCCCGTTCGAGATATGCTCGATAACCGTTTCTCTCCCTACGCGCTGCGAGTAGAACCTGGATCAAGCTAGACAGAGCCAAGTGTCGCAGGAGAGGGTGACGAAGAGCAGCTTCAAGCTCTGACTTCAAGTGTAAGCTCATCACTTCGGCCAGTGCCATTGCTGTTGGTGATGCCGTACTCACGACAAACACACGCACACCGTATCCCAGCAGTAGCAGAGCAAGTTTTTCGGCCACGTTCTCTCGACCAGGATCCACACAGAGAACTCTTCCGACGTTCTCGATGTTCCTTGCCACAAACTCGGTTACTGCTTCTGGTGTTGGATACCCTCGCGCTTCGTCCCCTTTTTTCTTGTCTTGCTGCGCCTCTTCGTCCTGCTCATCCACCTTCTTCTTTGCCAGTAGAGCAGCTTCCTTTTCTGCTTCTCTGGCTCGTTCTGGAAATTCTTCTTTTATCAAGTCGCCAATCTTGCTGAAGGAAACGTAGCGGCACTTGTCACCGAGGTAATCACCCCAGCAGTTTCTGGTAATTTTTCTCGTTAAAAGTGTTACGCCGCCTGGATGGAGCATGTAGTTTTGGTTGAAGAACGTGGCATCTAATTGTGATACCGCCGAAACATCAATCATTGACCACGTGCCAATTGTTCTAGTACCTGGCCAGGTCGAGTACCTGAAATGGGACGTCGAATGAAGAAGTGCTGCATCTACTCCGGCTTTTATGTCCTCCGCCCTGAAACTCGAGAATTCGCGTCGCGCCATGTTCTTCAAATCCTTTTCGTTCACGCGACACAACTGGCGGCGGGCAAGTCCACGAAGGTATGAGTACACGTCCGCTTGCTGCTGTGTCAATCCCTTTCGCGGATCAACTTTCACGGTAGGATTGTGCGTATCAAACCAATCTTGAGCTTTTGAAACAAGAAATGCCCCGTATTTCTTGTTTTCGCCGGTGCTAGTAGCTCTTTCGCCTCCTGCAGCTAACATCGACACCAAACTCAAGCGGACTGCTTTCTTCTCATCCGCGTACTCCATTTCTCGACTGAGTAGCTCAGCACACGCCACAGCCCCTTTTCGACCGTCTCCTTCGAATGCTAAGCACTTATTATTCTTCTTGTTCTCGTCGAGAAACTGTCTCGCCTCTGCGGCTAGTGCTTGGCACTCAGGATTTTCGGCAATTTCTTTTTGGGCGCGAAGTGACAGTCCGGTCTCCCCGTCCTCGAAGACGTTTCCGATGCTTTGCGGAACTGTCATTATTTTTGCTCTCCCCCGAAACTGCAAACTGAGCTGGCGGCCCTTGTCAACTGATACTATTTTTCTCACGGTCAACGACGTCGGAGTTTCTGTTGCGCGGCGCCACGGTTCCACAGTATCCGGCTTTCTGTGGATAGAAATCACCGGCATCCCCGCACCGGTCGTGTCTTCTATCAGCTTCGCTTTTTCGACCGGTTGACGAAAATAGTAAATTGCGAGAAGATTTCGATGGCCGCCGGCGGGAACCTTCAACAAGTTGCCAATCCTCGCGATATTCTGGTTGCGAAAATTCTCTAGATGTTGGCACTTTTCTCTAACTTCATCTAGGTTTCGCAGAACTCGAACTTCGGCGGATAAGTCTGAGTCCGTTGGTGCCGGTGTCCTTAGCGCACCGACGATGATTCGCGAGTAAGCATACCATTTTTCAGGTTGCTGCTGGTAGTTTTTCAAATCCTGCTTCACAATTTCAGGCGCAGACTGTTCTGGCTTAAAATCTTCGATTGGTTCTAGTTGCTGCCTAGCTCGACTAGAACTGCTTGGCTCTGGTGCTGGTAGTGCGGATTCGTTGCGGTTGTTGCTTTCGTTTGCTCCTCCAGCCGCAAACACAGAGACTTGACGACTTTCTATTTCTGACTCGATAGAGATGGAGAATGCTTTTGCTGCAGCGGTATTCAACCACTTCACTTCTTGACTTGCGTAAATTTGACTGCATCTCTGCACAAAATCTTGGCTGAGGCTCTCCCACAGGTTGAAGAAGTACTGGCTGTCCTCGTGACTTTTCCTCCAGCCACCGCACTTCGCTACTTCTTCTTCGGTGTTGATAAAAATCTTTAACCGGTGCTGCAATGTCATTCCCAAGAGCATTTGCGCCTCGTCTTTCCATTGCGTGTCGTCCACGATAATCGCCCTGGTCATTCCTCCTCCTGGTCGTTTCTGATCTACGCAGCTCTTTGGTAATGCATACAACAGCTCGCCAACTCCTGCAACCGTGGCCTTCCCTGCTGCAGTTGATGCCTGAATCTTTAATGGTGTAAATCGGAGCTCGACGCCATTTTCTCGACAAAATTGCTGATGACGCCGGTACTGTTTTAAACCCAGAAAAACGCTCTTGCTGAAGCCGGTGTCTAGTAGAAATTTTACTGCTTTTACCCCCTCCTCCGACGGAGTTCGCCCGAGGTTGAGAATTTTTATTGTTTTTATTGCGAGCTTCACGCTCTTTGCGAAATCTTTCATTGCAGGACGGGCTGGTCTCCTGCTCTTCATATTTTCGAAAGGCTGACATTTGCTGAGAAGAAGTTCTAAGGTAGTTCTCTCTTCCGGAGGTGCAGTTTCTGCTTCTTTACTGCTCTTCCTCTTTTTTCTTCTCCTCCGATTCTTCTTTACTGGATCTTCTTTGTACTGTGAAGGATTCCAGCGGGGGTGCCGCGAATCCTCTACTTGAAATCCGCCTCACCATCCCCATCTTCCTCCGGCTCCATCTTCTCGCCTCCAGAGCCTTCTTCTCCACCTTCGCCTTCTTCCTCCTCTTCCTTCACAGTATGAGTTGAAGCATGCCGACGCTGTAACTGGCGTTTCTTTTTCTGCTTGAAGCCGTTGTAGTTCACGTCCAGTTCTTCCATTTCCGCGTCTTCTTCCTCGGCATCGTCATCCTGATACTCGTTCTCCCAGAACCGCTCCTCAACCCCTTCCAGCGTCACACCAAAGTTGTGCACGACGATCCCGCGCTCGTTCACGAACTGCACCTTCATGCGGTAGTTTCTCCTTGGTTTGCGCGAGAAGTTGTTGTTGTTTTTATTGTTCCAAGTCTTTACACCCTTCCGTGGTTTTCCTTTTTTGTTCGTGAATCGCTGGGCGTAGCGAATGAAGTGCGACTGCAGAATTCGCTCGCTTTTCAAGACTGGACACTCCTTCTTTAAGTGCTCCGCACTTCCGCAACTCCAGCAGCGTGGTGGATTTGGGCAATCCTTTTTCAAATGCCCAAAATCACCACACTGCCAACAGGATTTCGCACCCACGACCGGTTGATTCGTGTTTTTGTCGCCGAAACGCTTAAACGAAGCGGCTGCGATTTTGATATCGGGGTCATTCTCGACAAGGTCGCAAAACGGCTCGTCGGTCTCGTTCAAGAAGTTCGCGCTTTTGATGCTTATTTTTATAACACAAATCCGTCGAGAACGACAACGGGCCGAACGAGCGAACGTGGGTCGTCAGACCGAAGACCAACAACCCTCCCTTACCCCGCGGGACAAGGGTTTCGTCTCGACAGAAAAGCGAAATAAAAGGGCGGGACGGGCGGGAAAGTTTTAAAACCTCAACCTTCAACCGAAAATCAAAATGGCCTCGAGTTTATAGGGTCTTCCCGGGACCACAACAACGAGAGATGAAGGAGTAAGAGCGCATTGCTTTATAAAAATCCGCTTTGTGTTACGCACGGCGACCCTGCGAGCCGCTTCGCTAGGCCCGCCGGTTCTCCTACTCACACAAACCATAACTTTTATAACACAAATCCGTCGAGAACGACAACGGGCCGAACGAGCGAACGTGGGTCGTCAGACCGAAGACCAACAACCCGCTGACGGAGGAAGAGAGGCCACGGGCCTCTCTCTCTCCGTCATCGGGGTTGTCAGGTATATTTTCAGGTCTGGCGACCCACGTACGCTTGTTCGGCCCGTTGTTGTCTCCGACAGATCGAGTTATAAAAGTTATGGTTTGTGTGATAAGGAGACAGCTCGGGCCTAGCGAAGCGGCCCGGGCAGGCGACGAGGGAACACAAAGCGGATTTTTATAAATAGATATGTTCTTCCCGCCTGGCGTTCTCATTGTTGTCCTGGTCCCGGGATTTATCCCATTCTTCCCTACATCGGACATGTCGAGTTCGAGGCTGAAGACTCCGCCCCCGGACTTTCGACTCGCTGCAGTTGTTTCGGCCTGTGCATCGATGTTGAAATCCTGCACCGCTCTTTCCTTGATTTGCGAAAACGTCGGTAGCACCTTGTTGCTTTCCTTGATTAGTTCTCGCATGGTCGTCCTGTCGAGCGGATCCTTGATCGACCGGGCACGGATTTCATCGTAGATCAACATCTTCTGCTCATCCGTGTTCTTGTCTAATTCGTACCCGACTTCAAAAGCAGCATCCTCCATTCTGTTGAGCAGCGAAAGAAAAGACTCACTTTTCTTCCAGTTCCCTCCATTCACTGCCCACTCCTGTGACTTTGTCGCAAGATCAGATGTGGGGCCGTTGTGCACCAGCGCAAACGTGCGGAAGTAATTTTTAAAAGTCCACGTCTGCAGGTCGTCCTTCTTCAGAAAACCCTTGCTCCAGAAGGCTGCTGCTTCGTCGCCATGCGCCTTTTCTAGCACGTACGTTTTCACGAGTGCTTTTTCTTGTGCTTCACTAATCAGCGACTCCTGCGGAACAAGCGCGCGCTCGATGTTGATCTTGAGATCGGCCTTGTACGCTTCCAAATTTTTGTACGACTTGAAGCTCTTCAACTCCCCCAGTTGTTTGAAATCGATTCTTCCAACTTCCCACTTGTCGTAGTACTGGCCGAGATCTTTCATCGTAGAAACAAGCCCAAGGTCGAAGCTTCCAATTGGTGCAACAGTCGCACCGTCAGCGTCTTTGTAGAGGTTCTTGAGTTTCTTCTTTCTCACCCGGAGCCGCGCCCTGCGGGGCTTTTGCTAAAAAACGCCTAAAAATTTTACGGGTCGCGCCAAAAGCCGGGACCCAGGCAGCCGGATCACCACATGGCGAGAGCGGCCACAAAGTTGGCCTCAGGGCGCGCCTACCCGCCCGGGGGTCGGCATCGAAGCAGAACGACGGCCGCTATCCGGCAAAGGCCAAGCGGGCAGGCACGCCCGCCCCGGACAAAGAGGTGGGCGCGGCACCGGACACAATTAGCGAAATCCGCGGCCGCCTTGAAGGGGGAAAAGGCAACACACCCCGCGCGCCAAGGGTCAGGGCGGTGCTCCGGGGCGTGGTCCACGCGAACGCGCCATCCTTCACCCGGGCCGCGCGAAATTAAGAGTCGGGGAAAAATAAGACGGCGCCAAGGAGCCGGGCCGCGGGCCCTTGAGGCCGCCTATTCGTCCCACTATCGGCGGGCTTATTTTCACGGCCCGAAAGTTGGCGGGCGCCTTTTTTGCGATTTCGTGTGCGATTTCAGTGTGCAAAAAAATAAAAGAAAAAATAAGAAAAAAAATAAGACCCCCCGGCCCGTGGCCGGGCGCGCAATAGGTGGGGGAATAAGAGAAAAAATAAGCGCTATTTTAGGCGAAAAAAATAAAAGAAAAAAATAAGACTTAAAAATAAGAAACAAAAGTAAGACCAAAAAGTAAGACCAAGAAATAAGATCAAAAAGTAAGACCGAAAAGTAAGACCAAAAAGTAAGACCAAAAAGTAAGACCAAAAAATAAGACCAAAAAGTAAGACCGAAAAGTAAGACCAAAAAGTAAGACCAAAAAGTAAGACGCAAAAACGGGCCAAAAAAATAAGAGCTTGGGCGCGGCCCTTAATTAGAGCGCAGAAAAGGTCTCGCGCACAAGGATGACACCCCGCCAGCTTTCTCCCAATTACGAAAGTGCCTCAGGTGGGCGGCCGCAATGCAGCAGAGACCCGCGAAGAGCAAAAGGGGGCGAAGCCAGAAGCGAAAGCCTGTGCCGGAAAGGGCGAAGGCCATAAATTTTTTAGGCTTTAAATAGGGCCGCCTCCGCAAGGCGCGGCGCAGGGTGATCTTTCCACGCTGCTTTGGTTCCTCGAGGAAACGCTGCCCCATCCTGAGCGAGGGATAACCACCGGGATACCCTTTTCCCCCATCTTGGTATCCTTTTTGGTTATCGTACCAGTCGTCTTCGGGCAGGTAAGCTGGCGCGTTGTACTTACCATTCTTGTCAAACCAACCCTTCTCCCCTTTTCCTTCCTTTCCTTTCTTCCCCTTCTTTTCGCGCCAGTAGTTGTTTCCGCTTGCAGAGTAGGAATTGTTCTTGTAGTACTCAGAGTTGTGCTTCGAGGAGAAGCTGTACTCGGAGGCTTCTTCTTCCGTTCCGGAACCCTGGTATGCCGAGCTTGCTGCACTCGCACCAGCCGCATCGAAGTACCCGTACTTCTTGCTGTGCGACTTACTTTTCCACCATGCGCTACTGTACTCGTCGCAGTACGGGTCGTAGTGGTAGTAATCGTTCGGGTCATACTTCTGCGACTTCTTGACTTTCTCCATCTTCTTGATTTTACTACTCTGCTCCGAAACTCGGCTCGCGACAGAATTTGCCTTCGAAGGATTCTTCTCAACTGTATCCTCATCAAGTCCTGCATCCGAGAGCATCTGCTCAACAGCACGCGCCTCGCGCTCGAGCCGCTCGGAGGCTTTTTCCGAAGTCATTCGCTTCGTATCCAACAAATTCGCGCCCAGCAACTGCAGCTCCGCATCATGCTTGATTTCTCCGTCGCCGTCAAGTCGGTAGAATTTCGTGCGCGGGCTGGTGCGGACACCGGTAGCTTTTAGTGTGTTCAATTCTTGTACCAACATGCTCTTTTCTGATTCCGTTTTGTTTTGCTGCATAGCTAACTGCCCTTCGAGGTTTGCAGTTAAGGCGCGCTGTTTTTCGAGCTCTTGCAGAATCAGGCCGTATTTGGATTCGAGAATCTGGAGCCCACTACTGGTCTGGTTTGTCAAGAAGTTCATCTGGCTGACTTGTCCGGTGAGTCTTCCGCCAAGGTCTCGCACTTGATCCGCCTGACCGCTAATCTTACCGCTGATGTCCTGCACGACATCACTCAAGATGACTCTCGTTTGCTCGGCGTCGCCGGACAGTTTTGCGTAGGCCTGGTCGACTGCAATCCTTGTCGAGCTTGCATCATTCTCAAGACGCATCACCTTTGATTCGCTCCTTGCAGCCTTAATTTCCGCAGAAGAAGCGTTGTTGTTAGCGGCTCGCGCAGCGCTAGATGCTGATTTTGATTGCTGCTGTGCTCGTTTCGCCTCGTTCATCATTCCGGCCGCGATCGGGACAAATTTCTCCTTGAAAAACTCCTTCATGGTGCCTTTTGTTAATACTTCGGTGTCTGGGTCGACTCCTGGCACAAATCTTGGGCTTCTCGGAGACAACGAAGTAATTGCACCGTCTTGAGCGACAACAATTGCAGAAGAAGTTGATGAACTCGCTGCAGAATCCTGAAGCGCAAGTTGATTTTCTTCATTTGCGTCCGATAAGCGTCTCAACTTCTTTGATTGTGATCGGGTTGCGAGAGTTGTCTCATCACGGCTTGTAGAAGGTGTGCGCGGCGTCTCCTCCCGATCCTGCCACTCGGCTCCTTCTCCTCGGTGCGAGCTCATCGCGGTGGTAGTTGAGAGTGGTTGGCAGTAGTTGTTCTGATTCTTAGTTGTTTAGTAGTGGTTTGTGTATCTGTTTTTAGAGAAATTGAGACAATTCAAGAGATTACTTCATTCTTTTCATGTCACAAAAACAGCAAACCACGCAACCAAAACAACTTTTCTTCTCTTTATTTTTATTTCCAAAATGAATCGACCAACAGGAAGCTTTTTCTTACTTTCGTCCCTTATCCTTTTCCCTTACACCGGATTAGGGGTCGTGGTTCAATTCCAATCTCTCGCTTTTCTCCAAAACCTCGTCGTAGATCAAAAGCAGCAGAAAAAGAAAAGCTTGTCCAGCAACAAGTCCAGCAAGTACTATTAATTCCAGCGCTTTCCAAAAGATAAGTTCCAGCAGGTAAAAAGCCAATGAAGTACAGCAGGTCCACATACGTTTTTGATAAAAATTTTTACGTAGGAATTTCTTGTTTTTGAACGTGAATTACATCTGACGGCACCCGGTCTACTCGACTCTTTCTTCTTCGTCGCTGCTGTCGTCAAACGTGTACACACGTACCGTTGATCCTGGTGGCGCTTGTCTCAGAGCTTCCCTTGCCAGTTCCTGTGCTCTCGCGCGGATCTGCTCTCTGGTTTCACCAGGATTTGCTGAAAATGTAAAGTTCTGGCGGTTGTTTTCGTTGTAG